CCTTCTCCTTGGCAGCAAACTGAGCGAGCTCATCAGCCGTGAGGTCGAGGAGAGGCTTGTTCTCACCCGACTTGAGATTGCGGTAGTAGGCACGGATAATGCTGTCTGCGTCATCGACGGCGATGGGCCGAATGTCAGCAAGAGCCTTGATCTTGGCAGTGCACTCCTTATACTGGTTGTCAGTCATCTCAATCTTGAGCTGCTGAGCACGAGACTTGATAGCGTTCCAGCCTGTCAGACGAGAGGCGAAGTGAACATATCTGGTCATGCCGAAATCGGCAGGGTTGATGATCTCGTATGTGCTAGGGTTGTTGAGGATGGCCTTGGCGTGGATACCAGCCTTGTGGGTGAAGGCACAGAAACCAGTGACCCCCCCCCCCCCCCCCCTCCCCCTCAAATCATTGAGTCGTGTGTCTTTGTGTGGAAATCACTCCACAGTGAATGGCTGCTGTTATCACTCTCCAGTCGTCCGCGGCGGCTGGCCCTGTGGCTTCATCCGCGACCCCCTTCCAGCAGCCTCATTCTCCTGATCACCACTCTCTCCTTCGCCCACGCTCGCAACACCAACAGTCGGCTAGCTCGACTCCCACGCCTATCTCCCCCTCTGCCGCCTCCATTGGATCAATATCCCGGTTGCCAGCGCCTAGTCGGGATGGATCAAGTTGTGACGCCTGTCTGCGTAGAAGGAGTCGCTGTGCCATGAACGAAATGGTCAATAAATGCTACTCGTGCGACTTCCACCGCCAGGACTGCACCTTCACTCTCAGTCGACCCAACACCGCGGACCTGCAATCCAAAAAGAGGAAGCTAGAGGATCCCGTTGCGGAGGAGGTGGAATCCGCCAAGAGGTATGAATGGCTGTGATCTTGAATCCCCTATACGTCCTCCCTCGTGGGGACGCTTCCTCTCCCTCTCTTTCCTTGATGCCGATTTCGGACGTCATATTTCGATGTGTGTTCCGTGCCTGTTTGAAAGATAACCACTAATTTCTACTCTTCTTCTTTTTCTCCTTGGCAGACAACAACAAGAACAACACCAACCACAACAACTACAACTACAACTACATCAACCTCAACCTCAACATCAACATCACCAGCAACTACCAACCCTGTCACAACAAGAAGCAGCCCTTTCGCCTGTCTCCAAAACAGATGTCGCCCGCTCGCCAGTAAATGGTCACAACCAATTGATCCCATCCGGGTACTGGTCCCAGTCGGCCCAGTATATTGGCATGACCACTGAATTAGAGCCGGCTCTACTCGAACATCTTCCGCTGGACCAGAACGACGAAGGCATCGTAGCATCCACCCGCGTCCGGAAAATCGGTGACGACGGCACCTTCATGCGCGTCGTCGACCCTTCGTCCCAAGCGGACGCCCCATCATTCACTTCCCTCGATGCCATCGAGAGCCTGGTTGCTCCCTATGGCTCCACCTTGGTGGAGAAGTACTTTGAAAGCATCCACCCCGTGTTTCCCATCCTGATGGAAGATGCCTTCCGCCAATCGTACCGGACCCGACAGGGCCTGTCCCCGCTCCTGTTGTCCGCCGTGTATGTGTTGGCCTTAAAGTTTGTGGACGTCGGCCCTGCCTCACAGTCGGTCCGACGCCCGGATGTCGGCCGGCTCGAGAGCACCGCGCTCAAACTCCTGCTCGAGTCTCTGCCCTATGCGACGATCTCGACCATCCAAGCCGGCCTGCTTCTGATGGAAAAGTCTACGCTGGCGACAGCCGCCTTGAACGCCCAGCTGGTCACCGCGGGGTTCGAGCTGGGACTCCACCAGGACTGCAGCGACTGGAATATGGAGACCTGGGAGAAGGGACTCCGGAAACGTCTGGCATGGGCGCTCTACATGCAGGACAAGTGGTCCGCGCTTGTCCATGGCCGCCCCTCACACATCTTTGCCTTTAACTGGACGGTCAAAGACTTGGTGGAACAGGATTTCACCGACGCCTTCCACACGGATACTACCTCCGACTCGCAGCAGGAGGACTCGCCCGTCGGGCATGGCCCGCTCTACTTCTGCCACATGGTGGCATTGACGACGATTCTGTCGGACATCTTGGACCGCTTCTACACGCTCCAAGCCATCGAGGAGTTCAAAGCGGCTGGCGGCAACCGGACGCGAATGATTCTCGAGCGGGCCAAACCGGCCCAGATCCGGCTGAAGGAATGGTTCGCATCGCTGCCTCCGACTCTGAAGATGGACTCGAGCATCGACCTCTTCGACACTGTTGCCGAAGACACGGCGCGCAACGGGCCGCTGCATCTGTCTTACTTCGCCACCGAGATCACCTTGCACCGCTGCATCATCCGGTCCCTCACGTCGAACACGGCCGACGCCTACCTCTCGCACATCTGCCGCTCGGCCGCCAAGACGCGGCTCATCTCCGCCATGGACTTCATCAACCGGCTGCGCCAGTCCCACCTCCGCTCCTTCTGGCCTGCCGCATCCCGCACCAACTTCTCCCTGATCGGCTCCTTCGGCATCCTCCTGCGCATTACGGCGCCGACCAAGGAGGAGGCCGAGTTCTACCGCCTCCGGCTCTGCGAGTATCGCTGGACGCTGGGGGTCAGCCGCAAGGACGCCGAGTTCCTCGACTTCGCGCTGGAGAGCCTGGACAACGCCACCAATCTCGACCGCCATGTGCCCGCCAAACCGGCCATCGACGAGTTGATGACCAGCGCCGCCAAGCCCATCATCAACACGGCGCGTCTGTCCGCGACGCAGCTTGACGAGTCCATGTTGGAGATGGAGGCCGCGCCGGACAGCGGTCGCGGCGGTACCTCGTCGGTCATTTCCGGGCTGGCCTCACCGGCCACCTCGATCAGCGACGAGAGTATCCAGGATGATATGACGCCTCTCTAACCTCTCTTCCTACTTCGATGCACATATACTTTGCCTTACCTCTACCACTTCCTATATGACGCTTTACGACTCCACTGTCCCCTTTTTGTTCCTATCTTGTTTCTGTTTCTGGGGGGAGTTCCGACGGCTGGAACTTGCACTTGTCCCCGGTTCATATGGACAGGCGAATTGGATATTTCTTTTTTTTTGTGTGTGTTTTTTTATAACGAATGATTCACTGGATGGACGAATTCAATGAATGATCACCCCTTCTCCCCCGCGCTGGGCACCGGACCGATTTGTGTGTTTCCTGTATGCTAGCTTATGACGGACGGAGATAGACCCGGGGCGGCGGCGATTTGCATAGATCACGAATTAATGGTATAGTTACTTGTCATCTGCTGTGTGCTGGAGATCTGCTTTGGGATCGATATGGGGCTTGTGAAAGACGTTGGCTATGTTTTATATATATTTGTTCGATTCCATTCCTTGGGAGTGCCATTTGTAAACTATTGGGTATGTATAACTTTCTTCAATTCGGATAATAGCCCTATGTTTCCCCCTTTCCTCCCAAAAAATACACCCCGAATCAAATCCAAAAAGAAGAATAAAAAAAAAAAAGATATCATAACACATAACGCTACATTTCTCTCAACATCATCTACTTCACCTCGGCATACACCTCCAACGCCTCATGCAACCGCCCAAAAACCCCATCATGCCAACCCGTCAGCTCCGCCCACTCCCCCTCCGGCAGAGTGGCACGCATCATGCGCAACCAGGCGCCGACAATCAAATCCGCATAACTCGCCCTCGCGCCCAACAGAAACGGGCCGGCGGGATCCCTCCGAAACAAGGCCGCCAACCCGCCCAGCGCCTCCCGGAACGAGGCCTTGACGGAGTCCCGCGCCTCGCCCTCGAGCGCAAAGTCCTCCCAGCGCGATGCGCCGGCGCGCCGCACAAACTCGGCCTTGCTGGCCGCGGCCGTCGCGGGGTCGAAGGGGAAGCGGGCCACGGTGAGCTGGACGTGGGCGGTGAAGGCGGCGTCGACGTGCGCGTTGAAGCGGGCGTAGTCGGGGAAGGCGGCGTGGCTGGGGCGCGGGTCGGAGAGCGGGATGAGCAGGCTGAGGTTGTGGGTGAAGTCGAGGGGGTGGGGCTGTGGGGGGAAGAGATCGCCGGCGCCTGCGTCCGGGTAGGTCTGTTGGAGGTAGACGGCGATGTCGAAGGAGTCGCCGACGAGGGCGTCGGTGGCCTGGTCGGAGATGATGGGGAGGGTGAAGAAGTCGGTGCCGTCGGCGAATTGGCGGCAGGCGGGGATGTTGAGGCTGCGGCGGACGTTGGCGACCTCGGGTAAAGGGACCCAGGTGGTGTGGTATGGTCGGTTTTTGAATTTGAGGGCCAGTCGCGTTTTCCACGGGTTGGGTGAGCAACAGGTCTTCTCGATCGGGGGGCGCATGGCGATATCGTAGAAGACGATGGGGGAGGATGAGGGGGAGGTCATTGTTGTTGTTGTGGTTGTTGTTGTGGTTGGCATGGTAGATGGTAGATGGTAGATGGTAGATGGTAGATGGTGAAATTGTCTGTGCCTTTGAAGGGGTGGATGGCTTTGGTTAGTTTAATATCTATCTATCTATCTATCTCCTCCTCCCTGAAGGTGTTGGAGTTGTGAGGCACCTGAATTCTTTATAGTTGTTGATATCATGCAATGAATGAATTAATGAATTAATGAATTAATTACTTAATCAATTCATTCATTATTCAACGAGTCAAGACTCATGAGAGTTATGAATCATGATGACTCATGGTGAGGGAGAGCGCCTCAGGCTCCACTCCATCCCCACCAATCGATTCAAGGCACCAATTGAATTACTGAAGACTGAAGACTGAAGACTGAAGACTGAAGACTCAAGCAAGGCATCGGACGGGCCGTTCTTTAGGTTAACTAGCAACTACTACTAACTACTAACTACTAAGTACTAACTAGTCTGGATAGATCCGAATCAGATGGTTTCCCCCCCACCGGACCAAGTTGGACAATCTTCTCTTCTATCGGAAATTCGGAATAAATACACAGTATTGTGCAGCTGGCAGCAATGTACGGAGTACTAGAGTCGAGAGTGCTTCTTGAAGCCAACATAATATTCAGGTCAACGAGCACAAATCAGACGCAATCTCCTCCACAACATGCTTCTTTTGTAGACCGGGGGGGGTGAATGAATCGAGAGCTGAGATGGGAGAGTGGCTTAGACTGGCGGGGATACCTCAGCGCCACTCGGTTTAAAGTAGGTGATTGACGAGAGAGTCTCTGACACCCTTTTTCATCTAGTTGTAGAGCAAGTCCAATGTACTCATTAATCCACCCTAGCGGCGACAGGGGGTTCTTCCATTCTTCCACGAAGCCCTAACTCGGGAATGGCTAATGGCCGTCCTTAGGATAGGTATCATCTTCTATCCCTTTCCTTGGCTACTATGGACAACGTGCATGATACTCAAGTCAGAGATACAATAGTAGGAATACTCTCAGGGAGCAGTCTTGGGATCTCGATGTTTCGGCTATATCTATGAGGCCATTTCTGCCAAAAAAAAAGGGTAGTTTATCAGAAGAATCAAGTTTCATTCCAGTTGAGATTTGTTGAACCCTAACTTCTCAAAGATAAGGCCACTACTTAGAAATCAGAAGATCTTCCCGGGGTTTTCCCCCTCCAACATCCAGGATCCACGGCATGTGACTGACTCGCTGCACATTGCTCTGCTTTACTACTCCCGGTTACTTCCTTACAGCGTGTCGTTTTCTGTTACCTAAATCCGAGGATAGGCGTTGCTGTGGAAGCCAGCCATTGGGTCCGGGTGATATCCGAGGACGGATAAGCACGGTAACGTCGCAGGCTATGGTGATTCACCGCATGGAAAGCGTCAGACCAAGGCTTTTTGGGCTCTTTGGGAAGCTTATCGGAAGGTAGATGGGTGTGGGTGTATATAAATACGTAGATGGGGTGTCGTTCTTGTTATCTGGTGTGGATGGTGGACCTTCTCCGACCTTGGTTATCTCTCCTTATCTCTGACTAAACTATCGTACTGGGATCACTATATAGTGAGTTGCAGTGATCTCTACGTCGGTGGGTGTGAGCAAGTATATCGTCTACGAATCAGTCACAATGGTCTGGGATCAAGACGCCCTCAGAGCCCGCTTCTGCCATGCGCTCTCGGAAATGTACAAAACTGAGGTGCCGTTGTACGGTGACCTGGTCGATCTGGTCTGGAGAGCCGACGCAGAGGCCATCAAAGCCGGCCAACAGATCGGTGGTGATGCCACCATCAACCCAGACGACGTCCTGCCCGCAAGGAATCGCGTGGAACGGCATGGCGCCATTCGCCTCGGGACCCAGCTGGAGCTAGCCACCATTCGACGCATGTTCGCCGTCATGGGCATGTTCCCCGTGGGCTACTACGATCTCAGCATGGCTGGCTTCCCCATGCACGCTACCGCCTTTCGGCCGAAGAGCCGCGAGGCCCTGGCAAAGCATCCGTTCCGAGTGTTCACGACCGTCTTGCGGATGGAGCTGTTGACGGAGCGGACGCGACAGTTAGCGCAGCGAGCGCTCCGGCAGCGGGACATCTTCACAGATCGATTGAGGGCTCTGATCGCGCAGGCTGAAACTTCCCGCCATCTCAGCTCAGAGGACTGCGTGGAGTTCATTGCCGAGGGACTCGAGACGTTTAGATGGCATTCCGAGGCGACGGTGACGCTGGAAGAGTACCGGGTCTTGAAGGCGGAGCACCCACTGATTGCGGATATTGTCTCCTTCCCTAGCTGTCACATCAACCACCTCACGCCGCGGACGATTAATATTGACCTCGTCCAGAAGATGATGCAGGAGCATGGGATGCCGGCCAAGGAGCGCATCGAGGGTCCCCCACTCCGAGCCCATCCGATTCTCCTGCGGCAGACCAGTTTCAAGGCGTTAGAGGAGACGGTCTACTTTCGCGATGCTCGGAACGAGTACGTCAGGGGGTCGCACACGGCCCGGTTCGGTGAGGTCGAGCAGCGGGGATGTGCCCTGACGCGGAAAGGTCGCCATCTTTACGATCAGATCCTCGCACGGGTCAACCGAGAAGCGACTGCACAGTCTGCGGACTCGGTGCAGTATGAGGAGATCCTGACAAAGCACTTCGGGGAGTTTCCGGACAGTATGGAGCAGCTCAGAGATAGGAAATTGGCGTACTTTTCTTATCAAGTGGCGCCACGCTCGACCACAGGTCTTCATGAGCGAACCGGTGTACCTCTCTCTCAGCTCTTGAAAGAAAACGTGCTCGAGTATGAGCCCATTACCTATGAAGACTTTCTGCCTCTGTCAGCCGGAGGCATCTTCAATTCGAACCTGGGAAACACGACCCTATCAAAACAGCTCATCATGGAGGCTGATGCTGACCTTGATGGATTCCAGCGCATGTTGGGTGCTCCGGTCACCGATGAGTTCTGTTTATACGAGCAGATCCAGCAGCAGAGCTTGGACAGATGCCGGAAACAGTTGGGAATTGAGGTTATTGAGGACTGAACGATGTTTTTCATGCATCTATGTTTTCACTAATAATGTCAAATAATTTTCGATGATTGATGATGGATTTATTCTCTTACTGCCGACGCCCATGAGCGACAAATATATGATGGAGAACTACAGACTCCAGAAGACGGATAACACAGTGCCATTCATCTCAAGTAGCTCAAGTAGCTCAACAGCCTCAGCAACCAACATCGCTGAACACGCCTATTTTCAGGAGATGAGCAAGCATATCATGTGAGCTCGCGTTTCAAGAAAATCATCAAAACATACTCATGGCACAGGTCCATCGTCAAATTTCCACAAGAGATGGAAGCGAATCGATCATCCTTGAATTCTCAGAATGACAACTCTCCCTCTCCTCACTATTTTCTCTCGACGATGTCTTGAGTCCTTGACAGACGATGACAACATCCTCCATCGACAGGACTATCCCCAGAAACGGCGCGAGACCTGGTCGCATCTTCACTCCCACAAAACTGATATCGAAGAACTGGTGTCTTTTCATCTGCAAGCAGATCATTGCCAGGTTGCCGATGAAACTGACTAGTTATCTAGAAGCTACAACGTGTGTTTGATCGAACCGTCAGTCCATATCGGTGCGTAGCAGCTGAAGGCTTGATTCAGGGGAGGGTGAGAGAAGAAGAAGAGTACAAAAATCAACTGAGGAGACGATTTACCCGGAGTGAAGGTGATGAATCGCCTTGACCCTGCCAGCATCTGAGACATCTTGATGGTATGAAGCACGCATGGCTTATTACGCACATAATGCTGGGTTTACTCAACAACAATCGTCTCCTTAGGACATAGACGTGTCCCTAACTTTTATCATCAATTTGAGCATTACCTCAAACTCTAGAAACAAAGACGAAGAGGGACTCAGAAAGTCCGTGGTTGAGTCCCTTACAGGGCTTGATATCAGGCATGTCTCCTACTACCAACATCATCTGCCCATTCTCGGTTCCTGATCAATTAAGCCCTTGAGAAATAATCCACCTACATGGTCGGTCAATAAATACTGCACCTCTCTAACATTCCGACGTGACATTGTATTCAACATGCAGCCCAGCGCTTTCCCGAGTGACCCCTCATTCCTGCCAGACGCCTTCTATCTGAAGCAATGTGTCGCGTTGACACCTCGAATTCTCTCTATGGCACTATTGCCATCATGATTTGGCATTTTGGTGTCACATATCAGCATTCAAGAGCCCATTGGTGGCATCTGTGCAAATGCCTCGTTGCCAATAATGTACTCCTAACATAGCACCACTTGCACACGTTGGTTAGCTCGCATTCTTCACTGGGGGCAGCATACATAGGGACATCAGCTTTAAACTTATTTGAGTGTTGTCAAGGAAAGCAGTCGTTCTTTGATTGCGTCTCATACAATATGCAATTTCCTTTCCTGCTTCTCTCCGGCCTCGTAGGGGCCGCAAATTTGAATCCAAATCCATCTCTCAACCTGCTCGATGATGGACAAAAGGGACCCCTTCTTGGGACCTTTTTTGGCACTCCAGGAGCTAACGCAACATACGACTATGTCATCGTTGGGGGCGGGACCGCAGGCTTGACCATCGCCAGCAGACTGGCTCAAAACGGATCTCTGAGCGTCGCAGTGGTAGAAGCTGGCGGCTTCTATGAAATCGACAATGGGAACAAATCAGTGGTTCCTGGATACGCACCCTTCTACGCTGGAACTGATCCGAATGACTATCAACCGCTGGTAGATTGGGGCTTTGTTACAACCCCCCAACCGGGGCCAGGTGGTCGGGTCATGCACTACCCTCGTGGAAAGACGCTTGGAGGCAGCTCTGCCAGAAACTTCATGGTCTATCATCGGCCCACGGCAGGTAGTCTGCAGAGATGGGCGGATGAGGTGGGAGACGAGAGCTATACGTTCAACAGGATGCTTCCGTACTTTCAGAAATCGTGCCATTACACACCCCCGGACCCAGGTCTATACGTCAACACGACCAACACAGAGGCCGCAAATGCGTTTGACCCGTCTGGAGGCCCTTTAGAGGTTTCCTTCAGTAATGCCGTCGATAGTTTCGGTACGTGGGCTCCAGGGGTTTTCTCTGCCGTGGGCATGGAACAGATCGATGGTCTGAATAGCGGCAAGCTTCTCGGTGCCGCATGGGCAACCTCTACCATCAAGCCAATGAATGCCCACCGTTCCTCGTCCGAGTCAAGTTTTCTCCAGGAGGCGTTCAAAAACGGCGTTGCGCCGACGGTATACATCAATGCCATGGCACAGAGAATCCTATTTGACTCCGACAAGACCGCTACTGGAGTCCAGGTATCAACGGCAGGGTCGTTCGGCACGAATGCAGTCAACTTCACCCTCAACGCTCGGAAGGAGATCATATTGTCTGCAGGGGCCCTGCAGTCACCCCAGCTACTTATGGTCTCTGGCATCGGGGCATGCAAGGAACTCGCCAAATTCGGCATCGATTGCATCAACGACCTCCCCGGCGTTGGTCAGAACTTGCAGGACCACAGCTACTTTGGCACGTCTCATCGTGTGAACGTCCCGACGGCATCTGCGGTGGCCAATAATCAGACCTTGGCCGCCATGGCCGTAGACTTGTATCTCCAGAATGCCACGGGCCCGCTGTCCATCTTCGGCGCAGGATATTACGGCTGGGAGAAACTACCGGAGCCATACCGCTCCCAGCTCTCCAACGATGCTCTCCAGGCCCTATCCGATGTCCCGAGCGACTGGCCAGAGGTGGAATGGCTAACTGTCAACGCGTACTTCGGAGATGGCGCCAACCTGATCACAGGCGATCCGCTCGACGGACACAACTACGCCACCCTCAACACTGCGATCGTTGCACCCTTTTCTCGAGGCACTGTCACGCTGGCAGACGCAAGCATGAACACTCCGCCCGTCATAGACCCGCAGTGGCTGGTTGATTCCACGGATATGGAGGTGGCCATTCAGGCCTTCAAGCGTCAGCGTGAGGTCTGGGATGAATTTGTTAAGATGGGTGTTGCGGATCCGGAAGAGTTCTATCCTGGGAAACAAGTGCAGACAGATGCGCAAATTCGTGAACACCTCAGGCGAACTGTGGGTCCAGTATTCCACGTATCCGGGAGCTGCAAGATGGGACGCAGGGATGATCCTATGGCTGTGCTGGATAGTACCGCTCGTGTATATGGCGTACGCAACCTGCGTGTAGTCGACGCCGGTAGCTTTCCTTTTCTGACGCCGGGACATCCGCAGGCGACGGTCTATGCTCTGGCAGAAAAGATTGCGGACGACATCCTGTCTGTGACATAGATGTTAGGGTGGTTGATCGCGCTCCATATTCATACAACAATGCCAATAATGGCATTTTGCGAAGAAAATACAATTATCAATTTACGTTCCAATTGCGATATAGAATACAATGCACGAATCCATGTGCCGTCAAATCTATCTGTACACACAACATGCCCAATCAGCGGATATAGCACAAAATCACAATGCAAAACCGAGCGTACCCATTTAACACTCCCAGTATCCCTGAAACCAGTGGAATCATATCCCCCCCCATCATTTTCTCCAGCGACATGTCCCGTATTCAACAAGACTTGCTCACCATACAAAAGAAAGGAAGCCAACCTAAGCCTTCACCTCCACTTGATGCTCAGCATCACCCTCGACAACCACCGCACCCTCCTGCAGTAGCTCCTCCGCCGTCTTAACCTTGACATCCATCACCCGCAAAAGAGTATACTTGTGCTTGCTCTTGACCTTCTGCACATGCCGGTTCCTCCGCTTCGTCTTCTCCTTGATACGCAGCGGCTCCGCATCGACCCCCATCACCCGCACCCGGCACTCAAACAGCCTCTCATCAATATACGGCGCCCCCTTAAGCGTGAAGTCACGCGAACCCAGCACCGACGCCCGGTTAAACCGCAGGATATCCCCAGGCTTCACATTCGGCATGAGGAAGGGCAGACGGATGTGGTCGCCCGCGGTGACGAGGAAGGGCCGCGCGTGGAGGTGCGCGGTGATATAGTGCGGTTTCTGCGAGGTGAGGTGCGGCAGCATCTCGAGGAGCGACTTGGTCACCTTGACCGGGGCGGCGAACCGCGGCGCCGCGGGCTGTTTCCGGGCTGGCGGGGATTGTCGTGTAGGCGTCGAGGACTGGGCTCGCGGCTTGGCGCTGAGCGGGCTGTCTGGCGACACTGTCGATGTGCTGGAGGCTGTGGTTGTTGCTTGGTGGAGGCACGCGCGGAACGTGGTGCTGAGGAACGGCTGCTCCGAGGGCAGAGCGAAGGCTCTGGCGAGCGCGGTTCGGGAGAACATGGTGGGTGCTGCTTTCTTTTCTGATCTGGTTCACCCCCGGAGTGCAAGTGTGTTGGGATTCACTCCTTGCTTCTTCGGCCTGTAGCGGCAAAGAGGACGGCGCAATGGACGGGAAATGGTCTGATTGTTGGAGACCCTGTTCGGCTTTGGGAAGTTTGGAGTTGAGAAATTCCAGCGAATGGCGGATGTGGCCGCCTCGTGCTCCGTATGGTCACGTGATATACTTGTGCGACAGCAATGCAAAAGGCAGATTGCAGTGATTTCGGATACATTGGGATCCAAAAGTCTTGGAGCAGGCTAGAATTGAGACTTCTAGTGTCTTTCTTCCTATTCCCAGCTCGCCTCTCTTCTGTTCAGGTCGTCCAGCGGATTCGCAAATTTCATCGATAAGCCATCACGTGACTTATCGATATCGACCGTTTTGATCGCCCGCAACACAACTTTTTTGCCTCAGTCTCAGTGTGGAAGAGACCATCAACATCATTGTCAAGTAGTCTCCGTCCTGTTGCACCTTCATCATGGTACGTACTCTTCCATTTGCAGCGGGAAAATCTCGTATTGGATGCCCCCACGACAATCACATATGAGACTCCCACAATTGAAAATTCAGTGCATCGATAACTAACTTCTCTTCCAACCTACAGCCTCAGAACGAGTTCGTCCCGACCTCTGAAAACCCCCCCTTGTTTATGTAATCGCAGAATACTAAGACACAGGAAAACAGGTATATCGAGCGCTGGCAAAAGCAGCACGGTAAGCGTCTCGACCATGACGAGCGCGTCCGCAAGCGCCAGGCCCGTGAGGGACACAAGCAGTCGCAGGATGCCCAGAACCTGCGCGGCCTGCGGGCCAAGCTGTACCAGCAGAAGCGGCATAAGGAGAAGATCCAGATGCGCAAGCGCATCAAGGCCCAGGAGGAGAAGAACGTCAAGTCCTCTGCGCCCGACGAGCCCTCCAAGACCCCGCTGCCCCAGTACCTGCTCGACCGTTCGCAGGCGACCAACGCCAAAGCCCTGTCCAGCGCCATCAAGGATAAGCGGGCTGAGAAGGCGGCTAAGTTCGCTGTGCCCCTGCCCAAGGTGAAGGGTATCAGTGAGGAGGAGATGTTCAAGGTCGTCGACACGGGCAAGAAGACGCACAAGAAGTCGTGGAAGCGGATGATCACCAAGCCTACTTTCGTGGGCAGCGATTTCACCCGTCGACCTGTCAAGTACGAGCGCTTCATCCGTCCTATGGGTCTGCGTTACAAGAAGGCGAACGTCACACAGTACGTTCTGGCTTTCCCATCTGCGGGTCTTTGCTTTCAGCTAACCGTTTCCCTCCAGCCCTGAACTCGGCGTCACCGTGCAACTTCCCATCCTGGGTGTCAAGAAGAACCCCCAGAACCCGCTCTACACTCAGCTCGGTGTCCTGACCAAGGGAACAATCATTGAAGTCAACGTGTCCGAGCTGGGTATCGTCACGACCAGCGGAAAGGTCGTATGGGGTAAATACGCTCAGATCACGAACACACCCGAGAACGACGGGACGGTCAACGCGTACGTACCACCAACTCTTCCCCTTGGCTTTCTTCTTTGGAGATTAAATACTAATATGCACAACCAGTGTCCTCCTGGTCTAATCTCAACACTCGGCGGTCAAGTTTTTATTCTTTGGAAAATCCACCCGCTTCTCTGATACCAGTTCCGTTGCAGAATTTTCGCCAAGCTGGCTTTGTTCTTTTCCTCATTCAGCAGTCTATATTTCGTGGGAGGCGTTCAAGGCGCGCATAGTGGTTCCAACTATGAAAAGTATACTTTTATTGTTAGGATTTGCAAACTCCATACCGTAGAATAGATACATCTCATGATTATTCTGGGAGCCATTGATCAACTACAACCGTATAGGGTCTCCCATGCACGGCGCCCAGGCATCGTGTAAACGAAGTGCTTCGATCTGGCACGCACGCAATCGACGCATCCTCCCAAGTGGCAAGAATTGACTATCCAAAACAGCAGACAGTTCAGTCCAGAAGAAACGGTTACTGATACCGATATCGAAATCGGACAAGGTCATGATTAGATATATCTCCAGTATACTGAAACTCCAAAAGATACCCGCTGAGTTCAATAGCATCCAATGCAACAATTGGCAGCACATCCATGCAAGGCTGAAGCGCATTACAAAAAAAAAAAACCAACCCTTTGAGGTCGCAAAAAGGGGAAGGTAAGAAGGAGGTCCAAGAAAGGATATGTACAAGAATTTAAAAGAAGAAAAAAAAAAAAAAAAGTCACAAAGGAAATAAATTCAGCAGCAGCTGGATTTGAACGCCGGGGTCATCGGATCATTCAGGATATCAAGAACGAGGACAAAGGAAATCGTGGGCGAGGCAAGTGTCATCAGGTGTTTTCTTCGAGCGCCGCCTTAATTTTTGCGTAGAAGCCGGCGGGCCAGGCGGCTATTTCTTCGTCTTTGGGGATTCCCCGGGTCCGGCAGTGGTTAACCACGTTCACCAGGATCCGGCTCAGCATCTCCTGGGTGATGGGTACAGCTCCTTCGAGCTGTGCGTCGGGGTACAAGAATTGGTCTCTCTGGCTGAGGAGTTCCTCGACGGTCGGTCGCAGGGTTTGGTCGCGTTGGAGGCAACGCTTCAGAGTCCGAATGAGCCCTGGAGGGAGTGCGGCTCCTCCGATACCAAAAGGTGGGAAGTCAATCTGGACTTTGGGGTTGGGGATCGCCATGATACGCTCATAGTACTTGGCGATTTTGGCAAAAGGCGGTTGGCCGTAGACCATCTTGTATAGGATGCATCCTAAACTCCAGACATCACTGGGTTTGCCGAGCTTCATCACCTTCCCAACGCTGGCTGGTAATCCAAGTGATGCATTGGAATCAACCAAAGCTTCTGGTGACATGTAATTCGGCGTTCCAACTTGCTGTTCCCGGTGTACGTTGACCGTATTGTCTTGAATAGCGTTAGCGATACCAAAATCGATCAGCTTCAGTCGACCTTGGACGAGAAGGAAGTTGGCTGGCTTCAGGTCCGAGTGCACAATATTGCAATTATGAACCGCCTGGACGCATTCAAGCATCTCCTTCCAATAGTAGCGGGTGAAATTGATGTCGAATATGGCATCCTCGGCATTCAAGCGGTAGGTCAAGATCTTCTCCAGATCGGACTCTCCGATCTCCATCAGAACGCTTAAGGTGTGTTTGTCAGAGTTCAATTCCCAGTCAAAGAGACGCACAACCCGATCAATGTTTTCTAATTTCTTTAGCAAGTCAATCTCCCCCTTGTAGCCAGTGAGAGTTACGGGGTCGACGTCTTCTAAATTTACTCTTTTTAGAGCAAAGATCTTGTAATTCTCGGCCATCACCCGGTATACTCGGGAGCTTCCACCCCGGCCAATACAGTCCAGCCGCGTGAACGGCTTGTGATTGACCGAAACTTGGCTCCGCTTCTTGCGTGACGAAGACGCCGTGGCGGCTCCTCCTGTCGCCGTTGCAGTCTCAAGGACAGACATCTTTGGTGGAGGAGGGGCTGGCCGGTGAGGAGTATTACTACTCCGTGTCGCCAAGATCTTCCGGGGAGAGTTTCCCGCAGGAGTCTCCACGTTGTCTTTCTTGTCTTCGCCGTAAACCACAGACAGTTTCTCTGGTTTGTCCAATAAGTTGAGGCCTTGTGGCTTGGTCCGCTTAAAGGTTGGTGGAGGTTCGTTCTCCTGGTCCCGAACTGCGGGGAGGGAAGGCAGTGAGGGGACTTTGAATACGGGTTGCTCTCGTGAGCTCGAAGGCTTGGAGGATACCTCTGAGGCCGAGCTTGGTGTTGTTTTCGAGTGGGATCCATATGACTTTGGCGAAGATGACCTAGAAAATGGACCTGCGCCAGATGAAGCACTAGCTGGATCAAACGAGCGAGGTTGGTCAGACTCGTGCGGGGGGCTAGGATCTGCCCATGATACCTTGGGCGATGATGATGCCCTCTTTCCTGCCGTTCTGTAGTGTTGTTCAACGTTATCGTCATTAGCCTCGAGGCTAGATTCTCTGACTCTCTCTGCGGAGTAGTTCTGAGGATCACTGCTTTCCTCACTCTGCCGTCGCAGTACCCCCCGTCGCGCAGGTCCGTTAAGGAAAGTCCCTGTCAGCCTTCCGACTCTCTTCACGCGCAGAGAGCTCTGCATGCCAATCTCCTCCCCATGTCGAGATCGCAGCACAGATGCAGCCCCATACCGGGAGGCATATTCATCCTCATAGCTCATTCTCCCCCGATCCTCTGAGCGGTCCGCGCTTCCATGTTCGTTCACCGAGTTACGATCAGCAGAGCGTTTTTGCGAAGGCGACACAGAGGTTGGTGATCGTGTGTGACTCCGTGATCCGGTAATGCGAACAGTCCGCGGCCGCGGAGCCGGAGTGATCAAGTCATTCGAGTTGTATTTCGCGTCGTATTCCGCGCTCTCACTGTGTGCCAAGGGTGACCCTTCTCGCATCGCTCTATTGTTGTTGACGAGTATCGGGGCTATGCGCACCACCCGAGGAGCAGGACTTCCAGTCGATCGATCAGGCGGCGATGCGGTCCGGGAATGCCTCATTCGGCTCGTCGCCGCTGAGCCTGCGCGTTCAATTGATGAGGGGCGCTCGTGGTTACCGGATTTGAGCTGAGGGGAAGAACCCAATCCATCCTCGTCGAGAAGGGCCTTGACGGAAGCACTGAACTTAGGCTCTGGGACCTCATCATCGGAGCTGTCGCCGGCTGAGTACTGACGGGAAAGTGATACACCCTCATGGCGCGACGCTGGCTGGTAGTCAAGCACCGGTGAAGCGCGTCTTGAATTCGAGCGGGTGGCCATGGTCCGAGACATCTGCCGAGATGATGGTTGTCGATGCAGGCCACTAGTGTATGCGGAGGAGAGGGAATTCGGCGAGGCCATGCTAACAATTCTCCCAAGCGATCAAACAATCAATAAATCCAACATAGACGTGTCCACCTGTACGTCTGTCCTAACAGGTCCCCCAAAAATTTTCCGATGCCCCAATGGCGGGGGAAGGGGGGGCAATGTCGTCGGGTCGTTGTGTTGTCGCTCGTGTCGGTTGCTGTTGTTCTGTTTCTGTTTCTCTGTTTCTGGTTCCTCGTCCAGCGTCGAGACAAACATCGCGGGTGGCTGGGAACCGCTCCAGGTCACGTGGCGACCGCGTTGCCAGGGAGACATCATAACAACTCACTGCGCAGACAACCCAGTGATTGGACATCCTTTCATCACGACAGTATATTTCGATAGCCTAAAACTACAGAAATTGTGGGCGTCCAGGCATTATCAATTCATCTGAAGTCTAGATATACGTCTATCCGGGGTTGATGACTGGACTCCTCCGCGTTCAGCGAGCAGTGCTTCAAACTAGAGATGACTGGCCAATTAGCAAAACCATTGAGATTGTGTAGCATGTCAGCTAGCTCTTAATACTAGAGCAAATGAATTGGATAGGGTGAGATTTCGAACTCGCTTATGGGTTTGGTTACTTCAATACTAGGATTGTATATAGTATCTAGATATATGGATGCTGTGCGAGGTGACAGGAGATACTTCGTGTGACTACTCAGGAAATATATATCCTTTGATCGCGGGACTCTCTTGCTAGTACCTAGCCCCTCGTCATCACAGTTATTCCACCTCTGTGATGATATTGCGCCACGTAGAAAGCAATAATGACAGTCCGACAACCATCATCAGTGTGTGAGAGCCAAGTTGAAGATCGTCTGTGATCTGAGGTGGTCAGCACTTGTCACCTGACATATACGAATCCCATGATGTTTCCCCCTTTCCTTTCGTTTATCTCAAAGTTCCCATTCTCGGCCAACTTCATGAGACAGCAGGGGATCCTTGAACTCGACAATGGGGAGCATTAGCCTATGGTTTATCGGATCATCGCTCGGATTAGGGCACGTGAAGTGTTCTAACTATGGTTCTCTCCCTCAGCTCCTGGTTCCTGGCCCATGTTTCATCCAGAAACATCGCCATTCGCGATGATCGACCAGCCAACATGAAACCGCGATGCGGTCTTAAGCTTTCCCTAGCCGTTTCAAAGGCAGCTCCGGAATCCAGAGTTCAGCATTGCATCGGTTATTTTGATCTGATGATGCGATTGCTGGGGACGGGGTTCGAAGGGGTTATACTACTTCCCCCTTGTGGCGGAACCAAGGTCAGTGACCAGGAACGCCTGTTCAAGCAGCCATCTCCGGGCATGGTATCGCCGACTGCTTGCGAGAAACAAACTTTCCGATGTCTCTCCTAGACCGCAGGCGTTCGAACTCGAAATCGAGTAATTGACAGAGCAACGGCCAAATTACCCTCATGCTGGTCCAGGTCGACTTTCCATAAACTCGATGTGGAAGCATGGGGCTGCGAGTCCGTGACCTGTCTGTTTTATGAAGTAGCGTCCACAAACTTGGCAATTTCTGGCGATCGAGAGGAGCGGTTAGTCAGGGACAAAGAACTAAGGTGCAGCAAGCCAATGACCCACAGGATAACCATTTTAAACTCCTAACTCATTAACTAAGGAAGATTATTAATGACTCAAAGTCTTGAAAACTTCAAAGGCCGAGAAGGTAGAGACTGAACACTGGCGAGAGGGTTGTTGACGAGACCTCCCCAGCAGCGGCCGGCCCTTTTGTGATACCTCCCACAGCATATCCACACTCTGGGTGACTGCACAGGCCTGCACAGTGAACTAGGTCTTTCCTTTTTCTACAGACCCCATGAGAGGCTAGATCCTTCTGCTGGAGCCCAGACCAGAAGGGGCAGGCCATGGCTGCGACCGCAGTATTATTGTATCTTGACCTCCATTCAAGCAACAACACTGGGGATATTGTGCTTCCTCAAATTAGAAAGCACAAACCACAATATTCATTCTGAGTTGCTCTTTATGCACAGGCAGATACTGAGATGATTTGCATAATTCTGTTTATCATCGAGAGCTCCTGGTCTTGAACTGGTAACATGTGCATTGATTCCGCTATGCTTACCAGCCTACCACACCCCTCTATGAACAAACTAACCTTGTTTGCAGGCAAGAGACATCGAAAAATCGATCAATCAACATTTTGGTGTCGAAATGTCTCACTCTATACTGTCTACTCTTTACCTCTTTTCCACTTTTGTTGCGCTCTTTTGTGGGAACCACGCCTCAAAAAAAGGTACGCCCTCTCCATTTTTGTCACCGATTACTTTCTCTCCTGGAGAATTGATCACTGAAGGGAGGAAAGAAAAGAGGTTTCAGCTTTTCCACTCGAAATAATTTCATCATATGTCCACTCCTACTAAGTACCAACTAACTAGGTACTCCCATACGACGGAATACATACTCCATACTAACATGGAAAAACCCACCAGGAAGTGGTATGAACTATCACACCCTGAACATTGCCATTAACTACTCAGGGATAGCCGCTAGCAGGTTGGGGCAAAACACCGGCTATGTTGATCATCCATGGTTTGACTCGGCAGCGAACGTGATTCCGCAAATATCCTAGCTTGTTTACCAAAAGAAACGCCGAATAACTTCCTCGGAGGCTCCCATTGGCTGGTGCCGCATCCTTTCAAAATCGGTACCTAGCATGGTTGGCAGGCCAGCCTATTTGCTAACGGCGCCGCAAAGATGCTCAATGAGCCGGCCGATTGCACTTTTCCTGTTTACAACTCGACTGTAGTCGATCACGGGATAATGCTTCCATTTTCCGGCCTTCCTGCACCGGATTGCTCGACTGCACGAGTTCTGAAAGAAAACCCCCCGTCCTTTGGGCCTCCTGTTCGGCTCGGTGACCTCCCTTGGCACTGATGGTCCTCTGTACTATGCATTTGGTGGCTTCGACTATCAGGATCATACAATTGGGAATCTAAGAGCCCTCCCTACTTCATACACACATACGGAACTATGGGCCTGGGGTAACCATTAACCGCAGCTTCATGTCTCGATCTGCTCTATTTCTGCAGACCCGGAAATTCATGCTACTGGGAGATTGTACGCTGCAAGTCCTTTCCCCCTTGATATGTGATGGCCTCATGTCTGATCACTTCTGGGCTCCTGATGTATCCGGTTGTTCCGCCATTGCTGGGTCATGATGCAGCAATTCCAGCAAACCATGTTGTGGTGCTGCCTGAAATAGATTTTTTTTTTTTTTTTTTTCTCTCTCTCAACCCCGTTTGTTTCGGAAGTTTCCTCTTTTGAAGATAGTGCAGCCTTCCCTTGTGCTTTATCACTGGCAGCTGGCGATCCACTTTGTTGACAGAGGTCCTGTGCAGATCCGGGTCTTCGATCATTGCTCCTGACTATCTATCTAGCTAGTCTCCTGAGCCCCTTCCCTGCTGTGAATCTTGGCTAGTTTAGCACTGCAGCTAGACTAGAATAGCGCTGCCGGTGGTCCGCCAATGGCGGACCGCACTCGGGGTTGCTATACATGAAGGCTATCAAGCATACTGCTCTCTCAGGGGTATATATACCTCGAGGATGATCACCTCTATGTTCGATCGTCAAACACGCCTTCAATCCTTTCTGTTGTTTCTGTTTCTTTCTTTTCAGCCTCTCTTTTGATTGTCTTGTCAAATCCTGACCAGTCTATCGTTAACAAAATTCGGCTGTTCATAGCCAGTCATTCTTTTCATACTGCAATAAACTTACCGAGACACTCGTTCATATCTCGCTGTATCATCTGTGTACAAGAACAACAACAACAAACCAATCACAATGCGTTCTGACAGCCTCTTCGCGCTGGCCAGTCTGGCGAGCTACGTTCTCGCCCTGCCCGCCGATCTCTCGTTGGACAGGCGCAACTTGAACGTTGGCGCTGACGTTGAGATTGGTGATCTCTCCATCGATGCTGGTCTTTCGGTTGATGCCGGACTGGACCTCAAGGGACTGATCGGTGCTATCCTCGGTGGACACGACAGCACAACCACTCTCCTCGCTGGTCTGAGTGCTCAGGCAGCTGCTGCCCTGCAGGGAGGTGCGCTGGGTTGCAAGGCCGGTGCTATCCACAGTGCCGCCAGGGCTGAACTGGCCGCGTGGCTCCGAACTGGAGCTGCTCTCGAGCTTGATGCATCCATAAAGGCATCTTTGCTCGACTGGTGTCACGGTGAGGAGTCCGCCATCCTGTCCGTCGACGTTTGCGCTGGCCTGTCGGTGCTGATCCCTACCTGCGCTGACATTGCTGCCAAGGGCGATCTCTTCGTGACCATCGAGGGTATCTTCACTTCCGTTGAGATCGCTGCCGATGTCGTGCTGAGCGCATCCGCTCAGGCTTCTCTGTCTGCATTCCTCTCTGGATCCCTCGGTCTTGCGCTCGACGCCAAGGTCAAGGCTGCTCTTGGTCTCTGTGCTGGTGGCGGTGTCATTGTTGACTTGGCCGCTGACGTCAAGGCTGCCCTGACGGCTTGGCTCTCCAGCTCCGAATGCTCCCTGAGCGCTTCTCTGCAGATTGCCGTTGAGGCCTGGCTGGACGGCCGGGCTGGTGGCGATGTTATCGCCATTGGCTCCTTGCCTACCGGAGGCCTGACAGCGATCTCCGCCGGTGCTTCCATCGGCATGCTTGTTGAAGAGACTGGCATTCTTGCTGCCAGTGCCCAGGCTTCTCTCGCCGCCTTCCTCGAGGCCGATATTGCTATTGACCTTGAAGCTCACGTTCTGGCTGCCCTCCAGGCTTGCGCCAAGGGAAGCCTTGCCATCGACATCGATATCGAAATCCGCACCGCCCTCGTCGCCTGGCTCACCAGCTCGAGCTGCTCGCTCGGCGCTGAGCTCAAGGCTGTTGTGCTGTTCTGGCTCTCTTTCGGTCTGGAGGCTGACGTCTCCTTGAATGTGTCCACCGGTCTCATTGGCGAGTTGACTACCTTCATCACTGGCACTGTTGAGGCGTCTCTGGGCGCCGTTCTCCGTGGTGTGATCTCTGTCCTCATTCACGGCCAGAGCGTGGCCACCCTGTCCATTGACGCTCGTGCTCAGCTCGCTGCCATCCTTGGTGGTGCCGCTGGTATTGAGATCGACGCCAGCATCGAAATCATTCTGTTCGGATGGCTCACTGGCTGTGGCCAACTCCCCGGCGGTTCCACCTTCACTTCCACCGTCGCCATCCCCAGCAGCACTGGAGTCCCTAGCCTCCCTTCGGCCTCCGTTACCGGTGTTCCTTCTATCCCGGCCGTCCCCACTGGCTCCGGTGTTCCTAGCGTCTCTGCACCTGGTGTTCCTTCTATCCCGGCTGTCCCCACTGGCTCCGGTGTCCCTAGCGTCTCTGCACCTGGTGTTCCTTCTATCCCGACAGTCCCCGCTGGCTCCGGTGTTCCTAGCGTCTCTGCCCCTGGTGTCCCCGTTCCCAGCAATGCTTCCCCTACCGGTACCACCAGCGTGCCTACCACCGGTGCTCCCTCCGTCTCTGTCCCTTCAGTGCCCGGGGCTTCTGAGACTCCCTGTGATACCACCACTTCTCAGACTGTGACTCCAATTGCCACCAACACCGGGGCCGTTCCTGCTCCCTCTGGTGGTGCTCCTGGAGCCCCCAGCGTCACTATTCCTTCTGGTGGTGCTCCCTCTGTCTCCGTCCCTTCAGTGCCTGGGGCTTCCGAGACTCCCTGTGACACCACCACTTCTGAGACTGTGATTCCAATTGCCACCAACACCGGGGCCGTTCCTGTTCCTTCCGGTGGTGCTTCTGGGGCTCCCAGCGGCTCCGTTCCCTCGGCTCCCAACGCTTCTTCCCCTGCTGGCTCCGTGGTCCCCTCGAAGTCCGGATCCGAGCCCGTTCCCGTTGCTACCAAGACCGAGCCCGGTGCTCCCGGTATCACCGCTGCTCCTACTGGCGTGCCTTCGAAGTCCGTTACGGTGATCACTGTGACCACCACCATCAGTGTTTCCGCTTGCACCTACTAGATCTTTCTAGTCTAGACGATAATTGCGGTTCTAGACCGGTTCAGTTACAAAGTTATGAGACGATGGAAATGGGAGAATATGGTTCAATAGTCCTGTACATAACTAATTCTAATTCTATTTCTTTCTGTTCGAAAGACTATATCAGAGGCGGTTGTTGTTTGTCACTTTATTCCAGTCTCGGTTCCCTTACCAACCAAAGTAAATCCCGTACATCCATCCTGCCAGTCCCCTGTATCTGATATCTACGCTACGCAGACACTCTCCCATCCAAGCATAGTAACCACGAAATCCTCGCTCAAACCCAGATATGACAATACCACACTATCTAACAACTACGAGTTCCGTAGCAACCCGCTCAGTCCCACACCCCACCCAGTGAACCCACAGCACAGCCCGATCCGCCCGATCCTCGCTGGAGTCGCCCGATAGCGATCGTCCCTGCCATGACGAAAGGGTCAAGTAAGACAATGCACGCGGGGCCGTCGCCGATCATCATCTAAAAGTAGACAAGGAAAAAAAATGTGCCTTGGGCCTTAAGCCTCTTGAGTCGGAGCCTCGGAGGGCTTTGGAGCGTTTACGCTACGAATTATCTAGTCCCTAGACTAGCTAGCTGCTAGCATGGGTCAAGCTGCAGCTGTCAGCAACAACATGCATGTAACTATACTACGTAGGTATGTACCATGTACGTAGTATGCATGCATGCATGCGGTTTTCTCCAATGCCGATTCCTGACAGGATATTAAAGCTTGATTGATCCACCGCTGAGCATGATTACGGACTACGAGTAGGTACTAGGTACTGTGTCGGACTGCAAACTGCAGGTCTCAGCTATTTGGGGTTAGATAGGGTGGCAAGTACGGAGGACTTCCGTACACTGTCATTTGACTCTGGTTGAGAACTACTACTAGGCTAGGTAATGGATTGTTGGGAAATAGATCAGAAGAGACGATAGCCTGATGTTGTACTTCGTACTCCGTGGATAGACGAGATATCGGGTACAACTACGAGTGACTATCTTTGGGCTAGTCGGTTGTAAGGGCGCGCATAGTCCACGCCAATGTTTTCAAAGAACAAACAAAGAAGAAAGTAGTAAGAACATCTCTTGGGGGCCGGTGATCGGCATGTTGATTTGAATTTGACTTTCAGGTTTTAAAATGGGCCTATCTGGAGCCTGGACTGTTGATCGGATCTGGAAGCTGTGATCGTCCAAGTATGGAGTATGCACTTGTGGGAGTTGCTGGACTAGAGAGACTACGGCGATAGTCAGGGGTTGGAACGGGTCAAAAGTACGGTAGCCTTAACCTCTGGATGAGCAAGATGATGCGAAATTGTAAATCAAGTCTAGACTCGTGGAAAAGTCAACTCGGCTTCATATCACACAGATAGTTAAGCGAACATTTGCTGATCAGCTCCCAGGTGCAGGTGCTAAATCATAGTCTCTCCATGGCTATGAGCTTCACAAGAAGAGGCGGTTCTAGATTCAAGAAAATATAACCAGCAAGGCACAAGCCAGAAAATGGGGATGCATCCACTCTAGATCAGGTGGCAAGTGATGCTAGATTCTCGTTTTTGGGTATTACTTCGAAGCTGTCATGCTCTCACCTACCTTATTGCCAGAAGTGGTACGGCGCATGGCAACAAGCTTTTCGCGGAGGAGCTTCTCGCGCAACTCCGAGCTTGATATACGTAACCGGTGCGGTTTCGAGCGGGCAGACTGTGCTATATGATTAGCCCGATATCCAAGTTGACGCAAGGACGAATTCGAAAAGGACGGATATAGGAACGAACATCAAGGATCAAGGATTAACTCATCGTGTAGAATATCCTTTTTGAAAATTATTTACCCACCTCGTCGACATCCTTCATCTCTTGATCCGTGGAGCTCGGTTTTGCGGGAGGTGAAGGGGATCGTTTGGTGGGTTCCTCGTCTCGATCAGCCATCCTCTGTCGTTTCTCAGTATGTGTAGATACAGAAGAGGTGTTGCGCCGTCTTCGGGCGGCTGGGGCATATCTCTGAAGTGAGCGACGTCTCTTTCTCTCTCTTCCATGGCTGCGGCTACGGCTACGGCTGTGAGAGGGACGCCGAGGACTAACGCTTCCTGTGCGAGAACGACCTCGACTGCGGCTGCGGCTGCGGCTTATGCTCCGGGGTGATCGATGTCGTCTGCGATGTTCGTCGCGATCTCTGCTGCGACTCAAACGGCGATCATCACGAGATTTGCGGGCCTTTGCAAGATCAGCGGTTGGTTCTCTCTTATCAGCTCTTGAGGTATAAGGCGAAGACCCCCTCCGTCTGCTGCTCTTCTCTTCCGGTCTTCGCGACCTGGAACGTGACCTCGAAACAGACGATTCGCCCCTTCTGCGTCGGTCTTGGGGTGCAGGTGAACGGGACGAACTGCGGGAAGAAGTGCCCCCTTGTCTCCTGCGGTCTCTTCTGGGAGTACGTGAGCGTGATGAATCACTGCGGGATATGGATCTAGCTCGATCACCGTAATCTGGACTTCGCCTTCTCGGTCTTCTGCGGTCCCCGGGGTCCGGAGAAACAGAGCCGCTTACTGACCGACGACGTCCATTTTGCGGTCTCTCCCGGTTAGACAAGCGTCGACGAGGTGGTGATCGCGATGAAGGCAAGGACCGGGAGCGGGAGCGAGAGCTGTCCGGCGATCTTGAGGCCTGACGGCCCCGTCGACCGGAGGGTACGTAAGAGTCAAACTCTCTCCTCGAGGGTTGGTCACGAAATCGGTCTCGGCTGCGCCGTCTGGGAGGGGAACGGTTGTCTCTAAATGGCCGTCTATCGAAGTCCCGACCTCCGCGGCCACCACCACGCCTGCCGCGGTTGCGGTCCCATCTTTCCCTCTGTCTGATTTCCTCGAGTTCTCGTTCCCTTGCCTGTTCTTGTTCTTTTTTGCGACGCGCTTCCTCAGCAGCCCGTTCCGCTTCAATCTAGATAGAAAGAATGGTCAGCATGTTGTGAGATCAATTAGAGGCACACCCGGTAGTCCCACCTTTTCCTGCATAAGTTCAAGCTTCTTGGCCTCCAAGAGCTCCTTTGGAACACCCTGAGGATTCTCTTGAGCGCTGAGACACAGGCTCCATAGATCTTTGCAAAATTTGGCTGTATCTTTATCCAAAAAGCCCGTGAGCTGGATCTGTAATGCTTTGATATCCGGCTGTAGCAGCAGAACATGCAATTAGCCTTGGTCAAAATGTCTGAACCAAGCCTCAAAACGACATACAAAACGTGTTCCTTCCAGTAGATTAAAACAGAGCTCGATAATGACGTCGTCTTCATTGCCCAGAATCTCAGATATTCTCTTTGCAATCCATCTGCGATAAAGGATCAGTCAGTTGAAAGGTGTTCTCCAGAGAGCGTTCAAGGGCAGTGCGCACTTCTTCATGACCTCGATGTTGACCTTTTTCATGTCCACCTTCCGACTGAACTCGGGCGGGAACTTGGTCTGTTTGAGTAGCTTGGCATCTATGCTGGACGCCATTTTGGCTGGATGTCAGAAAGACGGATTGCACGACAGCTATGCAACAAAAAGCAGAGACGCGAAACAGCAATAGACGATGTGCTAAGTTACGTTTGTGGTTGTAACAGCTCCCCGTAGACCGGAGATAACGTCGGGCCGGATATCAATCAGCCCGAAAGGGAACTGGAATGAGGTCATTCACAGCAGCGGGCTATAATAATGGCTGCAATCGCAAGTCATTGTAACGCTTGGTTGGTAGTAGTAGAATGGCATGAGCTGATATATTCTGAGCTCGCTGAGGCTCTAGAAGTGAGACCCAAGCAACCAATATCAAAGAACATCTGAGTAGAACTGGCTCCCGATCTACGCCGCAATGTATTTGTAGCATTATAATCATACATCATTGAATAACAATCAGAGAAAGGGTCGGTTACTGAGGACGCAATGTCAACCCTCCAGGTCCCTCAGAACACGAGCTACAGCATCTCGAGCACGAGCAAGCTCTTCATCAACCGTGCCCTGCGCATGCTTTGCCTTCATCTCATAGTGCAGATCAACAAGCTCTTTCGCCTTCAACAAGTCCGCATTCTGCTGCTCCTGTCGTTGCTTGATAGCGGCTGCCTTGCCTCTCTCGTCCGATGACAGCTTTGCCTCGCTCAATCTTTCATTGACAGTGACTAAGGCCAGAGCATCATGGTAGTCCTGTAGACGGGTTAGTAAGACTGCATTCCTTGCTTCAGAATGAGGGATCAATCAGAAGCTCAACTTACGCAGACTCGTAGCGATGTCAGATCTGAGATTATCTCTGCTACTTGCATTTTGAATGTTTATGTTGAAATTACTCCGTAATCTGTTGGCTGTCGTGAACTTGGTTGATGCTGATGTCAGTTCGGGAAGAGGGACTCTTGGCAGTCGCAAGATGGGAGAGAGCGATTGAAACCGCAACATGCATCCTCAAGTCCCCATGGACCTGCCATGGACAATTTAGCCGACATTCATCATTGATGTCTCTAGAATGCGCAAATATCAGCTTACACACGGAGCAGATGGCAGATGGATGAAAGTGCCGAGTTCGGAGATTCTGAGCGTTCTCCGCACAATCAAGCAATTGCGGAGCGCGATTCCGTCGCATCGGCTCTTGTCCGACAGATATAACTGACGGCTATCCCGCAATACTCGGACACAGCCAGCTTCTAGTATACAAATTCACGGGAGAGTCATAAATCACAAATGGCCGCCTCAATCAGAGCCAATTGCCGAAAGGTCATCTGTATTGGTCGGAACTATGCGTAAGTCCATTGCATCTGTGCCTTGAATGCTAGCGACCACAATTTGCTGACAATTGCGATTACTCCCCACAGTGACCACATTGCGGAGCTCAACAACACCAAGCCCAAGCAGCCTTTCTTCTTCCTGAAGCCCTCCTCTTCCATCCTCTGCCCTGGTGAGGGTCCAGTGCTGCGCCCCAAGGGAGTCAAGCTGCACTATGAGGTGGAGTTGGCACTGGTGATGGGCAAGACGGTTCGGGATCTGGACCCGAATGATGAGAAGGGTGCTCTGGATGCGATTCACAGTCAGTCAAACCTACTAAACGCCTGGTTACTTCAATCAGACGATGATCGAGTTCTAACAAGGCTTTCCAACCATAGGCTACCTCCTTGCCATCGACATGACCGGCCGCAACGTTCAGGACGAGGCGAAGAAGAAGGGCCTCCCCTGGTCCATCGCCAAGGGCTTCGATACCTTCCTTCCCATCTCGCAGGAGATCCCCAAGTCGCGCATCACTGACCCACACAATGCGTTCCTGCGCCTCAGCCTCGGCTCTCAGCTTCGCCAGGCAGACTCGACGGGACTCATGCTCTACCGCATCCCGAGACAACTGGCCGAGATCTCGCGGGTCATGACTCTGGAGAAGGGCGATCTCGTGCTGACGGGTACTCCCAAGGGGGTCGGGGAGGTCAAGGCGGGTGATGTGATGAAGGCATCGATTGAGGTGGACGGAAAGGAGATCGAAGAGGGCAGGATTGAGGTGGAGGTGAAGGACCGCGAGGGAAGATACGTGTACGGTGAGACGTGAGGCTCAGGTAATTATTTGCCGCCTGCCGCCAGAATCTTTTGCGTGTCCGAGCTAGCTGCTCTACATGTACATACATACCATGCAGAAAAGGGAGGCCTGCGCTGCGAAATAACGCAAACTTCATGATTATACCAGATCCTCTTCGTCTACCGGTACGATTGGGATGAACCTCCTTTGCCTCTTACCCTTTTTGAGCGCTGTACCATCAGCCACAGCTTGCACAGTTCCTCCGTCCCTTCCGGTCTCCAGCTTAACCTGCTGCTGCAGTACCAGCGTCTGCACGCGTTGCTTCTCAATCTCATGCACTATCGTGGCCAAGGCATCCCACGACCATCCGGTCCTATCCATCTGGCCTTCTAAGAAACACCGTGTCCCCGGGTCGTCAAGTCCTCGCACGAATCTCTCAACAATCCGGCCCTCCCTCTTCCGCGGGGGCAGCTGCGCGCGCACTTCCTCAGCATGCGAGAGATACTCGCCGAGATCCCTCCCCTCTTGTTTGATCTGTGGATGCTGATTCGCATCCAGCTCGAAGGTATACGCCCCACAATCGAAGCTCCGGTTTGAAGACTTCTGCGACTGATTCGATGATCCCCAGGTAGTCTCAGTCAATGACCGCAAGGAGTTCTTCTGAAGGGGATCTGTAGCGGACTCGACGTTGCGCATTGAATCAGGGACCATATCGGGATCTGGTGATGCCTGGTTGCCACCCACCGCATCTGTACCAGTCAGTATATCCAGATCAATTGCTCAGAAGGAGCCTGCATCGTGCACCGTGGCGCAAGGGCATAACAGACCAGGAAATTACGCAGCCATCACAGAATGGATAGGGGGAGAGAGGAGAAAAACATACCAACACCACCATGCTTCTCCCCTCCTAGTACGCCCCGTTCCCTAGCAAAGCAAGCCCGAACTTCCTCGACAACTAGGCTCCGTATAGATTCCTTCAGCTGGCACAACTCCCCATCCCGCGTCTTACTCTCCTCTTCCCAACCCCCCAGCCGCCCTTTCAACAGAACATGCTCCTCCACTAACGCTTCCACGCGCTCGGAGATCCCTCCCAGCTTCCCCTCGATCATATCCTCGATCTCTCTCAGCCTGGTATGAGTATCGCCAAACCGTGTTTCAGTATCCCGTATCCGACCTTGCAGTTCATCCAGATGCTTTCGCAGATCTTCGAGCTGGTTGACCAGGTGGACGTTCTCGCGGCGGATCTCGTGGGCCCAGAGGAGAGAGGGCGCATGCGGGTCCCAGGTGCGAGGTGTGGTTGTTTCCATGGGTGTACGTAGATGCCAGCACTGGATAGGTAGCGTGATGGGCATGAAGATCGAGAGGTCAGTTGGGGATGGGACGGGGAATGGTAAATGACTTGATGGTGAGTGATTGATGTGGGTGCGTTTGCGTAGCACATGCTTAAGAGAAGCTCATCAATCTATCTCCACACATTAAGGGGATACGTATCTTTGTTCGACATTTATGCCGATTATGCTGGAATTGCGTTTCTGTTGGAAAGACTCCTGGAAATTCATATGCGTGCACAGAACCGGACATAGGTGACAACCGCCATTGAATACATGTACTCTGCAAAGGACCTGATATTGGACAAGTACAGCCAAACCATGTATACAGGCAGACGAAGGGCATGAGACTTTAGGCCCACAACCTACAGAGTATAGACAATAAATTGAACAATTGAATGGCATTTACCTCTATCTATGGTGCTGAAGGTATGCAACCACCCTCCGTGTCATGATCATGTATTCGTCCACCAAACAGCCTTGTCTGTTCATGAAAAGCGCCTGAAGGAACAAAACACATTTTCCGCTCAACCAGCTGATTAGGCATGATAGCAGCATCCTTAACCAACCCAAGGCGAGCCAAGCGCGAATATAAAAGAAAAAAGAAAAAGGTTGGGAAACTCGAGTGATGCAGGGAAAAGAGAAACCATGAATTACAGCGTTAAAAAGCACAAGCATGTCGCATCTCCATAAGCATAGAAAACAAAAAGGAAACCATGAACAGCAGCTTTAGAGAGGGAGCGATAGCTGCTCCTACCGCCGCACCCTCTGCAGTCTACTGCCAGCAGAAGAACTGGAGACACAGAAAGCCACTTTTAAAGGATTCTCCTTCGCCAAAAGACAAGCAACGATGATGAAACGACTTTTCCACCGCAGCTTACCCTTGGCACGTTATTGGCATACTGCGATCGTGAATTGAGGTGTTTAGATAAGGTCTAAGAGGGAACGTTAGCATCAAGTTCAATCATAGACGTCAGAGGTATATATAAAACTTACCAGCAACGTTCATGGGCATCTCCTCGATCTGGGTGCTGTAGAACTGCTCAATCTCACGCATCATGCGGACATCATCAGCAGTGACAAAGTTGATGGCAACACCCTTACGACCGAAACGACCACCACGACCAATACGATGGATGTAGTTCTCACGGTTGGCGGGGAGATCGTAGTTGATGACCAGAGAGACCTGCTGGACGTCGATACCACGGGCCAGGAGATCGGTGGCGATCAGGACACGAGAAGAACCGGAACGGAACTCCTTCATGATAACATCACGCTGGGACTGCTCCATATCACCGTGCATGGCAGAGACAGTGAAGTCACGGGCAGTGAGCTTGTCAGTGAGCCAGTCGACCTTGCGGCGGGTGTTGCAGAAGATGACGGCCTGGGTGATGGTGACAGTCTCGTACAGATCGGAGAGGGTATCGAGCTTCCACTCCTCCTTCTCGACAGCGATGTAGAACTGCTTGATACCTTCCAGGGTAAGTTCCTGCTTCTTGACCAGGATACGGACGGGGTCGCGCATGAACTTGGTGGTGACCTCAAGGACATCCTGGGGCATGGTAGCGGAAAGCAGGACAACCTGGGTGGACTGGGGAAGGAGCTGGAAGATGTCGTAGATCTGCTCGGTGAAACCACGCTGTTTGGTGTGTTAGTATCAAACCTCGGAAGATCCCAAAAGGCGCTCCTCGGTACTTACAGAAAGCATCTCATCGGCCTCATCAAGGATGAACAGCTTCATCTGGTCGGTGCGGAGGACACGGCGCTGGATCATGTCCTGGACACGGCCGGGGGTACCGACAACGACCTGAGGGCCGTCCTGAAGAGCCTTCATGTCCTCACGAACGTTGGTACCACCAATACAGGCGTGGCACTCAAGGCTCATGAAGTCACCGATGGCGACAACGACCTTCTGGATCTGCTGGGCCAACTCACGGGTGGGAGCGAGGATGAGAGCCTGGCAAGCCTTCAAGTTGGGGTCGATCTTCTGGAGGGCGGAGATGGAGAAAGTGGCGGTCTTGCCAGTACCGGACTGGGCCTGGGCAATGACATCGCTACCTGTGTGGTTGATTAATGCCAGCTCAAATCGGATAATTTCATTCTGATATACATACCCTTGATGATGGGCATGATAGCACGCTGCTGAATAGCAGAGGGGCGCTCGAAACCATAGGCGTAGATACCTGCGAAAGAAAAAAGTCGTTAGTCTGGGCTACAACCCATACCCCACCATACTGGGCCAACACATACCGCGAAGCAGCTCGGGCTTGAGGTCCATGGAGTCGAAAGAGTCGGTAATCTCATCATAGTTGGACTCGATCTGTCCTGTATTTTGCAAGAAAGATTGTTAGTTACACTCTTTTCTTCATTTTCGACTGGGTGGAAGATTTTTTTCTCTGCTGCGATCGACGCCACAAAATGGCTGCAACTGGGAAAGAAATCCCACCCCTAGTCGGCAGAACACACAGAAATGAAATTCAAACATACCCTCAGGGATCTCCTCCAAACCCTTATCGTTAGAAGCCATGATTGCGACTGTTAAATATGGTGATCACAGGCGATGAGCTGTGATCGAACAAACTGTGGGGGTTGTTGATTGAGAACTTTGAAGTTTGTTAGCGACAAATGAACCTAGCGGGGGGGTAAAGATATAGTTGCAGAAAGCTGAGAGTAGAAGGGAGTCTCTTACAAAATAAATTCTAGAGACTAGGACCACAACTCTCAAGAAATATGAGAGATGATTAGGAACTAGGAGATGGTGGTGTTGAGATAAATGTGGGTGATGGATGTTTTTTTCACCGATGGTGGAGAGAAAAGGAAGAGAAAAAAGCGAAGAGGGCAAAAAAGTGGTTTCTTTCTTTTTTCTTCCCTGAAGCCGTGAAATTTTGATTTTTTCCTGTTAGCGTCAATTCTGCCCAACCCACCCTCACCGCCTACTGTTCGGGGCCTGTCACTTATCTCGTTTTTGCCTGTGTGGGATTTTTTTTTTTGCCGTCATCCGTGCTCGAGAGATGGTATCAGGCAGAAGGACAATGATATGACACTTGTTGATTGTTTCTCTGATCATTCTAGGAGAAATCTTAACATATTCAGAAAACAATCCTCTCCAGGACTCGGTTCACTGGATCACTGGACTGGACCCGTTGATCTCTGGTTAGTCCTGCGGGAATCTCCGCCTCAGGCATCCTACTACTACTCCATACGGTAAACAACACTATCGGCAGGTCGAAATGCCTGATATCACATCCCTGGAGAACCACTCACTGGACGGCGGTGTTGTCCAGAATGACAATCTCCAGGACCAAATCGGAAAGGATGCATTCCCCTGTCATCCACTAGGAGTAAAGCCGAGTGGCAATGCTTTGCTTGCTAATGAGAATCACCGCGATGCCATTGGAACCTTCAATTTCCTGCCCGATGAGTTGATCTTGATGCTGCTGGAATCTCTGGATGGTCCCAGTCTTCTGCGATTTGGCCGGACATGTAAGGCTTTCTATGCATTCACTAGGGCGGAGGAACTGTGGAAGGCGCTGTTTATCTGGTAAGAATACTACTTAATAGATTCTGCTATACAATTAGACGCATAATTACTCTTTGCTTTCATATCACTGTAGTATTGCGACACTCACTAAGGGTCTATCTTAGGTCTCCCCCTTCCTCGTTCACTTGGAGAGGAACATGGCGTTCGACCTATCTCAATCTGCCTCCGTCCAAGACTGCCCTTCTCGACTGCTCTAGTCTATACTCCGATGTCCTCCACCGTCCGTTCTACTGTGCGCACATTGGCCTCGGTCCCTATGTCAACAATATCCCTTCAAGAAATCAGATTGCTCGGCTTCGGGACCTCTCTCCAGAAGAATTTCACGCAGAATGGACAGACAAGCCCTTCATCCTGACCGAGCCGGTCAAGAAGTGGCCAGCCTACATGAACTGGTCTGTCGACTCTCTGCTGGCCAAATATGGAGATGTGAAATTTCGTGCCGAGGCTGTCGACTGGAAGCTGGATACCTATGTGGATTACATGCGAAACAATTCGGATGAAAGCCCTCTGTATTTGTTCGATAGGGCCTTCGTGTCAAATATGGGACTCAAGGTTGGTCCACCAGAAGAAGAGCTCGAGGCGACATACTGGCCTCCTCCGTGCCTTGGAGAAGACTTCTTCTCCGTGCTAGGGAACGATCGCCCCGACAGGCAGTGGCTGATCATCGGTCCCGAGCGGTCCGGGAGTACGTTTCACAAAGACCCGAACGCAACCAGCGCGTGGAACGCGGTGATTCGCGGCTCCAAGTACTGGATCATGTTTCCATCCTCGTCAAGACTTCCGCCGCCGCCTGGTGTCTTCGTTTCCGATGATCAAAGCGAAGTCACGTCACCGCTGAGCATCGCAGAATGGCTGCTTGGTTTCCATACCGAAGCACGACGTACCCCGGGCTGCATTGAAGGTATCTGTGTTGAAGGGGAGATCCTTCACGTTCCCTCTGGATGGTGGCATCTGGTCGTGAATTTGGAACCGTGTATTGCCATCACACAGAACTTTATTCCGCGTGCGCATCTGACCGCTGCTCTCGACTTCTTATCCAACAAAGCCGATCAGGTCTCCGGATTCAGGAAAGAGGTGCATAACCCCTACGAGCGGTTTGTTGATAACATGCGCAAGCTCCACCCCGAACTGCTCCAGCAAGCGCTTGACGATCTGCAAAGAAAGGCCGACGGCAAGAAGCGCAAGTGGGATGAATTAGTTCATGGAAAGCTGGACCAAAATGAGACTGAAGATGCATCAGAAGGAGGCGGCTTCAGCTTTGGCTTTGGAGATGATGGGAGCGATGTGGAAGTTCCTTGATTCAGTAAAGTGGTCTGGTGCAAGACATCAAAAAAAAAAAGCCATAAAGATGGGCTAAAGCATATATTTCTCGAAATAAAGCAGAAATCTCGCCATCGAACTCATGGAAAAGGCAGCTTGAAAAGACCAAATTTGAAACGCATCAATGACAAGCCACCGTCTTCGCAGCGGATTGGTTGTCTCCAAAAACCAGATATCCCACGAAAGCACCGACGGCAACTGCCAGCATGATGAAACCATTATAGGTCATGAACAGCAGCCTTGAGCAATATCAGCGTCGAAGTCGAAAGAAAAGGACAGTCGTCGAGCAACTCACATAATGAAGAAGCTATAGAACACCTGCACGGCATACAAAGCTGCAAGGGTGATCTTCCCTCTTCGTTCCACAGCCCGTCTGTTATCCCTGCCTACAACTAGCGGTGAGCTCGCGTCCGGGAGAGTATGGGTTAGGTTTGCATGGAAGGCCGTCGCGGCCTCGTCGGCGACTTCATCGGCGTACTCATTGCCTTCATATCGGTTTCGTCAATGAGAGCTTCAGCCATCGCCGGTATACAATAGAAATGATACATGAAAAAACATCTCATCCGCTCGGAGTCCACCAAACGTAGATCATCATCTACCCTCCAAAGGAAAGAGAAAAGCACTTACCACTCGTAGCCGTTGTTACCCCAACAGCACTGAGACGCTGAGCCTGTGCAGCCTCGTATTTTCGTGTGATTTGCCGGATGCCCTCGTAGCCCGCGGTCAACAGTACGATGACAAGAAGCGAAACAAGAAGAGAGAGAGGGCCGTTGATGTGCCACTGGCGGAAGACGATGCAGAGATCCTTGGTAGACCAGGTGAAGAGCATCTACAGCTATCAGTATATATTCCCGACTCAAGCTACATCGACTGAGGAAGGGATAATCTTACATTCATGTTGCACTTCCCGCCCATATCCATATCGCTGTGGCCGCCGTGGTCCATATCCATGCCGGAGTGGTGCATTGAGTGGTCCATGGTTTCACGTACGGGGTTCAATATATGCCACTTGGATGTTTTGTAGAAGGCAACAGATATGAATCAAAGAATCAAAGAACAAGAGAGAGCTGATGACGGGTGGATGCTGACTTGTTGTTGGATGCATGCGAACGAGATGAGCATGCAAGGCAGGTGCAAACCAGGCAAACACCAGTGATAAGCTCCGCGCTCTTCGGCTTCAAAAGTTACTCAAACGGGGTCAAATCCGGCACGATCTCCAGTCAACCAGCAGCATCAATTCCACCCATCCATCACTTCCACGTCTCATATAACTACAGAACCACAACCAACTCTCCTGAATTGCGCATCACATAGCCTCCCCACCCCGCAACCCAGCAAAATGGCAGACACCGCACCCACAACACAACCAGCAGCCCCGATCGGCGGCGCAACATCCCAAAACACAAGCACCGCGAACCCCAGCGCACCAGGCCAAACATCCACAGCCGCAAACTCAATCCCAGAAGCCCCCAGCGCCAACCGCGGCCTGCCCTACTACGAAAAACTTCGCCGCGACCTCCGCGACGCCCTCCAGAAGAAGCGCCTGATGGACAAGAGCATGGTGCGTTTCGTTACCTTCCCAACTCCCATCCACCAGCACAAACCCCAACCGACTAACTAACGCAAACCCCCCAGTCCCAACTCGAAGACCAGATCTTCCGCTTCGAACAATCCTACCTCGAAGAAACCACCGCCGGCAACATCATCAAGGGCTTCGACAACTACATCAAGGGCTCGGGTACGACGGCCGGGCTCAGCGCAAGCGGGATCGCCCTACCTGCGGGCGCGGGCACAGCGCGCCGCAAAGCCCAGGTGACGGATTCGGATCGGGTGTTTTCGCGGAGCTCGGCGAGTTTCATGCGGGTATGTCCTCTTCGCCCCTTCACTCTTTATTTTCCGGCGCTTCTCCTCCGGCGGTGTGTTGTATTTGGGTTGGTGATTGGTGTGATGTTGGATGGTGACTGACGGTTGCTGTTGTATAGGATTCGCCCGCTCCGTCGTCCGCGCAGACTACACCGTCGCATGCGCCTACGCCGACATCCGCGTATAACGGGTCTTCGGGGAGGTTAAACACAGACGGGGGGCCGTCGTCTGCAGCGGCGAGCGTGAAGGGCGGAGCGTCGAAGAATAAGAAGAAGGCTGGCGTGGCGAATGGAAATGGGAATAAGGAGAAGGATAATGAGGATGCGGAGGATGGGGAGAAGCCGCCTGCTAAGCGGTTGAAGATCAGTTATGGGAGGGACTAGGATTAGCGATTGGCTGGGGTATGGAGATGGATGGAGTTAACTGGTTCTTGGGCGCTTTTGGTATTGTTTTTCAAGCATCGATGGGTGGTGTTTGCTGGGAAAGATGGCGCTGGTTCTTTTTCGGGTGTTTGATATATGGGCGATTCTACGGACGTTCTGGTTGGTTTTGATGATATCCTTCTGTATGAATCAGACGTTGAGAAAGCTAAACAAGACATAAGCATTGATGAACAACTATGTAATAGTGTATATGATCATGTTCTGTTGCGCATGGATACTGAAAGACGATGACAGTATCACAACTGCAAGCGGTAGGTGGCCACCTCGAAAGCCCTCAACTCGATCTCCACGCTGACACCATCCTTGCCCCTGACAACCTCGAGCGGCTCCTCATCATCCTCCAGCACATTGCATTTCCATACCGTCTTGACCGGGAATTTCGAGCAAATGAACCCCCGCGACTTACCGCCCATGGACTCGTAGATGCGAAGTATGATGCTCTTGCCAGAGCGCTTGGGCAGGTTATCCCGAGAAACGTCCTCATCGTCTTCGCCACGCTTGACCGCGTCGAGAATCAGAGATGGCGAGCCGGAAACCTTGATCGAGTTCAGCAGGTTGGTGGTTGCCAAGCCAGAGGAGCGCTGGAGGATCAGCGGGCTGTTGAAGTTGTATCCCGCGTGGACAGTGCGAGCGTCCAGGGGCCCGGAGTGCGGGAGGATGGCGTATCGGATGTGATGGCGACCCATATCGGCGTGGGCGTCTGGTGCTTTGGGTGCTCGGAGAAGCGAGAGGCGCATCAGGTTGCCGCAGGTTGCAAATCCGTACTTGGAGTCGTTCAGGATCGAGACGCCGTATCCGTATTCGGACAGATCTGCCCATTTATGGCAGCAGACCTCGAATTTGGCCATGTCCCAGCTGAAAATTGTTAGTTGTTGCAGCACACGTTGGAACTGGGTTGGCATACCTGGTGTTATAGTGTGTTGGTCGTCGGGTGATTCCATATTGAGTCTCGTAGGACGCCTCGGTGTTCGTGATATCCACGGGGAACTCGACCTTGAGGAACTTCATGGTTTCCTGCCATTCCACCTCACTTTCCATCTCCACGTACGATGGCTGATCATCCACTGCCGCCGCGAGGCTGATGGTCGTTTTAACCCAGCTCTTGTCACTGATGGCGGTCTTGGTGACCACGCTGACACGGTGCAGATCTTGCTCGACAACGGATGTCTTTCCGGACCGCAGCTCCTTTCTTGACTCCAGATGATATACTTCGACATCCCAGGCCTGCCAGTATAGCGGCTTGTCATCGAAGATGACGAGCTGGCCAGCCTTGCCGCCCTTGGCGACGACCTCCCGTTGCGCTTCGAGGTCATACAAAGACGTAATGACTCCGTCCTTGACATCAACCCTAAGCTTCTCGTTTTCAAGACGGAGAACACCCGGTTGAATTTCCGAGACCGATACGGCGGGCTTTTGTTTGGTGTCCAGGACTTGACACTGGAGAAGACCAGTGCGTCCGCTCGCCAGGACGTACTTTGAACCCATCGACGCCACAAACTCGTCCGGGACCCTAACGATCTCCGAGCGTGGCCATGGCAGCGTGTTGATGGCGACGAGGCGTTCAGTTGCACGATTGTCGGAAAATCCCAGCGCTTTGAGAGCTTGCTGTTTCGCCCGCTCGCCCGTCTTAAAGATCTGTGCGTACAACTCGTCCGAATCATCATAGCACATCTCAATGGAGCTTCCCGGTAGACAATCGTGGAATTGGCATAGAAGCACGCCTTCCCACATATCGTCTATATCCTGCTTCGGGTATTCATACTTGCCATTCGTCTGGCTGAGGGATGCTAAAGTTGCGAGGTACTCCAGGTCTCGCAGCAAGAACTCCGACTTGCGATTGTTCAGTTTGTTGTTCGCCTGCGTGGTGTATGTACCGCGGTGCAGCTCAAAATACAGCTCCCCATACCAGGTAGCGAATTGGGTCCCATCCGCTGCCTTCCTTTCCAACCTTGCAAAGAAATCGTCGACCGAATCGCCCATCTTCACCCGTGGAAGCAAGCCAACTTTGTCACTGAGACCGCGGCAGCGACGTAGCTTCTCCATGTGCTCGAAAGTAGGACCACCGCCACCATCACCTTTGCCAAAAACGAGCAGGGATGTGTTATCCGCGTCCATGGACTTGTGTTGCGACACGCTGCGCTTAACATCCCCGAAATGAGCACTCGCCGTGTACGTCTCAGACGGGGCCATATGGCACAACACCTGGCTACCATCAAGTGCGACCCACTTGAAGGTAGTATGCGGAAAGTTGTTGATATTGTTCCAGCTCAGCTTCTGTGTGAAAAAGCGGCTCATACCCGCGAGACGGCAAATCTGGGGAATTTGGCTAGAATAGCCAAATGTATCAGGCAGCCAGAAGGTCGAGCAACGCTCACCGAATCGGCTTTCAAAGTATCGCTGACCATAGACAAACTGACGTACCAGCGATTCGCCGCTGGGCATGTTCGTGTCGTGCTCGACCCAGCTGCCACCGATCGGGTGGAAATTTCCCTTCTTAACCCATCTTTTGACACGGTCAAAGACCGAAGGGTAGTGTTGCTCCAGCCACTTGAACTGCTGCGCCTGCGAGCAAGCAAAACGATGCTCGGGATAGCGGTCCATCAAATCACACTGATTGGACCATGATCGAGCGACTTTGCGTTTTGTCTCTGCCCATGGCCATAGCCAGCAGGAGTCGATATGACAATGGCCGATGGCATAGACAATAGGCTGCGTATCAGTCCCGTAGACCTCGGCCGAGTCAACCTTGTCTCCTAGATACTTCTGAGCGATCTTGCGTCCTTCCCTGATGGACTCCTGGCTTCCGTTGCCTGCTTCAAAGGCATCCATGATAGCATTAGCCACCATATTGGCCTGATGCGACTCCCATGAGTCGCGAGGAAACTCTCTAGCCGCATCTACACCACCCCACCGTCAGCAAAAAAACCCACCAGGATCAAGCCGCGATCTCTCCTACTCACCTCCTATAATCCAGAAATCGTAGAACAGCGCCCGCGCCTCCACATTCACCGCCGTGATCTGCGCCGTGTGCAGCGTGTAATACTTATCCGGCGCGGGCGGCTGGATGGAGTCCCCACCCGGCGCATTCCCAAACATGGCATTGCACGCCATCTCGATGTAGAACGTGTGTTCCTTGCCGTCGCGCCAGGCATCCGGGATGGCCCACTCCACCCGCTCGCCGCCACCTGTCAAGCCCTGCAGCGGGCGTCCGTCCTCTGCCCAGACGAGTCCCTCGTTGTTCGCGTCCCAGTGGAACTCCAGCCGGTCCTTGTCGCGCATATCCTGCGGGACCGTTAGCTGGATGCGGAACCAGTGCGTGGACCAGCTTGGGCCGAAGGAGGCACCGATATGCGTCGGTGTGAACTCGTGGGAGGTCGCGTCCTCGAAGTTCGGGCGCTGCAGGTCCGGGGGCGAGTAGACGGAGAGCTTGACATGTTTGTTGTCGGAGGTGACAGCGTCGTAGAGCTTGCTGGTGACGGTTAGTTGGTGTGATGGGGGTGCGGGCTCGTTGGTTGCACGTACGAAATTAGATTATGGTCTCTGTACTGGCCTGTTTCCGTGAACTGACGGAGACGATCTGTGTATATCTTGGTGATGCGTTGGCCGACGGGGTGTTCTGGTGCTCGGGGAAGAAGGCTGGGAGCCTGCAATGGAACGTCTCCACCCATTCCGGCGAATCTAAACTGGTTCAATGCTGAAGAGTTGGTATATAGGATGGGAACAAATTCAGCCGTTTATCCTAAGAGATCTTGATGCGGATACACTAAGTTTCTAGAAAGAAGAGATGAATCGATGAGAAGCAAGGCTGGGAGCTCCAGGGGAAGAGATGTATGCTGCCTGTATGTTAATTAATGTCGCTCGCCAGGAACGGGGATGACGTTGAAATGCGGAGAAGTCAACAACGGGCGATGGCGGGGAAACCAGACGGATCGATGGAATGTGAGACATCAACGAGGATCAGGGGCATCTGATGACCATCCACGACGTGAGAAATTGTTTGTGCATGAGCGTGTTGCAGGGAAGTGAAGCCATAGGAGTGACTTGGAGCTGTTCCTGGTATAATCGTCGGATCTTGTCCAACCTCAGTGGTAGCATGACAGCATCACCTGGACTCTGGATCAGGGATCAAACTCATTTATAGTTACTTGATCACCGTTGCATATGGCTATTCTACAAGCATATGGTTATTTGTTACTGGATGGATCTCTACATGGACGCAGTCTAGTAGCGTGGAATGACAAGAACATTGTCAATCAAACACAGCTTTATAATATCGAGACGCTCTAGGCCAAATAAGTTCGCTTCCATCAATTCATCCATAACCGTCCAGTTCTATGAACGCCAAGTGTGGTCCCAAGCCTCCCATAGGTATCAAGATAATAAACGAAAAAGCAAAAAAAAAACGCTTCACAAGAATGAATAAGATCAGAGATCGGAAAGAAGCGTAGCCACAGATAGAGAAGAATTCATATCCAAGGATCGGTCCTGTCATGGGTGGTGTACGGATTGACTGGTCCTACCAATCTGATCTGCGACTTCAGCGCCGTTCTTCGACGGTCGACGCTTGAGCCGATCACCCTCTTCTTTGCGCCATCTAGCACGTCCAGGACTTGAGTAGTGCCGTCCTGCAACACTCGTATGTAATCTCGGGTGTTCTGCTGGGTGGCCGAACGACCCGGTGGCGACGAGGCTGAGGTTTGGTGGGCAGCTGCAAAGTCCGCGCTTGGTTTCGACTTGTGTGTCGAGACCGACAAATTCTTCTTATGGTACTTGGGAAATCGGACATTGTGATTCTGTCGGCAGCTGACCCTCTTAACCCCACCAGATTTATCCCAGATAGCGGCCCCATACTTCTGGTAAGGAGTAATGGGGACTGCAAGCTGCTTCGTCCGGTGAACAGGAGCCGGCGGGGGACTTTCCATCCATCGTTCACTTGTACTTGAGGAGGTCGAGATCGACAGAGTCCTCATGCGATCATCCACATCAATAGGACTAGGTTCTTCTCGGAAAGCTAGCACATACGAACCGGTGCTCGATGCCGTGTTCCTCTGAGACGACGCACACTTGGACGGGGGAAATGACGGCGCGGTTACAGGACGGCCCTGGCGACTCGGCCTGTCCTTGTCGACAGAATGCTTCGACAAGGTGCGGTGGACATACGAACGGATCGAATCCCGGACCTCATGAGCCAGAGTCAGGGTACCCCGATCGCCGGTGTTGGACCGCCTGCGGTTCCTCGCAAAGTCGAATGCCGATAGATTCAGTTTGCTTCCATGCTTTTTCCGCAGCTGCGAACTGGCGGGCGGAAACTGTCCTGTTGCCGTCCCCAGCGCGGACGGTGTTGCCAACTCTGGGAAAAAATCCCACTTCTTTTCCCGGAAATAATGGTTCGGACCGGACCGCTTCTGGACCCAATCTGGCGGGCTTCCGTACTGTTCTTCTGTTGACGAGGCTTGTTGCTGGAAAGACGAGAGAGTTGGAGAGTAGGAGGTGGCTGGCAGAATGGTCTTCGAAGAAGCGGTGGTAGTAGTAGTATATGGCCCCACTATGGGGGAATGATCCAAGGCAACGGCGGGAGAAGGATCGACATAGTCCGCCAGCTCGTCCGACGCCGAGCGGACAAAAACGGGATAGCTCTCTGTGGAGTGGGCAGATTCAGAGTGGGATTCCCGGCGACTCTCCACACTGCTGAATATACTGCTGTCATCGCTCCATGCCGTGGAACCCCTCATCATTGAAGCTTCTGGGAGCGACTGGGAGGGAATGTCGGGAAGCGGTTTGTCCAGTTGCACCGTTGGACGAGCCGGCGGTCGAGGAACCCTAGGAAGGATAACCTGCTCCAGGCCCTCCAGAGATCGAGAGGGTCTTACGGGAGGGGCTTGCCTGGAATAGGCGAAAGTCGTGGGAGACAGCATGATTCACTCTTGTATGTGTCCTCGTCGACGTATATCTTGTCTAGAATCAACTTCTCCTCCCACACGAGGACTTGATAGCTGCGAGAGTGGAGAAGTAGTAGCAATCAGTTGTGTTGTTGGACTCCGATTGAGTTCGATAGACGACAGACTCTCAGTTGATGTATCAAAAGACAAAGAGAAGAATGGTTGGCCAAAGGATTGCAGGTTTCTTTCTTTTGTTTCTTCCTTCCTTGTTTCTTTCTTTTTTATTTTTTAATATCTTTTGAATATCTTGATCAAAAGTGCCCAGGACGGCTGATCACAAGACCCTTCCCCGCAAGTCAGCCTGTCGCTCGAGCCTCGCGGGTATGCACAGGTAGATGATGGTGAAGACGAAGTAATATAGTGGGCATAAGATTAAGCATCTTCAAGGGGGGAGAGAGGAGAAGAAGAACGAGAGATATAGAGGGGAAGCAGGGAAGGATAAAGCAATGAAGAGTGACAGAGGAGGAGACGAAACGATATAAAGGGATAGAGAGATAGATGATGCGATGTAGCTCAAACGAGTCATTGATGGATCGTGGGACATCCCTAGATACTTGGAGTTGGGTATCTATTATTGCCAGTACCTACTAGTAGTAAGTATTAGTAGAGACGAATTACGATAGGAGAATAAGATGATCATCATCATCATCATCATCATCATCATCATCATAAAATTAAAAGAATTTTTCGAATTATCCTCATTATTGTCATTAATTAAAATGAAGCCAAAATAGCAGAGAGAGAGGGTACCTACTACTACTTACTATCTACTAGATAGTTTAGAGAGGACAAATCAGATTACACAGTTACGAACTTACGAGAGTTTGTCCTGCAGGATCAGCATCAGCATCAGCATCAGCATCATCATCGCCAGCGTACAGCCTCATGGACCGTCGCGAGGGTGACACGCCAACGCAAGGGATGCCCGGCCGAGCAGGGCAGATTAGGTATTCGTCGGCTCGCCTGCCTTGCACTGCCTAGGTCCTAGACTAGACTTTGTAGATTAACCAACTCCATCGGTAGCGTGTGGCATGGTCTTACATTTCTTGACATTCAGCTGGAGAGATAGATAGATAGACAGATACCAGGGATGGAAGATAAGAATAGTCATAAGGTGAAACTGAATCATCCGTCAGAGACAAAGAGAGAGGCAGAGACAGAGGCAGACAGAAACAGAAACAGAGACAGAAATGGAAACGGAAATGGAAACGGAAAATTCAAACGAACCATCTACTTGGTCTACTTAGTCCAGCTGAATTCTATAGCAGTGCCCAACCTTCATTATAGACATGGATAGGTCTATTAATCCTTCTCCCCACTCATGCACGTATGTTCCTACTTAGTCTCTTGGACTCCTATATCCCCTACTCCTTAGTCCCTTCGTAGATTATTAGATAATAGAGTATAAGTGATAGTGACTAGTGATTCTCTACCTACTACTATTAAGTATGTAGAATTGTAGATGAATATGTCGACAACCCAGCCAAACCTAACTGAGCTTGGCTGCCTTCTGCATTGTCTCTCGCGTGAGTTCATCCGTGGCTTTTCGAACGGCACTCAACCGCCCCATCCTCCGGAGATTGGCAATCATGTCTTCATCGCCAAAGTGGCTGTTGTGCTCGAATTCCGGTTCCTCGCCATATGCCACCCGCGCGACATCCACTAGAATGCGGGCCGTCATGCCAAACACAAGGTAGCGAGTCACCTCACCCGACTCCTCCTTTTCCTTCAGCTGGTCTGCTGCTAAGTTCTGCGTCCGATTGCTGCTACGTGGTTTGACAACGGTCCGGTTGTCGATGGGAACAAAGAATTGATGCACTAGGAACTGTTAGCCAGATGCAAGCTGGAAAAGCAAAAACACCAATTCGACAGTAGACAGCGACGATCTTTTCTTTTCTTCTTTTCCTGCTGGTATCTGTCTCTCTCTTTCTTTGTCGCTGCTCTATTTTTCTTTTTGTTTTGCAAATTTTTTCCCAGCAAATCGTACGGAGTACACCGCCTGTCAAACAAAATCCTGCTGCAGTCTGTGCCACTTACTTCGCCAATTAGACTGATGCCACTCGGTCCAGGCTCCTTGATACCATTCGGCTGGGTCTCCGGTGCCCCAGTCATCTCCATCCCTCATGCGCAGGAAATTGTGAAATGACGCCGTGAAGACGGCCGCAACCTCTCTAGCGTCCAGCCTGGGGATCAGCGACACCTCCGGGTCAGCATTCTCGCCGGTCTTGCCGTCGTACGAATGGAGCAGCGCCACGCAAGGGCGGACAACCAGCTCCGTTCGAGCAAGATTAGCCGGGAACTCGCAGAGGTGCTCGACCTTGAAGGGTTGCGGGAACTGCTGACGGAGGTCAGGCAGACCTATTTCTTCACGTGCCTCGCGGCGTGCAGTTTGGAATGCGGTTTCTTCTAGCGAATCCGCCCGTCCTGTGGTGAGCGTGGTGTAAGTGCTTGATTATCTTCAATTTCTTTCCCCCCTTCCCCTTTCGGTCTGAGGCAAATGAACAACATTCCAGCGTTTGTAGCCATAGACACATCATATGAACTGCGCAGTATCAATAGGGAATAATCTCCGTCCTTCCTGACCGCAAGTTAGGGGGGGAGAAAAAAAAAAAGTCAACTCCATTTACCTCCTGGTAAAGCAGCCTGGCCAGCATCTGTCAAGCAAGCGGTATGAGGCCATCAGGTCCATCATCAAGTATAGTAGACACTCAGTATGATCAACTGACTTACATGAACTCAGCGTCTTCGCCCGGATCGTCAGCACAACCCTCAGATCCCCCTTCGCATCCGCATAGAGCAGCAACAGGACCGCCGCGCGTCGCGATAACGGCACCAGGTCATAATTCGTCGGTGGAGGCCGATAATTCCTCAGCCGGTCAATCGCTTTCTGTTTGTCCCCCGAAGGCAGAGACAATGAGGTTGGATGGTCAGCCTCCTACTCCATACTAGCCTAAATGTCCAAGATCCGCTAACGAACGCCGTACGTCACCCATCTCACTGCATGAAACAAGGGAGATTGGACAGATCTGAAACTGGAACACACCGCGGAACGACGCCGGAATGGGAAAAGAGAAAGGGGGAGGGGGGGTGTGGTGATGTGTTATCCAAGTAGGCTGAGAGAATAGACAGGCTGCAGGAAATTGAAAAGGCATCTGGGGGAATTATTTGCATACCTGCGAAGCGAGGTTGAGACGAGGCATCTTGTCCCCTGCGGCTGCGATGGCGGGGCTTGATGCGAGTATTCTGCTGGTGCTGAAGCCACGGGATTGCGCAAGGAGTTGCGATAGATGTCGGATACACATAGTATATGGAATGGATATTGGATTGTTGCTTTAATTTTTAAAGCATCGCATATTGAGATGAACTATGAATCTAGCTTAGTTGTAAACGTGGGGAGGAGCTGGTAGCCTGGTTCAGGGTTCTATACCCGTTGCCGAGGTTAGTGGGTCATTTGGATCTTCGTATGGGGAAGAAGGATCAAGGAATGGAATCATTGCTGGGGAAGAACCACACATAGCGGGTAACACGGCGATGAAGCTGCTCATGCTATCGAAATAGATTGTCTTCCTATCCTGTGACGATTAAGAGTTTCTGGCTGGAAGACCAATTACCTATTACGTCTCGTCATTCTTGTAACAACCCGGGGCGGCCGCATGGTAGGTACTGGTTAATGTCATGCATTTAATTTGTTTTACACATGGTAGTACATCGTTGCCCAGGGTCCCTGGGACATGTTTCAATGAGAGGGAAAACAAGCAGAAGAGTGGCCATTAATAGATCGTAAAGTAAGACAACCCAAAGAACCACCTCAAGGACTATTCCTTATACCAAAATCCCCGGTTCAAAACCTCCATATGTCTATAGATTCGGATACAACGCAATGGAGAGGGGATGGAAAGAACATGAAAAGATGGTAGTTGAGAGAGATCATCGCCAACCAAGTGATTGAGCATGTGATTTGACGCCAAACACATCGAATAAGAGAAAGTCTATCAATAATGGACGGTAAGAAAACAGTAGCAGAAGTGAAGGGGGTGTAAGGGGAGTGTGAACGGGGAGAAGTATATCTTTGGGGGGGTGTTCATCGATTCAGGCACAGACAGAAGACGAGACATCTTGAACGAAGACGGCTTTTTGGTGACACTACTGCGAGGCGGCTCCCTTCTTCTCATCCTTGGCCTTGGCAGCCAAGTCCTCTGTCTGAGTCTCTTCTACCTTCTCGCCTTCCTTCTCGGCCTCTACAGCCTCGTTGGTCTGCTTTTCAAGGTTGTCTGATGTCTCAAATTTCACATCTTCCTTGTCGTCGATGTCCTCAGTGTCCTTGGGCGCTGAAACACCCTTATCCTCATGCTTGCTGTTCTGCTCGTTCTCCTCTTCAATGAGTTCTTGCTGTTCCATGATAACCTCCAGACGCTGCTTGTTGGTGGCGGCACCCTCGGCATTGTGGACCTCGAGCTCGATTTCATGGAACAACTCCTCAGGGATGCTAGAGAGAACGGACTGAAGCGCTTCAATCTGAGACGCCATCTCCGCCTCCTTACCGCCCTGTGCATAGGAATACGCGTTGCTCAGGACCAGCAACGTGGAGGGAACGCCTTGCTTGAGACGGAGATCCAGCCACATCGAGAGGTCCTCCCGCAGGCGAGCGGGGGAAATACCATGTGTACGAATGCCACGCGAGGCACACGCCATTTGCAATTCTGGAACAGAGAGCGACTCCACTCCCTCGTAAAAAATCGCGCGATCGTCACGCTTGATCTGACGCATGCGGTGGCGAATATTATAACGGAGCATGGCATCCGTGCCAAAGGAGTTCAGGTTCATGTACTTGCAGATGGCGACAAGCTGAGGACGCGACAGGTTGTCCAGAGTCAGATCATCCTTGAAGATCTTGCAGACTTTGATCACATCCTGAGTGGACGGGGTTTCGCCCGTGGTTCTAATTTTCTTGAAGAATTCCGCAAACTCCTCGTTCCTGACCGCAGCAGGGGTGACCGGAAGACCACTCTCCCTCAAAGTGTTCTTCAAGAATGCGGAAACTTCTTGACGGGTTGAGCTCAGGTTGAGAGCCTTCTTCTCGCGCGCTGTCTGGCCCTCGTAGGTGCTAGGCAGCAGGTTGGGGAACAGCTTCAAAGCGATCGGCAGCAGCAGTTCCGCGAAGGGGATGATAACGAACATCGAAAATGGGATCAATCGTCCGAGATCTCTCACCGTACGTTGAAGCTAAACAACCGTTGAAGAGATAAATATTAGCCGCCTGGCACCACAATTGCTCTAACAACATGCATGTGGTGACCAACCTGACGATGTTCTCTCCGACTGAGTTCATATCCCGCTGCCATCTTCAATGCCAGTCTCGAACTAATTTTCACTTCTGTAGCCAGAAGTTTAGTTCCATCCCAATAGTGCTGCACCTCTTTCTTGATCTTCTGTCCGATCGTCAATTTCTTCTGGTCCTTCTTGGCTTCGGCGACCTTTTTCTCCTCCTCTGTCAACGCCTTCTTCGCAGCCTCCAGCTCGCCCTGCTTCTTCAAATCGACGCTATTTGCCGCGGCAAGCGGGATCTCAGGCTTACGGGCAACCTGCGTGCTCCCGTGCGCAGCCGCCGGTTGTGATGCATTTGACTGAGGGATCGGCTTCTTGGCCTGCTCGGCGTTGAAACCTGGTGGTGGCAGGTTAGATTGCGACGATGTAGACGTAGAAGTTTCGGTCGCATATCCGCGCTGTTGCGGGACCAGAATCGCGATGGCCTGCAGATGGGTTGGGAGTCCTCGTCCGTTGAAGCGGAGATTTGCGGCCGATGCAGCGCCTAAGGCGCCGTTGTACCGGGGTCGGACTGTTCGTTTGAGGGATTGTCAGTCAGAAGTCAGAAACAACTTGACTTGAAAGTAGTCAAGAGAGCTGTAGAGCAAGACTCACTGGTCAGACTGGGCCGCAGCACAGAGTTGCTGCGCATAAGTCTAGCCGATCTCATAGTGACGGACATTGCGGAAGTCTAGGGGCAGTAGAATGCTCGAGGTGACGAGCGAGTGCAGCAGAAGGGCACAACAGTCTCGAAGAAAGATACAAATCAAAAAGCCGCAGTATTCTCGTAGCGTCCAAATGAAATTGATGTATTTTGCACAAAGATATGAGTGATGCTGTCGTCGTGAAGGTCTCTGGGGCGCTGCAAGAAGAAGTGGCACTTCACGTGATTTCAGCGATCTTCGGGGATTATTTTCGTCGTCGGAGTTTACGATTACCCGACAAGCTTTTCCTGCAACAGCTTCAAGAACTTGGCTACTGTTCTGGTGGATAATCATTACGTACATTCGAAGATACATCTCATGTGTTTACTTGAATATTCAAATGATAGAAATGTAGTGAGCCTGCATTCATCAAACTTGCATCTGAAACTGAAACCGGCCAAAGATGAGGTGGCGCGAAGACGGATAGTCCACTGAACAAAATTCATGGCGCCCAAGATCAAACATCAAAATAGAACTTTCAAAAGGATGGAAAGCATTAACTGCATGAGGATAGGCAAGTATGAAACGCAAGCGAATGACTAAGTCAGGGTATCAACCATCGAACAGCACAGAACCAGCGACTCCGAATTGAAAACTAGTCAAAATAAAACGCAAACGCAGGACTACATGCTCAGCGGTAGAATAGAGTGGGATATCAACGGACAGAGAATGCGAGCTTTATCTTCTCTCGCGCATTGTGTCAGTGGTAATGTTGGCTTTGTCTGAGCCAGTTGTGGCCGCATGAGCGTCAAGAGGAGGGATCTGGTCAAGGCTTGCTTTATCGCATTCCTTATGGGCAGAGGTCGAATCATCCAGAATACGAGCTCCCGCGGCTGAGGCATTCTCCGAATCCAATAGTGTTGGGCTTGTTGTTCCAGCCGGGGAGGCTTGCCAACGGGCAACATCCTTCTTTAACTCCTCTAGTTCCTTCTGGAAACGTTTGCCGAAGATGTCAATATAATAGGTCGCGCCGTTATGGATACTCCAAACGAATAGAGCAGTCAGAAATGCACCGCTAGCCCAACGGTATCTAAACCAAATGGGACAAGGAATCATGGTGAGCACAGCGTAAATATATTGGATCATCATGAAAGCGGGCGCCTGTAGAGCTTCGGGAAGGTTTATAACCAACTTCCCGATCCAGGTCTTTGCGTAAGATTTGCGAAGCCAGGTAAAGCTAGTAGGCCGTCCAGCGGCAATCTTCTCGGCACGGCGTACAGTGATGAAGAAATGATAAGTTAATTGCCAGATGACGTACGGCACGGTGGCCCAGAGCATCATGGAAAGAAGTGAGTAGTGGTTGGGGGAGCCGGGCTTGCTGAATTTGATGTCGTAGATGGCCGGGAATCTCTCGCGCAGCACTTTGGAGGGGGTAAGGTGGACAAGGCAATGCAATGTCACAGGCGGCATGATGTGGATAAAAAGACTGCAGCCCGAACTCCTGTTAAAGGGATTCTACTATACAACAGGATTTGATCCCATCACTTACCTGACGACTTTATCCATGCTATGGAAAACCATAGAATTCCGCCACATTGCAATAGCAACGGCATTATTTCCGAAAGTGAGACAGAACGTACTGATGAAAAGTCTCTTGGATCTTGGAAAGACCCAAATGCTGAGCATGCATAGCATGTTGACAAAGTAGCAGAGGTCGGCCAAGAAATAGTGGTAACCCTTCTTATGGTATCCGTAGTATCGAATCGGCATGAAATAGGCCAGCTGTACACTGAACCAGATATAAAAGTACTCCGGATAGGCTCCGATAAGATAGCCACTGATGAAAATATTGAGAACACCTGCAATGAACGAGATCTTCTCACGCAGAGTCACAGTGGCCGTAGCATTCCATTGCTTCTCTAGTCTCTTGACTCCGTCCTTCATCCGGTGACGGTATTTATCCAACTGCTCATCAGCTGTAGGCACGCGTCGCTTCCACTCTCCCACAACTCGATCCTTTGCGTGCATCGAGGTATACTTCAGCTTTTCTCGCTGCTTTCTGACCTTCTCTTTCTGCACGTTTATAGCATGTTGCCATTTCTCAAGTTTCTGGGAAAGTGAAAGGTTGTCGAGCAAGTCGAACACGGTGAGCTTATCCAAAGGAGGGAAGGTATCCCAGTCATCTTGGTACGAAAAGGAATGATTTCGTGACAGACTTGGAGGTGAGGCAGTTGGCGAGTAGGAGCGAGTAGAGGAGGGCGCATATTCATCCGTATCATACACGGCATCCATGTCGTCGACAGCCGCCGGTGGCAACAAAGGCGAGTTTCCGGCGCCCGTCACCTGGGCTGTTCTCCCTCCTCCAGGGTGATCATCAAGTCCGGCACCCTCCATAATGAGTTTGTGTTGGAAGAAGAAGATTGTAGGTCCTTCTCGGTTGTGAGGATATGGGCGACTGAGAAAACGTCCGAATGTTAGCATCACCATCTTGCTTCGATAGCGAACGCGATTTCGCAGAAGTATTAGGTTCTCACACACAAAAGCTACCTCATCACAGAGAACAACCAGAGTGCAAGGAGCAGCTGGAATTTTAAGGTATTATCGAGAGGGGGCTCATAAAAGCTGAAGACTCACCAAACAAACAACGGATCTCCAATCAAGTTTGGCACAGCTATCCAATGGTCAAATGCGCCAGTCGTGCTTGAACACTAAAGGCGCGTGATCCCATGCAAGTCTCAACTGTACAACTGAATGCAGCAACGTGCGGAGTTAATGTAGAGAGCAATGAAGTTTTGCAAAGTCAAGAGCTCTGATGTTGAAGGGAAGAAAAGACCTGTTGGGAGGATGAAGCTCGGCGTGTGCTAGAACTGACGTATCTGGTTGGCTTTCCAGCGGAAACCCCAAGATGAGTTAGCGCCGATATCTGGGGGCATGATCTGCTCAACCAGCCAATGCTATTGTATGGTTCAGACCCACTTGCCACTTCCGACCGTTTTATGCCTGAGGTGTGACATACTCCGTACTTTCATCCACTATGCAGTCATCGGGACTGCAAAAAGTAGAGACATCCATACATCCGTAGTAGGTTACGGTAGGAAATCTTCATGATGCCAATCTTTTAAGATAAGAGTGGTGCTACTATAGTTCAAAGGCTGATACAAGGGTTTATATAGGCAGGTCACAGGTGTACTTTGATTCTTATACATCCATCTCTGCATATTTGGGTCCTAGGAGCAAACGGGTTGAGCCCGTGGATCCCGTGGCTCCTGAACGCATGCGGATTGAGATATTTATTGCATTGATTCATAAGATGTCTATGGGAATCCTTTGCCGACGGGTCACTAGGCAGAAAAACAACACCTCTACTGCCGGCATGCCAGCAAGACCATGTGCCTGAGCGCCCCAACATAGAAGGACTGTCTCCAGGGTTGGATCATTTGAATGACACCCAATTTAGTGAAGATGACCCAGACATCTAACCGATATCTGAGCGGCTCAAAGATGCTCTTCCATGATTTGGGTGAAGAAAGGCATGTAGAGTGGATAGTCCAAGTCAAGCTCCCAGTACCATGGTTCGTGCTGCAGTTCTTTCCTTGCGCTCAACACCATCTGTATCTGCAGCATGCCTACAAGCGACTGTCCAACAACTGCCACTTTTCCTATTCCTCGAAACAAGCGTGTCACGGTTGTGATATGTAGCGAACCTGCGTTGGGAGTCTTGCATCTGACTAGACGCTCTGCACATGCCCAAGACACCAAAATTCGGACTGTACTGAGCAGAGGGAGCCCCGAAATTATACGTTTGACACTTTGCCGATGTTCTCGAATGTAGTCAGTCAGGTAGGGAGTGTAAGTGATATGCATGATCCGATGCTTGGGAAGGTGGTTGGGAGTCTTCGAAGGGTCAGAGTATTTCATCGTGTAACCCCATCCAAGAGCATCGAAGGCGAAACGACTGAAGAGAATCCGCTGAACTTCGTCATAGATTTCCCTGTTCGTGGTCAACAAATTCAGATAGGCAGCATTGGAATTTCGCCAAATAATACGCCCGCGTGTATATTTGATCGACTTCAGCGATTCTCCCAAGGTGATGACTTCGCGGTCCAACCAGAAATTGTCTGTACTGGACATTGCCATACACAGAATCTCACTGAGAATCTCAAATGGAAGGTCGAGGAGACGAAATGGGGCCGCTTCGGCATTGTCATTTCTGCCGGGGGTGTTCAACTCGTTCAGCATTGGGCGCGCGAGAGTAGGAGTAAGGGAGGCTGGCGCTTCTCGAAGTAGGGACCATCGTCGTAAGGCCAGAATATCCACTTGGAAGCCATACTGGGCCATAAGAAGAAATAGATCGGAGTATGATTGCTGCGGTGGTGTGATTGAAGGGTTGTTCTCCGTGAGAAGGAAGGAACAGTGAAAGATGACGGCTTCTTGTTGCCCCCACACAGTCGTTCTTCACCAGTTCGAGGTTTTGTAAACGAGCTTTCAAAGTTGCCCAAAGTTCCTCGTCAAGCTCCTTTTTCAGATCCAGCTCAACTACACACCACTGTGAAGTAGCTGGTGCATAGGCTTTTGAAGACGTATGTATATCAATCAAGGAATCGGCAAACTCGGCAGAAACCAAAAATGGCCGCGATGATCGCTAGACACAAAAAGACAGTTGACAAAGGAAATAATACAAATGAAAGGTACTGTTGATCCCCTGAGCTAGAAGTGAGGCAAGAGATCCACATCATCCGAGGATGCTGAAAATGGGCTTTCAGAGTATCAATTACGCCGAGAGAGAGAGAGAGAGAGAGAGAGATACACACGAAAGATATTCAGACATGAGGGAGAGAGACAAGGAAAGAATGGTGCAGGGTTATCTGCTGCGACAAGTCAGAGAGGGCTAAAATCCCGGTTACAATCGTGAATCCACACAAACGGACCTTCCTATGATGAAGACCAGTCAGTCTCAATGGTATGTCAATGGTGCATGCACTCGAGGAAGTCCATGATCCAACAGCACCGACTGCTGGGTATAAAGTCCGGAGACGGACCATGGCTCAACCGAAGAGATCTCGGGAGGAGTATGCGGCGCTCTCGTTTGCTCATTGGAGATGATGGATGGTGCCATACCCTTGGAGACAGCCGACAGACCGCTCTCCACGGAGCTCTTCCGACTGATAGATACTGGAGATAAAGGCAGGCAGTCTGCCTCGGGATTCTGCTGCTCGCTCACCGAGTCGATGCCCTCCGGAAGATGCTTGGAAGAAACGTGCAGTATCATATCACCACCTGCGTAACCGGCCATGATTAGCAACAGAACACCGAACCGCACTGGAGGAGCCGAAGCATACTCATTCTTCCACTTAGATAGAGCTCTTCCATCTCACGGACATCATAAATCTCATCCAGAATTAGGAGGCGCTCCATTGGTTCAATCTGGCGTCGCACATCTTGTCCAGCTTCCCTGAGTTTTTGCGCCGTGATTCCATGGGTCTCTCTCAACTCACAAAGAATGTGCATGAGAAGCCGGATTCTTTCTATCGAGACAATATGTGATCAGCGAGCATGCTTCAATTCATACGAGCAAACAACCTGCAGCGAAGAGGGGAAGATCTTACCAGCCTTCAGAAGGTGATCAGGTTCTTTATGTTGTACCCCAGCAGGCCACCATTTTGGTTTGGTCAACTCAGGATCTAGTCGTTGGCAAGGTCCACCCATGACTGTTCTTCGTCCATTGTATGGATGGTTCACTTGTTTGCGAGGCTCCACAAGTTTGACAAACGCTTTTGCAATGACCCTACAGTTGAGTTGCTGAAGGTTGTCGAACGCCTTCTCATAGAACTGACGCAGAAGATCCGTTTGTCCCACGCGAATTGCAGTCCGCTTGCTGGACGAGCTGGATGCATCTGAGTCCGAATCGCTTCCTAGTTCCGAACTCGTGCGCTTCCTACTCCTCCTTTGACGCTTATTCTGGAGAGACTGGAATTCACAGGGTATTAGTCTCGGTTGCCTCGGTTGACCATGCTGGAACCACACTGGACTAGGCTGCAGGTCCACCGAGGTACTGTACATATAAGGCTGTCTATCTGTGAATTCACCGATAGCACCTGCTGCTAAAACATATTGTCAGTGACACTTCTCAACGCAAATTCTCTGCATGCCTCATGGTGCACTTACCGGAGGCGAAGTTCTGCATGTTTGGCTGCCATTCTGTGGTCACAGCTCTGACAAAGCTTTGCTTGATGTCTTCGGTGAAAATTGCCCTCTCGCAGCCTGCAAGGGATGAGGAAACATTTACGCCAAGGTCCCCGTTATTGTCAACATATACCATTGCAAAGTGGGGAAAAGAACAGCTGAATGTCCTTGGCAATGTGCACTGGTTCTCCTTCTCGAGCTCATGTCAATTGTTGACCGACTTGCCTGGAGATATAGTGTGCTCATACCGTTGACCCTTGCTGGGCTGTCATGCCATCATATGGTAGCACTTGATGATGGTCCTGTCCTCCTGTCGGCCCTGTTGGATCCATCGCCCATACGGTTTGACTCTGATGCAGGAAGACTCGTCAAAGGGAGAAATCTGAGGGGCTTTTCGACAGATATGTCGCTAGGGATAGAGGGCTTTAAAGTCTGATTGACTTGTCTTCTTCAAATGGGTCTACAAGGTATGAGCCGAGTTTATATTACCAGACGACTGGTCTATACGTACTCAAAAGTACGTCAGAAATGGTTGATCAGCAGTCAAATCTACAGACTACTGTTTTTGGAAATCGCTGACTGCCTGTGTGGCGGGAAGGGCCCGGAGCCTAATGGGTTACAGCTAAGCCCAGACATGCAGGAAGGACACTATACTCTGTGGGCCAAAGGGTCCTATTGACGCATGGCCGCCATTGTTTTAGGGAGATGGGGCCACAGATCCAGGCCTTTTCTGCATGAGCATTGAGATCGGGCTTTAACCCTTCCGGAAGTGCCAATCAAGGCAGGACGATGGAGGAATTTCTCGCTCTTTGAGATAATGCTTCTCCAATCGGGGAACGAGGAAGTTGCTTCCTGGGCATGAAGATCATTTGGGTCATGTCAACACCCGTACAACGCCTCTCCATATGTTGCGATACTGTATGATCAAAGCAATAAAACTGATGATCTAGGCCGGATATCGGTATTTTGATCGGAGAAGCCGAGTTTGAGCGAGCCTAAGGTGGTCTCAACTACCATCAGGAAGCCACTTCGGTAGCAGGAAGCTCTATGTCCATTGCCCCTTTTGTCTATCTGAACCATGGTTCTCAAACCAACTAGTCAAGGCGCCAATTTTGATAGTTGCCTACTCGCCTCTGGAGTTACAGAAGTAACAGCTTGAGGCCACCAGAGCTTCCAAATCAGAAGGCATGTTGTGACCCGAGCCGACGCCAGGGAAGCTTGCTGTCATTGAGCCAATGACTTTGTATGGCCATGTTTCCGGAAAAGGTTACCTGGCCCAATGGAATGGTGAACATGTTGCACACGACGCGGGATGGCGTGTCTGTGCGATCTGCCTTTACGCATTTACGAACTAACGCAGTCAATTGTTCGACTCCGTCGAGTCGGAGCTCCATCCAATCTGAAAGAGTCAACGTATCAACTGCTCTTGATTCAATCTCGAAGATATGCGCATTGATGCATTGGCGTTGCTTTTGTATGCCTGACCTTCACCTGTCTGCTGCTATTCACTTTCTCCCTGGTTGACTAGGCAAATACCAACCTGTCTCTTTGTGACCCAGCTGGTGGGAGCGTTGAGAATGCGAAAGCAGACAGCGCATACAAGGCAGAGGGAAGCGTTCATAACCGGAGAGCTTTTGTGGCTAATCTACAGCACAGACAATCTAGTCTAGAATACCTGTCCTAACATCTTTAGCCCACTTTGCCGGGGAGCAAAACAGACCTTCGGGTCGCCTGAGATCTCGATAGTTACTAGCCGACGCATTTTGTTTTAACTTTCTCGGCAGCGTCCTGAAGTGATACCTATAAACGGACTGCTGTTCCACCGGTGGGGTCGGCTCCTTTGATAGAAGCTCTAGTCTACTATGCACTTCAGGAGGCCGAAGCAGTGTATTTGACGGTGCGACGGGGCTGGTGCTGAACGGATACCTTGACACTCGTACTAAAAATAATCTGACAGACCGTCGATCCTGCAGTTCTGAGCCTTGACAGAAGACTGGCTCTTTTCTAACAAATACCTCTGGGTTATAGACTTACTGGGGCAGAAAAGCTTCCGTTTCAAAGATCTTACGAAGGTAAAACGGTCTTCGCATGATGTTGCGCCAATCACGTCTACAAGTGCTCCCAACTTCCAGGGGACATTTTGGACCATCGCGTGAGCAAATACAACTCAGTGTCCTGCAACGAGAATCATTCTTTTCTGAATGAGTGTTAAACGCATTTCTTCAGCGCAACGAATCTCAATTGGGTATGATCCTCCCTTTTCAATCGGATAACACGGTGCACTCATGGGATAAGGAGTGCAAAAACCCGGAACAACGACAAACTGTCTACAGCCAGGAGCAAAAAAGCAAGCATACTATTGGAAACATGAGGGTTCAAACTCCAAAGACCAACTGCGGACAGGCCTCTTCAGGAGTCGATGCATGGAAAAGTGACCGATCACATTCACTCCAAGAGTCCAAGTACATCGATGCAGCTAAATGATTAGCGCCGCGCCCCCAAGGAAGCACAGGAAGTATCCTTGGATGTCGATGACTCGACGGTTATCTAGCTAGTCGATCTGATCCAAGGAAGAGGCCAAGAAGATATGGGAGAAGGCCACCATAAGCCCCTTGCTTCTTTGCGGGGAAATGTGGGCTTGTCTTTTCTTTTCATTCCTTTTTTTTTCGTCTCTTTGCCCTCACAAAGCTTTGGATTCACATATCCAGATCCTTCTATCTGCTCCTCAAACAATCCCTAACATTGTCAGTGTTGTTGCACAGGAGTACTGGTGCTTCCGAGACAGACCCTTTACGCGCGAGGAAGTTGTCTATGCAAGAACCGCCTCGATTCCTGGTAAATCTGCATTCATGCCCTGTCAATGATGATTGCTAGGCAGTATTGATCACCCCAACCGCCGGGGAGGGCTGGAGTCCAAGGCTCGTGAGCACTTGAATCCAATCTAAGAGCCCTGCTGGTAAAGATGAGACTACTTACATTCGCTAATTCACAGCTGTCCAAATCTGCCCAATTTGGATGGCTGTCTGACAAAGACCTTCCAATCGTCTTTGCCCATGAAATACGGCTGTCAGATGCTGTTATCTGCCCGCAGGAATGTCCGAGCACTTGCAGCAGCCCTGATATATTTTGCCGGAGGATGTATCGAATGCTAGGTTATGCCTTCGTTACCAAGTGGCATACTGTCCTGGACTCCTGGTCAACGGCCCCAACAATAGTGGAACCGTTCGTGCATGGCAGATATTGGTAGTTGTCCACCATCCGGAAACAATGATCGAATCAACTCAGTATACCCACTGTCTTTCCGGTCTCACCGATAATTGATGCCTGTCAAAATCAAACCCCGAGGTCCGCTGTAATGGGACATTTTTTGCCATCATCCAGTGACACTGGAACTTGGACGCTGGGTAGCGGTCGAGGCTGTGAATGACTACATAGTACATCATGTCTCGGTGCTGTGGCTTGTCGATATGCATGCTACAAATGCCACACATCTTGACTCTGTCATGATTTGCCCTCTTCTTCCATCAAAGTTTGTTCCGCCAGTGGAGAGCACCACTTCAATAATGCCTCGAGTTGCACGGTTAAAGTGCTTCCATGGGTTTGTTTTGCCTACCCAACCTTGGCTTTCGACTTGGAAAACGCTGCATCTCAACCGATAGATGTCTTCCAGGGTTCAAATATATCAGTCAATCTCAGCTTGTGGTTATTATCACTGGCCCTAGGCTTCAAGCAGCTCCACTTTCTTCAATGAGTGCCTAGAGAAGTGGGGGAATGTCCAGTCGAAGTCTGGTAATATCTCTAGTCATGAAAGTTACAAATAAGAGCTATCCCTTGGGCAAGTCTTTGGTCATGCCTGAACGCGCGGGCTGGCGATGTCCTGGACTCCTGGTCACCTGGATCCAAATCGGCGCGGCGCCTATTGTAGCAAGTGATGTCCCAAAAAAAAAAAAAAAGAGAGAGAGAGAGAGAGAGAGAGACAACAGATTGAAAGCGGATCAGCAAACAGCTCAAGACCCGAGAATTGCACACGGGTTTTCGACCTGTAGCTGTGGATCTATCATACATGTTTGGTGCTCAATGACTTGCTGTGGCCATACTTCGTAGCATGGCAACTTCGCCAAACTTTCAATACGGTAACCCAGCCTCACCACATGCCTAGCTTGGCTGTCGAGCTGGTCACTACCTAGCTCTATCGTAATTGTACGGCCCGCAACTCTGTCCAAGTACTGATCGGGACATTTCTGATTTGATCCGTCCTGGATCATTATACCGGGTTCTGGAGACCATTCTCTCCCTCAGATCATAGTTGAAGACCCCTTACCAAAAGTACGCAAAAGATGCTCAGATGGGCTTACCCGTGTACTGTGGTCCAGTCAACGTCAGCTATGTAGATGATCGCAACCCAGGAGAGTGGCGAGTCACACATGCAGGATCTACTGAAATACAGTATGCGGCCGCGCCAAGGGGAGATCAATCCTCCCCAGTCATTGTCATCCCGCAAAGCATGGCCACTACTATTAACGTTTCCGGAGCAAGGGGGGCTCTGATCCCGACGGCGATCTATCTGTCCCCAAGGGACTGGCCGTCCACATGAGGTATCAATAGCCGGAGCCCGGGGTCAATGGTCATACTCCACATCGCCTCAGTGCAAGACTTTGCGACGCTTAAAGCTAGACACTATAGCTTACATACGCAGGAAATCTGTCGTTCCAGGTTTCTTGTCCTGTCGGGAGGGTCCTTTCGGACAAAGTCGCGAGATGTTGTCATGTTGCGCAACACATCCGGCTGGTGGCTTAGTGTTTCCTGCTGCGCCTTCTGTTTCTGCAGTGTCACGCGTGGCGCTGCAAATGCAACTCCAAATCAGGGTTTGGAGCTCTGGGTTTTGGAAGGCTTGCGTCGTCGACGCGGACTTGCAGTGACGTTGTACAGGTTGGTACCTGGAGATGCGTCTCGAGGGGCATCTGGCTAATTGCTCAAGGAGACACAGCGTAGAAGAGGGCTAGAAAGGCATACACCCAGCTATAGATCATCAATTACCCAGTCACGTCACTTGGGTCACAGACAGCAGGAGTGGCTGCTTGCTACTGTTCAAAATTGGTTGAGTAATACGCTGGAAAGGTCACTTGTGGATGTAGATCGCGATGTTCATCGAGACTTTTTTTTAATGCAAAGGTAAAGGCAAAGTTGATTCCATGGACCATCATAAAGCCTTCGTCGCTGAGCTTCCCGATAAATCATTGCAACAATTGGATAAAGTTCCAGAGCCATAAAGGGTTATAAACAAGCAAATAGAGGGTAAAAGAAAGAAGAAAAGTAGTGTTCTACACGGAATGCAGTAGATTGCATCCCTACCATCCTAGCACAATCGAGATCGAATAAGGCGATCCACTAGGGGTATTTCCGAAGCTGGGAGAGAATGTCAGAATTGAACTGGGATGAAGACGGCTCATCACCAAGGAAAACATACATCAAGGGTCAATGACTTGCTGCTGTTCTCGACCTGGTCTCTGTAGATACCGACCAATGCCTCGCTGTTCTGGAACAATCCGGTCTTCAAACTGATGACGATGAACTGCATACCGGGGGCTGCATGGTCGTGGATGTAGTTGGCAATCCGAGCCACGTTGGTGTTGTCAAGTGCAGCATCAACTTCGTCCAGCACGAAGAATGGCGATGGCTGGTAAGAGTGGATGGCAAATAGCAGAGCGAGAGCAGCCATGGTCTTCTCACCACCGGAAAGATGCTCCATATCGCGGAAACGCTTGAGAGGAGGCATGGCATGGTATTTGATGCCATCGAGGTATGGCTCGTCAGAGTCCTCAATATCCAGGTAGCTGAAAAGAGTAATTCGTCAGAAGGTAGAGCCCATGGCTAAACGAAAGGGGGAGAACTCACGCTTGCCCACCCAGGGGATAGTTGGCACTGCGAGTCAGCTCACGATAGATTGGGCCTATTTGTTCAGAAATATGTGAAAAGGCCTTGTTGAAGAGGTCCGATCGTTTACGCATCACCTCCTCGAAGTCGTCTTTGGCCCTCCGGGCTTGCTTTCGGGCCTCGTCAAAGTCCTTCTCTGTGCTTCTTAGTTTGTTCTCGACGCTCTCTAAGCGCTCCATTGCACGTGTATTGGGTGCCATCTTGTCCAGCTCATTCTTGAGAGTATTGACTCGGTCAAGAAGTTCCTCTTCAACCTTTTCATCGGCATCCTGGATTCACTTAGCATCGACACTATAATAGGGAACGTATAGTGTCACTTACCTCCTTAAGAGTCTCTCCTAAAGAATCAAAGTCAACTTCGATGCCATAGTCTTGCACTGCATCACCTCCGCCCGCGATATCCTCATCAACATCCATCGCATCGGGGTCCGCCGCCTGGACAATGTCGTCAATAGGAAGTTGGTCAAGGGGTCTAGAATCCTCCGTGAGAGGAATAGAGATGTCCTCAAGCTTGCAGCGCCGTAGAAGTGCATATCGACTGGACGAGTTTCGCTGGATCTCGGCTTCCGAGGCGCTGACATCCTTCAACATGCCCTCGACATCCTTGCTGCGCTTCTGGAGCTCACGACGCTGTTGCGCAAGGTTTTCAGCCGACTGCGCATAAGCCTCTTTCTGCTTCTCTAGTTGCTCTCCAAGGACCTCCAGCTCAGCACTGTACTCATCGAGTTGATTTCGGATTTGCTCTTGCTCTTCCTTGAGCTCCTCGATCAAACTCTGATCACGTTGATGCTGAGCTTCAAGGCTGGCAATTCTATCTTTTGTGGCCTGGAGTCTCTGTTTCTCAAAGCTGAGCTGATTCTCAATTCTGCTCTTTTGTGTCGTAAACTCCAATTTCTTCTGGGCAGCTTCTTCCTGCAAAGAACCCTGCTGAATCTCATATTCACGAATGTTGGCATACCCGAGGCGCTTGCAGAATTTGCGGTAGATCTCATCCTCGATTCTGCTGACAGATTCTTGAGATTGGGCAATTGTCTGATCAAGCTCTTCCAGAATTTCTTGTCGTTCCGTATACTTTGGCCTCAAATCCTCCAACTGGCGCTTGGCATGCTCCAACTCGGTACGCTTGCTCTTAAGATTCCTCTCAAGCGCCTTAAGCTCCTCCTGCGCATACGCAAGACGTTGCTCCAATCCAACCAGCTCGCCCTGCAGCGTCTCTTCCTCGGTGCCCCTGCGATGACCCTTTGGCAGATTTGCGAGGTCCGCCATCAGCTTGTCCTTGAGCTTGTGCAGATTCTCCACTTCGGAGTCTTCCCACCGCTTGGAATTCTGCTGCGGGCCCCGACCTCCAGTCATCAAACCTCCCTTATGTATCACAGTTCCGTCGAGCGTAACTGCCTTTGCGTCGACGTTTCTCTCGTAGCAAAGATATTTGGCTGTTGCCAAATCATCGCAAACGATGGCGTTCCCACAAGCATAGCTGATGGCTCTTGCCACGGAGTCGTCGTAGTCCACTGTTTCGATAGCTGGGCGCATTCCTCGATGCAGACCTTTCAGATTAGAATTGAAAGCTTTGACTTGAATGGTCTCCAGAGGAATAAATGTCGCCTGACCAGCTCTTTGGTCCCGGAGGTGTTGGATGCACTCCTTCGCAGTTTTCTCGTTGTCGACAACGATGGCGTCGAAATGCCGGCCGAGTACAGTGCTGACAGCTTCAGCATATTTCTTCTGCTTGGGCCTGCAGAGGTCACTGACGCGGCCCTTTACACCAGGGAAAATGCGCTTTAGAGTCGATATCAGCTCCTTCGCTCTGAGCTCTCTCTCGGTCTGCTTCTTGCCATCATCGGCCTCGAGAAGTTTCTTCAGCACGACCTGAACTTTCTCTTCAAGCTCCGTCCTCATTTGGGAGATGCGCAAGCGTTCAGATGTGAGTGCGTTGAGCTCTTTCTTCTTACGGTCAATATCCTTAGACGTAGTCTTGACCACATCGTTAAGAGAGGACTTTCGCTCAGCCAAGGTCTCCGTGTCAGTTTTCAAGCTCTTGAGTTGCCACTCAGTTGCATCAAATTTACTCTTCAAACTGTTGTAGGCCTCAGCCTCGGTCTTTCTCTGACGCCGCAGGTTGTCCAGATTCAGTTGCTCTGCAGATGACCTTTTACTGACTTCTTCTTTGAGCATCTTATACTCGTGTTGGTCAGCTTCACTCAGCTGACCGCCCTGTCTGCTCATTGTCTTTTGCCATTCCGCCTCCCACTGGGCCTGAGCTTTTTCAACGACCTTGAGGTCTTTCTCCAGTTGTTTCACGTTGGCGGATTGGGCATCCCGTTCTTTTCCAATCTCGGCGATTCGAGAAGAGAATTTCTCGACCTTCTTCCTCGTGATATCGATTTTCTCATCAACGGGAATCAATGCGTTGGTTGCTTCCTCTATGTCTTTCTCCTTTTTGAGGATATTCCGCTCTGCCTTGGACACATCCCTTCCAACCCTAGCGTGTTCTTTCTTGGCGTCCTCAACTTTCTTTTCATACTTCTCAACACCACGGCGATATTCCTTGAGCTCGTCTTGATACTTCTGAATGTCGGCACTGGAAGCATCGATCAGACGCTGAAAGTGGAAGAGCTTCCAAAGAATGTGAGTGATGATGGCTTGGTTACGTTCCTCGGCTTTCCTAGCATAGTTTTCCGCCTCCCGCTTCTGCTCCTGATATTGCTTGACCTCGGAATTGATGCCCCTGCGTCTGTTGAGCTGAATGGTCTGCTGTTCCGCGGCCTCCTCAGCTTCTGCCTTAAGACGTTCGTATTCAGCTTTATATTCGAGACTTCCTGAGATCTGCTCAATCAAGCGGGTCAAGTCCTTTGGAGACTGCGAGGCAATAGCCTCCACATCACCCTGGAAGACAAGGAAATTGCGCGCCTTGATTAGAATGTTCTCCGCCTCGAGAGCCTCGTTGTATTGCTGGGCAGTCACGATGCGGTTGTTGATCCGGTACTCGCTAACGCCTTGGCTTGTGATCGACCGCCGCCATTGCTGCTCCTCGCCCGCATCATCCTCATAGACTGCCATGACCCATGCGGTTTTGGGATCATTCAGGCCGCTGGGGTCCTGCGACTCTTCTCCATCCACATCATCACCATTCTGTTCCTCTCCGTTCGGGGCCGTATCGATGGCGTTGCCGTCGGCGTCGACTTTCGAGGTGCGCAAGACACGACCGCGGTAGACGAGATCGCGTAGATTCGTAGATCGCAGATGTGAGGATTTAATGCCTAGGACGAAAGAGATCGCATCCATTCTAGATCATGTCAGCGCAATTATATGCATGCGGTGAGGACAAGATAAACGCACGAGTTGGATTTGCCAGACCCGTTCGGGCCGATGATGGAAGTGAAGTAGGCATCTCCAAATAGAAGAGTATGATGACCCTTATAGGACTTGAAATCTGAGGAGATGGTTAACAACATTCAATAACGGACATAATGATTACTCCATACTGAAAAGCTCGAGCCGAATAAGCTTGCCCATTTTTTGATGAAGCAGTCACTTCCAAGCGACTGCGGAAGCAAGGCTCAAATGAGATGTAAAATGAAGACGCCTGCGCCAGCCCACTCAGCAGTATAGCTGCAGCAATGGAGCAGCCGACAGACAGGAGTGTTTGGAGGACCCCGCGCGATAGAGGGTTATCGTGGAGTCGCGTCTCGGAGCGCAAGGACGCGCTGCACAGCGGCCGATCACGTGGCTGTTATGATTTCCGACTCAACGAAGATACACATATCGTCGATAGGCCTACGAGCACGTTCCATTTAAACTTCATATATGTTTTATTTCTCAAGGCCTTTAATTCACATATATATATACAGGAGGTCTTTGATACAGATATTCGTGCCGTGGTCATATCTGACCACAAACATCTCACTCGCTGGTCACAGCTCGAAGAAGTCAAAAGAAGTTGTAATTAGACAACTGGAGAAGATATTCCGCTTGGGCCATGCATCCGTCGGTCTCCAGCATGACAATTACGGACGTCTGAAACTCAACGGGTTCCCAAGCACCAAGAAATCCTCGGAGACATATCCAGCTGAATCCATTCGGAAAACGCCCTTCTGGCCCTCGATTTCCATAAGGATGAAATCTTCTTGCGTGAATAACTGCCGCACAGAGCGGAACAATTTCCAAAGAAGCTGGCTCATCTTTGTCAAAGGTGCCCTGTAGATGCTCACCTTTTTGGGCGGCGTGGTCTGGGCCACTTCGGGATGAAGAGAATCAGGCGATACCACCAGGCGGCGAGAGAAGGCTACTTGGCGGGGAAGAACATCAACCTCGTAGGGCTTCCGAAATGGAACCATGCTCCGGACACTGAAACGAAGGTATGTCTTGCCATTGAGATTGATGGCATTCACGGAGTTGATCAATCGACTGGTTTTGACGAGGAATACTGTTCCCATAACGCTCATCATAACGCAAATACCACCAAAGAGACCCTGCTGCCACATTGGAAGAGGCACAATCGGATCTCTGAACACAATGTTGGAGTTGTACACTGAGTAAGCAAAGCAGAAGGCCGCGATGCCGTAGGCACCTAGCACATAAGTACGATGTGACGGTGCCTTGAACAGTAGTATGTTGCCCTCTTTCGCGACTTTTCGTTCTAATTTGCCAAAGCCTTCGGGTCGTCTGCCTGCAAACTTGAGCGTCTCCTCAGCGGGTTGTGAGGTCCTTACGGGACTACGAGCCGCCTTGGGTTTGACAACAGCTTTGGCTCGAGGAACACTCGAAGATAGGTACCTCCATGTTGAAGGTAAATTCGATCTGAGTGGTATCGAGCTTCCATAACATTGCTGTGTAAATGCCCGGAAGGCGAATGACCTGGCAAACATCGTAGCGTCTGATGTCTAAAAGTAGTCATACACTGTTAGTAGACAACTTCTTATAGATCAACTCTAGTGCCACGGTTGATGCAAACTCCTTTATGTCATTGAGACACAGTAGAGCTCAATGATAATCAATTCAAAGGGTAATTGAGCAAAACAGAGAATTGCATTGCAAGACTGACCTTGATGGAAGTTCAAAAATCCGTTGCTTTCCCTATCGTCGATCTCCGCTCGCATCGCAATCCTCCGGTCGTTCTCCGCGGCAGAAAAATGTTCCCGTCCGGGCCGCCGGTGAGCTCCCAACAACCTCAACATCGAGAGAAGGTCGCGCAGAATCCCATCGCAGCTGGCCTCCCTTGATGGATCGATACATCTAAATCTGAGCTTCACACAACTATCCAAGGCAATATAATCCATCAGGGATTCTGTGCGGCTCATCAACGAGGTAGAACCTCTTCTCCGTCGTCTCAAGCCTCCCGAATCCAGCTGCAGCGCCAAGCGCTCTCACAAATATCGTTGATCTCAGCAACAAGACATCTGGCGAGTTATCCAGCGAACAAAGAAGGCACAATAAAATAAAATGGCTTCCGGCTTCCCTGTGCGTCGAATTCCGGCCATGTTTGCCAGACGGCAACCTCGAGTAATCAGCACAGCAAGACGTGAGTTACCTGTCTATTTTCATAACCGTCACCACATGCGAACTGGGATTCATCGAATTCGCAAAGACATCGCATGCACAACTGTATATACGTAGCAAGCGCTAACTGGAAGTCTTCCAAACACTAGGCCTGAACTCTTCCTCTTCTGTCCAGACTCAAAATCCCGCCTATCCCCTGTATCCCTCTGTCATCCAGCTCCTTCACGAGAAGGGCATCCCCGAGTCCGACATCTCCAAGATTCCCGCGTCCGGTCCCAAGGGCCGTCTTCTCAAGGGTGATGTCCTCGCCTACATCGGCGCCATTCCAGCCGACTACCCATCCTCGCAAGCATCCCGACTCACCAAGCTCTCCCACCTCGACCTCAGCAACATCAAGATCGCAGCTCCCCCGAAGCCTGCCGAGCCCAAGGCTCCGGTAGTCGAGGAAATCGCCAGACCCCCACCCACAGTCTCAGTAGCCATCTCAGTTTCGCTGGCTACCGTGCTCTCCGCCCAGAAGAAGATCAAGGAAACACTGGGCGTCACGGTCCCGTTATCGACCTTCCTTGCGCGCGCCACCGATCTCGCGAATGACGACCTCCCTCGGTCTTCTCGCAGCAAGCCCTCCGCAGACGAGCTCTTTGATGAGATCCTCGGCGCTGAGCCCATCAAGACCTCCCGGGGCGACTACTTCCCTGAACTGAACGCCCTCGAGGCCGTTCCGGTCCAGTCCGCCCAGTCCTACAAGAAAGACATCATCGATATTCTCAGCGGTAATGTGTCGAAGAAGGCTCCTCGTGCGGCCTTCGTGGAGGATGCCCCCGTGGGCTCTGCCGCAAATGTGTTCAGTCTCACCGTTCCTGTGGGCGATGAGAACCGGGCCAAGGTTTTCCTAGACCGGGTGAAGACCCTTCTGACAATTGAGCCTGGAAGGCTTGTACTATAGACTTTTCTTTTCCTATCAAATCCCATATCCTTGTTTTTTTTTTTTTGTAAGTAGCACAAAAAGAATCACGAGCTTGTCGCCGATTATGCGGCTAACTGGCGTACCTAGTGTAGCATTAATGAGATGAATTTTCCCGATTGGGCCATGAATTGTATCGTTAGATCTATAAATACTAGAATACTACGGAGTACTCAGTCACTATATGGTATCAGTCTTCGGCCGAAGTATACTACAATCGCTGGTCTTGACTTAGCGCTGAGAGCCCATTCATACATAGGGTCAGTTGGTTAGGTCTGTCAGGTCACGAGACCGTTTGATTGAGTGACTTGTGTATGGTTGTAAATGCTAATCTAGCGCCGCAGGCATGCGAAGTAGGAAGATCTACAGGTGCTAAGCGACCTAATCGACAAGAATCTGCTGCGAAACGCTCGAATAGTGCTTGAAGAAGCTCGAGAAAAGGCGGATCGAGTGTGCCACATCGTACGTACCGCCGGTCTCCCGGATGCTGTGCATGCTCAATTGGGGGTTACCCAGGTCCAAGGTGCGGGCACCCAGCGCAGCAGAAAGCATTGGTCCGATGGTGCTTCCACAGCTGGAATCGTTGCGGACGACGAAGAGCTGTAGTGGGACGCCATCTGCGCCGTTGTCTGCTGCCTTGCGGGCGACTTCCTGGAGGAGAACGATGCCGGGGGAGTTGGTCGCATAGCGGGCATTGGCGTTGATCTTGATGACAGGACCCTTGTTGATCTCGGGCTTGTGGTCATTCTCGTACTTTGCGGTGTAGTTGGGGTTCACCGCATGCGCCATATCGGCGGACACGAGGAAGGATATCGACAGGGTCTGCTCGTAGGCTGTGGACAGGTTGTCCTTGTCCGACGAGGACGAAGGGAGCACGGAAAGACGATGGATGATGGCGGGAAGGAGGTTCGAGTCAGCGCCTTGGGCAGTACGGCTGCCAATCTCCTCGTGGTCGAAGAGCGCAATCAAACGGATTGATGTTTCGTTGTCCAACGCCGACGCATCGGCAACGGAGTCAATCAACCCGACAGTGGCGCAGAAGGAGCTGTTGAGGTTGTCCAACCGAGGAGAGAAAATGAACTCCTCGTGCAGACCACCCAAGCAAGACTTCTGAGTATCGAACAGGATCATTTCGAAGTCGAGGATGTCCGCAGGCTTTACGCCTGCCTCAGCGGCAAGCAACTCGACAAAGTAGGGGTGGTGGCGCTCGGTAATCGCCTTCAGAGGTGAGAACTCTCCCTTGCCCTCTTCCTTAGCTGCAGAATCCTTGGATTCACCCGTACGGTTGAGCTCGGCTTCCACGAGACCGGCAATGGGAAACAATTGGGTTTCCTTGTTGAACGAGAAATTCTCCTGGCGATCGAGATGGATGGCCAAAGTGGGGATTCGAAGAACTGAAGACAGAGTCAGATACCATTGCCCTTAAAGAGGAGTTAATCTGGGGCTATACTTGGACGATCGATTTTAATCAATTTCTGAACAATGGATCCATCACCAGTCTTAACCATAGCTCGTCCAGCGACTCCCAGATCACGATCGAACCCTGCAAGCTATTAGACATGTAGTTCAACTTTTGTTAAGGACAAATACACTCACATGTGTGCCAGATACCTCCACCATACGTCTCAACACCCACCTGGATGAATCCCTCGCCGCGCTTGTTGCTCACAGGCTTGACTCTGAGGACGGGCGAGTCGGTGTGTGCGCCAATCATGGAGATGGCATTGCCAGGCTAGACTGTCATCAGCTTTCTTGCTTGGGGGATACTGTGAGCATCTCTAGAGCTATAGAAACATACCTTCCATTTCTTGCCCACTGCAAAAGCCACAATAGTCGAGCTATTGCGAGTCAAATAATACTTACCACCAGGTCGGCATGTCGAGGCCCAGGAGTCTTTTTCCTACAAAGGATAGTTAGACAACTCTTATCTACAAGAGTGCTTGATAATTCAGGTGGTTATTCACCTTGATCTCTTGAAATCCGGCTTTGACCAGCAGGTCTTTGGCAGATTGGACAGCGTGGAAAGCTATTCATCGGCGTCAACGTGGGGTTCCTTTTGAGGGAGGGCAGCAGCAGGGAAGATATATTTACGGGTTGGGGAAGCATTGACAAAGGACAAAAAGTCCAGAGCCGGTTGCTTCAGATTCTGTGCGATCTTAGAGGTCATATTGCCCGAGTACCCTGAGAGCCAGCCCTGGTAGCTATGGTGTTACCCGTAACCCGTGTAGTGGAGGGGAGAGTTGTTGTTGGCATGAGATCATCATGGCAGATCTGATCTCCCCCGGCTATCTTGGCGGTCTGGATCAAACTAACTGCATCAGTACTTAGCGTTTACTATCATTATTGTAGAATGTAGACAAAGGTAACATCTGAAATGCTACGAGGTAGATATCTACTGACTGTCATGGACATGCTACAAAGAGAGTATGTCTTTTGAACGTAGAAGTCTGAGTTTATACACGGATAACTATGCTGCCTGGTTCAGGTTCACGGGTTCGGTATATTCAGCAGACCAAGTACAACTTCAAGTCTTACAGAGCAGATCTGACCATCTGGTGATACTAAATATAGATATTTTCCTTGTCTTCATACTCGAGGAATCTTATCTCATGCATCCTTTGTTGATTAAGAACGAGCATGAAGAAGAGGTGGTGACTGAGGACTGATAGTCGAGAGTCAAAGACACCAAGTAGAAGTAGTTGATCAAGAAAGGAGACAGCCGATTTTGTCAAGGTCACAGTTGATTGATTGGGACGGGGGAGTTCAAAGATCATTAAGTCAAAGGTAACTTTGTTGATCTACGTCAAGTGACGCTGAAGGATACCGCTGATCAGTATCTAGGTTGACGGGACTTTGGGATGGGAAGCTCTCCAATCTGTATCAAACGAGGGAAGAACTGAAGAGCAAAGACATTTGGAAGACTGTTGATGAAGACGATCGACCGGGTTCCACGGTCAATGAAACAGTCAAGAATCTCTAGTGTCCGCTTTGTTTGGTTAAAAGGAAAGATAGTAGACCAAGGCAGTTCCATTTATTGGTGTGGTCCGAGCTCTCCATTTGTCGCGTCGAGGGCGCGTGGAACGACAGGTGGTCGCGAGACTCTTAGTGCCTGACCGATCTGGCAAAACATTCAACAATGACAGGCTGAGCGCGCTCTTCAAAGTCAGCGGATTGGCGCTGCGCGTTAATTGAAACTTGAAAGGGTTCCGGGTTCAATTAAATACAGAGTGCATTATCGATAGAGAGCAGATCAATCAGTCCAGTCATCAGATACGATCGCTGTTGGAGGGGGACTGGACTGCATGGTGTAACTGTGTGTGTGCTGTGGCCTGTGGGATGGTCATGGCAACCACCACATGTATCCAGAGGCCTTGACCACATGGGGGTTGAAACACTCCCAACACCATAATTTCATTGATTGGAAATGATAATGATAAGAGATCGAAAGATCTCAGATTGATCATCGCGACCATGATAATAACACTCGCTCGTACTAATAATGATAATAATGCCCAACACGTTGAAGCCCTATACATATAGATCATCATAATAATGGAGAGCCAACCTCCTATATGGCCCAGATAGGCTTAGTGCTCCCGACGCGTGACTGGGAGGGATGGAATCCCCTTCGAACCTCCGTCACCCCCAAAACGAGCGAATTGCCCATCGCCCAGCCCGCCCTTGGATCGCTGTCGCTGTCTCCTCTCCCCCAACTTCTCATACCTCACCAGACGGTGGTCAGGTCGCATGCAAATGACCTCCACAAGTTGCCAGATTCTGTCAAGTCAGTCCTGGGTCTGGTGAGAAAGAGAATTATTCCACTGCCCGCCCTTTTGTCGCTCCCTCAACTCGCCTGTCGAGCAGTTATTGTTGTTCGGAGCGGAAGAGAAACGATTTCGCCGTTGCTATCAACACCCTTATTTATCCTACGGAACCCGACAAGCTCTCAGAGGACCAGCGATTGTATCAGACAAGATACTCGGCCGCTCATCCATTTGAGAGCGCCTATTCCTACGATTCTATATATCCCCTCCATCGCTGTTTGGGCCCTTGGGAAATCCGTCGCATCACCTGGCCCTTCCTCCATCAAGCTCAGCCTCAAGCGCTGCTCGCATCCCCAAAACCAGGCTTTAAACAAATAAGATTATGGGCGATAACGATCGAAATTCTGCTCCATCGACTGCTGCTGGCGCAATGACCACCCGAGCCACTATGAAGTCATCCGAAAGAGTCCCCAGTGCCTTGAACATCGCATCCCCCCCTGGTTCGAGAACACCACCCAGTATGCCATCGAAAAAGACTATTTTCTATCCCAGCACCATGGGAAAGAAACCGAAGAGCCAGAATACCTCCGAGCCTGTCGATCCAGATGCCCTCGCAAAGGCTCTAAAGGATTACGAAGACGCTGGACGTCCCCGGGAAAGAACACCTGGAACAAGCCCCAGTAGGAAAAGACAACGGGTCTATGGCGATCGGTATGCTTCTACCCACGTCATTTGGACATCTACCGGGAAGGACCACGACTGATTTCTGCTCTTACAGGTTTATACCGAATCGTGAGGGGCAAGATTTACAAGCCACTTACAGCTTACTTCACGAAGATGGGTGTCCCTCAACGCCTTCCAAAACGAAAAAGCGCGCTCCTCATTCAGAGCTTCATTTTCAAAAGAGTATGCTTTATTCATCACCTCATTTCTATGTTTCAAAGCTGACTTGCGTCTGTAGCAGAAGAAGCAAATCGGATGTACTCGCGAGTGCTCCGAAGCGAGCTGTTTGGGAGCACAGTCCCACAGGCCGATCTGGACTCGCTCTCGCCTGATCCCTTATTAGGTATCCCTAATGGCATCAACGAGAAGACTCGTTCGCATACACCTCCTTCACACTCCATATCGAATCTCCCTCCAGCTAGCATCACACCATCAACGCCTCACAAAAATCTCTTTTCATACACATCCCCGAGAATCGGCTCCGGACAACCCACGCCATCAAAGACACCTCGAAGTCAACACGGCCCGAATCTGAACGTTCGGTCGGAGCTTTATAGTCTGTCCCCGATCAGATATGACAGTCAACGCATTCTAGAAACACCCCGCAAGCAGCCGCGCTATGTTAATAAAGTTCCCTACAAGGTCCTTGATGCGCCTGACCTACAGGACGACTTCTACTTAAATCTGGTGGATTGGGGCAGCAGTAATGTCCTAGGAGTCGGCCTTGGGAATTCGGTGTACATGTGGAACTCCAGCACTGGCCGTGTGACAAAACTCTGTGAGTTGAAAGATGATACTGTCACAAGTGTGAGCTGGATACAAAGGGTGGGTGCAAGACTCAAATTCCAAATTATTTCAAGCGGATAGAAACTGACTCAAAAGTAGGGTACACATTTGTCAATAGGTACCGGCAAGGGTCTCGTCCAGATCTGGGATGCAGAGCATTGTCGCCGTCTCCGAACAATGATTGGACACACTAATCGTGTGGGTGCTCTCGCATGGAACGATCATATTCTGACGTCCGGTTCTCGAGATCGCCTTATCTTCCACCGTGATGTACGTTCGCCCGATCAGTATCTACGTCGACTGTCGGGTCACAAGCAGGAGGTTTGTGGTCTCCGGTGGAATACCGAAGATGGCCAGCTCGCGTCAGGTGGAAATGACAACAAACTTATGGTCTGGGACAAGCTAAACGAGACACCACTTTATCGCTTCTCTGATCACACTGCGGCTGTAAAGGCCATCGCATGGTCGCCCCACCAACATCATCTTCTCGCCTCTGGTGGGGGTACAGCTGATCGAACCATTAAATTCTGGAATACAGCTACTGGGTCAATGATCAAAGAGGTTGACACAGGTAGCCAGGTGTGTAATCTGGCGTGGTCGAAGAATTCAGACGAAATCATCAGCACACATGGTTACAGTCAGAACCAGATTGTCATCTGGAAATACCCGCGCATGGAACAAATTGTATCGTTGACTGGCCATACATTCCGTGTCCTCTATCTCGCAATGAGTCCTGACGGACAAACAGTCGTTACCGGAGCCGGCGACGAAACGCTGAGGTTCTGGAAGATCTTCAACAGGAAGTCTGGGAGAGAACCCGGACGTGTGGGCGGCAAGCTAGCGGAATGGGGCACTATTCGATGAAAACTGGCCCTGACACTGAGGCTCTCACGACCCCTGCTGCGTCTTTACACAATACCACATCCCCATACGGTTTACCAATCTGCATTAGACATGGCGTTCCAGGAATTTGGCGTTGCTATGATCCTGGGGATATCCTTGGTCTGTTTAAGGGAGGAGTTATCGCTTCTTTGGCATCTTTTTCGCATTTTGTTCGTGGGTCTTACTGCATCTTCAGGCGGCGACCAGGTGCTTCTTCGTTTTCCCATCTCACCGAATCTCCATTGCATGTACCTCTTTGCGCTTTTGTTCTCTGCACTTGTCGTTTCGTTTTACTCTGTTTTCTTCCGTCTCGGACTCTGTTTCTCGGCCACTGGCCTCGAGCTGGAGACTTTTATTAAATTTTCCTCAAATGGTATAAGCGATGGCGCTCATGGTGTTTCGCATCGGCGGCAGGAAATCGGGATATCTCATGGATCAAGCGAGCTCTAGATAGCTTAGAATGAATTATTCACCCTACGATCAGATATCTCTGGGATGTTCAACGGCGATAGACCGAGGCTAGCAACCAACAAGTATACTTCCCAGGCAGATACTGTGATCCTCGACCTAGGACACGAAATAAACAGCTACATGATAAGACAGTTCTTTCGTAGACTGGATTTGCGCTGCGAGCCTCGTTTTCTGGTTGGCAACTTTAATGAGATAGTCGCGTGTCACGTGTAGACGCGTCTCTCTCTGACACGCTTCCTCCCTTATCACTTACTGATTGCAAGCTCGACGTTTTATATCAACTAACAGGCTGAAAGACCTAAAGACCTTGTATCTGACAAAAGATCCGGGCGCAGCTGAACGTCCCCTATAAATCACCCTTGGATAAGTCGAAATGGCTTCGACCTTCTTCAACAACAAAGCCCGAGCTGCGGCGGCAGCAGCAACCAGCGGCTCGAAGCAGAAGCCAACAGACGCAAAGGAGGAGCAGACGAGGTTACAGCCCTGGGTCGAGAAATAGTATGATATTTTGGTTACGAGTAATATGTTGCGATCGACATGCTAACAGTCACGAAGCCGTCCTAAGACACTCGATGATGTCGCTGCGCAAGATCACACAACGAAGGTTCTCCAGCGGACATTACAAGCTTCGAATGTATGGTCTCAATACCTTCCATTATCATGGGACTCCAAGAATCTGACTGGTCTATATAGCTTCCACACATGCTTTTCTATGGTCCTCCAGGTACCGGAAAGACGTCAACCATCCTCGCCCTCGCCAAGTCGCTATTCGGCCCTGCACTGTACCGCTCCCGCATCCTCGAGCTGAACGCTTCGGACGAACGTGGTATCGGGATCGTCCGCGAGAAGATCAAGGGTTTTGCCCGCACACAGCTCAGCCAGCCCACCGGCCTCGACTCGTCATACTTCGAACAGTACCCCTGCCCACCGTTCAAGATCATCATCCTCGATGAGGCGGACAGCATGACTCAGGACGCACAGTCCGCGCTCCGCCGCACAATGGAACAGTACAGCCGCATCACCCGTTTCTGTCTCGTCTGCAACTACGTCACGCGCATCATCGAGCCGCTCGCCAGTCGATGCAGCAAGTTCCGCTTCAAGCCGCTGGACAACTCGGCCGCCGGCGAGCGGCTGAAGTCCATTGCCGAGCAGGAGAACCTGAATCTTGAGGACGGGGTCATTGAAAAGCTGATCAGCTGCGGCGAAGGTGACTTGCGACGGGCTATTACGTACATGCAGAGTGCCGCGCGGCTGGTAGGGGTGGGTCGGGCAGCGGCGCCGAAGGATGGAGACGAGGATTCCGAGATGGCAGACGCGGGCTCGCAGGCGATTACGGTGAGGACTATTGAGGAGATTGCCGGTGTTGTGCCTGAGAGTGTTCTGGATCGCCTGGTCCAGGCCATGCAGCCGAAGAAACTGGGGTCGTCGTACGAAGCGGTTTCGGCGGTGGTTACTGATATTGTTGCGGATGGGTGGAGTGCGGGTCAACTGGTCTTGCAGGTGAGTTCAAGCAGCCATGCAATCTCTATAGCCTTGTTTGTGGCGGATTTGCTAACTATTGCCAGCTGTATCGGCGGATTGTCTACAATGACGCCATCCCGGATATTCAAAAGAATAGAATTGTCACTGCCTTCTCGGAGATGGACAAGCGCCTTGTCGATGGAGCAGATGAACACCTCTCGATACTGGACCTGGCTCTCAGGATATCAGGTATACTGGGAGGCTCATGAGATAGATGATCCTATAGTCACGACCACCATTCTAATACCACGGTTCTCGGGAAGATATACATTATGAACACAACTGGTCTGTCTGGTCTCATGAAACATGCCCACCTACTTTGCATCTTTATGCCAGAACGAGACTTGTAAAAGTAAAGTAAGCAAATGTAAGCCTCAACTCTATCAAGAACTTGATGACTTTGATAGCTGTAGGCTGTCCTCTGTACTCCATACCTGGGTTCGTCCCGCCACCACGTGTCGGCCCGCTCGCACATTATTCTGTTGTCCGAAGTGTCAGCATACAGTCAAGCTGACCGATACCGCAGCACAAACAAGTATTGATTTTGAGTCATCTTGAAAAACCCCTATCGCATTTCATTTAAATAAAAGCCTTCAATATTTACAGACAGAGGCAAAAAGCAAACCCCCCACCAAACCAAAACATCAAATGATCCCTCCAGAGAACACACAGGAAACCCCCGCGATGACGCCCGCGCCCCGCTATCTCACAGGAGATAAAGAAGGCATCAAGGAGTTTCTGGATAGATTCGATGTAAGCCTTGCCTGGCAGTCTCTATTTGTGTTCAATTGCAGGGTATACTGATTTGATTGTGTCTTTCAGGTCTTCCTGTTCGATTGCGATGGTTCGTTCCAATTTACCCCTCCACCTCTCGACCCTTGCGCTCCTCTGCCCTGGGCCGCATACAGCCCCGAATCTTGAATACCTGCTGGACATAGCTGATGTGAATGCACTGTTATAGGTGTCCTTTGGTCCGGCGATCTGGTCTACCCTGGCACGGTGGAGACGCTGGAGATGCTGAGAAGCAATGGTATGTGCCCGCGGGCTGGCGCAATTGACCCGTTGAGGAGAACAGCGCACTCATTATCTACCAGGCAAGCAGGTAGTCTTTGTCACGAACAACAGCACGAAGTCACGCGCGGACTACAGGAAGAAGCTGGAGAAGTTGGGGATCCCGAGCTCAACGGTACGGTCGGAGTTGCATACATACACCCCGTGAAGATTGGTTCGGTGAAAGGTTGACAGGGGTATAGGAAGAAATCTTCTCGTCGTCCTACAGCGCATCTATCTACATTTCTCGGATCCTCAAGCTCCCGGAGAACAAGCGCAAGGTCTTCATCATCGGCGAGACGGGAATTGAGCAGGAGCTGGAGACGGAGAATGTGCCGTTTATCGGCGGCACAGATCCCGCATACCGTCGCGACGTGACAACGGAGGATTACAAGCTCATTACTTCTGGGGACTCGTCATTGATCGACCCCGAGGTTGGGGTTGTATTGGTTGGATTGGACAGGCATATCAACTATCTGAAGCTGGCGCTGGCGTATCACTACGTCAAACGCGGTGCGGTCTTCCTTGCGACCAATATTGACTCCACGTACCCGAATGAGGGGGCGCTCTTCCCCGGCGCTGGGTCCATGAGTGCGCCCTTGATCATGATGCTGGGCCAAGAGCCCGTGTCGCTGGGTAAGCCTAACCAAGCGATGATGGATGCGATCGAAGGCAAATTCAAGTTCGATCGGTCGCGGACATGCATGGTGGGCGATCGCGTCAATACCGACATCCGGTTTGGTGTGGAAGGCAAGCTTGGAGGCACTCTGGGCGTTCTCACTGGGGTCAGCACAAAGGAAGACTTTTTGGCTGGGCCAACCAGGCCTGCTATCTACCTCGATAAGCTGTCCGATCTTCTGGATGCCAAATAAAGCGGGCTTGCCTAGCAGGTTTTACGTACTGCGCCTTGTGTATAGCTCGGGTTGTCACAAGTGTTTCCAGAAGCGATTCCACTTCATAGACCTCTTGAAGATAACTGATAGAACTCAGCATATAATCTGATATATAAAATAGCCGCCAAGTGTCTGTAGCCGTAAGCGAACCATAGTACCTTTGGTGTTTGATGGTTGCTGACTCTAGGGCATATCGTATTTATTTGGCCTTAGCAGTGCTTGGAGTTTCCATAACGCCAGAAGTGCCTGAACACCTACAGCATCGTCCGGACTTAGAAATAGAGCACTCTTTTCGAAGCGCACATCATAGCCTTTGAGCTCCGCTAGATCATTTTCCGAGAACAGCTCGGACAGTTCGAAGACCGGCACTTTGGATTTGACGTGTGGAAGAACCACGAATTCTGGCTTAGCGGATTGAGGCGATGAATGGTCGAGTATGTCTGATTCAGCGTCTGGGGGATTCTCCATCCCGGTCTTCCGAGAGTCCATGACCAACACCGCGCCGCATTCCATGCGCTCGAACATCTCCAGGCCCTCTAAACCCTTCAACAGCGCATCTTGAGAGTAACATTCGATATTAATAGCCTTCAAGGACCCTTGCGACGATTTCAATCGCTTCTGCGCATTGCAGAATTTCTTCAGCAGCTTCAAGGCATGCTTTCTCATCTGCTCAAGCACAAATTCAGGCATGTCCTCCCGCCAAATCAGCTTCTTTTCCTCCCGCACCGTAAGCGGACCGAGCGGGTGCTTCCATCGAAACGGAATCAGTCGCATGGTCGGCGATCTTTTCCCTCCCTTGTGTCGCGAGAAAGGCACCGTCAAGTCCTTGAGTAAGGGAAGGCGGTCAATGATCCGTAGCGTAAGGTAGCGAAGGGATTTCTTCTGCGGAGATATCTTTTCAGTCTGTCCATCCAGCCCTGCGTCCGTTTCCTTTGCCGATGACAGTTCGTCTCGTAGAAACTCAACAGGCATAAACCATAACCCTTCTTCGTCACGGCGTTGCACCAGGCCCCATTCCGTCAGAAATCCCCGCGGCACCCGAGCCCCAGTCACGGTGCACATTCTGGAAGGTGAGGCAAGGGCCATTGCCCAGGGATTCAAGCGTAGTCTGTCTATATCTTCTTGTGCTGGGCGCTTCTTGCGCTTCTTGTCCGCTCCGGGGCGCGGTCGTGTGAGAAATGGCGATTGAGGAAGTAATTGTGACGGGCGGAGGGGTTGTTGAGTCGAAGATGGCGAGCCTCTGCTTTGATTACCGGAGTGAATCTTCTCGTCCTGAGTGTTGGACTCATGTTGCAGGGAGTCCGGCAGATCTCGGGACTCGTCGTGTCCATTCGAGCTTGAAAGCTCACGGTAGAAGATGCGATTTGCCGATAGAGTATAGACAGAAGGGACAAATAGCTGTCGAAACACGGCGAGTCGCCATGATGCGTATGAAACGCGGTTGCGAACACACTCCATGCCGTGTAATAGGAGTGTCAATGGCTTGGGGGAGAGAAAGGAAAGGTGAAGAAACCCGCAAGTAAGCGGATCGGAGAATTGTTGCTTTATCAACGGACTGAGCTTTCCGCTTTCCGACTCATCTAGCTCCTTGCTGCAAGCTCAAGCAGCAACCTCATCATCGCCTCAAGATCTTAGTTTTGTGTTGATGCACCTACGTGAGGGACTGGCGATATGAACCCGACCTTCTTTTTACAAGGCCTCGGCCGGACTGCCCTACGCAGTGCTGTCCAGCCGGCTTTGTCGCGGAGCTTCAGCAGCTCCATTCCCGCCTTATCCAGTGCAATTCCTCCACGGGGCTGGACCCCAACACCATTTGTGGCGGAGACAGTGGTAAGTTTATAGCGCCCTAGGCGGAAGTGTAGGTCAAAGATTAACTCTTTTTCAGGGAGGTGGCTGGCACACATGTATGTTATTCAACTGGCATCAGTTCAGACGAGGAAGAGGGTTAACCAGATGGTCCAGATGATATCTTCTCGCGACTCCTCAAAGTAAGTAAAGGAACTTTGGCAAGGGTATCATCGACTGTTATTGCTCACTTTTCTTCCTCTACAGGAGCGAATTATCTGCCTCAATGGCGAAGTCGACGAGAGCATGTCTGCATCTATTGTTGCGCAGCTCCTCTTCCTCGAAGCCGATAACCCCCAGAAACCCATCCACTTATACATCAACTCCCCTGGAGGCTCAGTCACAGCCGGTAAGAATATACCACCTTATACTTCGCTGCTCCTCGCGCAACTGAATTAACGTCATAACAGGCCTTGCAATCTACGATACCATGACCTACATCACCTCCCCTGTCAGCACCATCTGCGTCGGACAGGCGGCCTCCATGGGCTCGCTGTTACTCTGCGGTGGCCATCCGGGCAAACGGTACTGTCTTCCTCACTCGTCGATCATGATCCACCAGCCATCGGGCGGGTACTTCGGCCAGGCGAGCGACATCGCCATCCACGCCAAGGAGATCCTGCGCGTGCGCAGCCAATTGAACAAGATCTACAAGCGACATCTCACTGGGAATAAGGAGCTGTCGCTCGAGGAGATTGAGAAATTGATGGAGCGGGACTACTTCATGGGGGCGAACGAGGCGTTGGAAATGGGCATCGTTGACGAGATTCTGGACCGCCGGGTCAAGTCGCAAGAGGAAGGGGGGGAAGGTGAAGGAAAGCCGCCCGTGTCGTGAAGTGGAGCGCTTGACTTTTGTGTCGATGATGAAAGCTTCATACATACCCCTGTGTTTGTATCACTATGATGATGATGACGGTTCCTACTGAATGATATTTCTCCCCTCTTCGAACTTCCTCGCGAGTCAGATGGGTGTGTATGGGTGTACTCGGGTTTGCAGCAATCTCTGCCTTGGAATCCAATCACTTCATATGAGACAGATGTAATAATAAGAATATATGTACAGAACCCCTGTCCAAACCAAGCCTAGGAACATCGGAGGGTACTCAGGTCTCTATTCGCTGAACACGTCCATCGGGTCCAACCTGTAATCCAAACCGTTCTCGGAGAAATGCCGCCGTCTGATCTGATGGAACATAAGCAGATGTATGCCTCGGCGAAGTAGTAGTGCTATAGCGCCACTGATCTCGAATGGCAGTTATGATGCCAAGATCCATAATCACAGCTTCTCCTGAGGAAAACAAATCCAGAGCATGGCTGTTCTTCGTATGGGACGCAAGACCTTCCTCTGACGGGTCCGCCAATAACCGTGTCTGCTCCGTCTGTTCATCGTAGCTAGCACGTGTATGTGTGTGTGTACGGGTATGAGTATGAGTATCATGGGAATCGGCTTCACCACTGTCACTTCCATCACTGGGAGGCTGAGCGTCGCCTCTATGCACACCTCGCTCCTCCGAATCGTGGTCTTGCGGTGCGGACGTCTCTGTAGACGCAGTGGCAGTAGCCTCGGTCGTCTTCACTCGCTCGATAATAAGACCCAGCATGATGAGATCGAGAACCAGAACAAGAACATCCAGCGATAAGAGGCGGAATAGCGAGACGGGCGTTTTTTGCCCGATGAAATCAATCAACAACCCCCCATGCACATAGCCTCGCGTAGCTTCTCCGGCCTCCGGAAGACTGAAGAGGTTGTGGAAGATCATACAGAATATATTACTGAGGAAGATGGCTCCGATGAAGGGTTGGTTCCGCGTCGGATCGAAAGGGGGTACTTTGGGAGTGAAGAAGATCAATTGCACGATGGCACGTATCGCGAACAGTACGATGGAGCAACTGCAGGTAGGCGAAGAGGGCTATTGTTAGTATTGCGCATGTCTTGTCAGTCTTTCAGGAAGGTAATGAAACCGAGAGCTCACTCTAAGTAATAGAGCGCGGACAGCTCGCAGTAGATCAATATATCCAGATCGCGGAGCAGACGATCAATAAACGCGACCTTTGCGGCGGACTGCAACTTTCTTATGCGGTCATTATCCCGACTCAATGTATTCGAGTCTTGCCCTGTAAGGCCCGCGACGCTTCCATTGGAGATCCCGGACACGTCAGCGATGTATTCCACATCTCGATAGGCATCCGGAGTTGTCATAGAGGGTCATGAGGACATGAACGGCAATTTTCAAATATTTTCAAGGGGCACTGTGAGTGAGCAGACTGCAGAGAAGTCTGGATGGAGACTGGTACTCCGTAGTGCCGTGATGATGCGGATATGGTTGCTGACCTCCCACGCCTATCTCGGTATCTCCACAATATGGAGTCAGCCATGTGATGTCAAGTCACGTGAACTGCATGGTGCTTGATTCATGAGGCACAATTCCTCAGATAACCAAATTCTTGAGCACCACACAATAACAGGCAAGATGGCCGAGTTGGTCTAAGGCGTGAGGTTAAGGTCTACCTTAATACCGAGCTCTCTGAGTTTCCTCATCATCGTTTGATGGCGTGGGTTCGAATCCCACTCTTGTCAGATATCTGTTTGTTTTTTCTTTCTTATATCTAACTATCTATCTACTGTGTAGTTCATCGACCTTCTACAGTCGTCCTTTCAGTATGCTTCCCATCCATAGTAGAGTCATTGCTTGTATCATATCAATTTATTTTTGATCCATTATCACGTTCCGATATTGACTATAGTTCGTCTTTCCGATTCTCCTCCACTTCCGTAGCTTCATACATCCGCTTCTTTGGATTTCGAGGGATCTCCTCTTGACGCTGCCTCTCCTCTGGTGACACATCGTCGACGTTTGTTTCTTCTTGCTTGTTGTTGTCCTCCACCATGTCACCAATTTGATCAATCATGCGATCACTATCTGGTTGCTCTTCGGAGACCGGATTCTGGTCCCAGGTCGCACTCTCGGAAGAATTCGGTATAATAGCTGTCGACACATGTGTCGACATTGGAGTTTCTTGGGGTATCGTTTGGCTGAGCACAACCGAAGAGGAAGACTGAACGGCTGTACTAGAGATTCCGACTGCTCCAAGTAGTGCAAATGCAAATCTCATCATCAGTTTGAGCGGTAGCCACACTAGCCACCAGAGCGGTCCATATAGCACACGGCGAAATAGCAGCCAGGCAATAGTACCGACAAGAATGTAGAATGCTGTCTCAAGGTACCATGTATCGGACTTTTGAGAGCGCAGGAGTGAGCCGATGAGGTTGCGGGATGATGAGAGAAGAGAGTCGAGGTCGGTATACGATTCCGATAAGGAGGACAGGGCAGCTGTTGATTGTTCTGTGGTCGGAGATTAGCCAAACTGCGGACCATTCCAATAGAAAGAAGGATGACCAACCTAGAGTCTGGTGTGCAAATTGGCTGCGGGAGAGTTCTGCCTGCATCAGCTGATGCGTCCTGCGCAACGCTGCGGTAACATCGCTCGAGGCATTCATGACAATATCATCCTGCGTCAGCTTGTCGGACGATTCCTTCCGGCGCTCAGCACTCTGCGACCTCGAAAACAACAGCTCTCTCTCCTTTCGCTTCGCCGCTTCTGCATTGCGCTTTGCTTGTAATTGGGCGTTGCGGAACTCCCCTCTCGTCCTGCCACTCTAGGTTAGTATGTTTGACTCTAAGAGCAAAGACACTTTTCTAGAAGCAAGCATCTTCTGGACTCACTTTTTGAGTTCGTCCCCCAACCGTCCCGCCAACGCAACGACCCGCTCTCTTTCCAGCTCTTTCTCATTGTCCACGCCTTTCCGTCTACCTTCTATGCTTGTCTCAAGAGCCTCGACCTCGACCCTCAATAGTTCCATCTCCTCCTCGGCCTCTTTCAGCAAGCCATGTATTTCCTGCCCCAGTTCGAGGCGGGCTTGGTCGCCTTGGCCAATCGCCGTCGTAAAATTGCGTAATCGTTCAACAAGTGGATGTATCTGTGCCAGAGCTGTAGAGAGCTCCTTTAGGCGCGACTGTAATGCAGATATGGAAGACATTGTTGCAGTAAATGTTGCGAAGTATGACCCGGGACCGCAGATGGTATGCGCACAATGTGGTGGTGTATGTATGTCTGAGGTATCGCAATCAAATAATATAAGTATGCATCCCAACAGCCTAATGGAGGGTTGTTAGGAATGGGGACTGCCCAGAAGGCAGCAAAAGACCAGCTGTGTCAAGTATGGCTCTCAGAGTCCAGACACCGATCAATCAATCTGTCCGCAACCCGCATTACCCCATCGTCATCGGCTCGTTCCTGAGGCCGACAATGTTTGCATCTTTGGCAAACAACCTCTTCTCCGCCGACTTGCGAGGTAATTTTCCAGATCAGGAACAGCCCATCCCCATGCGATTGTTCCTCTAGCCTTCAAGATCTCGAACCATTATTCTTGAGATTGAGCCACCTGCTTCGCACACTCCCTCCATAGCAGATTGACTTCCTTGGTCTGTACTCCTCAATCTCTCAGTGCAACAAAAGAAACTGTACGTATATCCCGAACACACCCATAAGCAAGCAACCCAGCTAACCAACGAACCAGCCATTTCAATCGCTCCATCTCGCATTCAATCGTCTCCCGAAAACCCCCCAAGATGACCATCCCTCTGCACACCATCACCTCGTTCCGGGCGACCTTCAACCCCTTCTCGCGGGCCGCCCGTCCCTGCCGCCTCCTCCTCTCTCTCCTCCGCAACCCCTCCACCACACCCGCCGGCAGTCCCACACACATCGACATCAAGGTCACCCAGCTGCCGCGCCACTCGACCCAGCTCCCCGAGATGATGGTGGGGTTCCGCGGCGGCAAGGAGGTCAAGATCGAGGTCGGCAAGAACCAGCTGAAGATCGGGGACGTGATCGAGGAACTTGCGCGCGTGGGCCGGGTGATTGAGCGAGAGGAGACTCTTAAGGGTTGATCTGATCACGCTGGTTTCTTTCTGATGTTTTTTTTTGTTCGATTATGGATTGCTTTGTATCATTGCGGTTTTTTCACGCCACGGCGCCGAGGAGATCGGGTTCGCGTTCCTTGATTGCGCGTTTTGTACGATAGATGGGAGGGGGTGGGTGAGGATTGGGATGGATCAATGTTGGAAAAGACCCATGACGAGCTATAGCAGCAGGTTACGGTTCTTTGCATGTGTATATATTAGCCATCAACCAAATCATGTCTACTACTTGTAGGCCTCTGGCTGGTGAAAATCATACATCTACAAGCACTCGCATCTCTCGACGTTCTAGTGATCAGACTAATTATTGCTAGTCTTATGAGACGAATGAATCTACCATGCACTTCTTCCGACTTTAAAATCCTCTCGCACCTAGAATCTACGTCCGTGGAGAATATATATATATATATGTTCGCCCACAAGGGGATAAAAGCCTTTTTAATTTTCTAGAAATTATGTTCGGGGATAATTTAGACAGCAGCACCAGAGATGAAGAACCACTTGTCAACGCTGCCATCGATGGGAGCAGGAGGCAGGTCCTCACCCCGGGGAAGGGCGGCAAGCTGGGAGGCATCAGTGCGCTCAGGGGAACCCTCAAGGGAGGAGTTAGCACTAGTCACAAGTTAGTCGTGTCAAAGTCATAATAAAATTCATCGTCAATGGGGCACTTACAGGCTGATCTCGCCACGGGGGCTCTTGCCAGACATGAGCTTCTCCCAGGCATCGGCGCACTCGCGGATGACCTCTTCGGCGTACCTGAGATGATAAGGTCAGTGAGGTTATCCCAAACAAAATATGAGGTGACGGGAAAACGAACTTCTTGTTCTTGCACTCGCCGGAGAAGGCGAACTGGTTCTCGGGCTTGCCGTCGGGGATCTTGTAGATGCGGAACCACTCGTTGGTGGCACGCAGCAGACCAGGAAGGTGACGCTCAACATCCTCAACGTCGTGGAGCTTGGCGGCCAGAGGGTCTTTGATATCGATAACAATGATCTTCCAGTCGGTCTCCTCCTCATCAAGCAGAGCCATCACACCGAGGACCTTGACCTGCTTAACCTGACCGGTGTAGCCAACGAGCTCTCCGATCTCGCAAACGTCGAGCGGGTCGTTGTCACCCTTGGCCTTGGTCTCGGGGTGCACAACGTTGGGGTCTTCCCAGGTCTAAAGGGTAGAACTTCCGTGATTAGCACAAAACTGGCTTTAAGATTGCGAATCAGATGCATAAAGGGTCGAGCGTACCTGGGGGAAGGCACCGTAGTTCCAGAGGTAACCCTTGTGGGGGAAGCAGTTACGAACGTAACGGAGCTTGCCCTTCTTGACGTCCTGCTTGATGGGGTTCAGGAACTCCTCCTTGGAGATCTGTATGACCGAAGCCAGATTAGCACATATTTTGCGGACCAGAGATTGCGCCCGCCGACGATCTGGTCGGGCCAACGTTTCGTACCTCCTGCTTGGCGTTGGTCCAGCGGGGGATCTCAACAACCATGTTGAGGACGGTGCGCTCAGCATTGGCGTAAAGAGGAATATCGTGGAAGGGAGAAACGGGAACGCCATCCTTCTCGATATAAACACGGTGCTCCAGGGTGTTGGCCTGGCCGATCTTGCGGACGGTGTAAGACATATTGGGCGACTTCGGCGGGGAAGCAGCTGAAAAATGTCTAGAGAGAAGAGCAGCACGAGTTGACGCGGAGGCTACCGACGAACGAACTCTAGGAGAAGGGGATGATGATAATAAAGAAGATGATTGATGTAGAAGGGGGGAGGAGGAAGAGAAGGAGGAGGGGGAGGTGGAGGTGGAGGAGGAGGAGGAGGGAGGAGGGGCTTGTTTAGTGGGGGGAGCCAGCGTTGCTGATGTGCGAAGAACGGGCGAACGAGAGCGGGCGAGGGCCGGTGAGGCGGTGGACAGTCGGAGCAATGGAGGCAGGGGCAGTCGAACGCGGACTGTATGTAGAGGCCTAGGGGACATTGATTGTATTATAGACAAAAGTGAGAGGATGAGATTAGGGTAGAGTTTCCAATTGACAGTTCTAAGCTTCTTTTTCTCTTTTTCTTAAGCTTGTGATTCCTCCGATCAGGCTCTACTTTTATCCAGCAAAAAAAAAAAAAAAAAAAAAAACAATAAAAAAGGGATCGAGTCTTGGGGAGAGAGCTGGGAATTGTCGGGATGGAAAATTGGCGTCGGGAATTCTGGCCTCAGGTGTCCGAGGCCCGTCTTTAGTAGGACTATCCACTCTGGTTGTGCCTAGGTACTATGGACATCCTGGACGTTTAACACTTCTGTATATATTGTATTGTGTAGCTTTCATCGCGCGGTTCGTAATCCTAATTGATTGTCAATTACAACAGTCACAACCTGGAACAAGACGCACTGAGGCAGTCATGCTATATATATACCCGGGGGGGAATCACATATCCCCGGCACAAAGCGATCTGATGGTAGCCACACCATGATTATTCTATTCTCGGAGAGCTCCAATGTTATAGTCAATAGTGACTCCAAGTGATTACTAGCGTCTTCCTGCATGATGTATTTAGAGTTGACAGTTCTATGGATTGCCATCATGTTACTCTACGGCCTTCCTGAACAATACCTTATCCAGACGACATATCCATTATTCCCGAAAGAGAACAGTGCGATTGAGTTGCGGCCCTGATTATCTACAGGGATAGGGGATAGGGACTAGACCGAACTAACCTTAATTCCAATCCGATTCATCTCTCGAAGAACGTCTCAAGAGTCCTCAACTCTTCAATATCTCCTCACTCAATCTTACTAAACAGGTACCAATGTACTTCACCACCTTCACCACCTTCATCATGTAGTAGCTATGAGGTGAGAATCGAAGGGGTATAGTCCCACTTATGTGCCGTATGGGCTGCAGGACAACCACAATAGAATACTCGAGACACGAGCCACAAGAAATACTGATATACTTTGCGCCTCCTATGTCTCTGGTTGCATACCTTCAATAATCATCGGAGTCCTCCGTCTTCCCCGGTGGCTTATCGACTATCTTCACGTGATGTCTACTTTTTCCGTCTCCGCTTTTTTGAATCTCTCTCTTTCTCATCGACAATTGAAATATTGTTGATTTCCTACAATATACTCTGACTACTTTTTTTTTGGTTTGCATACGCTAATTCGCCGTTTCATCTGCACAATCTTCGTCACCCACACGAGAACATCGATAATGCTATGCTGAGGTTCCTCCGATCCGCAATGACTACGCTTACTACATCCCCTCGCGTTCCTATCCCCGCCAATGGAGTCGACTATCGTGGCAAAATAGTTCTCGCGCCGATGGTGCGATCTGGAGAACTGCCATCTCGTCTTCTCGCTCTCAAGTATGGCGCAGACCTCGTTTGGGGTCCCGAGACAATAGATCGATCGCTCATCGGAGCCACCCGCCGCGTGAATCCCCGCAACGGAACCATCGAGTATACCAGACTTCCCTCGAACGGCGGACGCTCAGACAAGCCTCCACAAGAATCCATCTTATACCGCATCGATCCGGTGCGCGAGAAGGGAAGGCTGGTATTTCAGATCGGTACCGCCTCTCCGGAGTTGGCCGTCGAGGCAGCCAAACTTGTCGCAGGCGATGTGGCTGGAATTGATGTCAACTCGGGATGTCCCAAGCCCTTCAGTACCAGTGGTGGAATGGGCGCGGCCTTGCTGCGCACACCCGATAAGCTCGTCTCTATCCTCGAGTCCCTCGTGCGCGAAGTCGGCAACCCGTTCCAAATCGGCATCTCGGTGAAAATTCGCATCCTAGAAACACCGGAAAAGACCGAGGCTTTGGTCAGGAGACTCGTCGCGACAGGTATCACGGGACTGACTGTTCATTGCCGCACGACACCCATGCGGCCGCGCGAGCGCGCCATCCGCGATCAGTTGCGGATGGTTGCTTCAATCTGTCGCGACGCTGGTGTGGCCTGTGTCATGAACGGTGATGTCACATCCCGCGACGAGGCGCTAGCGCTGATGAAGGAGTTCGAAGTCGACGGCGCCATGATCGCCACAGCCGCCGAGTCGAACCCATCGTGTTTCCGCTCCGAAGCAGAGGGCGGCCTATTGCCCTGGAGGGAGGTAGTCCGCGACTACCTGCGCGCCTGCATCGAGGCCGAGAACCGGTTCGGCAACACGAAATTCCTTCTGAACATTCTCATCCCTGGCAGGAACCGAGAATTCAAGGACGCAAAGGCCGCCAAATCCTACACTGACTACTGCCACTTCCTGAAATTCGACGACCTTCTCCCAGCCGCCGCGCAGGTCGACGAGATCCTCAACCTCGCCGACAAGTCCGTCTACAAGAAAACCGAGACGGACTCCACCGCCCGCGACGCGGCCGTAAAGCACGCCCTCGAGAACAACGAGACCGCGCGTGCCGCCAGTGGCGCCCCGCGACCAAAGGCGCCCTCACCCGCTGTGAGCGGAGGCGGTCCCATCCGCACCAACTCCATCCCGGCACCCGTCAAGTCGAAGCCGGAAGCCCAACCCATTGACGTCTCCGTCCCTGCGACAGAGGCGACTCAGAAGCCAGAGCTTGCTGCATAGACCTCGTTGATTTTGACCTTGGCGTTTTGACATACCTCATAGAAATTTATTCTTGCACCTCCAGTTTTCTGAGAGAACCCTCGGTGGTTCCCTTGACTGGTCTTTTCTGTGTGCATTCCTGATTGACTGCATAGCTTGGTTCTCGTTTTTGCATGTCCCGGTGTGAATTCTGTGGAGTTTTTTCTTCTTCTCTTTATATTTATTGTTCATGTTCATAGATTCCCATGATCCGCACAGTCCGTGCTTGTTACTCTTATCCTTCAGTCCATCCAAAACGGTGCCCACCCTGGCTTCATCTACCCAAGTGATACTCAAAACAGTGTATTGGGAGTGAAAATTGACATCCTTCCGCCAAAGACAAGAGGATAATCATGCATTTGTAAACTAAACAACCAACCCTGTAATGCTCCAGTCATGACCAGCTGCCACAGGCACTGGTTAATGCCATCTATAGAACCCCCGAATGAACGACTATAACTGATAGGGACAGAGACGAAGACAGAGACTTGATGCAGGTCTGCCAAACACCACAAGCGGTGATTTCACGAAAAAAGAAAACTAAAAAGAAATTCAAAAATGCATGTATCTTTCGACAGGGCGATGACATGATGATGATATGCAGACAGAAAGCTCGCTGACACCAAGGCATGAGAAAGTAAACAAGGTAACAAAAAAATACGCCTTCTAAGCAGAGATGCGGAGCTGGTCAGAACGAGACCAAGATCTGTCTCCAGCTCCAGAAAATGCACGAATGAGATCAGACGAGGCCTTTTTTCCTCTTCGGTCATCAGGCTGTTGTTGTTGCCTTGTCCTGCCCCAGATTCGCAAGTACCATATCCTCCACGACCTTCATCCCAGCTTCCTCGCCCTTCTTGTTGTCCGTCTCGTCGCCGGCAACAGCCTGGTCGAGAGCCAACTTGGTCTGGCCGAGAGCATAGATCTGCTCCTCAATGGTATCCTTCGTCACGAGCCGGATGACTTCTACCTCCTGTGTCTGACCCACGCGATGCGCACGGTTCTCCGCCTGCACGTCTTCCTGCGGGTTGAAGCTGGAATCGAAGATGACGACTTTATTCGCGCAGGCTAAATTGATACCTGCGCCACCGGCTTTGGTTGAGAGGAGGAATACCGGGATGTCGGTTCTCTCGTGGAAAGCGTCCAGGATAGACTGGCGATCTTCGACGTTCGTTCGGCCGTCCAGCCGGACGAATTCGAGGTGAAGAGTTTCCAGCACGTGCTCGAGGATATCCATGACCATGGTGAATTGGGAAAACACTAGGGTTCGGTCACCGTTTTCTTTGAACCGTTTGAGTAACTCGCAAAGCTTGTCGACCTTTCCTGAGTTCATCCATTCGTCATTTTTCAGAGCGAATTTGCCAAGGGAGTTGGGGTGATTGATGCAGAGAGAGTGGCATTCGAAGTCATTGTATGCTTGCAGCTCTTCAAAAATGATATTTGGGTTGGATTGGGACCACTGCTCCTCCTTTAGGCATGCTTTGGCCATACGGCTGAGGATGGTATCAGTGTAGTGACGTCTGTACAAAAGAGGATGGATAGCGGCCTGACGAAGTTTCATCAAGATGTTGGCGGATCTGTTGCCCGTTTTCTTCCCGGCGGCCCGGTCAGCCAGCAGCTGGCGGACTTCTTCCTGCTCATGCTCATAGATCTCCTTTTGAGCACTGTTCAGCTGGCAATATTCGACGTGAGAGATCTTACGAGGCAGATCGATGACCTGATGCTTTTTTCGCCGCAAGACAAAGGGTTTGAGCATAGACTTGGCTCTCTCGATACGCTGCGCTGATAACAGTGTAGAGTGAGAGTCGTCCACAGTCTTTGCTTTGTTTGCAAAAATGTATTGAAGATCCTCTTTGCGTTCCTGAAAGACCTTGGGAAGGATGAAGCCCAGCAGGGAGGCCAGCTCCTGAAGGTTATTTTGCAGTGGTGTTCCAGTCAAAAGGAGCCGGAAACGAGCGGAGATGCGAATGAGTTTCTCGTACAGGACCGATGTACTGCTCTTGAGCATGTGGCCTTCGTCGTAGACACATACACAGAAGTTCATGTTGCGCAAAAAGTGAGCATCAACCTTGGCCTTTGCGACTGTGTAGGTCGTGATGATGACGTTGATATCGTCGCGATTGTCCTCAATTGTCTGGCGGATTTGAGCCCGCTCGGCTTGTCCGGCATAGTAGGGCATAACGGACAGCGTAGGACAGAACTTCTGAAATTCTCGGAGCCAATTTTCAATCGTGGATGAGGGCACCACTACCAGATGAGGCCCCTTAATGCCCTTCTCGTACAGGTGCGCCAGAAAGGCAATGACTTGGCACGTCTTTCCGAGACCCATGTCGTCTGCCAGAATGCAGCTCAGTTTTTTATCGAAGAGCAGCGACAGCCAGTTGATGCCCACCACCTGATAGTCTTTCATCTTGAGGTTCTCATTCATGATACTTGGCTGAGAGATGAACCGGCTCCTGCGGGAGCCGGATGCAGGGCCGTCGCTGTCCTCATCGGTGGGCTGGCTGGCTGGAGTGCCAATGCCAGAATCATGCGATTCTCTGTCGATCGATACAAGCTCCAGTTCTCCATCACGTTTTCCGAAGATGTCGACGCCCCATTTCTTCATCTCCGCCGCAACTGGGCGGCCAAGTTCTTCGCACGTTGCAACCAACGAATCGACTGCCTCGTAACCTACCCACATATCAAGGCATTTATCCACAATCTTGTCTCCAATAGGCTTTGGCGTCTTGCGCCCTCTAGCACCCTTAGGTTTGGCATTTTCACTCGTTGGTGCTGGCACAGCGCGGACTGCGTCTAATATTCTGAAGGGACGGTGAGAGATGATGATCTTCGCGACGTCTTCAGTTGTTGCTGCCAGGTCTGCGAGTTCCACGGCTTGGCAAGTGTTAATGAACTTAAGAACACTGATTTCTGATTCGCCGGTTGCGAAAGGTTCATCAGCGGCAGAGTCAGAATCGTCCGTAATAATCAAAGGAGCTTCGGGAGATTCAGAGCGTGCGGGAGAAGGCTGTTTCCGCCCCTGGACCAATCGCCCAGGCTTTTTCTTTGGGGGCGTGTCGGAAGGAGCAGGACTGGGAGAAGAGGCGCGAGCCTTGGGGCCTCGAATTAATCGTCGCCGGGGCTTCAGTTCTTCCTCTGACGGCTGTATTTGTATTTGCGATAGCGATTGGGTTCGTTGGCTTGCCAGATTCTTCTGCAGGTTCATGGCCGACCACTTGTCTTGAATTTTCCCGCGGGCTTTGATGTTCTGTTTCGCTGGCGCAATATGCTCTGCCTGCTGAGTCGTATTCAATTCATCCTCCGACGAACCAATTGCATCGTGTTCATCCGTATTTGCTAGATGATCTAGCGCATCTTCGTAGTTTCCCCGTTTGAACAAGAGGGCCTGCATACAAGTCCGGACCGATTTCTGCGGCATCACTCTAAGCATTCTCTCGACCTTGACTCGAGTCTGGTAGTCTTCAATGTCCTGCAATGACACTACATTCACCTCGACTGGCTGAGCGCGGGAAGGACCACTCTGCCGTATCTTTTTGACAGGGATCCCTTTGGGAGTCGGATCCATTTGCGAAGCAGGGCGCTTAGCCCCAGGATTATAGACCGCAGACGCGGTGATCTCCTTGAAGCGATCCATGGACGACGAATTGGCACCTACGGGAGAATTCAAGACTTTTTCGGGGCTGCGCGAAGATTTGGTGAACATCGACGGTTTGATGTCGGTGCTTCTGGTTGTATGAGCGTCTTCGTCGGAGGACCCACCGAGGTATGTCGGGCCGTCGTCGTCAAGGTTGATCACGGGAGTTCGCTTCGCAGGTCCGGCGGAGGCAGGTGGGCAAAATCGTGTACCTGGAGGTGCCATCAAATTGGAGAGACGACCACCCAGCGGCGTAGGACGGGTGGGAGAGGACGCCGGGCCTAGAGGAGAGGAGGCAGCAACTTGGATGTTGCTTTTCGCCGAATGAGGGACTTCGATGATTTGCGTAGGTTGGGTCAGTCGCTGGGAAGTAGGAGTCAATGATTGTGTTGCAAGTGGCTGGATGTGATGCATAGGGAGCGGAAGAGTGGCGACGGTCTCATATTCAGCATCATCCTTGACGGCGGTCGGAGGCGTACTATGGATGATTTTCTTGTCGCTGACGGGGGTATCAGGAACGGATTCGTCCATTATTCATTTGGCAGCCAGCCAGTAAGCAATCGAGATCGAAATTAATGATAAAATAAATAAGGCGATATAGTGAGAGACGGGAGAATGTCCCGACAACACAGCCAGAATCGAGCTCTCTCTCCAGCTTCTCCAAAATCGACTTCGGCGCTGTCTCTTTTTTTTTTTTCCCCAACAAAACGCGACGAACGCGCCCCCGGTCACGTGGGATGGCGCTTCAATTAAGACCAACTGGGAAATCCATCAATATCACTCACTACTTGCATTTGTTCTATGGAGATGCTGAAGATACTGACCCTGGGGTAGAGTTGTATCCATCACAGATGATCAAAAGTAATGTGTTCTACGATCCAGCATGATCTCCAATAAAACAATATCTCTGCTGAGAATTATTTTCCATCTGGACAGAGAGAGCTTCAGCATTGAAAGAACTGACCAATCACATGCCACCCGTCAATGACATCTCCATCTCATCAACTCCGCCCAGTACTAGTAACACATCCATGGATATGTCTTCAAAGTACTAGTGTGCAACTAAGATCTCAATAAGCCACAGTATACACGTATCAGCTTTCTTGAAACCTGAAACGGAGCCTGGCATCTGCCCATCCTAGGCTCAGCTGTTGAGAATTATCAATTGTCTTCCTTATTGATCCTTTCGTGCTGATCTATCCAACAACACCTTGGCCTCAACTCAACAATACTGCTACCTCTTAGGGAAATTTACCTTCTAATTTCATTCACAATGGCCGGCCGTCACTCCCAAGAGAAGTCGTACGCAGAGGCTGCCGCCGCCCCGGCACCAGAGAAACCTGACAGCTCGGATGTCACCCCTGCAGTTCCTGCGTAAGTACTATTGCCGATGCATGAATCGAGTCCAACCAGGCTTACGATCTGATCAGGGACGTTATCTATAAGCTTCTGGGCTTCACAGCAGCTATGATCGTTGGTCCCATTGGCATGTACTTTGTCACAGTAGACTTTGGTGGTATGTCGTCTGTCCCATCAGCTGATTTCGAATTGCTTGGGCTGGAAACTGACCTGGATTCTAATAGCGAGCTCGACCGTGGCTGGGGTGACTGCTGCTGTCACTGCCAATGTGATCTTGTTTACTTATATCTATGTTGCCTGGCTGGAAGACAAAGAGGACAGAGAGGTGGCCGCGAAAAGAAAAGAGAAAAAAGCCCAGTAGAGCGGGTCTTTCAATATCTGTGTTTGTACTTGATAGCTTGCTACGATAGGTAGTCGATGGCGTTTGGGGCATGGTTCTTATTGGCTAATGATGTGATCCATTCTGAAGCTCGTTCCTCAGTGTCGCGGCTCCTTACTACTCGCAAATCCCATCGTAATGTGTAAAGGGTCCATGAAAAGCAATCTGTATTTAGCCCATCTGCTTTGACATTGAAAGCACGCCCAAATCGGGATATCAGTCACGCCGAAAATGCAATGTGTTGTAGTATATTCAAAGATGGAAATGTCACAAGGTATAAATGGACAGTAGCTCATGTTTATGCCGGTCTTCTCTTCACGAATTCCTCCAAGTCAGCCTTGGTCGCAACACCGAGTACAAATTTCCTCGACACATCGGTAACCACCGCAAACTGTTGCTTCTCCCTCTTCTCCCCGCTCGGGCCGGACTCGCTCTCGAAGAACTCTTCCAGTTCCTCCAACGGCGTCTCCATGGTAATAACCTTGTAAATACCGCGCTTGCGGTTGAAACGCTGCATCGCCACCGAGACCGGATCTGTTTCCTTCACAGTGCCTTGCTTGAGCATCTCCTTGAGTCGCGGGATGCTGAGGTATCCGAGCAGAGCCCGATTCGAGGAGATGACTGTCAGGTGGGTATAATCGCGCTCATAAGCCGCAAGCATTGCCGAGGCAATGGGGTCGCTGGGAGAAACAGAGAGTGCGGGAGGAGGGTCTAAATCTTCAACAGTTGCCTATGACATGTGTTAAACTCGAAATCCGCTTTTTGTTCAAGATTTCGGGGAGATGGGAGAACATCACGAACCCCGCGGTACTTGTCCGCCCAAGCGGCCTGATCTGTAGTCGTCTGGGTACCCGAAGCCATTTTTTCTTGTGTGTATGCCTCGCTGGCGGTCAAATAGGAAGCCATTTTGAGGATTGGTGAGGATGTTGCGTCAAAGACGATATCGGAGGAGGGGTAGAACAGCGATAAGCAGGGGGTGGGTGATTCTGAACCCGGCAATCGACTTTCTTACTGGCGCTGCACAACAGAGGCGATTTGGGAAGAGTACCGGATCAATTAAAAGTGAAGGAACGTCGTAGGCACAACAACGAAGCTCGAATCAAGGTTAATTTTATCGATTGTGGCCCACCAACTGTGGACGGATCGGGATCGGCGCGGAGGAAGAAAAAGAGAGGGGCGTTTCTCCCGAAGCGGAGAAGTTCAGACGGATGCTTAATTAGTTAAGCAAGACGCAGAGAGTATCTATGAGACTATGAAGGTCCCCGACGTCATCCGTCATTTCGTTCTTCTGCCCCCAGCAGGCTGACTCAAATGCCCTTCTCTTTGTTCCCCTTTCTCTTTCTTCCACTGGTGTGCGTTCGTCAATAGGTCCACTAAGTCCGTCTATCTTATTCCTTTTTCTTTAAAGAGGGAGTCGAGCTTAGAATTGTACTCAATATCATCATCCATCATTATCGTTCATCATACTGATCTACCGGCCCTAAGAGTGGGGATAAGTTCTACATACTAATTCATCAGTTCATCATCCGTTGAAAATCATTACTGCAATAATTTCAACCATCATGTTTCCCTCAGAGGGAGTAATCCTCAATGCCTTCAATGCGCAGAACCCTCTGAATCACTCCCAGGAGCAGTCCAAACCTACAGGAGTCCCGGGATCGACTAGACGGGAACCCTTTCCAGCTTGGAGCGTGATTGATGATACTAAGAAGAAGGCCGATGCGTTCGCTAAGGAGGCTTCTCGCGAATTTGAAGTCGCTAGCCATAAGGCACAGGCCAAAACTGGCCACATTGAGCCATGGACTCCGAAATACTATGCAGCTTGCACCGTTGGCGGTCTTCTCGCTTGCGTGAGTATCAGAAGCTCAGGTTATTGGCCATACTGGCTAACCATGTTCCGTCGTAGGGCCTTACTCATACGGCAGTGACACCTCTCGATCTCATCAAATGCCGCCGCCAGGTAGATTCGAAGCTGTACAAGAGCAACATGGAGGCATTCCGCGTGATCCGGCATGCAGAAGGCATGCGGGGTGTTTTCACTGGCTGGAGTCCGACATTCTTTGGATACAGCGTAAGCTGAGAGCTTATGATATGATGCTGGTCTCGGCCAGGACTGACTGACATGATCTAAAGGCTCAAGGAGCATTCAAATACGGCGGGTATGAGTACTTCAAGAAGTTCTACTCTGACCTTGTGGGACCCGAGCGTGCCCAGAGATGGAAGACTTCTTTGTACTTGGCTGCCAGTGCATCGGCAGAACTCATTGCGGACGTCGCCCTTTGCCCGTTTGAGGGTGTCAAGGTGCGCACGCAAACGACGATCCCGCCTGAGATGAGAGGGACCTTCTCTGGCATTTCTCAGGTTGTCGCTAAGGAAGGAGTGGCTGGGTAAGTTATGTTGTCTGAAGGTGGAGCCTTTGTGTTCAAGAATATCTGCTGATCAAGGTTAGTCTGTACAAGGGTCTGTATCCTCTCTGGGGCCGACAGATCCCCTACACCATGATGAAATTTGCTTCGTTTGAGACCATTGTGGAAGCTATCTACAAATCTCTTCCCGGAAAGAAATCAGACTATGGCAAGGGCGCGCAGACCGCAGTCGCATTCTCCGGTGGTTACATGGCCGGTATTCTTTGCGCTGTTGTGTCGCACCCCGCTGACGTGATGGTGAGTAAGTTGAATGCTAATAGACAGGCGGGCGAGGCATTCGGTGCAGCAATGGGCCGGATCTATAAGGAGATCGGTTTTGGTGGCCTGTGGAACGGCCTTCCTGTCCGAATTGTCATGATCGGAACTCTTGTGAGTACTCTTTCTTGAGAAGGTCCCGAGGTTAAGCTAACAGCACATGCTCGCAGACTGGATTGCAATGGATGATGTGAGTTTGCCCCGACCCTCGATCCCATGGAATCATACTGACTCTTCCCCAGCTACGATTCATTCAAGATCTTCATGGGCCTACCAACCACAGGCGGTGGACCTCCCGCCGAAAAGAAGTAGTGAGGGTTATGGTTTAACCATTCTCTCAGCGGATCAGCAGTGTAAAAAGACCAGGGTTGTCTCAAGAAGGATGCCATATTGTCATAGGGTTAATGTAGGCCGTGTATTGTGTTAGTTTTGCAGCAGTAATCGATCAAGTCTGCCGTTCAATCCTATACGAAGCGTCATCTTTTGTAATGCTAATAACCATTGCTCATCTGATGGATATCAGTATCGCCAAGATGCCGTTATCAGCAACCGCTCCTGGACTTGCCCTGAACCAATCAATCCATCCACGGCACCCGTTATCTTATCAGCCCAGCGGCCACTCGACGTCACAAGGCGAAGGACGCAGCCCTAGTATCGTCAATGAGTTCATCTTCTCTGGAGTACAGGATATAATCACGTGGAGATCTCGATTCCAGGGGCTTAGAGTTAGAGGACCTGAATCTTACCTGATTTGAATCTGTTGGCGAGGGTTCCATTCCTGGTTTCTTTGAACCCTTATCATCCTGATATCAACAGATTGATAAATCGATATTTATACTCTCCACAGCCCCCGGTCGTTCCTCGTATCCCGCAGCCCCTCTATATCAAAAGATAGGTACGCTATCACTTATACTTCTCATCAGGTACGACGGAGACATACAATTCCCAGCCCATCGCCCTCTCGAGCTTTTTCTCATCTCTATCCTAGGAATACTCTCCACACACCTAATACCATGCCCGAACACGAACCCATCGTCTCGCATGGCCGCGGAGGTGCGCACACCTCCCACTCCCATGATCATACCATCCTCTAACTCACTCTCGCACGCACACCAGGCCAAGGCAACATCGGCGCCGACCCCACTCAGTACGTCCCGGCTCCAGAACTCCCCTCAAGCCTCCCCCCTGCGATTTCCATCTAACCGCTCACCCCGACTACAGATACATTGACGCCGGCATCGTCCGCGAAGGCCTCTACGGCGACCAGGGCGACGGCGCCTACTCCGCCGGCGTAAGCAAACACCACCAACCCCCTCGTGGCCTTTGCGTTTACACCCCACTAACTCCTATGATAAAAAAACAACAGCGCGGCGGCGCAGGCAACATCGGCTCGCCGAACGTGCGCCCCACATCGAAGATCCCGCACGACGCGGAGATGATCCCCGAGCTGGCGGTGCGCAACTCCACGGACGAGAATTACCATGTCGGGGTATGTGCCTTCCCCTGTTTATCAAATTCACCTTGAAACCCCCCCCTCATAACGAGGATGCGTAACTGATGGGTTGTGGCTGGTGAGCAGCGCGGCGGCCAAGGCAACGTCCATCTCGACGAGGAGACTCGCAAGGAGAAGGAGGTGAAGAAGAAGCAGCATAATCATCCCGAGGGATTGGCGGATAAGCTCAAGCATAAGATTTTTGGGCGGTAGAGGGGGGGGGGGAGGGGTTGTTAATGTCTTGGTGTGGGATATATATACATATATATATATATATATATATATCCTTATCCTCCCGGTGGAGAGTCGAGGGGTGTCCATGTTGGTACTGGTATTATGATTCCCTGTTTGTTTTTCTCCTTCTGTTTCATCAATGGATACTCCAATCTATGCTTACTTCGTCGTTGCGGATCTTGAAGAATGCGAATATGATATGTCGCAGCGCTCCTTTTACATACTGTGTCAGGACTCAGTGATCAGTATGTCCGAGTGGGTGGGTATTAACAGCGGGCTTTTGGGGAAAATAGTTGCGTGATAACTACTGTCTACAGTAGATACTAGAAACTACTAATCCGTAGACTACGTGCAAATCATTTATATTCGAGTTGTCTAGCCGCCACGGCTACAGCAACGGATTTCGATTTGTGATACACCGCTTGTTGCATAAACAGGTTTTGCTTCGATTCATTTTTTTCAGACCCATGGGCATGGCTGAGGATGATTGATCACATCTCAATTTGTGGATAAATCGTCCTGTTGAAGATCTTTTTTTTTTCTTTTTTTTTTCTTTTTAAATTTTCCCTCCTCCAGATGTGTATACAGTAGGTCCGAACTGCGTATGTACTCCGAAACCAGCAGTCAGCACCGGAAGAAAAATGAATGCAATCCTGTATCAAGGCGATTGATGAAGCATCTCATGTATCATGACATCGTCAAGCATAAACGAAAGGAAACAAGAAAAAAACGACAACCCTGTACCACAGCGTGACGAGACATGAATAGTACAGTCGACGCAGCAATAAACATTAAGAATGAGAATTTTTGCATACCCCCACAATTTCCCTAATTGCCCATGTTTGTACTCGAAGAAAAACAAACGCCGGTGGAAAAGGGAGAGAAAGAAAAAAAGCGTAGATGAGATGGCCGGAAAGAAAAGGAGAGAACGAATGGTTTAAAGGGCGCGAGGGCGACGGCCTAATCTTTGCTGAATCTTCGTTTAAACCAGCTCTTCCTCTTCTCGCCTGTATCGGACACGTTCGTTGACTTGCGCAGCTGACCGCGCGTGGGTGCAGCGGCAGCGGCGCCGCCGACAGGACCGCCCACGTTGGGATCGGGGGCTGGTGCTTGGCCGAAACTATGTACCGGGGTTTTTGTAGGAACACTGCTGTTGAGGTTGGGTTGCGAATTATAGCCCTGAGAATTATAGCCTTGTTGAAGTTGTTGCGATAATTGATCGTACGAGCTGTTCACAGAGCTGGGGTCGGTCGAATTTCCCCAGGCATCGAAGTTGCTTCCAGAGCCTGAACCCGACGCCGCAGTGATGTTGTCGTAAGACTGGCGGTACGCGTTTTGCGCCTGGCCGTTCAAGCCATTGTTGTACGGCGCCTGTTCGGAATACATTCGTGGATTGGGGCGCGGTCGCCGATTGCCGCCCTGATTGTATGGGTAGTAACCGTTATCTTGGGACTGGCCGCCGTGCGCGTCGACATAGCTATCTGGGCGGGAGTATGCCGGTCGTCCGTTATAGTAGCCTCCTTGGTCGCTGTATCCTCTGTTTGAATAGTGCAGATTCACACGGCTCGATTCTATCGATTTCAGACTCATTAGACATGAACATATATCATGTGAACGATAGCAGACTTACCCCCGTAGTAGCTGCCTCGTTTGCCACTGTCTCCCGCACCAGGCGATTCTGCAGACATGTGTTAGCCTGTCTCTAGAAATGGTCCGTGAATTGAAAATCAAACACACCGGTCCTTGCCCACGAGGTTGGTCTGCTGTTATAGGTACCCGAAATCGCGGCTTCAAACGATCGAATAGTATCCAGCGGACGTTCGAACCGGGCGCGAGTGGGGTTGGAGAGATCGGGATCAACTGTGGTTGCAAGTATAGCCGTCAGTCAATAGATCCGAGCGGAAATTCGATGGCTCTTGCAGACATACCGATCATGTTCCCGTATGAATCTTTGTGCTGCATAGCTCGTAGAGAGCCGAGTGTTGATTGTTCGAGTGCTACAGCCACTAGACAGTTAAACCGGTCAGCTGGAATGTACGCGCTTGCATAAAATCGATCGCAGAACGTCGTGGAACAAGGCGGGGAGGGAAGGAATTGTGAATTGAGTTTCTCAAACAGAGATTAAAACAGAGATAAAGTTGATAAGACTGCGGGATCACATACTTGGTTGAGCTTCGTTCATAGCAAGCGTGGGATCAGCCTTGGTATGTAAATTGCGGCTGTGTTTCTCCTGGGCCGATTCCGTGAGATGGATTCTGGTGCTCGCAGAATTGCTGGAGCGATGAGATTTATCAGACCGGCCACCGAAGCTGAGACCTCGACTACCTCGACTAGGCCTGGGCGACGCGATGGGACTGGGAGAGGCCATCTTTTTCTATTGTGACAAACCCGCTTTTTCTTTTTCTCTAAACACCCTTAGCGGCCGATAAACAAGTTTGTCAACAATCAATAGCTCCGCTGGGGGGGAGGGAGTAGCTCCGTTGCGATCTGCTTGAAAGTCTGAACTATGACCAGGATGGCGGCCGCAGTGGAGTGCAATCCACGATACAGGTGGACACCGCTAAGGATTGTATGATGGAACACGATGCGCTGCGTTGCCTTGGATTGGTTGTAATCTAACGCTCTGATAACCCCCGATGGGACTTTGGCGAACAGTGGACGTGGACGGGGACGAACGAGTGGAAGCGGTCGTCTGAAATTTGAAACGAGTCGCAAAATTGCAGTGTCAAGCACACTAGCTAGGTAAATATGTAAGGTATGCGAGTTGGTACTATACAACACGATCGCAGACGGGTTTTGTTTGCGGTCTCGGTAAGGGAGATTGACGAGAGAGTATTCCGATTCTTTGTCTTGTTACGATGGAAGTGCTTGGAGTTTCCAGGCAGCTAGAAAAGGTCGAATCGGTCAGGGAACGTAGCGAGCGATGGCAGAAGATGTGATAGACTTCCAAAGACTGTATGGATGGACGAGAGCAAGGCGTCGAACAACAAGGCAGGGCAACAAACCCTGTCAGCGGCAACTAAGCGATAGACAGTTGGACAGACAGAAGGTCTAGTGTTGACTGTTGTGGAGAGTGTGGTCACTTCGCCGAAATAACTGGATTGCGCGCGGCAACGATCGACAGCAGAGATGATGGTGGAAAGTGTAAGGATGCAAGGTATCTAGTAGTAGTAGTAGTTGGACGAGCGAGTGTCACGAAATTGAGTCGAATCCCATGAGAAGCAAATCCAGAGTGCCGAACACCCACAAGTTATAATAATCAACAGGTACACACAGAGTTTTCGAGGTTGACGAAGACGCCACGCAATCTGAAGAGGGGAACCATAACCAGACAAATCGTAGCAGATGCGACTGTCTTCTGCTTCGACGAGTCGGATGATGGCATTATATCAAAGCCACCCGACTAGAAGGCTCTGGCAGTTCTGGCAGTGTCTGCGATCCTGGTACTGCGACAACAGTTCCTACGAATCCCCTGTTCTATACAGAATACAAATGATCACATCTCTCACATTGGTAGTTATCTAGATACACTATACAATTCAAGCATCACTTCATACTGTGATAGATGGATAGACAGTGCTCTTGTCTACCTACCTAGCACCTAGTAAGGTCGTACCTAGGACCTAATAGTCGGTATCCAGGCAGCCAGCAACGAAAAAAAAAAGAAAAAAAAAAGGCAGAAAAGAGCAAGAACAAGGATAAAAATACCACTAAGCCTGAAAAGATCGAGACTGCAAGACAAAAAAGTCCTGAGAAACCCACACGCTTTCCTTACTGGCCAATCGGCAGTCTGATGAGACCCCCAGCCACTTCCTGCCAATGTTCTCGTTGGCTGGGAGAACTCCAAGAACTGGATCCAGCCTGTTTCTGAGGTTGGGCAACCTGAGGTTCCTTGGATGCAACTTACAATCTGGCAAAACGTGTGAATCGGGGATACGTGGTTGACCAGGCAGAAAAAGATAGGATTGTAATTTGTGACAAATACCTAAGTATCTAGGTACCGAGGTTGTGCATGGTGTATCTGTATAACTGCATCGTTCATCTCTCTCCTTGATGGGCACGGGTTAATGTACAGATCTGATGTTCTTGCTCTCTGGGAATAATCAGAAATACACTAGGGACTGACTTCATTATTATCTATCATCTATCATACTCCGTAGTCTGTTCTTATCCACTGCGGCAAGTGTGTCAAGTGTTTTGACTTGTTGTTATTTTTATTTTTTAGCGTAACTCTAAAACGGATTAGCTCAAGACGAATCTTAAACCTGTGTAACAGTCATACGACAACTAACCGGAGCAGAATGAGACTTCTCTACCAATCTAGTAGTTATCTCAAGAGTCAAGGCATGTCCGTTCAAACAACGAGACCTTGGGATTAGAGGCGGTCCAATCTGCGATCCTCCAATTAACTTTGCAATTTAGGGCACACATGAAACACATGCCTATCAAGCTATCGGAATTGAGACCATATGCCACTCTGGCTGATCTGGGGTAGCACAAGAGTGCAGAGAAGTGAATCATCATTCATCATTATTTACAGAGTCTCCGCGGTCCGATTGCCGAAGACAATGTCCTCAGCGCTCAGCGCCCACTGCTCACTGCCCCTAAGCTCCAGCTCTGTGTCCCACATACATCAAGACTTGCTTGATCTTGCATCATGGCCTGGTTACAGAGTATGGGCGAATATGAAACAACAAAGCCAGTACACATGCGGCTTTACTGTAGAATCGACTCAGTCGTGAGTCAGTCCAACGTCCAGCTTTCTTGTATGTATTTCCCTGCTCTATGGATCTGGAATCACCCCCTTCCCTCAGCTCAAACCAGACCTACCCAATTCTCCGCGCTGCATCGAAGCCCCCAGGATTCCAGGAATTTTTCTAGTCGGAGTTCTGGGGCTTGGGCACGATAGCGATCTTCAAAGGACTCTGATGCGGTGGGTCTTTGTGGTGCGGGATGGCGCATACCTTAATTGTGACTCCATCGGATACCGTCCATATACGATGTCTCTCTTTATTAAGCATAAAGCATTGCATCGTGACCAGCCTGCTGAGGAGTGGAGGCAAGGGGATCCGTTGACGACGGCATAGAGTTTCGCCATCCCGGCTTGTCTTTCTGATATCATATTTGTTGGGCCAATAGTAGCGTTGTGTTGGCTTGTGACTGACTCGACAGGGCTCAACTTCACTTGAGGTTTTGAGGAAAATTGGAATGTTAGAGACAAGGACATTCGAGAATGAACACCCGATGTTGTTGTCGGGTGAAGATTGTCCAGATAACGAGGATATGCGTTCTGTGGACTTGCTTTGATTCGGATATGCAGCAACCAGACGAACAGTAACCAGAACGGTGAAGCTTCTCATTCCATATTGCTTTCTTGTTTTCTAGTTTCTCTTCTCACACAAGACCATTAAGAACAAAATCCCCATCCTTTCTCCAATAATGTATCACCGACTCACGCGGAAAGTCCCCGCAAACCAGAATGATATCTCGTCAACTACCCATCCAACCATACCCTCCAGCCAGATACCATTCAAAACCATTGCCAGGCAGGCCATCGAATGCCCCAAGATTTGATATCCAAGCCCCGAGATACTCAAACCCAATCTCAACCATGCAATCCACCTCAAGCGCAGTCATTGCGAACAAGACGGTGTACGCGCATGCTGGGGATAACCATACCATACCTCTATCGCCCCGACCTTGCTTCCGAACATACGGGTAGCAATGCGATGCGACTCACTCCCGTTTCTGAGCCAGATCGGCGAAAGAAAAGGTGAGCCAACTGCTGCCCTGTCAGGACAGTCCGGTCTTGAGTGATGGCGGTGACGATCAACGGTGCTGGCATGGTTACAGATAGTAGATCCGAAACAGGTGCGAACCGACCTCGGGCGTGATTTCGCATATTTATTATGGAATGTGGAAGTAGATTTCAGCGCTGCGTAGCTATTGGACTACGCGACGCGGCCTTGGCTTCGAGAATTGCTGTGCATCATCAGCAGGGGAGGAATGGACTGGAGTTGGGAGTTTACAGGGTAGGGTGGATTTTCGTGCTCGGGCATTTGCTACTAGTCATATCTTTGGACCCGAGCTGCAGAATGGGGAGGACCGAGGGAGAGGACCGAAGGGGCGAAGCAGCGATGGGCGCAGGGAATTTGTAGACTAGCGAATTGCCAACTGCAAGCCGTGGCATGCGAAGCTAATATAAGGGTCCCTTCTGGGCACTCTCTCATCCTGCAGTCTTCGTTCTGCCACCCGCCAAAAAAAAGGCTTGGAATGTACCGTTTGCTTTGTTGAAATGATTTGGATTTGGTTGTTTATGAATGTCAGGTATACATTGGGAAAGAAGCCATGTCAGACAAGGCATGTCATGCTCGCCAACGTAAGAGGACAGGACAAAGCCCTAGATGTCTGGGGGGGCGCCGTCGACAAAGTAACCATGCTGGGTAAGAGTGTGAAGAAAACAACAAAAAGTTCTTTTTGATTTTAATTCGTAGGGCTGAACTGGCCCTGCCTCTCCCACGAACATTATCAACCCGCCAACTCCATCATCTCAACATCGGCTCGAACCGTCGACTCCTTGCCCGACTGTCTGTGCGAAGTTTCCGGATTGCCCAACTAACAGATAATAAACATGGGTCATTTAGATGTTGGAGGGGTAGAGCATGACGCGGACGGTAGCGCCGAAGGACTTGGGGGGGAGGTTGTGGCGGAACTGAGCGCGGACAACGCCGGAGTTTCCTGTAGATAAGAGTATTAGTTGCTGTGTCTTGTGCCTTTTTGCCAGGTATGCAGGCCGCGTCTGGTTGCCAGTCGCGAAACAAGCATCGTCCCTTCCGTCGTCTGATCGATTTGACATACCGTGTGGCCGGGTAACCTTGCCCCAGATAACCCGGATGTTGGAACCCCGAACCTCACGCTTGGCCCGGTAGACGAAAGCAACCTTCTTGCCGAGGTAGAAGCTGTAGACACGTCTTAGCTGCGAGTTCTCCTTCCAAAGTACCGCATCACATTTCATCCCGGATTCCACTCACTTGGCGGCCTCGGTGTTGTCAACACCGTCGATCTTGATCAGACTGTATTCATTGTCAGATCCCTCGTGTCCCGTAGTCCCAAAGCTGGCAAGGCGTATAGGTACCTGGTGTTGGGGTTGACCGCGCGCTTGGAGCGCTGGTAGCTCAGGTGACGACCCCTGCAGGAAGAAATTCGCATTAACCCATCGGTTCTCTGATGTTCCTTGGTCGAGTTGGATTCCCCTTTCCCCCGTTTCCCACCGAGTTGGTGTTGATGATTTGTCTTTTATCACATTCCGATTGCATCTCGACTCGGCGGGAAAATAACGATAGAAGGTTTCGTGGTAACTTACTTGACATAGACTATGCAAGTAAAAAAAAAGATTCAGTCAGCATGATCCTCACAAAATAAAAAAGTGATATTCTCTCCCGTCCGCATCGCGACCCAAGCCTCCGTGTCCCCTTCCCTTCCAAATCCGCGCACACATCGATATCCAACCAAGGGCAAAAGGAGCGCACTCACGTCTGTGTCCTTGTTCCGAGGGCATTCTGGCGGTTTATCTGAGCAACAGCGGGCAACGCAAACAAGTCGAAGGAAGGCAAAGATAACCCGCAAAAAGTCGTCCGGGTTGTCGTTGGATTGTCGTCGCTTCGATAGTCTGAGACGAGCAGCCGACCGCACAATGTTCAATTTGCAAGGTGCGTTCGGCGCGGCTCGCCCTAACCCCAAACGGGATCTTAGCGAGCTGGACCGCCCCAGGGCTAAGCGAAGTCCCGTGATGGGGAGGGATGGATGAGATAAGCAACAAAAGTGACTAGTCCATTCCTGGATGGGCTCTGGAAGATTGGTTCCTCCGCCTCCCGAGATAAGCCGATAAGGATCTTCCTAGAATCTGCCAAGACATTTCTGACTTCTGCAAGACAAAACCCCACTGCTTCGTTTTGGACATTTTGCCGTCGGGCTACAGTGGTCCGACGACGGTTCGACGGCTTCCCAAATTATTGGACATTGGGCATTTTGTCTCTAGTACGGAGTAGCTAATATGTGTTTCCCCTGCTGCTCCGGTGGACGATGATTGACGAGCCTTTGTGTCTAGAAGCGTGTCACGCTGACAAACCATGACTACCTACTTATGGTTTTCTGTTGCTCTCTCATGATGACGACAGGGCCCCCGTATCGATAAGCTGATCCAGCGTAGCGATCGGAACGTAAGTAGTACGGTGCACATCAACCAGTTGCGTAGGGAGGGCCAGTGCAGTTTCATCATATTAAAAACAATAATTGCGAATCATAAGTAGATACTGCTATCAATTTCCAGCATCAATCGATCTACTACTATAGAAACTAGAACGACGGCGTTGTAGTTATAGACACCTTAGTCAGCGAGTGAGAGGGAGAAATATTTACCTACCTTCTTTACTTTCCGTACCTTAGTTGATACTCACGAAAGTCTCCCGACGAACCAGAGTGGCCTCCGTAGTTTAGCAGACCGGGAGCACATATTTGGAAATAAAGCGAGTCCGTTGCCCCACTTCTGATGGAAATCGGCAACCAAGTTGACATTGCAAGTTTATCACCAATTGTTGAGTAAGAAACTGTAGTTGAGTAGTAGATGATTGTTTATGGTTGTTGAAGCGTGAGCACGCAATCATGCGGTCGAGGCCGATTCGCTAATTTATTTTATTTTATTATTTTTTTTCTCCTCCCTTCTTTTGATCTTTCATAGCGGTAGAACCTTCGAAGAAGAGCTATGGAGATCTCCCTGATATCAATCACTGGGATACGGAGTTGCGCCAGTTAACTCCGAAGTATATCTGACTGTGATAATACCCCATATCTAGTCCACAACCTACGGAGTACATTTTCTTAGGCTCTCTTTCTTACGGGAAAATAAAATCCGAAATCATCAATTTCTCCTGTTGATACGTGACAAACCCGCCGATCCATCTCCACGGAAGAGCTTCTGACTTTCCTCCTGTAGGCTGGACAAGCCACGGCAAGGGGTCCCATTATCTTTGCACTCCCCCTCTACTAGTAACTGACCAACATAGCCTGGCGCAATCTTCTGCGGCGTAGGTAGTGGGGTCCGAAGTCGCTCAATGGAGATGCGCCATGGATTGCATGGCCGTGATAATCATGGGAAGGAGGGAAATGGAAAGTCATTCTCGAAGGAGTTGATCCGTCCAAGGTTTGCGCTACTGGAATTTAAGCTAGATCTAATCCCTGCAGTGCCAGGTGTGTACATTTGACATTGGTTACTCATGTGTAGAGAATCTCAAGCACGATTATGGAAGAGAGTTGTATAAGCCCATATTGGCACGAGTCATACAGAAGTTGAGAAGTTGGGAGCTTGAGGAGGTCAGATCCAAGAAGGCCAGAAGGCTAGAAACTCCACCTGTACTCTGTGCAACTGCACACCTGCAGTCCCATATACCGCGTTACTTACTATCTACCTATACGAACCAACAAATCCGCGAGAGGAAGAGAGCGACCTTGCAGGTTGTCAGACATTATTAGTTGATATTAATCTGGTACCTAGATGTGACTTCCCCTCCTTTTCTTATCACCAAGGCGCAGCATGTAAAAATGACCTGCGTATTACCCTCCGCGGGGTTAGCACCGTCAGCAATCCAACCGGCCCATCTGGGTTGAATTGAGGATCATGCATTTGGGTCACAGACTCACAGTGGAGTGGACCGTGTTGCAATTCCCAAAGAGATGGGTTTCCATTGTTAGCTTGGATAAAATCTTCGTTAAGGGGTCATAATAACTAATTCTTCATAAGAAGGGTTCTGGTGATATAAGAGAGGGGACAGAGAATGTTGCCACGGGGGTCGATTTATGCAATAATAATGATATCCCTCCAAAGTGCCTCGAGTTTGACCGGAATTAGGCTATGATGAGAAATGAGAAATTCATATCATCAGTAATCATATATCAGGGGGGTCCAGAGACTTGTTTGACACTACTACCAGTCTACCACAATAATACCAATACTAGTAGGGTCTGTCTAATTCGATACCTACCTTAGTAGATAGTTAGCCGTAGGGTGTCGCGGCAGTAGTCAACTAGTAGTAGTATCGACGTAGTGGAAGAAATCCAGACTGCCCCACCGCCGCCCACTCCCGCCAGCTTCAGCCAGCTTGATTGAGCCTGGGAACTGGGAACTTGGGAAGAGTGACTCGATACTGGACTTATCCGTACTATGGAGTACCTAGTTTACTAGTTGCGAGTATCTAGGAGACAGGAGTAGGCTTGCGAGAGGCCTCCGTGTTAAATAAAAAGTGCCCTGCCCCGCCAGAAGCATGCTGGGGGTTTTTTGGATCTTCTGTCTCCTCTTCTTTTCTACTTTTACTCCTTCTGCTGCTGCTTCTTCTTCTCCTCTTCAATCCTTGAAAAATTCACCTGTATTCATCGCATCTGAATTGTCCATTTGCCAATCCCACCTCACAACCATGGCCAGCACAATAGCCCGAACTGAGGAACGCCAGACTGCTGGGTGAGTGACCTCCCATAGTTCTCTCTGTCTGACATCACACCCCTCCCACTCCTCCCCTCTCCCCTACCACTACTACTGCTGCTTCCCCCTCCCAACGCCGGAAACCGCCCGCTGCATTCCCGCATGCCTCCCTTATGGCTGCTACTATTACCACCTTAAAAAAAAAAAAAAAAAAAAACTACTACTACTACTACTCCTGGTCACCAATGTGCAACCTGTCAGCGACTTGGGTTTGGCTTTCTATATCTGCTTAATTTCGGACCAAATTATACCCCCTCACTCTCAACCTTCCACCTCCGACTTGCCGGGCTGATTATCTACTATCTATCAATCAATTATTTATCCATCTTACCTTTTCTTTTCTCCACATCCTTTTTGTCCGTTTCTGTTTTTTCCCGCGCCCAGTCATATTCCCGCACAAATCGCACCCTCGGCCCTTGACATACTACTCTTTCTTGCTCTTCACTTCAAAGCATCAATTTCGCTTACAAGCACGTTGCTAACATGGATCTTTATTATGGCCTCAGCACTATTGAGCTCAAAGATGATACCGTCATCGTAGTACTAGGTGCCTCGGGAGATCTTGCGAAGAAGAAGACTGTTCGTGGCTCTAAACTATCCCCCCCCCCGGGCGACAGTTCTTGAGAAGCTAACGTTGAGATTCCAGTTCCCTGCACTCTTTGGCCTCGTATGTTTGCGCCCAGCGACTTAGACCTGCGGGTTCTTCTGTTTCATTGTATTGGATCCTTTGAAATTAACCATATGCACAGTTCCGCAACAAGTTCCTCCCAAAGGACATCAAGATCGTTGGATATGCCCGGACAAAGATGGACCACGAAGAATTCCTGAAGCGTGTGCGATCATACATCAAGGTGCCCACTAAGGAGATTGAGGAGCAGCTGGACAGCTTCTGTAGCCTTTGCACCTACGTCTCCGGCCAATACGACGAGGATGACTCCTTCATCAACCTGAGGAAACACCTTGAGGAGATCGAGAAGGGTCACAAGGAGCAGAACAGAGTCTTCTACATGGCGCTGCCCCCCAGTGTCTTCACCACGGTGTCTGATCAGCTGAAGAGGAACTGCTACCCCCAGAACGGCATTGCTCGTATCATCGTGAGTCATCCGCCACACGACTCCCAGCTAAAGAGCAAAACCCGCTCATGCCTTTGATGTTCTGTTTGATATAGGTCGAGAAGCCCTTCGGTAAAGATCTCCAGAGCTCGCGCGACCTTCAGAAGGCCCTTGACCCCAACTGGAAGGAGGAGGAAATCTTCCGGATCGACCACTACCTGGGCAAGGAGATGGTCAAGAATATCCTCATTATGCGCTTCGGCAACGAGTTCTTCAACGCTACCTGGAACCGCCACCACATCGACAACGTGCAGGTATGGTGATGCGGTGCCTTGTGAATCCTGGAATCGCGCGTGCTGACCATGTTGGTGCCTTGCTGTAGATCACATTTAAGGAGCCTTTCGGTACCGAGGGCCGTGGTGGCTACTTCGATGAGTTCGGCATCATTCGCGATGTCATGCAGAACCGTATGTTTGGAAATAAACCGTACACGAGTTTGCGATACTGATTTCCGTTGCTTTGCAGATCTGTTGCAGGTCCTGACATTGCTCGCCATGGAGCGCCCCATCTCGTTCTCCTCCGAAGACATCCGTGACGAGAAGGTAAGCGATCCCTCTTAAGTACATGGGGGCATTATGGTAGAACTAACGCCTTTCCAGGTGCGTGTACTACGTGCGATGGACCCTATCGAACCCAAGAACGTCATCATCGGTCAATACGGCAAGTCTTTGGACGGAAGCAAGCCCGCATACAAGGAGGACGACACTGTGCCGAAGGATTCCCGCTGCCCGACTTTCTGCGCCATGGTCGCATACATTAAGAACGAGAGATGGGACGGTGTTCCCTTCATCCTGAAGGCTGGCAAGGGTAAGCATTTCCTCTCTGGATGATGGAGCCTTGCTCACAAGATACAGCCCTGAACGAGCAGAAGACCGAGATCCGTATCCAGTTCCGTGACGTCACATCCGGTATCTTCAAGGATATTCCTCGCAACGAACTTGTCATCCGGGTGCAGCCGAACGAGTCGGTGTACATCAAAATGAACTCCAAGCTCCCTGGCTTGTCCATGCAGACCGTTATGACTGAGCTGGATCTCACATACCGCCGTCGCTTCTCCGACCTCAAGATCCCCGAGGCCTACGAATCGCTCATCCTGGATGCGCTCAAGGGCGATCACTCGAACTTTGTGCGTGACGACGAACTGGACGCAAGCTGGAAGATGTTTACCCCTCTTCTCCACTACCTTGACGACAACAAGGAGATCATCCCCATGGAATATCCCTACGGTACGTCATCTGTCTTTTTGTGTTGTTTTTATTTTGCTCGACAATATGACTAACGAATCTATCAAGGCTCTCGTGGACCTGCCGTTCTGGATGACTTCACTGCTTCCTTCGGCTACAAGTTCAGCGACGCTGCTGGCTACCAGTGGCCCATGACAAGCACGACTCCCAACCGCTTGTAAAGGGGGTGTGGTATGAGAATTCTTCAATGACTACGAAAAGGAAAAGTATTAATTTTAGCATTACCGATTTCTGTTCAATTTTTATGATGTTTGGGTCGACATGGCAGGGTTTTTCTTAGCTTTTTTTTTTTTTTTTTTTTTTTTTCACTTTATCACTTTTTTTTATCAGCCAGGCAATGGTACTCTGTGATATGTTCTGTGTTTCTTCTAGAAATGAATGCAGAGAACTTTACGAATTGATGTAACACATGATCAGAAGCCGCATGTCTTCATTCTATCCCTTCAAAACTGTCAACAGCTGTCAATCGCTCTGGATTGAGTAGTCTAGACTATTTATCCGTAGATCCCACCACAAAGTCTCGAACACAGCCATCGATCATCCTGCGGCCCTGCGATGATTTATTTTTAACAACCAGGGACCAATCTCATGGCTGGTGGGGTCGCAGGAGATTAAAACGCGTCTGATGTCGATGAAATACCCCAAATAGCACACTGCCCTGGGCGGTCCGGGGGGCCCGCATGCGTACAGTTTTGTGGGCAGTGGGCAGTGGGCAGTCTGGGCGCCGCCTGGCCTCATTTCCATTCTCTGTTCTTTCTTCTTCCCCTGTCTTCGTTTTTATTTTTCCAGCTTCAAGTTGACATCGACACGTCCTTTGACCCCTTATTGGATTTCTTTTACATAAACGAGACTATCTCGTGCGCCTTCGTCTTAGCTACTGTATTCCCGCCTCTCCAACTCCCGATTATTTGTAGTTTGTCCGCCAACGAGCAACGAGCATACGGCAGAATCGATTACGACTTAGCGATCGGCGTACTCTTTCGTACTCCTTCTCCTGATCAGTTTTACGAGAGAGAGAGAGAGAGAAGAAACCTGTCAAACTGCGACAATTGATCGAACTGAGCCGCGTTTATTGGTCACCGGATTAGGATTGTCGCAAAGTCGATTGGGAGCACGCGACCAGGAACAACCACCCCGGTACATGAGGAAACGAAGGATATAAGGGAATACGTGAAGTGCATGCGCGCATCGCCACGATGCCACAAGCGGCAAGATGGGTGGGATCGCCCTCCATCAAGGGAAAGTCCGAGTCGATGCGGATGGCGCTGTTGACGTTCAGCTTGTTGGGGTTACAGTATGTACTTCAAAAGGGGGGGGGGGAGGTTGTGCTACTGTCATCCTGCGGTAGTTCGCTTGGAGGCATCAAACGGCTGATACATTCTCTACTTTAGATTCACATGGGGCATTGAGATGACCTGTAAGCCTTCTCCTCTGACCGAGATTGCCGTGTCTTTCTGGCTGACCACTCCTCCGCTCGATTAGACTGCACGCCGTACCTTCTACAGCTCGGTCTCACGAAATCACGAATCTCGCTTGTGTGGATTGCTGGCCCTCTATCTGGATTGATCATCCAGCCTCTGATTGGTGTTATAGCGGACCGTTCACGATCGAAATGGGGGAGACGCCGGCCCTTTATGATTGGTGGTTCGGTACTCGTCGCCCTGTGTCTGATAGTTCTGGGATGGACGACGGAGATTGTTAGTCTATTCGTGAAAGATGCGGAAAGGGTATGTCGTCACCGCCGTTAAATTGAGTCGTGCAGTAACTCATCTCACCCTTTAGGCCAAAAGCGTCACCGTAGCTGTTGCTGTGTTGAGTATCTATGCGGTTGACTTTGCGATCAATATCGGTGAGTAGTCTGGACGACGCGATGCCGATTGGCCCTAACTTTTTGTCTAGTCCAGGCTTGTTGCCGCAGCTTGATCGTGGACACGTTGCCCATTCCCTTGCAGCAAGCGGGTTCCGCATGGGGTATGTTCTGATCTGCCGCTTGGAGTATGAAAGGAAATGCTAATGAATGCTGAAGCAACGCGGATGTCGGCTATTGGGCAGCTCATCGGTTATGCGATAGGCTCAATTGATACGGTTAGCATATTCGGTGGCGCCATCGGTGATACGCAATTTAAACAGATGACAGTCATTGCTGCACTCTCTCTCCTCGGGGCCGTTTCCGTTACGTCGTACGCAGTGAAGGAGAGAGTCTTGATTACCGCCAGGTGAGTTGATACTGCCAGATGCGTATCTCTTCCCGATACTGATCACTATGTAGGGGTTCCGACGAAAAAGGAGGGACATTGCAAGTCATTTTTCAGCTTCTCAAGACCACGATGGACCTCCCTCCTCGCATCCAAGCAATCTGCTGGGCGCAATTTTGGGCTTGGATTGGTATGACAACCCTGATAATCATCTGGATATTCGCACTGACGGTCTCTAGGCTGGTTTCCCTTCCTCTTCTATAGTACAACTTGGGTTGGTGAGACGTATTTTCGGTATGAGGTCCCCAAAGACACACCACAATCCAAGGACTTTCTTGGCGAGATCGGTCGGGTCGGTAGTTTGTCCTTGGTTGTCTTTTCGTCCGTCACGTTCATCAGTTCTGTACTGCTGCCCTTTTGTGTGCAGCCTCCCGACAGCAAGAGGCCCGGATTCACGCCACGACCGCCTCCTGGCATTGCCGCACTTCTCAAGAAGATCACTGCGATTCGACCGGACCTGCAAACGACGTGGCTGATATCCCACGTGATGTTCGCTGCAACCATGATCTTCGCTCCTCTGGCACAGTCCCGCGCGTTTGCGACTTTTCTTGTGGCAATCTGCGGCATTCCGTGGGCTGTCACCAGCTGGGCGCCTTTTGCATTCATGGGAGTGGAAATCAATAAGCTGGCCATGGGCCCCGCAGCGGCTGCGCGCACATCCGGCGTGACGATGATCACATCCTCTAGCTTTCGCACAGGCAACTATGACGCGGATACGGAAATGGATGTCTTGCGACTGAATCATCATGACACGGACAGCGACAGCGACCTTGAGGACAATGCCGCCGATATCCCGTCCACTGGCGAGCTCGCTGGTATCTACCTCGGCGTGCTGAATGTATATACCACCTTACCGCAATTCGTCGGTACCTTCATCAGCTGGATCGTTTTCAGTCTCTTTGAGCCTGGTAGCACGAAGCGGGACGAGTCGGCGCAGGATTCGCGATGGATCAACCAGGACAAGGATGCACCCAATGCCATCTCGATCTGTCTGTTTGTAGGTGCCATCTGTGCGCTCGTGGCGGTCGAAGCGACTCGACGACTGCGATATGCTCGCTAGTTTGCCCGGGATCGGCTGCCTGCATCTTGGATAGATGTTTTTTTTTCTCTTGCTCGGATGATCTACTTCTATGATCTATACTGAAGCGATTTTCCCAATTATCCCATGTAATTACGCCCCGTTCATGTCCCGCTTGATACCCAGACGCATCTGGTTATATTCTATTACCCTTGGAGATGTGCATATCCTGGAATCCCCGATCCGATACTGATCAGTGTCTAGTACATAGAAGAATAATGATAATACATAATTGTTGCTGTCGGCACATAGTACCATGGGGTATTGACGTACCTGTGCAGTATTTAGGATGACGATATTCTGATATCGCCAACACAACCCTTAAATCCAACCCAACCTCAGCAACATTCCCTCCCTCACTCCCAGAAACCTCTCACACAGCACCCCCCCCCCCAAACCCAACCCTTCCCAAACCATCTCATCCCATCCACCCCATTCACCCAACAATGTCCCCCCCAAAACCCAACGTCCTCATCATCCTCACCTCCCAGGCCGAAATCCCCGCCACCCGCAACCAAACAGGCTGGTATCTGGTACACCCCCCCCCCTGCCCCCCTCTCCCCTCTCCTTCTCCTTTTAACTCAAACCCTCCCACCCAATCTAACCAACCAGTCCGACCTCGCCCATTCCCACGAAATCCTCAAAGACAAAGTCTCGCTGACCCTCGCCTCGCCGCACGGCGGCGACGCCCCCCTCGACCCGTCCTCCATCACGCAATCCGAGCACACAGACGACGTCGTCGCAACGGCCTTCCTGGCGCAGAGCCGCGAGATCTGGGCGCACACGGCGCGCATCCGCGAGATGGTCGTGCGCGCCGCGGACTTCCAGGCGCTGTTGTATGTGGGTGGGGTTGGGTGTATGTCTCCCCCCCACCCCGGTCCCTCTTTGCCTTGTGGTGATGGTGATGGTGATGGTGATGGTGATGGCTATTGGGCTAATTAATGGGTGATGAGCGAGGGCCGTCCCGGGGGAGTAGCGATGTTCGATTTCGTGACGGATGCGTTCTCGCTGGCGCTGGTGCAGACGTTCGCGGCGGCGAAGAAGCCCGTTGCGGCGGTTGGGCATGCATCTGTGGCGCTGCTGAATGCGACGGCGCCGTCTGGGGTGCCGCTGCTGGCGGGCACGACGGTGACCGGGTACTCGGTGGAGGAGGAGCAGGCGGCGGGGATGGCGGATGTGGTGCCGTTTCGGTTGGAGACGGAGCTGGATCGCGTGTCGGGCGGGGGGTATGTCAAGGCGGATCGGATCTGGGGGGAGAAGGTGGTTGTGTCGACGGCGGCGGGGACGCAGTCGCCGGTGATTACGGGGCAGAATACGGCGAGTGCGGCTGGGGTGGCGAGGGAGATTCTGCGCGTACTGGGGGTGTGATGGTGTGGAGCTACGAATAGCTAGGAGAAGGGGAGGAGGAGGAGGAGGAAGCGAGAGAATGGGATGGATATCTTAGGTAGCTATCTAGACGTATAGTCGAGGTATATTGAGCAAATTACCACACAGAGAAGAACACAGCAAGAGGGGAATCAAGCAGAGCAGAAGCCAAGCGTCGATAAAAAAAAAAAAAAAAGAGACAGAACTGTTAGACCGCAAATCAGGATATTACAACGGGGTGTGTCAAATACAAACGGCTGAAGATAAAAGCGGCATCACGGCGTAGATCTTATCCATGCCGCTGTCAGAACCTGGGACGAGGCCATGCCATGGAAGGCAGATGGCATATTCAGTTCAGATTCAAGAGAAGGTTCGAAGAGCATCCGGGGGGGGGGGGGTTATGTTTTAACAGAGCCAGTCAAACTTGGATCAGGCCGTGATCAAGAGGAAAAAAAAAAAAAGAAAGAAACAAGAGGTAGTAGCGAGGGTTGAGATGATTCTAAGATTGTAGATTTCGCATGCTTGCTGAGCCATCTAGTTGGCAACCTGCATGTTGCCAGTCAACTCGGCCACTCTGGCTTTGATGCGAGCAGCACGGGTTTCGAAGCCTGGGAGAGAACACGTCAATATCTTAACTACAGATAAGGACCAACACTTGCTTTCAACTTACTTTCTTCCTCACTCGTATTACCCTCATCCGTTCCGTGGCTGAAACGGTACGAAGAGGACTGCTCGAGCTTCGCGGCTCTCTCGGCGGCATTCCGGCGGATCTGCGCCCAGCGGTCATAAGATGGGTTGGCGGGCGCTGACTTGGTGGTCGTCTCTTGAACACTGGGTACGGTCTTGGCGGGGGTCTCGTCAACTGCAACAGCAGATGCAGGCTTCTGAGGGAAGGCCTCGGTGACAGGGGAGTCCTCGGGAACAAACGCTGGCTGTTCCAGCAGGGGTCCTTGATCGAACCGAGAGAACTCACGATCGGCCGCGGTCCGTTCGTTCGTGCCCACACGAGAAAGGGCATCATAATCGGCATCGCGGCGCGTCTTAGGTGGCCCATCATGCAGTTCAACAGCCGCAGCTGTTTGCTGCTCAGGGGCCGGTTTCTTGACATCCTCCGAAGGTCTCGCAACCTCCGAGGAAGCAGGGGCAGCATCTACAGCGGGAGCAACGGGAGCAGATGGCACCGATGAAGTCGCAGGAGCCGCAGGGGTTGTTGTAGCAGTGGGAGCCGCTGCAGGAGCCGCTGCGGGAGCTGGCGAAGCTGGAACGGGCTTCTTCTTCAAAGTGGAGGTGCCGTTGGAGCGAACCGGTTGCTCCACCGATGCCTTTGCTTTACCTTCCAGGGCTGCACGAGCGGCGGCGACAGCGGAAGGTCCAGCACCGGTAGGCTTCATTGGCGGCTTTGACTCGACTTCGCTCTTCTTCTTGGTGCCAAAAATACTCTTCAAGCCCGTGTTGCCAGGCTTCTTCCTCACTTTGCCCCCTGATTCCTCTACGGAATCGATGGACTGCTTTGGAAGTGATTCCGCGGCAAGGCTGATGCTGCCTTTTCTGCTGGCAGCATTCTCATCCACACCGCTCCCTTGTCGTTGGTGAGTCAGGGGTTTCAGGGAGCTCGGCACAGAGTCCTTGGGCACCGGAGGGGGCGCCTGTCGGGTTGACGTACTCAGCGCTGGCGAGGCTGGCGGCTCTGGCTTCGTCCCGTCCAGTGTCTTCGCACCCGCCAAGTCCAAGGTCAGATTTCCTGTTCCTGCGCGGCTATCATTCAGATACGCGGCGCGATACGCATTTTTGTCGTAGTTGCTGGCCCACTTCATCGCCTGCGACGCCTCACTCATGATTGCTGGTTGCAGAGACATGACCGAGTTTGCCTTGGAATGCCGCGAGTTGTCTGGCGCGGCGGTCTTCGATCCACTGGCCGCCTCCTGCTCCTGTTCGCGATGTTTCTTCTGCAGGGCGGCCGCCGCAGCCTGAATGCGAGCATGTTGATCAGGCGCAATGCTGGTCTTGCTCTGGGGAGCGGGGTTGTTGGCGCGCTTGTAAGCGTCCTCAACAGCACTGACCTTTCGAGCCGACGACTTGCGCCGTCCAATCTTTCCCTTGCGAGTCGTGAAACTGAAAAAGCTCTTCTTTTCGACGATATACGCACCGGGCTCAGGCTCCGGTGCAGCACCTTTGACCTGCTCCTCAAGAACCAGCCATTTCGTGTCCTTAATGATCGTTTCGATCAACGCGCATCTGCCGAAGACGGCCTTCCGTGAAACGGGCTCTTCGCCCGCCAAACTGCTGATCCAGACCCACCAAAACGAGTCGTCGAGATCCAACGTGGTGATGCTGGCAAGCTCGCCTGGCTCCATGACGGGCTCTGAGTCTAACGTGCGCTTGTGAGACTGGGAGCTCTGGCCCCGGACAGAAGCAATGGGGGGCAGAACCTTGTCGGGAGGAAGTAGCAAGGGAGCGACCCGAGGCGTCACAGAGTTCTCGTCATTGAAGCCGGACGACATAAAGTCGGCCCAGGATGGAGTGGTGGGACGGGCGAGATCCCCAGCTTCGGACTGGGGTGCAGATTTAAGACCACCACCGAACTCAGTCCTTGCCAAAGAGGTCGCATCTGCATCGCTCTCCAAGTCGGATGCCCCGAACCCAAGGTCCTCGAATCGGGACCATGACGCTTCCCGGGTTGCCTCGGTCGGCCCTGAAGGGGAGTTGGGAGATTGGTTCGTCGACGATATGCATTTCAGCACGCGCAGACATTCATCAGTAAGCGCCTTGATGGGATCCTCGAAGCTAGCAAATTCCTGCAGATGGCGATCGCTGTCCCGATACTCAAAGTTCCTGGCTCGGCGCAAGAGGGCGAAAGGGGTCGGCGAGACAGTGTCGACGATCATGACAACCTTGGTGGTCGACACCTGCAGAAGGGTAGGGGTTTCCGGTGGGTATTCTGTGGCCTGTACCAAAGTTTGAAGAGCGATGGGCAGAGTTGAGATACCGCTAATACCGCGGGGGGAGTCGGGGGATATCGAGCGCAGATAGGCGAAAAACAAGTGACTTGTGGCATCCGCGGCACTGCAGAACAGGTCAGTTGGCTGATCTCAAAACCGAGTTAAAGCCAATCATCCAGAGTATCATACGCAGCCCAGTTCTTGTAGGCGGCTTCAAAGCCATTGCCTGTATCCGAATGCTCGAAAGCCCACCAACCGGCATATCGCGAGAGCTTTCGGCCTCCAAGCCCGTTGGACTTTCCGTTTGCTGCGATGGCTGCGAGCAGGTCGAAGAAGTCAAAAATGATCTTCGTCCGGGCATCGGAGTCGACGCTGATAGGAATGAATGTCGAAAAAGCGTCGCGCGCGAGTTGGGAGTCTGTAGGTGGATCAATCAGGGCACCCACTGGACTATCAAGCGAGGAGAGAGAAGCATACCTTGTTCGCCAACTTTGAAGAGCTCGTATGCCTCCCAGGTCACAACTCCTCCAGGAAGCCGACCCCAGCACCATTTCAGAACACTGCAAAGGACCTATACCCAACCGAACGAATGACGAGTTAGTCATGTCCCTCTTTTCATCCCAGCGGCAAGTTGTATAGATGTTGGTCCTAGCTCACCATCGGGTCCGTAAGGCGTAATTCCTGCGACAATGCATCTCCGCTCCAAGGTTTCCCCTGCTCGACCGACTTGTTGAAATAATTACGAATGAAATAACGGGCCGCGCTCGAATCGGAGGCTGGGCGGAATGGCAATAGCAGAAACGGGGTTTGTAGAGCTGTCAAAGGCGCACAAAGCAAGGATCAGCAAAGGGAAGAATGCGGGTGTCTTAGGTTTAAATAGTAGAGTGGGCACCGTCGTTGACATATGTAGAGACTATCCAGAGATGATGTGCTCCCAAGCAAATGAAAAAGATGAACTTACCTCGAGCCTTCAATTCGTGAGTACATCCTCGCAGAAGATCCCGAACCTCCTCAGGAGCAACCTCCGTTCGCTGCCACGCGTCAGTCCATGTGGGCTTTGCGGGACCCGCGTTCTGGACGATGGCGTTCTTGGACGATTTCTTCGTGGTATTGGAGTCTTTACTCCGGAAGACACGAGTGAAAAAGGGCATTTTTTGTGTTCTCTCAGCCGGTTGCCTCTTCCTTTTTCTTTTCTCCCCTGCTTTTTTTTTTTTTTTTTTTTCTTCTCTTTTTTGGTTTCCCCACTGGTGATAACGAAATTATTCTGCTGTGCCCACAGGCGGAGTTGAGAATCCGCGTCCCGAGACTATGGGGGATCAGACGATGACAAACAAACAGTTCAAGACAAAGCAAGGCAAACAATTTTTTTTCTCCCTTTCCCTTGCGATTTGGGCAGTGCAACGTGCGAGGCTGCAAGGACCACGAGGCGGAGTTCAACAGAGAACGAACTACACGAGATGGAGAAGAAAAATGAGAGAAGGGGAAGAAACAGGGGGAGGAATGAAACAGAGGGGGGAATATTATAAGACAATACTGAACAAGTCGTCAATGGAACTGACCACTCCCAAAATCAAGGCCAGACAAGATCAGAGAGACAAGACGGACAGCCAGACAGACAGACAGACAGACAAGCAAATAAATCAGACGTCCAGGTGTCCAAGGGATCGACTGCAGCCCAGAATGGGGCAGCACGTCTAGCGTGCAGCAATACTATGTGATGTATGAAAGTGGATTGATTGGATCTGATAGTAACGAAGGTAACCAACCAGCGAAGATGGTGGATGTGGATGAGTGGGAGAGAGGCCAAAGAAACAGCCAGAAAAGGAGCGACCAGAAGAGTCAAGATCAAGATGATGAAGATGAAGACGACGAGAAAGAAGAATGATGAAGTCTAGTCTAGTCTAGGCAGTCTAGCCGGAAGACCAAGAGCAGAAGAAAGAACAAGACGGCGATAATGAGGATCTACCATTTTACCTTACCTTGATTGTGTTGCTCGTTTCAGGGGCTGAAATTCTGATACGTACAGCCCAAAAGACGCCATGGTTCAATGGCCGATGCTAAACCCAAGCGGGGGGGGGGGGAAGGGAGGAAGATTTCAGCCATGAGCACTTAGAGAACGGGCCTTAGGGGGGGGAAGGGGGGATTTGTTGAAGACAGGATGATGGTGATGAGGAAAGATATCGGAGATAATGTATAAGAGACCCTGAGAACCATTCCATCTATATTGAATATGCAGTCAGTATCAGAAAACTAAGTAGAGAAGTATCTATCTACTCTGTAATACTGAGAAACAGAGTGAGAATGAATAATAATCCTCCATATTAATGATTCCCCCGTCCAGATTGTAACGAATCTCCATTAACTACTCCGAAACCTAATCATCAATACCCCCAACTATTCCCAGAAAAGGAAAGACTGGTAATAATACTAGGTTAAGGTTGAGTTCTGGATTGTAAGTTTTGTAACACCTCAACAGGAGCTACCTAGCTGGATGCACAATAGTCAATAAATACCCTGCTGCGTATTGAAATCAGAAAACAGATCTTGACTGGAGGGTCAGCTGGATATACTTGCGAGATCAGCCAAGATCCACCTCTAATGTCAAAGTACCAGCTCATCCAACTTCCAATTTCCAAAAGAGTGCCCTGCTAACTAGGTATCTAGGTACCTAGCATAGGTAAGGACGGTAGGTAGGTAGGTAGGTAGGTAGCTACGCACATGATGGCCGAGGAGGAATCCATATCGCTATTCGAGTTTTTATCCAGTCGATCAATGGGCGGTGAGTCGTCTGGTCATGATGACCTTTTAAAAAGAAATACACATGCGGTGTGTTGCAATTGAGATGAACTGCAGCAGATCCTCAAGCTCAGATCAATAACTTCATTATTACCGATTCAAGGGCAGAACCACTCTTCACCGCTAGGAAAGGCTCTCTTTTTTTCTGACCCAAATGATCCAATCCATGCAGCCTGGTCCATTATTTGGTCCCAATGGGTTCAGACTTCAGACAGCAAATTAACAGGAAGCATGCAAAATATGTAGGGATTAGGAATAGGCACTGATTGACCTCATGCTATGCTTGGTATCCACTAGATATTCGCTAGTCAAATCGCAAGCTCCCTTTCTGAACTGTAAGTATTATTATTTACTTGCTTAGCTTCTACCCCAAGCAGAGCATGCATATCCAAGCATGACATCCACGCGAAGGGATCCATATCCTGTATATCTTAGTGTCAAGCGACTGATCCTTTTTCGCAGGTTGAGGGCTTTGTGCAGAACTAAGCATCAAGGATTGATTATGCCGCACTCGCACTCTATCTCACCTGGACGCTGCAGACTCCGAAGTTGGATTTCATTGGAGGTTGAGTATGACGCATGTTGCCTCCGTTGCTGGCTCCTGAGGAGGAAGAAGAAAAAGAAGAAGAAGAAGAAGAATGGTTATGACGGATAATTCAACCATGCTCTACTCTGCAAGAGATGCGCCCATAGGATTCGTCAGGCTGCTTATCTGTGGTAAATCAGTCGATCCATTTTTAAAGTATATCACCGGTTAGCATCAAATGCTTGGAGGAAACCAATTAATATAGAACAGAATCGGAGAGAACCAACAGACGGCAATCGCACTTAAACTCCATGACCATCTGGAATTCTGGAAGCTTTGGGTCTGGAATCTGGATGTGGCTGTGCACGGTGCAGAATTGACATTTGACGACGGCTTAACCGCAGCGGATCACTCTAAGGAGTTTAGGTTCTGATGGACTACATAGTATATGGGAACTTGGATGAAAGCAATGACTGCCCATGCTCACTTTATATTCAAAACCAAACCCTGTTCATCATGAAATCAACCATTGATGGTCGTGATTGACTCGAGCCAGCTAAAAATAGGCCAGCGCCTAAATGTCTCGGCAACGGCGGCTATTCCAGTCCACTATCAAAAACCTCAAGACTCCATCTATCTAACTAGAGTAGTAGTCAGAGCTGACTACTCCATCCCACTTCGAAGTTCTTCCTTAATCCTTATTGTCATTCTATCTTTAGAATCTTCTGCATCATCCTTCCTCCATCCATCCATCCTATCATCCATCAAAGCTTCACTTCCGTTCCATCTCACTGTCTCATTCTCGAATCGACTTCCTCTCCTTTGTGTTCATCCTTTGTAGTCCAGAAGCTCCTTTTCCCCTTTGTGTCTGCCCACAATCGCTTAGGCGCCCTTTCTCTCTTTCGCGCCTTGTGGGTTCAACATCCCTCCCCCCCGGTCGTATCACCACTGTTTCCCCCCCAAGCTTCTTTCAATCTTCCTTCCACTCTTTTTTTTTCCGAGTCGTCCATCTTTATCCGATGTGAGAAAGATCACTTCGAATCAGTATCACCCCCACCTGAAGTAAGAAATAAGGGAATTATTCAGAAGAAGAAGAAAAAAAACAAGAAAAAAAAAAAAAGCTTCCGGGAGACACGGCAAATCTGGCGTTGGCACCACCGTCTTGGGTCCTTTATCCAGACTGCGCTCCGCAATAATAATCTCTCCTCCTCAGTCGGCGCTTGCACAGTTTCAACTCGCGCCACGCCATTTATCGCGAACAACAACGACAACAACTCCACACCACCTCATTGCTTCCCCTGTCTGTCGTGTTCCGGCGATCTTTCATTTCTGGTTAACGCGTCACTTTCCTTGTTTCCAGCTTATCACATCGTTCATTCCCCATGGGTCGACGAAAAATCGAGATCAAAGCGATCAAGGATGATCGCAACCGATCAGTGTAAGCGTTTCCTTTCTTGCTTTTCTACCTTCCCTGACATAAAGGCTTGACCAAGGGACTGACTTTCGTTGGCGACTTCTAGTACCTTTCTGAAACGAAAGGGCGGTCTCTTCAAGAAGGCGCATGAGCTCGCTGTATTATGTTCGGTAGACGTCGCCGTCATCATTTTTGGTCATAACAAGAAGCTGTACGAGTTTTCATCATGTGATATGCGAGAGACCCTGGGTCGATATCAATACGTGGGTTTCATCATCCTTTTCTTTCCTATCTCTGCCGGCTCTGGTGTTGACTGGCCTTGATGCTCGTTAGTATGGCCCTCCACACGAACACAAAGGCCCGGAGGATTTCACAGGCAAACGGGACGACGATGACGATGAAGATGAGACTACTCCCGCCCCGGAGGAGATGCAACCTACAAGTCAAAACCATCCCCCCATGGTTCCTACTCACATCCCCAGTCATCCCGGGTTTCAACATGTCAATCATGCACCGTCCGCCTCTCCACCAATTTCCAATGGAATTCCGTTTGACCCACGACATGGAACACCTCAGCCCCAAGGCACTTCGCGACCGTCGTCGAGGAATCACCTACGCCGCGTAAGTTCCAATCTGGGGCCGCAACAACATCATGGCACTCCACCGCCTCCGCCGCCTCCACCGAACGGCTTTGCATACATCCCCAATCCCTCGATGTACCATCCCAATGCCAATCCGAACATGGCTCAACAACCTCGCCCCGCGCAGTTCGCACACTATGCCCATGCGCCACCAGGCCCGCATCAGGCTATTCCCCATGGAATGCCCGCACACACGATGCCTCCTCAAACGGTGCCGCCGCATCATCAAGCTCCGCAGCATATCCCGCAACACCCGCATCCCCTTGTGCAGCAGGCGCCTGCGATGGGAATGTCACAGCCACCTCATCCGTCGGTCCCTCAAGTGGCTCAAGCGTTCTTGCCCGAACAAGGAAGAAATTCGATGCCGCCAGCCTTTCCGTCGGAACAACAACAGCCGCCTCGGCCGGTGTCTTTGCCCGATGCGACTTCGGCGGATCAGATAGTAGGGTCTTTAAAAGTGGAAACAAGCCCTTCGCCTCCACATCAGCGATCGCTATCTTCCAAATCTCGCAGCATCTTCACGCCGATAGACGACCGTGGGTCAGTTTTGGCCCGTCATTTCGGGCTTGGTCCACCAATATGCGACTCCCCACGCAATGACGGTTCCGAAGCCAAGGGGGAATCGAAACAAGAAGACGTGAAAGAGCTCAAGGTCCCCATTGTGCCCTTACCGCCGCCGAGAGCGCCGATCGAAGTGTCGCGGTCTCATTCTGCGCCGGATATCAAACCGCCGCCGCGGACGAACAGCGGCCCACTGCCGTCGAAGCGCCCCCAGCTCAAAGTGCAAATTCCAAGCGAGAACTCTGACCGGGGCAGTGCCACCGCAGATTCATCGTCGCGTGACTCGGCGGGAAACAAGACTATCACCCCTGCCAAGGCAAATCCTGATACCAATCATTCGGGAGTGGTTCTTCCACCGCCGTCACCATCCGCTGGTGCAATTCTGAGCGCAGGGGCTCAAGGGCCACCTAATCCCTTTGCTCGACCCCCGCCTCCGGGAACTACGACCCAGAATAGCAATGCATATAACAGCAACAACAACATAGAGACACCTATATCCGCTCTTCCCAGTCGATTTGTGTCTGACGCACTCCTTCCATCGCCATCCAGTTTCTTTCCAGAATGGGGTTTCGGCCGGTCCGGTCCGGATACCAACATGCTCCCGAGCCCTCTGACCTTTCCCACACCCGCCGTGCAAAGCGGACCAGGGTTTTCGCGTGACGACGAACAGGACAAGAAACGTAAAAGTCCAGACAGCGGCCCGAGTATGGAAGGAACGGCGAAAAAGACCAAAACATGACCGTTTGCCGAGCTGTCTCTTTCCTGATCTCTCCAAAAGAAAAAGAAGATACCACCATGTTTCTCATATGGCATTTCAGGGCGCTAGGTTTTTTTTTTTTTTGGCATCTCACGGTGATTGTACGAGCATTTCCTTCCTTTCTTCCTCTCTTGCTTTTCATTTGTCACAGTGTGTATTCCCTTTGGATAGCCTATACCCTTTTCCTATTTTCTGGTCCCCTTGCTGCGGAAACGGCTCTAGTGCGTTTTTTCTGGAAGAACTTGAAATGAGATTTGTATTTGCTTGTATGTACTAATTGGGTAGGAGGGCTCTGCGTGTTATTGGCGTTCCCAGTATGCCTTCTAATATGAAAGTGATTCAAGACGTGCCCTGCATCTCGTATATGTCGATCGAGAGACAGTAAGTAGCCCCAATGGAAGGTCACACAGCCTATCCTTGGAAATCATGATGGGGATGAGAATATCATTTAGGATCTACACCGAGTAAAAGCCAAAAAAAAAAAAATTATATTCAAAGCACACGGGTGGGATAGAAGCGACCACGGTGCAGGTCAATTAGCGAATTATTTACATTCAGGGATTTTCTTTTTTACCCTTTTGAGAAGGCATAGGTGAGTCGAAGCCAGATAGGGAATCTAGACTTCCGCGCGGTTCGCATTGGCCTCGGCCTTCTGCGCCTCGAGGATCTCGCGGCGGGCACGCTCCTGCTCCGCCAGGCCGGTCTTGGCGAAGGTATGCGCATTGCTCAGCTCGACTGGTCTGAGGAAGAAGCTCAACACGAGGCCAAGGGCGCTGACGGCAGTGTAGAAGATCCAGAGACGGGAGAAGGTGAAGGTGAAGGCCTCGAGGACGACGACGCGCGCGGCGGAGGGCAGGCTGTTGATGAGGGCGCCGGTGGAGCCGGAGAAGGAGGCGGCGAGGGTCTGGGCGGTGTCTGGGTCTGTGGCAGCGGCGATGCGGGGGATCTGCTGGGCGAGGATGTTCTGGTAGACGACTGTGCCGAGGACGACGGCCATGGCGGCAGAGGTCTGGCGGATGAAGGAGAAGGTGGCGGTTGCGGTGGCCATGTCTGCGCGGTGGATATTTGCCTGGAAGGCGACGAGGGGCGCCTGGAAGAGGGGGCCGACGCCAGCGCCGGCGATGAGCTGGTAGATGATGAGGCGGGGCCAGGAGGCGTAGTACTTGAGGTCGATGAGGAGGCCGTAGCCGAGGGTCATGAAGAAGAGGCCGCCGACGATCATCTCGCGGTAGCGGCCGGTTTTCTTGATGAGGAAGCCCGTGCCGGAGGAGAAGATGGAGAGACTGAGCACCATGGGGAGCACGTAGACGCCGCTGAGGATCGGGGACGCCTGCAGCACGGTCTGAAAGTAGAGAGGGAGGTAGTAGGAGCCCGCGATGAAGACGAACGCCTGGCAGAAGCAGATGAGGAGGACGAGCCGGTTGTGCCAGTTCTTGAAGAGCCGGACGGGGATCAGCGGGTACCGCGCGAGTTTCCACTCGTTGAGCATCGCCAGGATCCAGACCACCACTCCGAACACGATCAGGCAGATGACGGTGGCCGAAGCCCAGGGATAGCTGACGCCGCCGAATTCAAGGCCGAACAGAAACATGAGCGTGCCTCCGACGATGAGAACCGTGCCGGTCCAGTCGATGGTCTTGAGACCTTCCAGCAAGGGCGTGCCGCCGGATTCGATCTTGAGGAAGAAGACAAGGATTGCCAGGGAAGCGCCACCGACGGGTACTATAGATATGTTTAGCACAACAGATGAACAAGTTGACATAGAGCAAATGGCTTACAGTTGATGTAGAAACACCACCGCCAGGATACACTGGTCGTAAAAGCACCTCCAATAATTGGGCCAAGCGCACCCGCAATCGCCCACGTCACACCAAAGATACCGTAGTACATCGGCCGTTCTCTGAGAGGAGTTAGTAATTAAGAACAGCAGGTCAGCATGAGCACCAACATACCTGACGCTAAACAGATCAGTAACGCAAATGTTAACTAGGACGATGATGCCACCACCGCCGGCACCCTGAGTGGCACGTCCCACCAGCAGCATGGCCATATTGACAGCAAGAGCGCAGATCAAGCTCCCCACCAGAAATACGACGTTGGCTATGAGGAGGATCGGCTTGCGACCCCAAATGTCACTGATCTTACCCCAGAGAGTGATGCACGCTGCGTTGGCGAGCAGATACGACGAGGCCATCCAAGAATATCCACTCTCCGAGGCGTGGAAATGTGCAGCCATTGTCGGAAGTGCTGTTGAGACGATTGTCTAACAACGCTCAGTTTTGAGAAAAAAAAAGGGGGGGACTTTCTCTATGAGACAACTAAACATACCATATCTAAAGCTGCCAGAAACAGCACCAACTAGACAACCGTCAGCTGCAACGTTCAAAAAAAAAAAAAAAAAAAAAATCCCCACTGGGACATCTATACGAGGCATATAGAGGGAGAGACATACGCAAAGTGCAGGCATGATGATCAGAATCTTCTTCTTGCCCAACTTCTGCGCCTGGGACTGCGTCCGATCGAGCGGCGCACCCGTGGCAGCTTTTTCCAGTCCATTCTCATCAAAGTTCTCACCCTGATGATGATCGGAGCCATCTGTAGGCGAGTGGTCGTCTTCCACTGATGGAGGCGACATGGTGATTGACTTTTCGGGGCTGTCTGCCTCGGAACGAGAAATCTTGTCCGACATTACGGGAAGAGCGTTGCTGTTGTGCCGAACGCCATGCTCCTTATTTTCCATCATGATCCTAAGATCTAAAGGACGAAGAAAAGAAAAAAAGGGCCAGGAGGCGACCAGTTTCTGCTCCCAGCTGACTGGATATTCGACAGCGGGGAAAGAGGGAGTGAAAAAAGGGAAAAAAAAGTTGAACTGCTACTGGTTCCTCAGATCGTCGATCGGCCTGACAAGAAAGTAGCGATGAGAACTGGCATATATGAGATTCCTCCTTCTCGAATAATCATGGAAAGACCCAGGATTTCAGTACTGAGTCAAAACTACTTGCCGAAATCTCCATCAAGGGCAAAAAGGAGTCACTAAAAAGTGCGATTAACCCGTTGGAGCAGATGAAGGCGAACTACCGCGGCGTTAACTTGTTATGCGACTCCCGAGTCCGAGCACCACCGAGTCACAGCAGGTCGCAGGATCGGCGAGAATAATACGGATTCTTTGCATGGGATGTGTCATATTAGAGGAGAGTTCACTCTTCTCTGATTCAGTTGTCTCAAACGATGATGCAGGATGGAGGGAGAGAAGGGTCCGAACTCCGAAGTCACTCTCGGGGTTAAGAGGCGCAGAGTAGTAACACGCGGGTAAGTATACCCCGGGCCCATTAACCGAGATCTGAGAGTTCAATAGTTCCAACTGTTACAATTATAGTTATCTTGTAGTGATCTAGTATGCACCTCGAATTTCAAAAGAAAGAAAGAAAATCCTATGACCAAGCATTCCTTGGCCGTCTGCAGTCTGCAGGACGCCGTCTGCACAGCGTAGTCGGAGTAGCCAGTTGACATCACCTGGAATGCAGACGATTTTCTGACAGCCGAGACTGGGGATAGATATATTCAGGGGTATAACGTATGTAGAGCTAAATGCAAAAGAGCACAGAAAGAACAAACAAATACAGACAACAAATGAAACACTATGCCATACCCGCCCAGCACCCTCTAGTCCTGTAGCTGTAAGATCTCTGCAAAACACCACGTCAGTTCTTTCACATATACCTCTCTGGCTGCATGCTGCATCATTGACTTACCAGTCAAAAACTCCTCGAAGCTCACGGTGATATACCCGTCCCGATCCTCATCATATCGCTTGAACACGTCCGTCATCCGTCGGAGACCAATACACGCCTGCACAAACAGGTCAAAGCTCATCCCCATCTTCGCCGGCCCCATCGCATGGCCCCCATTCATCTGCCGCCCCTTACTCTCAAATGTAGTGAAGAGCACCGAGACAAAAGGCTGGCTGAGCCGGTATCCGAACGCGACCAGCGCCTTCTCGAACTCCTGTAGACTGATGCGCCCGCTGCGATCCTCGTCAAACCGATCAAAGAGCTCCCGCCACGCCGCAAGGAAGCGCCACAGCGCCACGAACTCGTCGAATGAGATCGACCCGCTACTATTGCGGTCGAACATCCGGATCATCATCTTGACCGTCCTAGGATGAAAGGAGGTATAGTCGCCGTTCACCAGGGCAGAACCCAGCTCCATCTCGGTGAGGGCGCCCGAGTGCGAGGCATTGGCGGCGCGGAACAGGGGGAAGAGCTGCTGGGGGTCGTCGGTGGGGGCGGATAAGGGGGGTGGCTGCGGGGACTGCGGGGGACGCGAGGAGGGAGGAGGACGATTGCGAACGGGCTGCGAGGGGGGAGGCCCGAATCCATAGTTCTGAGGAGGGGGCGATGGATGAAGAGGATGTGGACGGGAATGGCCCGTTGGCGCCGCGGTGGCTGGTAGCGGCTTGTTGATCTGGGCGGTGGTGGTCGGAACGCGCTGTGGTGGTACACCGCTGGAGGGAGGATGGGAAGATGTTCGAGGGGGTCTCTGTTGATGCGAGGGTCCTTGCATGGCCCCGATCATTTGAGCGACCTGATTGTGGATCGTCATCAGCGTGGTGTCGCGGGGCTAGGATGGTAGTAGGACTACTGCCTAGAGACGGAATTTTTCATACTTGTTCTGGTTCAGCATGCCTGCCATTACATCCAATTAGTCCGAGCCGTTCTCTCTCAAAACCCTTTCAAAGCTTCAAATCAAAACTTACGCTGGAAGCGCATCAGGATTGTAGGACTTGTTGTACGCCATGGCAGCCTGACGTAACGGACGAAAGGCGTGAATGAGGGGAGACAATGAGCGAGAGAGAGAGAGAGAGAGAGAGACGCTCTGTTCAAGGAGACAGAGGCTGGGACGTCAATTCATCTACAGTTCCTGCGATTACTGTAGAAAGATATTCGAGCAAGGAAAGATGGCAAGTTTTGTTTATTGAATTTAGGAGTAAGCTGGTTAAATTGTGATGATCTTTAGCACCTCATCGTACTCGTACTGCAAGCGGAGCCGTGGGGCGTCGCGCTGAGTCCGTCGATGCCAAGAGATAATCAGCCACAGTTGTAGTGACCTATGGCGAAGCTAAGTGGATGTTCCCAATGATGTTCCTGGAGCGGCAAATACTTCAGTATTATTGTTATTGCTGGGGGTAGATATTAGATAGTCTTCGCTTTCGCCTCCTCCCTTCAACGGTGTCGACGGTGATCTTCAGGCTTCAGCCCTACCAGCGTGCACTAGTCCACCAGTCAAGGTTCAGGGATGTCAGCTGGATCTTCAATACTAGTTTACAGATAGAGCACAGCATCTTATTTACCCTCTCCACTGTCAGATTCTCTCGATTAACGTTCCGACCTCTGGTGATTGTTCTTCAAGGACCCGAACAATCTCCTCGAAAGCTTTGGTCTGAAATTGCCTGCCTTCTTCTCCCGTCGTCAAAGCAGTAGATTCACTGGGCTTGATCAGTACTGTTTTGAACGTAGAATTGGAAAGAATAATGAAGAGCCTACTCAAGGTATCCATCGCCCCTCCAGCATCTCCCATGCGACTCGACTCCCTGGTATGTTGCACTGACCAACGAACGGCTCCCCTGCTCCGCTGTGCGAGCAAAGAGCTTATATACCAACCATAGCACCCATCGCTCGTAGAATCTATTGTATTGCCGGGCGAGAGCGGATGCACAGAAACCAGGACTGACGGTGTTTATAATGACGGGGACTGTGCCATTATCGTCCCGCACCTGGCCAGCCAAGGTTTTGAGGACGTATTCCAACAGTAACTTCGAAATGCCATACTGCTTAGGCCCTTTGAAGTGCACGGGGTCGTTCACGTGTTCCAGCAGGGAGCCATCAGTCCGAAGGCTGTCTGCCTTCGCGAGGACAAACTTCTGGCTGGACACGACTGTCAAGTGACTAGGACTTGAAGCCAACAGGCTACTACTTCTGAGTTTGGGGAGAAGGAGTATTGCCAACAAGGATGTGGAGAGCGTGTTAACCTGCAATGTCTCTTCCCATCCTTCGGGTGAGGTGATAAACTCTCGGTCCCACAGTCCTGCATTCAATATTGCAACATCCAGCTGCTCAATCTCACTGTTGACACGACTTGCAAAAGCCTTGACGCTCTTGAAACTGCTCATCTCCAATTCCCAGATTTGAACCACCCCAGGTCTGTTCGTGCGCATCTCCAACTCTGTTTTGGTCGCTTGTCCTCGTTCCAGGCTGCGGCTGCTCAGAATGAGTCTGTCCACTCCTTGGTTGAGAAGTTTGATGGCAGCCTCGAATCCCAAACCGGACGTGGCTCCTGTCAGGAGTACACTTTTGCCTGCGAAGGAGATCCCAGTTGGATCGGTGGGAGGAGTGTACTGCGTTCGCAGTGAACGGGGGAGACCGGCCATGATGTAGTAGCTATGGAGATATAATGGATTGCCTCTCCTGGGGGCTGTTCAACACAAAACTGTCAACGGGGATGAGCGTCGTTGGCACAACTATATACCGTCAATTGTATATACTTCCGACCCCTGGAGCGATATAACAGACACTGATCGGTTGTTTGAGCCGCACCTCAGTCCAACAGGATATTTTTATTGATCGAGTGCTAAAAAAGGTACAGACCTATTAGAAATATTGATTGACAGCTTAAAGGGATGAATGCAGGTTCTCCCTGAAGCTCCGAGTCCGAGTCTGTTGCTGACGGACTCCGTGTATGTTCTCTTGGACAAAAATGATTGGACAAACCCCCTCAGGAACCAAACACTCCAAACAAAAAGCGTGACCTGTACAATTATTCAGGCATCTGAATGTCGCCATTCTCGCTGCTCAACATCTGAGTAATCAAGCGGTATTTCTGTCATAGCTTCGATAAGCTTGACACCTGTCCAAGCTAAAGGTCTTCTGTTCTTTTGGGATGATATCCATGAGAAGGGACGATTGTCGTGCTGTCATTGAGCGGAGTGGAAATCTCGGCTGAGAAATCATCCCTTCCACCGGAATCCCATCTATACAGTAAACGGGGCATAAGAAGAATATAACACATCCTTTGAACCGATTAACTCTCGTTTTGTGCAAAGCGCTATATAGACATGGCTACTAGCCTAGAAGATACCCAAACGCCACCTGGCGGCCGAACATGGCGCAGTTATTTCCCCAACGGTGACCTCTGGGTATTTGGATATGGGTAAGTTCAATCCAACTGTGTGTATTATCATGTCAACATGTCTAGTAAAGACCTCAATTTCTAATACCTCCAAAGGAGTCTCATTTGGAAACCTCCACCACACTATGGTGTGTATACTTCATGCTTCTTCCCTGATGCATTGCTATGTCTATATATATCTGCTCTGACGCTGGGCCGTAGATCAGCGGATTCCGGGCTATATAGATGGCTACGTGCGACGCTTCTGGCAGGTATGTATCCTAACACCACTAAATGAACCGCCAACCATACTGACAATCCCTAGGCTAGGTACGATCTTATTCATACTTTCGATTTCGCAGGCCAAACCGCTCCCAACTAACCCACACCCAGCACCGACCATCGAGGCACCCCAGAAGCCCCCGGCCGCGTAGTGACAGTCATCGAGCGAAGCTTCTGGGAAACCCTCGATGATCCCGTATGTACCATCCTTGACCCGACCCCTCTTACTCCAAACCACTTACACATACCCACAGCACACACACCTTGAATCCTCCACCGCCCGCGTCTGGGGCGCAGCATACCACATCCCCGCCTCCCACGCCGAGGAAGTCCACGACTACCTCGACGACCGGGAAATCGACGGCTACACCGTCCACTACACCCCCTTCCACCCTATTTCCGCCGTCTCGGCCTCCACGGTCTGCAAGACGCCGGGGCCGGAGCCGCAGCCGCAGCCCCCACTCACCTGCATGGTGTACATCGGGCAGCCCACGAACCCGCAGTTCCTGCGTGATCCTGCGCGCCGCGAGCCGCAGGACGTGGCGGGCGTGATCAGCCGCGGCCGCGGCCAGAGCGGGAAGAATACCGAGTACCTATATCTTCTGGAGAAGGCGCTGGAGGGGCTGGGGCTCGGCAGTGCCGATATGCATGTGACTGATCTGGTGCGCCGGGTGAAGGCGCTTGAGTCGGAGGAGGAAGCGGGGGCTGAGGAGGCGGCTGCTGAGCGGGATGTTAAGACGTCTCTTGCTGCGTCGGAAGCTGAAGCGCATGGGGTTGCTGAAACGGGACATGGCAGCTTGTGAAAGATAAACGCATACGTGGAAAGGTGCGACATCATAGGGTAGATAGACACATAGACTCTATATATACCTTTCAATGTACCTTTGAATGCATGATGCAATTACTGTCTCGATGTAATTAATTTACATTTGATTGTGGTAAAGGCAGGCAAGCTTAAACTGTGATACCTGTAGACAGGTACTTCTTTTCATAGATCATATCAATAAGGCTATCGAAAGTATGAATTCAGAACGAGGTTATACATCCATATCAGCCATGTCGCTCACTAATAGCAGCCAACAAGTATATCATTCAAGAACTCTCAGCTAAACGGTAGAAGTCAAGCAAAACTAAACTTTAATAAAGCCTGTTCTGCCGCCAAAAGTCTCTGGGCAAACCAATGAACTCAGGGCATGTGCCATAGTCCTGCGTGGCATGAGAACCCAACAGGTGGTCGGTCATACCACACATGAGATGTTTGCCCGCCATTCCTCCTGCCGTTCCAAAAGCATAAGGCGCAGACGCTCCAGTCCATGGTGCTCGAATTTGGGAGATGTATTGAGATAAGAAAGGTTTCTCATTGCTCGTGGTCCCGAATGAAGCTTCCATTCCATAGTCCCGCACCTTGCACATGGGCCCTTCTTCAGACAGCACAATCGCATCAAACGCACGATGAAGCACTTGTGTATCAAGATCATCACGGCACCCAATCTGAGCTTGGGTCCCGTCCGCATGATATTCTTCATGTTCGATTGCGTTAATAACTTGAGATAGAGTAGGAGAGTAGCAAGAATTTTCACTCTCGAGGAAGGACTGTGGACATGCTATTGTCTCGGAAATCGAACAATAGTCATTGTCTGTTGGATACTCATTAATCATATTCTTCGGTGTCGGTTGCCAGTTATCGAAGTTCCCACTTGAATTGTGCTTATAACACTCAACCCCGGGATTGACATGAGTGGACTGCGGAAATATCCATTCTTGGTCCAAGCTTGTCTTGCCTGCATTCTCCTTTTCACCGGTATCATGCCGTAGTTTGGGATTTGTCATTTTTCTGGATGTCCTTTCGTCGGCATCGTCTAGTCTCTCCCCAGGAACTGACCGGTGTTTGCTGCAGACTGAGTCCGGAATTGGGGACACTGGCGCAGGTTGTCCATTGCCCTCTTGATCCCAAAACCTCTCCCGTTTATATAACAGAAGTTTCAGTTCCTCCAAAGTCCAATATTTTCTGTTTGGGTGAGCCGCCTTGCCCTGAATATTGTCTTCAGAGTGTAAGTCGAATTGTAAGATCTGTCGCATGTAGAGATCTAGGGCAGACTCGGGTATTGATTCTGCATGGTCACTGTATGACCAAGTATAGGCAGTTGTCGATGGAGACGACCCCCTGCACATCTGACTCTTGAGACGATGCCTCTTGGATTGGGTTAGTGGTACAGTGGGAGACCATGCGTCAACCGTATTGTCCTCCCTAGCTGCTATGAGACATGCTGCAGAAATTGCCTGAGATTGTACTCCTGGAGCTGGGGTGAAATTGGATACCGGGTTATTCGTGTCAGTCCCAGGTCCTTCTTCAGAATGCCCATTTTTGAGAGATTCGAGTGAAAAGTGATTTGAAACGAGCTTTTGAGGTGCCCCCGTACTATTCTGAGTCTTCCTGTTTTTGTTTCGACTTGGATAACTTGAATGGTCCTCGTTGTCGTCCCGTGGTCTCTTACTCAAGAATTTGGTCTCGGAGAACCCTTCAGATACTCGGCAATTTTTGACCAATTTAGTAATGCTCGAGGCACTGGGGAAGTCTTTCAGTTCACGGCATTTCACGGGTGACGAGGTTTTCCCTCTGTGGAAAAGTCCCAAGTCCAGGCGTCCACGTAGCTAGGTGTAGAATCAGCATGAGCCTTTGTATTAAGTTCGAAATTGTCGCTTACAGTCAATCGATCTCGGGAGACATTGGGGGCATGGAAGTTGCCATTGATTGTATGCTTTCTGGCCTTTTTTGATGACCTTATCTTCTTGACCGATGATTTCTTGCACATATTTCCACCATTAGAGCCCTTGTACTCGTAGCGATCTTCTTTGGTCTTATAACGCGGCTGACGTTCGTATCCAAGCTTGCCTGTTCGCTTAGGAGTCATAGTCTCCGTTGAAATGGGTTGAACATCGGGGCCTATGCAAAAGAAGCATTTAGTGCACTAATCTAGAGATGATCCACGAGAATTACCCTTGTCTGGCAGATCTTGATGAGATCCAGCTGCTCTACCCTGAGGTCCGGAAATGACGTCCTGAGCTTCTAGCTCAAGAATCCAATGGTGAATCAGATCCTGCGTTGCTGGCTCCAGGTAACCTGTTCTTGAGGGCGATGGTTGGGGCATGATTGCAACCACAAAATCAGCTTATATGGACTGTGTAGCACGGCGTGTGTATGACAACTGATTGCTTCTTGAGTTAGACGTAGCGAGGAGTTGGCAGCCTAAAAGTACTTGCCATTTTGGAAGCTCAGATGCCTGCTTGAGGTATCTACGTCTGCGGCGACACCCCGAGGCACCGACTGCTTTGCAGACTGGAAATTGGTATACTTCATGGAACTTGGAGCATTTTGAAAATTGGATATAGCAGATGGGAGTTTCAACTTTAGCTACTAAGTTTATCCAGAATGCCCAAAGTGCCTTCAACTTCGATATTCAATAAGACATCGTCTCTCTCGCCTCAGTGAGGCCCCGGTTGTCGCTTCACTCTTCAGGAGGATGGGATACATAGACAATTGCTCTTTCCTTCATGTACAGTTATTTCACAGTTTGTGGAGTATTTTGGGGATGACGCAAACTTAACAAAGGCTGAGGTCAGTGGGATCCTCCGAATATGTGTATCATGTATGCTCCCCCACAGTTTGGCCACACTGGGACAGATCCTGGATGATTCTAATTACACTTACAGATCATACATGTATCCGAAGCACACCAGGATCAATCAAGACCACCATGATGGAAAATTAGTGCTGAAATATTCTCCTCTGATGAGCTTTGAGGATAAGGAAACAGCGCCCACCTCACTGTTCATTCAGCACTCAACAAGTCTGCCCATTGGCGTTGCTTCAAGCACCCTGTGTCTGCGATGAAACTGCGTGTGTTGTGTCTATTCTTTCCCCTTTACTCGAATGTCATGTTGTGTATGTTGTCTGCACCTGCCTTGTGGATACAGCCTTCTAAAACCGACGGCTGCTCGTGGGATGTCGATGGTCTCTTGCTCCTTGCTACATGCATTCTCAATTGCAATAGCAATAGCATACCGTCAGTTTCTATCAGAGAATCCGAATCTTTTCTCATTTTCTATGAAAAATCCGAGATTCGCAACCATAGTAGAAACCTGTTCAACATGAGCACGGATTCGGTGACAACTCAATCAATACAGTTGACGCAATGAGGCCAGGTTCCTCTGTGACTATGGAGCAATTCCTTTCTTTCAGGGTGCTTTGGCCAGAGATAATCAATATCAACAGACTTGACGGCCCGTGGGCACCAATCAAAAAGAGTGATCTGAATGATATGGCAAAGAGCTTCGAAGAAATGGAAACTTTCGATTCTCATTTCAAAGCATACCTGGCATCTATAAGGCGAAGGGCAAACACCAACGATCGAGTTAAGGCCATTTCAGTTGGCTCGAAAGTACCAAACTCAGATCGACAATCAAATCCCATTCACCCTTCCAGGCGGGGGAATGCCTTCAACCAACGTGAGGATTCAGCCAAAGCCTAGGCAGAGAGATATCATCTCATGATGGGCAACCATCAACCCGATAACCCTCTGAGCCGACCACCTCGTATTCTAAAAATCAAGTGCAGCTCGTTGTCAATCGTCAAAGTAAAATCCGATGGTCCTAAATTCCTTCTCCTAGCTTCCCGAATCATGACCTTGAAGTTGTGATATGCTTCTCAGATCGACCCCAGTCAGCCTCTCTCGCTTATTTTTCCTATCAGGGCATTAAACGTTGATAACAGCACAAAGCGGCCCACTTGGTCGCGATAACGGATCTTATCCCCACCAAGATTGTCGAGGATGAAGCGATGGTTATGATTGTTTATACAGTGAAGGTCGATCCCAAGAGGGCTCTCAGTTGGCACCATTATTGTTTTATATAATATATGCATGCTCCAAAAATGTCAAGAATTTAAGGCGGATCCTGTACCGTGGGAAACTCTGTCCTGAATGGTCCATCTGGTGGCCTGAGGTTGGCTGTTTACTTGTCACATGTGGCCAGGCTGACTAACGAGACGAACTCCGATGATCTCCTGCTCAACTGGTAAAATCATACCTTGGTAAATAATCAGAATCAGCATTAACCAGTTAGATACATACTCCGCAGTCTAGGTAGTTAGTTACCTGAACAGTTGACAAGGACCGGAGATTGATCAGTGATGGATGGATAGATGGATATCCAACAGCATGCATGCATGTTGGATCTATCTATCCAATTCATCTATTTTCTGCATCAACTGGACAAACTCTGGCTAATGTATAAATTGTCATGCGAGGTACAACCGAGCCGTTCAAGTGAGCATCCATGGTACAACGAATTCATCTGCCCACTCAGATCAGTTCAAGTCTCAGTGATTGACATTTCACAATAATTCGCTCAAAAACGTGACAAAAGGGTCAATTCAAAGACTCCGAGCTGCTCACCCGGGTCACCGACTCTTTTTGGTCTTAACCATTCCCTCTAAGATCCAGCCATCCAGGGCCTCGTACCCCTAGCCTATTTCCAAAAGTCCACTCGCCTGCACCGAAGCTGAAAAAGAGCACTGCGGATGTCCCAATGAGGGGTACAGAGGTGCGCATCAGCCCTCTGATAGCCTGGTCAGAGTAGTCTAGCGTCTCAACCGTCTCCCAAATCCTATTCTGCGCTTCATCTTCGGCGTTGTTTCAGGCCGTTTCCATTATTCTGCGCTTGTCATGCATTAATAAAACATGACTGCCACTGAAAATCCCAGTTTCTTGTTCATATGTGCAGAAAATCCTGCTACTACTATCTATCGACTCTGTAGTATCTACTATATAAAATCGTAAAAAAAAAATGACAGTAATATAAAAAATATTAATACGGAGTAATACTAATATTACTCTCTATGAATAATCAGTCAATACATAGGAAAGAAAATAATAAGGGAGAATGGCGAAATCCCTCCCCCCCCCCCCCCCCCGCTTTGCATTGTTGCATCTGGCTCTTCCTCCCACCTGTTGCTCCCACTTTTGTGCAGCTAAGCCATTGGGTTAGTGATTATTTCTTTTCTTTTTGCTGTAAGACTCTCTCCCTCTCTCCCTTTTCTCTTCTTATCCCCTTCATTTCGGCCTCCTGGGAATACTTATCCACAGTCAGTGTTGAGCATTTTAAAAACAGATTCAGTAAGTCTGCCACCTATGCCATACCTCCCTCTGGATCAGTGAAAATCTCGGTGTTTGCTTCACAAACCAGCAACATCCTCCCCTCGTCCATAAACCCCAACGGACACTAAAAAGTGAAGAGAAGAAATCTCTGTTTGCCTCTTCCCTCTATTTTGACTCTCCATCTATCACTTTTTTTTTGTCGAGAAATCGTCGTCTCTTGATCCAGAGGACTTGGCCTCGTCGCTTCATCAGTGCTAATCTTTCACCCCCTCAGTTTCTATATCCAACACTCGACGTCAAGATGTCCAAGCTTTTTATCGGGTGTGTCTCTAATATCATATAAACACCTATCTTTTTTGGTCTTTTAAGAAGGACATTTTCTCAAGTAACGGATCAATAGCGGCCTCGCATGGCACACCACTGATGATGCCCTCCGTCAGGGTTTCGAGCAGTTCGGCCAGGTCGAAGAAGCTGTCAGTACCATCCACGATCCCAAATAATCTAAAACCACCTGAGTTTGACTAAATGATATCTTTTACAGATCGTTGTCAAGGATCGTGACACCAACCGCAGCCGTGGTTTCGGTTTCGTCCGTTTCAGCTCCGACAGCGATGCCGATAAGGCCATGGACGCCATGAACAACCAGGAGTAAGCCTTCTCGAGCCGACTTGCGAGGCTGGATGCACTCCTGTCGGGTTGTGCTGACACGAATTGAACTAGGTTCGATGGCCGCACCATCCGTGTTGACAAGGCTTCCGAGCGTGCTCCCCGTAACAACGGTGGCTTCCAAGGCCGTGGTGGCTACAACCAGTCCGAGGGCGGTGCCCCCGGCGGCGGTTACCGTGGCGGATACGGTATGTTGTTCCCTGATTCTTTTGTCATTTCATTGTGTTGCAACCTCTTCTAACAATCCCAACCAGGTGGCGGTGGTTACGGCAACGGCAATGGCAGTAAGTAAACTCGACTTACGACGTCTCGCATAGAGATACAACGGTCGCTGACTCGGTCTTGTCAGACTGGCGTAACAACTCGAGTAACGGACAGGCTGCTTAAGCGTCTTGACCGAAAATTCAGCTCGTTCCTCTCCGTACCTTTTCCCCCCAGATAAGTTATGAGACACGATTATGAAAAGGATAATGCCGGGCCTCTTTATCGCATTTCTTGAGCATGAATGATGCATAAATTCATGATGATGGAATGATCAGTGTTTTTTGCTAGTGTTCTCTCAGTGTCATCTCGCCTATCGAGATAATAAAGATTGGTTTACGACACCACTTGATTCCCCCAAATTACGATTTCCTTCCACGGTAGAACATATAGAGTGTGCAAGTGTATATATCGATTTGTAGTCTATATGTTAGTCATTGGTCATTGACAGCCTCGGAGTGTCCATGCAAGGGGTCTCTACTGCTCCGCGGCAACACGCTTGTTGAATATGTAAATTGCTTGATTGGGTATAAGATAGAAATATGATACTGCGCCACGGTCTATATGGCAGGGGCACTACACTACCCTCAGATATAGAAGCGATGCATCGGACCTCAGAAGACTTTCGCTTCAACCACGATAGCTGATGAATCATCCACACGCCTGACCAAAATGTCTGGTCTTCCAGGCAGACCGTATGATCCTGAAGTATGAGAGCAGTGGGAGCCATAGAAAGCTACAGTTGGCTCCCATTCGGCCACGCCTTTCTCTCAACTGTATCCATAGGACATACAAGACCCGCGTTCACCTGGCTTGATGCTCGATGCTTGATTGGAGCACGACTCTAACTAACTCATAACGGAGATAGAGCCTCAACGACACCAGCGCCCCGGAAGGCAGCCTTGTTGGTCACGACGACTTCGACAGGGTATTTCCATTCCATGAAGCGAGTCCAGCCTGCACGCATCCCGAGTCAGCAACGATGGGTCATAGAAGAGGAGAGTGTCATAGTGAACGGAACAAAGAAAACATACTCCAGTAGGCGCATCTCCGTCCGAGATACTTCCCGATGACTGGCATAATGACCATCGTCAACAAGAGCTCTAGCTGCTCAATGCTTTCCCGCCATTCTTCCTCCGCGTCCGAGTAACCGTCCGAAAGCGTGTCTAGATCTGAAGAGGCTGTCGACTCTGATGGGAGAGAGGCAACGTCGTCGTCGGAGCCGGAGGTGTATCTGTCTGCCGATGATACCATGTAGGCAGACGTAGCGAGAGACGGGTTGGAAGCGGAAGGTGAAGCGTAGGACATGTTGCGGGCTCGGATCAATCAGGAGTGAGGAGGATAAGATGTGAGAAGCAAAGGGGTGTTAAGTTAAGCAGTGGCCTGCCTACTGCTAGAGCAAGGATTGGAACATAGAATTGGCGCTGGTAATTGCTTGTTGTCGATCTTGCGGTTTGCCCATACTCACGTCGGAGGGCACCTGATGTAATCCAGGAGGGTTTGATCACGTGATTAGCCTGATGATAATACGTGAAATACAGCATTTTTGACTCATTGTCACGTGATTCAGTACCGCGATAACGAAAGACTCGCCATCGCCAACCCAAAGATATAGCACTGTCGCTGTATCAACCTCTTTGTCGTTTGACTGATATTCTCTGAGCTGCTACATATCATTCTTCCTGCTTGATTGCATACCTGGAAAGTGCATCTGCTGTAGAATCCGACAGATACAACATGGCGGACGCTGTACGTCACACCCTGTTTTCCCTTTACCGATTCTGCCCTCCCACATTTTCTTTAATATGCGGACATCTTCACATTTCATGCCCCCCATCAGCCTGACTACCCTAAACGTTCCCGCCTCCCTTCTGGCTGTCAAGTTCTTCTGCGCTTGATTACTATAATTTTTTGGGGGATTCATCGTCTTTTGATTTGATATCCTCTCATTGCTAACGCGCCGTCTTGGTCCCCATTTAGCAGGTCGAGCCCACTCCTCAAAAGCAACGCAAATCCGTCGCCTTCAGCGAAGGATCAGTCATCATGGACACACAAGGCGAGGTCACAGAGGTGCCCCAGCCCACCACAGCTGAGAACGAAGCCGGTACGACGTTTTTCTCAATCCATTACGTCTCGTTGAATTTGAATAGACGGTCGCAACCGAAGCTAACCCCCCCAATCACAGGCACAGAAGACAAGGCCGTCGACGAAGTAACCGAACTCTTCAAGGGCCTGTCGAAAAAGAGGAAGACGAAGAAGCCCAAGGATGCCGAGGCCGGTGAAGGCGACGACGGCGCCACCGCGGACGGCGAGTTCGACCCCACCGCCCTGAAGAAGAAGAAGAAGAAGCCCAAGAAGGTCGACACCGGTGACTTCGAGGCCAAGCTGGCCGAGGCCGGCATCTCAGAGAAGGCCACCGAGGAGAAGGAGGGCGAGCTGCCCGAGGGCGATCTCGAGGCCGGCACCGGCATCTGGGCCCACGACGCAACCCAACCCGTCCCCTACGCGCTCCTCGTCTCCCGCTTCTTCTCCCTCATCCAGAGCCACCACCCCGACATGCTGTCCAGCGGCACCAAGTCGTACAAGATCCCGCCTCCCCAGTGTCTGCGTGAAGGTAACCGTCGTACCATCTTCGCCAACATCGCCGATATCTGCAAGCGCATGAAGCGTTCGGACGACCACGTCATGCAGTTCTTGTTCGCCGAATTGGGTACCAGTGGCAGTGTGGACGGAAGCAGACGTCTGGTCATCAAGGGTCGTTTCCAGCAGAAGCAGATCGAGAACGTCCTGAGAAGATACATCGGTATGTCACTTTGGAACACCCGTGCTGTTTTATTCTTTCCTGTATAACTAACAGTCGCATCCAGTCGAGTACGTTACCTGCAAAACCTGCCGCAGCCCCGACACCGAACTCAACAAGGGTGAGAACCGTCTGTACTTCGTCACTTGCAACTCCTGCGGTTCCCGCCGGTCCGTCGCCGCCATCAAGACCGGTTTCCGTGGCCAGGTCGGTCGCAGAAAGAGACAGGGTTAAGCGGAGAATCGTGGATGTGTTTCGGGGGATTTCATATGGAGCCAATCTGGTCTTGGAGGGTGTTTTATTTCTCTCTTTTCTTTTCCTGTTGATTTCCCCCAATTTTTTTCCCGTATAAACATTTCTTTTTTCAGTTATGTGGGTTTTCATGACGCCAAAAGATTGAAATGTGATGTTTGTGAGTATTATGGGACCTCTGGGGGAGGAAAAAAAAATAGAACACGATGTAAAGACCTTAAAACGCAGCACTGCATCTTGATGAATATATACACAGTATCATTCTTGTTTATGAGCGTGCTATCTGAACACAACTATCGAGATATGCCAACCACAGGAATAACAAAAAGACCAAAAGCAATTCAGAGACAAAATTCGCTCACAAGAGATAATCACAACGCCAAAAGAAAGAAAGAAAAGAAAGAGCAGATCAGCTCGCATCGTGCCTTAATTACTGGCCGTGTGCGCACCAATATGGGCCGCAAACGCGGTCACGTTCCTCGTCTGCATGTACACGATTCCAGGGCCCGTGAAGCGGCACGCCAGACCCTCGCCGGAGCCGATGTTCGAGATGATGCCTCCTGAAGCGACGCGCTCCATTCTGTACTTGCAGTTCCAGGCGACAAGGTGGCCGTTGTCCACGAAGTAGGATTCGTCCTCGGCGATCTAGAAATCGGTTCAGGTCAGTCAGTCATTGTCAAGCCCCATGTCTCGGTGGTTGCATACTTCTTTCTTGATAATAGCGCCGAAGCTCTGGAGCCAGAGAAGACCGACGCCAGTCATTTTGTATATGAATAGTCCTTCTCCGGAGAAGACACCCTTTGTCAGGCCTTGTGCCTGGAGATCCTTCGAGATGCCGCTAGTGGCTGCCAGGAAGGCGTCCTTGCCGACTTTCCACGAGTCGGAGCCCGATAGGCGCATGACAATTATGTCACCCAGGGTCGAGGGCGCGAGGAGGAGCTCGCCGGGCCCGGTGAACGTCGACAGGGACATCTCGCCGCCGGCGAACATCTTCTTCAGAGAGAACTTGATGCTTCCCCGCAGCGTGACAGAGTGGGACATTGCGATCATCGCGCCTGGTCGATGTGTGAATTTCTAGAGATGGTTGTGAACAAGTACAGAGGCCATGCTTACCTGGCTTTGCTACAATCGGACATCCCACCGCCAACTGCAGCGTGAGAAGCGAATTTGAGTCCCGGTGGCTGACTCTGTAGCTTCCGCCGTTGAATGTCCCGACATCGTCCTGAGTAGTCGAGCCGGCTACTTGGCCAGCCTGTGCCGGCACAATGGAGGCTCTCTGAGGCTGCGTGGCCACGTAGGAAGATTGGGATGGTGTAGACTGGTGGCTAGGCATCTGTGGGGGAGGTGATACCGAACTTGGTCCGTATGGGTTAGCCACGCCGGGGCGCGCCACATATTGAGCTTCTCCTGGTGGAGGGCTCGTTGATGTCGGTTGCTTCAGTGAAGGAGGATAACTAAAGTTCTGAGGTGGGAATCCCGGTGATGGTTGGGGTGGAGGAGGAAAAGCTAGATCCCAATATGAATGAGATCCGGTTCTCAACGAGGAGAATAGGGAGTTACCATACCTCCAGAGTTGGGAGGGGCTTATACAGCAAGCCCGTTAGTATACTGATCTCTATCTTCTTCGAAGCAATACTTACGAGCAAAGTGTGCCTCCTGGATCGGAGGAGGGGGGTATGATGTTGCCATTGTGGACTGTACTTTTGTTTCTCTTCACAATATCTTCAGTCTCACGAGTCCGAGGGGAGCTGCAATGCTTCGAGGACAAGACAGCGGAGCAACGAATATTTAAAGAAACGAAGAATCAAGTCTGACAGAAGCCACGGCAGAACGGGAAGGCCTCGTATTCCTTCTGTCAGTTTTCAGCTCAACTGATTATGGTTTCAAAGCTGTTGATCGAGAAAGCTGCGTGTATAGAAGTGCGACATTCTGATTAAAAGATGTCTATCTAGCTCAAGATTGATTGCGCAGAGAGCTCAAATATATGACTTCGCTGCAGTAGCAACTGTTAGCGCCGGCCATCTCTGATCGTCGACGTCTGATTGCTCTGATTGATGCTTGTCGGCGCTTAGAGAAACCAGGTGGGGAGGACTGTGATAGGGCCTGCAGGAATGCCCAGGTGAGCATTACTACTAGTGACTAGTGAGCCTTTTGGGTCTTTGGCATGTGTGATCGAAGTTTGTCTGCTATTGGATCGAATTCCTCTTATTTGATCCATTGTCGATAGTGCGAAGAAGATGAGTCTGGCCGAGACAACACTCCGTCTGGCCAAACGGAGAGGGGGGCGGGGTACAATACAAAGTCACGGTCTTCATGCCTGAGATATATCTACATACTCTGAGTACACGCCGCAGAGAACATACACTCATATTAATAGGACAGGCAAAAAGCCTTGAATGAACCTAATTGCCAGTTGTCCATCAGATAAAATTCAACCACTTATGCCGCTGGTGACTTTTCCATGCATAAGAGGTCAATCTTCCGTGCAGTGCGAGACCGATACCTTGCTTCTGGAGGAAATTGAGTAGTTCATTGTCGGCCTCTAGAAGAAAGTCTGCTATGGTCTAGATTCTTGGAGGTAGGTACATGATACGATAGATAGTACCCATGGTCCGAAGGGTTCTGTCCCTGGTGCTGAACAATCAGGGTACAGCCTTTGCATCATTGCAATCAGTGTATCCCCTCCCCTTAATATCGCCTCATCCACTGTTGCCATCTACCAAAACTCAATAAAACCAGGTAGCTCTCTGTGTCTTATCCCACCCTAGATCCCAGAACGAAGTCTTGGTGCGCCCAACGCTTGGTTCTGGAGACTGGCTCCGCTCTGCGTTGCCAGTATTCATGGCATGCCTGATCTCAGCTTCACGCTCGAGGTCCATCTTGAATTTGCCTTGTTGGGACCTGAGTTCATTTGAGGTGCTGTCTCTCAGGTTCCGATATGCTTCACGAGCATCAATTAATCTGGAATCAAGTTAACTGGAACGATCTATAGCTCTCTGGAGTAAATGTAATGTCTTTCCCTGTATGCCTCACCTTGATTTGAAAGTACTTTCATGATGCAAGTCTTTGTTCCTACAATAACGTATTTGTGATACTTTCATAGCGTTATAAGGCAGAGATTGATAGGGTCATGTCTTCTTGGATATATATCATCCCATGGCGTTCAATCCTTGTCATGAGCGTTTGTAGGTAGGATAAAAATAGGCAAAAGACATGAAGCCCTCCAACGTCTTCATGATATGCACTTCGAGAGCGAGAGAAACAAGAGGAATAGAGGAGTAACGACTTGGTTAATATTCGCGCTGGTGGGGCCAGCAGCCAGATAGTACAGACTACAGTGTACATAAGGACAACTAGAATGCGGACCGCCAGCCACAACCCCAGATGATCGTCAGGCCCTATGAACATGTCTGATTGGTAACCTGCCTCAGCTTGATGCTCATATCATATATTCATGATTCATGTATTTTTTGATGCTGTTCATAAGCGACTCCTGCGACCAGTAATTCATTTGATCACTTATTCGTCCACGCCGACGCCAACCCTTTTAGCAAAAAGACAACAGTTCCCCTGTTGACCCTGAGTCGTAGGATCCACCTTCCTTAGGCAACCAGATATCTTCCATCCCAGGTATCAGCATTGCTTCATAGAACAATCCATAGTATATGATTAGTATTTAGTATCACTATTTATATTCCTCATCCTGTTTTAGCTTTGCAATTCCATAGTAGATTGCTCGCCAGTTCTATACTGTTTTGTAGCTGTTAGCATAACACAGAACATTATCTGCATTACTTGGATAAAACGCCCGACTTGGCAGGACATTATGGCATCTGTTTTGCGCCCATGCTCTCACCACTCCAAGAGGTTGGAGCAGCAGTACTCAAAGAAGAAAACATTAACGACCAAATAGAAGACTTGGTGAACCATCATAGCTCTAACAATAATATAAGAATTATCTAGCAACTGGGAAAACAATATCAAACTGCCAAGCCTCAGTCAATTTGTGGCTCTGTTCGGTTCCATCCCCTCCCGGGCTCAGCCTGAGATGTTCCTAAGACATGTTATGACTTAGTACCAGTGTAGTGACCAAGTACATTTTCCTGTCCTAAACGTTTAATCCAACGACGAAACTCCCTTTCCTTTTCATCCTTTCATCCTCCATATCCCCTCCTTTCCCTCCTGGTTTATCAGATTCGCTCCACCATGGCGACTCAAAATAGCTTGCTGAACGCCATGAGCAACCGTTCGCTCCGCACTATCCGATCGGTAAGATACTCTTTCCATCTTAACTGCCTGCGACGGTCTATTCGCCCCTCTGCGTTTTCTAAATCAATGCAAATATCCGCAAACTTACTGATGCATCCTAGGAACTCGAATTTCTCGCAGATGCTTCGGTCATCACACCTCAGCAACTCTCGTCGATTCTGGCTCAGTTGCCTAAACAGGGTCCCTCTCAAACAGCCTCCCCAGTACCTCAACCACAACAGCATCAGCCGGTTGTCGCCCAGTCTCAACCTCCTCCAGCGCCGTATACTCCTCCAACATCCCAATTTGCCAACAGTTCATTGAACGAGAAGTCTGCTCTGCAGCAGCAGCAGCAGCAACAACAACAACAACAACAACAACAACAACAACAATACCCTACCCCATCCGTTCCTCCCCCCGCCTATCCACAAGCCGCGCCGGTGTTGTCCATCGCTTCGGCACTCTATGCATACACTCCAACAGATGCCGGTGACCTGGCTCTACAGCCACACGATCGTGTCCAAGTTCTCGAGCACATGAATGCGGACTGTAAGTTTAATTATTGGGTCCTCGAAGATTTAAACGCCCTTGCTAAAGACTACAGGGTGGCGTGGACGCAACGAACGCACCAACCTCGAAGGTATCTTCCCTCGCAGCTACGTAAACGTGATCGAAGAAAAGGGACTGTCGTCGCCTCCTCCGGGTTCCACGAGTTACGGCAACATGCCTCTTGAGGTGAGCCAGGGGGATCCAAACGCTCCTGATGGCAAGCGGCCTGGCAGCAAGTTCGAGGAACAAGGCAAGAAGTTTGGCAAGAAGATGGGCAATGCCGGTACGTAGACGTTGGCGTCTTGTGAGATGTGTCCAGGGGTCACTAACCTCTCATCTAGCTATCTTCGGTGCCGGTGCTACTATCGGTTCCAACATTGTGAATAGCATCTTCTAATCTCGATTGAGCCCACGAAATTTCGGCTCTTGTGATTTCTTCTTGTGATTTCTTCTTGTTGGGTTCATGGGACGGCGTTCGGACGGTTTCTTCGGGTTGTTATCAACACTACTATTTGTTAATGAGTATTGCAAAAAATCTGATCTCTTTCATGCATTGTTATTATTAAGATCTGAACACCACGCATCGACGGCACGCTGTCCTTCGCATAGCCAGCGATGATCCTATCCGGGGTTCTCCATTGTTCTTGTTTTCCTTGTAGGCATTGGGTGCTTTATAGCCGCCTCTGTGGGGTAGTTGGTTATCCCGTGAGTCTCATACTTCATGAGCGGAAGTTCACTTCTGTGATATCTCAAGGTCAGGAGTTCGATCCTCCTCGGAGGCAAGCCAATGGCTCTGCTTTTTTTTTTTTTTGATTACTTCACTTTTTCCCTCACCTTTGTACTTGTCATGCCTTATGTCTGGGTGGTTCATATGGGCTGAGGTTATGTATGCCCTGCTAATTTTATGCAGTGGCGTTGAGATCCATATTGGACGCTTGTCATGCAGTATCAATTGACCATTTTGTACCGTACTATCTATCTATCGTATGTCTTCATCTACCCAAATGTAATCACGATGTCTTAATTACGCAAGGGAAGCATCTGCCATTATTCTCCAAGATGGTATACGAAAAATATCTCATCATTCCAATGCTGTTGTGGCTGATGTAAGGAAGATTGGTTTGGCCAGATAGGGACTCCGAATGATGTCAGGAACACTAGTCCCCGAGTGGACTAGCGCCTGACTCCCCTCCAATGCCCGCCGCTCAAGGCTCGAGAAGCTTCTGTGTCATCGATATAAATTCGGTGGCCCTGCGACTTTCTCCTTTTCAAGTCACAACCTCACGCGATCCACCCTTTCCGCCACCCTCGACTCTACCCTCTCCCATCACCATCCGCGCCGTCACATACCTCCACGACCATCTCTACTACAATCCTACAAAATGAGTGAAGGATGGGATTCCGTTACCCGCATTGGCACCAAGCACCGTGCCGGTGCTGCTCCACGTGAGACCGTTGTTAAGGGCAAGAGCGCCTTGAACGCTGCGCAGCGCCAGGGTCTCATCATCGGAACTGAGAAGAAATACGCCACTGGTAATGCTGTATGTGCTGAACTCAAGCCCCTTCTCCATTTTTCAAGAGAAGTTAGGACTGACCGTTTCCAGGCCGCAAGATCAGGTGCCCCCGAAGGTCAACATCTGACAAAGGTCGACCGCAGCGATGATATCGTCAAGCCCAAGACCGTCGGTCTCCAGGTTGCGGACGCCATCAAGAAGCGCAGAACCGAGGAGGGCTACAAGATGACACAGAAGGAGCTCGCCACCAAGTGCAACACCACCATCACAATCGTCCAGGACTTCGAGCGGGGTACAGCTGCGCCGGACCAGAAGGTCCTGAGCGCCATGGAGCGTGTGCTCAACATCAAGCTCAGAGGCGCAGATATCGGGAAAGAGAAGTTCCCCAAGAAGAAGTAAACTGTCGGGGGTGAGCCTGCGCCGTTTACTTGGGGAGGATCTACCAATCTCAAGTTTGATGTTTTTCTTTCCTTTCTTTTTTTTTATGTCATGATACGACCCTTCTTCATTCAATGAGAACCCTTGTCTTTTTTTTTTATCTTTTCGTTTCTGCTGGTCGGAAGAGCGCTGGGCTGGCATTGAAATGGTTTACAGTCACGGCATAAAAATACCTCATGCTTCGATGCATTCCGGGATTTTCTGAGTTCTACCGCAGACTTGGCTTCTTTCCAGAACATGAGTCGTATAGACTAGTCGCAACAGATATCTGATATTGGGGTTTCTACACGAACTCAGTATCAGTCCTGCCATACCTCTATGGGTTTGTCATGGCACATGGAGCAGACTCGAGATATCGTAGCACAATTGAGATAATACACAAACTACGGAGTGCCAACATACTACTTCGCTTCGCCGGTGGCAAAGTACCATTCATTCAAAGCTTGCAACCTAGACCTCTATCCTGCGAAATCCGTAAGAAGACCGAGGTGGCGAACTGGTATTCTGGTTACTGTGGCTATTCCGAGGTTGAACAACTTTTTGAGTTTCCGATTCAAAGCTTGGCTGGTATGGTCTTTGAGCAGTGCTAATGTGGGCTAGAGTGGTATCCGTAGTCACTGGCTGGCTAGGTGATCAGGTATGTATCTATGTAAAGGGGTAACGGGCTTGAAGTTAGATTAAAGTACGCTGGGTATACAAGCAGTTTGCAGATCTGGGAGACTTCATAGGTCTATATGAACGGCCTACTGTGACAGTCATACTGTGAGACTCAATTCGGGGTACGTGTGAAAATTAGCGAGGATTGGACTATACGGTATGTAGGTAGGACTGATTCCAGGGAAGACGAATAGGGAGGCTTGATAGTATGTATGCGCTGCAATATCGATCTTCGAGCTATAGGTTTGTTTCGAGCCAAAATTCCCTTCCTATGACACGGTAAAAGACTGTGTTAAAACGGACATGATCATACTGAGCAAGCTAATGTGATATTGACGACGGGAGTATACTGTATACAAGCCCGATTTCCAGGGGAATATAGACATCGAAGGCAAACGGACGGGAAGAAACAAAAAGGGGCGATTCTTTTTGATTAAGATGACAGGAAGAAAGACGAAAGGGAAAATAAATGTACCAACTCCGTGATGAAATGAGGAAAATCATGCCCTGTATTTGACCCCGCCAGATTCTTCTACCGTTTCCGCCGCGCCTGGCTTTTTTCCCTTTTCTTTTATTGAAAAAAAGAGTTTCATCTCATGACTCATACAGATGATGCATGACTGTGTGAAAAAAATCAAAAGGCTCTGGATATCACCCGCTTTCTACTTTCTCAGCTGCTCCCTCTCGACCTCGTACATGAAATCAAAGTAAGGCTTATCGAAGTGGTGCACACGGACGTAACCGTCCTCACCACCGGAGGCGTACGCTGTGCCGTTGGGGTGAACGTCGACGGTGTTCAGAGGACCGAAGTGACCCTTGACACGGCCAATCTCGTCCTCGAAAACCTTGTGGTAGAAACGGGCCTCGAATTTACCCTGGCGAGCCGAGGTGGTTGTGACATCCATAGCGGCCTGACCACCACCGAGAATAACGAAATCCTTCTTGGGTGTGATGGTGGCGCTGTTGAGGGGGGTATCGGCAACGTAGGTCTTGAGGATGGCGAGGTTACGGGAAGAGATGAGCTAGAAACCTTGTTAGACAGTGTGCAAGCGAAAAGCGAGCTGGACCGAGCAGAGACGCACCTTGGCCGACTTGTCTTTCGAGGCTGTGATGAAGCAAGTGCGGTCTTGAGAGAACTGTATGTCGTTGATCTGGTGATCGAACTCGTGCGCCTGGACGTTTTCCAGCTGCTCACCGGTCTGTGGGTCAATCAGCATGGTAGTCCTCATACTAAGGAATAAGAGATGTCCGCACCTTTCCATCATATTGGCTGACGCTGCCGTCTTCGTGTCCAGCAATGATGTACTTGCCCAGGTAACTCCAGCCAGCCACGGTGGCCTTGCTCTCCGAGCAGGTGATGCGCAAGCTAGGCTCTTCCGCCTGGTTCTCCAAATCTTCACCCTGACCGTTTCCGTAGTTGATATCGAACACGGCGATTGTGCCGAGGAAACCCATACGCTTTTCCGTCACAGCCAGCAGCTTGCTTCCATCGGGACTGAATGCGACGCGCTTGACGGCGGTAGGGAAATCCCAAACCTTCACGCACTCGCCAGTCTTCACGTTCCATAGTCGCACAGTGTTGTCTGCCGAACCGGTTGCCAGGAGAACTGTGTTGGGGCTGACATCGACCGTCCAGATGGCACCCTGGTGGCCAGTGTAGGTACCAAGTCGCTCGCCGTTGGCCGACCACCAGGCACATACAACCTTATCCTTCGACACGGAGAACAAAAGGTCGCCATCACGGTTGAACTTGATCTGGTTGAGGGACCGTTCCTGTAGTAGCGATAAAATATCAGTAACCACGTCTTCCATGCAGGAAAGAAGATCTTGATGGACTTAAAGAGGGCAAAACGCACATGGCCCGAGAGCAAGATAGGCCTCATATTGAAGGAGGCGGAACGATATCTGAGTCGAAAAACAGATAGCTAAAATCAAATCTATATCCTCCGCGATAGGAGTTGTCCAGAACCTGTGATATAGAGGCGGGGATGCTGGGTGGGCTGTCTTCGTCGGCGTCGTCGACTAATTATTCTTAGTGAATTTGATCGCACAGTTCAGTCAGGGCGTTGCGCGCCAAGACTTTTGCCTATTCGAGGCTGTTTGTCCGATAAGCAAACAGTGTCGGAAATGTAGATAATCCGTTGAATGCCTGAGTGCCTGACCGATAAGGCAAGCATGCACCAGCCCTAATCGGAGCCAATGTTGGAACCCTGCATCTTACGTAACCTAACTAACTACTCCTCGCCGTGCCAAATATCCCCATGTGATGATCCGGCCGGAAAACTGCGAAAGTGACTCAAGAATGCGATAAAATTCTCAGAGTAAATTCAGAGGAAATGAAATCATTTCGATATTATTGATCAATTCGGTTTTCCCTTCTTCAATTACTCCCTTATATTCATTTTTTTGTATTACTACCTACTTATTATAGAGTATAGACGTACGTTCTCTGGTCTCCTTTCGTTGTTGGACCTGAGGCAACCAATCGCTTTCCCGACGGAATTCTCTTATCGCGTCGTCCCGAGGGCCGCTATCAAAAGGCCCCAAAAAGAAGCAATTGATGCCATTTCCTCCCGCCCGTTCGGCGACATTACCCCGCTGCGCTGGACATGCAAAGCTCTCCTCTCGTCATTCTTGCTCCCAGCGTTACTCTTCTTACATCTCATCTACTTTGACCTCGCCTGTCCTTAGAACTTCTCGACAGCGCTCCATCGGACTTGTGGTGGACTTTCCCGGTCATTGTCGACCAGCTTTGAGGACTTTTCCGACATCACCACTTTCCCGCCGTCTGTTCTCCGAAACAAAAAAAGCAATGGCTGCGACGAAGATTGATGGCACGGCCATTGCTAAGAGCATTCGCGAGGGATTGAAAGCGGAAATTACGAAGATTCAAGAGTCAAATCCCCGTTTCAAGCCCAGTTTGGTCATTTTTCAGGGTATGTATGGCCGAACTCGATGTTTGAGGTCATCCGGAGAGACTAACATTGCTCTGCTTTTAGTTGGCAACAGATCGGATTCCAGTAAGTGTTGCATTGGCTGCGCCTATAATTGGTTAGGAGTCTAATATCGCTCAAGGCACATATGTGCGCATGAAATTGAAGGCCGCCGAAGAGGTATGCACCTGGTCTCCATACTCTCACTAAATGAGTATTCGACTGACATTCTGGGACCAAAGGCAAATATCCTCTGCAAGATCATCAACTTCCCTGAGTCGATCACGCAACCCGAGATAATCCAGGAGATTACGAAGGCAAACAATGACCCCTCAGTGCACGGCATTCTCGTTCAGCTCCCTCTCCCAAGCCACTTGTCCGAGCACGCAGTCACCTCGGCCGTTGCCGATGAGAAAGATGTTGACGGTTTTGGGGCTGTCAATATCGGAGAGTTGGCCAAACGAGGTGGCCATCCCCTCTTCGTTCCTTGCACCCCCTTGGCCGTGATGGATCTGTTGAAGGCCAGCGGCGTGGACCCCGCGGGCAAGGAGGCAGTGGTTCTTGGTCGTAGTGACATCGTCGGTAGCCCTGTCAGCTATCTTTTGAAGAACGCCGACGCAACAGTGACTGTCTGCCACTCCAAGACTCCTGACATCCCCCGCATCGTGAAGAATGCGGATATCGTCGTTGCGGCCATTGGAAAACCGGAATTCGTCAAGGGCGAATGGTTGAAGCCTGGCGCCGTCGTTATTGACGTTGGTATCAACTACAAGCCTGACGCTTCGAAGAAGTCTGGTCAGAGACTCGTCGGAGATGTCGACTATGAATCCGCCGTTGAGGTGGCTTCGCAGATCACTCCCGTGCCTGGCGGTGTCGGTCCCATGACAGTCGCCATGCTTCTGAAGAACGTGATCGCTTCGGCTAAGGCATATTTTGAGAAGCAGAAGGACAGACACGTTACTCCGCTACCTCTCAAGCTTGTTCAGCCTGTTCCTTCCGACATTGCCATCTCCCGGGCTCAGTACCCCAAGCCTATCACTCAGGTCGCCTCGGAGGTGGGCATTGCCCCCCACGAATTGGAACCCTATGGCCACACCAAGGGCAAGGTCAGTCTGAGCGTCCTGGACCGCCTGTCTCACCGTCGTAACGGCCGATATATCTTGGTTTGTGGTATTACCCCTACACCTCTGGGAGAAGGCAAATCGACGACTACTATTGGTCTTACTCAAGCTCTCGGTGCGCATTTGAACAGAATTGCTTTTGCCAATGTTCGGCAGCCGAGCCAGGGCCCTACCTTTGGAATTAAGGGTGGTGCTGCTGGCGGAGGTTACAGCCAGGTCATTCCCATGGACGAGTTCAACCTGCATCTGACGGGTGATATTCACGCGATCACTGCGGCCAACAACCTTTTGGCCGCAGCTATTGAGACTCGCATGTTCCACGAGGCGACTCAGAAGGATTCTGCTCTTTTCAATAGGCTGGTCCCTGTGAAGAAGGGCAAGCGGGAATTCCAGCCTATCATGTTCAGGAGACTCAAGAAGCTGGGTATCACCAAGACTGATCCCAATGAGCTCACCGAGGAAGAGATTCGCCGATTCGCGCGTCTTGATATCGATCCTTCCACCATAACCTGGCGTCGTGTGCTGGATGTCAACGATCGACACCTTCGTGGCATTACAGTCGGCCAGGCCCCTACTGAGAAGGGCTTGTCACGTGAGACTGGCTTTGACATCTCGGTGGCCAGCGAGTGTATGGCCATCTTGGCGCTGAGCAACAGCCTTGAGGACATGCGTGAGAGACTGGGGCGGATGGTTGTTGCAACTTCCAAGAGCGGCGATCCCGTTACTTGCGACGATATCGGCGCTGGCGGCGCGCTGGCGGCCCTCATGAAGGATGCCATCAAGCCCAATCTGATGCAGAGCTTGGAGGGCACGCCTGTGCTCGTCCATGCCGGGCCCTTTGCTAACATCAGTATCGGCGCCAGTTCTATCATTGCTGACAAATTGGCATTGAAGCTTGCCGGTACTGAACCCGATGAGGATCATGAGGCTAATACTGGTTTTGTGGTGACAGAGGCTGGTTTCGACTTCACCATGGGTGGTGAGCGCTTCTTCAACATCAAGTGCCGGTCGTCTGGCCTCTCTCCCGACTGTGTGGTCATCGTTGCCACTGTCCGGGCTCTGAAGGTTCATGGTGGCGGTCCTGAAATTAAGCCCGGCGCCGCGTTGCACGAGGTTTACCGCACTGAGAACACTGAGATCCTCCGCCAGGGCTGTGTTAACCTGCGGAAGCACATCCAGAACGCCAAGCACTATGGTGTTCCTGTGGTTGTGGCTATTAACCAGTTTGAGACGGACACGGAAGCCGAGATCGCCATCATCCGTGAGGAGGCCATTGCCGCGGGTGCCGAGGATGCGATCCCCGCAAACCACTGGGCCGAAGGAGGTGCTGGCGCTGTGGATCTGGCCAAGGGAGTTCTGGCGGCTAGCTCCAAGCCCAAGGACTTCAAGCTCCTGTATGATCTGGAGGGCAGCATCCAGGAGCGCATAGAGAGCATCGGAAAGATCATGTATGGGGCGGAGAAGGTCGAGTTTAGCGAGTTGGCGCAGAAGAAGGTCGACACCTACACCGCGCAAGGTTTCGCCAACCTTCCGATCTGCATTGCCAAGACCCAGTACTCTCTGAGTCACGATCCTGCTCTGAAGGGCGCACCGACGGGATTCACAGTCCCCATCCGTGACGTTCGACTAGCGGTTGGAGGTGGATATCTGTAAGTGCCTTTTTCGTTTTTTCTCCCCCATCTGGGGTTCCTCGTTCCAGGCTCCTCAGCTCCTAGCAAATCAGACAGCTAACCGATGGATGAACCACTTCACAGGTACGCTCTTGCGGCGGACATTCAGACCATCCCCGGATTGCCGACTGCTCCGGGATACCTGAATGTGGATATTGACACCGAAACCGGGGAGATTGATGGTTTGTTCTAGGCTGATGATCTCATCCCAACATCATCTGGTCATTTCTCTTGTTTCTTTTTCATTTTCAAAAATTCATAATCCTCAACGTGATACCATATCTAGAAGTGTTTTTTTACATATTTAATTCAACATTCAACATCTACAAGCGTGACGATATCGGAATGGTGTTTGTGATTACTTGTATTCAGAGGGATTTGGTGCGCGGAGTTGGACCCAAGCTCCCCGGTCACGGGGCTTAGTAGTCGGGCCTAGTGGTATGGAGTAGCAGTCTGCAGGTTGGAGACTTGAATCGATCGCCATGATTCACTCGGATAATTCTCATTGTTATGAAGTACTTCCTCGAATCTCTCACCGTAGCTCTTACTTACATCTCTCTCCCACTGAACCCAGATTTTCAGAGATCCGCATATAGGCGACTTCGGTGGATGGATCCTCGCTTTCTGGCGGTACAATACATCCACATTACATACGCACCCCGTACTCGTACATCTGCTGGTTGCCGCGGGAAACAGCGGCTAAATGGGTTAAGAGGCTGGAGAACTGCGAGGGTGTAGTTACTAGTTAGAGTACCTTCAGGGTACAGACTACAGACAGACTCACAGAAAAGTAGGATACAAATAACATTCAGGTCGCCACGCTTTCGACAATTCGGAGTTAAAAGAGGGAGTCAGTTCCGTCTGAGACAATAATATAGTTATCAATCAGAACATTAGTTTGATTTATTTTATTGTCTCGAAGAAAAGATCCGATAATTCTCATCGCAAATCCGCACGGTAGACTGAAATGTCCGGCTTCGGCGCTGGGAGCGGAGTCCCCAGTCGTGCTAAGAAAAAAAGGTCAAGAAAATCAGTAAATTAAAGTCAATCAAGAGAGGGAACAACAGGTCAAACAGACAGTCAAATCAGTCATAAATATCAATCTGTATCTATCATCCGGGCAAAGGCTTTTTTTTTCCCTGTTGGAATCAAACATCTCTTCTCTTCCTCTTCCTCTTCTTCCTTCTGTTCCAGCTGTCTGCTACAACAGATACATAGTCTTCCTCTGGTCATCACCAACTCACTCCACCAGAACATCCCCCCTCCATATTCTCCCTCCTTAAGCAATTTTCCGGGTGGTCCGTTCTGCCCCGTTGCTTGCCCCCAGAAAAGAATTATCCAACGAGTGAGACTCTGCGAGCGAGAGATAGTAGTTTAAAGTAAGTCCAGTCCAGTTTCCTGCATCATCTTTCTCCGGCTTGACGGCAGCTTCCGACTCCACCGTCCTCCTTCCAGCCGAGCCTCTTCTCTGTTATTCCCTCGGGTACTCCAAAGTCGCAAGTTTACCCCCGGACGCTTGGCTGATTGTCTGTTCCGGCTATAGCATACCCTCACGTCCTTTCCCCGTCGAAGCCGCAGTGGAAGTACCGATTTGCGACTCCGTTTGGGCAACCCGACTAAATATCCGCAATCACATAATCGCTCATCTCCAATAGGACGGAGAAGACCAGACAGCGCAACGAAACGCAAGAGCGATTTCTTCCCAGTTTCCCTATCCCAGGCCCTTTCTGCGACGATATGGCTTCCCTCCGGTTCAGTTCGGCTTTTGCGCGACGTTCCCTCTTTGCCTCTGCCGCTCCTCGCTCTGCCCCTCTCTCTTCCTCCGCTGTTCGCTTCCCTTCCCTTTCTTCTTCTACTTCTTCTGTCTCTCTGTCTTCCTCTTCTTCCTTCTCTACCTCTGCTGCTGTAGCCCGTCCTCAGCGTACTCTTGCTTCCTCGTCCTTGCTATCTCTGCCCCGTCTCTCTGCTTCACCCCGCTGGTCCGGACAATCGCGCACCATGGCCACCGAAGGTACTAAGATCAAGGTCAAGAACCCAGTCGTCGAGCTGGACGGTGATGAGGTAGGCTCTTGTGCTTCTCTTCTTGTAACATCTTTTATACCAGGCTCTCTCGTCGGATTTGAAATTTGAATTCGATCTGCAGACCAGATGCCTTCCCCCCGCCTCCTTTTATACGTGTCTGTCACAAGCGTGTCGGATACCGCATTTTCGTCATGGGCTGCGAAAACGCGGGGAAAAACGGCGGGCAATGCCTGTTGTGCCTGGGCATCCTATCAATCATCCCGATGATCATTGACTCATCTGGCCCCCCCCCTCTCGTCTCAATTCAAGTCGTTGATTCTCCATGATCTGGGCTGACCATTGTTCTGTTGGTACTTTTTTTAGATGACCCGTATCATCTGGCAGGAAATCAAAGAAAAAGTAAGTTGCCCCTTGTCCCTCCACTACCCCGGCAGCCCTATATGCATGCGGGCCGTTGCTCTCCGAATCCTTTGGATCTATCATATTCTTGTCCCGTACTGCCTTCGAGCTTAAGACTTTATGACTGACTCAATTGTCTCTTCATAGTTGATCCTTCCGTAAGTCATGCTGTTGACTCATCACGTTCGTCGAGGGGCCATTGAAATACGGACTAACGCTGCTGGACCAGTTACCTTGACATTGATCTCAAGTACTACGACTTGGTATGAACATACATGGGTCTATAGCAGTGAGAGACATCTACTAATCATTTCCTAGGGTATTGAGTACCGTGACCAGACCGATGACAAGGTCACCGTCGACGCTGCTGAGGCCATCAAGAAGTATGGTGTTGGTGTCAAGTGTGCTACCATCACTCCCGATGAGGCTCGTGTTGAGGAGTTCAAGCTGAAGAAGAGTAAGCTTAACAATAGGCTTTGCGCTGTGGAATCTGTAATTGACCGTTTCCTTTACAGTGTGGCTCTCTCCCAACGGTACCATCAGAAACATCCTGTATGTTGTCCCCAAGTCATCTGTTACTCTGGAAATTTGACGCTTATTGTCTTCCCAGTGGTGGAACCGTGTTCCGTGAACCCATTGTCATCGACCGTATCCCCCGTCTTGTTCCCGGATGGACCAAGCCCATCATCATTGGCCGTCACGCCTTTGGTGATCAGTACCGTGCTGCCGACCGTGTCATCCCTGGCCCCGGCAAGCTCGAGCTGGTCTACACTCCCAAGGGCGGCGAGCCCGAGTCGATCACCGTCTACGACTTCCCCGGCGGTGGTGTTGCTCAGACTCAGTACAACACTGACGAGTCCATTCGCGGCTTCGCCCACTCCAGCTTCCAGATGGCCCTGATGAAGGGACTTCCTCTGTACATGAGCACCAAGAATACCATCCTCAAGAGATACGATGGCCGCTTCAAGGACATCTTCCAGGAGATCTATGAGGCCGACTACCAGAAGGAATTCGAGGCTAAGGGCATCTGGTACGAGCACCGTCTCATCGATGACATGGTTGCCCAGATGATTAAGAGCGAGGGCGGTTTCGTTATGGCTCTGAAGAGTATGTTTCCCGATTGTTTTCTCTCTAAACTATCTTTTTGCTAATTAGGGGTTTGTAGACTATGACGGTGACGTTCAGTCTGATATCGTCGCTCAGGGCTTCGGCTCCCTTGGTCTGATGACCTCCACTCTCACCACCCCTACCGGTGAGGCCTTTGAGTCCGAGGCTGCCCACGGCACGGTCACCCGTCACTACCGTGAGCACCAGAAGGGCCGTGAGACCTCCACCAACCCTATTGCCTCGATCTTTGCCTGGACCCGTGGCCTGATCCAGCGTGGTAAGCTCGACGAGACCCCCGACGTTGTTGCCTTCGCCGAGGAGCTTGAGCGTGCTTGCATTGATGTTGTCAATGACGGCGTTATGACCAAGGATCTGGCCCTGGCCTGCGGCCGCAAGGATCGTGAGGCTTGGGTTACCACCAAGGAGTACATGGCTGCTGTTGAGCGCCAACTCAAGTCCAACCTCAAGGCCCGACTGTAAGCGCGTTGATTTATTTTCCATCTTCTCCTCTTAACTTTTCTTTTCTTTTCTTTTTTTTTTTTGTTTGAGATGACTGTACTTAAAATACCATTTTCAGCATGAGGGCTTTTCTGGAATAGCCGCAGTATAAAATTCTTTGGATAGATCGAAATTTTTTTTGGTTACGTGACGGGCTATGCCGATTTCATTGTCTTTAGGTTGCTCTTGTGAAAACATATTTCATCCAAGGTTGCCCCACGGTCTGAGCCTTCAAAACTGGCGAGCTGCAGAGGTCTCTTACTGTCCTCTGCCCAATGCGGCGATCCTGAGTTCCAAAAGTCTTCGACTGGAATGTAGGGAAGGGATGCTGTCACCGCTCCAGTCCACCACTCTCCCCACCTTCAGTCTGAAACCAGCCATCCTCCGATTGCTGGTTCGGAATTCATATCCGTGGATCGATGTCCGATGCTGCCTGGTTCAATCCTATAGATATTGACGTACCATGGCGTACGAGGTTGCTGATAAGTGGTCCAGTTGCGATAGAGTTCTGGCGACCTGTGTACTGACACAGTAGACTCGAAATTTTCAAGTCGACTGAATAAGCATTGGCCTCGCAGTTTTCGATTCTTGGTCCAGTCGAGATACTGGATTTTCATTGACTTAAGTGTTGTTTTCTTTCTGTTCTTGACTTAAGGGAATCGCCTAGAGGATGTCGCCGCCTTACTGCAGTCACTCTCATCGATGTACCACAAGATAGCCATTCTTGGAGTCACTATTGCCTTCACAACCGCGTCAACTCTGACGGTTGTGCTGCGACTGTTCACTCGGTTCATGATCGTTCGAAAACCGGGCTGGGATGATGCGGCGATCGTTGCGGCAATGGTAAGCTGGATGCCTCTGGTGCAGTTGCAGCGAGGCGCTGACCGTTTGGTTTGAAGCTCACAAATCTTGTGTTTTTTGCGTTCTTGATCATTGGTGAGGGTTCCTTGATTCATGGGAACTGTATGCGCATACTTATCGCAAATAGAACTGCATTATAGTCTGGGAGAGGAAAATGCTGTGCTCTCACCCTATGAAATCAAAATGCAGCTCAAGGTATGTGTTTGCCTTTCCCACCAAGTATATATAGTGATATTGACGACTACAGGCCCTCTGGGTCTCCATTCCTTTTTACAACATCACCCTCTCGCTGACAAAATTGTCCCTCATCCTGCTGTATATGCGTCTGTTCGCCTTGGCCAACCGCCGTTTCCGGCTTCTCCTCATCGCCTTCCTCGTATTTGTCGTCGTCGAGGGCCTCTGGTTTCTTTTCAGCGCGCTTTTTATCTGCAATCCCATCCGAGGGTTCTGGGACCGCACTGTCCCTGCGACCTGTCTCTCCTATTCTGTCATCTGGTGTCTCAACGCGGCATTACAGATCGCTTCAGATGCTGTGGTCGTGACGACACCGATTCCGACATTGGCGCGGTTACGCCTACCGAGAAGGCAGAAGATTGAAATGATTGTGGTCTTTGCGTTGGGCTTCTTGTATAACTCCCCTCACCACTCCAACTGCTCAATCATGATAGCCTCGCTAACTGGGGTTGGGATAGTGTCTGCGCATTGAGCATCATTCGGCTTACAACCATTATCAAACTCACTCACAGCGAAGACTTTACGGGTATGTCTATGTCCCTTGTCCAAAGATCAATGTGTCGGAGAGAAAAGGAAACTAACAATGCCCCCCCGAAAGAACAAAACGGCCCGGCAGCAACCTGGTCCTCCATCGAATCTAACGTCGCCATCATCTGCGCCTGCCTACCGCCCCTACACCCGCTACTTTCGCGCATCTCTTTCAAGTACGTGAGAGGACATGGTCGTGAGCGTGAGCGCGAGCACGATTCCGCCCGCCAGCACACGGTCGAGAAACCTCCGCCCTCGTCGTTGACGTGGAATTTGGAGAATCCGTTTGCGATGACAAGCTGGAATTATTCGGCGAGTGTGACGGGGAACTGCTCGACGCTTAGAGATGAGGTTCCCGAGACGAATAGCATCCAGGTGGTGAGGGAGTTGCGGTGGGATCTGGAGGAAGGGAGGGAGGACAGGGCGGGGAGTTGATTGGTTGAACTACGTGGAATTTGGAAGATAGATTTTGCTTTGTTTTTTGTTTTTTGTTTTTTTAAGCGTGATCCATGTGTAACGTATTAAACTAGGAATAGATGATACATTTTTCTATTTCGGGGTGAAGGGTGCCGTTTCTATAATCGAAACCCAGCTTCGGGTTCAGCTCCGCTGCGGCCTTGATGTAGACGACGCTGGGCGGCGCCTGGCTCCGCGGGTACAGTCTGATATTCTTCGGGACGAAGTTCTTGCACGAGGAGTCGGTGTTGCGCTCGAGGACGATCGCTGCTCGGTGTGGTTCAGGTTCGCAAGGCCGTTGTTGTACCAGCAGGGATGGGAGACGCAGGACTCATCGCCCGGCTGGAAGGTGTTGATGGACCCGGAGAAGTCGGACCAGGTGAAATCCTCCATCATGACGGAGGAGGAAGGGTCGACGGTACCGGGCCGGGTCGCGCCCTGGTCCCAGTAGCTCTTAGTGACGAAGATGGGGAAGGTCACGTTGTGGACGCGGATGTTCTTCCAGACGACGTTCTTGACGAGGCCGGAGCCGCCGACCCAGAACTTGAAGCGGGCGACATACAGGGCGTCGACGACGGTGACGTCCTCGAAGCGCAGGTTGGTGATGTTGGCGGGGTCGGTGGGTTTCTTGCCGAGCGAGCCGATGCTCATGCCGTGCGACTGGAAGCCGATGGTGTTGCGCTCGAAGGCGATGTCGTGCGACGGCGATGGCGTTGTCGCCGTTGTACATAATGCTGTCGGCGATGCGGATGCGGGAGCCCTGGACGCCGAAGCCGTCGGTGTTGAAGGGGAAGCCGCCGGTGGGGTGGGCGTCGATGATGGCGGCGTGCACGGCGATGTCGTCGCCGTTCAGCTTGACGTTCCACGCGATGGGGCTTGCGCGAGCGGAAGTTGGTCAGCCGCGCCTGGCTGGTCTGGGTAGCTCATCCGGTGCGGGCGGTTGGGCAGCCCGCTGCTGTTGGCCGGGTTGGCGTCCCACCACGCCTGGCCGAGGGAGTCGATCCAGCCATGGGCCACGTCGTCCGGGCCGGTCCAGTCGACGCGCGGGCCCTGGAACGTGAACCAGGTCGATTGGCCGCCGGCCACGATGCGCTGCACTGCCGCGATGTCCTACGGCAGGTGCAGATTACCCAGCATGCGGATCTCGGCGTTGCTGAGGTTCGTGGCCTTGATGAGTTGGAAGACGTTGTAGTCCACGCCGGCTTGGAAGATGATGGTTGCGTCGTGCGCGCACTGCGCGAAGGCGCTGGCGACGGCGGGCGAGTCATCTGCGCGGCCCTGCGAGGATGCGTATTGGGAGGGGATCACGCATCGCTTGGAGCGGGCCTCTAGCGAGTGACTGGATGCTAGAGGCGCAATAGAGGCAAGGATGCCCAGTAAGGCTGGTTTGGAGATAGCATGATGGGTTGAGCCGGGGGGACAGGTGGATTGTGAAATGGACGCACTGGATGGCACTGCACATTTTATGACAGTCCAGGAAGATGGTTTCTCCAAGCTTGGTTACTAGGAGCTACCCCGGGGGTTTTTTATACACGGAGAAATTCGAGGAGCAGAGGTTTGTATGGACGGAATTATCGAATCCACACGTATAGAGATGATCAGCGCCATGTTGGGAGGTTACTATGAGGTTCTGTCGTTGTATTGGTGGAGAATTGACAAAAAATGGAGAAGTTGAAACTGTCAAACTCGCCCAGAGGTACGAGATATTGAAATGGAAAGGAAATTCCTATCTCTCTTGTGGGTGATGAAGTCGAAGTTCAAGTTGACAGACAGCACTGTAGATAAATGTGGACACCTGACTTACGAACTACGCCAATTGAGCTACTTCCTATCCATAACACTCACTAACTTCACTATCTACTCACCAGGCATACTACGAACAATCAATCTCCAGTTCTCTCCTCAATTTGATTCCTTTATTGATAATACAACTCCTATAAAAGATACAATGACATCCTCTCTTTCCTCCAAATCCACCCCCAACATCTCCGCCTCCGACGCCGTCCTCCATATCGACAGTGCCACATACATCGACGCACCCTCGCAAGACGTCTGGAACGCCTTGATCGACACCTCCACCTGGCCATCCTGGAACACTTTTATCCCCCGAGTTACCATCCGCGAACAGCCCGACACCCCCGATGCCTCCGCGGACAGCCTCTCCCCGATCCTCCAGCAGGGCACCAAGATGACTTTCCACGTGCACATGGATCCCTCGTCGTCCGGACGGCAGAAAGACACCGATATCCAGCTGATGGTGATCGCGTTCGAGCCGCCGAATGCCGGCGCCAAGACGCCCGGGCGCATCGTGTGGGCGAGTGACTCGGCCGCCAAAGGAGGGATCCCGGCGATGCTGCTGACGGCGGAGAGAGTGCATGAGGTGGAGGAGGTGGAGGTTTCCGGGAACGGGGGGGAGGTCCGTCGGGGGACAGAGGTGAGGAATTGGGAGGCGCAGGTTGGGTATTTGGGATATGTGGTGCGGTGGATGTATGGGGCGCAGTTGAAGCAGAACTTTGAGACGTGGATGCGGGATCTGAAGGGGTATGTTGAGAAGTCGAGGGATTAACTTTAACTTACCAGGTGATACATTATACGAGCTGTGTATGATAAAAAAGGATGGAGACATCCACTAGAGTAATCACTACTAATCTGTCAGGAATGCCAAAGTAAGACCTGGGGTAACCGGGTGAGACTTGAACAAACTCAACAATACTCAAACTAAGTCTGTGTAGGACAAAGATAAGGCTGGATGGAAGCAGCTGAAGAAAGCTGAGGATATCAGGATGCAGTGTGACAGTGTGATTGCCATTTGCCAATTGATCATGACGTATTACAGTCCTAGAAATAGAGACGATCCGACTGTCAAGACACCCTGATTCGGTTAATGGTGAAGCTTAGTCTCAGAGAGTCAGAAGATGAACCCCCAAGCCTGAACTAAACTATGGAGTAACTACGGAGTAACTAATGGGTTACAAATTATACGGATTATCATTATTATTGAGGTGTCAAATGTCTCTCAATAATTTCCCCCAATGAAACGTCCACGTGGAGGTGGAGATTGGCTGAGAACAGAGACGACTCAATATGATGAAAAAGATGGGGACTATCTCTGACATGGATTTACTTCCCAGTATGTATCAAGTATCAACTGACCTGTCTTTTGGGGGGCGGCCAAACTGACAGCTACCGAGTGTTTCATGATCCCTCTGCTTGCTCCCTTTCCTCTTTCACTACTACGATACTAACGATGAGATGGAAAACCCCCATGTTCTGTAAGATACGGAGTATTTATGGATTCTGGATTATGGAGTCATGCAGTGTGACCACTGATCTCCACGCGATTACTGCTTTGGGCCATCCGAATCCCTGCACTAAGCCTACTTGCGTTTAGCGGCCGTCGTTCCGTCTTGGAGGAACTGGTCGAAATCAGCCTGTTCGTGACTTCGTGTACCATACAGACCCTTACTTACATGCCGCGTATCTGGTAAGTATTCAGTAAACCACCAGTGCCATAGAGAATCATACCTCGTACCTAGTACCTACCATAGGTGAGTATTATTATTGACTGCACGTCAGCTCCCGGGGGTAATCTTCATAGTAGAATTGGATGCACGAGACAGATGAATAGGACTGTCCATTGGTATTTACTAGATAGATAGATAGGTAGAGATAGGTATGCAGTTGAAAGATAAAGAGGTTCCGTGTCAGAGCGCCTATCCCCATCACAGTCACATAGTGCTAAGACCAGGATTCAAGACATGTTACTGTAACCTTTGATATAGATTAAAGAAAAAGAGACTGTAACACGTTGTAATGTTCCTCTCCATACTCTGTAGTTTCCCTGTTTTTACTGTTGATTTGATTTGGCTCAATTAAACTCCTCACTCTTTTTTTCCCCAGTCAGTCGAGACCCTTGGCCTTTTTCTGGTTTTTTTCCCTCATCCTCATCCTCTTCCTCTTCCTCTTCCTCTTCCTCTTCCTCTTCCTCTTCCTCTTGCTCTTCTTCCTTTTTCTCTCCCTCTATATTATTATATCTCGGTTTCATCCCACTGCTGACTGTCTTTCCCTCTCTGTCTCTCTTTTCTGCGTCATGCTTTCGGTCCTTCATCGCTTTCATCCTCTCATTCTCGCTTGTCTCTGACCACCGCTTTCGTCTCGCGGTTCATGTCACCTGCATCGCCACCCACATCATCTTTAAATACTCGGTCCAAAGACTCGTCTCCGGCAGCATCCAACGTTCGCCTCGCATCATTAGTCCGTCATCCGATTCGTTCCACGAGGGGATACTGCTGCCTGCCTACCCACCTGTTGGTCTCGCCTAGTACAGAGTATATACTTCCTCTCGGCGTCGTCGATCTATCAACTCCCTCAGTACAACAACCACCGCCCAATCTTTATCTATAGAACGAACCATCCTTTTACTCACTAACGGGAACTACTTCTTGAACTACTCCGACCCTTGATCAGCAATCGCAGATCACCTCACCATGTCGGCCACGAACATGCCGATTCAGCTCTCCGTTCAGACGGGAGCCGATCTCAACAAGCATCAACCCTCGTCCGCATCTCAGCCAACACCTCCAATCACCCCGATTGGCAATGCCCCATCAATAAACAACACTCCTAACTACGCTATTTCCCCTGTGTCATTACCTAGATCACACCTCAAGGGCACTTTACCAGACCTGCAGACGGTAACCTCACCGCGCAAGTTCACAGATGAACTCGAGTTCCACTACAACCACAAGGGCCGCAAGGTCGAGTTCGGCCGCGGTGTCTGGAGCGTTGTCTATATGGCATCCTCGCGCGCACTCGCCACTCCCTCCTCCGCCATGAGCCCTCCCAGTTCGCCTGCTTCGAGAAGCCGTGTGGTCGCTGTCAAGACCCCCGTGCGCCGCGACGCTCACCCGGTCTTGGATGCCGAAGCTCTGGTGCTGACCCGTCTCAGCATGGTCTCCGGCTTCGAAGATCATATTGTGCCCTTCCACGGCTTTATTGCCGACAGCCACTCCATCGTCATGTCCGCCGTGCCGCTCGCACTCTCTACCTATATCGAGGAGAAGGCTGGCGCCGCCAGACAGCACATGTCCACTCGCACCATGTTCGATCCTGTTCAAGGCATGCCCGAGTGGCATGGGTTGGCGAAGAAACTCGTCGCAGGTCTTGCATGGCTTCATACCAGCGCGCAGATAGTCCACGGTGACATCAAACCACACAACCTACTCTTGCGACCCCGTTCCGCTGGCAATAACACCGCGTCCGACGACTTCCCCTTCGAAGCGCTCTTCGCGGATTTCTCCTCGGCCCATCCCATCGCTGATGGCTCCTCTTCCCCAACCAAGGATTGTCAGGGCACCGCCCTGACGGCCCTCACGCCTCCCTTCGCCGCTCCTGAACTCCTCTGCGTCTCCTCGCTGACCTCCCCGGACGCCGTTCCCACTCCAGCCTCGGACGTCTTCTCTCTTGCCGTGACCCTCCTCGCCGCTGCGACAGGCGATCTGCTCCTCTACCCCGGCACGAGCAGCATGCAGCGTCTCGCAATGGCGCGCGAAGGTCATCGCGTGCTCGACTTTGCGCGTTCCGGCGAAAGCGGCTGCCGCATACCACGCAACGGCATTGTCGAGCAGATCGTCAAGCCGGCCATTCTCAAGGACCCATCGCAGCGCATCCACCCTACTGAATGGTCGGACCTGGTTAGCAAGATCATGGTCTAACTTTCATCCTCCTTTTTTCCCTCTTCTTCTTTTGGATTTACCTTCTTCTTTTTTTATTTTTATTTTTTTTAAATTTTTTTTCTTTGCATGCAATAGCTTTTATGACATTCCAGCCATTTGCTCTGCTCTTCTCTCCACCGTTCCATCGCCGCCCCCTTTTATATTTTTATCTTTCCTTTCCCTTTCTTTTCTTTTCTTTTCTTCGCTTCTCTTCTCCTCTTGTCTTATCTTCTTCTCACTTGTTTTAAAACCAAACATTTATAAAGATACCCGGTTAGATATTCATAGAATCTTTTGGAGACGTGTTTTGGAAACCTGCTTTGTATGCATACTTCTTTGTTATAATGGGTCATGTTGGGGAATGAATGGAACATACACGATATAATGCAATTAGCTACCGTCTGGGTTTCGAGACACTCCTGCTACAAGCGCCATGTAGAATATTCTACTCTCTGCGCATAATCATATGTAAATGGGAACTGTAAAAGAACACGTAGTCTATCTATCTATTCAATTCTCTGGTACAATTCGCATATCGAACAAGGTATGTTTTGAGACATGAGTGATTATACAAACGTCGCTATTGAATACACACGGACACCTCAGCGCATCTTCTTCTGCTCCACGCCATACTCGCCCGACCGGAACGAGGTCAACGTCCCGCCCAAAAGACGGTTCAGCTGCACCGCGTTGACCTCCGCGTTACTCTTGTGATACTCGACGACAATCTCCCACAGCGTCGCGGACGACAGGCAGCGAATACGCACGTCGCTCAGGTCGTAGTCCAGGTTCTCCTGGAAGTGCGTGACAGGATCGAGCGGGGGGTGCGGATCCTGACATGTGCTCTCGGCTGCGCCGGGGCGGCCGCTGACGGTCTTAGGGAGCGTGTCAAAGTCCGGTTTGGGTGTTTTAGAAGCGTAGGTGGCGAGGCTGGGGATGGCGCGGACGAGATCGTTAATGGGGCGCGCGGGGAATATGGCTTTGAGGAGGTCGGTGACGGTCATGGTGCCGCGGCTGCTGAAGGTGAGGGAGATGGCTTCGTAGATGCGGTGGAGGTCGGCGCGGCCGGCCTGGTCGGCCTCCGTGAGGAGCTGCATAATGGGGGAGTGGGCGTCGGCCTCGAAGTACAGCATGGTTGTGTCGGTGTCGCGCGGGTACAGCTCCTCCGGGTCGATGAGGAGAGGCTCGAATGGCCGGCGGTCCCAGAGAAGGACTGCGTCGTCGAAGGTACCCGTGGAGAGCGCGCTACGGGCATCGTCGATCATCGACGGGGTGTGGTGCAAAACTTCGAAATGGATCTCGGAGTGCTGCTGGGCGGTCTCGGCCTTGAGCGCAGCGATGCGGTCCACCATCGGCTGGAGGGACTTGGAGTCGACGGCCGGGTCAGCGGCCGCCCGCGAGAGACTCCGGGTAAGCTCGTCGATGCGCGCCTGCTTCTCCACCAGCTCCTTGCGAGCGAAGGCCGTCCGGTTATCCTGTCGCAGCTGGACCAGGGCCCTTTGTTTCTTCTTCTTGGCTTTCACATCGCCGGGTGATTCCTCGGCGGTCTGGATGGTCTCCAGGATCCGGTCGTGCATGACCGTCTTGATGCGAGGTACGTGGGGACAGGGGATCTTCCCCGGGTCTGGGGATTCTGGAGCCGAGGGGATCGGAGGGAGCGCTTTTCCAGCAGGGACCACGATTTTGTGTTCAGCGCTTCGCTCCGCAACCCGGGCCGCATTCGCGGCGGTGAGATCCCATCCCTTGGACATAGTCCAGAAGTAACTCGGATCCGCCGTCGACGCCACCTCAAAAGCATGCATGGCCACATTCTCCGTCAAAAGAGCCGGTCGACTGCGATTGGATACCGAGCGGGGAAGGATCGTCTGCGCCTCCATCAGCGGAAGAGAGGTAATCATGCGCACACTCCCGTAGGAAGAAAGACCAGACTGCCGCATACACGCCTCCATGAGAATCGACCACGACCGTGCCGGCGTGAAGTGGTCTTGTTTGGAGGCGTTCGGAGGGATATTAGCCAGAACCAGCAGCGTGTCGTTTTTCCCCAGAGCGCCCGTTGTGTCACAGTTAGAAGGCCCCTGTTCCGGTAGGTATTCTGCTAGAAGGCTGTGCCAGTCATCGAGGTGGTGGATGTCGCGCGAGACCAGATTGTAGCAGGGTTTGCTTGCGGCAAGAGACTTGAGAATCTTCCCATAGGTTTTGAGGTCCGGCTCCACGAGCACATGGCGTCGGGGGCGTAAGAATTCGTTCACCTTGGATGACCAGAGTCCAGCACCAGGCCAGAGATCAAGAATATCCACTGGAGGCTTTCGGAGTAGGTACGGTGAAAGGCGTTGAAGAATATCATCTGTAGCCAACCATCGCGCATTAGCATCGTGCAGGGAATTTGTAGTTTGATCTTGTCGAGAGTCTTACTGCACAGTCCGTCGCCCACAATCTGTGGTCTATGGACCTTCTTCTTCCTCAGCGCAGCCGGGATGTGCTTATACAGAAGTCCTGTTGTCGGAAATCGAGCGAGAGGCGTCCATCTGGAAGCTTTCATTTTGCGGTTGCGCCTCAACGGACTTGAATTGATTCTGTTAGATCAGATATACAAACAGAGAATAGAATCAGCCTGCATCGCTGCTCCATGCTTATTCGTGGGGGATATGCGAGTGGTGTGAAGAGTTAGTCCAGGTCATCTCGGGGCAGTTGATGGAGGATGCTTGAACACCAAGATTGGATGCTCCGGCGGCGGGACCAAAAGCATTCCGCCGCCTATCGCATGTTTCGATTGTCACCACCTCCATCCACCAACACAACCATGTGTTTAAGCGAACTGCTACTATCACCTCTGTGGCTCTCAAAATTATCAATATCTTACCTCGTTCTATTCTGCTGCCTGTGGTGCCGTGAAACCGAGTTCTGGCTGCCTAGATGTGGCCCCTCCCCGCCATCACATTAACTGGTCGTTGCGCCAGACGTCACGCATAATCTATCGAACGAGATTGTTCTTGTGACTGGAATAATTGAAATCAAAACCTATATCCTGGCTCCTTGACTCGCATGCACCACCATGACTTCACATACCGCTCAGAACATGGGGGCGTCACCACAGAGCGTGGAGAAGATCACTCGAATTGCCCAAGACTACGAGTACAACCCTCTAATACCGCTGCGAAACTGGTTAAGAACTGCCTCTACGTTGATTAGAGAGGTAAGACTTTGTAATTCCTCCTATTTTGCCGTTCAGACTGACTTTTTTTTTGGTCTCATACAGGCCCGGATCTACGAACGAGAAGGACATGACGAACAAACATATCTACTCTTGTTTCGACACGCACAGCTGGTGCTCGTGAACCTAGCAAAACACCCCGAAGCCAAAGATGAGAAGTACAGAAAGGCTCTGATGGAAGCCGAGAAAGAAGTTCAGATCAATCTGGGAAAACTTGAGGCGCTGAAACCCCGGATCAACAAACGCTATGAGCGTTTTGTTCAGTTGATGCGTGAACGCCAAAGTCGAACCCCATCCCACGAAACGAGCAGTGGCTCATTGAACCAGACACAACCGTACGATCCCGCGCTGGCGGGAGTTGTTGAACCCTTAGAGGCAGGAAAGAATAGAGATCTGGCCGTGCAGCTGGCCCGAACAGAGATCAGTCGAAGAGCGACTGTGAGGAAAGCTTTGCGCCAGGCGGGTGTATCACCCGGAGAAGATCAGAGTCGCCGCACGGTGGGTGATTGGGGCAACAGGGACGATCGCTTGGACAAAAACGGGCCTGATACGGACAATGACTTGCGCCGCCGGATTCAGGACGTCAGACTCAATATCGACCAGCAAGCCCATACGGGTCTTCGCCAGCCGCAACAGAACAAGACCGTCGTACGTCCACCGACTTCTATCTCGTCTACCTCTACGTACAAGTATCCCACGGTACCCCGACAAAGGCCCTTGGAGTCCCTCCCATCCACGGTGACAAAATCGTCTCGAGAGAAATTAGGTCTCCGCTCAGAACCTCCTTTACTGCCTCCAAAAGAGTTACCTGGTTCAAACCGTCCGGCTCCCGCCGCTGGGCTGTTGCCGCCACCACTGCCTGGCAAAATATCTCCAGCACCAGCTCCAGCTGTCCCAGAAAAAGCATCAACAACAGCGGACAGTGGGAACTCGGGCTCAGGATTGGACCCTTCCAGTTTCACCTTCAAACCTTCCGCATATCTCGAGAATGGAACGCCATTGCGCACCATGTGGCTGCCACCGGAACTGCGGACACACTTCTTAGCTGTGGCCGCATCTAATACGCGCCGCAATCTAGAAACATGCGGCATCCTCTGTGGTACTTTAATCTCCAACGCACTCTTTGTGTCCCGATTGCTTATCCCGGAACAAACGGCGACGTCCGATACCTGTGAAACTGTAAATGAAACCGCGATCTTCGACTATTGCGATTCAGAAGACCTGATGGTGCTGGGCTGGATCCACACACATCCCACGCAGACATGTTTCATGAGTTCGAGGGACCTTCACACTCACTGTGGATATCAAGTGATGCTCCCCGAGAGCATTGCAATCGTCTGCGCGCCAAGCAAATCTCCAGATTGGGGCGTGTTCCGACTCACCGATCCTCCAGGGCTGAAGACGGTCCTCAACTGCACACAGACGGGCTTGTTTCATCCTCATGCCGAGGCCAATATCTACACTGATGCGCTACGGCCTGGACATGTCTTCGAAGCTAAGGGGCTCGAATTTGAGACCGTAGATCTACGTCCGAACGGATCCTAGGTTTGATTTATGATACATCACATTTGTGACGATTTGCCTTGCGATTATGATACCATTTCCAAGTATTTGCCGTTGTTGATTCATTTCAGGTCGTTACCATATAGCATAGATAGCTCATACGTTAACGGGGTGTTGTTTGTGCTCATTTAGCTTAGAATATCTTCAATCAATATATTTATCGTCCTGGGCTTCAACTTTGTACACTACCGTATAGTATATACATCGTTTCACCAGTTCGCTTGTTGCTGCTGTCCGTGCAACAGAACCGGATCACTGCACCAGCACTCTATTCCGAGATGTAGATCGAGTCAGCGAGCGAGAACGAGAGCGAGAGCGACGCCGTGCACCAGAACCTGCGCTATACTGGGCCCTTCGCGAAGGGGTGGGAGACCGTCGAAGGTGCGAGCCCCTACGGTTCCCGGGCACGGTGGTGTTCTTCTGAGTAGCTCGTCTATCCGGCGTGGTCATCTTGAGCGTGTCTGGCGAATTGTGACTGTGATTTTCACTGTGGTAGGGATATGAAGTTGGCTTTTTCGTTCTTCTAGTTTCAAAACTGCTCGTGCTTTGCGCCTCTAACACAACGGATGTGCAGCGGTATATATAGCTTCGGCAGCAAAGGATAGAGTCATCATGGCGTCTTTTGCCTCATATCGGAGGAATCCTCCGTCTGGCCCTCTGCAGCCTTTTGAATCTGTGTTCGAACCAAGGCTTTGCGGGTCGACTCTCGTTGATGGAAATGGGGAAGAATGGGCCAAGAGGAAGTGGTGGCTGTACTGTCTGAACCAGGTGTCTATTATAAGGTAAGTAGACATTTGGTTCTTAGTAGTCCTTGGTCGGGGTTTGACAGGTACCTGTACACTCATAGTTCTGGATGGTTCTCGATCTTGTCTATCTCTCATCAATTCAGCTGTGAGTCTATATATATATTGTAGCCAGATTGATAGCAAACGAAGTCGTTAGACCACGCCATTATCTACTACGGAATGTGCGTAATAGCAGGCAGATGAATTGATTTTGCATGAAAAGAAACCATGATCATCATGGCATGATCCAGTCCAGGGTAGTTATTGTGTTTCAAGGAGTTATAGATAACGCTCTTCATCTCGCAGTGTTTCAAGTCTCCAGGCGGGATGAAGCGATTGGAATTGCGATCAACAGGTGTGTCGTGTGTCTCCCCACCATCTGCATCACTCTATTCACTTCCTGTCTTCCAGTTCAACTTCATCTGTCCATCTCCGTCGTTGCTCCATCATTCTCTCTGTGGCAATCGAACCCGTCGATGTTAAACTTCAGCCATCTAATCCACTCAAATTCCCCAGCCTGCTAATTCCGACGCCCGCATGTCGTCCATCTCGCAGGAAGACCCGCCCTCCTCCATCCCCACTCCATCTTTATCTTTATCCTCCTCCAGCTCATCCCCGGGTTCACGCACTCCGCAAACCAGCACTCCCTTGAATCAATCAGCCGTATCCTACTTCTCCTACCCCGTCACCCACGTCGTCTCGGGCCTCTACCGCCGGCTCACAGACCCCAACATCACCAAGGCATCGCGCAAGGACAAGGACAACGAGACCACGACCATGAACAGCAGCAGCAAGAGCTTCAGCAGCAAGAACAACGGCTCCTCGGCATCCTCCTCGGGCGTCTTTACCCCTATGCGCACCGCATCCCCCTTCCAACCACCCCCACTCACCCCGCTCACCCTCACCCTCGGCACCACCGCCCCAGACAGCCTGCAGCAGCAGTTGCTAGCCCGCGCCCTGGCCGAGGAAATTCGCCTCCTCGTCCCCCCGCGCCTCCAGCTCGTCGATACCTGGCGCCTCGCCTACAGCCTCGACCGCGACGGCGCCTCCCTCGCCACCCTCTACGAGAACTGCTACGAGTTCTCCCTCCGCAGCCCGCGGGCGGGCTTCGTCCTCATCATCCGCGACTCCTCCCCCTCCGGCGCCGTCTTCGGCGCCTACATGACCGACCCTCCCCGTCCGAACCCGCACTACTTCGGCACCGGCGAGTGTTTCCTCTGGCGTGCTAGCGTGCTGCGTCCCCCCGCCCTGCTGCACGCGTCCGGCCCCCAGCCCGACCAGATGCTCGACTTGGCGGGCCTGCCGCCCCCGCCGAGCGCGGACACAACCCACGCAGGACGATCGACGACCCTGCGTAGCGACCCGAAGACTCGGCCGGAGAACATGCTGGTGACGCCGCGGGTGCATGATGTGACCCCCAGCGGCGCGAGTACGCCTGAGCGCATCCGGTTCAAAGCCTTCCCCTACAGCGGGGTAAATGACTACATGATGTTCTGTGAAACAGGGTTCCTTAGTCTGGGCGGAGGGTGAGTATCCCCGTCGATCGACAAGCAGCATTACTAGGGGCTAATTCTTGCTTACAGGGATGGTCACTTTGGTCTGTGGGTGGACTCGAGCCTGGAGAAGGGCGTCAGCGCCCCGTGTCTGACCTTTGGAAACGAACCTCTTTCCGACGAAGGCATCAAATTTGACATCCTCGGCGTAGAGGTATGGTATATCGGATCCTAATTCGGATCGTTTACCTCGTCTGTTATTTGTTTCATCTCATAATACCCTGACACGATGTGTGGCTGGATCTATCCACCGTGTCATGATCATAATGCATTGTTGTATAACGTTGACCTAGTTTTACTGAGGAGGGGAAGGCAACGCGGAAAAGTAATGGCAGACTTAGACCTGGATATATGCTACATACCGGGCGAAACATATCGTCGTAATGCATTTCCATTTGTTAACTATTAACTAGCTACCTATCGGACATCAGCAATAATTGCCCTCCTTTACCTTTGTGGGTTCGAATCTTACTGACAGGCAGATAAAAGAACAAGGCAAAACCACGTGGATAAACGTAAATCAATAATATCGTAAACGTTAGACTAAATCAACAGCAGGGGGTATGCAATCAATAACACAAGAGAAGAATCAGAAAAGTGGGAAAGAAACAAAGTGACCTTGGGCCTTGAGACCAAGATCAGTATGGAGAATTGACAATATCGTCTCTTCCCAATCGACTGCCCCATCGGGTGCTACGGCGTTTAGGCGTCATAGGAGGTCCTGCAATGCTCTCCCGAGTGGGCTTCTGGAAGGTCCTCTTCGCAACCATGTTGACCTCATTGGGCAGCGCCACAATGACATTCTTGTCTGAACCAAACCGGAAATTATCGGCCATAACCTCCTCAGCATACCGCTTGATCGTATAAGGGTCCTTGCGCCCGGCAACGACCTTCTTCATGCTCCAGGTGATGATGAAAGGACCAGTGGCGGTGACAATGGAAGTCTCCTGAGATTCAACACCAGTGTTGAAACGAGCCGGAGTGAAGGAGATAGGCTTCTTGGTTTCGTGCTGGAATTGTGCGACGTGGGCAGGAGTGAGACCCAGACGGCGAGGTTGAGGCTTCGAGTCTTTGGCGAAAGAGCGCTCGAAGCCGAGCTTGCCTTCGTTCTTACCTTCTTTCTGGAGCGAGTCAATGAGCAACAGATAGGTTCGGCAAGTAGCCAAAACCCAGCGGCCGTCCGCAGATACGTCCAAACCGATAATAGGCTCTCCCAGGGCAGGAATATGGGTCTTGGCATTGATTCCCAAGCGGTCAAACATGCGGATATCGCCTTTGTTAGAGGCAACGGCAAGGTACCCCTTCTCGGTCGTCGCCACGGCACTGAAGTCATTCTTGCTGGCGTACTGCTTCAGGTCCGCATCGACCAATTTGTTGCCTGCCAAACGGGGATCGATTCGGAAGAGGGCATTTTGAGAGATACCGATGAACGGTTGAGCGGATGTCATTTGGGAGAATTTCTGCAAAGGCATCAGTCAAGTCTCACACATTGAAAGCGGTGAATTGGATATGCAGAAAGAAACATACGTTTTCTGGTGCAAAGGTCGTCACTGGGATATCATCGTGAACCTTCCACTCATCAACAATCTTGCCGTATTCCAGATCCATGCGATAGAGCGAGTTTGGATCGTCTCCATTCTGAAGGATCATGTTGCGATCCTCAGCATGCAGCATAACCTTCTTCGGGCTGAATAGCTTGCCCTTGGGAGTCTCAACCTTGGAGATATTGGTCGAGAACTCGAGGTTATTGTCGGGTGTGTGCTTGAAAACGCCAATCTTAGATCCACGAACAACGAACGATCGATCGTGCTTGTAGCCGACCGCCAATTGAGAGTTGACGTTCCCATCAGTGTCACGCGTGATGACATCTTCCTGCTCCTCGTCCGTGTCATAATGCTCGCTACGTTGGCCTGCGTCCTCTTCCTCCTCTTCCTCCTCTTCCTCTTCTTCGGCCTCGACTTCAGCTTCATCTTGCTCTTCCGCGTCGGCATCCTCCAATGTGAGATCTTGGAATGCGTCCATCACGTACTCGCGATCGTTCTCCTTGACTTTGCTCCATTTCATCTCGTTCAATTGCTCCCAAAGCGCCTGCATTAGACCTTCCTGGAACCTTTCCTCTGTGGGCTGATCCTTAAAGCGAAGAAGCCATGAGTAAGCAGACCCATCTTCATCGTAATGATTGAAGATGAATGACAGATATTCAAAGTTAAAGACCGGATTGATGTCGGCCACAACAGCTTGTCCGAGCCATTCTTTATCCTCACCACTGATCTGCAGCCAGTACTGCCAGGGGCCCACTTCAGAGACACTAGCAACAACATTGGGATCTTGGAGAATGAACGTCCCAGTGGAGAAATCGAAAAGATGCAGTTCGGCCTTCTCCTTAGCCAGAGTCTCCAGAGCTTCTGGCTGAGCTGCAGAGGGCGGAGCCACTGTAGGTTTCTCCTCGCCGACAGGTTTGATGAGACCCTTGGAGCGCGAATACTCGACATCACCTGCCATGGCAGTGGCGGATTCTTCGGCGGTCGGTAGTGGTTGTACGCTGGTTTTTGTAGGTGAGGCAATGGGACTCGCGGACGGGACTGGTTTCTCTTCCTGGAAGGAAAACTCTTGCAGCTCCTGCTCGGTTGCCTTCTGAGCGCTCCTCCTGTATTTCCTTTCGTACTGACACTGTAGAGCTGCCAACTCAAAGGTACAGACCTTATCTGCGGGTACAGATGGGTCGCACACGAACTCGAAAAGATCACCAACGTCGCCACTCAAATCATTCCAAGCAAGGATTTTCGAGCCTCCCTCGCGGACTTCTCCGCGGAAATGCAGACTTTGATCTAGCAGGAAAACCTTCTCGTCCTTGTCGAGGCTGTCGCTGGCAACTTGGTCGTCCTCGTCGTCAGCAAGCTCCTCCTCACCCTCCTCGTAGGCTCGCTGGATAACAAGTTGATACTGAAACTCCTGACCGGTACGTCGAATAGTTGCCGCAGCGTCTTTGAAAATAAGTTCCGAATATCCCTTGGGAGAAAGGGGACGGACTAGATATAGCTGGCCCTGGGGAATTTCAATGATAGATTCCTTCGAAGTATCTCCAAAGAGAAACTTGCTCACTGCGTTGTCACAAAGGAAAGTCAGTTGAGGATACTCGGAGACTCGAAGAAATGACAAAGAGTCAATGATGTCAAGTGAGGAGGGGTAGATGGAGGGGTAAAGGGAGTGAGCATGAAAGATGCTCTGGTATCAGTTGAGACAATGGAAGCTCTTACCATTACGGAGCATAAACATGGCTGTGGGATCTGGCAGCTGCTCAGCAACTGCAGCTGCTAATGACTGTGGTTAAGAAAGGCTTGCTATGGCCGACAAGGAAGGGATCAGAATGTAGCAGGGATGATCTGACTAAGGAGCAGATCAGGAAGAAAAAAAAAACAATGAGGGTAGACGATTGAAAAAAACGATTCAAGGAGATACAGCAGACATCACTGAGATGATAATTAATCAGTCTATCAGTGGTAAATCTTTTTTTCTCTTGATCGATAGATAGATGATCCTGATGCTGTCAAGAAGAAAATCGTCCACATGTTTTCCCTCTGTTGATCTGCCGTCATCGATCGGCTTCTGTGGCAACCGCTGTGGCGTTGATTGTGGCTGTGCGCTTATGTAAGAAAAAGGCTTCTGATAGAACTAACTACATGTGGTAAGCGCTATCGCTAATTGAACTATGGTCTGCATGGATGCATCCTGCTGATGCAATGCATTCGATACTGCCCTGGAGTGTCCATATCCGATGGCTTCAATCGAATGTAGAGGCTTGAAGAGATAGGTGAATTTGTTTCGAGGAGGTAGTATACTAGGATTGTTGCTCAGGGTCGACTGTGTCCTCCGCTACTTCTTCCCGATCAGAGTAATTCTCCTGTGGTGTTGACGTTTGACCTTCTGACTCGTCTTCCATCGACCTCAGTTTGCCTCCTTTCCTCGGGGGAATCACTTGTATGAATGCCTTTCCCCAGTCACGTAGCTCCAGCCATCGCACCATGATCTCCACGACATGGTTCGTTGCCAGTACCTGACGATGGGACATTTGGATATACTCTCCGATAGGGAGCTTTGCGGTCTTCATGCCCTTTGCTACTGCTGATTTGTAGCAGACGGCTTTGTGACGGTTCTTATCCACCAAGCCCCCAATGATGTATGTACTGTATGGCTTCAGCTCCGTCAAGGTGTTGGGGCTATCACTGCTGAGATAGACAATTTCCCCGTCCTCGGGCTTTGCATCTGGCTGATCAGCGAAGACGCCTGCCAATTTGCCGCCTTGGGGTCCTTGCATACACTCTTTGGACTGCTCCGCAGCTTCCGCAAAGTCTTCCTGCAGTATGCGGACGCCTCTCCAGTTTTCATGTGTCTTCCTCAGAACCGTATCGAACCGTTCCTTGAGCAGTTTATCAAAGGACGAAATGACAAAGTGCGCGCGATAGGGTGCGCGGCTGTTATCAGAATAAGAGCGCGTAATCTGTGCTGCAAGGGACACCCGTTCCTTGTCTAGCATCAAGTCATCGTATCCGCAGTCGATTACGAGGGTGATCGGGAGCAATGTTGACCGTTGGTGTCGCTTCGGTATAGCCTCCAAAGCTTTCCCAGCCTCATCCACAGCCCCCGCACCATCTTCTTTGGCTTGGTCACGGGCAGCTCGTTTCCGCTCCTTTCTTGCAACCAGCTTCTCTTTCCGCTTGACCTTGCGTTGTTCGCGCATTGACTCCCACTGCTCTTTCCTGCGAAGTTTCTTCAATTGGTTTTTGGACATCGTGGGCACTGCTTCCTTCCCTTCTTCGTGTTCTGCTTCAGCATCCGCTTGCTCTGCAGTGTCGTCCATACCGCCATCTGATGTCGAAGTGTTTTTGTCGGCATCCGTGATCTCAGCATTGCTATCGCAAGCAACCCCCACTGCCCCGGTCATTGCGGGCTCTGATTCCTCCCGTTCATTGTCATGATTCAATTTGGGGTACTTCCTTGGGCGTTCGTCGTCCTCCATGTGGAAAATTGGCGAGAGCAAGATCCTTTAGATTGAAAGGTGCCGTGGAATATATTGCCAGTATCCTTTGCTCCCGCTTCGTAGATAAGCTGCAATGTTCCAGTTCGAGGGAAAACCTTCAAAACCTCCCCCTCCCGCAGCCAATCACAACCACCGCAGCCCTCATTACCCATCCCCGATCCGCACCACGTGACCTTCACTCCAACTTCATCCGCACAGCATCATCGGCCAATATTCCCACCCCAGACTTGAAGATAAAGCCCCAATCCATCTTCTCAAGTCGTCACAATGCCTCAGGATATGCCCCCAACGGGGGGCTATGCGCCTGTCCAGTACAAGGCAAGTCTAAATTCCCCTCTACAACCAGAAGCCCGTCAATTGATACTAACTTCGATGCTCTTCGTGGGAAACAGCGCAACCTCCCTGCCCGCGGCTTCCGCCCCGTCTACTACCTCGTGGGAATGCACCTCGCCATGGCCTACGGCTACTACAAGCTCTTTTACGGCATTCGCGAACAGCACGAGCTTGCGCGTGAGAAGATCTGGTCCCGTCTGCACCTTGTTCCGCTGCTCCAGGCCGAGGAAGACCGTGACCAGGTCCGCAGACACCTCGCTGACAAGGCCCGTGAGAAGGAGCTCCTGGGTACGGAGAGCAAGGTCTACAACTCTGATCGGTATGTTTCGTGAATTGCCAGGGTCATATGTTGATCTTTTCCCCTGATCTGTGGAGCCGGGGCTGACTATTTGTGATTGTTTTTGCAGCTTCGTTCGTCCTACTTTCGTCTATACCCCTTCCAAGATCACTCAATAAATGGGAATGATTTGAATTACGAGCTTTGGGTTTCTGCTGTCGGGCTCTGTTACCTCGTACAAGCATCGGACAGTCTCTTCACTGGGAAGGGCGTTGAGTGTTCATGGTTCACGAGCCGAGTCGAGACGTGTCTGGGGGTTTGGGAGGTCGGAAAGAAAAATGTATCCTGTAGATATATTGCCGCAAAGGAGTTGACTAGTTTCAAATTGCATTTTGTTTTTGTTCTTGTGCATTCTTTCTTACTCGGTGGTGCTCAATTGGTGAAACCGGGTCCTCCGGCGCCAGTTATTGCAACCCATAGTAGAATCGGGAGCAATCTCTGGGCATAGAATTGATTAAGAGTAACGTGTTAGGCTTGTCTCATATGAGAAAGTTCTATTCTTTGATAATACTGCAAGGTACATTATATGAAGGATAAGTACATGGAGGAGTCATGAACCAAGCGTCCAATACGATACTAGTATCAGGACCGCTGTGACTGCCTCTAGCCAAACATGTCGGCAACGCCGCCCAAATCAGGCCCGTCATTGATATCAACCTTATTGTTCTGTTGACCTTCCATCTCATTGCTCATATATCTCTCCTGCAGCGCACTCCGTGCCTTTCGGCGTTCTTCTCGCGAGCCCATGATCTTACCTTGCTCAGCGATACTGACACCTCTGAGGCCTTCCAGAAGATCCAAAACAAGAGCACGCTGCTGTCGTGCTGAGGTAGATCGAATGAGCGCGGCTTCTGTGCCTGCCACCCGTTGCTCGTTCATGCCGGGGAGGCTGAGAATCAATGAACGCGGGGTTGGGCTGCTCGAGCCATAGAGAACCCAGATTGATGCAATCAGCTGAGCAAGGTCTTTCTGCATATCGACAAAATATGGTTCATGGACAGACGTGATGCAAGCCTTGAGGACTTCAGAGGAGATGAACTCGCGGATCGTTACGATGGTAGGGCTATCGTTAGGCGGTGCAAAATCCTGCAGAATCGATCGGATAACACGAGTGATGATGCTACAGCACCTCGTATCGCGCATGCGAAGAGCATGTGTACAAAAGAGCATGACAGGTTCAAATATATCCGGTGAAGAAAGAACAAAGTGTCGAATCGAGTCGGAAAGTGCTGGGGCTGGCTGCAGTGCGCTAGGATCTGCTGGTTCTTCATCAGGGTCTGCAAAATGTCAGCTCATTTCTTGCGCAAGTTTGGATATGTATTCAAGATCACGTACCACCTCTTTGCGGATCCAAAAGACTCGCAACCATGAGCACTGCAGAATACGTTAACTGCCGGAGGATACTCTCCGACTTCATCTCGTCTGTCAGATTGCCTTCTGCGACACCTTCTCTGCGTTGTTCGATAAGGTCCCACTCTGAAGTGACCTTTCTATCGATGTTGGTGAAAAGCGTAGCCAGCATAGGAGGCAGGAATTGTGCTCTGAAGCGGACAGGACAATCATCAATCAAGCATCTTGAGATATTGAGGAGAACCGAGAACTGGTGAGAAGAAAGGTGAGGTGAATCTTTAAACAAAGCTTGCGACAGTGGTCCTGGAAGCTCGGCAAATCCATAGAAATGTTCTCTTAGCCTGCTCATACTGAACAGCATTGAGTAGCAGGACTCTCGCACAGCCCGAACCTTGCCTCGAACAGAAGAAGCAAAACCCTCGAGAGATAATCGAGAGGCCGTAATCTTCGCATAGAATTCATCACGGCTACCAGTGGAGATTCCTGCTTGCCAAAATCGATCGGTCAAGATACGTTCAACAACTGAACGCATATCATCAGGCAGGCCACCCCAGTTTGCTGGATTGTGGAACGCATGGGCATTGCTGTGAATTTCGTTAGCCCAAGGGGGGATAATCGAGGGAAATTATTTTTACCTGACAAGTTGTAGCAACGTGGGTAAGATTATGGGAATGATATCATGCCAGATATTACACGCAAGGTCGTATGGCAATTCGGCCTTCTTCAACTTTTCGGTGGAAACTGCGAGCATTGTCTTGGTTCCTCTCAAAGGTAGTTGCTAAGAGAAGAGTCAGCACTTTGTCACCACCAGAAAAGCAGGCATCAAAAACCTGGAATTTCCTTGTCATATTCTCCTGGATTTGCTTTCCCTCATTGTCCAATGGCATCGCCGACCAGTCTTCAAGTTTTGAGGCTTGCGTCTTCTGCATGAATGGCCCAACATCTTGCAGCCCGAGCATGCCACAGAAGCCATCGAAAGAAGAACTCATAGTCCGAAATTCTTCTTCTTGCCAGGCTTGCCTGATAGGCTCCAGGAATGACTTCATCCTCGTTTCCCGTAGATATGGGTCAACATTATTTGCACGTTGCCTGAAAAGAGTCAGTAGGCACTTTAAAGCGTCTTCGAGGACGTGGCCTTTCTTACATAATGATGAGAAGAATAGAGGTATGCTCCATGTGCAACTTGTCGTCGACTCGATTAGCCATGGTGATTTCTTTAATCTTCGGTTCTAGCAGGTCATAAAATGTCTTCCCGTGTTCATGTTAGAAGTGGCTTTACAATGACATCCCCGCGTGACTTACGGAGAAATAATCAGCATAGCGCATTGCAAGACGTCGGAGCTCATGACTGGCGAGGCCATGGAGCTCCTTCACAGCTTCAGAGTAGGCTGGGAATTCAGCTAGGTCAGGCAGGCGAGTCATAAGGATATGCTCAAGGACTTTGAGGGCAAAGCTAGGATTCTTGTCCAATGCCCTGGACGAGATGTCCACAATAAGCTTGATAATGCGTTGCTTCAAGATCGGGTCCTATGGCCAGCAATTTAGTCAAGTGTGTATGTGCTGCTTGACCAAATGGAAACAAACCTCGTAGTTCCTCTGCATCAAACTCATAGCCCATGTCTCTAGAGTGGTTTCCAGATCCCTTCGTTTCTGCTCCTGTTCACTTTGTTAGAATTCATGGCCTACCATTGGATGCAGGACATACATCTTGCTGCGGCATTTTCCCGTGAGCTGAAACCCACTTGTTGTAGCCTTTCAGAGTGGCTTCTACCACCGCAAACTGGGTATCGGCGCGCATCAACGGCAATGAATTCTTTGAAAACGATTGCACTGAGTTTGAGGTCAGAATTTATCCGCAAACAAGACCAAAGCTCACCATGGCTTACCATCGAACGGTTCAGTCCCATTGTAGAGGCTATCCAGGTTTGCGTCAACGGCCGAAAGGATATGCGGAATAGCCTCTTGTGGTCTCTTTTGGACAATCGTCTCGATGACGGACGAACAGTACCTGCGGTAGTTCCCAACAAAGGCGTGACGTTCCGGAACGGTATCAATATCCTCATTCAAGAAGACCACCGTAGGGTTGTCTGAATCTGCTGGAAGAGATTCCCAACGGATCAACCGCTCAGTGCATATGCTGAGCAGCGGGGGAATTAGGCCATTGACCAGATCCGTGTTCCCAATTCTCTCGGAGGCAAGTAACTTGGACCACACGTGGAGGACGGGTATCGAGACAGTCAAGCTCTGGTTTTGGATGATGTTGATAAGAAGATGGAAAAAGAAGGTAAGGTTCATGCCCTGCGCGCTTTCCAGAGCAAAGCCCTTCTCTTCGAGGAAGCCGGCAACATATGATAGCATCTATTCAACAGATAAGTAACGATCATAACGGCCACGCAGTTTCGATTTAGGGTTTACCTCGGATAGCTTTTTAGAAATGATGTATCGAATATCATCGACATCGTCAGGCCCAACAACGGACCACTCGTACAGCTTCTGTAGCAGAGTCAAATATTCCGTTTCGTACATCAAGTGCACAAGTGGTTGGAAATCCTCGATTTCAAAATTCGACCTGCTGTACAGTGCATGGAGAGCTTCAACGGCAGCCTAAAGTGACAGTTTTAGCATTACTGGCCCGTCTTGGGGGAGCCTTTTTTAAGCCCTTACCAGCAACACCTGCTCATCGCTGCATGTGAGAGCTCTCGCGATACTTGGCAAACAATTGGCGGATAAAATGGCCTTCGGGATCGACCATACCAGAATGGATTTCAAGGTTGCAAGGGCTTTAAGAGCAGCGTCTTTGGCCTGAGTCGAGCTCTGCAGATTTTCAATACAGTACATGAGAAACTCGCAAGTTCTCGCCAGCCAACCCTCGGTCCCGCATCGAAGTTCAACATGGTGTTCCCGCCTCGGATAGACTTCCTCGAACACCGCCAGCGGGGTGCAGATTTCCACCAATGCTCGATTGAGGTCAGTGCCCCGTAACGACGAGACGGTGTCCTCACGGTAGAAGATGTCTTCGGACAGAGTCTCCAGGACAGACAGAACGATTTCCTTGTGCACCAGACTTGCGTCCCAGAATTGCACGAGTGTCTCGTCCATTCCAATCCAGTCCAAGCCCCAGCTTCGCTTGGCGATCTCTGCCCATAGCTGAGGAATCTTATTGCGGTAGTATGCAGGTTCCTCTGGGCGAACTGCCTGGGCAAGCTTAAGAACAAAGTCTTGGAGGGCAGCTACCTGGTCCGAGGAGGTGAAGGACGTGTGCCGCAAAACATGATCCAAGAGGGTTAGACCAAAGTACCGGACCAGAGGGGCATTTTCTACCCGTGATGCCAACAGGAAACCATTACGAGCAGCCAACTTGCTTTCCTTTTGCGACTCCACGAAGGTCAGGGCTTGCCTGCGTAGCTCATTTGTTGAAGATGGATTGTGGATGAGCTCCAGAGCTTGAACCAGATCGGCCATGCCGCCTTCTGAGAGCTCATCGTGGGCAGCCATCTTGTGAACCTGATCAATGCCCGTCGCCCAAGACCAAGTCGCCTGCCGACAGCGGCGGTTTCAAGGAAGATAGTCGTTAGATTCTTTTTAACAGAGTACTTCCAATTCAAGTTGCAGCACCAATTCCCTCATCATTCAGGCTTCTTGCAGAGCCTCGTCTCTTCCTCCCGCTCTGAAATGCAAGCTAGTAAGGATTTGACTTTGTGGTGACAGTTGTAGTGCATAAAATTAACAAGAACAACAATAGTCAGTTCAGTACCGCAGAGGGAGCGGCAGAATTGATCACCGCGATTGTCTGATTCTGCCCTGTGCAGATGCCTGCCTAAACTTGGATCCTGCGGGTTTTCTCTCTAAAAAATGCCAAGATGAGGCGACAATCTGGCCGTCCCCACTTCGCAATGACGCCTCGAAGTTCCTAAGATACTGGCTTATGCGAAATAACTAGGTATCTAGAAGGCGGACGAGGGTTGTTGATGGATCCTTAGGGGGAGAGGGAGAGCGGGAAAGCGGGAAACAACAAAGACAAAAAGACCGACCGAACTCCAAACAAGATGGAAGCTTCAGAAAAATTCCACGCGCTCCCGCTCCAATCACCACACCGACTCGGAGGGGCAGCTTCACACCGCTTACAGCAACATTTCATGAGTCTACGGAGTACAATAAGGATAGAGATGGCTCTTTATGTGTGTCTGTAGACTGCAATGCTCTGAGTGGCAATTGATACTGCAGACACCATCAGCGATTCTCATCTTGTGCGAAAATGCCTCATATGTATCTCTCTCTCTCTCTCTCTCTGAGCTTGACCCCTGCCAAATCGTCTCCGGGAACGAAAGATATAGATGGATTATTATGCTCGATTGCTATCTTTGGCAATGAAATTGAAACTGTTGCAACAATATAAAACGCTTCACATGGGTCGTTGGGTGTAGAAGATGCGGAATCACTAGTTGATTGCCGGACCCATTGCCTACATAATTGCGCATCCCCCCTTCTGGCATTGCTCGAGATAGGACAATTCTTCCCCTGAGACCAAAGAGTCGCCTGGTTTGCGTTTAAGCCCCTCGATCTTGATGCTGAGATCCCCATCAGAGTGCCACCACCGCAGGCGCTGGACTTTGACCGAGTTGTACTCCGCCTGATCAATCGTCCACTCCCCACTACTGACAGAGACCACGGTGTTGTTGTCTGGGAAGTGGAAATCTGGAAGATAGATTTCTGTTGGTGCTGCTTGTTCTGCCTCTTTCTCGTTTCCGAGTAGCCTCATAGTAAATATGCAGCCCTTGAAATCGAAACCATATTTGAGAATTTGGCCGTTGGTGAGGATAGGGCTTGGACGGATCCATGCCTCTGCAGCTCGGTATCCCAGTTTCTCCTGAGACGACTGAGAAATTTCAGACGATATAGAAGGTGCTTGAATGGCCTGCTTGAGGTCTCGTGGACCGATTGGGAATTCTTCAGTATTGCTTCGACTTTCAGAGAATGCTGGCGACTGAGGGTCGCCCTGAGTGCCGTTGTCAAGGACCAATTGCTTTCTGCTTGGCAATTGAAGATCATCGAGTGAATATATCGACAGATCTTCTCCATTCCACTTATCGCCCCATTCATGGTTGTTCTAAACATATATCAGTCGTTGAGTATTCTTCACAGCCTGGCATGAAGGACGGTATGATATGTTGGCATTACTTACGGATGTTGTATATAACCACAATGTAAAACCATTGGCCGTACTTCCTTCGATTGCGAAATGATTCGCATCCATCGCACTGACTTGACCACTGTAGTCGCCAGTCTTGTAAGCATGTTTGCCGTCCATGTCGAACGGGATGCCAATCTCTGTGAATATCAAGGGGTGCGTTCCCATGTATCTAAGGCTCTCATCCCGCAGATACTTGAGCTGGTCGCGCAGGCAATTCCTGATCGCATTCTCCCCGATTTTGACAGCGAACGCAGGTGTGAGGTATTTTCCGCGAAGGACGCCGATCACATCAACATTATATAGGCGATTCCTGTGACAATTAGCGCCCGGGTCATGCAATCTTGAATAGGCTCAAATACCAGTGTTTCGTCAAGAGAGTAATGCCATCATAGTAATGCACGGCATGAACCATATTTGGATCATCATCAGCAGTTCCCTTCATCACGGGAGGAACCTCCATGACAGGAGGCTGGCAGAATAGGATAGCTTCCGGCCAAACGCCCCTTAAAGCACCTCGAAAAGCTCGATAGTGCTCCATGAAATAAGTGTTGGTGAACTTCTCATAGTTCAAGGGTTCGCCGGTCTTGGGATGTTTGGCGAAATACTCTTTCTTCAGCAGTTCATCTGAGGCTGGGTCCCAGACTCCATGTTGAGCCCAAAGACATTCACCAAGCTTCCAGCTAGGATCTCTGACCCAGCCATACTTGGTATCGTCATAATTCGCTGGCAACCATGCAGACTCGCCCTCAGGATCTACAAGCTCTCGACCGGTTTGGTAGGGGCCAAAACCACCAAACGCCCAGGTAGTCTCCTCACATGCTCGTCCAGAGCCAGTCAACATGGCTTGAAAAGGAGTCGGTGACGTCCCTAATTGAAGTTGTTGTTCAGGTGGTATGACGGATATGTCCTGCACACCAATCAACCCTCTATTAGGCTCGTTCATGCTCTCCCACCCAATGACCACATCGTTCTCGATATCGCCAGCCTCGTGTATCTTTTCAGCAAAATACTTGCATGCAGCAATGAAGTGATTTTGGAGATAGTCCTGGATATTCACGCCGTCTATGATGGCCTTGGGAGCGAAATCCCGTCCTCCCCAGAACAAGGTGAACATCGTCTGACAGACAAGCCTCGTGTAATTGGTGCTCCATATCATCTTTGGAAATTCCGCTGGATCTTCAAATGTATTATGAACTAGCGCCGCTTCGGTTTTTCTGAAGCCCCTAGGATTGAGGCCTGCGGCATATAGTGTCCATGCTGGGGCACCGGATCCTCCTGAAAGTCTGGACCACTTTATCAATGTTAGCAATGAGCATGGCTTGTAATATGACTTGGACTAAATGCATACCACGTCCTGATGCGGATCAAGAAAGATATAAAAGTCATATTTCTTCGCAATCCGGAGGATCTCGATGGTGAACGCTATCCACTCATCATCGTATTTCCCTGGGCCTGCATGCTCGATGGCCTCCCACGTGAAAACATATCTTATAGTATTGTATCCCCAATGCCGTAACCTGGAGAAGTGTGTATCTGCATCCTCAAGAGGAAAGGGTCGGCCAACGAATGACACATTGTCGGCATCAAAGAAGCCGTCCGGCACATGGGACGGAGTGTCGGGGTTCTTCGGATACTTGGCTTCACCAGCCACGTTGATACCTCTTAGGGTTATCTCACGATTCTCCGGATCTCTGAATGTTTGACCATCAACCCTAAGCCGCAGAATACCCATGACTCCTGTGGTAAAGTGGGTCTTGAATAACAATGAGTTTAAGGAGATGAGTATGGTAATCGGGAGCGTCTGCACGAGATCAAAGCGCGTATCTATCCAATATTATTTAGACCTGTTCCAAAAGAGCAAACCAACAAAGAATGGTCTTTAGATGAAGTAGTATCAGCATCAGAATGAAGAAGGATGGTTCTAAGAAGTGAATGGTCAACACACACTTACCTTCCTTTTGCTTGCCGCCAGTCAATGACTCCCCAGGCTGATCATCGATGTACCAGAAAATCATCAACAATAATCAAATACAGATCAATAAAGCCCCTGAGAAGACCTGAATCACTACACGAGTGATTCTTGAGCTCAACTGATTATCCCAGTTGACAACGACCTGAGGGAGAACGAACTGGCGGAGAGAGCGATAGTGATACGAACTGGATACGAGATAAGAGTTGACCACGAGATCGACCTCTGACGTATCGGCCACTAAACTGTCCCCACAAGTCACACTATTTCCCTTCTCAACGGAGTCTTGCCTAGGGTGCACCTAGTCAGCTATCGACGTCTCAAGTGGTCTTCTCCGACCAGGCAATGATTCGAGCTGACCAGGATGTCAACTAAGTCGGCTCTGAAGGCAGTGCGCATTGCATTGGACGCCAGGGATTTTGAAGATGCAGCTGAGAAAGCAAAAGCGGTTGTGAAGCAAGAGCCTCAAAACTATCATGCGTATGCGGAACCTAACTATGCTGCTTCAATTCATGGGCTGATCTCGGGTTCACACCTAGAAACGTTTTCTTAGGCCTAGCGCTGGACAAGTTGAACAAGAATGACGAGTCGGAAAGAGCGTATCTCGCAGCGACCCGTGCGAAGGAGGACGACAAGACAGCCTGGCAGGGTCTGATCAATTTGTACGAGAAGCAAGGAGGCTACAAACTTGACGCCTACTATGAAGCAGTTCTGAGACTGGGCGTAATTTTTGCTGAAGCGTATGATGGCCTTCAATATTACGACAGAAATATGCTGATTTGATCAAGCGATGACAAACACCGCTGCCAAGATGCCGTGGACAAGTACATCAAGTTCGCCAAAAAGCAGGGCACTCGATCGCAGTACAAGAAGGCGCTTGGATTACATCTTCCTACAAGTCCCCTCTATGGCTACCTCGAAGGACGAATACCCCACCCTTCTCACACATATCTACGACTTATTGAGATGACCGAAGCTGAAGAGAAAGAATTCATCAATAAGGAAATCGGAGAGCGGAGGACCCGGCTTGGCGCTCGCATCGACCAAGTGACGCTGGAAGTGAAAAGGGAAGCGTACAAACGTGGGGAAGTCGAGCAACTATACCACGGAATTGTGGATTGGTCCCATGACGACCAGGTTCGACGCACGTACGAGGAGAAGTTGCTGCAGCGAGCCTACGAAGTGCTCACTGTCCTTCCGCCAGGAGAGAAGACAGAAAAACGCGCTGAGGTCTTGCAAGCGGCTCGCGACATGGTTATCATCAAACATCCTTTCGAGCTTGCCTGGAAGATAGTACTCGAATGGCAGGATATCCAGAGCTTTTCGGATTGGGACGTCAATTTCCTCAATGATTTCATTGAATTCTTTCCGGAAGATGGCCTCACCAAAATCTTCAAGGGCTTCTTAGCCAGCGACCTCTCCCCATTCCCTAAACAGGAGAAAAAGCCCGCGGCGATCGAGGAAGAAGCCGAGAATGAAAAGGGCGAAAATCACGAATTAGCCGTTCAGGACCGCTTATTGATGATGGTAGAAGGGCTTGAAGCTTCTCGCTCTTTAATCGTCGCACATAGAATTATGGGGGAGCTCTATCTGTCTCTCGAAGAGTATGATAGTGTCGTAGATACTGCGCGCAAGGGTCTCTCCAACATCAAAGATCTGGTCAAACTGACTGGGTCAAACCTGACCAACACCACTGACTGTTTAAACATTTTGCTGGCAAACTCTTTAATCTACTACCAGATTCCTCGGCACCATCCCGAAGCTAAAGAAATCTTTGAAGAGATCCTGAAAAGGAAACCTAAGTCAACAAGCTCCCTGTTGGGTATTGGGTTGATTCTCAAGGTGGATGAGGACTATGCTGAAGCCGTTAACTTTCTGGAACGTGCTTTAGAACGTGATCCTTCCAATCTAAAGATCCGCGGCGAGCTTTCTTGGTGCAGAGCGCTTAACGGTGATATCGAGACTGGTTTATACGGCCTTCAGGATGTTCTCTCCGAGTTACAAGACCTGGAGTCGCCTAACCGGGATTTCAAGAGTGAGATTCTCTATCGTATCGGTTACTGCCAGTGGGAGCTTGATCCTTCACCGTCTGCGCGCAAAGATCGCAATGGTGCTTATGCCAGTTTTCTTGGTTCTATACAATCCAATATCAACTATGCGCCTGCGTATACCAGCCTGGGTATATATTATGCCGACTACAAGAAAGACAAGACTCGAGCACGCAGATGCTTCCACAAGGCCTTTGAATTATCCGCTTCGGAGATCGAAGCCGCTGAACGCCTCTCGAGAACGTTCGCGGACCAGAAGGAATGGGATCTTGTTGAGGCAGTGGCTCAGCGCGTTGTTGATTCTGGCAAAGCGAAACCTGCACCTGGGTCAAAACGGAGAGGATACAGCTGGCCGTATGCAGCCTTGGGCACAGTTCAGATTAACAAACAGCAGTATAGCCAGAGTATCGTTTCGTTCCAAGCAGCTCTGAGAATCTCACCAGGTGATTACCATTCATGGGTCGGTTTGGGGGAAAGCTATCATCATTCGGGTAGATATATTGCTGCCACCAAGGCGTTTGATCATGCCCAGCAACTGGAGTCATCTCTCTCAACCGATGAAAGAGAGCATGTCTGGTTTGCGCGATACATGCTGGCAAACGTCAAGCGCGAACTTGGCGAATACCAAGATGCCATCTCGCGCTATGAGGATGTGTTGAAATTCCGGCCCAATGAGTTTGGCGTGACGATCGCGCTACTCCAGACTCTTACAGAAAGTTCCTGGAGGAGCCTTGAATCAGGAATGTATAACGATTCCGTTGAGCTTGCGCGCAAGGCAATCCTTGTCGCCTCATCACTTGCTCTGGAACGTGTCGACATCTTCAATCTCTGGAAGGCGGTCGGCGACGCGTGCTCAATGTTCACATTTGTCAAAGCAAAGGCGAGCAAATTTCCGATCCAGGAAGTTAGGGCACTTCTTGCGACTCAACCTGAGCCTGCAGCTTTCGACATATTTGCAGATCTCGATGACCTAGGACAAAATTCTTTATCCCTACTGGGAGACGACGCGGATGATGCTGTCACACCTTCGGATAAGTGTATTTTTGCTTCAGTCCTTGCATACAAGCGAGCTATACATGTCTCAGCGCAAGATGTTCATGCTCAGGCAGTCGCTTGGTACAACCTTGGATGGGCAGAATACAGAGCCTACAAATGCGTGCAAGTGCACACTGGCAAAAAAGGTAGAAAGCAGACACGCCGATTCCTCAAGACAGCCATGCGGAGTTTCAAGCGAGCAATCGAGCTCGAAGCTGGCAACTCAGAGTTCTGGAATGCTCTGGGCGTGGTGACTACAGATATGAGCCCAAAGGTAGCCCAGCATGCATTTGTAAGAAGTCTGCATTTGAACGAGAGAAGCGCTCAAGTGTGGACAAATCTGGGAACTCTCTATCTCATTCACAACGATATCCAGCTTGCCAATGAAGCTTTTACACGCGCGCAGTCGACCGATCCAGACTATTCGCTGGCCTGGGTTGGTCAAGGTCTCCTCGCTCTTCTATATGGTGATGCGAATGAAGCCCGAGGTCTCTTTGAACATGCTTTTGATATTTCTAACTCATCATCGAAATTGCCAAAACGTCAATACACGTTGACGTTGTTCGATCATCTGTTATCAGACTCTTCAGCGTCGAATGAAATATCACAACTCATCCAACCATTCTTCGCCCTTCACCAACTCTCTGCTCAGGATCCGTCCGATTTGCAATTCATGCATCTGTCATCTCTAATGGCCGAGAGGATTGGCGAGCTTGATGACGCGGTAACTAGCCTGGAAGTCGTTTGTTCCGGAGTTGAGGCCGAATACGAGGTGTCGGAATCGGTGTCGTCTCTTTCTCGATACGCACAATCGAATGCAGATATGGCTCGTGTCCTCCTGGCGCGCCACGAATACGAAGAAGCAGCAGAGAAAGCGGAAATGGCGCTCACCCTGTCTGGAGAGGAAGATGCAGAGAAATTCGGCCCAGAGGCGAACCAAAAACTGCGCCTCTCGGCTCATTTGACAGCCGGCCTAGCACATTATTACCTGAAATCTATGGATAATGCCATTGACATGTTTCGGGATGCTTTGCAGGAAGCAGATAATGATCCTGAGGTGGTGTGTCTTCTAGCACAAGTTTTGTGGGCCAAGGGTGGGGAGGAAGAGCGCACTGTGGCTCGCCAGCAGCTGTTCGATTGTGTCGAGGAACACCCCGACCATGTTGGAGCGGTGTCACTTCTGGGCGCTATTGCGCTCTTAGATGATGACAAGGATGTCATTGAAGCAGTGACATCTGATCTACACAATATGATCACAAGGGACGACATTGACATTCATGAGCGGGCTAAGCTAGTCAAGCTCCTGACGGCGATTTCTTCCTTGGGCTTAGCAGATCCCGAAATCCCCGAGGATCTTAGACCTATCAAAGAAGCTACAACAGCTGTGATGAGATCCCCAGGTCAGCCGCAGGGCTGGCAGGAGTTAGCTGCAACGTCACAGGAACTGTATCCTGCAGAAATGGCTGTTGATAGAGCACTGCGGAGTGTCCCACCACGAAGTAATCTTGACGCCGTTGACCTTGCCAACGCATATGTACAGACTGGCAAGGCAAGCGATGCTCTCAAGGCGATTATGGTGGCACCATGGAAGCAATGTGGTTGGGAGGAACTCAAGTATGCTGTGTCTGGATGAGTTTAGTTCTCATGAATTCCGGACGGGGAATCTTGCTGTGTAGATAATGCAAACACTAGAACCCTCGAGCATCCATACCTTCTATATCAATGAACCCATGGCAAATAGACATGCCCATTTGGATAATGAATTTACTCCCTGGCTTTCATCTTCCTAGACGGACTTATGAGCTGGCTTCACAGTCATGATTCCTGAGATCGTTCCATTCCTGTAATCCGAACCATCAACTGTGCCTTTCTACCGTCCCTCCACGCCTGGTCCATGGGGTCAATCTTTCCTCCCAAAAGGCTTACAGACTCCGGCGTCAATAGGACCATACCCCGAGCAACTGTTGCGTTGCGCAACAGCAACTTTGCGCCGATAGGAAGTTTGCCCAACCCAATGCCTTCTATACGCTTTAGCTCAATAGCTATCGCTTGAGTGCCTGCCGAGTCCTGAAGTACCAGCCTATGCGGCCCATTACTATTGCTTCCCAATTCGTTTGTCGCAGAATTAGCAGCCCTGTTACCAGTACCTGTGGCGCGCTCCTCGCTGGCTTCGTCGACGTTGACTGTTCGCACAATCTCACGGCCACGAATAGCTTCACCGCGCTCCACTCGCTCGATCGCTTCGACCTGACTCCATATGCTACTTCCGATGTCTTCAATGTCCAGTACTTGTAGGGGAATAGGGCCTTGAAGACGCCTCTCTTGGACGGTTGGATCAAATATGTCCCCGGGGAGAAGAGAGGATGGATTTTGTGATGACAGTGATGTTCTGAAGTCTGAAGCTAGGAGGCGAAAAAGAGCGGTTCGAGTCAACGCGGACGGTGGGATATTGCGTTGTGAAGCTGCTGATGAGGAAAGGAAGTTATTCAACCACGACGGGGAGACAGGGAGAGATTTGCTGTTGAGCAGTTCAGCGGCGAGTTGCGCTTGGATGTTTGCCATTATCAGCCTCAGCTGCCTTGAGCCACGCTCTAGACCATATATTGTGTCAGTCCTTGGTTTAACCAAGTCTCATCGTCCAGAAGAAGACCAGTTAGACTAGAAGCTATTTTGCCGAAGAAATTAGTCCGGGGAATGCACAGACCACCGCTTAAGGCCGCTGCTCTACTGTTCGGCCTAGCTGGGGACTAACGGCCGAACGACCTAGTACCTCACGTTTTCAACAACTCTCTCGCGCTTATTAGCATTTAGTTCCATGCTGGCAATGGTTAAGACCCTCTAATTCTCAAAGTCACCATGTCTACTCTCTCATCCCCTCGTCCATCAATTGCATCCTCTCGTGCGCATTCCCCCACGCCTGCATCCTCACGCCGTCCGTCTCTCGACACTCTGAATACCAATGTCGCCGGAGGCCTCAGTGCCTCCTCAACCCCGTCTACAGCACGAGCTGTGTCCCCTTCTCTTCACCAAAGACGTAACCGCACCGCCCTTCGAGACTACTACAATTTGAGACCCTCCGCTGCCGACCCGGCCGGCAATGGAAGCGCGTCTCGATCTCGCAGCATCCCCAGACACACCGATGCCGGGGACATGTCGAATCTGTCGTCGGTGGTAGCAACCGGAACAGAGTTGGACAGCCCGGACTTTGATGCACAGCGTTATGTTAGCCATCTACTCGCAACTTCGTCGCTGTCGACCGTCCTCAAGGCAGAGAATACACTTGTCGGTGACATCAAAACACTTGACAGTGAACGCAAGGCGCTCGTTTATGACAACTACTCGAAGCTGATTCGCGCGGTGGAAACAATTGGCAAGATGCGCCAGAGCATGGATGAACGCGGTGCGCCCCTGACGATGACAAAGACGCTAGGACCGGCTATCGCATTCGTGGCTGAAACTGCGACGAGTCTAATACAGGAAGGTGAGGAGCAGCGGCAGCGGATCCGAGAGGCAAAGGCTACAGATGGGACGGACCGCAGAAAAGCCGAGAAGGAGACCGTGCAATGGGTTCTCGATGCACCAAATAGGCTAGAGAAGCTCGTTGCAGCTGGTAAGAGGGATGAGGCTGAAAAGGACTGGGATGAGCTACGGGGCCTATTGGGCAAGTGGGAAGGAGTTAAGGGAGTCACTGAAATTCGCCAGGCTTGTGAGACGACGATGAAACCAAGCGACGAGCCTTCTTGATTGCTCTACATTTCTGTGACTTGCCAAAACAAGCACATCTGAGTAAACGATTGTTTCGCATGGAAAGCCAACCACCACCCAGCAATCGACTGCAACCGAGCCTTTTCGGAGGGATATGGCCTCTAGTCTCTGTAAGAGGGCACGATTTTGTCTTGCCATGATACCGGTGTCTGTGTGTCTCTTCCACAAAACGAGCTGTTGTACTGCTATGTCTCTAGCCAGGAAGCCGACCACTTTGAATCCAGTCCAATGAGACGAGGATTGACGGTTCCCTCTACGACACTTTCTTCAAAAATGATTCGAAGTGCGAAAGCCCCATGATGGCACGCGCAGTATATCGCCTATGAAACGAACTTTTCGATACGGCGTCACGATTGTACGAATAATCAACTGCAAAATATTTTCACCTCAATTATATTACACTTTTCCTGTCAATACATCGCGACTCGACGCCATGCTGGCCTTGAGCCCATATGGATTATCGCTCATGATGCTCAAGTACGTGAGAGCATCGCACTTATAGTAGATCGGCCTTTCGTCCTGTTTTACCAGACCAAGATCAATCAACTTCTCGAGCACGCGTTTTACATCATCTAGATCCGCATAGTCCCTAGTGTATATGGCAATCAACCGTGGGCTTCCCGAGCCACCTTCGGTTGCAACTTTCGCCGCATCGCCCAGCTCTCCAGCTACCGTCGCAGCTGCAACGGCTCCCCAGTATCTGTTCACTCGATCGGGAGTGATGAACATCATCCACTTCCCAGATACAACACCCGTCTTGCGCGCCAGTGCGAAAATTCCCTGCTCCAACGACCGCCGTAGCGGATTCAACTTGCGCGTCAGAGCTTCTTTCGATTTCGACCCAGAACGATCATGCTCAGCTTCCAGGCTGGCTTTTTGGTTCTCGAACCCGTGGAGCAGCTCGGTTCCTTTGCGCACAAGCTCTGTGATGGCCGGCCCATCGGGGTTGGAGTTGCGATTTGGATTCGACACGAATATCCATGGCCCGACGTCTTCTTCCTTTGTCGTGGATGGTGCGAGACGTGCTAAGAACTCATCGGCAGATTCATTCGGACTGCGCGCATTGCGGCTCAGTGATGTGAGGGGCATCTCGAGCGTCACGCTCGAATCCAATGCTGTGTTTTTGGATTTGTGATCATTAGTGGCTTTTTCTGAAGTAAGAATGCCATGTTGAATAGTAGATAAGAGATATGGATGGATATCCGACCAGTACGGCCCCGGCTCATATGAATCGGCTAGCTCTTCAAGACGCGACTTTTCCGACTCGTCACCTATCGTCGTCAATGGTTAGTTAGGAGAAGTGGGAGCTGTTTTTTTGCAAGACGCAGATGTACCATAGAAGCTGGATTCATCGGAGAATAGTTCATCAAGCTCGTTCGGCATATTGTTTACTTCTGGATCAAATGTCCTGGTACCTTGCTGATAAGATCAAAAAAGACGTCACGTCAATCCTATCAGCTGGCGAATTTTTTTTTTTTTCTTTTTTTCTTCAAAATGGGATCGAGCAAGACTTATAAGAAGCGCTGGAATAATAATGAATCTGATGTTGAGGCTGATATTATCCGAAGAATATGTAGCTGTCATGCTCCGCACTTGAAATATTCAGGTCTCACGGTGTGAAATTAGTGTGTGTAAGCAAGCAACAGTCATGTATTCTTCTGCATGTCTTGTTCTAGCAGGTAGACTGGTTGATTCGGCAGATAGACCATGATCCCATGAGTTCACTTTGCACTGCGGAAAGAGGCCTTTAAATATCCATCAACTTACCTGATGGATTGGCAGGGCCTGAATCCGTAAGCCTCCTGGCTCTTGTGCATGTTTTACGCCTTCCTTGTCATCTGCGGAGTCTATCATAGAGCTCACGAGATTCCACATTACCTCCACCGTTACTTCAAAGTCCCCACGGTATACCCAGCCCTCCACCGGGATTACAAGAGCACCAAGATGGTCCCTGCAATCTTCCCAACTTATGTTTAAGCAAGATGAGACGCAAGCTCATCAGTATCGAATGCTACAGGACAAGAGCTTTGTGGGCTGACCTGTCAGCTCCACCCATTCACGCCTTGCTCGACACATCATTTTTGTGAGAAGGATTTATCCACCATCATGCCATGTGTACCCTGCAAGCCCGAGGACTGAGGAGCTGCAGTCAAGTCAAAGCGTGAAAATGTCACTTTCAATTGCTTGAGATTTGGTATAGTTGTGTGTACGGAGCAAGTTTAGCTCCTTTTCTTGTGGCGTAAGGCCTGCTGCTTCGGGTGGTGAAAAAAGCGACGGGGCCATAAAACTTCAATACAGCCAGTATCAGTCTCAGGCTTGCACTGGCACCACAAGCAAAAGTTGTAAAGAACTGTAGATAGCCGGCAGCCTTGAGACCATTGTCTACAGACGAGACAGTGAAAATCACATGACATTGCTTATCTCATAAATGGCCAGGCGGTGTTCCAGGCGGTCAGCATACTGCAGGAGCTTGGAATTTCGGTTTTCTCCCAATGGCCCGCCGTACCTGAGAGGCTCGCTTATTGGCTCGCCGCTGGGGGACGTCAATAAGTCCACGTTACCGCCATTGCTTGCTATCCAGACCCCATACCTAAGGCAGTCCAGACGCACCTCGATTTGTCCCTTCTATCCATTCACCCTACGGTAGTGGATGAAGTGGTCGTATTCCTGATCTTCATTACCTCAGTGTGCGGAGCTTGCTACTGAATGGTGCGGCTCCGGCCAGTTTGTTTTCAAGATGCAGTCCTCCCCAAACATGCTCACCAAGGTATGTTGCTCCCCTCGATGTACCCCTTATCCGCACCCTGACTCTTGACCTCATGGGATATTGCTAACCAATTCTATTCACGTAGTTCGAGTCAAAGTCATCCCGTGCTAAGGGAATCGCCTTCCATCCCAAGCGGTCAGTCATGGGTTGACTCTTGTACGTGTCACAATCGAACCACCGCTGACACTGCTGTAGGCCATGGATCCTTGTGTCGCTCCATTCGTCGACGATTCAGTTATGGGATTATCGCATGGGAACATTGATCGACCGCTTCGAAGAACATGACGGCCCTGTCCGTGGCATTGACTTCCACCCAACACAGCCTCTCTTCGTATCTGGAGGTGACGACTACAAGATCAAGGTCTGGAGTCTTCAGACCCGCAGATGTCTTTTCACCCTGAATGGACACTTGGATTACGTTCGCACAGTCTTCTTTCACCGCGAATTGCCATGGATTCTTTCAGCATCCGACGATCAGACAATCAGGATATGGAACTGGCAAAACAGATCATTGAGTATGGTGGACTCCAGCCACTTGTCCTGACGCTGGAAGCTAACCCGCGGTTCTCAGTTTGTACAATGACCGGTCACAATCACTATGTGATGTGCGCGCAATTCCATCCGACCGAGGATCTGATCGCGTCGGCATCCCTCGATCAATCCGTCCGCATCTGGGATATCTCCGGTCTCCGGAAGAAGCACTCGGCCCCCACCTCCATGACGTTCGAAGACCAGATGGCTCGAGCCAATCCCAGCCAGGCTGATATGTTCGGCAACACTGACGCTGTTGTGAAATTTGTTCTGGAAGGCCATGATCGGGGTGTCAATTGGGTGTCTTTTCACCCAACTCTGCCCTTGATCGTGTCCGCAGGAGACGATCGCTTGGTCAAATTATGGAGAATGAGTGGTATGTTCCGATTACAACCCGATACCTTCTTCATATGACTAACGCGACATCTTAGATACGAAGGCTTGGGAAGTCGATACATGCCGTGGCCATTTCCAGAACGCCTCTGCCTGTCTTTTCCATCCCCACCAGGACCTCATCCTCTCCGTTGGCGAAGACAAGACAATTCGAGCTTGGGATTTGAACAAGAGGACTTCCGTGCAGTCATTCAAGCGTGATCTAGATCGTTTCTGGGTTATCGCTGCTCACCCCGAGATCAACCTATTCGCGGCCGGCCATGACACTGGTGTCATGGTCTTCAAGCTGGAGAGAGAGAGACCTGCGTCGGCTGTCTACCAAAACCAGCTGTTCTATATCACGAAGGAGAAGCATGTGAAGTCATATGACTTTGCGAAGAATGTCGAGTCCCCGCCGATGCTTTCGTTGCGCAAACTGGGATCGCCCTGGGTGCCACCAAGAACCCTCTCATACAACCCTGCTGAGCAGGCCATCCTCGTCACTTCCCCATCTGACGGTGGTACATACGAGTTGATTCACCTGCCGAGGGATGCAACCGGTGCTGTTGAGCCAACCGATGTCAAGCGCGGTCAGGCCTCCTCTGCTGTCTTTGTTGCTCGCAATCGATTCGCTGTCTTCAGCCAAGCCAACCAGCAGGTCGACATCAAGGACCTGAGCAACTCGACCACGAAGACAATCAAACCACCAGCCGGAACAACAGATATCTACTTTGGCGGAACAGGCGCTCTGCTTTTCATTACACCAACTTCCGTCGTCCTCTTCGACATCCAGCAGAAGAAACAGTTGGCGGAGCTTGCAGTCAGCGGTGTCAAGTATGTTGTTTGGTCTAATGATGGCCTCTACGCTGCTTTGCTCAGCAAGCACAATGTTACTATTGTCACGAAGACACTTGAGCAGGTGAGCAGCTTACATGAGACGATCCGCATCAAGAGCGCCGCTTGGGATGACTCTGGTGTCCTGCTCTACTCAACATTGAACCACATCAAGTACTCGCTTCTCAACGGGTATGTCTGGAATTTACCTTCCGATTCGTTCCATATCTAACTCTTTCACAGTGACAACGGTATCATCCGGACCTTGGAGCACACTGTATACCTTGTCAAGGTCAAAGGTAGAAGTGTGTACTGTCTCGACCGCAATGCTAAGCCCCGGGTTTTGGAAATCGATCCCACTGAGTACCGATTCAAGCTCGCTTTAGTCAAGAGAAATTATGATGAGATGCTGCAGATCATCAAGACTTCAAGCTTGGTTGGACAGAGTATCATTTCATATTTGCAAAAGAAGGGATACCCCGAGATCGCCCTACAGTTCGTTCAGGACCCTCAAACACGCTTTGAGCTGGCTCTCGAGTGCGGTAACCTGGAAGTCGCTATCGAGATGGCACGAGAACTGGACCGACCCAACCTGTGGAGTAGACTGGGAGCGGAGGCCCTGGCTCATGGTAACCACCAGACAGTGGAGATGACCTACCAGAAGCAGAGAAACTTTGACAAGCTTTCTTTCTTGTACTTGGCCACCGGTGACCAAGAAAAGCTGTCTAGAATGGCTAAGATTGCAGAGCACCGCGGTGACTTTACTTCTCGTTTCCAGAATGCCGTATATCGTGGCGACGTTGAAGATAAAATCCAGATGTTCAAGGAGGTCGATTTGTGTAAGTCAGATCGCATTCATTTGCTGTACCCTACTAACATTCAGAAGACCCTCTTGCATACCTCACTGCAAAGTCTCATGGCTTGACAGATGAGGCCGAATCTATCCTCGAGGCTTGTGGTCTGACGGAAGATCAGATCGCCCTCCCGGCAATCGAAGAACCTCCACGGGTGCCACACCCCATTGTCTCTACTTTCAAGTCGAATTGGCCAGTTAAGGCTGCTGCTCATTCTTCTTTCGAGAAGGCATTACTTGGGGAAGTTGGAGCGGAAAATGAGGAAGCGGCCGGCCTTGAGTTTGAGCCTGAAGAGGAAGGCGAGGAAACTGTCACCGCCCGCGAGCCTTTCGAGGAGGAAGAGGAGGATGTCGCTGGCTGGGACATGGGAGAAGAGATTAACGTGGAGGAGGATGTTGACTTCGTCAATGTGGACAGTGCAGAGGCTGGCGCGGGTAGCTCTGAAGCCGATCTTTGGGCTCGCAACTCGCCATTGGCCGCTGACCATGTCGCTGCCGGCTCTTTTGAGACTGCCATGCAGCTTCTCAATCGCCAAGTTGGTGCCGTGAACTTTACTCCCCTCAAGGGCCGTTTCCTTGAAGTGTACAAGGCATCCAAGACCTATCTGCCTGCCACCGTTGGCCTTCCTCCTCTCGTCAACTACGTACGACGCACTGTTGACGAGACTGATAGTCGGAAAGTCTTGCCCATCATTCCCAAGGATCTGGAGACTATCGCCACTGTCGACCTTCAGGAGGGTTATGCGGCAATGAGGGCAAATAAGCTTGAGGATGGCGTCAAAATCTTCAAGGGAATCCTGCATTCAATTCTTATCAACACCGTGTCTTCAGAGGCCGAGGTGGAGCAGGCAAAGAAGATTATTGCAACCGCCCGGGAGTACATCCTTGCCATGTCTATCGAACTTGAGCGTCGTTCTCTGTCAGCGGATACTCCAGAGAACCTGAAGAGAAGCCTTGAGCTTTCCGCCTACTTCACCATCCCCAAGTTGGAGGTCGCTCACCGTCAGCTTGCATTGATGGCTGCGATGAAGTTTGCATTTGCCAACAAGAACTACTCGTCTGCCCTTAGCTTCGCCAACCGCATGTTGGCCAACGGAGGCTCGCCTAAGCTTCTCGACCAGGTAAGAAAGCACTTTCGCTTCTACGTTGGTGTATGTTCTTAGAACGCTAATGAAATACTCTAGGCCAAGAAGATCAAGGCTCAATGCGAGCGTAACCCGCAGGACAAGATTGACATTGAGTTTGACCAATTCGCCGAATTCGATATTTGCGCCGCCTCGTTCACCCCTATCTATGGTGGCTCTCCTAGTGTGTCAGATCCCTTCACAGGGGCCAAGTACCATGAACAGTACAAGGGCACTTTGTGTCGGATATCCGATGTGACCGAGATTGGAGCACCTGCTAGCGGGCTGCGTCTGTTCATTCCTGGTCAGTAGTAAAGATGATGAATATCATGGCCTTCGCGTTTGTATTAACCTCCTATTTCTATTGATGTGAACCCATAAAATATATCCTCGTTAATTGGGAGAGGCTTGTGATGGGAGCGCTGGGGTTGGAGGACGCCCTCTCTTCTGTTCTGTTCTATTCTATTCTCTAGACGTATGGTTCGATGTGGTTTCAATCAGCGAATTTCTATTTATCTGTTAAATTTGCAACGTCTTCAGTTGAGATAATACGGGTATTCCTGCTGTGTTTCTGGGAAAATCATCTGGTGAAGAAGGCATGGGCTGGGCTTTAACGATGCACGTCCTTTTCGATGATAAGAGAAGAGATTCTTTCATCAATGTAGTCTACCTATAATTACAGCAAGTCAAGTGTACAAACCACCTCACCCATCCTCTCTGCATCCCATGCTCCCTCCATCAATCACATCGTCCATCCTTCCACCCAGTCCTCCACCTCTCCTCCCAAAACCGACAATCGAATTCCTTCTTCCCCAGCTTGCGATTCACCTCATTATGCGCCTCACACATCCACGTTCCAAAGTCTGATCTCCCCGACAAGCGCGGCTTATTACGGCCACTCGGCTCCGCCATCCACGTCCGGAAGTCCTCCGCACAAACCCAGCACGGATACAACCGAGCGAAGAGTTTCAGGAACATCCCCATCTCGCTCTGCTGCTCGGGGGTCGCTTTGACCGGGTAAGCGGCCGTCATGGAGTGGAGGAGAGTCCAGGTTGAGCGACCGAGCTCCTCAACATCTGGGGGGCATTCACTCTGCATCACTGAGGGCACGGGGGCCGCGGGAGCGGTTGTGGTAGAGGAGGAGGGCGTTGTGGTTGCTGAGGCGGTGCCTGCTGCTGTTTGGATCTTGGCTTGTTTTGTCAATGCGCGCCAGGATGCAGCGGAGGTGCATAGACGGCATCTGTGGTATTGCATCCGTTAGATATAGGCCGAAGAGAGGAGGGTATTATGCAACGTACGGCTTCCCGTCTTTGTCCAAAATCACGCCGTTGGGGAGTCTGGTCCCGCCGGGCGGTACATCGTCGTCCTTCGTGGCTGTGGAAGAGCTGGCAGCGGCCGGAATGTGAGGGAAGAGCCCCTTGGGTAGTTTGGGCTGAGCGCCGGTAGGCTCTGGAGAGTCCGCCATGAAAGACCGATTGTAAACCGTTTCCTGGGAGGAAGTTGAGGATGCGAAAGTATGTGCTGGACGTCGCACCACGGAATGCGAATGATGGCGGGCTCGAGTATAATGATAGGTATAATTGGCAGTTCCTTCGTATGCTCGTGTTTACAATCCTTAGTCCCTATCAATGCGAAGCCTATCTAAATGGGTGAAATCACCGAGACAGAGAAATGGAGCAGAAGAAGTCGGCATTGGTAATACAACGATGGAAGCTTGGGGATTTCTATATCAGCTTTGTCAGCACGATAACGCCGATAAGCGCATCTATCACTTGATTACTTGCGCACTGATAGGCGATTAGCACCCTGGGGACATAATGGCTATTCGCAATATCTGCATATACGACTGGCTCTTGTTTGATGTAGCTATTGAGAGATAGCTGTCGATCTCTTGAGCTAACGAAACTTGACCCGTTCTGTTCAGCAGCGAGAGCACTAACCCCCTTCACGCGTTCTACTTGTTTATATCGCGTCGTCGCGTCAATTGCGCGTGGAGATCCTCCCGATTCCAATCACAAGAACTTGTGTCAAGTCCTGCTCTAGTATAGAGCTGGCAGAATTGAACATAATGGCGCCTCAATATGCCGTGTCAGACTCCGACGCAGAGTCCGAGCTGAGTCAACCCCCAATGCCCTCCGACGAAGCTCTAGAGAAGGCTCTCCGCAATGCAGTCGCCAATATATATAAGTCGGGGAAGATGGAAGAATTGACCGTCAAGCGCGTGCGATTGGCAGCGGAGCGAGCGCTCGACCTCGAAGAAGGGTTCTACAAGGGGAGCGATACCTGGAAGGCGAAAAGTGATCAGATTATCAAGGATGAAGTGGTATGTGACGGCTCTTCGGACAATTGTGGCTATCAGCTTTTAAAATGAGTTGAAATTAATTCATTCGATTCAATCCCATAGGAAGTACAAGACAAAGCCGCGCAAGAACCGGAATCGGAGACGAAGGATGAAGATGTTGTCTCCCCTCCCCCAAAAGTCGCAAAGGCAACGAAGCGCACGAAATCCGCGAATACCTCAACGTCAAGGAAACGCAGGAAGACGGCTTCCGCAGAACCCCAGGACGAAGAATCAGAATTGTCCGACCCGCTTAGCGAAAGTGAAGCAGAGGAAGTCATACAGAAACCTGTCAAACGACAGTCAAAATCAAAGAAAGACCAGAAACTGCAAACAAAATCAGACAATAATGATGTATCTGATGAGTCTGATGAAGCAGGGGAAGAAGCAGCGAAGGAAACCACCGAAAAGGTGGATTCCGACAGTGAAATGTCAATTGTCCTCGATGAGGAACCAAAGCCCACTCGCAAACGCGGTAAAAGCTCCGAGGCGGCATCACAAAAAGGGAAGAAGAAGGCTGTGGGTAAGTCCAAGGATGGAAATCTTGATCCCAATGAGGCCGAGATCAAACGGCTGCAGGGATGGCTTGTCAAGTGTGGAATTCGCAAAGTGTGGTCGCGAGAGCTGGCTTCATACGACACATCAAAAGCGAAGGTCAAACATCTCAAGGACATGCTGAAAGATGTTGGCATGGAAGGACGCTACTCACTGGAAAAGGCCAGGCAAATCAAGGAAGAACGAGAACTGCAGGCTGACCTTGAGATGATCAAGGAAGGGGAGAAGCAATGGGGCAGAGGAAGTGTCGAAGAGGAGAGCGACCGCAATCAACCTCGTCGGAGACTGAACCGGGGGCGCCAGACTCTTGCTTTTCTTGACAGCGATGGTGAGGAGACTGATTGATGTCTGTGGGAATTACCTATGACAGAAATGAACTCCAAATATCTGATCTATCAAGTATGCATTCGCCTTCAAATGGCCAATTGTATCAGTAATCAGTCTTAAGGCCCAGACATATTGATATTTATTACTTGCTTGCCATTTAGAACTACAAGCAGTTGACCATGCGAGACTATTGCTATAGCGATCATGATGGCGGCCTTAGGCGTCTAGTGGTGTCCACAATAATGAGGGCCAATGATTGGTCCGGGTGTGAGAATCTACCAGGAGCATCCATCCGGGACCATCAACTGCGATCAACGACGATTACTATAAACAATAGAATCGCGAGGAAAGCTTAAGATTGAGATTAATTAAGCTGGTCCTTCAAATGCAGACCTTATCTCTATCATGAACACTCCTTTTCTTTTGCAAATTTGTAATTGATGGTCGGAACCTCTAGTACTCGAATACTTTGATGATCTCATCTCGCATTGAAGATGAGGACACCTCACTCCGACAATCCTATATCCTGAGCTAGCTTGGTTGCTTCATCATGTCGGCTGTCCAACGTGAGCAAAGGGCTTCTGGATTTCACAAACATGATTACACTTCCTATAGCAAAGGAGAATCTAGCATGCATCAGACAGATGCAACCGCGAGACCAGGAAGCTCGTCGGCTTCAGAGAATCCGCACATCGCAAATACATATCCTCGAGATTGGGGATATGACGGCAACATTGAGGTTGTAAAACCGTACGCTATTGAGGAGCCCGAGGACGAAGCGCCCAAGGTCATTTCCCGACTCACTCTCTCAGAACCTCCAAGTGAAGCAGAATTATGGCAAGGGGAATTGGTAGAGTCAATGGAAGATCTCCACTGCGACTCAGACCACAATGGCATCGCGTATCACCCAAATCACAGAAGAGGCAAGAAGAGAAAATCACCTACTTTTGCACCAGGGAGTTCCGGTTCGGTTCGCCGGGAAACCTTCAAAGCAGCCTCTGAGATGCAAGATGAAGGGCCCAGCCTGAGCCCGAAAAGGCTTCATCGACGAAGCAAGCGCTCAAGGAAAGAGCTGCGAGCTTCCTGGAGCATTTTTTCGGAACGAGGCGTCGATAGGGAGGCCGAATCATCTTCTAGCTTCAGTCCAAGTGCTATGGTCAGAGATGCTAGCGAAACAAGTCCGACCAACAACGCCGACGCAACGGATGAGATGGATATCGAATGAGTTTTACATCATGGTTTTATTCCGCGAATTTCTCATTATTGGAACCGTTGTTACACTGCGTTGCATCCTGTGCTTGGACATCGATCTATACGTCACGTGATACGTTGCAATGCTTGTCTGGCGCTAGGCCCAAAGAGGCATCTATTCTCTATGACGTCAGCCAGCTCTCATGGCGGTCATTCACTCCGAACGGCCAACTGCTGTTTCTCAACTTGGCTCCAATTCTTTTCTTTTCTTCCTGCTTGGAGGTCCCAGCTCGCATGCAGACCTGTCGCATCAACTTCTTCCGTATCGATTCTGACCCAGTCGCCACTCGTCCTGTCCTGGACCAACCACTGTCAAGACAATGGCCACTAGAACGTCGTCGCGACAGGCTGCCCAGAAAGCGAAGGAGGCTATCACGAACATCAGTGACACCAAACCCAAGAAGACTGCTGGCGCAAAACGCAAAGGAGCGGCCGAGAAAGACTCGAAGCCCAAGCGGGGAAAGAAAGTCGAACATGAGCCAAAGCACGAGGAAGAACAGCCAGATGGCGAGCCGCAGAGGAAGGCACAACCACATCCAGAGCCAGAGCCAGAATCAGAGTCAGAAAAGAAGGAGAATGTATCTGAGGAGGCCGTTCCTGGACCCGGCGAAAAGGACGAAAAAGAAGAGCAGGAGAAAGCCAGCAGACGTGAGTTCAAATCCGGGAACGTATACAGCCTGATCACCGCTGATAGCAATCAGGTCTTAGCGGGCAGCGTGAAGAGCAGGTAGAGAAGACAAAGGAAGAGCATAAAGAAGAAGTTAAGGAAGAGGGCGCTCAAGAGGCCACTGAGAAAAAAGAGCCACAGGGCCAGGAGGACGCGACCAAAGGTCAACCACACCATTTCTCAAAAAACAATTAAAACACTGACATGCAATATCTGCAGAGCCTGAGGAGATATCTGCTGAACAAAACGCCCAGGATGGGGTCGAGGCCGGAGTTAGAAAGTCGCAAGAACGGGAAGACATTGTACCTTCCAATATCCTTGAAAAGGGCATCATCTACTTCTTTTTCCGTCCCCGAGTCAACGTTTCGGATCCACACAGTGTGAAAGATATTGCTCGGAGCTTCTTTGTTCTACGCCCGACACCTCTGGGTGCGGTGCTCGATGCCAATCAAGGCACCGTGGATACTGACGCGCAATGCCGGTTAATGATTCTCCCCAAGAAGAAGTTCCCCATGTCAGGCAGGGAGAGAGATATGGGCTTTGTGGAAAAAGCAGGAATATCGATGAAGGAGCTGCACGACAGCTTCATGGTCGGCGGGACATATGAAACTACAACTCGAGGCGAACGTACGATCCAAGAAGCAAAGCCATACGCGGAGGGAGTCTACGCGATTACATCAACCAAGCGCGCATCTCATCTGGTGTACATTTTGACCATTCCCGAAGAATTGGGATCGCTTCAGGAGGATTTCGGTCTTCATTCTCGTGGCAGTTGGATCCTTCAATCGAAGAGTCCTAAATATCCTGGCCCAGCCTACGCACAGCTACCCAAAGACCCGGAGTACCCAGATAGGTGAGTCTCCAGTGCGGAAAACCAACTGGGTTTCTGCGACGATGATTAACTGCTTGAGTAGTGTGCTCGAGAAATTCGGAGACTATCGATGGGTGCCTTTGGAACCTGAATTTATTGACTATCCCAATGCGCAATTTCTTATGATTGGCGAAGCACACGACGGCCTTGGGAAGGCAGCAACAGCTGAACCCGGCAGTAAGCAGCCGCACGAGGAGCAGCCCGGCGAAGAACTGGAGAAGCTGGAAAAAGAGAACGAGGAGAGAGTGGAAGCTTTGCGAGGTCAGTCCTTCTTAGTGATGATTCGTCTGCCGAGGCGCTAATTCCTTCAAGGTGATGAGACCGTCTATGAGGACCTGGGGTTGCATGCAAAGAACTATCCCAAAGTGCCCACGACATGGGGCAACAAATAAGTTTCATGAAGTATGCATCAAATGGTGTAGAATAATCATAGTTCGAGGCTGTTTTTGCCTGTTGTGCATGCCGAAGTCGAGTCGATAGCAGGTACAAAATGCATGGCTGGGCGAGAAGCCGGTTGCACTGATTCTCTGTTCTGAGGGATGTAGTATCAAGTTGAACAAATACCGTGATGTAGATCCGATTCATCAAGCTCTGGACTCACTTCTTGAGAATTATTCCGACTTCGAGAGACTTGGACGCTGGCGGACGTGACAAATGAGAACATCCACTCTCACCCATTTCCTCGTCCTTTCCCTCCTGACAACCCATCATAATAATACCCGGAAATCGAATCCATCAACCAATGCATTGACTGTTCATCGTGTTTATCCCCCAAATCATCCTCAGTCGATTTCCCAATCTCCCCCTCGGGTTGAACTAAGATCAGCCAAGATGATCCGCTCACCATTGGAGAACGAATGACATCTACGAGCATCGCCACGTTCAACACGTGCATACACAGCTCGTCCAGGAATCGAAGCCAAGACGATGAGAGGGATTCCTCTGGGATTTATCACTTGATCATGGCATTCAACATTTGTTTTTATGGGGAGACAGTGCCTCGTGCTAGGTCGCCCATGGGGAAGTAATATAAAGGTGCTCAGGTGTCTCAGCTGTGAGTCTGTGACCAAAGAAGTGGGGTCTGACACTCTCGACACAATTCAGACAGTGCGAAGTTCTGCAGTTTGGATTGACCTTATTTCAATCGCGACGTCATGAAGTTGATCTCATCCGTGAGCGTCCTGTCGTGGACAGCAGCCACGACAGCACTCGCTGCCAATCCTCACAAGCCCGTCAATGTTGTCAATCAGACGACGTGCGGAGGTACGAAGTATGAGTATACTGGACTTGCGGGATACGGATTCATCCCGGCCACCGCCGTTGACAAATATGGGGATACGCTGGGAGGGTTCGGAAGTGCCATCGCGATCGACCAGGAATCCTGGCGCAAGACGGGCCGTGACTCGTACTCTGGCATTATCTACTGTCTTCCTGATCGTGGCTGGTAAGATACGGTTGCGACCCAAAACGATTAATACCGGCTGACGTGATTTGAAGGAATACGAATGGAACGCTCAACTTCCAGTCGCGCATTCACAAGCTGGCCATTTCGTTCAAGCTGGCACCGGACGCATCGGCCAATGCCCCGTCCAAGCCCAACCTTCAGCTCAACTACCTGGATACGATCTTGCTGACCGGCCCCGACGGCCAGCCCACCACGGGCCTCGATGCAGACAGTACGGGCTATGCTTCGTACAACGGCTTCCCGCCTCTCCCCGCAGCCACATATGTTGGCGATGGCTTCGGGGGGCCCGGTAAGGGAGGCAAGCGCGTCACAATCGACGCGGAGGGCCTCGTCCTCGACAAGGACGGCTTCTTCTGGATCTCGGACGAGTACGGGCCCTACGTGTACAAGTTCGACAAGCGCGGCAAGATGGTGCTGGCCCTGCAGCCGCCGCAGGCCTACCTCCCCCGACGTAACGGGACCCTCAGCTTCAGCGCCGCCAGCCCGCCGCTCTACGCGCCCAACCAGCTGCCTGTGCCAGCGGACCCCACGACCGGCCGCAACAACAACCAGGGCTTCGAGGCACTGACACTCTCCCGCGACGGCAAGACGCTGTACACGATGATCCAGTCCTCGCTAAACCAATAAGGCGGGCCCAAGAAGAAGAACCGGCAACCCGCGCGCCTCCTCGAGTACGACATCTCCGCCGGCACGCCCAGGTACAAGCACGAGTACGCCGTACTCCTGCCCCGCTACGACGACTACACGGAGCAAGACCCCAAGGACGCATCCAAGGTCGCCTCGCAGTCCGAGATCCACCAGCTGCCCACGGGCGACTTCCTCATTCTCGCGCGCGACTCGGGCTTCGGCCACGGCCAGCCCCAGTCCCGCTCCGTCTACCGCCACGCCGACGTCTTCTCCATCTCCAAGTCCACCACGGACCTGAAAGATACCTACGACGCCGTGAATGGGTCCATCGCTAGTGCAAAGGGCGTGCTGAACCCGGCCATCACCCCTGCCGAGTACTGCCCGTTCCTGGATTTCAATGTCGACGCAGAGCTGGCGAAGTTCGGTCTGCACAATGGAGGTGCACAGGATGCTGGTCTGCTGAATGAAAAGTGGGAGAGTCTGGCTCTTGTGCCTGTCGAGCCGAATGGCTGTCAGGATAAGCCATCGAAGAAGGCGAAGGAGTACTTCCTTTTCAGCTTCAGTGATAATGACTTTGTCACTCAGGATGGTGGGTTATCCTTGTTGAATTATTGAATGGCTTGAAGAACCCAGCTGACCTGATTAGGACATATGAACTTTGGCCGCTTCAAGTATGCCGATGAGTCGGGCTACAACCTCGACAACCAGGCGCTGGTTTTCCGGGTCAGATTCTAGATCCATACCTGCGCCCTCGTCTTGTAATTAAATGTACATAAGTCCGAAGTCGTACCCTAATCAGAATCTTTGGTGAAGGAATGGATTAAATAATACTGAGCGGATCAAGAATAAATGATTTGCAAGCCCTGAAACGCCTTCTCAGTAGGTTAGTTGCTTCCTCAATTGCTAGTAGCTAGTAGCTAGGGAAATTCTTCAAGGACATGAAATTGGTCCCCAAATTGAGATGATTTCAAAAAAAAAAAAAAAAAAAAGACAAAAGAGAAGGGTAACGAGAACCCCACCACTTGACGCCAGACATGGACATTTTAACTAAGCCACTTCAATCCTTTACAATCTTGATCGCGCGGAGGATGTCGTCCAGCGACCATCCGGGACCACCAGGCACTATCTCAGCCCAGACTTGCTCGGGAATCGATTCCTCGGAGCTAAGCAAGCTCCAGTTCGGGCTTGGTTCGGGTTTGATCCACTTGAAGTCTTCAACTTGGCTCCAGCGGTCCTCGTTATCCCGGCGATCATGATCTAAAGCCTAGAAAATGTGAGACAGAGATGTTACTCCACGGCTAGTGACAGGTGGTACTTACATATGCTCTGGGTATTCTGCCAAATCGGATATTGGAGCAATCTTCAATGATGGGGTTGCTAGAGCTGCTCAGATAGACATCCACATCGGTGCAGTTGTGCATGCGGAACTGTCGGCATGAGACAACAATCACACTGTTCTCAACGCCGGTTATGTGCGCCGGACCGTCAATTTGGCCGCAGATCAGCAGGCTTTCCTTGACTCCGTTGATCGTCAGACTGGCATACGGCTTGCCGTTTGCCGTTGGGATGGACATGTCAACGACACAATGATGCAAGGATGTGATGGAGGAAGGGACAGTGGCCGTCGAGCCTGACGCAGGAAGCATGATATGGAGACCGTAGTGGTCATTGACTGAAACAGATGACACTGAAGTCGCTGCAAAAGCGTTACCCTTCGGAGCATCCTCTTTAGGCTTGGTCTCCATCGTGCCCATATCCGCAGAGAAGACTGGGACGGATGTAGGGGCAATTTCCGGTCGCTGCAGCTGGACAAAGTCCGGCTCGTATAAGGGTGTGGAAGGGTAGTTGGGTGTATGACCCGCAGACGAGTTGACCGAAGAGGCACCGGGGGAGCGATAGCCGGGTATACTGCCATGACCTTGCACAACCAACTGGGCCGCATCCGATAGCGAAACAGCAGATGTATTCTTCTTGGTCTTGAACGTAAATTTGGGCCGGGGTTCGACTGCAGCACGAGTTTCGGCGAGCTTATCTTGAAGGGCTTTAATGGCCTGAGATGACGAGAATCAGCGACATGCACTTGTACACAGTTACCAATCGTCATTGTCCTACTTCTGCATAGATGCGTTGGTCGTAGGTCGGAATGTAGCTTGCTGCATCCTTCACCTCGTTGGACAACCTGGCAACTCCAGCCAGACAATGATCGGTAGCATCTGTCCGTTCTCCCCCTACAAGAGAGGTATCGGCCAGCCGATCCATCTGTTCCTGGAGGGCTACAGGACGGACGTCCATCAGCATCCAGAGTCCACTGTCTTCTCGCGCTCGCAGGGCGCGATATCACATACCTGTAATCTCATGTTGGAAGTAACGGAAAAATCGTTCTTTCAGTGGAATCTCGGACTTTAGTATAGTCTGGTTTTCGGCCTGCGACGGCCTCCGCGCGGTGTCAAAGTCAAATGCGGGCTGAGCCATGATTGCTGATGATAAGATTGCTGGGACGGTTGGCAGTGCGAAAGATGCGTGGAGGAGGTATCAAGCGTGTCCAACCCGTCCAGAAGCCGTGCAAGAAAGAGCAAGGGCCGGGGATGTAGTGATGACGTCGACTTCGGGATCGCAACGTCAAGCCAGTCTGCTCACAGAACAGTTCAACCAGTGCTTCTGATGGTCTTTGGCGCACTGGATACAATAAGAAGGATATAAGAGTGCAGAGAAACGGGGGTCAGAGGCCAGGAGAGACAGCAGCTAAACTAGAGTATTAGCTGGAGGAGTCTGCAACATGAAGCCAATGGCATGAGAGGGGCAAGTGAGCTGTCGCATGCTTTGCTCGGATTGTCCGATGCAGAGCCGATCACCTGACAGTCCGACAGACCTGTCAAATGACGAGCGAGAATGACATACCGGAAATTGCTACCTCTCTCTATGATTCAGACATTGAACCGATGGATCTTCTGATGCGCCCTAATAATGGTGACGTCGATCATCGCCAGTCCTCGGCTGTCGGCGAATTTCATGTTCCGAAGAAAGACCCACAATCTAACCTGCTTTGGTATAGCGCGGTGATTCCCCCATCGCCACCCTCTCTCCTTCCGTTTTGGGACATGCCAATTGTCACCTGTTCAGACTTCCATGCTGTCTCCTGGCACCGCCATTACTAAACCATCACTGTATTATCACTATAATGAAGAGTATCTAAGCTGTTACATGTGTGATTTGATACTATGACACCGACATTCTCGCCAAACAAAGGAGATCCTCATCCATCATGGCACTGCACTGAGGTCATCTCTAGTTTACAGAGTCATATTGCTGGAAGTTCTGCCATGTCTGGCCGTTGTACGGGGGCTTTCGTGGTGACTTCTGGTATTGGCCGCCCTGGCAGCAATGATTCCTGCCTTCGTTGCGCTGGGAAATTGATGATTGGGGGCCGCTCGACAATTAGACGGTCAAAGTCCGGCCGCAGGTCGTAGTCACTGACGGCCTCCACGTTTTCGCCGAGTCGGATTGTCCTCAGCAGCAGTTTGCTGTCTTTCACCCAAAAGGCTAGGATCTCACTTTCCTGCGGGAAGGCCAGTACCAAGCTGCCAGGTCTGAACGCCGCAGAGCTTATCTTGGTGCCGCCCTTTTTCAGCGGGTAGGGAGTGAGGATCGCATTGGCTTTGCATTCGCACATGTATAGCTCATTCATCCCGTTTGCCACGGCAAATCGTGTTCCTGATGGCGATTGTGCTGCATGAACAATCCTGATGCTGAGCGGATCGCTAACGATGTTAGGATCAGCCAGAGAGACCAGCATGGGATACTCCCTTCCAAGAAAGGCCGTGAATACGACAGCGAAATGAAAGCTGTCATAGAATACGCCTGTAAGGTCTCCATCACTAGTCGTCCACTGCAGGACTTAGTATCTCGTTGTCACTGTAATTGACCGAGGGCCCACTCACTGATGGAAGTTTGAACAGCCTGGACTTGTCCGAAGTGATATTCCATTGCCCAGCATTCCAGCCCCAGACATCGACATGAGCGTAGTGGTCGCCCATGTGAGTTGCTATAACCAGATGCTTCTCATCGACTGAAAACTGGACTTTGCGTTCAATGACTGCTCCTGGCCTGGCTGTTCTGCGTTCTGGTTCTCCCTCGCTGGAATAATTGGTCGTATCGGCCACTGGAGCTAGATATTCTCCAAGCGTTGGGTATTGATCCAACTGGTCCCCTACTGGGACCCGCCGAATGGTTCCTGTGCCAAGTTCATAAACCCGTACTTGATCCCTGATAGTAAAGGCGATAAATCTGTCGTTACGAGACATGGCCATGCTTATGGATGGTATCGACTGACTCTGAAGTCCGTTTTCAATTTTTAGATATGCATCAGCAATAGTACTCGTATTTTCGAATATCAGCAGCTCGAGATGCTATACTTCAGTTAGCATGTTCCCACTTCAGTTCACCACACTGAGATGGAAATACCTGTCCAACTAGAGCAATCACAGCACAACGCCTGTCTCCCGCCACTGCATACTGGACTCCCGAGACATCATATCGGTGACCTTTAATTTTATGGCTTTCTCCGCCTGTGAGATCGAACCGCATTACCCAACCGCTGCTAGCGCCCCAGAACAAAAGAGTCCGTCCTGTTGTCGAGAAACAGAATTTTGGCTGTCGAGGTAGTCGCTGCTTGGTTGACGTTTTTCGAAACAAGGAGGTTCCGCTCGTAAACGGTATCTTCACGCTCTTCAGATCCAGGGAGAGAGACCGTGTGGCTTGCTTTTCACGTAGATGGTCGAAGGACGGGGGCGTCGACAGTGGACTGAGGAGATCTGAGGCGGAGGTGCTTTGGGGCTTCGTGAAATCGGCGAACCCTAGCGTGCGTGCTATAGGTGAGACGGGGCTCCTGGGGAATTCGCCGGGATCTAAACGAGTTGAAGAGTGGCTGGTTGAATGACTGATTGAGCTAGACTGGGATGTTGTATCCCTAGAAGTCGAGTCGGGAATAGAGTGGCGTTTGTTGTAGTCCGAGTCTGACATATCTTGTAACGCATGCGAAATCTGTTCAAGAGGCTTGATCATGCGAGCGTGCCGAATACGAATATTTCCTGTACACAATGGGCAAGAGATATTCATGGAAAGAAACTCTGGGCTTTCTTGCAATTGCTGGAGGAATGTCAATCATCAGGGAACTCTGCGGTAAAAGGGGTCCCACCTCATAGAGCTTGCTGTCGTGACTGCCAAGTTGCTCCTCAAGCAAAGCCTTAGGAACCATGTGGACCGCAGGACAGTCAACAGCATAGAGCACGCTGGACTGCCTGGCTCCTCTTTGGGTATAAACCCCTGCTTCTGGTAATGATGAGTTTTGAAGCCATTGTGTGAGATGGCGCTGATAATCTTGAGAAAAGGACTCAAGTTCTCCATTGCAGTCCCACATTTGCACCCGCCGATTGATGAGCCATCTGACTAGAAGTCCCAAAGAATCCTCCAGCACGCCTCTAATGCGCGACAGATGTGTCCAGCTGTCCCTGATCCTTCGGGTCTGTAGTGGCGGCTGTCCCTCGGCGTTCTGGCTCAAGATCAGAGTCGCAAAGACCTGGAGAGCAGGAGCCGTAAGTTCGTCATCAAATGCTGCCATTACGGTCCTGACCAGCCTCCTTCGGGTTTCTTGGGCTTGGGCAAACGCTTCTTCAATCTTGTTGGATGCAGGGCTGGAGTATCCTTGCTCCTGGGAAATGCGACGGCGATCGACATGGCACTGGACGAGAGCAAATTCGGCGGCATTCACGATATCGAATAGAGTGCAAAACGAGGTCAGATGGTCTGTCTTATTCCCGACAATGCCAGTCAGAAGATCTGGAATGAGAGTGTCCGGAGCTATTGAGAAGGGATACTATCACCTCATCGGTCAACTGTATAAAACACACGTGACGCATGGGTACACTCACCAGGCCGGATGCAAACGTTGGAAGAAATGTGTGATTAGAAGCCAGTAACGAGCTCTGCGTTTGTGACAGCTCCGGAGAGCCAATCTGATCAATAGCTTTCGGTAACAGATCACTGATCAGATAACTCTCTACGCTAAACAAATCAGGATGATGCCATGCAGCTCTCATCGCCCGCTCCAGATTGAATTTCAGGTCTGAAGGGATAGCCTCTCCACGTAGAAGAAGTAAGCGGATTCCACCAAGGAGCACCTGGGCGATGAAGTGTCGATGACGAACAAATTCAGGAGGTACAGGAGTGTTTGACGGAAACAAGTCGGATTTGACCCGGATAAGGTACATCAAGGTCGAGAAAATCGCTTCTGAAGGTAAAAGATATGGCAGGAAATACGGGTGACAGTCATGCACATTGGTCAGACCCTGCAGATGGGCTCGCTGGAGATCAAAGATGGCTTTGAACCAGAACACTGGCCGTATGAGTGGACCAATACGAGAGACATCATCCTGCAGCTGGAACACGGCCAGCTCTGCCGCATGTTCTCCGATGATCTCTCGCAAAATGTTGCCTACATCACGACGACCGAGTTGCTCCCATACAGCTGCCACGAGCGGATGCGACATGGAGAAGGCGGGGTTGACAGCTTTGCGACCATACGCGCCAGTTGATATCTCACAATCACGGCGTGTTCATCCACGATGATCAGATCCCATGAGGGACAAGAACGGTTTGTCGAATATCGATGAGTGCTGCAAGGAGGTTTTCAAATGATGGATTTGGAGAAGATATCATTGCTCGAGATCTGGCCTGGTGACTAAAGGCAAACGGGGAGCCACCGTCATACTCTGAAAGGTTTGGACTGGAGGGGGGAGGTTCTGCTGCAGCTCCTTCGCTCCCGCTGATGCGAGGCTGCGTTGGTGTCTTACATTGCTGATACTGCTCGACCAGTCATAATCTCTGCGTGGAGAGCTGAGGAATCTTGTGCATCTTGAAGCTAGGCCAACCATAATGATTCCATTCTCTTTTCAACTGAGTTTTGACGGTGTTGCCGAACATGCGATATTTCTCCGAACTAGTCGATTGCCAATCTTCAAGGATGTTGGTTGAAGTGACACAGAGACTGGCTGCTAAGAAGCAAATGGTCTACCTGCCGTCTGCAAGTCAGCAAGGGGGGAAAACAATCACATTAACAAGTCAAGCAATCTGACAGATGGGATAAGGCGTCTTCAGAAGTTGATGCTATCTTCCAGCCTCAGATACCTTAGAAAACCTCGCTTAATCAATGGCTTAGGTAACCCGTCTGGGTGCCTCCTACAAGCCTGATGTGCATCTCAACGCTCAGAGTAGTGGGAGACGCTTATCTGTCTATGGATGATGATTTGAGAGTTTGTGTTCCATATAGGCCGCGTTTTGAGATGGATCAATCATTCCTCCTTGTCATATGGATTATATACTTGGGTAGATACCAAGCTATTCAGCCTCAACAATTAATTTGATCGCTAGTCAAGAACATCCTACATATTACGCTCACTCATCTTGGAAACAAACCAACCGGTTAGGAAATTATTTTCTTACCTCTCACCCCTGGAACTTCCTCTGCTCCAAAGCACGGCCCCTCTCCCTATTCACTCCTTGCCTATCGGTCAAAAAGCCGCTGCAGATCGAATCTCACCTCTTCTAACGGATAAAATCTTCTCGATAGGTCCAAAACTCTACCCGGCCTATTTTCCTCCCAGGTCATGAGTCGTATTTCACAGCGCTCACGTTCTCTCCAAGGTTCGTCGAAAAGCAGTCTGTTTTCAACATCCGACTGCATATCATGGCGCGCGAAGGTTTTGGACAGCAGTTTCCAACAAATATAAAGCTGATGAAAAAAATGAGAAAGATTTGAACATGATTATTCCAGACTTCCACCAATGTTAAGACAGGATATCGGGATAGACGGAAAACAGGAACCCACAAGTTCGCAACTATCGGGTGATTGTCAAGTTCCTAATTGGATTAGTATTTTCGGCCAAGTGGTGAAGTATGCCATGAACCATGAACTATGAACCATGAGGGTGATGGTGAATCCCTAAGTAAGGTAAGACATGCATGCATTTGACAGTTAATAACTTGACAGAAGGTGGAGTTCCCGCGATATCTAAGCCTTAAGAGGCAGACTTGATAGGCACTAGTGAAAAGTTCTAGCCCAAGATTGACCTCCTTTAGCCTCTGATATCGATGCGTTGAGCCGGAGTGAGCCGTGGATGCCTTAAAGGAAGAGCATTATGGGGAGACTATCTTAGGGTTCTCGGGAGGGTTCAACCTTAATGAAAACTAGAGCATACAATATCTACAGGATATATAGATTGTAAGACTCTTATCCATAATATGAGGTTGAAACGGCTTTATTACTGGCGACTACCTCACTGAGGGGAGTTTACATGCATTAGAGAGTTTCTCGGGGTTGGTTCTCAATCTAGTAGTTAATCTGCGATCCTGGATGACTCTCCCTCAAGACAGCCAAGAGTATTTGATAAAGAACTTCATAGGACCAAGACAGAAGAGCCTACGTGACCCCCCTTTCTATTTGCTATCTTTGATTTCATGAGAGATGATCTCTTTGTGCAATATTTTGCAGTGGTACTTTCGCATTCCGCCTTGTAGTCTATGATTGGCTATAGTGTTTGTTGCATGCGTTTGCCCAAAGTGGTCTTCTATAGGACTCCCTCAATAGAGTCGAGTAGAGCATTCTGAGGAGGGCAGTTGAATCTGGAGCGTCTCAGGATGCACCCTCCCCCTTTCGGCTATATATAGCTCTTTTTTTTCCTTCTTCTGATAATCTCATTCACAACTAGACACAAAGAAGATTCATCTGTGTACAGAGTACAAAGACAAGCTTTTACTCTGTGTGCCTCTTCTAATACATGGTCCCAAGACATAATGCACCTGCCGAAGCCATCAAGTATCTGATAACTTGAGGGAAATCATCGTACAGAGAGCAGCTGCGCACCAGAAAGCGAGGAAGCGCTCTTCAGCCATATCAACGTGCATCTCGTACCTTTTTTTCGCAGTTGCGAGCACGTACTTCAACGCCGTCGTAATGTTTTCAGTTACATCCCTGGCATTGATACTCTCCATTTGGATAGCCTTCTTTCGTCTGCAAGCCACAGCACTATCCAGCTATGCGGTCGTCGAGCATTTGCACGATGTGCCTGAAAACTGGGTAAAGCGCAACGCAGCACCAGGCTCTGAACTGGTGAGATTTCGACTCGCAATGGAACAGATCAAAACAGCCGAATTCGAGAAGAGAGTCATCGATATGTCAACGCCAGGACACCGAAGCTATGGACATCACATGAATCGAGATGAGCTCAAGGAGTTCTTGCGTCCTTCTGAGCAGACACTCGACAACGTTCTCGCATGGCTGAAAGCAGAAAGTGTATCTGCGAATTCAATTGAAAATCATGGAAACTGGGTGACTTTTACGGTCCCGGTGTCACACGCGGAACAAATGCTGAAAACGCGCTTCTATACCTTTCAGCACAAAGAGACGGGGGCTATGGTCATCAGAACACTCGAATACTCTGTTCCCAAGCAGATTCACTCGTCCATCCAGACGATCCAGCCAACAATCCGCTTTGGACGACCGATACGTCATGGAGAGCCGTCGCTTTTTGAGGGGACGCTCGCCACTCAGAAAGACCTGTCTGCGGATTGCTCAGAAGTGATTACCCCGAGTTGTCTTCGTCAGCTGTATGGGATTCCCGTCGCGGATGTCAAACCCGACACTCGTAACAAGCTGGGAGTATCTGGCTTTCTAGACCAGTACGCGCGTTACAGTGATTTCGAGGAATTTATGCGTAGATTTGCACCCAACCGAACGGGATTCAATTTCAGCGTGGTCTCGATAAATGGTGGAGTTAACCTGCAAGATTCGTACTTGGGTAGTACCGAGGCGAGCCTGGACACACAGTACGCCTATTCTTTGGCATACAGCACGCCAGGAACATTCTATACAACACGAGGCCATGGACCGGAGGTGTCTGAGGGAGGACGGTTGAAAACACGTGATACAAATACCGAGCCTTATCTTGATCAACTGCATTACCTTCTTAGCCTTCCAGACGAGGAATTACCCGCCGTTCTTTCGACCTCGTATGGCGAGGACGAACAAACCGTTCCGGAATCATTTGCGAATGCGACCTGCAATCTTTTTGCTCAACTTGGGGCGCGCGGGGTATCTGTAATCTTCAGTAGCGGTGATTCTGGTGTCGGATCCCCATGCGTCACCAACGACGGAACCAAGAGAGCAAGGTTCTTGCCTGTCTTTCCCGCAACCTGCCCCTTTGTCACCGCGGTTGGCGGCACACATCAGATCAACCCTGAGAAAGCCATTGCCTTCTCAGGTGGAGGGTTTTCGGATCGGTTTGCACGCCCGTCGTATCAGGATACGGCTGTCCAGAGCTACCTTGACAAGCTTGGGGAAAGATGGAATGGCCTCTATAATCCACGCGGAAGAGCAATACCCGACGTTGCTGCTCAGGCCTTCAACTTTCTCATCATCGATCATGGGAAAATGATGAAGATAGGCGGCACAAGGTTCGTCTTTCAGACAGATATCACCGCACAAGATGTTGGATACTGACTTTCTCTGGCTATAGTGCTTCAGCGCCCGTATTTGCGGCTATAATCTCAAGACTCAACGGGGCGCGTCTTGAGGGAAACAGGCCCAGGCTAGGCTTTTTAAATCCCTGGCTCTATTCGCTAAATCAAGGATTCACAGACATCGTTGATGGAGGTTCAACAGGTTGTTATACCGCAGGCAGGAAACAGTTGGTACCATATGCTGGTTGGAATGCCACATTAGGGTGGGATCCAGTCACTGGACTTGGGACACCGCAGTATCAGACACTGGTCAAAATTGTGACAGATAATTAAGAATTTCGCACATATGTTTGTTTGAATTCGAATGTGTTTTATTGAAAGATTGCTTAGGTTCAAGCATCTTGAAGTGTGTTGGAGCTGTATACTACCAGAGAAATGTCTGGAGCAGGATACGTCAATTCACGTGACACAATTGACCGCCCGCCAAGACCATCACTTGGAGAAGCTCTTGGGAGCTGACAACAACGTCAACCATCCACTGGATTCCATCTGTATCTCCATCACGACTACTTACTTGCCTTCCCGCATTACACGGTACTTTTTTTTTTCTGCGCTCTAGAACATATCTCCCATAGAAGACCAACAAGGCATAAGACACCATCATCATGGCAAACAGCACGGAACTTCGGTCCATTATCTCAGAGCTTCACAATGCTCTCAACCGGAAGCAGCTCGATGCCGCCAACAACCTCCTCAGCCGCGCAAAGCGAACCCTTCTCCTTCAGAATGCCCTCATTCCCACATCTACCACGTCGCCCGAGCTTATTGCTCTAGCCCGTGAAGTCCTCGAACTGGGAGCCCTTGCCTCTATCAGACAAACCGACGCCCAAGGCTTCACACGATACTATCAGCAGCTGCAGCCTTTCTACGACCTTGAGAGGGACAGCACAACTTCGTCAAAGATCGACACGAGGACGAGTCAGCGCAGCAAGATCACAGGGCTGTACCTGATGCTCCTGTTGAGCATGGGTGACAGCACTACGTTCCACACCGTTTTGGAGGGTCTGGTCGAGGAGGCGAGTCTGCAGGGCAAGCGCGTGGAGGATGACCCGTTTATCAAATATCCTGTTGATCTGGAGAGGAGCTTGATGGAAGGAAGTTACGACAAGGTGTGGAAGGAGACCAACTCGGAGAGAGTGCCTTCGGAGGACTTTGCTCTATTTTCTAACGTATGCTTATCCGTGCTTTTCTTGTGGCTTGGCCTTTTGGTTTCTGTCGGACTGTGACTAATGGTTTACAATCAACAGGTTCTTGTCGGTACCATCCGCAGTGAGATCGCTGACTGTTCTGAGAAGGCGTACCCTTCACTCCCCATTTCCAACGCCAAGAACCTTCTCTTCCTCGACTCCGAGGGCGCAGTCATCGAGTTTGCGCAGCAGCGGGGATGGGTTCTCCGTGACGGACGGATATACTTCCCAGTTGAACCCGAGGCCGCGGCACGGTCCGAGAAGGATATTCTGGTAGCAAGCAGCACAGTCATCGAGAACACGATAGGCTATGCTCGCGAATTGGAGACGATCGTCTAATAGATCGATAGGATCTATGCGATGAATTTCATTTAATTTTGGCCTTTCTCTCGGATTTCGGATGGGGTTGTAATTCTATACCTCTCGCTGTGCATCATGAATTCTGTTCAAGCGTTATTATCTCATGACAAATCAATCATGCTACTACCCCTTCCCCGGGGCCCTGATTATTTCTCCTCTGACTTAGGTCAACTCTCTATAGATCCACCTTCCATATGCACACTCTTCGATCGTAAAAGCTACTAGATACACAAACCAACTCCGATATATCCCTGCCTTCCAGATCATACCCACCGTCCGCTTTCCACACATCAGAGGCATAATTCATGCTCTCATGCTCCGTAAACTGGGCCAAAACATCAATGTTCCAGCTAGAGTCTGCATCGGCCCCAGTTGGTTGACAGGTCACCCTCACCACCCTTGTCCCAGCATGCATACAACTCGCAAGCACCAAAAACCTCCACTCCTCGGCGCCCTCCGGAGATACGGCCTGCTCAGTCTTGAGCATCTGCAACCGCCAGACTCCGCCGCCCAGACACACCTCAGCAAGTACCTGGCCCCGGCGCGTGGCGTGATACACTCTCAGATATTCATCGTAGCTACCGGTAAGCAGCAGCGGAGCGCCCTCGCTAAGCGGAAGAGGTAGGGGAAGGATGCTCGTTACCCCCGCTGTGTGATGGCGCGCGCGGTCATCGTAGTCAAGCAAGAGAGATGGCAACAGTTCCTGATCCTCCTCTGCCGATGCTTCGCCGTTGCCAAACTGCCTGGTGTGCAGCGATCCGAAGTCGTTGCCTGTGAACATATAGGGAAGGCTGGCATTTTTGCTTCCCGCTGATGGGTCTGAGAGTGAAGCCAGAGCCACGAACCAGACCTCAATCTGCTGGGTGGCTTCAAAGGCGCCTAGGTCGGTGACGTTGGATTGCTCTGACAGGTCTGCCTGGTTGGCAGTGAGGGCGGGACGAGTGCCAAAGACGCTTGTTCTGCCGTCTGAGAATGTCACGGCGAAGCCGTCTTGATGGTCCCGTTGGAACCATTTCGCTGGTGCCCAGGCCAAGAATAGTGCCGGGATAGAAGGGTCCTCGTGCACAGGAAGGGTCCATAGATGGGTGAGGGTGAATTGGGGATCTGGGGAGAGGCGGAAGAGGGCCACGGAGGCGGCACTTGTGGCAATAGCGAGGATGCTTGGATCTCTTGGATGGAAATGGAGATCAAAGACGGCATATGGGAGGGGTTCTCTCTGCAGGAGAGAACTGATAATAGCCGTGCAGGGTCAGCCTGGGACCTTTTGAAGCGGCATGGCAAGAAAGCTCTCACAGTTCATTCTTCACGGGGTCGATGGTCCACAGTTGAAGGCTCCCCGTCTTCGTCTGGTGGACCGTTCCATCGTCATCCTTGTTCTCGGATAGCAAGTATGTGCCTATGATGAAGTGATTTGGAGCTGCAGGGCAGAATTGGAGGCAGCTTGGTGGTTGGTCGAGGAAGATAGTGGCTGCAGACTTGGGATGCTGAATACTTGGTGTTGACATCGTGAGTCGGTGGTGCAGTTTTTTTCCTTTTACTTCGTATGTCTCTGCGGCTTTATTTCCTCATGTAGTTCCTATCGTCCGTCCAGAATCTTGATTGTCTGTGTTCTTTCGCTCTTCAAAGTCCATCACGATATTTGCTCCAGACGCAGTGTGGGCGGTGAAAATACCACTTTGTTGATATTCTTCAATTCATCATCATCATCTTATCTCTTCTCTATCTCGCTCTACATCCGCCTCATCTCCCCTAGTATATAGAATTAAAATCACTCATGATGATGACCTCCTACTAGGATCAAATAGACATGTTATGATTGTCGACAGACACTTACAGCCCTGTTCAACCTGCCCCGCATCGCTGGCTTGATTGATAATCAGTCGACGGTCAGACTCGGTCATCGTCATCTTTCAGCGCTGTAGTTAAATAAGCTCATCGATTTCCTCAAGCGTAACTTCGCGTCAGGATCAACTAGTTAATCTATATAAGAAACTCATTCGTACTTTGTGATTCCACAGCCATGTCTATCCCATACAGCAAGCTTCCTCCCTCTGCAAAGATCTCCCCGGATCCATTCCATGTAGACATTCCGGATGAGAACATCTCCGAATTCAAAGCGCTGGTGAAGTTGTCTAAGCTTGCACCACCTACGTACGAAGACTTGCAACAGGATCGTCGATATGGAGTTACATCAGACTGGCTGAACACCATGCGAGAGAAGTGGTTGAATAGCTATGACTGGTATATCTTTGGATGTTTCTTCCTCTCCTCGATGCTGCTTAACATATATGCAGGAGAGAGACTGAAACTCGGATCAATGGCTTTCCTCAGTTCACAACCAAGATTGAGGATGTCACACTGCATTTCGCAGCCTTGTTCTCCGAGAAGGCAGACGCGATTCCCGTGATTCTGCTTCACGGATGGCCTGGTGAAACTAGAAACGTGAAGCTTTGACTGGTAGCATTATGCTGACCCTTGGACTATAGGAAGTTTCCTTGAGTTTCTCCCTATTCTCAAGTTGTTCAAGGAGGAATACGCTCCCGACACATTGCCTTTCCATTTGATTGTTCCATCACTCCCTGGCTATGGATTCTCCTCCGGTCCTCCCTTGGACAGAGAATACACGAGTTTTGACGTTGCCCGCGTATTCGATCAATTGATGAAAGGTCTCGGATTTGAAGCCGGTTATGTAACCCAAGGAGGAGACATTGGAAGCCGGTTGTCGAGGGTGCTTGCCGTGGAGTTTGAAAGCTGCAAAGGTTGATTCTCCGTCTAACGTTGGCTTTGATATATGCATGCTAACATACGAAAGCGGCCCACCGTGAGTTTGAGTCTCCCGCTGCCCGTGAAATGTAACCAACCAGCGATAGTGAATTTCTGTACCATTCCACGCCCTCAGGGCTCGACAGATGAGAACCTGACCGACACTGAGAAGCGAGGAGTTGAGAGACTGGATAAGTTCATGACAACGGGTACTGCGTATGCGATTGAACAAGGCACTAGACCAAGCACTATTGGCCATATACTGTCGACCAATCCTATGGCTTTGCTGGCGTGGTAAGGCAGATAACCCGTGGCCCAAAAAAAAACTTTCTGACAGGATTCGACTAGGGTTGGTGAGAAGTTCTTGGATTGGGTGGATGATCCTCTCCCATCGGAAACGATCCTGGACTTTGTCTCGTTGTACTGGTTCACTGAGACGTATCCGCGGGCCATCTATTTCTACCGCGAGGTCGGAATCTCCCTTTCAAAATAGATCGACGGCTTGCTGACCATGTTGAACATGGATAGGACTTCCCACACAGAAGATTCACATCTGAGTTGAATGGCCGGTACTTCATCCATAAACCATTTGGGTTCTCCTATTTCCCCAAGGAACTCTACCCTGCCCCCAGGCCCTGGATAGCCACTACAGGGAACTTAGTCTTCTTTCAGGATCATCAGAAGGCATGGACCTCGATCCCTTTTAGAAGTTTCCAGCTGACCAATTTCACGCAGGGTGGCCATTTTGCGGCGCTTGAGCGGCCACAGGACCTGAAGAAAGATTTGACGGAGTTTATCGAGCAGGTTTGGCCAGGTATTGCACCCTCCAAGTAGATTATGAGTGGTCGATAGCATTCTGCTTGTACATCTCGCGTTGTGGTTTGATGAAACTGGAAGAGCTGCTTCGGTATTTGTCTCTGCAAGTCTGACAAGATTGTCGTATTTGACACTTTCACAGTCATAAATGATGGGTCCGATGATAGTATGTAATCCGATGATAGTATGTGACCGCTGATTCAATTGTATCCAACTTAATGCTGTCTTTCAAGAGGGATGATGCCACTGCTGAACGTCACATTGGGGCATACCAGACAGCCTGAGCATGGAACCGTCTCAAAGCAGCCCCTGCCTCAGATATATACTCAGAATTGATAGAACAGCGCCTAAGTGGGGGAACGGGGCCGGTCTGTGAGGAAGGATTTCGTAGCCAGATAGCGGCCGTTGGGCCCTCTGAGAAAGTGTGCTGCCAGGATGAGGTCTGGGTTTATGTTTCCACGATCCACGAAAGGCCACAGTTCTTGGTAATACCATGAATCCTAGTTTTGTTTATTCTTGCGCCTCCTCTCATCTTCCTAACTTTGGCCCACTCATTCGTTGTGCTGCCAGGCTGAAGACGGCGACCGAGGAGATAAAAAGGACGAGATTGTAGAACTGCATCAAATTCAGCACTGGACCATCGATCAGAGTTCTGTAGCGACAACATACCGCTGTCCTCGAATACTCGTTCTCCTCCGCCTCAGTTCTGGCCTCGACAAACAGGCGACGTAGGTTGGGAAGGTTGGCCTGCCGATAATGGTGAGTGACCGAACGTTTCTTCGACGATGCGATGACTTACCATAGAACTAGGTTCCTTTCTTTAGTGGATGATTTCGCTCAGTAGCCAGCGCAGACTATAGAGCAGAGAGCTAGAGATGCAAGAGTCAAATAATGCCGGGGTGGACGATGGATCGGTGGTTCCGGCATGGGGAATCCTGAGCCGCGTTTAGTGGACAGCTTTCGGTCCACCACCAGAACAGAGAAGAGAGAGTCAAGAGACACCAACTCGACCTAGACCAGGCCAGGCCAGACCATCCGCGCTTTTCATCCTCTCGGCGCTTTTTGAGGACTGTGTCTTTCATAATTCTATTTTCCCCACACCCCTGGCTGTGTGATACAAAGATTCGAACTCTTTGCCAGGCATTGCCTCATCACTTACCCCCGACTCGACCTTGTCCCTGAAGCTCTCGCCGCCAAATTCCCCGCAGTCGTCCGCCACGAAGCTCTCACGTTCCCTCCCAACGATCATAATTCTGCTTGCGGAGGCGCGGCCTGGTCGTCGCTGAAGCTGTTGTATCACCAACATGGCGATGAGTCGGATTCGGGGCGCTTTCGCGGTGCCCAGAAAAGGAGAGACGTTTGAATTGCGAGCTGGTCTTGTGTACGGAGTCTCCCCTTTTTGCTTGAGCTTGATTTGGTGAAACGTTTTGCTGACGAAAAATGATAGATCTCAGTATGCTTATGAACGGTATGTTGGATACTCCTCGCACGCTCTCGGAGGGCTTCTCGCTGAAGCCTCCCGCACCACACGAATGCGAGCGCGATCTTAACACTTTCTCAGGAAGGAGGCCATTCAGAAGACCATCATGGCGATGACACTGGGGAAGGATGTTTCCGCTCTGTTTCCCGACGTCCTCAAGAACATTGCGACCAGTGATCTCGAACAGAAGAAACTTGTTTATTTATATCTCATGTGGGAGCTCCTGATTCCAATCGGTGATTGCGCCCATCCTCTGACCCTTGATTGATCATATAAAGGAACTACGCCAAGTCTCATCCGGACCTATGCATTCTCGCCGTCAATACGTTCGTACAAGACTCCGAAGACCCCAATCCTTTGATTCGAGCATTGGCTATCAGAACAATGGGATGTATTCGAGTGGACAAGATGGTGGATTACATGGAGGAACCACTTCGCAAGACTCTCCGGGACGAGTCGCCCTATGTCCGAAAGACGGCTGCAATTTGCGTGGCGAAGCTCTTTGATCTGAATCCTTCCCTGTGCCTGGAAAACGGCTTCCTCGAGATGCTCCAAGAAATGATCGGTGATCCGAATCCCATGGTCGTCGCGAACTGCGTAACAGCCCTTTCTGAGATCCAACATGCGGCCCCCGAAACTCGAGCGTTGCAGGTGGCATCTAATACGCTGCGCAAATTGCTCATGGCTTTGAACGAATGCACGGAGTGGGGTCGGGTTACTATCTTGACAACTCTGGCGGAGTACAAGACGAGCGATGTTACGGAGTCAGAGCACATATGTGAACGGGTTGCGCCTCAATTCCAGCATGCAAACCCAAGTGTGGTCCTAGCGGCTGTTAAAGTCGTTTTTCTCCATATGAAGAACGTCAAACAGGATCTTTCGGCCAACTACTTGAAGAAAATGGCGCCCCCTCTTGGTTCGTCATGTCACCCAAACCCCCTTTTTTATGGATAGTGCGTGCTGACGACTATTAGTGACTCTGGTGTCTTCCGCCCCGGAAGTACAATATGTTGCCCTGCGGAATATCGATTTGCTCCTACAAAAGCAACCCGACATCCTTAACAAAGAATTGCGGGTCTTTTTCTGCAAGTACAATGACCCCCCCTATGTCAAGTTTCAAAAACTCGAGATTATGGTTCGGATAGCCAACGACCGCAATGTCGATCAGTTTCTGGCTGAACTAAAGGAGTACGCATTAGAAGTCGACATGGACTTCGTGCGGCGTGCAGTTCGAGCGATTGGGCAAGTTGCCATCAAGATTGAGAGTGCCTGCGAGAAGTGTGTCAACACATTATTGGATCTTATCAACACCAAGGTGAACTACGTTGTACAGGAAGCTATTGTCGTCATCAAAGACATCTTCCGGAAATACCCCGGATACGAAGGCATCATTCCTACTCTTTGCCAGTGCATTGATGAACTAGATGAGCCTAACGCTCGTGCTGCACTCATTTGGATTGTAGGTGAGTATGCAGAGAAGATCAGCAATGCTGGTGACATCCTGGCAGGGTTTGTGGAAGGGTTCAACGAGGAGTTCTCCCAGGTCAGTTCCTTGCTTGGCACTGCGACATCATGAAAATTAACAGATCCTTTTATTAGACCCAACTCCAGATCCTTACAGCGGTCGTCAAGCTGTTCCTCAAACGTCCCGAAAAGGCGCAGGGACTTGTTCAGAAAGTGCTCCAGGCGGCAACAGCGGAGAATGATAACCCTGACGTTCGGGACCGAGCCTATGTTTACTGGCGTCTGCTGTCCAACACGAGTGACCCCAATGCCACCAAAAACATCGTTCTCTCCCAAAAGCCTCCTATTGTCACTACTATTCATTCTCTACCTCCCACTCTTCTTGATCAACTCATCAGTGAGCTTTCAACCCTGGCATCTGTCTACCACAAGCCTCCAGAGCAATTCGTCGGCCAGGGCAGATTCGGCGCAGACGCCGTGCAACGGGCTGCTATCGAGTACGTGCCAATCCTTTTTCTCGCCTTTTTCTTCACCAGAGCTGACATCTTGGAACAGGGAACAAATTCAAAATGCTCGCGAGAACCCATTGGCTGCTGCAGCCGCCGCCGCGGCAGTTACAGGTGCTACGCCTCCACCACAATCCCAGAATAATATGGAAAACCTTCTGGATATCGATTTTGACGGTGGGGCACCAGCTTCGGCCCAGAAGGAACCGCCCAGTGGAATGTCTGGTCTTGAAGGTCTTGCTGGTACCCCTGTTCGGGTAGAATCTCCTGCCGTTGGTGCACCGGCTCAGCCCAGCAACAACCTGGATGACCTCCTAGGGGTGTTCGGCGACAGTGGCGGCGCCGCCGCATCAGCCAACACCGCAGCCCCTAATGGTAGTGGCAGTGGCGCCACTGCCGATCTCATGAATGGATTTGCCGGTCTTGATCTTTCGGCCAACACCACATCACCTTCCCCCGAGGCCAATCAGCAAAGAAAGACGAACGAGGACATCCTGTCACTGTTTTGATGAGTGGAGAGAGGGGCGTCCGTTTGTGTCGTTTAGAAGCCGGCCTGTGAGGCACTCAGATTAGTACTATTTACATTCTACATAGCTTCCTTTTCCACCCTCGCTTGTATCTCTCTGCAATAGGGACAAAATGCCAAGACTCAACACAGTCACCAACCATTTATGCACGTGATTTCCGGCTGCCGTTGTCGGCGGCGCTAGTGCCGGAATGGGACAAGTCCTCCCCGCGGCGCTGCGAGGGTCCAAAAGATAAGTTTGAAGTGGGATGAATCATCGCGACAGTTGGCCCCCTTCTCTGTGTTTTTGCATCCATTGAATATCTGACCTGTTCTGAAGTTGTGTACGGAGAGGTCACTGTGATTGTGTCAGACTTTCTTCTATCGCCTTCATTTCCTTCTAGCCTGCCATGTCTCACACTCTTTCGCAAAAGTATCTTAGCACGCGGGGTGCCTCTTATGGGGTATGTACCGTGCTCTGTTTCGCTCTCTCCTTGTGCTTTTGCTAATTGAATAAACTTCCAGCTGTCCTTTGAAGATGTCGTTCTCAAGGGACTGGCCTCTGATGGCGGCTTGTTCATCCCCGAAGAGATTCCGTCCCTCCCAGAGGGATGGGAGACTGAGTGGCGTGATCTGAGCTTCGAAGATCTTGCTTTCCGTATCATGTCGTTGTACATCTCATCGAGCGAAATCCCTTCCGAAGACCTCAAGGATATCATCAGACGCTCGTATGCCACGTTCCGCCACCCTGAACGCACCCCTCTGGTCGAATTGGACGGAAAGCGCAACCTGTACCTGCTCGAGCTGTTCCACGGCCCAACATTCGCCTTCAAGGATGTCGCGCTTCAATTCCTTGGCAATCTGTTCGAATATTTCCTCGTGCGCAAGAACAAGGGCAAGGAGGGTAAGGATAGACACCATCTGACTGTCATTGGCGCCACGAGTGGAGATACTGGCTCTGCCGCCATCTATGGTCTTCGCGGCAAGAAGGATGTCTCCATCTTCATTCTTTTCCCCACCGGAAGGGTGTCGCCTATCCAGCAGGCTCAGATGACAACAGTGCTGGATGCCAATGTACACAACCTGACCGTTGAAGGCTCCTTCGACGATTGCCAGGACATTGTCAAGGCGCTGTTTGCGGACCCCGATCTCAACTCCACCCACAACCTGGCCGCTGTCAACTCTATCAACTGGGCTCGTATCCTGGCTCAGATCACATACTACTTCTACTCATACTTTGCCCTGACCAAGACCCCTGGTTTCTCCAGCGACACCAAGGTGCGCTTTGTCGTGCCCTCGGGCAACTTCGGTGACATCCTTGCCGGCTGGTTCGCTAAGAGCATGGGTCTCCCCGCTGAGAAACTGGTCATCGCTACCAACGAGAACGACATTTTGGACCGCTTCTTCCGCAGCGGCGGCCAGTACACCAAGAATACCACTGAGGCCGAGGGTGTCAAGGAGACGCACAGCCCTGCCATGGACATTCTCGTCAGCAGCAACTTCGAGCGTCTTCTCTGGTTCTTGGCCTTCCAGACGGATGGCACAAGCTCCGCCGACGAGAGACGCAAGCACGCTTGCGAGAGCATCAGCGACTGGCTCACCGCGCTCAAGACCAAGGGCGGTTTCCGCGTCCCCGAGGCCGTCCTCGCCGCTGCCAAGGCCGAGTTCGAGAGCGAGCGTGTCAACAACGACGAGACCATCGCTCAGATCAAGTCCACCTACACCTCCTGCTTCCCCTCCAACCTCGGCGACGGCAGCGCCAAGAGCTCTAAGACGGGCGGCTACATCCTCGATCCCCACACCGCCGTCGGCGTGCGCGCGTCCCTGCGCTCGATCGAGCAGAACCCCGAGATCAAGCACATCTCGCTCTCCACGGCTCATCCGGCCAAGTTCGCCAGCGCCGTCGACCTGGCCCTGCGTGATGAGGATGGCTACGATTTCACCGAGGTTCTTCCCCAGGAGTTTGTTGGGCTCGAGCAGCGGGAAAGCAGAGTCACCCCTGTCCGCGCCGGCGCCGGCTGGGTGGGTGTCCGCGAAGTCGTCAAGGCGGAGGTGGAGCAGGAGCTGCAGGGCTTGCGGTGAGCAAACCATTTGTTTTTGTTTTAGATTTTGTCATGTCATATATACTCCCAATTATCTTTTCCCGGTTTCATCTCAATAAAAGTTAGGTTGAAGGAATGGATTTGACTAGCCTCATCCTTTGGTTGGAGGTTATCCTCTCCTCTCAGCGCATAGAGCATCTCTAGATCATAGAGTCATAATGAACCGAAATATCCGCCTGAGCGAGATTATGATACTGCGGCCCTGATTCCATGTTTCCATGTTTGTGGCATGTAGTGTTAGATACAACTAGATAGGACTTTCTCTGCAGTTGTGCGGATTGGAGTCCATGAAACCAGTTAGAAATTAATGCTCTGCTGGTTAACTAACTTGAACAAGACAAGGTGTATATGTCCGCCTATTTCAGTGTATGTTCAAGAGAAAGAGGATTTGGTTACAACCTATGATTATGATGATAAGGGTTCAAGGAGTATAACACATTGAAACTTCTTTTGTTATGTTATTGAAGATGACTTTTAGATAAACATTCTATTAAAAAGAAAAATGCAATGTACTCGCATCGCCCCCATTATATTACTATTACTATAGGTAGTATCTGACGAACCAAAACTCAGGCAGATCCCATGAGCCAAACGAACCGACTCTTGAATGTATTAATTGTCCAGTTTGGGAACATCAGATCACAAAAACGAGAGCAGATCAGAAGCATTCACGAAAAGTTCAAAACTATCGGAGAGAGAAACTTCCTACCTCCACGACGCCCAACTGTCTCATTGCTGAAAATGAGTAATTTAGAGCAGGAGCATGAGACCCATGACACCAGCCAGGAGGCCGGCAGCGGGCTTGAAGCTCTGGGCGGCGGAGCCAGTGAAGGGATGGGAAGATTCCGAAGGCGACACCGGCGAGACACCAGAAGGCTGAGCGGGCGAAGCAGAAGGAGCAGGGGTTTCCGGGTGGCCGGGAACCGAAGACTCACCAGGGGCGGCAGGCTGGCCAGGAGTAGAGGGGTGCTCAGGGACACCAGGCTGGCCAGGAGTCGAGGGCTGCTCAGGAACACCAGGCTGGCCAGGCACGGAAGGCTGACCAGGAGTGGAAGGCTGACCAGGAGTGGAAGGCTGTCCAGGAGTGGAAGGCTGCTCGGGAACACCAGGCTGTCCAGGAGTAGAGGGTTGTCCAGGAACGGAGGGTTGTCCAGGAGCAGAGGGCTGACCAGGAGTAGAGGGCTGACCAGGAGTAGAGGGCTGACCAGGAGTAGAGGGCTGACCAGGAGTAGAGGGCTGTCCAGGAGTAGAGGGCTGTCCAGGAGTAGAGGGCTGTCCAGGAGTAGAGGGCTGACCAGGAGTAGAGGGCTGTCCAGGAGTAGAGGGCTGTCCAGGAACGGAGGGTTGTCCAGGAGTAGATGGCTGCTCGGGAACACCAGGCTGGCCAGGCAGGGAAGGCTGACCAGGAGTAGAGGGCTGTCCAGGAGTAGAAGGCTGTCCAGGAATGGAAGGCTGTCCAGGAACGGATGGCTGGCCAGGAACAGAGGGCTGGCCAGGAACGACTGGGGGAACAGGGACCGGCTGCACTGTGGGCACTGATGGAACAGTGGAGTTGGTGAAAGGAGCAGGCTTGGGTGGGATGGGCACAACGGTGTTGTTCTGGCCAGGATTCTGGGTTGGGACAGGTGCAGGGGGGATCACAGTGGTGTTGTGGCTGGGCACACTTGTTGGGGGAACAACAATAGTACCGTTGGTGGTTCCTGGGGGCACAATGGTAGTGTTGTGACCCGGAATCTGGGTGGTCGAGTGAGGCGGGACAATAGTAGTATTGTGACCTGGGACCTGGGTGGTCGAGTGAGGGGGCACAATAGTAGTGTTGTGGCCTGGAACATAGGTACTCGAATGAGGCGGGACAGTTGTGTTGTTGTGGTGGCAAGTAGTGCACACTGTCTCTGTGGTCGTGACAGAGGTCGGGACCAGAGGTTTAGTAGTCACAACTCCAGTGGGGACAATAACCTCTGGCGGCTCAGTGTTCAGGTCACAGACAGTGGTGGTGGTCAAAGTCACAGTCTCAGTCAGTGTGATAGGGACCGTCAGAGTCTTCGTGCCAGAAGTGACAGTAGAATGGGTCACTGCGATAGACATCAGATACAAGCTGTAAAGAGATCAGTCAGGGCTAGTCTCATACCTGGGCAGGAAGTGGTCACGAAGGTGGTTGTCTTGGTGACCCAATGAGGCTCAGTAGTGGTGGTCCACTTTTCAGAGTTGCTTGGTGGCTTGATGGGGGCAGTCGGACCAACATGCGGCTTGGAGTTCTCTCGTGTTAGCATGATAGAACATGAAGGGCAAGCTTGCGCCAAAAGGCTTACCTGGTCATGGCTCCCGGTCCCAATGACCCCTGCAAAAGCTGGGCCAGCAAAAGCCACGAGTGCAACACCGGCCTTGACCATTTTGGTGTTTTTCTTTTGTATCTTTTTGAGACAGCAGTTTCTAAACAGCACTGAACGAAAACCAGAAGGAAGGAAGAAGGGAAACGAAGGAAGAAGCGAGCGACCTTTCTTCAGTGGTGAGGTAAAAGAAAAAAGTGAAGAATCAGAGAATACTCGCAGGAGAGAGTCGACTTTATATCTTGAGGATGGAGGCACTTACCGTTTTCATGAGATCAATCAATCATGATAATGGTAGCACCTTTGTACCCATGGTCAACGATGATGACAATCTATCTCTGATTTGGAGTGGTGCGAATATGAATTGCCTGGGAACTGTGAGGAGACATGGGCGACGATTGACTCTCGACCATGGGTAACAGAGGTACCGATGTAATGTTATCGACAGGGACGAGTAGATAGGAGCCATGGTTTGTCAAAATCACAACATCCAGTGTGACATTTCAGAGTTTCATTCGGGTGAGAAACCTGGATATCCACTCCACGCTGCGAAAGACTGGGGCCTCATGAGGAGACTTCTTTGAAGTTCAGCCACCAGCAATGATGGCGTCACGAGTATAGCGGAGAGATGAAGGTAACATAGCCCCAGAATTGCGAAGTGGAGAATCAAACATCCCAAGGCACATAGGCCTATCAATGCAGTCTTTTTAAGAAATCATGAGAATCTGAATGAAGAAAGCCTCGCAGCGGTAAGCCGTTGTTTTCATGACTTCATGGCTTTCATGAACACATGTAAGTGCTATGGCATAATCCGTCATCCGGCCATGCGTTCTACAAAGGGTGAGCTCTAATCAGGCCAGTCTTCTGAAGACAAATGCAAAGGCATAGATGATTTGGTATCTCGGCCGGTGGCGCTATTGACAGACTCCAAGCTTGGGACGATCGGACCACGCTTGTAACTAAAGCTGTCCTGGAATGTGGAGACCTGATAGGTACTCCTCTGCAACCCCTGTTGTAGCTTGATGAGAGAATTAGTAAGAAAGAAGCGAAAGGTACTGAAGTCAAATGAGTAACATTGGCCGAGGCCCACGGTCATGCTATAGGCAGTAGACCTTCGGATACGCGATGGTTCTCATATGTTGGAAAGAGTTCCTGTGATCGAATACCGACTAGTAGCCCCAAGCACCGTAGATTCAGACTTTCATCAGGCCCATGCTCGAAGTGACGCGTATCAGACCCTGAATAAATCGAGCGGCAGCCAATGGATCATAGCAACAGCGATTCAAGGAACAAAGTACGCTGAGAATTAGTGGAGCTCTTGGTGCATTGGAAGAGGATCCATTCCACCACGCCGAGAGAATCAGGGCAAATGTAGGCATCATTCAAACTGTGGGACAGAGGAGCGAAGGAGAGGAAAACTTTGACAGTCTCCAGGTTGAGCCGAGCTTGAAAATGCTGCAAGCGGAAGTAGGAAAGGGGAGACAGAGGTTGTGCCTGACGAGTCTGCAGTTGCATGGGAAGGTGTCAGGACAGTCGGCCGTTTGCGGCTGATCTATACAATATATGATAACTTGATAAGGCTACGGCACGTGCAAATTTCTTATCGAGATCATATCTTATCTATTGGCGATTAGGGCTAGGGCTGATATCGGTCACCCGGAGGTCCAGCGCTCCATTGGTATCACGCGTTCCAGACGCGTCTCGCGTTAATGGATTGAGACCGCAAGGCAGAGGAATCAGCACTCACCGACATACTATTATCACCACAAACACCCAAGATGCCACACTCGGAATCTCCGCAAGGGTCTCCCGCTCGCGACCATGATGAGGAGATTCTTCCCGATGCCCCTACGGCAGAGGTATCTACAGAAGACAAGGTACCGGCCGCGCGCGAGAACCAGACAACTGGAGTGCGGCTGGAGGACATGTTCAGTGATTCAGAAGATGATGAAGAATTCCCAACATCCAGCGCTCCGAACCCGAAAATTTCGATCGGTGCAGCTGTGGCAGAGTAAGCGCAATTTACTTCGATCTTCAAGCATGAGACTCACGCGAATACGTTTTCAGATCCACCCCGCAATCGGCTCAGGTCGACACTGATATAATGCTTGCCTTCTACCAGCGTCTCTTCCCATTCCGCTATCTATTTCAATGGTTGAACCACGGGATTATTCCCTCGCCGGACTTCGGCAACCGTGAATTTGCACTCACTCTTCAGAATGATGCTTATCTTCGATATCAATCATATGCGACGGCAGATTTGTGAGTAACAAGGAGGAGAAGCAAAAGGTCGACGCATCTAACCAATATCTTTCGCAGGTTCCGTAAGGATATCTTGAGGATGAACCCCTCGCGTTTTGAGATCGGCCCCGTCTACAACGCAAACCCCCGGGACCGCAAAACATTACGCGGTGGTCAGATGAAGCCGGTCTCCAAAGAACTGGTTTTCGATATCGATTTAACAGATTACGACGATATTCGTTCTTGCTGTGAAAAGGCAAATATCTGCCGGAAATGCTGGGCCTTTGTGACCATGGCCATCAAAGTTATCGATACAGCATTGCGGGAGGACTTTGGTTTCGAACACATTCTCTGGGTATACTCAGGACGTCGTGGTGCCCACGCTTGGGTGTGCGATCCGCGTGCGCGCAGCCTTCCGGATGATCGACGAAGAGCCATCGCTGGCTACCTCGAAGTTGTGAGAGGAGGAGCGCAGAGCGGGAAGCGCGTGAATATGAAACGGCCGCTGCATCCGCACATGTCCCGCAGCTTGGACATCCTCGCACCGTTCTTCGCTGAGACTACGCTTGTGGACCAGGATACGTTCGGAAGCTCAGAGCAAGCAGAGCGACTCCTTGCATTACTTCCTGACAAGGAGCTCAATACGGCCCTGCGCAAGAAATGGAATTCATCTCCAAACCGGTCCAGCACCAGCAAATGGGCCGATATCGATGCACTTGCCAGCACGGGTAGAAGCAACACACTCAATACGTCCGCATTACTGGACGCCAAACAGGATGTCGTTCTGGAATACACCTATCCACGCCTGGATGCCGAAGTCAGCAAGAAAATGATCCATTTGCTCAAGAGTCCCTTCGTCGTGCACCCAGGCACCGGTCGTGTCTGTGTTCCCCTCGACGCAAAGAAAGCTGAGGATTTTGATCCCCTTTCGGTTCCGACAGTCACCGAATTGCTGGCAGAGATCGATGCCTGGGATGCGGAACACTCAAACGGCAACGCAACTACCGAAGATGCCGAGGGTGAAGGAAATGGTTCCCAAGGTAACCGCAAGCTGCAAGACTACGAGAAGACGAGCTTGAAGCCGTATATTGATTACTTCCGCTCGTTTATCGCTGCGCTGAACAAAGAGGAGCGGGGGAATAAACGCGGGAGCGAGGATGCCGTTGAGGTCAAATCCGACAGCATGGAGTTCTGATATCGTTAGTATTCTTCATTCTTCTGCTGCATGATTGAGTTTTTGTATGGGATTTTCTGGATATGTGTTTTTAGCGGTCTGGTGGGTCATGTCTTTGGCGAAGTAGAGGCGCTCGTGCTTGGTCATACCTAAATATAATTGATTTCACATTTGCAGCTGCAAAAACTTTCAAAAACACCTGGGTAGGATAGCCCAAGGACTATCTTGTAGCTCCCCTTGGATATGGTTAACATCTGAGGAGAGGTTGGATAGTAGTTGACCGGTGCTTCTGACAAATGGCCCTCAAGGAAGCTTTGGAGACGATGGATTGATTGACATCGCCAGCTGATGGTGTCTTGTAGGGCTTGGCAAACGGGACACACCGAAGATTTTCGATGAACTACAAAAAATGGTCCTCAATTCGTTTCTATATTGATACAGGCATATAGGGTCAGGTAACAACTACTTGTAGACTTTCCCAATGGATTTTGATACAATGTACACGGGGTCCGATCACGGACTTCAAAGCAGGGATGGCATGGAGATTGTGAGACTCGGAGATCTGTCGCCGAATCAAGGTATTTAAGCAGCAACGAAGTTCTTGACGCCTAAAAGGGAATGAGGTTAGCATGAGCATCGAAGTCAAGGTAGCACGAGAAAACTCACTCTCGAGCCAGCGGACATATTCCTTCTGCTCCTTGACCTGGATATAGTCGGGGATCATGTTGGCAAGCTCAGCATTGATGCCTCTCTCCTCAAGGTAACGCTCGAGGTAGGTCTGCAGATCCTCGTCCAAGTTCTCAAAGGGAGGGCCAGCATAGAGGCTCTGTCTTGTCCAGTCCTGCTCAGCGGTCTGGGCATGAGCCAAGTCGGGCTTGTTGAAATAAGAGACCTCCTCGATCTGGAACAGACCATCTTGAGCAACGGTCTGGATCAGGAGGGAGCCGTTGCCGGGCTTCTCGACAGTGATGTTGACACGGGCAGGGAAGCTAGGCTCCATGTCGCGGTCGAGATCTTCCAATTCACGATCAGCGGGAGCGACATGATCCTCAGGGTGCTGGGTAACACCACCAGCACCACCACGGCCCTGGTTAACAGGCTGGTGGCCCTGGAAGTCCATCTCATCGGCGAAGGCGCTGTCATCGAAGTCCTCCTGCTCGCTCAGGTTCTGGAGGTCGGCAACCGTAAAAGTGAGGCGAATTCTATTTGTAGATGAGACATGTTAGCTAAGACGCGAAAGAGTCTTTTCACCAAAAAAAATTAAAAAATAAAAAGAAAATAAAAATTTACTTACTCCTCCTTGCCAAACTTCTTGGTCAGGATGATTTCCTGTTCGCCGGGGATGTCCTTGACCTGTGCATGATCCATTAGAGGCTGCCGGCATGATACATCGTCGTGTTTCGGTATACATACCTCCCAGGAGTTGTTTTGCAGAACGTACTGGATGTTCTGAACGGAGGTCTCAAGGTCCTCCAATCCGGAGGCCTTCTCGTGCTTCAATTCATCCTCAAGCTTGGCAACAAGTTCGACGTCACCTGAACAAAGGGATCTCAATGTCAGCCGAGCAATGACATGATGAAATCGAGCGTTGATGGTAGTAAGGCAGCGAGCCCGGTCAATGAAAAGGGTGAATGAGAAAAAAAAGTGACAATGAAGCGCCAAAGGAATTATGATTGTGGTCGCCGCAGTTTTCTTTACAATGATTCATTCAAAGTACATACCCTCAGCAGGAGACTGTCTGAAGACACTGGATGTCGAGAAAGCGGCATAAGAAGGTCTGGTAGCCTGCTTCAACGAAGCTTGCAGCAAGCCATTTTTGGGGACGGACAGGAAGGAAGACCGGGAGGTGGTAGCGATGGACCGCGTGATGGTGCGAGGCACAGAGCGTGCAAGTGTGCGAAGAGACAGCATCTTGAATAGTCAGGCGAACAGGATATGCAAATCTAAAAAGACGATGTGGTTGAGGTGGAGGTAGATGGGAAAGAAGTTTGAAGCTGATCTTCTGGCGTGAGGCGAGGCGATGATGTTAACATTCCGATCCATTGTCGCCCGCGCGCCAAGACTTGGAGCTCTGGACAAACCTCAGGCCATCCAATCTGCACGGCACAATTGTGTCGACTCGATTATCATGGAGCATCAAAAGTGAGCATCCACTAAATTCGAAATATCGTTGGGACAGACAAATGGGGAGAACAGACATCCGATTGAGCGCTAAATGTTATTCTCTACTACTTGCTCCAAGTTGCGAATTGTTCTACTATCCTGGTGATTGAAAGTCGTGCATATTTGGATAACCTCGCGAGCTGCTGAACCTCGAACAATAATCACAGCACTACAGATCTAAGCGAAGTTGATACCTCATTAAGAGGGGATCTAAGATTAGTTGGAGAATGCAATCGCAATTGGCAGCCTACAAGATATACCAAAATTGCTGGATTATGCCCATGCGCATTATCATTGCCAAAGTTCATCTGCTTCATTATATGCAAGGAGGAAGGCGTAGAATATACTCGGAAAATTAAAACAAGCAGCACTATGAAAGTCCCTTGGGCGGAAAGATAGACGGTTGTTTTCCACCGTCCTTGGTGATCCTGATGAATTTCATCATGCTGAGGCTGGACCAGTCTCCATTCCACGCCGTGAGACCTTTTATCACTTCCTCTTGACTAAGGTCAGGCATCCAAAAGCCGGTTTTGAATTCCTTGTTTTCGGCATCTGTCCGTTGTAATAAGGCCTCTTCGCGCTTGCTGGGAGGTCGGCCTTTTCTTCGTTCGCTCTGTAATTGTTCGATTTCGGGAACACTTCGGTTGATATACCTGGGGAGTATGGCTGTTAGCACTTGAGAAAATGAAGGTTACTACTCGAATTGACATACCGCACAATCAAGTCTTTTATATCATCTTCTGAGAACGGTGTCGAGTCTTCTGGGATAGTGTCTTGGAGGTAGACGATACGGTCCACTATGGGAAAATTAGACTCGTGCTATCCACACTGGAGAGGCCATCAGGCAAAACTTACTGTAAGACTGTCTTCCACGAGACATAGAGGCTGAAATGCGGGCAACTCGGTCATCTCGTGTGTTGGCTCGGCGCAATCTCTTCGCATCTCTGCTGTTCTCGTGAAGGGCCTCTATGACACCTCTTTTCTTCGAAATGTGCTTATGCACTTTTGCAAATGACTTCGGCATTGTGTCAGATGAATAAAACTCTGCGTTTATGGGTATTGTCCGAGTATATCAACGACGGCCAGCGGAGTCGAAGCCTCTTTTTTTGTTATAATTTTCTGGGATTCGTTGGCAGAATAATCGGGCGGTGAATTTTGGGGGTAAGACCGCCTTGATTGACCCAATCAGAGCAGTTTCCTCGACCAACCGCGTCTGCGCGTCGAGGAGAAGAAGAAGAAGGAACAAACATTCCAGCCTCGTTGTCCAGGGCCGAGATTCAATACCTGGGCGGCTGGTCAGGTGGTTGACTGCCTTGGATCTGTTTTCCTTCGGGACTTTGCTTCCCACTGTTTTCCATCCCATCCCTCGTTGGATCCTGGTTAAATCAACGTCGCAGTCGATGCCCGTCTTGGCTGTTCAAGCAATCAGGAGGAGTGTCTTGCCTTCCCAAGGGTGCCCATCATGGGCATCAAAGGTAGCTAAATCTTTCATCTATTTCGTTCTGAGGAAAATGGCTGATTGTCATATAGGACTCCATGGCCTTCTCAAATCGATCCAGAAGCCATGCCACCTGAAGAAGTTCAATGGCCAGACTCTTGGAGTTGATGCATATGGATGGTTGCATCGTGGCACTGTTGCCTGTGCGGTTGATCTCGTTCTCGAACGGCCTAATACTAAGTATGTCGTGTTATCAAAATCTCAGCTTGAAGGCAGTGACTGACTTCACTCGCAGACATCTCGATTTTGTCCTCAACCGAGTCCGTATGCTCCTCTTTTTCGGAGTAACCCCATATCTTGTCTTCGATGGCGATGATCTACCAAGCAAGTCCGGGACAGAGTCCGAGCGGCTTCAAAGACGACAAGCAAGCAAAGCCCTTGGATTGGAACTCCAACGTAAAGGGCGTACCGCGGAAGCTTATCAGGAACTCCAGAAGGCGGTGGACGTCACACCCAATATGGCTCGCCAGCTGATCGAAGAACTCAAAAAGATGGAGGTTCAATACGTGGTAGCACCGTACGAGGCGGATGCACAATTGGTTTACTTGGAACGAGAGGGCATCATCGATGGCATCATCTCTGAAGACTCGGACTTGCTTGTCTTTGGTGCGAAACGGCTCTTGTCCAAGCTCGATCAACATGGGGAATGCATCGAGATCAATCGCGCGGATTTTACGGCCTGTCGCGAAGTTAGTCTGATAGGGTGGACGGATGCCGATTTTCGACGAATGTGTATTCTCAGCGGGTGCGATTACCTTGCCAACATCCCACGAATGGGGTTGAAGACGGCTTACCGCAGTATCCGCAAATACAAGAATGTCGAGAAATCGATACGCATGCTGCAATTCGATGGACAATATCAAGTTCCTGCTGATTATCTCAAGAAATTCCAGCAAGCCGAGCTCACATTTCTGTATCAACGAGTCTTTTGTCCGAAAGCGGGCAAGCTTGTCACCCTGACTCCTCCTGAGAAGGATATCATTTTGGACGAGTTGCCATTCATTGGAGGCGATGTAGACCCGGAAATTGCTGTGGGAATCGCACGGGGCGACCTTCACCCGACTACGAAGCAGGAGATCGTCTTGAAACCACTGGCTCCTCGCAGGCCGCTCAATGCCATTACTCGCCGGCAGACTCTTGGATCATCGGCAGAATTGAAGGCAAAAAAGCCCATCGACACGTTTTTCACACCTAAACGTGTTCCGTTAGCTGAACTGGACCCCAACAGTCTCACGCCTTCTCCAAGTCAGCAACGCCTGCTAGAACGCCATGCTAATACATCTTGGGAAGGTAGAGCTGCACCATCTCGACCAGGCGTGGTGGGATCGGCCCCTGTTCCGGGACTTTCTCATAGAATTTCGAGCCCACTGATCAGAAGTGTGGAACGAAATTCTTTCTTGGCACACGCTGCCAAAGTATCGACTTTCCAACCAGCCAAGCGGCAACGCCTATGCGCGGAAACGGAGGAAGAAAGCTTACCTGATCGAGCGGATTGTCGCAGTCGGTTCTTCGCACCCTGTCTGGACAATTCCAGTCCCAGCGGGTTGAAGGCCACTCGAACCAAGCGCAAGTCTAACTTGGGTGTTTTCTCTGATGAGCTTGCTGAGCAGATTATGACTCAAATTCCGGACCCTGAAGTCAGTACCAGCGAGTCAACAGAGGCAGTGGACTCGTCTCCCGGACCGCTGCTAGAGGCAAAAGACAAGAGAGATGAGAAGCCGGTTCTCTCTAGTTTCGTCTTCAAGTCTCCGGCTCACGATCGGATTTCCACCGCATCCAGGCCTCCGGGGCAGCCACGTCCGTCTGGCCTGTCCCCGCGACGTCGACTCACTCCCTTGCAACGCATGGGTCGGACTGCTCTAGCTCGATCTCGGTCGGTGAATGCTCTTCCGCAAGTGAAGGCGTTCGCTCCTCCCAGGATAATGGAACGTTCGGCAACGACTCTGGCCCAGGGCAGTGAAGATATGATTATTCCCAATAGCGATGACGATGAGGAAGAAGAGGAAGATGCGAAGAGTTCCCAACCATTAGTGGACTTGAAGAAATTCTTGTATGCGAAGTAGTATCCAGCAACCATGGGGTCCGTGGCCGGATTGTGTTGGGTGGCATTGGCTACTACAATATCAGCCAAGACGGAGCATATTGGCGTTCTTGGGACATTCTGCATCTTCTATTTTTGCATTGATACTTTTGGTATACCCATACTAGAGTTGGGGGGGGAGTGTGCTTATTAAATTTACGAGGTTCCTGGAGCTCAGTCGCACAACGGATGAGTAGTGGGTGTAAGAGGACTATCCCCCGAAACCGAATCTTCCATTAGTCTACTCCGTAGTAAGCCGACTGTCAAGGATCGATGGCTCCCTCCAGGCTGTGGTGTTTCATGAAGCCTGTAATGATAATAAACTAGTGTGCCTGAATAATCAGGAGGCTGGATCGATCAGGCGTCGATAAGCAGTTGGCGCCAAACCCGATATGGCCTAGCACCATCTATGGGTCCTGATGGGGACTAGTGTGGGGTGCCTGAATCCGCAGGCGGTGAGGCCTGGTTACCGGGTAACGGGCGGCGTAAACAAAGGGGCGTTGGCCCAGCCTCCTCCATTGTATGGAAGTCTGCTCCAGCCACCAGTATACCATCATCATCATCACCACCATCTTTCAGTACTACTCCAAAATCGCCCCGGTCGAGTTTTTCGTTGTGTCCTTGGAAAAGCAGGCAAGGAGGTTTAGGCCACAATTGGCAATCTGTCCAGCTACGCTCTCTTCCCTCTCCTCTCCTTCCCCTCCATTCTTTCTCCTACATCCACACGTTCTCTCGTACTTGGCTGCTTTTGGCACATGCTTTGAATTGAGGCTGATAATTCCACAATTGGGACCCTCAGACTGACCATATCCCCAATATTGATCAGGTGTCGTGTGTAACGAGGAACCGACATTGTTTGAATTCGCTCCATCAACTATATCGCATTGGTTGACGATTCGAGTGACCCATTCTGGTCTCGATCCACAACATCCACATTCCATACCATTCTCACGTTGCTGCAGCCATTGCTGAAGGTCTTGAACATCTTATCTTATCCACCTTCTTCATAGACCTGGACGAAGGACCATCAACCAGGTCTCAGAGGCTCGATCAGTGTGTGTGCCGGACAGCGTCGTGACTGGGGTGCTCTGTGGTAGAGTGACCTTCGCCGGTGCTTCAACCACTCCTTCTCGGGAGCCCGAGAAGCGAGCCATTAGTGAAGAGAAGGTTGACAAGCATCGAGCTATACGTCCAAGATGGCTCTCAAACTCGGTCCCGGGTTTGCCCGTATGTTGCCCGCCAATCCACCCTTCTGGTAGTGAATTTTATTCTCACTCACTCTATCTAGGGTTCATTTCAATGGTCGGTTATCACCATGTGCTCATGGTCATCATTGCCGTGGCAATCATTCTTCTATGTGAGTCGCATGCTGCCACATGGTGGTCCTTGGCCTGGAATGTTGCTAACCCTTCCCAGCCCTACTTCTCGCCGGATGTTCGTCATCATCACCACAGATTCCTGATATATTCTTGATTTCCTTGTACTATGAGCATTACAACCCTGTCTTTGATCGCGCGCAGGTGGCTCCTGGCGTGGTCACAGCCACTGCGAACATCGTTGGAGGTGCAGAGATGGAGGTACGCGTGGGCTACTTCGGCATCTGTGTCCAACCGGACCGCGGCTCCTACATCTGCAATTCGAATGCCACTGCGTTGGCTGAGATTGTCACCGTCGATCAAGATCCATTGAACCTGATCTGGGTTGCATCGACGTTCAAGGACGCGGTAGTCTTCCCATATCTTCTGTATGTCTCATGTTTTTTTTTCTTTACCCCCCTCCTGAATACTAATTACAGTGCTAACTTTTCCAGAATCGTTGCCGTCATTCTTGCTTTCCTCTGCTTTGTTCTCCTTGCCACCTTCCCCGGATGGCATGAGGAGATCGATGCCTCCGGCTCGGAAGCAGAGGTCAAGCCAATACCGTCTCGGCCTGTCTCGCAAGTCGCCCTGGCCTTAACCTTCATTGCATCTGTCTTCGTGCTCGTATCCGTGCTATGGCAGCACACAGCATCAGTCGCAGCCACAACAATAGCCCAGGACATGGGCAACGGGAGCGTCAAGTCCGGGGTAGGAAGCTCCGCCATGGTCCTTGGCTGGTTCGGATTCGTCCTGCTAGTGATTGTGACGATAGGTCTATTAGTGATGATTCTCAGCGCCAAGTTGATAGCGCAGTTGACGGACGATGCATAAGCCAACCACAAATACCCGGAGGCGCATTGACGTCCAGAACCCTTACGACACATGTTTTTTATGTTTAATCTGGCTTATTTTTTTTTTTTATCCCCCTTATGTTTCGACGACAGACACACGAATAATACGACAAATTTGGGATTTGGGACACGGATTTGGAATGGGTACTATGAGAATTATGAACACGGATGAGTTACGTCGACTCTATAGGGGCAATGACTCCTGTGAATGTGTCGGTGCCGACCTACTATAAGAAGTCAGGAAAGGCAACCTGGACATGTTGTTTTTTTTGGTGGTGACTTGTCTAAGAATTCGCTTGGATCTTGTGCTATGTATAAAAGATGACCCCCTTTATTTATCCTTTTCTTTTTTCTTCTTCTTCTTTCTTGTGGGTCAGGGAACCGATGATGGGGGAACTGAACAGATCGAGCGATGACTTACTTTATTTACGGCGGGACGATTTGTTTATCTGATGCCATGACCGAGTACTCCTACCACCCAGCAATATAAGGAATCGACGAAAGATGATTTGACACAAGATATGATCCATATATATTATATATATACTGCTGAATACATACATCAATCAATCTCAATTGAGCGGACAATATGACATTATCCTTATAAGATTTCAACAGATGAAAGGGTATATATAAACCAGACATCATAAACATATATACAACAGAGAAAAAAAAAAAAAAAAAGCTCAATTAGCCTCTCTAATTAAGCATTAGAATCACTTAAAGTAGTATGTGATAGGATAACCCAAAAATTCACACTGCGCCAAGTCCTGGAAAGGAGCCCGGTCGCTGGGGAAATCAAGGAGCTGAATCGGTCCCTCGGAGTGCGACACGGGCTCCCACTTGTCAAAGCTGTTGATGGCGTCGAGGGTCTGCTGGTACCCCCTTGCCTTGAGGTACTCGGGCGCCGGGTTCGGCTGGCCGGACCGGACGAACTCGGCGAAGTAAGCAGACGTCAGCTGCATGGAGAACAGATCCAGGGGATCGCGCAGCGCCGCTAACGTCCCGAAGAGCCAGGGTAGATGGGCGCCGTGGAGGCGGAAGTAGGGCAGGTCGGGGTCGCCCCGGGGGCGCTGGGGCGTATCCGCGGGCCCGCCGAGATTGTTCGGGTCGTAGCCGCCGGATGATCTTTGCAGTTGGTAGTAGTACGCCTCCCGGAAGACGCCGGAGACCGCGCCGGCGAAGACGGTGGCTTGGTCGATGCAGCGGAACCGCAGGTCGGTTGCGACGCGCTGCGAGACGTTGAAGGAGTCGAGCGTCACGTTGCCGGTGTCGTGGTATGGGAAGAGGCCCGAGTCGATGATGCGCTGCGCGTGCTTCTCGCTGATCGCCAGCCCGACTTGGATGCCCTCGAGCTGGGACTTGACCGGGGTCGTGGGGTATGTGCTGAATGAGGCGCCGTCGTGGGCAACGATGCCGAACATGACGGTGACGTTGGAGGTGGTGACGTCTTTCTGGATGAGGTTGAGCTCGCTGGTGGTTACGTAGTAGCCGTCCTGGACAACATATCGCGCAACGGTCTGCGATTCCACCAGGGCCGACGCGGGAACTTTCTTCAGACAAGCGATCTGCTCCGGGAGACTGCCGGGGTTGCAGCCGAGTTCGGAGAATATCTGCGGACCGACACGCTTGTAGGATTCGTCGATCGTCGGGTACGAGCTGTATGTTGTTGCATCGTCGCCGTCCAGCCCCAGGCCGACGCCGCCCCCGAGATTGGACATGGCAATGGCGCCCTGGAACTTCCCTGAGGCAGGCGCAGATCCCAGCAGCACTCTGACCGACCCAGCACCCGCGGACTCGCCGATGATTGTGATCCGCCCCGGGTCGCCTCCAAACTGCGCAATATTCTTGACCGTCCACTACAATTGTTAGGCAAGACTCCGTTGCAGAAGACAAAGCTGTGCGAGACACATACCTCGAGAGCGAGAATCTGATCCGCGATACCATAATTTCCCCTGAGGTCGGTACCGGGAATAGCCAAGAAACCCAGAGTCGACAACCGATAGTTGAAGGTTACCACGACAAGATCCTCGCGAGATGCCAGATTACCGCCGTCCGTGAGAACATCAGCACCGGATCCTCCAGTAAACCCGCCGCCATGAATCCAAAATATGACAGGCTTTAGGCCCTCACGCAAGCCCTGTTTGGGGATGTAAGGTGTTTGGATATTCAGGTAGAGGCAGTCCTCGCTGCCACCTCCATTCTGGGCACACGGCGGACCATAATTCGTTGCATGGATGGTCTTGGCTTTGCGCGAGTAGAGTGTCGTATTCCTGAATCGTTGGGGAGGGTCGGCGTACGGGATACCCAGGAAGCGGAACGACTTCTGGTCCCGGAATCCGATATAAGAGTTGCCCTCGGACATGACCCGGAGCTCTTTTGTGTGGCTCGCTGTATCCTCAGCCACAGACGCATTGCCTGTCTGGGTGCACAGAACCGGTAGCTCAGCGTTTCGCAGCGGGAAGCTCGAAAGAACGAAATCGTCCGAGTCCGGCGACACAGCGAGCAGGCCTTCCCGGACATAGAAATGCGCGTTCGGCTTTGTCTTATTCGAGTGTGAAAGCCATGAGAAGAGCTTCCGGAAGTCATCCTTGTGGGAATCGACGCTCGAATAGGAAATGAGCGACTCTCCGATCTCCTGACAGGCATCCCGAACGTCATGTTGTTTCATGGGGTCCAAGAGAATGGCACCGATATGGTTGGTCTCATCTGACGCATTCAGGTTGTTCTGGTATAGAAACGTCAGAGACGTTCTGTCGTTGGACAGTAGGACATGGTGGCTAGCAAGTCCAAGCACAGTAGGGACCAGGGCCCCGAGAATCAGAGAACGCATGATCACCTTCTCTACATAGACTGAAGGGGCGTCAATTCATGATTGTTTCTCGAAAACAAGGCCGAAAACAAGACGAGCAGATGGTGGATTGCTCCTGTCTAGCGGACTTTAGAATTCGAGGTCGCTTCAAGGCACTCGGTCAGAAAGTCCTATACCTTCGTCTATTTGAAATTCCGTCTGCACGCTGCAGCTCCGGAATCCCCATAGAACAGAATAAGAACCTGCAGTATCCGCCGCAAATCTGGGACAACTGGGGAGGAGGGGAGGTTGAAGACTGAAGAGGGAGGAAATCAGCCAGTGTGGTAAAAATCCAACATAAAAGCCGGTACTCTGGGCCATCCTGACTCGCGCTAATTTGATGCTACTAATAATAAGATCCTTGGAGGGAATGGGCAATAAGTCAATCAGTTAATAACCTAATAAGAACAAAGGGCTGAATGAGACAACCGGACTTGTCTTGAATCCAAGTCAAGTTCATTTGTAAGAATAATAATTGTGGTCAACACAGCGATTTCGATCCCGTTGACAACCGCACAGCCTGATCCACCCCTATGATGGGTCTGACTCTGAAGTCTGAACGGGTAATAGGCTCATAGGTACTGAGGGAGTGGCCCAGGGGGACCGAATTTCCCTGATGAATGGCGCTAAAGTAGTGGGAAAGAAAGATAGTCAATCACCCGCCAGGCTACTTTCAAGCGTGGTAATGCTCTGCACTGTCAAACCTTCAAACGGGGGGATCAACTGACGATCAGCCGACGACTATCAGGCACATGCTTGATGCTTGCCAAATGCTTGCTTTGATCAAGGCTAGGAGATGTGGTTTAACATAGATGGAAGATGGGATGGGGATGGTACACTGGGGGTGGAGAGTTGAGAGAAGAAAGAAGTGAAAGAAAATCTGTAAAAGTTGTATTACGCTGCTGCCTCAATGAACTGTGGTAATCATATCTCTTCTCAGGACTACTTCTCGCTGCTATCGTGTTCCAGGATGATCGATGAAGCAACCACTATTGATGGTGAGAAGGCTTCGTGCGTGCCTGCTCATGTCCCCCCCATGGGAAAACGGACCTCTATAAATGACATGGAAGTTTGTAAAGAAAGGTCAATGAACACAAAATTCTCGATCGAAGTACTGATTGGAAGGGATATTACAGCTACCCGACGCCGATACCGAACGTAAAGGGAACCAAGGGAACCAAGGGAGACAATAACAGATGGATGCGAGCAGCGGCAGCTCTCATAAGGAAAATCTTGTCAGCTAGACCCTAATAATTCATCACAGGCGCAGCACCACCTGGTCCGGGTTTCTCTTCATAGCCACCATCATATCCACCACCATAGTCGTCGAGGGATCTATAGCCGCCAGGAGGACCAGGATCCCGTCCACGGCCTCTGCCACGCCCTCCTCCACGGCCGGAGTGGCCCTTGCCACGCGCAGCTGAACCTCGGCCGCGACCTCCACGGTATGAGCCACCACGACGGGGTCCGTCATCATGATGACGGTTGTTACCCCCATGGCGCGGGTTGTGGTAGGGTTGGGGTCTTGGCTGAGAGGGCGCGCCATCATTCTGGCTAGATTGCGGATACAGGATGTCCTGGTCACGCTCCTGCTGATGGCGTCTCTTGTGGTTTTTATTCATGAACTGGCTCTCCCATTCGCCCTCGTGAGGGTTCTCCTCCTCAACACGCAGGACAACCTTTTCTCCAACAACGGTCTCAAAGGTCAAAGCCTTATCGGCTGGGACAGGATGCCAATTCTGAATCTTGCCCGCATCAATAGGACGAGCGCCTTTGCGCACGGCTAGTACGATCACAGGCAGCGGGTTTTCTGTGTAGTATTTCTCTGTCGCAGGGACAGGCGTCACTCGAGCAGCCCACACCTTGTTCTCAAAGGCAGCAATTCCGGTGACCTGCCACGTGAGCTTCTTACCAATGCCGCCAACCTTGTTCAGGATCGATCGCGGGGCAGGGCGAGGGGTGATAAGAATACTGTTAGCCATGTATTTCAGATCATTGGAATCAGCAAGCCCAGCGGGCAGTGTTGGGGTTAGTAGTTGACTAATCAGCCTACTCGAATCGGCGTTGGATATGAGGTATCCAGTGTAGAAGATGGTACGCTTGATACGCAACCGACCATATGGCGATTTGGTCAGATTGAGCAAAGGATTGCGCGTGGCTTGGTTGTGAGAATTGATCATACGTTGCACTTCGGCAGCCTCGGTTACAGGGGAGAGGAACGTGCATCCCTCAGCTACCTGGATCACTTCAGCGTTGATCGGTTTCCGTGGAATTGGCGCAATCTGTAACGACCGGTTGAGGTCTTCAAAGAAATCCCGAAAGCCCTTGACACTGTGGCAACGTTCAGCACATCTTCGAGCATTGCCGACGAATGTCAGACTCACTGCTTCACGCGATCTTCATAGACTCGGATCTCGTCGGCCTGCTCGTAAGTGAGAACGAGATCTTGGAGGAATGTCTGTTTAAACTCCATGGTCGTTGAGAACCGTTCGCTATTGGGTCCCACTTCTGGCTTTAGGCAGATAAGGTCAAATTCGAGCATTTTACTGTCGACCATGCGGCGGATGATATCGGCGAAGCCACTCTCACTGCGGCCAGTCAGAAGCACCGTGAGGGCGTCCTTCTGCTCCATACTCAGCTTGACCAGCCGGACCTGGATCCAGTCAGTATACCATGCCAGTACACGCAAGCGTTATAGGTCACACAATCTGCTCGTTCCACCAGCCGTCCCAGGCTTGCGGTTCCTCCTTTGCCATGCCTTGCCCTGTAGCTGCGAGCAATGCTGAGTCGTGCCACCATCCTCCATTTGCGAAACTTTCGTAGCTCTGTAGGAATCCTATCGTCGGACCGTTCCATATTTGCGGGTTTGGTAAAGGACTTAGGAATACTGGGCAATGTAAGCTTTGGATGGATCTCATCAGAACGACCGGTCGAGAGCTCTTACAGGTGTTGTCGAAGTCGTACACATGAATCGCTTTAACCTGCGACACCGCTGTAGCGCAGGACAATCGAAGTCAGCAACGGTATCTTTGGCCGACGATCAACAAGAAGGGCGACAAGAATAGTTCCAACCTGGTAAATCTCTGTTGATGATGGACCATCGCTTCAGCCCTGTAATGGTCCGTGAGATTCGTTGGCTGCCATTTGCATGGGAGACGAATCCATTAGCCTGCCCTCGCGCCATTGTTGCTGCAGAGCTGAGCGGAGCAAAGTGACTTTCAGAAATCACAGATTTGGCAGATCTCATCATCTTCCCACCATGATTCCCGTGCTGCGCCCTGTGTTTGGTGGACTTCGACGAAGCCTTGCGGCGAGATTTTGCCATCGCCGAACCAGTTGCCGCCAACCACAATCAGAACGTGACCTCCGCCCGCAACGGCGGCTTTGCTTCTTCTTCTTCTTGTTCTTGTTCTTGTTCTTCCTCGCGTTTTACTTCACCAGAAACAACCTGCACGTCTGGTTTGCTTGAGCTTGGGTGTCGGTCAGATGCTCGATGTCTGATGTCGGAAGATGCGGACCTGCAACAGAAAATCCTGCAGAAAACGCTACAAGAGGTAGCGCAAGAGGATGATGGTGACGATGTGTCCAACCCATGCGTCATCTGCTTGGAAGCTGTCACCGAGCCAGCGATCGCAGTGCCATGCACTCATGCGAATTTCGATTTCTTGTGCCTAGTAAGCTGGCTAGAACAGCGCCGCAGTTGCCCACTATGTAAGCCCTTGTCCTCACATTGCGGCGTTCTCTTGACTCACTTGTAATTCACTGTTCAGGCAAAAGTGACATTCACTCCGTCAAATACGACCTCGGGACCAAAGACGGTCCCAAGATCTACCAGTTACCTCCTCTTCCTCCAGCAGCTGCCAATGCGCTCGTTCCTTCTCACCCTCACCGTCCTGGGCGCGGAGTTCCTCACGGTCCGCGCAACCGACGATGGCGTGCCGAACGCCCCCGACCTCAGGAGCCCGACGATCCCATCTCAAGGCGGCAACATGTCTACCGTCATCAGCTCTATTCCCTCAGAGTCGGCTCGAACCGTCTTTCTCAATACCGCGAGCTCACGCCGGAGCTCTTCAACCGCGATGAGGAGCTCGTCTCTCGGGCGCGAAAATGGATCCGGCGCGAACTGAGGGTGTTTGCTTTCCTGAACCCAGAAGCCGAAACGGAACCGGGGGTGGACCGGGTCACTCGTCCTGGTCAGCAGAGACTTGAGAATCGCAGGGGGAACAACGCCGAGTTCTTGCTCGAGTATATCATCGCCATCCTCCGCACTGTCGACATCAAGGGTAGTGCGGGGCAGGCGGAAGAACTTCTTCGCGATTTTCTGGGGAGAGATAATGCGCGTTTGTTTCTGCATGAGCTGCAGGCTTGGCTGCGGAGTCCTTATACGTCCCTGGAGGATTGGGACCGTCACGTCCAGTATGAGGATACGGCTCCTGGTCCGTCCTCCGGTAGAACTGGGTTGGGTTCTGGGACGCCTGATCGTACAACGACGCCTGTTGATCGCGGTGGGCGATCTCCGTTTCGTGGGAGAGTGGCCAAACCTCGTCGTCCACAAGGATATCACAGCGGCGGAAGTTCTCGAGATGACTTCGCGCAAGCGAGACGGCTACAGTTTGCACGACAGCGATATATCCCTGATTAGCACCAGGGCGGACCCTTTTTCACCCCTTCCGATGGTTTTGGGTTACGAAGTTATGAGACATGTATATTATATTGAAAGTTATAGAATATAGACTAACGAATCGCGCTAGAAATGGTATCTTGAAGATGCTATGCTATATAGTCATTGCTCGTAAGTTTTATATAAAAAGGACCAGTTCAGGCTGGCCTTTGTTTGACTTGTCTTATCTTCGCCCAAAGCGCCGGCCAGCCCGACCTTTAGTGTTCTTGTTCCGGATCTTGAGCGAGCGGTAATTGGCATGCGCTTCAGGATTGACCTTCCGCGGACGAGCTTTCTTGGGCTCGTCCTCCTTCACAGCTGCCCGTGAGACCTCTACAGGGCGCTGGTCTCGCTGCGGCTGGGGTGCGGACCCAATAGCTTCCTTCATCTTCTCCGAGAAGCTCTTGCTCTTGGTAGCAGGTTTACTATCGTCTTCATAATCAGAATCAGAATCAGAATCGAGATCTGGCTCCGACATCGTGTGAAGCGATGCCTCCTCGTCATCGTCCAAGTCGTCAAAGTCAGCACCCTGGTCTCCCCAAAAGACTGCGTGCAGAGCACTCGGCTGCTGTGTTTCAGGAACCGCTGTCGGCTCATCGTCGCTCCCATCTTGCTCATCGCGTTCATTTTCTCCGTCCGAATCCAACGGTTGTGGTTGCGCCGTCGGTTTCGAGACTACCGGCTTCATGCGCACCCGGCGCGTTGTCCGCTTCTGGCCCTTCTTCTTCCAAGGTCGGCCGATGTTATCCGCGGGGGCCTGGCTGTCGGCCACCACGTCGACATTCAACGTCGCCTGCTCAGCCTCGATTTCGCGCAGCACGTCCATGTCATCGTCCAATCTGTCCTCCTCCATATCGCGGAGCCCCTGCACTAACGCGGTGAGACCTTTTCCAACGAACTGCGGCGGTTTGCGCACCGCAATGGGACTCAAGCCGCCATGGGCGGTGGACTTGGACTGCGAAGTAGCGTAGCGCGCGGGGTTTGACCGTCGCAGGAAAGACGGGGTCTCCGAGCCCACCGCATCGCGGGTCTCCTCGTTTGCGGTTGCTTGCGAGTCGTGGCCCCTGCCGGCAACGCGATCGTCATCCTCGACCATTGCGGCATAGCGGAGTGTGGTTGGAGTCGCGAACAGTGTTGAAAGCATCCACTTCTTCCCAGATGATGCGGGCGTGCGTCCAGCTCTGGGGCTCCCTTCTTCTTCGTCTTCGTCCTCGTCTTCTTCGAGGATCGTGTCCATGGTTCTGCGTTTTGAAGGCGTATGGACGTTCGCCGTGCGCAGGCTTGCCACTCGCTCCGCCGACGGTGTCGCGGTACTCCCGCCGGACTCCGACAAGAGGTCAAAAAGCCCCAATGCCTTTCCATCTCTCTGGGGCGTGGGACCGATGGCCGCTTTGAGCGGTGTCTGGTGGGTAGACGGGCTGAAGAGTCTGCGCAGCGCCGTGGGAGAGATATAAGGGTCGACCTCGGACGGATGTGACTTTGCTATTCGGTTCTTGGATGGGGTCTGGAAGATCCCCTTGGTCGCTTTTCGCGGCGTCGACGAACTGTGTGTCACATCCGGATCATCTGTGGATGAGTGCTTGCGCTTTTTGGGCCGTTCTTCTAGTTTGACGGGCTTGGATCCATCGTGTTTTCCCGAAGCCGATTCGAGTGCTTTCAATCGAGAATACTCTTTGTATTTGGCAGCTGACGGAGACCTCGATATTAGCCCCAGCTTTTATAAAGCTCAACCCAATCTCCTCTGAGGTAGACGAAGGGAAGGGAAAAGCAAAAAAGCAAAAAAGCAAAAAAAATAAAAAAAAAAGGGAAAATAATACCTATCTCAGGGACCTTTTTAATATCATCTCTCGCTGCTTTTCTCCCACCATTTTGCGCGGCAAACGCCCTCTCCCAGTCTTTCAATTCTGCCCGTAGGTTTGCGGATTGAACAGCAATATCAGCTACCACGGCGCTGGCCATTATCGCATACTGAGAATGGATTTGATATCAACGGATGAAAGGGATGTCCAAATGGCTTCAGAGATCGGTCCGTCGATACTCGATAGTCGGCTCCTCCTTGGCGCGGTCGCGAAATCAATTAACGCGGGTTGGGGGCAGCGGCGCGAGTGACGTAGCGCGTCACTCGCCCGTGAGCGGTCACATGATACAGGGCCATTGTCCAGAAACAGAACAGCGACTTAGGGCTCAGGGCAATGGTTGAGGGTTTGTTAACATCAATGGCATCGGGCACAGGATTCTCGGAGGTTCGATTTGGAACGACTAAGGGGGGGAAGGGGGGGAATGCTCCCTCGATAATCACAATTGTTCCAGTATAATTTGCGGCTATACAGGCGGACATCCCGAAATTGGACTCATCCAATTGGCAGAATATGAGTGCGTATGAGTGACTTCGCGTCATCAGTGTAGCTACAGGAGCTACGGAGTACAGGCTACTCATTTAGGCAGTACTGATGCAGGATGACACTAGTCAATCTAGGTCGCTCGCGATCAAGCTCACCAAGGTAACAACATTCGGGGATAACGGTAGCTCGGGGTATCGGTCTCGGAGATGGAGACGGTCAGGGGAGGTATATATCCGTCGCAGTTCGACAGCTTTTTGAGCCACTGTTTGTTATTTGTTTCTTCATTGCCTTTAGCAAGCGGGAGATACCCTTTGCGCTGTTCTTGAAACATTGATCTTCCTCGATTTTCGCAAATATATACCCTCAATTGCATTACAGTGATTGATAAAAAAAAAAAAAAAAAAGATGCTACGAACACTCCTGTCATTCGGTCGCAACTCAGACTATATCTTCCCAACAGTCGATCCAAGCAAGGATGGACCAGACTGCAAGCGAGACTGCGCCGATTGCACGGTAGAATTCCCGTCAAAGGTGAAGGTGGAGACCTCCACGCCGCTGTATGGACATATCAAACAGTTCGACGCGCATGTCCTGGTGGCTACGGGGAAGTCAGACTGGACTGAGAAAGTCACGCAACAAAAAGGCAGCTTGATGGAAGCCCTGGACTCGGCCAGATCACGGCGCGGTGTATGTATCTCTGCCAAGGGCTGATAGACGGGTTTCTTCTCTGACCACCTTCGTTAGCGGATGATGATCTCAGCCTCAAACCTGAATCCGCCGGAGATAGACACTGAAAAGGAACCGAGCAATAGGGGCAGCACGGTGTTGATATTGCCCTCGTTTACTTTTGTGGATGCAGTGAGGACGGAAGATGCGCAAGAGCTGGTTGACCGTTTCATCGACGCACCTCAGAATGGCGCGAACCTCCAGGAAGACGGACAGGTTACTGATTCACCGCTCACCTCGCGACCTTGCGAGTATGACTACGTGGTGTTGCTCTGCTCACACAAGCGACGAGATGCTCGTTGCGGTATCACAGCCCCCTTAATCAAGAAAGAGCTGCAACGACATCTGCGACCCCTCGGCTTATATCGAGATGCGCAAGACGAACGTCCCGGAGGTGCGGGCATCTTCTTCGTCTCCCACGTCGGCGGCCACAAGTTTTCGGCCAACGTTCTGATCTACCGCAGAAAAGAGCAGCAGATGATCTGGCTGGCCAGAGTCAGGCCTGAACATTGTGAAGGCCTGGTGAAATACACGCTTGTGCAAGGGAAAGTGGTCCACCCGGAGACTCAGCTGAGGGGTGGGTTTGACAGAGGACGCGGGTTGACCAGTTGGTGACGAAGGACCCTGCACAAGAGGCATGGAAATATTTTCGCTGGCACGCAAAAAGTCTGCATGAATAAAGAGCTGACGGGATCTGACGGATCAAGACAGTGAGGTTGTGTCTCAGCTTTGGGGTCAACCTCCTTAGGCAGCGAGATTATTATTATTACCAAGATGAACCCTTGAACAGGTCAGAGATGGTCAGATGGATCCTGGACGGATATCGGATGGATCCGAGATCTTTAGGGTCTAGAGTCTAGAGTCTAGAGGGTTTATACGTACATAGTAGGTAGTAAGAAGAAGAAGAATATAGAAGCAGATTGTGTCACACACGTGACTTACGCACCCGAGCTGATTACTACTGGGGTTGTCTTACTTACTTACTTACTTACTACTTTCTTTCTTTCTTTGAAGCTGACTCTTTCCAATCTGTTTCCCAACCCCTCCAAGTCCAACTCTTGATATAAAAAAAAAAGAATCAATTGTCAACCACTTCCCTGATGCCTGAGGCCGAGAAAACCTAACATGGAAATACGGAAAGCGGGTGAGACCACCGCGGAGAGGATTACTCGAAGTGGTTAAGAAGCCCGGGTGGGCCACCAAAAGCACCCAAGTTGACCCAACACGTAAGCTCCTGGTTTGTTCCCGCCGGTCCCCGAGCCTGCGCTCTGTCGCCCGTAAGACTCCCTGGGAGAAAAAAAAAAATACAAGAAACAAAACAAAAAAAGGGCAAAAACAAAAGGGAAGACAAGTATAACTATTATCTAGAACGTTTGTCGTCGTTTGGGAGCATCAACAACCACCTCAATAAACAAACAAGGTGATTAAATGATGTATCGATCATGACCGAAGTCCACGAGAACACGGGGCCTCCGAACCCGGAGCAGCCCCAAGAAACACCAGGCCCCGAGCAGCGAGTACGCAAAAGACGCAGGCGCACCATGGCCTGTACCCAGTGTCGCAGCAGGAAGCTCCGCTGCGACCGTGAATATCCTGCGTGCAGCCGTTGTCTGAAGAGCAAAACACCCACCAAATGTACTTACGAGGATGGCTTCCTATGGCAGCAGCCCAATACAGTTGCGTCGCCCGTCTTCTCCGACCGAGGTTCCACCACACTGGCGCAGAATCAGATTCCGCGAGTTGATCGGGCGCCCGCTCTCACTACCCCGGACTCGGGGATAAGCAGGCTGTCGGCTCGGCCACAACCACCACTACCACCACCACCACCACCGCTGCCGCCGTCAGGATCAGTAACATCACATCCCCTCGCACGGCATGGCGAGGAAAAGCGCACGTTCCTTGAAACTGTTCTTGGAGCGCCCAGGGCCGGCATCAACCAGGAGCCCTATGCGGACACCGAGGTGCTGCAGCGTCCGCAACATGGATCGGAGCATAGGCATGAGGTGCAGCCGCAGCTGCACGCGCTGGAGAACGATGACGGTCTTGCGTCTCCCGCGCAGCAGTTGGATATACTGCCGCGGATGATGATGAGGGGCAAGGAGACCATGACTCGGTTCAATGGGTCCGGCATCCTCGCCAATGTGATCGCGCAGGTGAGGTGGTGCGTTGCGGGTTTCATTCTCTCATCCTTGATGGTTAACCGTGTATGACAGTTCCCCGACATCCGGTCCTTTGCAGAAGAGGTTCGCCTCTCCAGTCCGAATCTTTCCCAACTACGCCCTGATTTGGAGAGGGTGAAGCGGGGCCTCTGGAAGCGGAAACCGTTGAGTGAACCGCTCCCGGTGCCGGACACTCGGGTCCTCATCGGCATACTGCCCGCTCGTCGCGCAGTAGATGAACTGGTTGTCTTGTATCTAAATTGTATAGAGGCTACCCATCGTATCCTCCACGTCCCCTCGTTTCTTAAGGAGCTAGATGAGTTCTGGGCGCAAAAGGACAATCCAGAGGTGGTCTCGGCCAGCTTCGTCGTGCAGCTGCTTCTGGTTCTAGCTTGTGCGTGGAATCTTGCGGACTTTGATACTCTGCAACTGAAGAACGAGACGGGTTTGAAATGCTACACTCCGGTTGAATGGGTCCTCCACGCCGAGAAATGGCTCGACAATGCTCATATCAAACGCCCGGAGATCACAGCCCTCCGGATGAAAGTCCTTCTCATTATTGCGCAGAATAGCTTCGGGATGAAACGAAGCCATGCTTGGCTGGCGACGGGGACCCTCGTCAAACAGGCCATGATCGCCGGATACCATCGGGATCCCAGCCGATATACAATGATATCAGTTTTCAATAAGGAGATGCGACGACGAATATGGACCACGATCGTGGAGCTTGATCTACAGGTGGCCCTCGAACGAGGGATGCCGCCTTCGGTGCAGGATTCTGACTACGATACCGTACCGGCCCTGAATATCAATGACAATGAAATCGATGAGGACAGTACTGTGCTCCCGGCCGGCCGACCGCTTCATGAAGTGACCGATTCATCCTTCCAAGCCGTACTCACTCAGTCCCTTCCGATACGCTTGAAAGCGTGTGCCTTGATGCATTCGCCTCGGATCCGCTGCCGTTACGAAGAGATTCTGCACTTGGACTGGGACCTCGAACGGTATCTCGCGAGGATTCCCGCATGGTCAGTGTCTCCAACGGATGACTTCCACACGCAGCACAAGGTGATCCTCATGCGATCCCTTCTGGAGACCAAGATTGGCCATAGTCTTCTATCGATCCACACCCCTTTTGCAATCGAAGCTCCCCGAGAGCCACTGTTTGCCCCCTCTGCTCGGTCTCGCCTCGAGATCGCGACCATGATCCTTTCTAATCAGAAGCGCCTGCATGAAACCTCGAAACAATTGTCTCTCTGCAACTTGGGCGATTGGACGATGCAAGCCTTCTGTTCTGTGTGTCAGATATTGCATGCGGGGGATGACCGACACGGTATGTGCTTTTTTTTTTTTTTTTTTTTTTCCGGATGCTGATTGCATCGCTCGTTCTGGTGAGAGAGAGAGAGAGAGATTGCCTGACTGTTTTCCACAGCATCCACGCCTATGATTCTCACGCGCACTCTTCCGGGACTCTCGGAATCCCTTATCTCCCTTCTGGACATGATTCTCGCCGCTGTTGAGACCCGTCTCCTTCTTGTCATCAAGGGTGCAAAGGAGTACTTCTTCATGTCGACCCTCCTCGCCTTAGTCCGAGCGAAACTGTGGCCGGCTCAGGCGAATGTTTACAAGCAGGAGGTAGTCGATCGCGTGATCTATTTTGCGCAGACCCTTTTTACGCGGCATGCAAACTGCTCTCATCTCGGCGCTCAGGGACTGGGTTGCTTCAAAACGGACCAGGTGAGAGAGAGCGAGAGAGAGAGAGAGAGAGAGAGAGATGTTTTCATTACTGACTGTTGTGATCAGGTCCCCAGTTTAGATATGGCGGACTTTAGTGGCCTTCTCCAACCAGAGAGCTTTGAGATCACCGTGAGTATCCGCCCTTGGCGTTCTTTCTTTTTCTTCCTGACTGAGATCCATTGTTAGCCACCTGGCGACATCGACCCTTTCCTCGAAGTCTTCGACTGGGCGGACCTGACGGGGATCACCTTTTCAGAATGACGTCAACATGATCTGACGAATCTCTCCTCCATTGAGTGACATCGAGTTGAGCTCACGCCAAGCTGGTTGGAGTTTGTAGAAGACAGGAAGTTGTATTCCGTACGCTGGGAAAATCGCTCCACTGATCTGCTGCGACGTAAGAGTACTTTCCTCATTCCATGTATTGATATGGATATGGATATGGATATGGATATGGATATTGATTCTTGATCATTGATAAGAGTGTAATGGATGAATCTTGAGGGGACAGCCTGATCCATAGGTAGAATAGATAGGTGTTTTGTTGCCCCTGACACTTAGATACCGGGAATCATCCCAGGGCTCCCGGAGGATCCTTCCATCATTGGTTCCAGAGCTCCGTCCCTGAGGTGGCAGAAGATCCCGTCATCTCCACGGGCGCTGGGGGAGTACCTTAGTACCTAGGATTATCTCGGTATTACGGAGTAGTATTCGGTATCAACCAGGAATACGGTGACACTACCCGTACTAGACCGTACTAGACCGTACTAAACAGTACTAGACCGTAAAAGACGGAACGGATGGAAAGTGAAAAAAAGCTTCTTTAGCTGGGAGAATGGCGCTAGTCCCAGAAGAGAATTGCAGTAGCTTCCTACTAATAGTACTTAGTACATTAGTGGATGATATTATTATGATTCTGATTCTTATCCTTATTCTCCCGTATTATCGCTATCACTGAGTTCTTGGTCTCGATCATATATATTCTCGACGGACTTCCAGACTTTCTGCCTGGTGGTGAACTGTTGACGCGATCATCTCATCACTCTCTTGGCCCATCTACCTACTTTCTTTTATCATGATGTTTCCCCTGTATATAGTGATTTGACTTTAAATTTGTTTCCCCCCCCCCCTATCTTTTGTTCCTTGATGAAAAGCGCAGCAATGGTTCGAATACGGCGGTTGGCTCAGGTATCCCTCCTACTCTTCCACCAGACGGTAGCAGGAACACCATCCTTGACATCGGAAGAACAAGCCTCGATATTCTCCAAGACCGATGACTATCCGCTCCCCAACCAAGGCCATGTGGTCGCACACGACCCCAACATCATCGAGTACCACGACCACTTCTACCTCTTCAAGGGCGGCGTCCACATCCCCGTCCTGAGATCCCCCAGCCTCGACGGGCCGTGGACCAACATCGGCACCGTCCTCGACGGACCCAGCGTGGTCGAGAAGCAGAACCGCACGCGGCCCTGGGCGCCGACGACCATCTTTCACAACGCCACCTTCTACTGCTACTACGCCATCAGCTCGCCTGGCTCGCGCAACAGCGCCATCGCCGTCGCCACGACCGACGCGCTCGACGGCGGCAACTGGACCGACCACGGCGCGCTGGTCAACACGGACAAGGGCCATTCCGCGCACCTCTACCCGTACAACGAATCCAACGCCATCGATGCATCGTTCATCGTCGACAACCGAACCGGTCAGCCGTATCTGAACTACGGCAGCTACTGGCATGGGATCTTCCAGGTGCCGCTGGCGGATGATCTCTTGTCGGTGAAGGATGCGGAGAAACCGCAGGCAAGCAACCTGGTGTATGTGCCGGACGAGACGGTCAAGCCCGTCGAGGGGTCGTGGATGAGCTTCAAGGATCCGTACTATTACCTCTGGTTTAGCCATGGGCGATGCTGTGGATTTGGGGATGGACAGGAGGCGAAGGATTTTCCCAAGAAGGGACAGGAGTATGTTTTTTCCCCCTTTGTTTTACGCTTCTATGTGCACACGGGCTGATTGTGTGCAGATATGACATCCGGGTGGGGAGGTCCACGAGTGTGACGGGGCCGTTCCAGGATAAAGATGGAAAGCTGCTTACCAACGGCGGCGGGACGATTGTATATGCCTCGAACCATGGTGTCGTCTATGCCCCCGGTGGGCTCGGCGTGCTGCCTGAGAATGAGAAGCATCCTGATATCTTGTATTATCATTACTGTCAGTCAGGCCTCCACTTTTCGTCCGCGCTTGCTAATTTGGCCATGTAGTAAATACGTCAGCGGGGGTTTCAGACGGTGTGAGTCGATAATGGATCATGTATCCATGTAACCAGTGCGCTGACACGTCAAACAGGATGCACATCTGGGCTGGAATTATCTGAAATACAAGGATGGCTGGCCATCAGCACAGTATGTTTCTTTCCCTCTTCAAAGACAGGCCAGTTGCTAACTTGTGCAGAGGGGGGAAGAACAGTGGGATGGCGCTTCGGCCCAACGCCATCCTCCGCATATCTGTGCTGATCAGTACGCTTTTCCCTGCTAGCATCGATCTGAACATCGCTAATTCTCGACAGTGACATATCTTCTGATGTGACCTATACCCGGCTTAGCATTTATCTGATCTCCAGGACTTGGTGTTGCATACATACTCGCTCCTCAGCTCAAAAGGTCTCCAGATATCACTTTCTAGCTGGTAGTGATATCTGTAGTTGTTGGATACTTGGATACTTGGATACCCCCCAATCCTCAATTCTTCGGGCTCGGTGCAGTTTGACACCAGCGGAATCTGGTTTTTCGCATTAACCCAATGTTGCGCTGCTCAGTCATAAGACCTAGCATAGACCCGCTGCAACGGTCTCTTGGTATACGCGCAAGAGACCGGCACGCCGATAACATTGCATTGGAGCGTAGGAATTGCTGAGTTCGTGCAGGTCGGGTGGACGAGTATATATCATCACGACACCCTGTGTTAAACGGGATGGATATATGCTGCTGTCTGTATGAAAGATATGATTATTCCATCATGGCGTATCTGGTTAAGGAGCAGTGGGAAGAAGATATGCCCGGGGAAGAGGGTTTATGTAGACTGGCAGCAGAGAGCAGAGAGCAGAGAGCAGACCGGCCAGATCCATTCAAAGGGTTGTAAGACTAGTATATACCCGTCAATCAATCAATGAGGCGCTCTTCCCGCATAGATTTATCAATCCTATTGCATACGGAGTAGACAATACCCTTATTCATTCATTCATTCATTCCCAACCTCCCCTAGAACTTTATTCATTATTGACAATTATTGACTCCTGATCCAATATATTGTCCACATCACAACTATCCATCATCCAGTACCCTCCCCACCAATAGAGTACCCACTCAACAGCTTTTCTTATATCAACATCAACCCCCCCCCCTTCTCCATCTTCGTCTAAGCGTTGAATGGAACAGCCATCGACGGGGCACTCTGCTGAGGAGAAGCAGGAAACCCACCAAAGCCACCAGATGGCATGGGGTAGCTGCTAGCAGGAGTGGGAACACCGCCACTTGGCATGGGGAACGCCGGGGAAGCAGAGCCGGAGCCAAAGCCAGCCGTGCCGGAGGGAGAAGCACCGGCAGGGAAGCCGCCGAACAGCTTGGAGTAGTAGTCTTGTTCGGCCTTGGCGAGGGCGCTGAGGCCCGTGAGGTCGGGCTGGCCGGAGGCGGAGGCGGAGGCGGAGGGCATGGGGAATGCGAGGCCGGAGGGTAAGCCGGAGGGTATAGCGAAGGGCAAGCCGGAGGGAAGGCTGGCCGAGGAGCCGGAGGGGGAGAAGGATGGCATGCCTTGGGGTTTGGGGGCGGGGGCGGGCAGGGCAACGGCACCGGCACCGGCCAGGAAGCCCAGAGGGATAGCGATGGAGAACTTCATCTTGACTATAGATAGATAGATAGATAGATTGATTTTGTTGTTGTTGTGAAAGAGAGAGGTAGGTAGGGAAGCTGATATTGAACACGAACTTGGGAGAACTACTGGGCCCAATTTCGACGAGGGTTGATGCGGTGCTTTTATAGAATAATAATGGACGTACTCCGGACAGAAGTAGAACAACAACAGACGGGCAGAGAATCAATCGATCACCCCCGATCAGTTCAATCACAATGGTTCATTTTCATCCTGGTCAAGTCAAGTCCGAATCCAGACGGGACATGCTGATCCCGAGCTCGAAAACGCTGTACTCCATCTGCAGACTGCCTGTCAGTGTCAGCCCCAGAGGTCGTGACCACTACAAGAGCCCAGAGATCGGTGTCCGGATCATCCGTTAACTTAATAAACTCGACGATCGTTCAGCTAGCAGACAGATAGTCGAGGCTCGGGGTCCAGTGGCCTCAAATTTGAGAATGATCGGCCGGTTACACCATGACGAATCTTTTTCCGTGGATGCACTATGTATGTACGTAGTAGCTATCATTGATGACTTTAAGATCATCGCACATCGGGTGCCTTCTTTTGACTGAAGCCCAAGTATGCATGTGGGGGAATCCTGGAGGACGCGTTGATGGAGCTGCATCCTGCAGCATGAACAGACCCATTGAGTCAGTACCTAGTCAGTACTCCAGTCTCCAGCCCGGTAAGGCTCACAATTACGGAGTAGAGAAAAGCTGATTCCGTCGTGATAGAATAAAGCACCAATCACATCGATGCAGAGCAAACGTTTTCTTCTCTGTCGGGATCGACGGGCATCCAACCTTCTTCGACTGTCTATGGAGCCTGTAGGTAATCTGGTAGCCTCATTTCACTTCGCTCCTTCCATTGAAGCTATTGAGTCGATCCCATTGCGACTCAGCCGACAAGAATTCCAGAGCTTAGCTGCTCGACCGTCTACGTAGTACTGTGTACGTACACATCCGGGTGCCATACACTGAACCGCCGTGTCCGACTCGGCGCTATTATTGATGCGATGAGTATTAGGCTGCGGATCGGAACTTCAGGTTACGGGTCATCGGCAAGAATCCTCAACGCAAGGGGGATGCAGTTGTCAATGCATGATCATATTGACGGTCCGCAGGTGTTTGACCAGTCCGTCCTGCAAGTTCCAGCCCGAAGCTCGGTCGTAGTCGAGGATGGGCGATTCAGACTTGTCTTCCAGCTCAGAGACAGGCGAAAAGAACTCCCATCAGGCTGCGTGCCGAGTAGGATAATGCTTCCATCCACAGCCTGTGAGCAGCTGGACAAGAATGCTGGACACTATCACGGCTACTAACTACTTTCTGTAGTAATATCCCATATCCCTTCCGGCGGTAACGGGGGCTACGCTTCGGGGAGGCAGCACCTATACTGTCTGTCCTCTATACACCAGAATACGTCTGAGGTCAGGGCTCAAGACGCAAGAACAAAAGTAGATGAAAGAAACATATAATGAGAGTAAGCGCATCTACCCCAGCGCAGTGTACAGTGATCTAGCCTCCTAGAAGGCCTACTGTCCACTCATACTGACACCTTGTTGAGGAGTTATCCCAACCTTTGTCCTTTTATTCCGGAATTATCTTCTTTTCCATCATACCTTCTGCTGTCAATCCTCCTTACGAAAGGCGACGTGCCTGGGCCAACAGCAGTATCGTTTAGGGCTTCCTTCTACTTCGGCCGAATGCTGAGTCAACCCATCAACACGAACGAGAGTTGATATCGATATTCTATACCATTTGTCATCGCAGCAAAGCACAGAAACTCCCGGGCAACTATATAAATCAATTGAGAGGGGAAGAATAGATGAATAGCCATGAGTTCCTCGACATCCTAATCCTCATCCTCGTCGAACCCCATCTCCCCATCTCCCATCACTTCATCCACATCCCATCCCCCACCATGGTCCGCATCACCCAGCCAAGAGTCGACCCCCTGCCCACAGACATCGACCTGACGGGGAAAACCGTCGTGATCACCGGCGCCAGCTCCGGCATAGGCCTAGAAGCGGCCCGGCAGCTGCTCCAACTCCGCGCCTCGACCGTGGTCCTCGCCGTGCGCAACGTCGCCAAGGGGGAAGCCTGCGCCGCGGCCCTCCGTCAGGACCCGCGTGTCGGATCCCACAACCCCACGGCCGAGATCCAGGTCATGCAGCTCGACATGGACCGGTACGACAGCGTGCAGCGCTTCGCGCAGCAGGTCCGCGAGGAGATCCCCGTCGTCGACCTCCTCCTCCTCCTCAACGCCGGGATCGGCCTGCTGAAGCTCGAGCGCAGCCCCAGCGGCCACGACCGCACCACCCAGGTCAACTACCACTCGAACGTGCTGCTGATCGCCGAGCTCCTCGCGCACCTCGAGGCCGGGGCCGAGAAGACCGGCTCGCCCGCGCGCATCAGCTGGGTCGGCAGCCGCATGCACGCGAGGTCGAGCCTCGAGGGGAAATCGCCCATCGCGCCCGGCGAGCGCGTGATCGAGCACATGGACAGCGACGCGGCCTATGTGCGCTTCTACCGCTACGCGGACTCGAAGCTGCTGTGCGCGCTGTTCATGTATAGCCTGGCGCCGCGGGTCGATCCGAAGAAGGTCGTCCTCAACATGATGTGTCCGGGCATGGTGAATACGCCCATGAGCGATTGGCTGCCGGTGTATCTGCGCCTGCCGGTGAACGTGGTCAAGGCCGTCTACGCCCGACCTGTGGAGGTGGGGGGCTGGCTTATCCTGCATAGTGCGCTGGTGGCAGGTCCGGAGTCTCATGGAAAGTTCTTGATGGACAAGGCCATTGTCGAGTAAGTGACTTCTTCCACTCGCTTGGACCTTGAAGAAGATTTGACGTGATTGCTAACAACACCCTGTAGCAAAGCAGCCTTTGTCAAATCAGCGGCGGGACAGGAGATTCAGAGAAAGCTCTGGGAGGAGACGGTGGCCGAGATGAGCCAGTTGACGACGCTTCCGGTCGAGTTCAAATAGATCCATCCATCCAATTCCTTTGCACCGTTGCTTCGTTTGTTAATCTATGCACCGCATCCAAATCAACATGAGATAGAATCAGAAGGGACCTAGGATACTATCAGACCCCATGATCAAGGACGACGCCCAGGCCTCGAGGTCCAAAAGAGGGGCGAGAGGGCTCATGTCTAGGCCAGAGTCACCCTCAGCCATCCACGCGCTTTTCGGCGGCCCTGCCTTGATGTTGGCAGTCACTAGTAGGCCTGTAGTGCTAGAGGGGGCACTGTGAACCCCGAGAGAAGAGTCGAGACGCTCGCGAAGTTCCACCAAGACCTGGATAGCTGAAGGCACCCGCATCTTACCCTCGTTCGTCGGTGGCGAGGAGCCTGGGATTTGGCAATGAGTCTTGAAGTGATGTAGAGTCTCATCGACGCAGGAAAGAAACAGCAAAGCATCTTCTGAGTCCGAGAAGGAAGTCAGGTACGTTAGAATGATGAATACACACTGTAGAGGGCCATGATGGCTGCAGCAGAACCAGGCGTAGGGAGAGAACGCGGGTGTTTGGGAGAGCTGCAGGTAGACACGCAGATACTTCAGGCAGAGCTGTGCTATGCTGTTGGCTCCCTCGCTTGTTAGACTACGAGAGGATAGAGAAAACGGGACCAAAGAACAAAAGAGTCGTAGTCGTACCTCATCCATGATGTTCGTGACTGCGGATTCGTCCTGTCCGGCGGGACCAAGAATGCTTTGCGCAACAGGATGGCCACTTCAGACTTCAACAAAGTCAGCATGATCCGCGTCCATGCTGCAAAGACAGTCGGCTGGCTCGCATCGCCCGTGTACCATGGCGGATGCGTGAACGGTGGGGATGCGTCGCCAGCGAGCCGGGATGAGATGTCGCTCGATTCGGGGATTCCCAGCGTCGGAACGCGGCCAAGCAACGCGTCAAGGTTCTGCAGAAGCTGCGTTGCATCTGCGACAAGCGCGTCTCGTCCGTCTTTGGTTGGACCCTGCGGGTTCTGCAGATCCGCGACGAGCCTGGCTTGTACGCGCGCCGTCAGAGAGCGCCCGGTGGCATATATCATAGCTTCATCCGCAGCGTCGTCGACCATTCGCACAGCCTCGAGGGCCTCAGGACCGCAGCAGAGGTCCATCCCCGTGGCGATACTCGACTGCACATCGAGCCCGACGATGTGCCACCAGACGCGCCGTCGGATTCCCTGGTCCACGGGGCTCAGCGCGGACCAGGCATCCCCCCGATGTAAGCCCATCAGCTGGGCGACGCGAACGGTGGTGCTCCGCTGCACCAGATTACGCATCGGCTCAAAAGGACGGTCCCGAAACGGGCCGGTCAGCAACGTGGACACCAGCGTATGCATTGTCGGATGCTCCAGATGCCGGCACAGAGAAAGGCAGGTCGTGTATGCGCGCTCGAGCTGGCTCACGGTCGTCTCCTTCTGCAGGCCCTGGAGGTTGGGGGCCGTCCAGCTGGCGACGGGCGCGGCCGATGCGCCACAATACAGGACTGCAAAGAGAAGACAGAACCAGGACGGGTCCTCGCGGAGATCTTCCGGGGGCATTGCGCTCCCGCTGTGCCGACACCAGTCCCAGAACCGGTCGTAGTCGGTCTGCAGGGACGGCAGATGCAGGAGAGGAGACAGGGGCCACACGGCACCGAAGAACGATTCGAGCAGAGCATCGCTCACGGGCTTAGTGGGCAAGGACCGGAGGAGGTTAAGCATGCTCATAGAGGAGATATGGGGCAGGGGGAGACCGGGGGGAACATGACGACTCTCGTCAAAGAAATCGTCGCTCAGACTCTCCTGCAGGAAGCCCAATTGGGGGTCAGCTCTATTAACTTTGCATACCCAGATCCTATCCTATCCCTCACGAGGAAAAAAAAAAAAAAACAACCAACTACCTTTCCAGCAACCAAGCCCCAAAAGGTTGGGCCAATGTATCGGACCTGACCACCCCGGCGCAGACTGAGATGACCACGACCCCGTTGGAGGGGAGCTGGGATGGGACACGCCGTTGGCTCTGAGGACCTGCCAGGATGGTCCTGGGGTGATGCTGGTCGCACACGGCCCGTCGACTCGTCACGACGCATAGCCTGGTAGACGCAGGTCTCTTGCATGCGCACGCAGTTGGCGCATTCTGGCTGTTCGCGTCCGCAGCGAACCTTGCGTCGCCGACAGACGATGCAGCTCAGCGAGACCCGGGGTTTTCTGATCGGACGCTTGGGGGCAGGCATTCTTCAGTGGTATGATAATAATATGATTATTCTTGTTTCTCCTGTGGAGTGTCATCGGCTTAGCTCCGGGGTGAGACCTGCTGTTAGTACTTATTAGACAGACTCTTATTGGGAGTTGATGACCAGGATTATTAGGAGCTATGGTAATGTAGGCCCTCTTCGATTGTATATTATAATATTAATAGTTACTCTGAGTAGTCCTCCCAATAGTCTATTATTGAGTATCGAAATCCTTGGGATGAATTGAATGGAATCGAATCCACCACAACCATCACATTACAGATGAAACCCTAATATCCATCGGCCATCTGAAAAATTCTCTCGACTCCGTATACCATTCCAACTCCTGCACCACAATAATTTCTCATCAAAAGTGATTAGTGAGCATAGAACCAAGACTTCCCACTCATCTTGACAGCCGATCTTATCGCTGATGCCATTCCACGCTTGGCTTGCACCATTCCCACATCCAACGCTAAGCGTCGGGTAGATAAGACCGGCGCTTTGCCGTGACTCGTGAGCCATGGACGGAGAATCAATCTGTGCATCGTCGAAGAAGAAGAAGAAATGCCCGTCAAAAGCGTCGCGGTCATCGGCGCTGGCCCCGCTGGCGCCATTGCCGTCGATGCGCTCATGCAGGAGCGCGCATTCGATGTAGTCCGCGTGTTCGAACGACAAGAGAAGGCTGGTGGATGCTGGTAAGTCAGCTTGACATACAATCCCCCAAAGGTCCAACAGATCCAAAGATCCAAGCCCCCTTTCTAAACCGATGATTCCAGGGTCGCGCGAGATGAATCGCCCATCCCCCTGGACATCGACAACCTGGCCGCGCGCACCGCCGACGCGCCCATCCCCATCCCCTCCAACCTCCCTTGCCGTCGCCCAGCCATCACCCAGCCGCGCTTCACCGACTCCCACGTCTACCCTACCCTGGAAGCCAATGTCGACGCGGCCGTCATGGCGTACTCGCAGGAGCCTATGCCGGAGATCCGCTCGCAGCGCTCCATCGCCCTCCACGGGCCGGACACGCCGTTCCGCCACCACACCGTCGTCAGGCAGTACATCGAGGACCTGCTCAACCGGCACGGCTACCAGGATCTCGTGCAGTACAACACCACCGTCGAGCACGCCGCCAAGGACCCGCAGGGCAGGTGGGTGCTGACCCTGCGCCGGCCCGAGTCCGCAGACCTCGACGCCTGGTGGACGGAGACATTCGATGCCCTCGTCGTGGCGTCGGGCCACTACTCCGTGCCGTGGGTGCCGGCCATCAACGGGCTCCAGGAGTTCGCGGAGAGATACCCCGGCAGCGTACTGCACACGAAGCAATATCGCGGGCCGGAGAAGTACATCGGAAAGGTACCCAGCCTCCCTTCCCCCCCTTCCTCAAAACAACCAAACCTCACCCAACCTAACCCACGCTCTAGAGAATCGTCACCGTCGGCGCCTCCGTCTCCGCCGCCGACACGGCCGTCAGCCTCATCGACCACGCCCAAGCCCCCATCCACGCCGTCGTCCGCGGCAAATACAACATCTACTTCGGCGACGAAGCCTTCAACCACCCCCAGATCCAGCGCCACCCACCCATCACCCACGTCGACCCGGCCACCCGCACCGTCTGCTTCCAAGACGGCGCCTCCGTCCCCGCCGTCGACCACATCATCCTCGGCACCGGCTTCACCTGGACCCTCCCCTTCCTGCCCCACGTCCCGCTCCGCAACAACCGCATCCCCGACCTCTACCTGCACATCTTCCACGCCGCCGACCCGTCGCTGGTCTTCCTCGGCGCCGTCGGCGCAGGCCTCACCTTCAAGGTCTTCGAGTGGCAGGCCGTCGCGGCCGCGCGCGTGCTGGCCGGCCGTGCCGCGCTGCCGTCCGCCGAGGAGCAGCGGCGGTGGGAGGCCGAGCGGATCGCGGCCAGGGGCGACGGGCCGGCGTTTACGGTGCTGAATCCGGATTTCGAGGCGTATTTCGAGCAGCTGCGCGCGTTGGCGGGGGAGCCGGCGGAGGGCGCGCCGGGGCGACGCTTGCCGCCTTTCGAGCAGAGGTGGCTGGATGATTTTAATGCCGGGCATCAGCGGAGGATTCGGATGTGGGAGAGGCTGAATCGGACTCAGAAGCAGGCGAGTCGGTTGTGAGGGGGAGATTGGGATGATTGGGGATTGGGGGGTGTGGTAGGGGAGCGCTTCTTGATTCTAGAGAGTATATATATTTTCATGCTGTATATTATTTATCCCACTTATTTATGCCCTGTCAAAAGATCACCGCCGCGCTTCCTGGCTCTACCAATCTACTTGACACCGGACCTTCACTCGCAAACATTCAACAACGCCACGGTAGGATCATGGTCCGAAGCCTGGTCGCTGGACGACACCCACGTATTCAGATGCAGATGGTGCATCTTGGCCCCCGCCGCCAACGCCGGACTGATAAACATATGGTCGAGCTGCTGGCAGTTCAAATCGTAGAGATACGTGTATCGCTCCGTGGAGGCCACGCCCGCCACGACGTCCAGATCCTGGAGCCCGGAGTCCGCGACAAACGACTCCAGCGGCTGCGCGAAAGCAAACTCGTTGAAGTCGCCGGCCGTGAGGATCTTCGCCTTGGAGTCTTGTGCCAGGATGGACGAGGTGAATGCCTATCGCCTGTTAGTTATAGTGCTGGAGATGGTATTGGTCGAACACCTGGTATGGGGGGGGGAGGAGGAGAAGGGACGTAGACATACAGCAACGACTTCCGCCTGTGCGGCGCGGGTACTCACGTCGCCGTTGACGGGGGGCCGCGCATCGCCCTCGATCGGGGACCCGCCTAACTTGCTGGTGAAGTGCACGTTGATCGTGAAGAACTTGTTCTTGCCGTCCAGCGTCTCCCAGGCCGCAGCGAGCGGTTTGCGGCAGTGATCCCAGGCGGCGTCGGCCGGCGCGATCCGCCCCGGGTTGTACTTGAGTTCGGCGCCGGGCAGGACCTCGTTGGCGTCTGTGCTGGAGCCTGGGTTGGGGTTGTGCAGCCGGACCACGGAGGGGTCGTAGAGGTATGCGACGCGGATGTTGCCGCCGGGCTGGCCGCCGTCTTGGTCGTCGATGGGGTTGATGTCGACGAAGTTGTAGTTGATGCCGCCCTGGTCAGCGATGGATTGCGCCAGGCTGGCGAGGGTCTGGTTGGCAGAGACGACTGCGAGGTTGGTGAGCTGCACAGATCTCACTTGAATTTCCAGTAGGAAAGGAAAAGGATGAGGTACATACCTCCGTCATCAGTCGGTCCATCGTCGTCCTGAATCTCCTGCAGGAAGACGATCGTCGGGCTCTTAAGGTACTGCGCAATGTGCTGGGCGACCTTGGGCAGCGTCGCCGAGGTCGAGGAAAAGTTGTCGATGTTGTATGAGCCAAAGGTCACCGCGCTGCAGGTTCCATCCGACACGAGGTTCGTCGCCGCGGCGCTTGTCGAGTTCGACCCGGTCACCGACAACGCAGTCAGAGGCAGGATCCTATAAGAGCCGAACCCCTGCGTGACCACGCCCGTGATATCCTCCAGGGTATCACCCAGCTTCGTATCCGTGGGATTCGTGCTCCCGTCCAGCGGAGATCCAATAACGATCGCCTCGGGGTTGGAATCTGCACGGCATCAATCCCATCAGCACGCAGCCCATTCCACCTCCCCCCTCCACGGGAAAAAAAAAAAAAAAAAAAAAAAAAAAAAAAAAAAAACACCAGGAAAAGACAATGAAAACCAGTACCTTTAGCCCGCATAGTCAACCCTCCTCTCTCATTCCCGCCCGTCGTCTTCCAATCCCCAACGACCCCCGTATCGCCATACGAATTCGGCTTCCCAACGGCCCGCAGCCCCGTCACCGTCACCAACTCCCCACTCAGACTCTCCCAAAAGTCCATCCCGAAGCTAGACGGCTGCAGAACAGGGTTCACGTTCGAGATCTGGCTCGCGTCATTCGGCAACCCGAGCACATCCCCGCCGTCCAGGCTTGAGAACTGCTCCGTGGGCGGCATCAGGCCGCCCTTCCCGACAACCACCGGCGTGACGGGGTTCCCGCTCGACGTCACCCTGAGCGCCGACGGCGATGAGAGTTCCGTCAGATACACGTACGCGCTTGAGGAGCGGTACTCAGTCACCTTGCCGCTGAGCGAGACGATGTCGCCGACGGAGACCTTCGCCGCGGCGGTGCTGCTGTACACGTAGATGGACCCAGAGGTGGCGGCGTCGGTGTCGGGGGTGGTGGAGCGCAGGTAGAAGCCTGTGGAGCCTATGGCTGTGACCAGGCCGTGGATTCTGGAGACGGTTTGTCCATCGTAGGGGGAGAGGTACTTGTTGCCGTTGAGCTGGGCGATGGTGACGGCCAGCGTGGGGTTGAGGAGGAGCGCCGCGGCGCAGACCGAAAGGATGGATTTCATAGTGAGGTTCAGCTCGGTCTACTCTATGGCGTGAGAAGATAAGATGAGCTGGTGTCTGAGAGGGAAGGAGACATGATGTTATGATGCTTTTTATACTAACAGAGCGGGAGGATGCCGTGAGGGGTGCCGGCGACGGAGTCCGATCTGTCGCCGAGGGTATACTCCATAGTCTGGTGTCCCATTGGAATGCAATGCAGGACATGCAGTCTCTCCTGCAGCCCTCAGGGGTGAATTCGGTGCCATTCGTCGTCTCCTGTCCGGTGCACCAGTGACGGTCGCGGAAGATGCCCACGTTGTAGAGCCAAGCATGCAGCTAAGCAGCAGCTAAGCACGCCAACTGCCGCTGCAGATGTAACACTCTTATCAATCAAGCCCCCTTGTTTTCTTACTTGTGAAGAGTTGTGGATAGACCAGAAGATGATGTCGATGGTGGATACGATTCATGCGAATATCTGATCTGATCGAGTCCCCCGAGCGTCCAAGAAACAATGCCCTCACCCATATCCATGACCCTAAGTAAATACGTCCGTCGCATATCTCTCCTTCGTCTTCAGATTATCCAAGAACTGCTCGGCCGCCGCATCCTCATCGTCCTCGGCAACATCCTCGCCCCGTTCCCGTTTCTCTTGACGCACCTGGCGTCGTCGCTCGAGATACATCTCCTTGCACGCCTGCCGCACTCCGTTGCCGACCCCTGTGCTACCACAAACATAAATCCGAGCACCCTGGTCGAACAAATCAACCAGCTCCGCACGATCCTCCAGCATCAAGTCCTGGACGTGACGGCCCTTGGAGCCATCCTCAGGCCGACTATATGCCCACCGCACCTCCACGGCTCCCAGCTGCGCCCATTCGGCGAACTCGGCGGCATGGATGTCATCCTTGCCCTTTGTACGGCAGCCAACATACAGGATAGCTTTGGCTGGCTTCGCCGTCTCAGGAATCTCTTTATCCGAGCCAATCGAGCTGTGCCGGCCCCGAATCTTTTCGGCGCGGTCCATGACGAACCCACGGAATGGCGCGAGTCCACTACCTGCACACGCCATGATCATCGGCGTCTTCAAGTCCATGGGCGGCTTGAAGCCCGAGTGCGATGGCCGGACGCTGATATGAGCGCGGTCGCCGGGCTTCAGCTCCGACAGGTACGTGGACGCAACCCCCAAGTACTGTTCGGCTTCCTCCTGTTCCTGTGGAGGTAACGATGCCGCCGCCAGAGACGGAGCATTGAGCACGGAAAATGTAATGCAGCATTCAGAGGGATCTGCCAGGGGAGAGGAGGAGATGGAGTACTGGCGCACGCGCATGGGCGGGAGCATCGCCAGGAAGTCGCCGACAGGAAGCTTGATTGACGGATAGCGGATCAAGATATCCAACGGGCTCAACCGCTTCTTGACAATCTCCTCGGTGAATCGACTGGGGCTGGACGCAAGATAGCGAAGTTCGGCTTGCACATCGGCATCCGCTGCGGCTGCATCGGCCAGCACATTCAAGTCTCGCTTGGATGCAGGCTGCGAGAGCTCAACATAAGTGGACAGGAGATCAAAAGCGGACACAGGTGTGTCCAGCGGAATGGAGGTGGATCCCTTGGAAGCCTGCGACGATTTACGGATCGTCAGCATGGCGTCCCAGGGGAGATCAAAGCGCCGGATGGCACGGCGAACGACACTGCTCGGGTTGACTGGGAGCACCGCAAGGTAATCGCCGCACTGGTAGGTCATGTCCGACGGGAGTTTGAACTTGACCATTCTCTTGGCCGGCACGCCAGGCTGGGAGAGCAGCTGGTTCTCAATTACGAACCCTTCCTGCAGCTGAAGACCCAAGGTCGATGCTCTCATGCCTGAGCTGATCTCCACCTGTAGATTGGACGTCGCCTTAGTGCCTGTCTCTGATTTTCCCCCTCCGAATTTTGATGTGATTGCAGGCCAGAATGCGGACTCGCCCCAGCTGTCAAAGTCGGTGAACATGTCCGAATGGGCAGCATCAGCCAGCCCCAGATCGCACAAACGGTTTCCACCCCGCTCGCCAACGAGTTCGTTGACAGCCTTGGGAATGCGGTGGAAGGTTGCGTGCCAGTCATCTAATCCGCAGTCAGTCGTTGTTCTCCTGTACGGCAGTAAATTTTTAGCAAAGACTTACGATGACCACAGCCAAAAACAGCGTAGTTGATTCCCTCCAGCTCCTTCCCCTTCAGGCCGCTGAGCCACTCAAAGAAGTGAGCAGCATTGTCTGGTGGCTGGCCCTCGTAAGATGCCGTGATGAACACCACTGGATCCTCCTTGGGGATATTCTCCTTGGCCGAATCCAGTGACTGGACTTCAGCAGCAAACCCATATCCCACAGCATCGTCGGCCAATCTTCTGGCAAACGTCTCACATGTTCCCGTATTGCTGCCAAAGAAAATATGCATTGGTTTCAGCTGACCAGAAGGAGGAGCAGCAGCCTGCGGTTTGCGGGAGCGGCTCGCCGCTCCGGCGCTCTCAGGTGGCACGCTATCAACACTACCACTCAACATGATACCGAGCTGGGTCGCATCGAGGCCATGGCGCAGTGCGGCCCTCATGTGGAAATCCTTCGGCTTAATTGTGAGCGTTTGCTTGATATGGAGGTCGTAGCTGGGATCATCCATCTGGAAATTGAAGTTTTGCAGCAGGATTGCTACCACAAGCAACGCTTCCTGCCAGGCAAATGGGCGGCCAATACAGGCGCGCATACCGTTACCAAACGGCTTCCACGCGTTCTTGGGGAGCTTGTCGAATTCCTCGTCAAGCATGCGCTCCGGTCTGAATTCCTCCGCATCAGGGCCATAGACCTTAGGGTCCCGGTGCAACTTATCGAGCACGATCACGATGGCCTCATCCTTATTCAACACGTACTTGCCATTTCCCAGGGTGACTGGGTCTTCCTTGTTCTTCTCTGGGTGCGCATGAAGAGCAATCAAGGGAGCCGTGGACCTTAGCCGCAGCGTTTCCCGCATCACAGCGTTGATGTATGGCAGTTTCGATAGGTCTTCGACCGTAATCTTCCGCCGCCCAATGACAGCGTCCACCTCTTCCTGTGCTTTCTGGTATGCGCGGGGGTTCTTCAGCAGGTAGTAGAAGAGGAAAGAGAGCAGTCCAGAGGTTGTTTCGTGGCCTGCATTTTCAATTAGCTGAGTCATGGAGAACAAGTGTTTCGCACCATACCCGCAATCAAAAAGGTGATCATGTTGTCGATGATCGAACTATCACTGAGACCTTGACCGGATTTGGGATCGCGACCCAGGATCAATGAGTTTAGCAGATCCTTCTTATCCTCCGGGTTCTGTCTCCGATTGTCAACCAATTCTTGGGCCAGTTTCCGCAAGAATTCGATATCGCTCCAGTACTTGGCATTCTCACTTGTGGGCAGGTTGTTAAGGAGGGCCGGCCGGCGGGCCCTGTCACCGGACCCTTGCAGCAAACCAACCATTGCCTCGACGAACGGGTGCATTTCTTCGTGGTAGAAGGAGTTGAAGCGTGTCCCCATAGCACAAAGTGCGATTGTGTCTAGAGTCAACCGGGTGAAGTCATCGGTGACCATAATCGGGACATGGGGCCCCTGGCGCGCCCACTTCATGACAAGCTGCGTCGCAATATCGTACATATCTGGGTACTATGTGAGCATGGGTGGTGGTGGTGGTGGTGGTGGGACAGGATGGTAGAGAAAGCCTGCCTGGTGTGTACCTACCATCATACATTCCCCGAATAGACAACGGTCCAAAGGCTGGGACAAGCACGCGGTGGGCAATGGCCCAGTTTTCCTCGCCAGGAAAGTGAGCGGTAAACAGGCCATCGTGGATCCCATTCCGGATCTCGTTCAAGCCCGCTGTAACGACCTTGCTGAATCTCTCTTCGTCACAAGCCTCGTTGACGAGTTCATGGGTGTTCAGAAACACTCTGGAGCGGCCAAATGTGGTCAACCGATAGATTTCGCCTAGGGAAATCTTGTCAGCTTGTCCGTGAAGCTAGCGAAAGGGCGACGCGAGAAAGATCCAGCTGTGGTATGACGGGGAGGAGAGGCACTACCATAATGATCTGCCATCATGTTGATGCTCCTCAGAGGGACTTCCTGTTCGATATCATAGATATTCCCCAAGAGGGGAACCCCCTTGGGGCCTGGAATGGGGATGGTTTTCGATTCAGTCATGGTGAACGAGGTATGGATTGGATGGTAGGAATCAACCAGAGCCAGAAAACAAAGTCAGCTATATTGAATTACACTCTTGATGGATTCTCAATGGAAGAAGAAAAAGAAGGAGAAGAAGAGGAGGAGGAAGTCGATGCTGGATGAACTCATTAACAAAGCAACAGTTGTGAGGGGCTCCAGCTATTTAAATAACACCCCACTGCAGCTCAACCTGAGACACAGATCGAGGACTCCACATGAGTTGTGGTGGGATGAGGTGTCACCGTGTCTCCATAGGAGATCATCAGAAGCAATGAGATAATGATATGTGGTAGATGGTAGATGGTAGTACCACTAAAAGACTGGTTGAAAAGAGGGAGATACCTCGGACGAAACCGCTGGGCTGCTGTGTACAGTGTACGGAGTATGATTCTGAATCAATTATGTCATCGAGCTGCCCCCCATTAGAGATTAAGATTACCGCGGTGGGCCACGTTGTGCACATAGGGACGGTATTACTGATAATGCATGGCTTATTTATTCTTGGGCAGCCTTGTTCAATAAAGAGTTTCATAACTTTCACTCAAGGAGCAAAAAATAATGTGAGAAAAGTGTTGATAAGCATCCAATAAACAATTCCTCCTTTCTATTCATTAATTTCTACAGAGTAGATAGTGTACTGTGTATACTTTGGGTCACTACTACCATTTAGGTCAAGGATGAGAGACATCAAGACATTTCTTTTTTCACTTTCTGTTCTACTGGGGATATCAACTACTACGTAGATGTAGAGCTAATAAGACTGTAAATTGATTATTAGTATTTTGAACTCATGGTAAACTCTATGCCTATCCCTGGAGTATGACTATATCAGGTGTGTGGGAGAATTCCTGGCCAGCCCCTGTTGGCGCCGTGGCGGACCTAAAACCATTTAGACCGTGATTGATGGCTGAGGGCGTTGGCCTTTCCAGACTTCCCGTTTCCAATCCATCTTTTGAGATCCCGTGCAGTGGAGACGGGTATCTCCGTCCTCTGGAATAGGCAACCAGAGTTGCTCTAGAGAGGGTTCAGGAACTTCGGGTAGACTCTCCTTTTCTGTTCGGTATACCGTATATATATTACTGAATTGATTGACTTGAGGATTTTCTCTCGGAGGAGCTGGGAGATATGCATAATTCTTGTCGTATTACTGATATTGTGGTACTTTCTATAGCGTGGCTGTCAGACAATGCACTCTATATAAGTCTGATATAAATTCCGGGAGTATTATTATGGACGAGATGGGAGCAACAATGGATAATGGATTCTGCTATTGAAACCTCAGGTTGAGGTTTATTTCTGGGCCTTAGAGCAAGACCAAGTGCTCACTTATCAAGAAATTGGTCTCGTGGCGCAATGGTAGCGCATTAGTTTCCGGTACTAAAGGTTGTGCGTTCGAATCGCACCGGGATCGAGCCATTTCTTTTTGTTTTTGTCTTTTTTTTCTCGCCTTCGTTCTCCTTGGCTTTTCATCCGTATCTTGTCCACCACTACAGAATATATCTTACCCTAGTACATGTCCGAGTCAGTTGACTCCGCTGCAACTCGATTGGTACCTACCCCGTATTTCTCACCAACATCCCCTATACAATACTAAGTTTCATCTTGCAGCACATAGACACAGGGTCTCTTCTATTATTTATGCCTCTATTAAACAGATGGACAAACAACAGCAACCATATCATGCGATAAATACAGACGCCTGATACACGATTTTTGCGTATTCGGAACTCCATCGGTCGATTTGATGTATCCCCGGTCATAAACCAAAAAAGTGCTTATCGCTGTCACCGGGTCTCGTGGCGCAATGGTAGCGCATTAGTTTCCGGTACTAAAGGTTGTGCGTTCGAGTCGCACCGGGATCGGATTCTTTTTTACTTTCCAATTTCTTTTTCTTTCTTTCATTTTTTTTTGCTCAGTGTTCACCTGCCCTCCCCCTTGAGTTCCAATATCTCTCGAGACTGCAGGTTAGTTAGGTGGTGTTCTTATCTTACTGAACATCATCGTATAGGTACAGTATGTATCAGGAGCATGCCGATGGCCTCTGGCTGCGGGGTTGTAACCGGCACGTTATCCGGATGAGTCAAGTGTAGCATATATATATACATATATATAGTCTCACTTGTGCGAGTGCGCCCGAGGGTTGAGGGCAGGTAGTTGACCCAAGCCAGGCTGAAACTTATATAGCCCTCGATAGACGAATGTGGACACCTGCGCGGCGGCCATTGACCAGAATAGCATCACAGTGCAAGCCCAACACCCCGGGATAAGCACCACCGGGATGCAGGCAGACATGACTTCGTCTCAGGAACCTCCTATAAGAAAGTCTGTTCCCGACAGGACGTCCTTCACAGCAAGAGACAGCGTGGAGGACATCTGGAAGGGCCTGGGCCTCCCGCCAGAACCACTGCAAGCGCTCGACCTCACCGGCAGCGGACCGGGTCTCCCCTCGTCCTTCAAGATCGCCGACCTCGCCCAGGCATCCATCGGCCTCTCCGGGCTCCTCGCAGCGCACATCCACGCTCTGCGCACCTCCACCCCCACCCCCAAGGTAACCGTGCCGCGCGAGCACGCCGTCATCGAATTCAAATCCGAACGCCTCTACACGCTCGCCGGCCAGCCAGCCTCAACGGCCTGGGGCCCGCTCAGCGGCCTGCACAAGACCTCCGACGGCCACGTCCGCGTCCACGATGGGTTCCCGCACCACAGCGCCAAAGCCAAGGCGCTCCTCGGCTGCAAGCCCGACGCAGACCGCGCCGCCGTCAGCGCCGCCATCGCCCCCTGGCGCGCCGTCGACCTCGAAACCGCCGCCTTTAACGCCGGCGCCGTCATCGCCGCCCTCCGCACCCCGGCCCAGTGGGACGTCCTCCCGCAAGCCCGCGCCGTCGCAGACTTCCCCATCCGCCTGCGCCGCATCGACGGCGAAGCCCGACCAGTACCAGTACCAGTTTCAGTACCACCCCCGGGCCTGCCCCCGGCCCTCCGCACTGCCGTAACCGACAAAGCCCTCCGCGGCCTCCGCGTCCTCGAGCTCTCGCGCGTCATCGCCGCCCCCCTCGCCGGCAAGACGCTCGCCGCCCACGGCGCCGACGTCCTCTGGGTCACGAGCCCCACCCTCCCCGACCTGCCCCCGATCGACCGCGAATTCGGCCGCGGCAAACGCACCGTGCAGCTCGACCTGGCCACCGAAACGGGCGCGCACGAGCTCGCCCGACTCCTCGACGACGCCCACGTCTTCATCCAGGGGTTTCGCCCGGGGAGCGTGGCCGCGCGCGGATTCTCAGCGGCGGCGCTGGCGGCGCGGCGCGCGCGCAGCAACGGCAGCGGCAGCGGCAGGGGAATCATCTGCGCGAATTTCTCCGCGTATGGGCGGGCGGGCCCGTGGGCCGACAGGCGCGGGTTCGACTCGCTGGTGCAGACGTGTTCGGGGATGAATGAATCCGAGGCGTTGCATTTTGGGGCAGGGGAGGCGGGGCGGGCGACGGCGTGCCAGGTGCTGGACCATGCGGGCGGGTATTTCCTTGCGGCGGGGGTGATGGCGGCGGTGTGTCGGCAGGCGGAGGAGGGGGGTTCATGGGAGGTGGATGTGTCGCTTGCCGGGGTGATGAAGTATCTGCGGTCGCTGGGACAGTATGACGGGCGGAGTGGGTTTGACGGGGTGCCGGATTATCAGGGGCCGGGGGATGTGCCGGAGGAGTATCTGGAGACGAGGGAGACGGGGTTTGGGGAGATGAGGTTTGTGAGGCATGCGGCTTGTATTGAGGGGGTGGAGGTTGGGTGGGATGTGATGGTGAAGCCGTTGGGTGAGGATGAGAAGAGGTGGTTGTAGTTGTAGTACTCACTAGGTACTTACTAGGTAGGGTAGATGATCTCCGCTCCTTGCACTGTACGATGTTATGAGGGTATGAATCTATTGGCGCTTTGGTGGATGAGTCCACTGGCTCAACATCTTCTTGTAGAAAGAACAGTATAGACTGTAGAGACAACCGAATCAGAATATCAGATACCCGTGTCTCGGCTTCGGCACAGCCGAGCCTCACGACCACAAACTACATAGTACATGCAGATGAAACCTTTTAAATCAATGAATGAATGAATGAATGAATGTATGTATCGACGAGCGAAAGTCCAGAGGAAAATACAATGCACATTGGTATATCCGAATACAGAAGCAAGATCAAAGAAGAAACACGGCTCCATTTCGAAGCAGGACCACCGGCAAAGCGCAAAGGACGAGGAAAAGCAAAGGTCAGTCGGGATGCGCCCAGGGCAAGCTAGTATGGACATGACGTATCTAGATGAGATCGAGAGGAAAGAAGATCGGACCGGAGGGATATGTGTGATATGTGAAAAGAGGGTCCACTACTGCGAAATTAGCATACCAATGTCTCACAAATCCCTCCCCAAGAATCTCCGAGCAACAGTCACACACGCGCTGGTTTGGCCAGCAAAAGGGAGATAAAAAAGAGTAGCGCGCATGGATGAACCACTTGAGCCCGCTGGAGAGAGGGAAAGAAAACCATGCGGAACTGAACGCATTCAGCAAGGCGGACAGGCGAGAAAAAGCCCCCCTTGCCGAGCGGGAATGGATGAAACAGTAGGCAACAGCTGGGAATGGCGATCCGGCGAGTGGATGGGATTATGCAGGGTTCGTTTCGTCATCGTTGGAGGGTTGGTTGTTTGCACGTGGACGCGGGGGCGGGAAACCAGAGAGAGGTTGGCCCTGGAGCCTGGCCTAATTGACCGGCTGGTAACCCTTGTGTTTCCATTCGCTTTGCTTCCAATCCGTCTGGAAGGTGCTCATTTCCGTGCGCTCCGTGTTCCACTTGGTATCCTCGAGGGCGTGTTCGAGGCGGCCCTTCTTGCGCTGCTGGATAAAGAAGAAAACGAAGCCGGCGATGCAGAGGGCGCCGAACGCGGCGGCCCCGATGTATACACCGGCCTTGGCTCCCGTAGGCAGGTCCGCCCATTTCTCGGCCAACGATTTCGGAGGGTTGTTGATCGCGTCGGCGACGGTGGAGTTACCCCTGGTGGATGCACCCCGTCAGTGATGGTCCGGCCCCCAGGAATGTGGCGAAAGCTTGAAAAAAAAAAGAAAAAAAAAGAAAAAAGAAGCAAATCCAAAAGGGGGGAACTTACGCGACGACTTTGATGCTCTCCCATGACCCGGAATGATCGCTGTACTCGTACTGCTTGCCGGTATGGAAATCATGCACGCGGGCGGACTGCAGCACCATGGTATACGGACCAGCCGTATAATCCACCAGACCTCCCGCCCACTCGATGACCCCGGCTTTGTTCGACTTGATACCGGCGGGCCAGATACCATACCGGATGTTGCAGGGGGTCTGCGGGAAGTTCTTGCCGCCCAGGGCGTCGTTGTACATGAGGGTTCGAATGAGCTTGCCGTCGATCCACCATTCCAGCTTCTCCGCGGTCCAGTGGGTGGTGTAGTTGTGGAATTCGGTGTCGGCGTTGGGCACCGAGTGCGTGCCACCCCGGTCGAAGGTGGTGTCGTTACCCTTGCCAAAGTAGTTGGATTGCACCTCGCTGGTGTTGTAACCCACCCATTCCCAGTCGATCTCGTCACGGTCGTCCGACTGGAGCACCACACTGCTGATGATACCTTTGCCCTTGGCCACCTTGATGTGCGACTCGACAATGCCGAAGAAGATGAAGAAGTTCGACTGCATGGTGGGGGACTCGTGTTCGGCCTTGATGGTGAACTCGGTGCCCTCGGAGGTGAACGAGACGGCGCCGTTGGTGACATTCCAGACCGTATCGTCGAGCGTCTTGTTGAAGAGGAAGGTGGTGTTCGTCCCCAATGCTTGGTTAGGCGGACAGGTCTTGACGAGGGGGTCGCAATCCGTCCATGTTTGAGCGTAAACGGAGCAGATGCTGGCCGCCAACAGGGCCCAGCGGTAAAGGAAAGAAGACATGGTGGACGACGAAAGGTTGATTGATTAGGGGGACCACGGTAGAGAGCGAGAGACAACCACTGAGTATTTCTGTGTATGTGTGTTGCGTTTCTTTCTCTCCTTCGACAACGACGACGACAACAACAACGACAACAAAACCTGAAGGTCTGGGAGGGGAATTTATGTTTATTGACAGCAAAAGAGTGACACTGCCGGATTAATGAAAGGACGTGCGATCTAGTCGCACGAGGTGCTGGCTGCCCACCCGCAAGAAGAGATGGGAGAGAGCTCAAGGAAGGACGATGACAAGATCCGGAGGGGAAGATGAATGAATCGAGAAGAGGAAGCACCGGAGACGGACAGGCATGATAATAATAATAATAATAATAATAATAATAATAATAATAATTGAATCCAAGTCAGTACTAGAGCGGGATGAATTAAAATAGGATTGATTAGCGACATGACCTGCCGCAGCCCGACAACTTGGCAATTTGTCTACATAGTACTAAGTAAGTACTGTAGTACACTGTGCAGTTTGCAACACAGTACCTAGTAGTTACTATGGAGTAAGGTACTATCTACTGTACTGATAGACAGATACAATACAAGTCGATAGAACAAGTAAAGACAATACAAATTCTCATTTCTCAATGCTGGTTTCAGGGGTAAAACACCCTCCTCCAAGCCTAATCGGGGGGGCCACAAACGCCACCGAGGGCAAAAAAGAGACGATCTAGCCTGTTTCCGGCTTAGTGGACCCAGCCATGCTAGCCTAGCTCGGTAATTAGCTCTGTTCCATGTTCCTGGAGCCATGCCGCATGCGGAAAGGGAGGGTGGCCAGCTCCAAATACTGATTGGCTGGGACCGCCACCGCCGGAGATAAGACCAGGGTTAACTAACCCTGAGTGGAGGCCCAGGGGGTGTGTTCATCCTGTTAGGGTTACTGGGTGTTTTTTTTTTTTTTCTTTGGTACTGTCGAGTTTGTACGAGAGACTGGGGAGTGACTCCAGTATTGAATATGTCATTGACACGAACAATGTATATCTATCTATCTATCTATCCTTCATCCCAAGCCACAGGACCATAACATTTAAATCCCAGCGACTGCGTGGAATAAATTGGTCGCGAGAGTGAAGACTAGGTTTCAACCCCGTCTTTTTCCATATCAAGATGAAGAACCACCAGGTCTGCAGGTCAACAAGCCCCCTCTGCCCAGTCTGCTATGCAATGGATTGCCCTGCCATTGGCCTGATGGGCTGCCGAGTCTGTACTTCGGTCTTGGGGGCGAGAGAAATAGTAAACCCTGCAAGTCTATCAAGTATCAAGGAGAGAGACATGGTTATATTTAGAAGGAATCAATGATGATAGTCAGGAGTTCGCTCTGAATTTTTTGTTTTTACTCCGTAGGATGGAACAGATTCCAGTAAAGAATACAGAGCACGAACCACGTCCACGAAGTACGTACTTCGTACCTAGTTCGTACTCGTAGACAACTGACAAACACCAACTACTACTAATCAAGGGAGCGACACGATCTCAATCGATGTTCATGATTGTCGGACAATCAGCTCATCGTTTGTGGCCCACTTGTTAGCCTGCACGAACTGCCACACAGTCCGCAATTCCGTACGCTCCGTAGCAAGGGATTATTCTCGAGGGAACCATTCCGCAATCTACTTGAAACGAAGACCAGCTCACATAATCATTATTGGATCCTGTAGTCTGTAGTCTGTGCAACCAACAACATGTCAAGCACCGACTCGATCTACAGTCGACCATCAAAAACCATCATATCAGGATTCCATTCGTAATCACTCACTCCCCAAACTCCAGAAGTCTGATCCCATCATGTCGTCTCATGACCGTGATCGTCCCGCATGATCATTACACATAAAATAGCCATAACCAGACGCCGAAAACGTCCAAGACACTGCACCTGATCCAACACTTCTCGACAGAACACAGAAACGGGGACTAACCCCAGACTCAACTCAAATACACCTTGGCCGGCCGGCGGACTTCCCCCCGGTACCGCCGCGAACGGCTCGGCTTCTCGACATAATCCATATACGACGGACTACTCCGTCGTCGACGATGCGACGTGCGCACCTCGACTGGGCCACCGCCACCACCGCCGCCGCTGCTGCTGTATCCATAGTCCCGTTTCCCGTCACCCCATGCGCCGGGTAACGAGCATACTCGCAGCAGCCAGATGATCAACAGCGTGCCGACAATCGTGCCGATGACGATGCCTGCAATACCGCCTCCGGAGATACTGTCAGGACAGCTGGTGCTATCGCGAGCTTGGAGGATGGTGCTGTCCCGCGCTTGGAGGACGTGTGGTGCCTGAGTTGGCTCTCATGTTAGCTTGTTGGACTGCTGGGACTTCCTCTGAGTGTGAGGGTGGACATGATCCATGGTTCTATAACCCGGGCCGAGGTGGAGTATTCCAAAGATGTAGATGGGAGGCAACGGGTAAACAACTTACCATGCTGGGATTGTTGATATTCAAGTCTCAGGTGCGTAGAGTGAGAGTGTAGATCAGCTCAGTGTATCCTTCTCAAAGATCGAGCTCAATAGTCTTTTCAACCTCTCAGTGGGGTCAATGCAAGTAAACGAGAGACGAGACACCGCAATTCAAAACCCAGCAGAAAGAATTAAAGATGGACAAGATGCTGATATCTTTCTCTCTCTCTCTCTCTTTTTTTCTTTCCCCCCCATCTCCATCTTCCTCGTATTCTTCTTTGTCGTCTAATATCCGTCGGTCCCGCGCTGACGTCAATCGCACGTCTTCCTCTGCCGACGAGAAAGCAGAAGCGATCTCTAGTACTAGTAAGTCTAATGCACAGCCGGATCGAGAAAAAACTGGGAAGATGTCCCCGGTGGATTCCAGTCGGCTTGAGCATGTCACTGTCTCGACTCTTTGAGAAGTTCGATTCACATGGGCGGTGGAGTAGAGACTACTTGCTGTGTCAGTCGTGATCGGGCAGTTGGCGGGGGAGGAAAAAGCTCCCTTAACGAATCCCTCATCCGTAATGAATTCGCTATTCTGTAGTATCTACTTACTTTAAGTTATTATTCCATGACTGGACTTGACTTGGAATCCCCCCAAGATCACATGTGGTGAGACACAAATCCAGAAATCGGACACCCCTCACGTTTTCTCATCCTCTCTGTTGACGCAATCCACCATCGCCAATTGAATTCATCAAAAGAGAACCCCCGTCGGTTTCTTGATCTTCATTGTGGAATACTTATACTGTCTTTTCCCAAGGTGGTCCATTGGACACAGTGCTCCAATGTCTCACCATAACTACAAAATGGATCCCATAAACCTGATGCGTACAAGCACCCCGACACCGCAGTTCTCGGGCTGACCTATCTATACTGGTATATGTCCCGGGGGAGGTGGCACACTACCAGTCTCCCAGGCCTCCATCTCTCCTAATTCAAGCTCGATAGTCCCTCCATGTGCTGTAACATTCTCATGCTTAAACCGATTCTTCGTCCACGGCTGTCCACTAATCTGAACCCCCTCCACCCCCGTCGCTTTGATCCGCAGTATCTGATTGCCATTGGCGGTCATGTTGAGATCCGGGAACTACAGAGAAGAAATCAAGTAGACCGGCTGCGTGACAACCGGATAGATGCCAAGAATCCGCCACAGGAGCCAGGAGTTCATGGCTCCTGCATCACTGCTGCCGGAGACCCTGTAGGGTGCGTCCTGGAAGCTGGAGGGTTCAAATCAAGCGAATGAGCTCCCTGGGTCTTGCAGGCTGAGCGACATCGTCCTTACTATTGCGACCCCAGACTCCGGGACTTTTCAATGCCTTTTGCTTGCTTGTTAATGTAGTTGTACAAATAAGGTGTTGCGAAAATCAGGCTTGTTTCTTGAGAGATTTATCAGCCAGTTGACGTCCCGATCCCACTCTTCTACAGCGGCTTGGACGGTGTCGTTGAGTGTCCAAGATGGAATCTCGGACTTGATATAGAACTGAGCTCGCTCCGTCAATATGAATGAGATGGCAACTCCCCAGGAGATCCAGGAAGGTAGTGAGAGAGGTCAACAAGCACGTGCTTCTCACCTCGAGGAAACGAGTACGGAATAATCCTGGCGTGGCTTAAAGCAGATGGAGTTTACGATGCCTATGTAATGATTGCTCCAGCAGAACGTTCGATGAAGGGGAATGCAGGTGCGGTCACCCAGCTACGGCAATGAGGACCACAGCAGGCAGGAAAATAAGCATCGTCTTCGATCGTCGTCTGATATGATCTGGCGGGGGTATATGACAATCATCCAAATACATAGCACCCTAAAGCCGAATCGAGGGGATGTCAGCCTATATGGATCAGGTTGGAAGATGGTTGTTGATTTCTTCAAGCTCCGATCACCCACTGGGACAAGGTGGTAAGGTGGTAAGGCATCCAATGGTGGCCTTAACCGGAGAAACTTACCCTTCTGGAATCAACTTCCGACTCGACCGCCCGCACAGCAGACACAACCCAAAAAACCCACCAAAAAAAGACCTCCCGCTATATAGCTGATCAACGCAGGATATCAAGTGATACATATCGCTCACCTCACCGCCGGTCGTCCCCATCTGATTCTGAAACCTCTCATCCCCTTCCTCTCCCTACTTTAAATCCAATCCTCTCGACAAAATGGGCGTTGCTTTCGACAAGTGCGACACACGGCCGGCGCATATCGACGCCATCCTCAACGGCCTGGACAGATACAACCCCGAGACCACCACAGTATTCCAAGACTATGTCGCTCAGCAATGCGAGGACCGCACATTTGACTGCTACGCCAACCTGGCTCTGCTGAAACTGTGAGTTTGTACCGCTTTGATCAATATCTCCCCCGTTGTCTTTTGTACACGGCGCTCGTCTTGAGACCCAACGCGGGGGTGTCCAGACCGCATGGGACAACAAATGATGAACAACCTTGTTTTTCTTCATAATCACGTTTCCTATTACCTGACATCCCCTTTGTTGGGGAATACTGTTGAGAAAAAACACATGTTCTGAAAGAAAGAAACAAAAACATCTGTCCCTTTCGGCCAGCCAGTGTTGTACCTCAAAAAACCACACGACCATTGATCCATTGACTGACCAACAACCATCTCCAACCCCGGGGGTGTTTGTAAATAAACAGCTACCAATTCAACCCTCATCTCCTTCAGGCCGAAACCGCCACCAATATCCTCGCCAAGGCCCTCACCGTCTTCCCCTCGCCCGCCTTCTCGCTCTGCCTCGCTCTCCTCCCCGCCCACACTCAGCCCTTCCCCACCGCCGATGCCGACGCTTCGCAGACCTCTGACTTTGTCGAGTCCGTCCAGAAGCTCGCCCGCCTCTCCACTCTCCTTGAGTCCGCCCAGTACGCCCAGTTCTGGTCGACCCTGAACTCCGATGACCTGTACGCAGACCTGGTCGCCGACGTCGCCGGTTTCGAGGAGCTCGTGCGCATCCGCATCGCCGTCGAGGTCGGCAAGGCCTTCCGCGAGATCAACGCCGAGGTGCTCGAGCAGTGGTTCGATCTGCGCAGCCGCGAGGCCCTCGAGAAGTTCGTCACCGAGGTCTGTGGCTGGGAGGTTGACAAGGCCGGCCCCAACGGTACCGTCGTCAAGGTGCCCTCGAACAAGGAGAACGAGGTGCGCAGCGAGGTCAAGAGCGAGCATGTCGGTGTAGAGATGTTTGGCCGCGTCATCAGACGGGGCTTCGAGCAGGCTGCATGAGCATATTCAATTCTTTTTTCCCTTTTTTATTTTTCATTTTTTTTTTTTTTTTGATTTCCATCGCGTGTTTGAAATGAGGAGGATCTTTTTTACTTAATCCTCTATACTTTGTTGTTTCCCCCCCCCTCTTTTTTTTCCTTTTTTTGTTCTTCTATTCTATTCTTGATGATATCTTGCGGAGAAAGATCGGGGGGGAAGGGGATTTCATATCATAGATTCTTACCCCTTGCCTATGTGCTAAAGAACACCCGAATGAGCTCGAGAACCCAATGATGACGAAAGATAGAACCAGCATGGGAAAGGTTCGGGGGGAAAAAAAAAAGTCTAGGACCTGGCGCATTTTGGCGTTTCTTGAGTTTCGGTCTCTGTGTGTCTGTGTATGTGTGTAAAAAAAAAAAAAAAAAAAAAAGGAAACAAAGTATTTTTGATTCATATATTCATAACGAGCCGAGATACAGCCATTTCTAGATCATATCATATTAGGGGAAACAAAAGTCTTTTTTCTATATACGAAAAGATCTAAGCCTTGACCAGCAGAGACTTTCCGGACATCTCCTCGGGCTGCTCAATGCCCATGGCAGCCAGGACGGTGGGAGCCACGTCGCCGAGGACGCCTTCCTCCTTCTTGAGGCTCCAGCCCTCGGGGGCATTGGCCAGGACGAAGGGGACCTTGTTGGTGGTGTGGGAGGTCTTGGGAGTGCCCTTCTCGTTGAGCATCTCCTCGGCGTTACTGTGTCCCGCGGTTAGTCTCGTGATATAACCGGGGGCAAAGCGGAAAAAAAAAAAGAGAGAATGGAGAAAACTTACCCGTGATCAGAGGTGATGAAGAGGATGTATCCGTGCTTCTTGCAGGCCTCGTAGATCTCACCGATGGCCTTGTCGGTGGCAGTGACACCCTTGATGGCGGCCTCGTACACACCAGTGTGGCCAACCATGTCGGGAGGAGCAAAGTTGTTCATGACGAAGTCGAACTTGTCCTCGGCAATCCGCTCGCTCATCTTCTTGCCGACATCCGCGGCGCTCATCTCGGGATCAAGATCGTAGGTGGCGACCTTGGGCGAGGGGATCATGTCGCGCACCTCGCCGGGGAACTGCTTCTCGATACCACCGTTGAAGAAGAAGGTGACGTGCGCGTACTTCTCGGTCTCGGCGACGTGGCACTGCGAGATGTCCTTCTTGCTGAGCCACTCGGCCAGGACGTTGCCCATGTGCTGAGGAGGGAAGGCGACGGGGAAGGTGTAGTCGGTCTTGTACTGGGTCATGGTGGTGATGCTGATGTTCTTGGGGTAGGGGAAGTCGGGCTTGGGAGAGCGGTCGAAGTCACCCAGCAGCTGGGTGATCTCACGGACACGGTCCGAACGATAGTTGAAGAAGAAGAGGGTGTCGTCGTCTGCAAATTCCGATGATTAGTCGTTGGACGAGTTTTTTTTTTTTGGCCTTCGATGGAGGGAGGGGAGGGCGAAACATACCCTGCACGCGTCTGTCCTTGCCGCCAACAATGATCGGCTTCAGGAACTCATCGTTCTCACCCTTCTCATAGCGCTCCTTGATGGTCTTCACGGGGTCAGAGCTCTCCTCGCCCTCACCAGAGACAATCCCCTTCATGGCGACCTCGACTCTGTCCCAACGCTTATCGCGGTCCATGGCGTAGTAACGTCCGACAACGGTGGCGATCTCACCAGTGCCGATCTCCTTCATGTGGTCGAGCAGATCCTGCATATACTTGGCAGCGCTCTTGGGGTCGGTATCACGACCATCACCGAAGAAGTGGATGAAGACGTGGGGGATCTCCATCTCCTTGGCGACCTTCAGCAGACCGACCAGGTGGGTGATGTTGGAGTGGACACCACCGTCGGAGATCAGACCAAGCAGGTGCAGACGGCCATTGCCCTCCTTTGCGCGAGTGAAGGACTTGACAATGTTGTCAACCTTGTTCAGCTCGCCATTCTTGAGGGTCTGGTCGATGCGAACACTGTCCTGCCAGACCACACGACCAGCACCGATGTTCAGATGGCCGACTTCACTGTTGCCCATCAGGCCCTCCGGCAGACCGACGGCCAGCGACGAGGCCTCCAGCTCGGTGAATCCCTGTGCAGTCTTCGAGTTGGGGTCGGCGAAACCGGACATGTAGGGTGTCTCCGCAGCAGCGATCGCATCTCCGTCCTTGGGAGAGTCTGGGCCTGGGATACCCCAACCGTCGATGACGACTAGATATAGACATTAACGATTGATATTTGGAGGGAATTGAGCATGGAGAGTCAATTGGGGTGGGGGGGGGGACCTACTCAGGACGACTTTGTGGTCAACCTTAGTCATGATGAAGATAGTTTCTCTGTAGGATGGTCAATTGACGAACTCCACGATCAGCTTGGGATGGAAGTTGGGAGGATTAATACTGACAAGAAAACAAGGGAATTGAGATGATAACGAGATGAATAAAGATGGGAAAAAGTGTAAGTGAAGGAGATGGAAGAAAAAGAAGAAAAAGCCAGCCGGTGAGCAGTTAATGATAGAGAGAGAGAGAGAGAGAGAGTCGCTGGGATGGCCGATGGAGGGGGGAGGAGGGGCAGCAGTCACTAGCAGTAGCAGCGTTCTTCCCGGTGACGCTTTTGTGCTGGTGGGCTGAGTTACTTACATGCTATAGTAGTACTGTAATATAGTTAGTTAGTTAGTTAGCTGTTCCGACGTCAACGGTCGCCCCCCAAGTAGTTAACAACAACAAATCGCGAATGATTCTTCCCTCGTGGTCTGACTCTTCCCTAACATTCAACCTTCCCCCCCCCCCCCCCCGTTATCGATTCTGCATCGGACATAGGGTGAAAACTGTGAAAAATCCTGTTCGAATAATAATAATAATAACCGATATTCCCGGAATGGCTTCCAGATCCCCGGCCGTGGTCACTCCACTGCCGAAACCCTCCTCTGCACCCGACACCCCTGCGATCAAGGAGACAACAACGAACACCACACCACACACCGTGCCGTTCCCTTCGCCGCAGACCTTTGATATTATTCCTCCGTTGCATGGCCTTCTCAAACGTTTGCTTTCCCCCCAGACTGCTGGTGAAGGCCCCCGAGCTGCCGGTGGAGCGACAGGAGAGACAGGACCGTCAGGGTCAGGACCGAGTCAGGGAGTCCAACAGCCGTCACATCATCCTTCCATGGGAAATGGAGGGTTACCGCTGAGCACAAAGGAACTGCCCACGGAGGCTAGTGCCATTAAAATCCGCATCCAGAAGGCGCACGCGGTGGTTGAGGGTCTACCGGACATCCACCGCTCGGTCGCTGAGCAGGAGAGGGAGATTGCAGAACTGGAGGATCGCATTTCCAAGCTGAAGTCGGTTGTCTCGGATTTTGGGAGAAGAGCCGACGTCGGTGTGCCCGAGTTACACCGTTCGATGGATGACAAGCCTTGAAGACTCGCGCATACGATGTAACGAGAAACATGAGGCTGTATGCGGAGTCCCACAGGTGTCACCTATCAAGAGTATCAACTTCTGCCAGAATTAGATGCATCGGACAGACACTCTCAGCAGAAATGGCCTCTGCGGGGGTAGGATTTCTTTCTGCAAATACTTGAAACCTTTCTTCGTTTGGCCAACAACCCCGTTGCATGTGAGACTGGCAATTTCAGCAAGAAATTGGATAGTCTGCATAAGAACAGTTGAAGACCCATTGTCGACCTTTCCAAGGTGGATCAGGTGCAATTGAAGAGGTCTCACGGAGGCCTTGAATCTGCCGCGTGCTTCTTCTTCTGCTTCCGCCGCTTCTGATGTTTCCCAAGGGCTGGTTATGAACCGGGGCATTCCAAGAAGCTCCCCAGAAGCCTGAGTCTAGCAAGAAAGACCGCGCACATCAAACCTCGACAATCTACTTGGAGTCATAATAGGGTCTTCTCGCGGGGTCAGTATTCAGTACTGACTTGGCCACCACGGTCCTCGTCCACGCCATGCAGCCGAACACGGCATCCTTTGTACCCCGCCTATGACTATATACTTGCTGAGATGATGTTCCGCTTCTGCTGTTGTTAAGATGCTGTCCTTGTCTAAGAGCTTAGATGCCATCGACACCAAGTTCAATATCTACTGGACCTAGCCTATCCATCATTCAGTAACTACTCAGCCAAATATCGGATCCGAACAATAGAGTTAGGGTGGAAAATCACAGGGAGCCATGGTTTCATCTATAGAATCGATCGAAGGAAAATCACCTGACTATGACTAACCTCCACGCCACAACGGAGCATACCTACTACGTAGGCTGAAAGGCGCAAAAGGCAAGGAAAACTCTGTCTCAAAATTGGAAGATCATGAGGTGATCCGAGGAAGTTCTCTTCATGAGGTGATGTAACTGTCTTGACATGAGGGCAGTCTCATCAGTTCTCTGGAAAGAAACTTGAGTCACATCCCACAAAGCCAGTAGTTAGAACCGCAATGCCAACCACCCTCTCAATGCTCAATACTTCTCCGGAGTAATTAGCAGTACTACTACAGTGTAGGTAGTACTCTCGTAGTCATGAACATTAGTCAATCATAGCCCCAGCTTTGGACCAGACTCACAAAACGAATTTTCTCCGAGCCCAGAAATGAACCGACTCTGAGCCACGAAAGCGCCGGTGAGCGTCAACACAGCTCCGATGTCGTTCCGGACCCGAACAGTCACAGCAAGGGGATGCCTGAGGAATCCAACCCTTTCCCACCCCCCCCCCCCCCCCCCACCATCGCCGGATTTTCATTTCCTTCTCTTTTCTTCGCCTTCTTCCCCAACTTCTTTTTTTCCCCTTTCCTTTCTTCTCTTCCCTCCTCTCTCATCTTTCCTCATTCCCAATCCACATCCCTTGGTTTGTTTATTGTCTCGTCAGACAACATCATCCTTCCACAATGGCCACATACGCTCTGTCGCAGTCCCACCGGGAGGTAAGTGTAGCTGGGTTGAAATGCGTCTTGTCTTCACAAGCTCCTATACTGACTCATATGCTATAGCAAATGGAGAAGTCTCTGGTCGACTCCGACCCTGAGATCGCTCAGATCATGGTACGTTCTTAAGCTCCAACACCTGCTTTCCTTTCCTTTCCCTCCAAGGGTAATGGAGGGAGGCAAGCAAAGCTAGACAGCCGAAGAATTGGCGATGACTGACGTGTATGTCTGTCTCCCTTTGCAGGAAAAAGAGATCCAGCGCCAGCGCGAGTCCATTCTGCTGATTGCCTCGGAGAACGTCACCTCCCGTGCCGTCTTCGATGCTCTTGGCTCTCCCATGTGCAACAAGTACTCGGAGGGTTACCCCGGTGCTCGTTACTATGGTGGTAACCAGCACATCGATGCCATCGAGCTCACCTGCCAGGCTCGTGCCCTCAAGGCTTTCAACCTCGACCCCGCCAAGTGGGGCGTCAACGTTCAGTGCCTCAGTGGTAGCCCTGCCAACCTGCAGGTCTACCAGGCACTCATGCGCCCTCACGACCGTCTGATGGGTCTTGATCTCCCCCACGGTGGCCACTTGAGCCACGGCTACCAGACCCCCTCCAGAAAGTGAGTCACAAGTTCTGTACCAATTGTGTCTGTCTGGGACAGTGGGCTAATTGACCCACAGGATCTCTGCCGTCTCCACCTACTTCGAGACCTTCCCCTACCGTGTCAACACCGAGACCGGCATCATCGACTACGATACCCTGGAGGCCAACGCTGAGCTCTACCGTCCCAAGTGCCTGGTTGCCGGTACCTCTGCCTACTGCCGTCTCATTGACTACGCCCGCATGCGCAAGATCGCTGACAAGGTCGGCGCCTACCTCGTTGTCGACATGGCTCACATCTCCGGTCTCATCGCCGCGGGTGTCATTCCTTCTCCCTTCGAGCACGCCGATGTTGTCACCACCACCACCCACAAGTCTCTCCGTGGTCCCCGTGGTGCCATGATCTTCTTCCGCAAGGGTGTGCGCAGCACTGACCCCAAGACCGGCAAGGAGATCATGTACGACCTGGAGGGCCCCATCAACTTCTCCGTCTTCCCCGGCCACCAGGGCGGCCCCCACAACCACACCATCACCGCTCTGGCCGTTGCCCTCAAGCAGGCTGCTACCCCTGAGTTCCGCCAGTACCAGGAGCAGGTCATCAAGAACGCCAAGGCCCTCGAGGAGGAGTTCAAGCAGCTCGGCCACAAGCTCGTCTCGGACGGTACTGACAGCCACATGGTCCTGGTGGATCTCCGCGCCAAGGGTCTGGATGGTGCCCGTGTTGAGGCTGTTCTCGAGCAGATCAACATTGCTTGCAACAAGAACTCCATCCCCGGTGACAAGTCTGCTCTGACCCCTTGCGGTATCCGTATTGGTGCCCCCGCCATGACCAGCCGTGGTATGGGTGAGGAGGATTTCAAGCGTGTCGCTCGCTACATCGACCAGGTCATCAACCTCTGCAAGACCATCCAGGGTGACCTGCCCAAGGACGCCAACAAGCTCAAGGACTTCAAGGCCAAGGTCGCCTCCGAGTCCGTGCCCGAGATCCTGGCCCTCCGCAAGGAGGTTGCCGAGTGGGCCAGCACCTTCCCTCTGCCCGTTTAAACACCCCGGCAGAATGAATTTAGTTGTCATATGATACCATTCAGAATCGGTTTCTCTTTTGTCTTCTCTCCTTCTTGCAGGCTTTCTTAACGAGTTCAACATCATTGCGTATAAAATTGGGTCGCTGGAGTGCGTTACTTGGGGTTTTTACAGGTCTGCTTTTTCAACCTTACGCGGGTCATGGGATAACGGTATACATGAGCAAGTATTCAACATTTTTTCTTCAACAGGACGAAAAGTTCAACTGTCCGGGTGCCTTGGGGGTTTTTAACATCCGGTACCATCATCTTAGCTAGTCTATCAACGAACTAGAAAGACTATAATGATTCAAAGAATCTGCCCTTTTCCGGTGTAGTCAAATGAGCATAACTATATTTGTCTTGGTGCGCTTTCGTGCTCGTCTATACCCTATTGAGAGAAAGACATGGCAGACCCTGTATGTCAATGGTCTCAAAGCTCCTCGTGAGCAACCCCCCCACGCCCCCGACTAATCTCATTCTCCCATGACTGCGAAATCAAAGCAGCCACATTCCTCCCCATCAACGCACTCGTCTCCATCGTCGAGATGAAACTCTCAATGCCCCCCGTATACCAGACATTCGGCGCCAGGACCGTGTCCTCGAACGTCACCCGCGGGAACAGGAACGGATACGGGTTCCAGACCTTCTCCCGGTACCAGCTCAGATCCCGCTTGGGGAGCGCCCCGATCGTCGCGTTGGGCGGCGTGGCGCGCTCCAGCCCCAGGATACGCTCCAGAAAGTCCGCGGTGAGCCGCTCGGGCGAGAACACCTTGTAGACGTAGTGTGTCTCGGACGCGCCGTCGGCGCGCGGCACGTCGACTGTGCGCAGGGTGCTGATGCTCCAGAACCCGGCGGGGCCGACGCCGGCTTTGCGGGGCCCGAGGTCCACGCTGCGCGGGAGGGTGGTGAGGATTGTCTCTGGGGCGCGGGCGCCAGGCGCCAGGTTGAAGAATTGCGGGGAGATTCGGTGCGGGGAGGTGAAGAGGGTGACGTGGAGCTTGACGTAGGGGATCTCGTCCGGGGTGTGCTCTGGCGGCGGGGTGATGCTGATGCCGGAGTACTGCAGCGGGCCGGCGATGATGACTTCGTCGAAGACCGAGGTGGATGCGTCGGTGTCGGCGCCGGCGCCGTCGGGCTGGAACGTGACCGCCAGCGTACCGCCGTCGCCGTCCTCCTCGCTGCGCCGGATGGATGTCACGGTCTGGTTGATCCGGACGTCGGCCTGGGCGGCCTTGAGCATGCCGTCGAAGATGCGCCAGTTGCCGCCGGCGATGGAGACGGCGCCGTCCGTCGCCATGCAGACCATGGCCTCGAGGCCGTGGAGGAGCGGCAGGTTCTGGCCGTAGTTGACGCGCGTGCTCGCCTGGATGATGTCGCGGGCGAAGTCGGCGGAGATGCCGCCGTTCTGGAGGAACGCGGCCCCCGTGCTTGCGGTGGCGTTCAGCAAGTCGACAGCCGCCGCGGCCGAGGTGAGGGATCTGAACGGGAACAGGGGCTTTTCGTATAGCCGGAGGAACTTGCTGACCGTGCTCTTCATCAGGCTCTGGGTGCGGATGGGCGCCAGCCCGTACCGCCAGATCAGCTTGGCGATGGTCCACCAGCTATAGGTATCCTGTATCACCAGGACGAATTGCTCTCCGTCCCAGACGCCAAGCGTGTCGTCGGACTCCCTGGGGCGCGCGTGGTTTGCGCTCTGGACAGTGAGGCCTAGGTCCCTGGAAGCGTTTACCAACTCATAGTTGACGGAAACGAAGATCGAAGCACCCAGTTCGACTGGATACCGGGGATCATCCAGCACGTCGACTGTTGTCGACCGGCCACCCACGTGGGGAGCACGTTCGAAGACCGTGATGTCAACTGGAATCTGTAGCGAATCTGCATACTTGCGTAGGGAGTATGCGCTGGAAGAGCCTGCAGCTCCAGCTCCTGGGGGGCGATGTTAGCTCCTGTGTAGCATGGGATCCTCAATCATTCGAGATGCTCACCGACTATGGCGACCCGTTTCGGGGCATCCTTGGAGACTCCCAGCAGTTGTTGCTCTGCACTACCAACGGTGACAAGGCACAAAGTAATCGCGCAATACACAGCACAGAAGCGTACAAGTAGATATCGAAGTGATTGAGGGAAGGTATCCATAAGTGCACTAGATACCTCGAGTCGCTACTCCAGGCACTAACTAACCGTAACTAGACTACGTCACTGACGAGAACCGACTTCAGCCCGCTACTCAGACCTGCAATATTCACAGGCAGCAGCATTAATTCGAGTGATAATAAAAAAGGGAAAGAGGACACGCTCTGCTAGCTCTGATGGATGGATGCTCCAGGCGTCAAGATGGGATGGATCGTTGCAGTTGATGTCAACGCAGTTGTATCATGTATGTGTAGGTATGGTAAGTTACAGCATGACCATCAGATACCGCACTAAGCCATAATGGGATTGGTATGGTACCGTCTCCGTATCGCTTATCGCGCCCGATCTTTTCTATCGCTTTTTTTCTCCAGAGTAAATGCTGAGGAGGGGTTGATCGAGATATTAGTCTTCATTGTGAAACACCCACCTGCCTTTTGAGATCACAGTTGACAAGGAGTATAATAATAAATATCTTCTTTCATATATCCTGTCGCAATCAATCGCACCAATGGACCCTTACGATAGCGACTCGTCGGGTTCCGAGGATGAGGGGGATTTCACTGAGACTGGAGTGCTGCTGGGGTATGCCTCAGAAGAGATCCTAGACGATACTATCAGTCACCTTGGAGGCTGGCCGGTATGTGCGACAGCTTAGACAGTTGAAGGTCGGGCGCCATTAATTACTAATTCTCGCGATTTCAGACATGGCTCGATGATTCTACACTGCCCCCAGGGGAATTCGCCAATTGCAAAGTTTGCAATAGCCCCATGCTCCTTCTGCTTGAATTGCACGGTGACCTTCCGGAACATTTCCCGGACGATGAGAGACGACTTTACATCTTCGGCTGTCCCAAAAAGGCATGCAACAAGAAGCCCGGCAGCATCAGAGCCCTACGCGCCGTCCGAAAGACCAAGGTCGAACAAGCGCCACGGAACACGGAGGAGAAGCCCAAGGAGGACACAGAAAAGAAGGCCAAGGCTCCCAAGCAGGATATAGGGGCAAGTCTCTTCGGGGGCACTTCCCTCATTGGAAGCGTCTCGGCGAACCCAAATCCCTTCTCCTCGTCGAATGCACTTTCATCGCAGGCCAGCAATCCATTTGCGGCCCCGGCTACTTCATCCCCCGTACCGGCCAAACAAACCTCTACCACGACCCCTTCCACGACCTCTTTGTCAGAGAGCTTTGCCGATAAGGTCAGAGTCTCCTCCCCTCCCCCGACGACTGCGGCACCAGAATCCGCTGCACCTGCTGCGCCTTGGCCCGACAAGTCTGCATTCCCAGCCCCGTACACACAGTTCTACCTGGACGCCGAATACGAGACGCTTTCTCGGCCTTCCACGCCAACGATACCGGCGAACGTCACCATCGACAACACCGAAGAGGAGGAAGCCGCCGGTGGATCTACTGATCTTAAGGATACGTTTGAATCCGAGCTGGACAAAGCGTTTATGAAATTCTCCACACGCCTAGAGCACAACCCAGAGCAGATTTTGCGGTACGAATTCCGTGGCACCCCGCTCCTCTACTCTTACAGCGATCCCGTGGGCAAGCTTCTTCATGATCCTAAGCATGGCTCTGGCTCTCGTGTGACAACCGTCGCGAGTGGAGCGAGCCGTTTCCCTCGTTGCCAATACTGCGGTAGCGAGCGTGTCTTTGAGCTGCAGCTGGTGCCGCACGCCATTGCTGTACTGGAGGAGGGTCGCGAGGGCGTTGGACTGGGTCCCAAGGATGATGCAGGTATGGAATGGGGTACCATCATCCTTGGTGTGTGCAGCAAGGATTGTGGGCCGCAGCAAGTGGGAGTAGTCGGATGGCGCGAGGAGTGGGCTGGTGTACAGTGGGAGGAATCGGTCAAATAGGAATACTATACATTGACGAATGAATTGCTAATGAACCCATATTCCTGAGCATGACTGTGATGTGATATTCCGAATCTTCCAAAAAATCTTCTGTTCATAGTAAAAGGAAAAGAAAAAAGATGCTCGCCCAATCTACTTGAAAGACACTCCGAGTGCCATACTCAATTGCCTCACAGTCTGCTTCTCATCTTGACAAGCTACGACTGATTGATCTCATCATATGATTCTCTGAAGCTATCTGAGGCTTGCGACTCTTGCACCGCAATTGAACCAGAGGGGTATAATAGAACATATCAGATTGGAACCCTCATCTCGGGTCCATCTCAACTTTTCGATGACGAAATGCCCCAGGCCGCCGCGGATCTGGCTTCACTATCGACCTGGACCACGCGGATTCGCCCTATCGCTCTCACTGCCTCCTAGGAAGCGGATACCTAGCCCTCCAGCTGGTTATGAGGTGAAGTTCGTGCAAACCGCAGCAACCTACCGTCGGAAGCCATGGGGTTCTGATGTCCAAAACAAGGATTTCATTCTCAAGGAAGCAACAGCACCGGAATCGTTGGTTCTTCAGGCGGAAGCCGAGGCGGCAGCAGCAGCAGCTTGTTGCTGAATCTGGGTCTGGAATTGGACGATCTACGACCACACAAATCATTAGCATATAATGGTGCTTGGGTTTCGTCGCGGCTGTCCTCACCTCAGCGCGCTTCTTCTCGGCCTTCTCTTGTCCCTCCTTGATCTGACCCTCAATTCGTTTGCTAAGAGACCGCGTCAGCCGCACGTTACCAGGCCGGATGCAAGCCGGGGACGTACATCTCCTTCTCAATGAACTCAAGACGGCCATTGACAGCCATCACCGCCTCATTCTTTTCCTGCTTCAGCAAGACCGGGCCCACGATCTTGTAGATGTTCGACTCCTCATCCAGCTTCGCGAATTCGGCCTGTACATCCTGGTTCTCCTGCTGCTGCGACTCGAGCTTCTGGCGCGCGTCGATGAAACCTTCGAGATCTGGAAATTCGGGAGCACGTTAGAGCTTGGGGACGATTTGATACGGGTCGTTGGCATGATGAATGATGCGTTTTATGGCAGGGCAGGAGGTGGGAGTTTGGGCATACCGGTTTGCAACTTTTGGAACTCATCCGAGAGAGCCTGCATCTGTTTCTGTGCGTCGGCCATTGTGGTATGGAGGAGTTGGGATGCTGTGACTAATATGATCGAGCAACGTCAGGGTTTGAGTTAAGTCGTTGGAGATTAAAGTGAGGGGCGGTTGTTGGCGGGGACTACAGAATGCTGGTAATTACATTACGGTATCATACCCCTGTATTCCAAGTGTTTTACGCAACCCCAGGGTAAACAGTGCAGAACTCCCGTCTCCATCATTCCAGGCCAAGAAACTGTCCGCTTTCTCTCCTCCTCCAAGTCCCCCCCCCTCCCCCAATTCAACCACCGATCGGTTCACCCACGAGCCCGCATTACCCACCAGATTCGAAGGAATATAGATTATTTTACGATCATGAGCAATACAGATTTCCTGGGCCGCGCGATTGACACGGTCAAGAAGGCCATCGAGCACGACAATGAGGGCGAGTACGAGAAGGCTTATCAGACCTACTACTCCGCACTGGAGCTGTTCATGCTGGCCTTGAAATGGGAGAAGAATCCCCGCTCCAAGGAGATGATCCGTGCGAAAGCGGGCGAATATATGGACCGGGCAGAGAAACTCAAGAACCACCTGGCACAAGCGGAGAATCGAAAGAAACCAAGTGCAGTTGGCGCCAACGGCAAGGTGGCGCAAGGAAGTGGGAAGAGCGGGTATGTCACTAGGGATTTTATGTATCTTCCAGAGATTTCGGCTAACGACGCCATGGGCTGTTCAGAAAGGAGGAAGATGACAACGAAGACGCCGAAGCGAAGAAGCTGCGATCGGCCCTTGCTGGCGCCATCTTGTCGGACAAACCGAATGTGAAGTGGGAGGATGTCGCGGGTCTTGAAAGTGCCAAGGAGGCACTGAAGGAGGCTGTTATTCTACCCATCAAGTTTCCGCACCTGTTCACAGGGAAACGCCAACCGTGGAAGGGTATCCTGCTCTACGGACCTCCGGGTACCGGTAAATCCTACCTGGCCAAAGCCGTTGCGACGGAAGCAAATAGCACATTCTTCAGTGTCAGCAGCAGTGACTTGGTCTCAAAATGGATGGGTGAGAGTGAAAGGTGGGGTCTATTCTGAGGCGCATCCTTTTTTTTGGTTGAATCTAGACACTAACGCTTCTCTTTCAGACTGGTCAAGCAGCTTTTCAACATGGCCCGTGAAAACAAACCGGCGATTATCTTTATTGACGAAGTCGATGCCCTCTGCGGTCCGCGTGGCGAAGGAGAATCGGAAGCGTCTCGGCGTATCAAGACCGAGCTGCTGGTACAAATGGACGGTGTCGGCAAGGACTCGCGAGGGGTGCTGATTCTGGGTGCGACAAACATTCCCTGGCAACTGGATGCCGCTATTCGACGCAGATTCCAACGGAGAGTACACATCAGTCTTCCCGACATCAACGCGCGAATGAAGATGTTTATGCTCGCCGTCGGCCAAACGCCGTGTGAAATGACACAGGCGGATTATCGGACATTGGCCGAAATGAGCGAGGGCTACTCAGGCAGCGATATCAGCATTGCTGTACAAGACGCACTTATGCAACCCATCCGTAAGATTCAAACCGCGACACATTATAAGAAGGTCAGGCTCATCCTCACCCTATCTCAAACCAATTCAAATGCTAATGAACGGTGCAGGTCATGGTTGACGGCGCAGAAAAATTAACCCCATGCTCCCCCGGCGATAGCGGCGCGATGGAGATGTCGTGGGTCAACGTCGAGGCAGATCAACTTCTCGAGCCACCTCTTGTGCTCAAGGACTTCATCAAAGCCGTGCACAACTCACGGCCCACAGTCAGTCAGGAAGACCTCAAGCGGAACGAGGAATGGACCAAGGAGTTCGGTAGCGAAGGAGCTTGACCTCCTTTACTTACCTTTTCTTCCATCTGTTTCCGAAACAATACACTGGATAGATCCGCACTGCATAATGTCTTGTTACTGTTGCTTGATCATGTCTCCTAAGTCTTGAATTTTCTCTTTTTTGGAGCGTGCTACGGTGTCTTTCTCCCGTCACCTGCGATGTCTTTATCATGCCCCTGACCGATTATGTTCTCCATGTTGTTATCAAGAGCTCGGTGTTCAGAAGCGTTACCCGTTCGGCTAGGCGTTCTTTTTTTTTTTTTTTGTCATCTCTGTTGTTCTCTGCCAGACATACATGGCTTGGATGTGGGGTTAAATTCTCATGAGGGTTTATAGTCATTAACTTCCTACGGAAGACAACAAGTCAAGGAGCAATGAGCTGGATTTTTGGATCTCACTGTTCTCACATGTATCATCAAGATTCATTTACCAGGTGTGCTCGTAGTACCTTGACGCGTGGAACTCGCCAGGGCTGTAGTTGGTTTGAACGCTCGATTCATGTATCCATGCCAACGCAATAACATCGCTCATTCAAGTATCCTGTTCTGTCTGAAGGGAAAGGGAAATAATGCTCTCAGATAATAACAAACACACATGTCCAACTCCTAGCATTCGAGAGAAACGCCCAAAGTGGTTGACCAGTTATAAGACCTGCCTTATTCATTTCATCCATCACAAGCGCTGTAAAACAAAAGACAAAAACGAAGAACGAGGGGGAATCTTCTCAACAAAAATCTGACAGGGACACAGGCTATACGAAGGAAAGCAGAGGAACCACTATATGGGGAGAAAAAAAGGGGGAAGGCGATCAAGCCATTGCCATCTTGCTTGAGCCCTCCTTTCGCTTCTTCAACACTTCACTTTTCGCCCGCTTGAGGCCTTCGCCCAGCTTCTTCGTTCTCGACCACTCTCGCGACTTCCTCTGCATTCGAACTGTGGCTAATACCAAAGAGACGGCGGTCTTCAGCTTTTGTCGCGGAGTTCGGAAATGGCTGCGATCCCGAGGCTTGACTCCCATCTCAGAGATCATTCTGAGATCGGCTTCGTTACTACGTGATTGTTAGCGGTGATTCAGACGAAGAAGCATTGAGAGAATATCACATACCATGCAACGCGGACCCGTTCTCCAAGCTCCATCAAGCCCTTACTCCAAGCCAAATCGCGTCGGAACTTCTCCTCACGCCTCAACCGAGCCCTAAGCCATATAATCTCCTTTCCCAGACCAAGGATCTCTTTGTCGTGCCTGTTCTTGCTGTCCGTACTAGAATCGAAGCTCTTCACGATCTTGTCATATCGCTCCTGCAGGGCATTGAGCTCTCTGGAAGCCATCTCAGCCTTTCTTATACAAAAGGAGCGCTCGTCACGGACTCTGCGCAGCTGCGCCTTCAGTTCAGCAAGGCGAGTATCCTTCTCGGACACTTGCAGTGCTAATGACTCCGCTTCAAGAGTCGATGACTTGAGTAACTCATGGAGATCTCGCTGATCCTCTTCCCGCATAGCTGATCGCTCAAGGTCACGGTTCTTCACTCTCAGCTCTTTCAGGGAACGGTGTGCGTCAGACAATTGCTTCCTTAAGCTTCGTAATTCTTCATGGAGTTTATCAGACGGGGATCCATGCGGCGAACGGTTTTCAAATCGGTTAATCATAGCATCATTCAGCTCCTGCTCGAGCTCGGAAATCCGCTGCTTGAACTTGCGGACAGAGGACTTTTGGTCGGCTTCTCGCTGTAGTAGAGCGCGCTCCCTCTTCCGTGCCTCATCCAAATTGTGACGAAGCATTGAAAGATCTGCGGCTCCAATGGATTGTTCGATATCCGCAAGTGGTTGTTGCTGCTCAAGAAGGGCCTCGAGATCGTGGATGCGTTTCTCTAAGCGTTGAACTTTACCCCTAGCCACCGTCAATTCCCTATCGCGTCCGCCAGAAGCTGTTTGCAGCTGATCCTGGAGTTGATCTATCTCTGCTGAGAGACGGTTTTCTTCTGTTGTGGCGCGCTCGATCTCGGAGCTCAGTTGTTTTTCAAGGGACTCCTTTGCCTCCATAAGAGAAACCTTGTCATCCTTTAGCCTCTTCAGCTCCCCCTCAAGGCGTAAGGCGGACTTTCGGAGATCAATCTTTTCTCTGTCAAATCGAGTGGTATCATCGACCTGATCTCTGACTCTGTCGAGTTGACTTTGAAGCTCATCGCGCTCCGCTTCGATCTCGGCTATGGAGGCCCGCAGGTCATGTAGTTCAACGTGCGCATTTGCCAATTGATCGCGGAGTTTCTGCTTTTCTGCCATCAACTTTTGCGTATGATTGTCTTCTGTGGGCCCTTTCTGCAGCCGAGCCTTGGTGTATTCTTGCTCTTCTTCCAGGCTTGCTTGCAGTACAACAACCTCATCCTCCAACGCTTGCACTTTCTCTTTCAGAACGGTCTCATCGCGCTTGGTAAGCCGGAGCTCTTCCTTGACCGATAGAAGTTCGTTTCTTAATGCGTCGATGACTTCCCTTTTTGATGTGACATCGTCATTCAACTCTTTCACTTGACGACCGAGAACTGCTTCTGCGTTGAAATGCCTTTGTTTCTCGCTGTCAATTACTTCTTGTAACCTGACTTCCTTACCCGAAAGGGAGTGCTCAACTTGCTCGAGCTTCTCGATAGTACGTTTATAGCCAGCGGCCTGGTCCTCGGCTCTGTCCTTCTGGAGTTGTAGGGTACGCTTGGCGCTGTCCCATCTATCTTGCTCGAGCGCAAACTGGCCTTCTTTATCTTCAATTTCATGGTGCAATGACTCGATCTCTTCTTGAAGGCGTTGAATCTCCGCCTTATATTGGGCACGAATATCATGGCTGCCTTCTAGTGCGCGTTGCTTTTCCTCATCCAAGGCCCGCTGGAGCTCCCGGACCAGAGACCTCTCTTGAGCAAGTTCGCGCTGCAGACTGCTGGATTCGTCGGTCAGTGCATGATGTCGAGTCTGCAAAAGATCCTTTTCTTCTGTCCTTCGTTGAATGTCATCGAGAGCGTCTTGCAGCTGAATGAGAAGTTTGTCGCGTTCTTGCCGAGCGGCGTCTCTTTCGCGCTTCGCTTGTGCAGCGTCGTCTCTTGATTTTTGCTCTCCTGCATCCATGTTCCGCCGGACACTGCTGTACTGTTCCTCCAAGCGAGCTTCATTTCGTGTCTTTTGGTCGAGTTCGTCTTTCAAAGTTCTGTTCTCTCGTTGTAAGTCTGCAAGCTCTTCCTCCAACTTGCCGGTTTTCTCCTCCAGTTGTCGAGTGAGGCCCTTGGTGCTGAAAGATTTGTTCGCCATCTCTTCATGAAGTTCCTGGAGGTCTTCTTCCGCCTTGGCTTTATCCTGAACGGCTTGATTCGCGGTATTTCTTGCTTCCCGGGCATCGGACTTGGCCTGTTCCAGACTGGCTTGCAGTTCCTCCATCTGGTCTCGGGCGCGTTGGAGTTCCGCTTCCAGCTCAGCAACTGCGTCTCGATCCTTGCTATCTTGATCCTTGAGCTCCTCGATTTCCTCTTCGCGTTCTTCGATGGTACGATCTTTTTCCCGGAGAGACGCCTCCAGGTCCTCAATTTGATCTCGAAGTTTCTCGACATCCTGCGACTGTCGATCTCTGGCCTCTCTCAATTCCTCCTGGAGCTCCCTCACTCGATTATCCTTCATCTGCATCTCATCTCGCATCATATCCATTTCCTGTTGTACTGACTCATCCATTTGTCGCCTTCGCATTTTATCCTTGAGTTCTTGGAATTGTAGACGGTAGGTTTCCAGATCGCGTTCAGCCTGCTGGAGACTCTTTTTGTATCGTGAGATGTCGCGTAGCATGGTCATCTTTGATACTTTGAGTTCTGTATTCTCCTTTACTGCTGCTTGGTTGTATTCTGGGCCGGCTTTGTCCAATTGTTCCTGCAAATAATGAATCTTCAATTTCAACCCAAAGTTGTCCTTGTCGAGCTTGTCGATCATCTATTCACGGTATATTTAGCGGTGCACTGGGATGGTCAAAATCAGCATGAGCAAGATCGAAAGGACCCACCTTCTCCTGCTCTTTCAGAGTCATATTTTGTCCATCGTTGAGGACACCACCTCCATCTCGCCGAAGTGATGGGAGCGGGGTGCCCTGAACGCTACTGCTGGCAACCTGCGGTAAAAGTGTAGGTTCTTCTGTCGCGTCCTCCTCGTCGATCCCGGTCATTTCCATTGGTGGTAATCCGGGGGTATTAACATTGCTCCGATAACTCGCTCGCAGGTATGCTGGTGTTTTAAGATCGTGCGCGTTGGATAGATTCCTCAACAAATTGTTCTTCGTCGCGCTCTGCATCAATGGCGTGAACTCGCCTTTGGCAGGCGCAATCGTCGGGAGATGCTGCCGAGATTTCAACGCGCTTTTCGTGGACCTTGAACCGGATCCAGCACGCGGAGTACTGAGCTTGTTGCCACCGGAGCTGCGTCTTCGATCACCGAGCATCTTGAGAATATCTCCATCTTTCGAAGGCGATTGGAATGAGTTTTCGACGGAATCAAGGGCGGATAAATTGTGTCGTCCCACGCTGCGATAGCCGTTGGTCAGGTAAGTCGCGTTTCCGTCCACCTCAGTTCGCGGAGTGTCGATGTAGGGAAACGCCATCTTTCGACGCGATTGACGCGTTCTTGGCGTAAATAAAACCTTCACAACAATTTCAAGAGTAGTATGTTTCAATGTGAATTCATCCTGGTGTCTCCGGCCGCTCGATAACAATGACTGGCAAAACAAGCATGCGGTGGAATGCCCTCATCGGCTGGACGTGTTTTGGCGGTGAAGATCCACTTTCAGCATTGTTGATATCTAACTGTAAACGGACTAGCGTACTGGCTACGGCGGGCGGGCCGAGAGTTTCGCCGCGTTTTACTTGGTATGAAGTCATGACGGTAATTTATCGCTTCTCCGCAATAAGAGAATCGCCTCTTTCTTTTTCTTTCGCAGCAAATTGCATCTGGCGCTTCAGAGTAGGCTCGATACCCTACGATGGCGCCTATGTCTGAGGAGGATCTGGAATGGTTCAAATCCACTTTTCGCCCCATTCCGAAGCCAGAGCTCCCCGACGATGCTGTCGAATATTCACTCTACTATATTCCCTCCGGCCCCGCCCCCACTGTCACCGATGAAGTCGCAGAGACTAGATCGCGATTAGTCGAGGTACAGCGGACTGCAGCAGAATTGACAAAGGAGCTCTTAAAGGACTATATTTGGCAGCGTGAAGGCTTCAAATTGGAGATCGCAAAAGATGATGGTGAGTAGTATTTGCGCAATGCAACCCACTTTAGCACTCATGTAATCATTGACTTCATGGTACCTCAGGAATCACATTCTTACGGGGGCGCACAAACTTCGGGGATTCGATTGAAGACGAATGGGTGATTGTATATCTTCTTCGGGAATTGACCAAGAAGCACAAGGATATCTGGGTGAAGGTCGTGGACAGTGACGGGCAGTTTCTCCTTGTAGAAGCAGCTGGTGCTCTCCCAGCCTGGCTGGAACCCGAGGTGGCAGAGAACAGAGTAGGTTATGCTATGGGGGTGGAAACTAAGGCCCTTGAGGTCCAATGCTAATGAGTTGCCCAGGTATGGATAAACCAAGGAGAACTTGTTATCATCAAACCCAAGAACGAGAACCTTCGCCGAGTGACGGAAAAGCTATCCCTTGCTGATTCAAGGAAAATCATCAAAGAAGAACCCAAGCGACTTATGCGCTCTCCGATGATCCAAGAAGAAGCTTTCTATCGTTTGCGAAACTATCCCAAGCAGATCAGCGAGAACCTCCATTCAGCGCTTGTCATTATTCCTCGAAAGGTCGCATTTCTCCTACATCAGAAGCCAGCATACATTTCAGCAGCGGTGGAGGCTTTCTATCTACGAGATCCAATTGCATTACGGCCCCTCAGATCCAAAGACACTAGTACCTTTATCTTTAAACCTGAGGATTTTGTCACAGTCAGCGTACGGTTCACCCGAGTCGGTTACGCACAACTCAAGAGCCAGGACTTCCCAGCTCCAAAGTCCTGGGTTGGGAAGCTTCCCCCTACAGATGATCGAACGGCATATGAGCGGGCAGAGGTGGGGATGAAGCTTTCTTGTGGCTTTGAGATGCTTCTCACAGATCCGCAGAATCAAGACAAGGCTTCCGTAAGAGAGATGAAACTTTTGCTGGAGGATGTGGAAACCGGGGATGAAAATCTACCCACGGATGAAGAGATCGCCACCTGGGATAAGCGCCAAGATGATGAAAAATGGCTGGATATCAACTTCGAGGATTTGGACCGAGAGTTGAAGGGCAAGGGCAAAGGTGACGATGCAGAGGCCAGGGGAGCATTTGGAGACTCAAATGCCCAGGAGAACCTTCAACGCATCGTAGCTCAATTTGAGAAATTCCTGAACGATGAATCTGCTGGCTTCGAGGGAGCTGATTTCATTGATGACTTTGACTCGGATTCCGACAATGGCGACGACGACGATGAAGACGACTTAAGTGATGAGGCAGAGGACAAGGAAGCATCTTTTGACGAGGAGGAGTTTTCAAGGATGATGAAGGAGATGATGGGCTTGCCGTCCTCCATGCCCACCATGCCACCCCTTCAGGGCCCGTCCAAGCAACCATCCGCTTCCCGGGGCCGGGTGGAGGAATTAGATTCAGAGTCAGAAGACGACTTGGAGAAAATCCAAAAACTCTCGGCACAGATGGAAGCAGAGCTTAAGGGCACGGGTGTGCTCGATCTACGCCGCCCCAAGCAATCCACAGGAAAGCAAGCCATATCTGGGAAAGACCAGGACGATAAAAATGATCAGGGTGAGGCAGACGTCGACGAAGAAGATATCAATATCAACCTCGCCAGAAATCTGCTGGAGAGTCTGCAGGGCCAAGGTGGCGCTGCAGGCCCAGCAGGAAACATGTTGTCAATGATGAATTTGCCCACGCCTAAAGACGATCGCCGATGAATTTCAGGCTATCTCTTGGATATATTGCGAAATAACGATATGAAATATGCACTGCAGTGCAACAAGCGCCGATGACATCGCTATATCGATTATTCCGATTTTGAAAGAATCGTCCAGAGAGATGACAACGCCATCTTGTGGGACAATCATCTCGACCATCCAACTAATGGCTACCTTCGAACCTACGACGACAATTACCCGCATTCTCGGTCATATTTTAGGGGATGCGGTTCGTCCGTTTGGACGTTGAGGGCTCCGGGTGATTTCTGTGATATCTTTGGAGCAGAATCCTACTCCACAAAGGGATACAATTATGCCCACCTATACATTAATCCGAAGACGGTTACGCACCATATGGTCCTATATTTGAAGGCGAGAATGGACTCTGCAGTGGTCATTTCATACATTGGGATGATCCCATGATATATACTTCATACGCCTGAAGGCGGAGGGAGAAGGTGCTGTCCATCTATCTACCTAGGATAGTGTAAGTAATAACAATAGGTTGAGACGCCTAAACAAAACCATTCGAGACATAAAAATCATAGCCTAAGGCTCTTACATCACTCCTCATATAAACCATTAGTCATTATCCAAGCGTGTAACCAGGTAATTGAGACCAGCGCAAAGACCATCTATTGCTTGTTCCCGATCATCGGGAGGTTGAATGTAGCAATTCTTCGCTTCCATCCTCCAAAGACAAAACCCATTGGCGCCAGTCCTGCCATTCCGCGTAGCTCGCGCTAGCCTTGAGACCCTGATATCTAACCACGCGGAAGTCCGAAACCTGCTCCCATGGTTTGCCGGACTCAGAATGGCTGGTACTGCTGCTTCCCCTGAGCAGACGCCTTGTAACGCTTCCCGTTGTCTGTCCATTCCAGCCAGCCTTGCGCATCAAGCTTTCTAGGGTCTCCTCCTTCGTCCAGCCTTGCTCTACCGCCACATCTGGTAGGTATGTCGCGCCATAACGACGGCCACGATGGATGAAGGAGATACGGATACCATGAACACCGACTGACCAATCCAATGCATTTGTGCAGGGTTCAAAGGAGCCCAGGAGAGTTAGAGAACACGACAGAGATGGGAGAAGTGATTCGGGAATCGGGCTAAACCGAGTGTCATCAAATGCACTGTTCTTTGAATTAGCGCCAATGAACCGAAGATAATTGGACGTGCGATTTCCAGCCAAATCGCTGGCAAGGGATTACATACGAAGTGAGAGCGTAGGACTTTAGTCCATCAGACAGCTCCTGCGCTTCAAATGTACCAATGCATCCGCGGAGGGACTTGCGACCATTCTTCGAAAGAGTATCCCACGTCACAAACAGTGGATAGCGTTGATCGCTCGACCTCCTTTGTATACCTTCCGCCGTTTCGGAAACCGTGGTTGTTGAACTTGGAGTCGTAACTGCGGTGGAGATGGATAGAATAGAGCGCGATGAACTGGTGGACATGGCAGACGGAGTAGTCGCGGTGCTCGACGGGTCTGAGGATGGCTGACTCTGTAGACGACTGACACTGGGCAATTTGATGGCATTTGGCCGGTTATCCTTCGAATGAGATGACTCATGCTGTGGTGTATCAATCTCTTCCTCATCTACCGTGACCTGTGGACCGAGGTCATTACTGTCCTGAAGGGACCCTATTTTCTTTGATCGCTCATATCTCTCCCACAGTTCTTCCACATTTTCGAGGTTAATGGGCTCATGACGTCTGTAAGAGGCAGCCAGGCACTCAAAGCAGTAGAGACATTGGGCTGGACTTGCCATCTCGAGACTCTTAGAATGAAGTAGGACTGCTTGACTTCACTCCAATCACTTGCTGGGTTTCAAGAAACGTAAGTAATAGGAGGCAAATCGTGAGTCTAATGATACTTGTAATACTCCTTATATAGCCCAATTCCCCTGGAGTGCTACTGCTGAGTAGTCTTTGCGAACACAGTCGCAGTAATCACTTCACATGAAGGGTTTGGCTGACCCGGAGATTTGCGATTTCGGATTGCGAAGTCACAGCACAATCGAGAGCACCGTCGAAAACTGATACCACCACCCAGACTGCTGTGGAAGAGATAATTGGTAAAGTAGTGAGGAAAGTCAGCGAAGAGAGGGGAAGAGGGCAAGGCGGCTGATAAGATAGCTCCACGTGATAAGCCGGCTTATCGGCTTCTCGTCATGTGACTCGTGTAGAGTCGTAGTGATCTCTACCTTGACTTCGCCATTATTGTATTCATTCAGCTGTAAAGGAACATTTTTCGATGTAAGCACTTTGCACTCAACCATTAGTATTGACTCTTGAGGGGGCATTGCATTTGACTTGAAGTCGGATTTAAACCGGATTCCTCGCAAGTCGTAAGACACACCCGTATAGCATAATTGACTGTAGCAGCACGAAAATATATCCTTGTCTAGTGATATGTAGATTGTAAAGTCCTGGAAGCAATGAAAATCGACGTGCATCGAAAAAGAGGCAAAGCAAAAGAGTTCATCATGATTAACCAAGGTATCAGAGCGCAATGCCGTGCTCAAACATGAAATCCAAAAGAGCCACAAACCAAGCAAGCAGAATGGAAAGTCCAAACATGACAATGCATTCAACAAAAAATGGAAGCTGGGGTGCAATTTATCATTTCTTCACAGTCCGACTCCACAATCCAGCCACTGTCTCCTTGACTCTACGCTCCTGCTCTCGAATTTGCTCCTCTGTCTGCCCGCGCGCATCGGCACGGCTGTCGATATCCATGCGTCCATCATGTTGCTCCTCGATAATTTCACTACCATTGACGCGCTCAGGTTTCGGATCGACGCTCATCATACCGTCCATCATGAGTCCACCGCCCTCGCGGAGCTTGTTAATGGCGCGGACGGTGTCGATGGCCTTGTGCAGGGTTCGACGGGCGTTGAAGTTCTTCTTGACTGTTGGCAGTAGATCTGCGCCAGCATTGTCTGCAGTAGTATCGTAGGGCGGGTTGATCCACGGATGCTGGAGGGCCTCGTGAGCTGTCATTCGGCCCTTGGGATCGACTGTCAGACAGCTCTTGATGAAGTCGCGCGCTGATTGAGAGACACCACGCCAATGCTCGAGTGGCGTAAAGGAGTAATCCGCTGCAAGAATGGCCTGCATCTCTTCCAGGTTGGAATCGCGATCGAAAGGGGTATAGCCGCAGAGCAGGAAGTAGGTAATGACACCGATAGCCCAGATGTCCCTGACAAGAGAAAAATCAACGTCAGCTATGCTCATTGATCGAATTGACAGAATTGATGAGGCATAAAAACGTACACTGGTTTTCCATGTCCACTCTTCTTGAAGATTTCGGGAGCCATGTAACCCGGCGTGCCACACGTCGTCGTAAGGACGTGAAACTGCTCCTCATCCATGATCCTGGACAAGCCAAAATCCGCAATGAGTAGATCCGCGTTATCCTCAGGCGTGCGGAATAGTAGGTTCTCTGGCTTCAGATCCCGATGCACGATGCCATGGTCATGCAAGTATGCCACCGCGGAAAGGACCGCGCGGATGAGTTCCGAGGCATCAGATTCGTAATAGCTGCCTTTGCGACAGATACGGTCGAACAGCTCTCCACCCAGTGCGAGCTCAGTGACGAGATACACTGGAACAGTCCACTGTCAGTCTGTGAGACGCAAGCACACCGGCACAGGGGAAAATGTACAGTTATTCATCGTCTCGAAGTAATCCACCAACGTCAGGATGTTCTGATGACCCATAGAGACCCTCTTCAGCACTGCGATCTCATTGCGCACCTGTCATTTCCACCGTTCCCGATTTGCATCAGCCTTCGCTCGATTGTCCCTATCCGTCACGTTTGCGATGGGAAGATTACCATGTGCTCACGCCCCGCCATCAGACGCTTGTTGATCACTTTCGCCGCATAGTACCGACCCGTATCGATGTGCACACATTCCTTCACCACTGAATAGGAGCCAGCTCCGAGGGTTTTCCCAGTCTTGTACCGGCAAGGCTGGACCTTGGGTCGTTGGTTCGCTTGCGCTTGCGATGCCATCGGGGAGATAAAAATTGCACAATATAACTCGAGGTATATATGCAGAGGCCTAGAAACGACCGAGAGTAGGGCAAGGGAGTTAGAGGAAAGGAGCTCAGAGTTCGCTGACTGACACTATTCCTGATCGAATGCGCAATCTGTCAGAAAGGCGGCCGAGAGACTGGTGACAAGAAACAAATTATGTGAAATCACTGCACGAGCGCTAAACTATCAAAATTGCCTGCAATGCTCAAGGAGAAAGAATAACACAAAGAGAATTGAGCAAAATGGAAGGAGACCTGAGTGTGCAGCTGAACAAAGATAAACCTTGAGGTTTCTTATCGCAATCGGTGGGATGTAACAGAGACACTGCGGGGTTGCAAGTGTGAAAAACACGGTGACTTACCCTCGGAGAGAACGCCAGCAGATGGATTAAAAACCGCTGAAAAAATGTGGAATGTCGATTCTTTGTAACAGACAGGATAGCCTGGATATGATGGTCACGTCAAGACTAGTGCTCATAGTCTAGTCTGCCTGGACAATCTCATATGGCCACCGGCTCGAAATAAGCAAAGAAGCGAGCACTAGACTCTTTTATCCCACACCGACTCAGCTCAATAAAGAGGGCCGAAGATCAGTGATCTTAGCTTGAAATGAATTGATTGAATTTTCATTAGATGTATGTACAGAGATTTGCTAGATTACCCCTTTGACGCCTCAATATAATAAGTCCTTGCCCTGTCATCCCATCACGCCTCGCGATGCCGTGGTATCGGTAGCTAATATAAGAAATCTGATCCAAAACAGTGAACACAACGGACAGAAAGGAATGAAAGATCACATCTGTTCGAGCACTCCCCGGACGACGCCTTCCAGGAGCTTCAAACCATGGAACTTGGCCACGCTTTCTAGGAGGCGCAGCCTCTGCTCGACCTCCTTCCGATCCATAGTTTCCACCCACATGCCACTGCATGAGCAATGCTCCATGAAGTCACTGATCTTGAGACCTCCACACTTGGCGCATTTGAGGTCTTGTGTCTGCCAGCCGACAATCAGACCTTGCACTTGACCAATGAGAGCTTCCTCTTGCGCCAATCGATCATACTCTGTTTGGCAGAAGGGGCACCGCCATGGCTTCGGTGCTGCTTTGCTGGTGTCCGAGCCTGGGTCAGGAAGAACATCCTCGTCTCGGCACAGATCCAAGTCTCGGATCAAACAGCAGGCATTGCAGGAAAGCTCGGACAGTTTCAGACTGGCCCCTGGGTTTTCGAATCTGCCTTCTTTACTGAACTCTCGTACTTCGAACATCGCTAACAGTTCTCGGCGCAGCAGTCGAGTCTCCAGGGTCGTCGTCTTGGATAAACTCAAGACTTGCATCAATAATTTAACAAGTTCGAGAACGGGATTCCGCTTGTCGTTGTTGGGGTCCACTAGGGTCCCTGGGAGGACTGGGAAGGCGTAGTCAGACGCCAATTCCGGATGAAGGAGTTCATCCCGTTGGCGTCGAATAAGACCAGAGATCTGCTTCTTGAGCGGTTTCGAGAATTTTTCTGCCAGGATAGACGTGACTTCATCGCTGTCCTCCTCGGGGCGTCCAGGAATTTGAGTTAGACGAGGAGTGGAGGAATCGCCGGAATCAGGGCGCTTCAGACCGTGCATAAGCTCTATATACTCCACAGCCCAGTCGTGGAAGATAGTTTGCATCGGAGCAGGTAGGAACCGGCTAAGCTGCCAATACATCACGGTCTCGAGCTCTTCTTCCTCGGCGCCCGTGACTTCCCGGCATCCCTTGCCACCGTAGTTGTATTCGTCGTACCAGACCAGATAATCCCAGTACTCCTTAATCTCAAGGTCAATGAAGTGGAAAGAAGGATTGGCACGGATTGACTTGAGGACATATTGGCTGTATGCATAAGCGTTGCCGACCTCCGTCTTGGTGGTTTGGAGTAGAAGCCGGGTAGGGCTTGCGAAGACAATGTTCGACCCAACCCGCCTAAATTCAGCCATGAGCCGTTGGAAAGATTTTCTAGAAAGCATCCGCACGTAGTTATGCAGAGACCGATCATAGAGGCATGAAACCGGGCTCTCAACCCATCGGATCAGATGTTGAACCATGATGTCGGCCATGTTATTTCCCTCACACGCTTCTGTCCACCAGTGCTTCACCATTTCACGTAACACTACTGCACCGGCTGAAGCAAATGCCTTCTCCGAATACAGAACACCTGTACCATTGGCATCTGCCGACGGCTCGGCTGATGCCAAAAGTGTGTCCGCCCCTTCCATCTCGCTGATGATCGAAGACGTCAGAATAGTGTTAATCGAGAGATTACGGACTTCCAACTCGATACAGACTGTATTGTAAGCGTTGGGGACGTTGACAGATGGCATGGAAACTTTCTCCAAAGGACCAACAGTATCGTCTTTCTCATAACCGGCGTGATCTGGTCTAGGCCCAGAAGACCACCAGAGAACAACATTGTTCTGTTGAAGTCGTCTTGCATAATAGATATCGATGAGATACCGAGGGTCATCGTTCTCGAGATTGCAGAGAGGTACATCACCATACCTAGCCAGCAAGGTCAAGTGTTGAATCCACGAAGAAAGATACAGATAGTGCGTCACCAACCGTCTCGCGATGAAGGGTTGCCATCCGAGAGGTGGAAGATCCATATCTGAAATTTCGGGTTTCACTGGGAGGACTGGATATTCCCTCAGAATGGGAATGTCGTGGCACAAGCGGTGTCTTTGGTGGGATTGTATGATCATTATGGCAGGTTGGGTTTCTTCACCTTTCAGTTTCTTTATCAGATCGCCGACTTCCAGATGGGCTTTCCTCCTAGTCATCACTTGTGTGGTCTTGAAGTGAATTTTCTCTTGGTACTCAAACGCGTTCTGAGACTGATCGCCTTCTGCGGATTGTAGTTTCCGCGCAAGAAGCTCAGTATAGATTTTGTCGACGTTTGGAAGACCTTGCACGTCCCTTGTACGATTTAGAATGACTATGTGCGCTTCGTTCTTTGTGGTCGAGAATATGGCGAATATCTGCCGATCTCCAGAGACGACATGGTAGAGATAATGATAGACCAGAGGAGAATTCGTAAGGTAGAGCTCCTCAGAAGTGGTACGGCACAAAGTCGAAAGATCAAATCCTCTGTCCAGTCCTTCTCCAAGGACTCCTCGCTGTTCCTCATCAAAGGTGCAGATACTACCCAATTTGAGAACCGCCCGAACACTCAGGGGGATGTTCTTCTCATATACACCTTCAATGCTGGGATGCTGCAAAAGAATGTCCATCTTATCACTTTCTTGGATATATGTGTCCTCAGACAAAGTCATTTTGAATAGATGAACCGAGGGATGTCCATTGGGCAGAGTGTGGTTGACCTTCTCTACCTCGCAGTCTGGTACATCCACATCCGGCAGAGAGTCGCCTTTCAGGTTGACATAAAGCTGTCTAGGGACTTTGACAGTAAGAGGATGGATCTTATTATCAATCAAAACGAATGCTCTAACAATGCCAGGTCTGCCTGTCTCGCATAGCTGAAGGACCTGCCAGGTGTTGATGTACAACAACTCTGCTTGATTCCTAAACAAATTGCTTAGAGAATCGGTGGCCACATTCGCCCGTTCGCCGAAGAGTTGACGTCGGCGAACCCGAGCTTGTTTCTGGATCTTCCATTTCTGCTTCTGATATTTCAAGAATCCAACATAATCGTCGTTCAATGGTGGCATCTTGGCCGGAAGGCTGGCAAATGGATCGAGTGATGTTTTCGTGGGCCCCTCAGGATGTTTTCTCTTCTGAGACATCTTACCTTTTGGTGATGGCTTCAATTTTTGCGCCGAGCTTGCAACTACCTCTTCCATATCACCATTATTTTGAATGCGGTGGTCCATGATGTTGGTTGAGATGTCAGCAAGCGGGTTCTTCTCTGCCTTGCCGAACATGTCCGTCATCTTCTTTTGCTTGAACTTGTCATCCTTCATATTAATGCGCCGTTGGAGCCAGTCGGGATGGGCTACTCGAGGGACTGGATTCCGGACTTTCTGGAGAGCAGCTGGAATCGTGATAAGCTTCTGCACCACGGAGCCCAGCCGCTCGAGATAGTAGTCCCAGTCGATCACGCTTCTTGGGTCCATATCACCAGGATCGTCTTTCAGCCATTTTCTTAGGAAGTGCCGTTTGACAGGTTCCTCCGCCGAAAAGATTGTCACTGGAATGGCCCGCTCGGTGACGGGTGTATTCCTTGGTCTTGCGGATATAATATACTTGCAGTTGAGACCCTTATCCTTTACCATCTGCTCGCCAAGGAATTCCGCCAGACGGCGCGCGGTCGTGATAGATGTCGACTTCTGGTTGCCATATTCCTCAAGAGTCTTTGTCATGCTCCTGTTCTCAGAAATAAGTTCAATCAATTCCTCATCGGCCAAGGTTGCACCTTGCTCGTAGAGGACGTCTAGCCATCTGTCAGCTACACGAGCAACAGCAGCATACGTTTCCTCCAGTGTGGCTCCTTCTAAGAAGAAGCGGAAAATTTGGGTTTGGAAGATCTTGATCAACTTCAGTTCTCCTCTTCGCTTGACTTCGAACCCCTTCAATTCAGCCAGGGAACCGTCATGGTTGAAGACAGCGTATCGTTTTTTCAAATTCTTATCTTCCTCTTTAGAAGTGGGCAGAATCATCGCTCTGTAGGGACCGTCAACCTCGAAGAAAATTGAATTGTCGCTGTGTGTCTCATATCTGAATGACTTCGGATCGACAAGCGTCTGGTACTGATGGTTGGTATACTTTCCATGCACGAGGTGATTCAGCATGACACAGGGATACGAGATTCCCAGCTTCTTGCCGTTCTTCAAAGTAAAAGAAAAATCTTCGGGAAAACTGCCTGGAAGCATACACCAGATACCGTCAGTATCGAGTTCCAGGGGACGACCAATACGTTCGACGAGCTCTCGAGCCATCTGAATGATATGAGCACCTGTCAAACAAGTCACGCCGGCCATTTCCATCGAATACCACCGAGAGCCTTTTCTCATGACGTAGCCGTAGAAGCTGTTCAGGATGACTTTGTGAGCAAGTTGTAACGAGTCGAATAGCACGATCATCTTCTTCGCTTCCTCAACCTCCGCAGCGGAAGCGCCCGCAGCTTTGAGAGCATCGGTCTTCCCTTTCCAAACTTTCTGCTTTCCCTTGAAATCATAACGTCGATCACGGAAGCTGCGGACAGTATCAACATAGAAAGGATTCTCTCGTTGACAGATAATTGCCTCCCGCACAATGGTCTTGCTGTCGTGGATCTTATGGTAGATCTTTTTGCTGTATTCCTGGAGACGCTTCTTGATGATTGCGGCCTGATCTTCTGTGCTCATATCACCGAAGGACCTCATTGGGCTGTTCTTATATTTTCCAGGGAACCGCTCGTTTGCAACAGCTTGTCTGATCATGTTGTACTCGTCGCGCTTGGCCGGCAGGAACTCACCTCGCCAGGCCCAAGGCAGTCTCCTGTCACACGTCTTCCCGGGTCTGTTGAAATCACAAGCGGCGCAATCAGATTCTTGAATCATGGAATCCGGTTGCAATCGATTGGTGATCATGATATTTGGATACATGGAAGCAACGTCCAAATGATAAATGGAGGGAACCTCATCTCTGTGCGGTTTCTCCTTAAGGCCAGTCAACTGCTCTGCGATCTGTGCCTTGACCTCCTCATAATTCACAACATCATCCATCGATTTCTTCTCTTCGACTTCAATACTGAACCTCAAGGCAGCATCAAGATCCCTGAGCAGCTCATCTATGGCAGCAGTTTCGACGTTGAATGTGACAGGGATATCACTTCGAAATACACCAGCTTCAATACTCTCGACGTGGCCGCCGACGTAGGTTTCCGATTCCAGAAGATGGCCCTCGTAAAACGACTCCGGCGGATCTTTATGCTTATTTGGCAGGACAATTTCGCCCTGATATGCCTGTACCATCAACAACATTTCGCAGAGTGTACCGGTTCCTTTTCGCAGCGTATCGTCGGGATTGAGTGGAATGATCGTACAAAGCGAAAAGATGAAAGGATGGACGTATTTCATATATAAGTAATACGTAGCCACGGCGTCTGAAACCGAGTATTCGGCCAGCGTCTGAGGACGCTCGCTTGCATAGGGCGTCATCAGCTCCGGATCTAATTCATCAGGGTCGTATCCCAGCTTCGCAACAGTGACGGCTTTCAAGCCACGACTTCCTTGAGGAAGGTAACTGTCACGATTGACCCATGCAAAGCAGTCCATGTGTACACAGTTGTCACTTTGGTAGATGTCCTCACTGTTTCTGCGAAAGCCGATCTCCTTGTACATATCGATTCCAAGGACACTGGCTCTCGCTTCAACGAATGGCCAATCGAAAAAGTCACCGTTGTATGTGGCAATGACTGTGGGCTTCGCTTCTTTTATGTGTTCAAAGAATCGCTCGAGGAGGCCTCTTTCGTTGGGTTCATTGAAGATCATGAAAGGCCCATTGTATTCGGGCTTCGGTGTATATTCAAAGTCGTTAATGTCTTCCGACACTATCTCCCGATTGGTGATTAGAAATCCCTGTCCATCAATCATGTACGAGATCATCATGATTTGATCAATGACGGAGTCTGGAAACTTCAGTGGTAGCTTCGTCGTTTCGATATCGAAGGCAAGAATAACCGGGTCGGCTCGTTGAAGCCGTTCTTCTAAGCAGGTCAAAGAAATAACTCCATGTTTTGCTTCAACGGTATACCATTTTCCGATTCGAATGTCTTTATCTTGGTTAGTCCACGACCAGCGAGGGATACGGAGAGATACGGACCTTTGTCGATTGCGACTCGGACGTGGTAAGGAACATCATATTCTCGAATATCAATAATAAAATCACTTGCTTGCATATTGCCATTAGATCGTGACTCGTTAATAAGTTCATCATCAAAAAGATCAAAGCCGGCATTGGCGCTGAGATCATAGATTAGCTTCAACTCAAATAGACCGCGTCACACCACTGTGGAACACGAACCTCGAGATCTCCGCATAAGTATCCATTATATTCACATTCTTTTTGTTCTTCTCCGCCAGTGGAAGGAGGGTCTTTCGGACGTCCAACAAGTGGCTCACGTTGGCAAAGTTGAGCTGAAGGAACGATCGTCGATGGCCAAGTAAATGGTTCGGCAACTGGAGGTCCTCCCTCTCGACTCGAGTGACCTTCTTGATCAGACCCTCGAACATCCTTCGGCACCACTCTTCAACCTCCGCTTCGCGGCCTTTCTTCGTGGCGATCAAGAAGTACGGATCATACTCCACAGTCGCCTTGAAGCTGGTGCCCCCATCTTCCAGGAAATAGTAATCCACGCCAGCACGTCCTCCGGGGACGTTCGGATCTTCTATCGAGGTGCTATGCATGTTGATGAGCCAGCCGGCTCTCTTCTCGCCGGCTTCGAAGCGCGGGAAGCCCAAGGCTTCATCGATGCTGTTCGCCAACCGGATCGCTTCGAATTTCTCATCTTGGGAGGTGGCCTCGGTCGATCGCAGGGACGAGAACTCAACGGTCTTGGTCCGCTTCGGATTGAAACTCGCAGCGCCGGATCGAAACTTGCTGCCATACTTGCTAGGTTTCCGTGTAGGCATTGCGTCGACAAGCCCGCGCGTCGGGGCTGAAGATTAAACTAGCAAACGGACAGGAAGTGACTGAGCATGGAGCGCGAAAAATAAATTAATACAGAAATTCCTTGAGCATAGCTGCTCTCTGAAGCGTTCAATCAGTGGTTATAATATCGAAGTGAGTAAGTACGCTTTCATTGAGTAGACCAATGCCCGCTGCCCAGTTGCTAAATTTGCCCTGTGTTCGATCTGGACGCGTTCGCGTTTCTACTTTACGCGTGCCATGCAGTCTCCACTGCGGCTGTCGGAATAACTATCCTTTCTTGCTACTGAACCTATAGAATCGGATCAAACAATGTTCCGGTTGATCGATCGTTCCGCTCCCCAAGTCCGCCCACCTTGGGGAGTCGGTACTGGCGATAATTTCGAATTATCATTCGGAGAGGTCGAACAACAACTTTATATTACGAAGATGGCAGATGATACTCGGGATACTGCTCCGCCTGGCCTGCCCGAGGGCGCGAATGAACAGACAGCTACAGGAGATGCTTCCTCGCCGCAACGAAAGACACAGTATGAGCTTCCCAAATCGCAGGTCGGCAAGTTATGGGAGGCATTTGGCAATCCGGAGGAATCGGCCAATCGGTTTTCAACTACGGGGTACAGCGGGGCAAAGAAGGATGCGAACGATGTTTCAGTAACCGATGCTGTCAAGTCTATGTCTGTCAAGGATGTCACTTCATTCTATAAAGCTCCCTGCGCCCGAGACTCGTTATTGCTGGGAATTGGCGCTGGCTTCGGTATTGGGGGTATTCGAGGTGTATTGGGAGGTGAGACGAACCCTGCTACTATACACTCGCCACATGGAGAATCAGATCGCTAACCATAGCGTGTGTAATAGGACTGCGCTCTATGTGGACTGCCTGCAATTGGGCTGTTGGCGCATTTGCTATCACCTCTCTTGCCGCACACGAATTCTGTCAGCGACGCCGGATCCAAGAGCTTGATGGAATGAAGCAAGCAGTGGAGATGATGAAGGAATTGAAGCTTAAGAAACAGCGAGAAAAGGAACAAAAGGCCGCTGAACAAGCTGCCCGCTTAGCCGAAGAGGAGAGGCAGAGGAAGAGCTGGACGAATCTATCAAATTATAAGTTCTGGTAGAAATCTTGCGCACTGTCGGGAGTCATGGAGTTTCTGGGACCTCGTTACGAGGTATGTAAAATTAGATGTGAAGTACATATTTCTATGATGATGGATTCCAGCCTATTTGGAGCTAGTGAGATATTCGAATCGCATGCCACTATAACCAAACCCATGCCTATGCCGTATGCGCTTTCGCCTTGAACTCCAATCGCCAACCACAAGAAAAACAAGTAAGATGATAGAATGTAGGTAAACGCCAGTCCTGTACCATGCGATATCATCTCCTGCTAAGAAATATCAATCCAAAATGAAACTCATAAATTGAATTTGACCTTTTTCTGGATGGCACCGCTTTGAATCGAACGGATTTTATCAACGTCGACCCCATCTCGCTTTTCTCTTCGTTTTTCTCGCGCTTCCCTCGCTTCTCTGGTCTTCCACTCGGCCAGCTGTTTCTGCCTTTTCTGAGACCTGGCCCACGCAATCGTCGCAGTAGGTTTGAATCCAATCCCATTAATACCGTATCCGTCATCATTGGGATCTGTAGGGTTGTGACCGGTGATCTCGGAATCATGCCACGTATATGGGTTCGCTTCCAGTGCGCCGCTGGGTGGCGGCGAGCTTCGCTTCTGACGTATCTTTGACAAAGCGGTGGTAGCCTTTCTTTTACGGGGTTTTGAGAGCGATTTTTTCTTCGAGGGTGAAGCTGTAGCAGCAGTAGGTTGGGGGTTAGGTTGGTTGTTATTTTCTTCAAGCGGCGCATTCAAGGCAGAATCACTAGGCTCCACGGAAGTGTGCTCGACCATTTCGTGAAGCAGATCTGATGATTCTACCCAGCATTTCGCGCGGAGTGAGTTCGCGAATGGCTCCTGATATAGACTAGCATTCAAGGGTGGAAAACTTGAAGAGTGATCCCCGTGGAGGGCCAGCTGCCCCAGGCGACCAGCAACTGAGGCGCGAGGACTATACCTCCCAAAATCCTCTTCTTCCCGAAGTCTCGCTTCTTGAAGGCTCGCAATCGAAATAGGCGAAGGTGGTGAAACCGGAGGGCTATCGCAGTTCGATTCTGAAGATTCTCGCTTGCGGTGAGGCGAACCGGTTGTCATCGACAACCGACTTGTGGACATCATCGCGGGGCGGATCTGAATGCTGTGGGGGCATGCCCTTGGTTAGGTAGATGGTCGCCAGGAACCCCTCATCAACCAGTCAAAGCCGCTTTTCAGCCTACTTCACTCGTTCAGGCTCTTCTATGTGTCTGTTCGATAAATGCTACCGGGAGAAGCCATCGTTCTGATCACTGCGGGGGAGGCATAGGGGCTCAGGCCAGCACCCTGTCTGATGGAAGGGGGAGAGAACGGGTTGGTCGGTAGTTGGTGCTTCATTGGATGGGCATTCGGAAGTTGATTCTAGACTGCCTGACTAAGGGACTAAGTGCCTCAGTCACCAATTTATCAAAATGATCAAATATCCTGTTGGACTCATGGTATTCCTTAGAATGAATTCTGATGCCTAGTGTACTATGTTTTTTCTATCGACTAAATTGAGCTCTTTTCTGAAACCCAAGCTTCAGTGTGTCATCTATCCCAGATAGAGCACAATCCTGTGAGTAAGATCCAGCCTTTCGGGTTAAATACTACATAGTGAGTCAGACATCATGAATGGTTTATTTGGTATTATTGCATTTATCGAGTACATTTTCAGCCATGGCTGCTTCAAGACCCTGCAAGCATGACATGTCTCTAGTCACTTTTTAAACGTAAGATCTGCATTACTCATCCATGCCACCAGGCCCACCTTGTCTACCCATTTGTCTGGCCTTCAGAAGCTCGTCACACAGAAGTAAGTTCGAGGCGATACCGGTGCTCGAAGCGATGCAGTTGCGCAAAACTCGGTAAGAATCGAAGACACCCTCCTGAACAGGGTCCATCGGTTCTCCCGTTGTCAAATCCAGGCCCACCACGTTGCCCTCCGCACTCTCATCATCCAAGGCAGCCAGGGAATCCTGAATGTCGTGTCCTGAGTTGGCAGCAAGAGTCTTGGGAATCACAAGAAGGGCATCGGCGAAAGCGGTGACACCCCACTTAGCCTTGCCCTTGACAGTCTTGCGAATACCTTCAGAGGACAGGTGGCGAGCGCAAGCAACTTGGTAAGCGCCAGCACCAGGCACAACGCATCCATCAACGATGGTGTTGTAAACCGAGCGTAGGCCATCACGGACGGCGTCCTTGACCTGCGCGATTGTGTGCTGGTTGGGTCCCTTAATGAGGATGGTAACCGACTTGGGGTCCTTGACCTCTTCCACGAAAGTGTACTTCTCCTCTCCGAGCTGGTGTTCGTAGACCAGGCCTGCCCATCCGAGAACATCAGGAGTGAGATCCTCCACGCTGTTCTGAGCAATACCACCACAAATCAACTGAAGACGCTCCATGTTCCTCCGCTTGGCTCTCCGAAGGGCGAAGATACCGTTCTTGACGAGTACATCCAAGCTCAGGGGATCAATACCCTTCTGGTTAATAACAACGAAGCCCTTTTTGGGGTCATTGCCACAGACCTGCTTCTTGAGCTCCACAATCTTTTGCAACTTGGCGTCCACGAACTTGCGCTCACTCTCTACCAGCTTATCTCTCTGTTCAGCAGAGGAGTAGTAGAAACCAGAGTTAATCTCGGATTTCTCGTACTCAAGACTGACGTTCAGGGTCAGAATGTACGCATTCTCAACTCTCTTGGGCATATCGGGATGTCTAGCACCGTGGTCTAGAGCAAGACCACGGATGAGCTGTGTATCGGACGCAGATCGGTGCTGCATAGTCATGATTTCAATCATGTGTAGGTCGGGTTTCGCAGGAGCTCTGTGAATGGCGAGTACAGCATCGACGACATCAGGTGTAAGCTTCTCAGCAAGAGCACTGCTCAATTTTGTGGCAAGCGATGTCCGAGCGACCGAGAGCAGCAATTCGCGGTCAATCTTCCGCTCAATCTTAAACTGATCAAGGAACTATACAGCCACAAATATCAGTTTCATGCTAAAACAGGTCCTGACAAAAGGTCAAAATATCACAGACCTTCAGAGCCTCGTTCTTCGCGATCTCGTAGCCATCTGTGATCACTCTGGGGTGCAGACCCTCGGAGATAAACCGATCCGCTTGCTTCAAAAGCTCACCAACCAACAGGACAACGGACGTCGTTCCGTCACCAGTGATATCATCTTGCGCCGTGGCCGCACGGGCAATCATGACCTTATTTATATCAGTATTGAAGGGGCTCTGGAAGGTAGTCGTAGGCAGCTTACAGCTGTGGGATTTTGGATTTGCTGGGCAAGTTAGCAGTAGTCGAGAATCTCCGGAAAGCAAGAACAAACCATCTCTCGCAGCAAAACATTTCCATCCTTGGTCAACTTAATCTATAATGACACCGACATCAGATATTATACTCCCCATGGAAAAGGAGGGTGCTTCATACTCCGCCTGCACCGTCAACCAGCCTACTTCGGGTCAGTTGTGTGTCAATTCAAATCAGTTTGACAGATATACGTACATCTTCAAGGTCCCTGAGGGACCCAAGTTAGACTTCAAGACATCCTGAAGACCTTCACCAGCGCTGATGTTCACTTTCAAAGCTTCCGCTCTCCGCTATGCACTGTCAGTGTGTCCTTGAATCATTGAGGGGCAGCTTAAGAGGGAGGTTTTTCCCCATACCCTCGACTCAGCTTTCGGGTTGAGTAACTGGGTTGCAGACATCTCTGCAGATATGAATCAAAGTTAAGCAAAAGTAAAAGCCCACGGGAAGATTCTCGCAAGGAAAATGAACCTGATAGTGCTCACTCTCCAAAAAAGATGCCCGCGTTAGCACAAACTGCTGGTGGCTCCCGGCGAATGCGGTGAGCTCTGGGTCTGGCAAAAAGCCCACATTCGAATGGACGCACTAGTGCCGCCGCGAAAGAAAAAAAAGAGCTCTGACGGTTCAATCCTCAAATCCACCCTCCAGCCCTTTTTCAACTCCACGTTGGGATACAAAAAGTCGACAATCGCAGTTTAGCGGTAACTGCGCAGTTGGTTTGGGTGCTTGGGATTATTTATTGACATTTTTTACTCCGATTTCACGCCATTGATACGATTTTGCCATGGCCGATTTTCTTCTCTTTGAGGGCCCTATGGGCTACTCAATTTTCAAGGTCGCCCATCAGGGAGACAGCGTGGGCAACCGCTTGAAAGAGGTTCAGGAGGGCGTTGATGATCTGGCTAAGTTTGGAAAGATGGTTGAATTGGCCGGTTTCTTGCCTTTTGAGTATGTCTCGCATTGATTCATAAAATTTTCCACAGCCGAAATCCAGCCAAAATACTTACAACCGTCTCAGAAACAACAAGCAGGCTCTTAGCGAAATTAATGATGTCTCGGAAGGTGTTGCTTCTGATACTCTCGTCAATTTTCTCGAACTGAATCTTCCCAAGCCCAACAAGAAGAAGAAGATCATTTTGGGACTTGCTGATAAGGCCCTGGCTGGAAGCATCAAATCGGCCTTCCCTTTCATCGATTGCGAGACTGGCGATACCAGCGATGTTGTACAGGATATGCTTCGTGGTGTCAGACTTCACGCCACCAAGTTGCTGAAGCAGCTCCGGGAGGGTGATATGGATACTGCCCAGCTCGGTCTTGGTCACGCCTACTCTCGTGCCAAGGTCAAGTTCTCCGTGCAGCGTGACGACAACCATATCATCCAGGCTATCGCCATCCTGGATCAGCTCGACAAGGCCATCAACACTTTCTCCATGAGAGTGAGAGAGTGGTACTCGTGGCACTTCCCCGAACTCATCAAGATTGTTTCGGACAATCAGCGCTACGCTCAAGTTGCCCTGTTCGTCAAGGACAAGAATAACCTGACCGATGAGAGCCTGCACGACCTTGCCGCCCTTGTCGAGGATGACGAGGGTGTTGCTCAGAGCATTATTGATGCCGCTAAGCACAGTATGGGTCAGGAGATCTCCGACTCTGACATGGAGAACGTCATTGCCTTTGCTCAGAGAGTCGTCAGCCTTTCCAAGTACCGCAAGTCTCTGCACTCTTACTTGGTTTCTAAGATGAGCGTTGTCGCTCCTAACCTTGCTGCGCTGATTGGAGAGATTGTTGGCGCTCGTCTGATCTCGCACGCCGGAAGCTTGACGAATCTGTCCAAGTACCCCGCTTCTACTGTTCAGATTCTCGGCGCTGAGAAGGCTCTTTTTAGAGCTCTGAAGACCAAGGGAAACACCCCCAAGTATGGTCTTCTGTACCACTCTTCCTTCATTGGTCGTGCTGGCCCCAAGAACAAGGGCAGAATCTCTCGATTCCTCGCCAACAAGTGTTCTATTGCTTCCAGAATTGACAACTTCTCCGAGGAACCCTCGACCAAGTTTGGAGAAGTTCTGAAGCAGCAGGTTGAGGAGCGTCTGGAGTTCTATGCCTCCGGCGCCGCCCCTACCAAGAACGAAGTTGCCATGGTAAGTTTTCTGACTATCCGTTTTCGATGAATCTTTGTGGGTCGTATGACTAATGTTGTTTACAGAAATCTGCCATGGATGCTGTCCTGGCCGACATGGACATTGACGCTGACCAGAGCGATAAGGAGATGGAGGACGCCGACAAGAAGGCCGAGAAGAAGGAGAAGAAGGATAAGAAAGAGAAGAAGGAAAAGAAGGAGAAGAAGGACAAGGGTGAGAAGGAAGAGAAGAAGAAGAAGCGGAAGTCTGACGTTGGCGGCGAGTCTGACAAGAAGAAGCGGAAGCACGACAGCGATGCTGAGCCTTCCAAGAAGAAGAAGAAGGTCTAAGGACACAACTTCCAATGTTGGGACTAAAAGGGCGTATTCGTCGCGGCGTTTTGTAGGGTCGACTTCTCTTTGTGATTTACCTTGTTTTGAATTTCCTTTGCCATTTTTCTCTTTCTCTTATTTCCTCACGACTTTGATGGGCTGGGTATTTGTAAATTATAGGATGGAAGCCATTGTCGCGCAAAGTCTATAGCTCATTAGAATCTCATTTGGCTTCTGGTTATCCTGTTCGGGCATGTTTTGACCCTTTTTAAAGGGTGCTTAGGCCAGTATTCGACAGACATTTTATATATCAGCCTCAGGTCCTCATTCAAGCCATTCAAATAAAGACGCTTCATCGTTGTCATAGACTATATATTGACGAAGGTATATTCATAGGGAGGAGATAGAGCTGAATATAAACCTTATACCTATCCTCTATATCAATTGAATTTCCTCTTCATCAGCATTGAACAAAGTGTAACCAGGAACTCTCTGTACTATTAGATCGTAAAATATTATTCTTCATTACTATTTCGTAGTCGCATCAACGTACTCGGATGGTTAGTCACAGACTTAGACACAACATCGCGTTATCAACCTTCCTCATCCCCCCCTTTCCCTTCCTCCTCTTCATCGCTACCGTTGCTGGCCTCCTCGTCCGACCTTTCTGTCGGGGCCCATTTGCCTACGAAACCCTCTTCTCGGACAGGATCTCTTATTGATACATGGCGGTTTTTCATCCACTCCAGTATGTCTGATTTGCGTATAGTGACGTACTGATCAGGCTCAGTAGCCGCCTGCTTCACCTTCCGCCTTTTGGAAGGCGTTTCGGGTTGGAGAACACTCATTCCCTTGAGAGCTGTGATGACATCTTCTGTCAGCATCCCCGTTGCTTGTCCAATCTCCCGGACGCTCATGAAGATAGAAGACGGCCGTTTCCGGGCGACCTTGCCTGTGTCCTCTTGTTCCGGAGACCCATCGCAGTCAGCATCATCCGTGTTCTCCGACAGCAGACGCCTCTCAATCCGCTCCTGCCAGAAGCGAGAGTAACTCCGGGCGCCCATCTCGCTCAGCGGCTTTTCAGGACCGCCTATGAACCCTCCATCTTCCTCCCAGGCGCTGATTTTGTAGCTGATCCCCATCAGAAGCTTTCCAAGCTGCTTGTGTTGGTAGGGCGGAAAGATAAGAATGCATGCGAGGTTGTTCGCGTCCCAGGAGAGTTTCTCCTTCGAGAAGAACCCTAGAATATGATAGTTGTCGGGATCCTGGGGATCGGTGAATGTGAGGATGTAGTAGAGGAAGGTTGCGACGTCGAAGAAGACAGACTTGTGGTCAAGGAAAAGTTTCGCGAAAAGCGAGAGGTTCTGCGCATAAAGTTTGTTCTCCTCCCCGTCCACCTCCCATACAGCGTATCCGCCCTGCTCGTAGATCTTGGGTCCGGGAGGCGTTGTGCGGTGTTCGCAGAGTCGCATGTGCTTCACATGGGTGTCCGCGTCGCACGAGTATCGGAAACACCAGCAACAGACATACAGTTGATCTGTGTCCTTGCTCACGAGATCCTCGGGATATATAGATTGGTACCAGGTTTTGAAGAGAAGGTCGCCCAGTACGACATGTTTCACGTTTCGCTCGGTCGGGGGTTTCGCATGCGGCGACGACGCGTGCTTGGTGGAGGCCATTAAGGGTGCGAAAAAAGTGAGTATCAAGAATTTGTGTGTAGGACGATTCGAGCTTTATGGATACGACGCTTTTTTTGATGCTGAGCCATCTGCGCGTAGCAGTCGTTGCCAAAAAAAAAACAATGAAAAAAGAAAAATGAAGGAACCTGGGGTTTAGAAAGGGTGCAAGGAACTGCGTCAGAGTGGGTGGTTGAAGGTTTGGTTAGATAGAGGAATGGCTTTCAACAAAAAAGCGTTACATCGACAGCAATAATGCCAGACGCTGAGATATTGAAATTATACACGAGGAGACAATTAATAATAACATATGATAAGAAATATATCCTAAGTAGTCCGTCAACTATGTTGATACATTAGCAGCATAATTATCCTGCAGCACATAACTATAGCTACCTAGAGAGTCGTAGTTGGAAACTAGATAGAGCGCCGCTTGAGATCTCTGATTAGTGACAGACTGACAGTTCCCCCTCATGGTGGTGACGAAGCTCCTCCCTCAAGCATCGTATAGGGAGGTATCTATTCTGTTGCCTGGATCTTTCTGCTCTCCTTTGATTTAACAGCTCTCACTGCAGGAGCTTTCACATTCTGACCCTGTGGATTGAGGATTCCCCTCCGTCTTAATCGTCTGTTCTGATCTGCCGCCAGTTAGAAGGCGTCGTCTTCTGCGCTGCCTCCACAGGCAACAGCATACTGACAGCCTCTTTTGCCGCACCTCTTATACTTAATTCTTTTATCATTTCATGCTTGTGTCTGCCATCACTCACCTTTCATCTATACGTTAATAATTTGTTGTGTGTTTCTTTCCATCTGCTGTTTCATCAACTCTGTCCATCATCCGTATCCAGCTATCGATTCACGCCATAATCTCCCCCCGATCGCTGGCTATCAGCAGAAATGTTGAAACCATTTCAGATAAGAGATCTTCATCGATCTCCATCGCAAGAAAACATTCACAACTCCCTAGACCTTCTGTCACAGGAACACCGTGCCCCTAGTCCGAGGAGACGTTCAGGAATCGTGCAGCTGTCTGCCTCTGAATACGATGAATTAGCATCGAATCATCCCAGGGCCCGGCTCACATACCTGGACGACGATGACGGGGAGACAATCACTGTGAGTAGAGCAGTGGTAACATGTATCCTTATCAGCTTCTAATCAATTCCTTCCAGGTCGGATCTTCTCTCGAGCTCTCCCAGCGCCTTGATGAACCTCTCGATGGCTTCTTGGACCAGCAAGAGCACATCCAGCAGCCATCCACTCCACCTGTACCTTTGCATATATTTGATATCCGACGGTCGAACTCAGTGACAGAGCTATGGAAGAAATATGAACATAAGTCGCATTTCCAAGACACGGAAGGGACAGATAAAGTGGGAGAGTCGCCTATTATCAAGCCTGCTTCTCCACGCGACCAGACTGCCTCCTTCCCAACTGCCCCTGGAAATGCTGGTCTTCCCTCGGAGGATGAATCTGAATCTCTTCTAGCAGCATTCGAAGCAGAGATGGCTAGAATGCTTAGTGCTTCAGAGTCTGGCAATGGAGGCAGTGCGAGGGAGACTACATCAGACACTGAGGAGCGAGCCGAGACAGCGAGCTCTGACAGACGCTCACATCCGAGTGAGGCACTTGCTCAGGCTGTACACATCCTGATCAACGGGGCTGGATTGATCGGTTCTGAAATGAGATCAAGATTGCCGGAGTTGGAGCATCAGCTTGAGCATCATCTGCAAAACGCGCAAAGAGCTCTCCCGGAGCATGTTGGTTCTACTGTGCAAGCAGCACTTACGACTCTGGAGAGTCAAATGAGGCACTTGACCACTGCTCTCAACAACGCATCTGTTGCAAGAAGCCAGAGTACTCGCAACTTATTCCAAGGCGAGATCCCGACTCCTGCACAGACTGTCGACGCTTTATATTCAATGGCTTCGGAATTCGGACAAATGGGACACACCCTGTATTCAGCATTCGAAACCGAATTTGGTGCACTTCATGCATCGCGAGATTCGGCTCAACCTGCCCCTGAAGCCACTAGCTCCCATGCTGTCCCGGAAGTCCAGGTTCAGTCTTCAGACTCAAGCCACGAGACTGAAAAGGATACAAAAAGTCCATCGACAGCTGAGGATGCTGTGAAAGATGCGGAGCCAACAACACATCAAGACAAATCCAAGGATTCGGATGCAGCTCATGCTCTGCCATCCCAAGAAGCAGACAGTACTGCTGCACATCTCGACTCTTGTTTGTCTCATGTTCGTCGGCATCGTTCCTGGCGTCGCCTTCCCAATCAACCTCAACGTTACCCTCGTCTTGGTACTCATCCTCATCACCATCATCACCATCACAATCCCCATCCTCCACCACCACCACATCGTCAACCCCATAATGTCTATCCACATCCAAACCCACCCCCACCCCCGCCCCCACCGCCACCACCACCGCATCATGGGCATCCTCCTCCTCCTCCTGGCCATTCCCATTCAAACCCTCATCACCACAACCACCACCAACATCATACCTTCCGTGCCCCACATCCTCACCCACCTCACCCTTATTCAACCCCTCTACCATCGCGGAGGGTCTCTGCTCCCTTTCCTCCACCATTCCCTCCACACCATCTTCCGGGTGGTCATGGGCAGTGGTATCCGCACTGGCCTTCCTTTGCCTTGCATTGTCAACGCGATCCAGGTTCATCTGCAGCGGCCGCGAGGCAAGCCACTCGCGTCAATCAAGGAGAATCTGTTCCAGACCATTCTACAGATGCGGTGCTCTTTATCGGTAATGTAGGCTTCAATGTCAGCGAGAAAATGATACGGGACGTTTTCGCAGCAAAGGGATTCCTCGTTGATGTTCACTTGCCGCTGGATTCCGAGTCAACGAAACACGCGGGTTTCGGCTATCTCCATTTTCCATCAATCCATGCCGCAAGTGCAGCTTTGGATGCTTTGCAAGGGACACACATTGACGGACATTCGATCAATCTTGAGTTCAGCGATCATTCACCAATCAAGACCGTACGTCCTGAGCAGTACTCAGAGCAGACCGTTGCTCCTGAACCATCGGAACTGCAAAGCTCCACCATTGTACCCACGGAAACCAAGTTGGAAAGGGTAGTTGAATCTAACGATGACAGAGAGCCACCCACTACGGCCATAGAGAGATGGTCGGTTCCTCTAAGCGTGGCAGATCTATGCTCTAGTGAGAGAAGTGCAATGCAAGCGCCAAAAGGAAAAGAAGTTCTGAGCACTACGCCGGACGGATTTCCTCGCCTCACTCGTGACTCGGATCATGGACCTTTCCCTCCTGTTTCTCAGCTAGATGCCCATGTTCTAACCAATCAGCGTCGAGATGGAGAATCACAAAGAGGGCAGTTATCTCCAGGCAAACGTCATTTAGAACACGAGAATGGCTTCTCCGGTCAATGTTTCAAAGTGCAGAGCCCGCCGGGCTCGTTTCCTGAGGATGATAGCGATGAAACGCGTCCAGGTCCATCCTCCGGGCCAGCTAAGCCTCGTCGCTCAAAGAGCATGAGATTCTCCGGGCAAAGCGAAACTGGAAGCCCAGCAAAGCCTTTAAGGCGCAGGGCGACCGAGCGTCACTCTCTTCGAAGGGAGTCTCGTAATGACCAAAGTGGTTTCCATGATATGGCATGTGCCTACGACAATTATACCACTACTTTTGGCAATTCCCCTTCTCGAAACGTCCCTCAGCTGCAAGCTTCGGCCACGCTGCTTGATGGAGATGTGCAGCAGGCAGATGCGAGGCAACGCGCGATTGATGAGTGCGTGACCGCTCTAGTCGGCCTAGGGTATGGAAGCACAAGTGCCGGTGGTTATCAACGGATGGCTGTATATGCGGCCGCGGCAGATGGCAGAATATCTGATGCAATTGATTTGATCGAGGAAGAACGTAAGGTTTATGAGCAGCATGGATCTTTGATATAGGCAGGTTTTTTCTTCCTTTGCTAGTCAACTCCTCTCAATCCTGGTTCATGTTTTCCCTGGTTTCATTCCTTACTAGTATTATAGTCTAGGTTTATGTGATTTCAACGTCAGTCAAGGATTGTTTGTTTGAATAATTTGTCATGATTATTGGAATGGAAATTATATGAATATGTGTAGGGTGGCCTAGGAATAATGAGTCCAACCCTCTCTTGCGTATAGGTCGTAGTAGCCGTCTTGATTCTGCCATGCGGAAGCACGAAGATACGGTCCGGGCCGAATTGCTCACAGGCACCGCGAGATTACAGCATCACCCGCAGCAATCCAACACCTCACTTCAACGAGTCAACTCGGAGCTATGCGGACATGGCAGCGAACCTTTGCCACGTCTGCTGCCAGACTAAATCATAATGCAGCAGGACGGAGCAGCGGGTCCCCCCTCCTGCGCTGTGCGGAGGTTCTGCGGAAGAATAAGGCGGGCCGCTGCCAATACGAAGACCAAGAGATCAAAGTGAACGGCTTTATCCGCTCTGTCCGGAAACAGAAGCGTTTCGCGTTTGCAGAGATCTCGGATGGGACGACGATTGAGCCCTTGCAGGCGATTTTGAAGCCGGCGCAGGCGTGCGAGTATGTGTGGAATTTCGTGAGAAGGGCCTTTCGGGCCCGACGTGTATTGAGGGGATGAATGCTGATAGTGTCACAGGCTGGCTACGGGGACGGCGGTTGAGATTTCTGGGTTGTGGAAGGCGTGTCCGCCTGGTAAGGAGCAGAGCCATGAGCTACAGACGACGGAGGTGAAGGTGGTGGGCAGAGCGGATCCGGAGGTATGTTTGCATGCAATGCCCAAGCCTAGCAGGTTGAGGTGATTGACTGATCGGAAGCTAATGGCTGTATCTCTTTAATGCAGACATATCCCATTCAGAAAAAGTACCACAGCCCCGAGTTCCTCCGTCAGATTCCTCACCTTCGTCTCCGGACACCGTTCAACTCCCTCCTCTCGCGGTTCCGTTCTGAGTGCCTGTACCAGCTGGGCAATGTGTTTCGCAACGCGCCCCATGGCGGCTTTGTCCAGGTCCAACCCCCGCTGATCACGTCATCGGACTGCGAAGGCGCTGGCGAGACGTTTACTGTGGTACCGCGCGAAGCGGCGACGGGATCGGCGTCAGACAATGAGGGGGAACATTTCTTCCGGGCACCCAAGTACCTGACGGTGTCGTCGCAGCTGCATCTGGAGGCCTACGCGGCGGAGCTGGGCAACGTATGGACGATCACGCCAGCCTTCCGTGCGGAGAAGAGCGACACGCCGCGGCACCTGAGCGAATTCTACATGCTGGAGGCGGAGATGAATTTCATGGATGACTTGGGGGCGCTCACAGATTCCGTCGAGTACACGCTCCGCGACCTGACTCTCCGGTTATACAGATCGCCAGTCCGGCAGGAGATGCTATCTGCGAAGCGATCGGGTGAGACGGGCGAGGATCCTACGCATGGAGCTGTGTCGGGTCTACAACGGCGATGGATCGACCTTGTGGATGGGCCCAAGTGGCGGCGGATGACATATACACAAGCCATAGAGCTGCTCCAATTGGCGGTGGCCAAGGGGCAGGTATCGTTCGAGTACGCGCCCTCTTGGGATGGCGGTCTGCAGCTCGAGCATGAGAGGTACATCGTCGATGGACTCAACGACGGCCAGCCAGTCTTCGTGACCGACTATCCCAAGGCCGTCAAGCCGTTCTACATGGCGCCATCGCAAGTGTCAGAAGAGCGCGATTCCACACCCGGGGAGACGGTCGCATGCTTCGACCTGCTTCTGCCGGAGGTCAGCGAGGTCGCCGGCGGCTCGCTCCGTGAGCACCGTCTACCCGAGATCATCCAGAACATGCGCGCTCACGGGCTGATCAAGGCGCGCGAGGCGTCAACAGCCGAGACGGCAGCGGAGGAGGAGCCGCTGTACCCTCATCTCTTGCCCCATGAGAGCCTGGGCCATTTACAGTGGTACGCCGACCTTCGCCGATGGGGGAGCGCGCCGCATGGAGGATACGGGCTGGGATTCGACCGATTCGTGAGTTATCTAGCTGGAGTATCAAGTGTGCGGGATGTGGTGGCTTTCCCTCGATACTTCGGCCGGGCGGACTGTTGAGAAGACCGATCGATGTACATTATTATTCTTGATTGTACGATAGACATGAATATTTCTCTCCCTTTCTCCCACTCCATCTCCGTTCCTAGCATGGAGTTTGACCAACCCCCCCCCCCCCCCCTCCCTAGAGTCTAATAGATATCGACCAAGTCCAATCCCACGGATCCTCAATTCAAACTTAAGATAAGCACTAACCGAGAAACCAACCCAACCACCATCCGGCCATCTACTACGGAGTAAGCAAGGATCCCGGGTTCACCAAGAAAACCAACAATTCGCCAACGCCATGAGACGTTTGTGACTCGTATCCAGACCAATGGGTCGCACGCGGGGGATCCGATCACCAGCGTCTGAGAGCTCATTCATCAGCTCAACACAAAGGGGGAGGGAACGTGTTTCTGGCCATCTGACATCGGACTTTTTTGTTTTTTTTTCCTCGTCCCTATTCTGACAGCAACTAGTTAAGCCTCTTCGATACCTACGTAGTAACTTAGTAAGAGGCAACTCGTTGAACGCCCCAGACAAAGGCACCGGTGAACTTCGTATTAGGATTCCCTATTTTTTGTCAGAAACAGGACCTGCTGAGCCTCTCCTTCGGATTGGGCTAAACCCGGTCGCCTTGGTTAAGTTCAGGTTGTCTTACTCTAACCTCTGGACTATAACTATCAGTCTATCGCTATACGCGCCCTACGGAGGAACGGACTTGTCGACAGCGCGGCCTAGTGTCCCTTAGTCTAATTCTATCGTGCATACTGCATTGTTGGGTTGAGTCTTTTTTTTTTTTTTTTTGTGGACTTATCCAGTTATTACTGTTCACTGTTAGTTAGCTTTTCACTTGTTCATGGGAATGACATACGCCACCCCAACTTAAATCCACTCAGGGTGTCTTTCTTCTGATCTTATCGACCGAGCTGTGGTTGAGGGCGTGGAACTGGGACCGAGTGGTTGGGATCCGGATGTAGGATATTTACTCGATGGGGAATAAGCCGAGCGAAAGGGTTTTTGTTTTGGCATCGCTACTGTTTGTGATTGTTTTCTCTCTGATTTTAGAGAGGAGTTTACTTTATGCATCTATGAAGTATCTAACAGGTGACAAGAATGAGGCCGATAGTGAGTTGAGTACGGTCATCCCTCAGTCAAATAACTCGGAAGCCACGGTAGAAGAATTGTCATCTCCACCGTGTGCGGTTCATCATCCTCTTCCCAAGGACCTCCAGGGCTCTCCCAGCTTCCCAAGTAATATCCCGAGGTATCCAGCAACCTATTTCTCCATACCGTCCAAGCCTGCACCTTCATAATCAATCTCGCTTCACAATCTGCGTTTCTAGACTAGAAGATAGCCTGATACCGAGCCATCAGCCAAGAGGCCGAGTCCACACTCCACGCCCTCCATCCCAACCACGAGAATTAGAACATTTTAGAATCAAAAGTAAAAAGTCCACGTGGCCAGTCTGGGGTACTGCCATTGACTTGAGCGAGATTAGGTGATTTCGAGTCTAGTTTTGGGGGTGTCATGAGTTAGTTATTATTATTTTAGTTGGTAGGATCTAGCGAGGCAATTAGTAGTTACCTAGTCCTGTATGGCCTATGGACTACAGAGAACTACTCCGTAAGTAGGTAGGAGTCTGAGACTCTAGAGTCTGGGTTGGTGAGTGGTCGCATGGCAGCACTTGGCAATGGCGACTAGTTGGCAATAACACATAGAAGGATTGGAAACTTGATCGTATCATCGTGTAATCTGGGATAATCTATTAGACTGCGGAGTACGAGATTGTGGCAGATGAGTTTGAGTTCAAAGAGGGTAAAGTAGGCGATATGATAGATACTACTATGATGATATACTCCGTAGTCCGTACTATCCGTCTATCATGCTATGAGTATGACTATGAGCATGATGAGAGCAGATTGCTTCTATTTACAGAAGAGTCATCGATAGCTAATCATACTTGAGGGATGATCAGAGGGGCCAAATCCTTCAGACTTCAGTCAATAGTAACTTTAGTAAGGCCAGCGGTTGAAGATCAGTGTCTAAGTATACTGTTAACTATACAGTATACACCACCATCCACCAGGCAGAAACATATCCAGGTCCTAGTTGTCTGTTGGCAATCAAATATACCGACCGACAACAGAATTATTACATAGGAACCAACCTCCATCCTCTCCAAATCGCCAATATTCATTCAGTTTTAATTACCCTTCCTCCAGTATAGCCACCTAGCCGAAAATGGCAGATCGGAAGTGACGGAGCTGATGGAAGTCCGAGGAAAAGACTAGTCGGATCACTAATGTTGGTTCTTGTTACTTTAATTGTTCCAAGCTGCGGTCTGGGCGGATCCTCGTTACCAGGATGATGGTGATGTATCCACTCTTTTTCCATTTTTTCTTTTTCTTTTTTCTTTTTTTCTTTTTATTTTATTTTACTGTAATTTAGGTACCTACCAAGGGAAATCATACCTTACCAGTGGTAATATACTCCTTGTTCATCATTTCCTCTCAGGACAAAGGAACACTGCTGCTAATCCGGCGGAAAATGCCAAGTTGCCAACCTTACTGGTGTTAAGCATATGGAGCTCGGGCTTTGCTTTAGATGCTTTTGATTCGGTACAGTGATCAATGCCCAAGTCGGACTAACCACAAGCAGTCGAATCTCGTATCGGTCGCCGATTAATACATGATTGTGTAACTCGACAGCCTACGGAGTACAGACTACTCCGTAGGTACGGAGTAAGGTAATGGAAACTGGTGTGAACTACGATGGGGCTCCAAGTCATCCATATTCCTTATTCTAATCCATACCTACTAGGTATAGAATTTTATTAGTCAAATTAAAACACTGTCAAAAGGACAGTGGTACTTAAGCTGTTGGACACCATAAGTCCTAAGGCCCCAAGGTCAAGAGGCCATAATATCATGCTTAGTAGTTGGTCTGACCATCTCTGTACCCAAGTGTCAAATAATAATAAACTCGAGACGTGAAACAGACAAGGATGGGGGGTCCAAGCCTTGTGGCGCAGCGATCATTGCCACTGTACATGTATTAGTATGTTACGGTATTGGTTGTGTATAGGTTGTCTGTTTTTAGCTGCACGATTTCGTGATTACTCCAATTACTTCATATCTCAACTCAACAGCCATTATTTTTCATCTACTGATTAGAAACATTACATGTCCCATCCAAAAGCCCTAGGTAGTATGTAGATAGTCGTGGATCTAGCAGCAAGGAGCAAGCACTAGACACTCCAGAGCTGTCATCTTCGCAACTGCATATCGATAGAGCTTCGGTTGCAAGCGGGGTGATGCTTGGCTCTGCAGCGCTTTGACCCAATAGACCAGGATAGACTCAAAAGTCAAGACTTAAGGAGGTCAGAGTTTTAAGTAAGTACCTCTCGAGTACGCCGTCCAAAAATGGGGGGGGGGCCTTAACTCCCTGACACTCCGACTGCCTCCATGTAACTAACGAGTTACTCTTGTGTGCTGAAGCTGTAAGGTATTCTAACTTGCAGAGTGATGGGTCATTTCCCGCTATCAAAGCGTACAGATGTACTCAGCGTGCCTGCCATTCCACCTTTGTAACCATCCTTTTATAGTCTACGATATCATCCATATTGACTCCCCTTTTTGATTTTATTTGATTTTATTCATTTTTTCTCTCTCGCTCTGATACCTTAATCCCATTATGCTAGTGGAGATAAGCCTGTGCAACGTTTCACAGGGGCACGCCTTGGCAACCTTTAATTCCATTGAAGGGTTGCATTGGCATGACAAATCCCCCCCTTCTTCATCTGGCATCTTTCCCAAGTCACTGAGTCTCGAGTCTCGGACGGAGAATGCAAGGAGAGAATCAGATATGTATGATTTGCCGCTTCTTGTTCTGGCCGAAAGTCTGTTTTGTTGCTCAGCATTCAGAGGCTCGAACTTGGAAGAGCTGAGAAGCTAGGCATCTCTCGATTCACATTCCTAGGGGATGGGGATGGACTGTCTTAAAAGGGGACTCCTGGGTACTAAGGGCAGCTCAGATAGGATCTGACTCATGGTGGTTCTATTTGCAATTTCTATTGGCCCTTTCATCGGAGATTATCTCGACTTTACTCGCAAGCAACAAATGGTGTACTACCCCCGTACAGTGTAGCATTGACTCAGGTGCAATGACACCTACTGAATACCAATCAGTCAGTATCTATCAAGTAAGTACATCCCTGCTGTTGCACGGTATGACTATGCTAGGCCAGGTTTCTCCCCCATCCCTGCCAGACTCTCACAGACTCATAGTGCTAAGCAATTTAGCTGCAACTGCAGATCCGTCGAGCGTCCGTCTTTACCCACCCCCTTCCCGAAAGCAGGACAGATCATATCCAAATTCCAAAGACCGATAATGCAAAATGCAGCCAGGCTGACAAGTGCATGACAAGTCCTTTCTTGACTTTTTTTTTTTCTCTTTTCTTTGCAGATCATTTCTGGGGGTCGATTATTAGAAATGGTAAGTCCAGCTGGACATTGGAGGTACAGACTAACTAGACTACAGTATTGTACTCCGTGGAGAGTCTACCTATTCGTACATAAGCATTATCTAAGTATTGCTTTTTCCTGACAGGCAGAAGCGGATGCAGGCTATGTATCAACACCGCCAACCTATCTATCTAGATAGTCACTGCATCGTGTGTCAGATTATGACCTGCCTGACGCTTTTAGGATTAGGCTATTAGATGAGGCGAGAAGGATTGGGTCAAAACCCATGAGAGATGTCAACTGTAAGTACTCCGTAGGTAGGCTTCGCTTAGAACTGGCATCTGGCACCATGCCCCTTTTCATGGAAGATCCATAGGTGTATCGATGATACATTGAGAGTATGTTTCTCTCGTTGAAGTAACATACTTGTTGCGTTACGAAAAGACCAGTGAAATATGGTAGGTGACTATGGATGGAGGAAATTACATGATGAGAACCATTCTTACGACAGTTGGTGGGACTAGCCAAGTTAGCCAAGAGGAATGGGCCAGGATTCAACGGACTCTGTTGGCGATACGCTTATTCCTGAGTCAGGGATTCTAGTCCTTGTCCTCATCCTGGTCTCGTCGACTGTGCCACACATACTGTTGGTTCATCCATATTAGTGGCCTGTCTCAGCATTGAGCCTAGGCGTTTGGCGCTGGGGCAGAAATCAAATAAAACTTGCTGACGCAGAATAGATAATAATAATACCTCCTCCGTAGTTATGAGACATTTTTTCTACAGCCATACAGGATGACGGATGACGGAGTTATCCATGAAATACTATCTATATGTATACGGGAAGTTTTACTTTGGGCTAAGCCTGAATCGATAAATAGAAAAGTTAAGCGAGGTCCTTTTTTATCCAAACTCTGCCCGGTCGAATGGCGTTTTCCTGGCTGTGCGTAAACCTTATCTGTGACCTTTATTTTGAGTGATAATGTTCTCTGTTCCTCCTCGGCATTATGGATATTACTTGGGAGCTGGTAGTGGTGGTAGTCTGGTACCTCGATGGAACCGCTCTTTCGGCAGCTTCCAGACCATTCCTGTACGATTTCCCTCTCCAGCAATTAGATATTCACTTCCCCTTCATTCCACCGTTAGATGGGGATACATACCACGGGAATCCATTATTCGAAGCGCTACTGGTTGGAAGTGGATAAAACTCCGCCAAGAATTCATGTCAGGCTTGTGACTAGTCCGAATGTGGTTGCCTAATCCTCCCCCCTCCCCCTCCCAAAAAAAGAAGACAGCTGACTAGGGTGGATTGGATTCATAATCAGTCTCAGGAATGATGTTTTCTGAACTCTACGAAGGCTACTTAGCACTAGAGTATAACTGAATTGAAGAAAGACTGGCTTTCGCTTAGAGGTTAGGTTGCTCTTCCGTCTCATTGTAGCTATTGTCTCGAAGTCTGAAGACTCGATAGGTTCAAACTTCGAAGGCAGGCAGCCCCAGAGTCCAGAGTCCAGAGCCCAGACTAGCCAGCAGAGTTCCGTGGCTTATGAATACGAATACAGCAGTGAGAATCGCCACAGTGGCTTGCCCCCGTCGGTATACTATCGCTTGATTTCCGATTCTCTACGGAGAATTCCCTTGTTCAATAATCACACGGAGGAAGACTAATCAGGAGTAGAGACTAGGAAGTGAGCACGGAGTACATAACAGTAAACCGAAGGAAAGTCGGAGCAGGGGAAGACGGCTATACGGCAAGTAAGGCCAGATAAGGTAAATCCAAAAAGAAAATGGGAACCAGCCCACAGCTTCACAAGGCGACAACTAGCGTCTGAGTGGACCAAGTTATCATTGCACCGCGTACCAGTCGAGTAAAAACCAACTAACTAATCGAGTGTCGGACGGAACCGCTGCAGTATGACCCCGGAACCAATAATCTAACCCTAACACTAACATGCATAAGTTAATAACGTACCTCAAGTCAGTAACCATGCCGGACCAGGGGGGGGCGGTCGACTCCGGAGTTTGAAGGAGGATAAATTACAAAGCCTTGTATTGATTTGGTGTATTGGAAATATAATGGGGGATTTCCAGATCCACTAGATAACCTGATCTATTACTCCGTACTCCGGATTACATTCACCCGTATCGATGGAATATGGAGACTGGAGTGCTCGTATCTATGGAGTAGAATAGATAGTGAACTGGATAGCACAAGTGGTGGGAAAAGTAGAGTTGGGTCTGACTCTGAACTCTGACCAAGTGACCATAGGTATTATTAAGAGATAGTAACAAACTACCAAGAACGAACCATGACCAATGAATCGACTATTTTCCCGAGACTATTACAAGACTACTACATTGGGGTGGGGGGGGAAAGGGGTGGAGCCTTGGGCAAGGCCGATGGGCCTTGTTCTTCTAAGCGAGCTTAAGGTTCCTCGTGTCGGATTAAGCTTAAGCTTCAGAAAGTCGCGCTCTAGGCCCAAAAAGGATGAGATCAAGCGATCAGAGCGCCACGGTATCTCGGCTAGCGGTATTTTTTCCAGTTTCCCCTTTTCATCGTTACAGCTTACAGGTCAGTGTCGAGAGCCAGGCTGGGGTCCCAAGAAGACGACAACATTGCCAAGCCTGGGGATCACCTAATGTAAATTCCTTGACAGGAGTCCAGAATCATGATTTATGATCGTCTGATGGGGGAAGGGGAGAAGTAAAGCCTGAAGAAACCTGGATTCATGAATGCACTCTGCATATGCTTTACGAAGAACTTACCAATCTAGGTGGGATACAGGACGATACGAGGCATGAGCTGGGTATGTTGTACATGGTACTTGGAACTGAGCGTGCATTAGTCTAGGTAGTCTTGCGCTGTCTGTATTGAGTATTGATCTGATTAATGCTGATTATTATTATCTGTAATCATGCTGTAGTGATCCTCAAGCAGTCAGGCTATTTGGTAAGCTTAGTTTTAATCTCCACCTGGGATTTTGCTTGGACCAGCTAAAAAATAAACGCGACCGATGATGCTGACAAGTGAGTAGGTAGTGACAGGTAATTAATGAAGTATTTCGAATACTTCGATATCTGTATTATTCGTATTCATTTATTTACTTCCTCAACATTGGAGTCACATTCCTCCGTTCCGAGAGCTATTCCTCTGGTCATTCATCTCGTAATCCATGGGCAGTTCCTTGACAGTTGCTATCCAGAACCATGGCTGATCCAAAGCAATAACAAGGTTAAATGCCCGGCATTTGCTATGTAATATGGGGTATCATGCTAAGACTACCAGTACCTAGGTAACCTCTCGAAAGTAATACACGATCTCGCTGATATTCATAGTTTCTGTTCATAAGCCCAGCATAAAACTCGCCCATTTACCGTTGTTTCATCCTGGTTATCCACATGGATCCTTTTTCTGGCTGATTTTCGGCGCTGAGACATCGGCCAGCGCCTATATTTATGGCCTGTACAGAGTACTGTCTTTGCCGTCCAAGCAATACACTATTTTTCCTTTCCCTTTTTTTTTTTTTTAGGTTTTTGTTTTTTTTTTTTTTTTTTCCTTTCCCACCCTATTTGATACAACCATTCCTTTCTCTATTTGTATTTTATTTTATTTTATTTTATCTTTTACTTTGAATTTCTTTTATATTTCTTTTGGATTTCTTTTCAAAGTACTCTAGTAAACTAACTTCTGAATAAAAAAAAATAACTTTGATCCTTGTGGGGTTCGGTCTTGAGTCTGTCTCCACTGTATCTGTTACTCTCCTGCTGATGTGCTCTATTATTATTCTTGTTCTTAGTATCCATTATTTTTCTGCTCCCTGTCTCTTATTTAGTGGTACTTTTCTCTTTCCTTATCCTTTGCTTCCCTTCTCCTCTACCTTGTCTCATTTCTCTCCCTTTACGACCATTTCATGATCCTTTCAAACTACACCCTCCTCCCCCTCATCCTACTAGTACTACTACTACTAGTACTACTATCACCATCTTCACGCCCATTCTCTACACCATCTGTATCATCGCCTCTATCCACCTAACTCTTCATCTCCCTTTCTCTCCAGGTGGGTACCAGAAAACGGCTTCTTTCATATGATGTCAATCCTCTCTCCCTTCCCTCCCTGCGTCCAGTCTGTGATACCTCATGGACAACTGATTCAACTGACTCGGCCTTCCCCTGCATTCTTCCCTTTATTCTCCTATAGTCCTGTCTCCACTCGCCTTCTCCTGTCGCCTTGTTTCTTGTTTCCTGTTTCTTGTTTCTTGTCTCTGGCCTTGTCTATCTCCTGCAGTCGCTGCATTCCAAGCTCCCCTTGTTCCTTGTTCCTCCTTCCCCTCCCTCTTTACATTCCATCGCATGTTAAAAACGGCTTGAAGGATTACATTAACAACGCTTCTGCTCTCTGCAGTCTTCTCGCAGCTTTGTTGTTATCTGTTCGGCTCTGTCGGGCCTCTCGGTCTCTGTCCCCTATCGATCCGATTTGAATTTCCTGTTTGGGAAATATACTACGCCTCAGCCAAACAGCCTCTTAACAGCAAAAACAACCACGACACATTCAATTATAGACGAAAATCAGAACAGCTATTTTGGAAAAATTTCAATCAGCAAAGCTCAACCCTCTATAGCTGGAACCCCCGATCAACCGCCATCATCATTCCGTTCTTCGCAAAGCCACCTGCCCTGGCGCTCAGACCTCCCACCATTACGGGTGCTTATCCAGATCAACGAGGGTGGATGGAGACGTATCACGGGCACGTCCGCACTCCTGCGGACGCCATTATCCTCTTCGAAGCATGCCGTATCGGTCTCCTGCCCCGCGTCCAGAGACGGTTATCAGAAAAGGAGCGCCAATCCATCCAGTCCGGTTCAGTATTCGTCTGGGACGAGCGAGAAGCGGGTATGCGACGATGGACCGACGGCAAATCCTGGAGCGCTAGCCGGGTATCCGGGAGTTTCCTCACCTACCGTGAGATGGAGGGCAAGCGAGGCGGCACCGTCACGCAACCTCTCACCAGCACAAGAGCGGGCAAGACGCCCGACAGCAGAGGAAGCGACGACGACCGAGGGGACGGAACGGACGATGGGCCAGACGGGTATCGATATAAACCGGATGGACTCATGAAGCAGTCCTTCAGCATCACAACCTCCACTGGCCAGCACCTCCATCTCATCAGCTACTACTCCCGATCACATCCCGCCGCGGCCACTCTCCAACAACCATCCACTGATCCAGCTCTGCGCCATGTGCGTCCACAGAAGGGGTTATATCCGGAATCCACCGTCAACGACCAGCAGAACTTGCCGGTGGTCACTCGCGGTCCCATGCCGGGCGCCACCTACCCTGTTCCACATCCGATGAGTGCTTATGTGCGCGCAGGGACGCATCCCCAGTCATATACACCCCCCTACGCATGGCCACCAACGCCGCTGGGCACGCCGCCCACCATCGCCATTCCCTATGGTGGCTCCTATATCTCTGCTGTGCCCACTCCGAATGGCCCTGCCATCGCATATGGGCAACCTCCACCACATCATCACCATCCAGCTCTACCGCCGCCGCCTCCACAACATGCCTTGCCCCATCCCTACGATCGACCAGTACATCCGGGCGAGAGCCCATTACCACATGCTATTCAGGCCGCCGCAGCTCAGCACACTCCCCTGCCAGTGCTTGCAGGGCGCTCGCCCCGGCTCATCCCAGATGGCCGCGATGCCCACCAGCGCAGCCCCCGTGACTATCCAACACCCTCAATCGACCCTCGAATCCCCTCCCCACGCATGCATGCACCTTCCGCCCCACACAGCAACGGCATGGGTCCTGTGAATCGCAGCCCGCGCCCACTAGCTCAGGCTCCCCCAACGACTCTTCCACAGGTGGCTCCCCCAGTGAATGGCACCGCCAAACCAGCCGAAGCAAGCGGGTCTGGCAGCAACGGCACCACCCCGACAACAGTCCCCAGTATTGGAGCGCTGATGAATGGTGCCTCTGGGCCGCTGCCCTCGATCACCCCTGCCCCGGCCTCAAAGCTGAACGCGCCACGTCTAGGCGGCAGCCCTCGCGCCGAGGGACCAAAGGACATCCCCAGCGAGAAGATTGGCTTCGGAGGCGAGGACATGAGAGCCTTGCGACAATTGGATCGGGTCTTCACCGCCTGAAATTCCTCTTATTCTTTCCTCTTTTCTCTTTATCCTTAAATCAGGCTGGTCGGCGTTCTCAGAGGTGCATTGCGATTAGCATGGGTGGGCGAGTTGATCTATATCTATGTGTCCTTCGGAAGGACTTGTTATGCATTTGTGTTTCGATATATGCACCACGGGTATTGCATTGGAATCGGTAGCACGAATGAGATATATAAGATTATGATATCATTGAGCGTATCACGTCACACCCCCAGTGAGAGAGTAGGAGTATTCTGTAATCTCCCGTAGTCCCTCACTCTCAATAGTCTTCAGATTAGTAACTCTCTCGCCTCCCGTCTTCAACTCCCGTCTTCAAGCACTTTAAACCAGCTTATTGGATATACACCCTTGCCATAATGCCGTAACCCCCTTCCCCTAATCTATTCCTCAAAACTCAGAAATCTATGCAGCATTATCCCCATCTTCATACTCCATATAGAACGTACCAACCCGGCCCCTCCAACCCCATCCCCATCCCCTAGCCGCTGCAAGGGCATAGCTACACCTACCTTACACTCCCTACACCCTCAGTGCCCACCTTCTCAATATTCACGGACCACTCCCCAGACAGAGAGGAGGAAAGGAGTGAACTAAACAACCGGGGTTTGAGACAAGAACAACCCTCTAGCAGATACACCCGAACACTAACACGCCGGGTCCTCATCTCCCGCGCCTTCTCCAGCACAGCTCTGTAAGCCCCTTCGAAACCACCGTGCTGGGCATCTGCTACGCTCTGTGCGCTGCATTACCGCTACCGTTGGGGGGGGTGAAGGGTGGTGTTCTCCCTCTGCGGCGCGTCTCTGGGCGTGTCTCTGGGCGTCCTCGGCGGAAGTTGCTGGAGGTCGGAAGGGTCCGGGTCCTTGCTCTTTGTTGTGATGGACAACAGGGTCTCAGCTCAAGGTAACGTCATTACGGCGTAGGATTGCAGCTTTCAGGTGTGGATAGACTGATTGGCCATTTCTCAGAATAGAGGATTTTGAGGGATCCGGCTCCTGAGAAGAAGAAGAGCGGAAGGACTGGAACTTGATTGATGGTGAGAATGGGTTGTGTTCGAAACAGATGGAAGAGGACTATCAGAATCTGAGCCTGTGGGTGATCTACCCATTGTCAGCTGTGGTATAAATCGATAGAACTTAGCACTGTCGGATAACGTACAAATCTCATGGATCTGTCCCCATAACCTGATACCGATAGGATGTTGTACTATGTACATAGGCACCGAGGCACCGAGGCACCCAGGCACCAACCCCCACAAATACCCGGCTTATCGATAAGATAAGCTTCTCCCCAAACTTATCCACGCCTTAGATCCAAGGCACCCCAGATATCAACCTCAGGCACCCATGGCACCAACAAACGCTCGCAACCCCATACTTTTTTATCAAAAGAATTGGGTAATGGAATCGGGGACTCGACAGGTCATATGCAGTACGGTCGAGTCTCTCTCTCTCTCCCGTCTTGCCCGCCCTAACCCAATGATCAAGCCCTCCTCGCCATGCCATGCCACGCCATGCCGTGCAGCCCAGCAGGCAAAATATGCTATGCAACGCTACGAAACAAAAGCCCCAGGTCTTCCCTCCTGCAATGAACGCCGGGGAGTTCTCCATATCCACTCTATCCGCAGGGAATAGCTAAGCGGTATGACTGTGCTCGGTCCTTGGGAGATGAGCTAGGTGCATACAGTACTGTACAGTAGAGTGCGCGGGATTGCCACCTCGTCGGTTCTATCGAATGCCAAGGATGTCTACGTACGAAGGCTATCTGGGATCCAGCGACCTGACAAGGAGAGGGGAGTCGACGCATATTGAGCTTCGTCGTGTGGGCGAAGTGACCTGTACAGCTGTACGGAGTATGCTCTCGGTCCTATAAGGTTCAGGATGTGCAGAGAGAGTGCGGTGAGGTGAGGTGTTGGGTTGCGTTGCGCTGTGAGAGGTATCTCCGGCGCTGGAAGGATCATCCTGTACGGAGTGTCTTTGAGTTGCAGTTGGATGTGGAAGCTGCACACGTGAATATGGGTAGTCTTGGTGAAGGAGGCTGGGTAGGAGACTTTCAGCCTGTACCTAGTTGATCCCGCTGTTTGTCACCACGACTCGGGCGGCGAGATGAGTCATGGTCCTTTGATCGAGGATCGAGTGGTCAGTCCAATGGCCAAGTAAGCATTCAGCCCGTCTTTGCATAGATGCATACCGCAGCACCTTCTTCATCTTGCAGTTGAGCAAGCTTGAGCTTCAGAGCCTACGAGTACGAGGAGGTAAATCTTGCCAGCGACTAGCCGGAAGCCGTGTCCGCAGTTTAAGATTGATTAACTACTTTCACGGTGTAGATACCCTCACTGTAGAGTGTATGTATGTAGATAGAGTTTAAGCGATTTCTCCGTGCCCAGTTCCCTATAGACGAGAAAATCCATCGATGATCGACCGCAAATGGAATCAGATAAACGCCGGAGAATCTCGGTGAGACCAAACCCCGCAAAGCGATGATCGGGGTGCATGAAACTAGCGAATATCGCCCTCTGGATGGATCCTACTGGATACTTCCTAGTATGCACAGTCTTATAGTGGTACAAGCACAGCTCACCGCGGTTGTTACACAGTCTAATTTCATCTGGGGGAAGATCTCTGCCCGAGGACCAGCAGAGATAGGACAGGAGCAGGGGTCCGGAGAATGAGATTGTTGGGAAAATGGGAATGACTACGGAGTAACTCGTAGTAGAGGGTTACTGTTAAAGGAAGTGGGATGATGGAGTAGTAATCTAAGTTTTCTATGTATAGGAAGAAAGGAAGCAGGAAGGAGACCTTTCCCGTACGCTCCACCAGACTAAAAAGACGATAGCATGAACTCGAGTTTATTTGATGCAGTTGCACTAGTCAACTGTCAACTGGCAGCAAGGGTCACATTTTCCCAGTTGGTAGACTAAACTAGACTATCTATTCGATATCTAGAGATTCTAGGATTCTAGGTGCTGGTTTCTGGCTGTCTCGGAGAGCCGGAGTAACATGGGAATACTTCCAGCCTTGTACTCCTGCAGGAAGAAACCTGGCTTTGGAAAGGATTCGAAAGGAACCGAACAAGAAAGATTGGGGATGTCACTGCAGGGATCTGATTGGGGCTTGCAGACCAGTCAATTAGGTCGATTTAACTTGACCTCTGGATTCTGCTGGTAGTATCTGTTTAGTAGTAACCACATAGTACTTACAATATTATCTGCTCCGTAGGGTAGTAGTACCTAGCCTAGTACCTAGGTAGTTACTTCGACTAACTAACTACCAGTTAGATACCTAACCCCCAGTCTTACGGAGTACTCCTTCGTTGAGTTCTCGGTTGACTTTCCCAGAACAAGAAAGCAACACGAGGTCATGTGGTTGGGTCTGGTTAGGACTAGGCTGATACTTAGTCTTTGTAAGGACTATCTATTCCTTGTTTGTATCTTGGAAGGCGCTGCAAATCGGCTGAGATGCTTTGACGCCTTCCAATGATGTGAAGCAGGAAGGATTCTTTTGTCGATGCTGTCACCTCCGCATTTCAGCACGCAAGGGAGAGCCATTCTGGAGAGTGTAAGTAGTCTGTCAGTGTAGACTGACTGTCTCAAACTCAGGTCTGAGAGACGGGATGGGAACTTTAATTCCGCAGTTGGGATGAGGATCGATCCTCAGCCTGACAGATGATCAAGCCCTGAGGCAATTAATCCTAATGAACATACGGAGTAAATATCTTTTCTCTCTCTGAGCTTAGACTAGTAGATATTGGATATTGCAATAATATACCCAGTACAGAGTAGTAAATTTGCAACAATGGTTGGGATTTGGGACTTGGAACAACGGGATGGCCCTCCCGTCGGGGTTCCACTACTATGGAGTAGGTACCTGACTGTGTTTAAGTGGAGACCGAGGGTGGGCTTTGGGCGCCGTGAGTCCGACTCAGTCCGTGACAACTTCACCATGTACTCTTTTGTACATACTCTGTACTCCGTACTTCTGATGACTGGGATGGGAGACGAGTCTAGACTCGGACACACCCGACAATCCGTTGCCCTCTTTGAAAAACTGCAACCTTTCTCATGTTTCACAACGCATTCTTGAGTTCTGGGATGCTTTGGTTCCCGAACTGTCCCCCCCCCATACACACACACGCACACACAAACAGAGCTCAGGCTCAAATTCAACCATCTTCTAAGCCTTTGAAGGAGTTAACTTCAGGAGATCATGTACTTAATTGGACTTGTGAGTTGTGACTGGTCAGGGCTAATCCTCCCTAGTCCAGGACTCCAGACAGATAATCTCCAATAAACATTCTCAAACACACCCCTAACTACCCTAATTTACGACAGTACCTAAGGATGGGGTTTCTGGTAAATATGAGATGGACAGTGGCCGGCAGAGATTTCCTACGCTAAAGGGGGGAGGGGATTCTCCGGATTGCCTGATGAGGGTTACCGCTCACCTGACACGCTGTCAGTTTCTATGGAGAATTGTAGATGGATAGATATTATGTAGACAGCAGGAGTAGTATAACATTAACAGAAAAGAACCGATGTTCCGATCATCCTGATCACCAAGCTTAAATTCCCTGGAGGCTCTCAAGTTCGAATTTGGAACTATCGCATAATCGAGAGGAGAAGGTAGACCCAGCACGCACTAGCACCTCTAGCAGACCTACATAGTAATTCTGAAACTGTCCAGCAGGCTCAGGCTCTCACCAGCACCAAGGCTAAGCGACTACTAGCAGCCTCTCCGGCGCCCTGGGGCAACTTCCCAGTTTGTCAGAAGAACACTAGGTGACTAGGCACAATGATGTGGATCAAATCAGCAGGTTGGAGCTCTGATCTCCTAGAAGACGACGAAACGACAGCGCAGCATGAGAACACGGAGGTCCAAGCACTCGGGAATAATGGATCCTGTCCCTCACCCCAAGCCCAAGTAATGGCGGCGTTGGTCTTGTGCCCATTTCCTCTGAAGGCTAAAAAAGAGGGGCGGTTACTTAGTATGGATGACGAGTGTCTGCACTAGATACTCTGCAAGAGAATGTACGGCAAGAAAAAGAAGGGAAACGTGGATGCGGGATAGTCCCGAGAGGTTCGTAGAGGGGGGGAAAAGGAGGTCAGTCTCATCTCTACTCTCTAATCTACTAAGTCCAGTCTGGTGCTGTTGTTCGGATGTCTGTGCGAGTCGAGTCGATCTGGCCCACTTTTCCCCGGATTGTCTGGAGGATGAAGTCGTTGAGAACAGCAGACCGACAGATAGAATGGGGAGGATCAGGGCATTGAAGAATGATCTCCTTAGCCTTTTTTCTTTTTTTTCTTTCTTTCTGGAGAGCCAGAACTCGAGATCAGTATATCTATCCGGCTATGCTATTAGCCCAGCCTATTGTTATTGCCTCTATAAGAGGTAGAGGGCTAAAGGTCAAGGATGCCATTTGACGAGGGTAACATGGATAGATTCCTCAGGAGAAGGGGGTTGTGCTTGCGTCACTTTGTATCCACCATCGGGCCATCGACAGCACTTCCAGTTGTAAGTAGTCTAGTCTAGCAGTGAGTAGTGAATAGCTAAGTAAAGAAATGTTATGCGAGAAAGCCAAGGTGGTAGCGTGGGGGTTCAGTGGCGTTCAGCTGAGTAGGAGCCTGAGCCGTGTTCCTTCTCTTGTCATTCTTTTTTTATTTTTTATTTTGTTTTTATTTTATTATTTTTTGCATGCATGTAATTCTGACCACTTACCAAGTCAGGTGTGATGGTTTCTCTGGGGGAGAATTCAGTAAGGAAATGGATGATCCGGGAGAGGATCAAAGAGTACACAGTATATGGGCTAATGATTACTCAATAATGGCTTTGTAGGGGGAGTATCAAGAGGGCCATCCCAAGGGAAAGATTTATACTCTATCTATAGTTATAGTGATAGTGATAGTTTATAGGGACTCTATAATGCTGACTGTGATAGTGATTAGTGGCTACTCTGTAGTATCTACCGAGATTGACTGTCCTCAAGAGTCAACATCCACATCCACATCCACCTCGACCTGACTGCCCTTTAAACCAGACCGTCTCATGGCGTATGCAGGGATGAATCTGGGGAAACAAGCGATGCATCCATATTGTTTGTTCGAGGATGGAGGATCATCCGCCGTCGTCACCTGTGCATTTTTGCAATGAACCAGTGACCATGTTTTCTCTTATAAATCCAATTGAAAGGAATCAGATCAATTGTTTTGCATTTCCTGTGGTAACTAACTAACTAACTAACTAGTAGTGTATTGATTAATTTCTGATCCATTTCCTCGGGGTTGCCTTATTGCTTTTTTTTCTTTTAATTCCTTCTTTCAGTCTACTTGCTTCAGCGCACAAACCAATCAGTGGGGGTATCTCCAACATTGTCAGCTAACATTCCACTTCCAGTATTAGTCTCTTGGATTACTTACCTTAGGTTAGTTTCTAGTGTTACTACTTACTAGATACAGAGAAGGTGAGTCTTTTCTTCCCCGCATGTTAGAGTTTAGTCTGTAGGGACTGGAATATCTTCATTTATGCCGCAGTCAGATGGCCATTCTAGCAGAGACAGAGACAGAGAGCACAGGTAAATGTATCTCTCGAAACATCTTCCTGTCTGTTTGTCAATCTACGTAGAGAGTATACTGGTTAATAATCAGGATCATAATCATAATAATAATTCCTCTCTAATGTATTGCGGTCCATTGCACTAATTATGATCACTTTCCCCGAAGCCTGAAATATCGTTCCCAGACTCGCCCTGGGTCTAATACTATAGATACCTCCTGGTCCGCCCATTTCCCTCTCTGCCCCGAGTCTTCTTTTCTTGCCTGTTGACCGTCGACGGCCACCACACGTAGTCCCATCCCATCCCATCTCATCGTGTCTCGTCTGATTCTGATCCCAACCCTTTCCACTTTGGTCCACAGACAGGTGAACGAACCCACTTTTTAGTCTACTCCTCCTACCGTCTACACTCCACCCTTGCAAGCAACAAGAGTCCTCCCGACTTCTCTCTCCATCTCCCTCTCTCTATATCTCTCAAGTGTAGTAGAACCAAAAGATGAGATTGCTGACTGAACGAGGTTATAGGATATCCAGCATTATACTCTCTGCTCATTATTCATCATCGAATCTCCTCCCCCCCCCTGCAGCCCATTACTGCCTTAGAGCACAGCCAAGTCGGCCGACTCCCCACTCAGCAACTCGTTCAGACTATTTCATAGTTTTCCTATTAAAACCTCCCACGGGCCCCATTTTCCCCTCGAGTGGCTCCATTCAAACTTTCAGACAACTTGACCACCATCTCACATCTCCCGGATAGCCAAACTCTCTCTGTGGTTGTGTGGTTGGGTTGCCCCTCCTCCAGGCTGCTACTCTCTAATCTTCGCTCCTTTTCTCTCTCCCTCTCTCTTTCTCTCTTGATTTTTTTCTTCTGCTTCTTTGCTTTTCGTCTCTGATCATTATTCACAACACCCTCCGATCGCTGTCTTGTAGCGACACAAAGAAGAAGAGGAAGAGAGAGATAAAAAAAAAAAAAAAGAAAAAAAAAGGAAAGGAAAAAGAAAAAAAAAAGGAATCCACCGAGGTATATGTGGGCCGCATCATCCTTTCAATGTTGTCCATGCAAAATACTCCCGCCTTCTATCTTCCTTCCGCTGCAAATCTCACCTCCCATCGTGGCATCCAACAACCCAATGCGCCCACCACCATTCCGACAACCACCGACCATGCCAACACCACCCACTCCCTGACTTTGTCCGAAATCCCCACCTTCCCGGACGATGGCCCTGCGATGGACGATGCGCTCTCCCACCATGAAAGCGTCAGCACCGACGGTGTCTCCAACGATTCTCCCGATTCCTGGGACGGAGAGGGTCAGTCCGATCGCTCAACCTCAGCCGATTATGAGGTCAAGATTCACGACGCTTCATACCCTTTTGTCGACTCAAACTACTCCCAAATGCCGGTCTCTTCCTCCTCTGCCGCAGCTGCCGCCGTCACCATCCTGACTGCCGCCTCAAAGCCCTTCCGAATTAATTTCATCGCTGCAAATAATCCTTCAGACACAGCCATGGTCGACGACGATGTGACCCCCAAGGTCGAGGAGATTGAAGAGGTGGAGGGCCTGCAGAGCATTAAACCGATCGAGGTGGGGACTGGGAATCCCACTCCCGCGGCTGCTCCCGTCAATGTCCCACGGAAACGTGGCCGACCACGCAAACATCCACTGCCAGTACCAGGAGGCCAGATCAAAATCACCAAGGGAAGATCCAAGACAGGGTGTATCACCTGTCGGCGAAGGAAGAAGAAGTGCGACGAGACAAAGCCATCGTAAAGACCTCCCCTCCGCTCCACTTAATTTTTTTTTTTTTTCTTTGGATCGCATTTGGGCGCCAGAACAGCCAGCTGATTCGGTCATCTCTCGCAGGTGTTTGAACTGTCAGAAGAATGCTGTCGTCTGCGAGGGGTATCCGCCAAAGGAGATTTGGAAGAGCGGGAAGCAGAAGATGGAGGATGGTAGGCTTTCCCTCTTGACTTCTCTTGTGACATGACATGCAACGTGGCCGAATGTGGACTAATCTGGGTTGGGTTTAAAACACAACAGCTCGAAGCAAAGCAATCCTTGCAGCAGTCCCGCGCTCCCTACCCTTACTGATCGACGGCGTGGAAACCGAGATCGATCGGCGTTTCCTCGATCATTTTGTTCACGGCTTCAGTCGCGTCTTGACGCTGATCAACGATGATACCAATCCTTTCAAAGAAATCCTTCTGCCTATGGCCGCCCAACATCGAGGATTGATGCACTCGCTTATGTGTCTGTCAGGCTCACACTTGTCGGCTTTGGATCCAGAGCCGAAGTTGAAGGAACGCAAGTTCTATCACTTCCATCATGCTATCCAGGACCTCAAAGATAACATCATGTCGTCGAGCATCAAATCATCAGGCGATACGGAGGAGTCTGAACTCCTGGTGGAGGACCCCATCATCGCCTCAACCATCGCGCTCAGCCTCAATACGATCTGTGAAGGAGAAACCAACGGCGAGTACCGACCCCACATGGATGCCGCCAGATATCTGCTCGTGACGCAACAGCCCCGGAACGAGAAGTTCCGGCAGTTCATCGTCGAGTTCTTCCAGTACCATGATGTGTCCAATTCCATCACTTCGCTGGATCGACGTCCCGCTCTCGGGCAGGGTGACCTGCGGCTGCCTGACTTTGTACCACATGCGCAAGCCGGGATGTTCCTGGGAGTCTTTGACGGCCTGTTCAACTACATCTCCGACGTTACAAGACTGCGCGATCGGATCCGTCAGCGGTTCAACGAGGGCTACGAGCCCGCGGTCGATTACCAGATCCTCAGCGACGCCGTCTCTATTGACTCTGCCATTCGTGCATGGGAAACTTCACACGCACCCGACACCCCGAACTGGTGTCTGGCTCAACTATATCGCCAGTCGACATGGGTCTATCTTTACCGCACCATCCGTCCCTCCAAGCCGAGCGAGAAGATTGCCCAAGTGGTGGACGATGGCCTTGCGTACCTCGACCAACTACCGCAGGATTCGGGAGCCTTTAGCATCGTCCTCATGCCTCTCTTCCTCCTCGGCTGCTCGGCCTTTCTTACCCGTCAGCGTGAGCGGATCCAGAAGGGCTTTGAGGCGCTCAAGGCATACTCCAACCTCCGCAATATCGAGCCTGCCTTCAAGGTTGTCCAACGGGTCTGGGAAGTCATGGACACGAAGACCGAGGAGAGCTGGGACTGGGAGAAGATCATCAAGGACATGAACATGGACTTCCTCATCACCTAGCCCTCCGACACATTCACGTTCTAATCCAGTTTATATCCCCCTCCGTTTTTGCATTCTTGTGGAAATTACGATGTATGTATGGTATTTACCTTTCTTTCTTTTATCTGTTTACGTTTCGGGGAGCATCTGCCATCGCGATGATGGCGCACACATATTCGGCGTTTCGTGATACGACCATCTGCATCTGGCGGGTTTTCTGGGGATTCAGCGACAAAGGTCCTGGTCAGGTTGAGGACGAAGTGACGGGGAAGGATAAGCAGAAGTGATCTGAGAAAGACTCCCATCGTCTCTCGGAACCATGACCATACCTGAAATGGGGGTCCAAAAAAAAGGGGGGAGTCATGGACAGAAGTGCTTTAAAATGGGGTTGTTCTGGTTTTTTTGCTCTCGCTCTTGGTCTTTTTCTTCTACCCTCTCTTCCTTTTCTTGCATCCATTGAGCCTGTATTTGTATGTATTGCGTGTATGTACTTGATGGGTTGCATTCTGTGCTTGTGATATCCCCGTCTGCTGTGTGGTATTTTGCTTATGTTGTTTCAGACCAATAAATCTTGTTTATACCTTGCTTTTGCGCATTTCGCTCAAGATGGTGGGTGGAAATGTAGGAGAATATCTGCGTCGAAAGATGCTTATCACATGATTGCACTCCCCAGTTGCTTAACATCTGGCCAACCACCCCAATGATCAACTCGATTTTAGATCCATGATCGTTGGGTTTCCAACGTCACATCCAGCGAACTACCATGATGGTAGCGCATATCTAACCCCCTGCATGTGCATGAGATATTGTCCACCATGACAGGCGACGGTGATCAGCAAGAGTTCGTTGTCAACCCCGGCGAGAAACCAGCTCACCTATCTATCCCCCGAGCTCAACTCAGCCAATGACTGACCAACCTCTACAGCCCAGATGCAATTGTAGCATTGCATCAAGAGAAGATGAGACAGATGCTTACGCCGTACGTCTTACGAAGTAGAAACCATCAGGTTCCACCTTGTTCTGCACTATCACAGATTGCCCACGACGCTACGCTGGAGTCTGGGCACCCTAAGCGACGAACTAAGGGCCGACGGGAAAGACTCTATCCAAACCAGCGCTAGCAAGTCCGCCAATGACAGGACCAACTCGGGCGTTTTCAACGCCTCAAGAACCAGAATTGGATAGTGTCTCCGATGCTCGTTCTCGTATAGCTGATCTGATCGAGCGCCGATCGAGGTCTTGCATGGGGCGGTTTTGGCCTTGGATCGTTCCCGTCTTCACGTCTTCAAGATTGAAAAAAAAAAGGGCGCGAATTAACTATTTCTTGCACTTCTGCCTATCTTCCCCATGTACTGCACAGTCAGCTAGATTTTGGGGAGTGGGATTCTTGATGTGTTCGTCCCCGCATTCGAGTGGCTCTGCCCTGATATAGAGGAGGACATGGAGAAACATGAGGAATCGGTCACCGAGGTGACGGATCCCAAAGAACCTGGCTTTAGTACTGAAGGTCTACAAGATCATACCACAGCATTTAACTTATCGCTCCGAGCCGTCAATCCAGTGGATGTGTGTGTGAACGACTTGTCGTTGGAGGTCGACACGACGCCTCCGATATGGGAAACGCCCCCATCGCAACTATGGCAGCGACTACGTGGACAAAAGTCGGATTTCCAGACCCGCAAGACGGTCCTCGATGGCGTCAGCGCGGCCATGCCCAGTGGCAGTCTAACAGCCATCATCGGGAGCAGCGGGTCCGGAAAGACGTCGCTGCTCAACCTCATGGCTGGCCGGATGAGCTTGACCAAGGCCCAGTTGTCAGGGACAACAACCTTCAATGGCGTTGCGGGCTCTGAGCACATTCGCACCGCGTACGTCATGCAGGAGGATGTACTGATCCCTACGCTGACGGTTCGCGAGACTCTGCGGTACTCTGCGGATCTGCGACTCCCGCCGCCGGCGACACAGGCGGAGCGCCGCGAAATCGTCGAGCAGGTGATCTTGGAGCTAGGGTTGAAGGAATGTGCTGATACACGCATCGGGACGAGTACGCACAAGGGTTGCAGCGGGGGCGAGAAACGACGGGCCAGTATCGGCGTGCAGATGCTGGCGAACCCCTCGGTGCTGTATTGCGATGAGCCCACGACAGGGCTGGATGCGACGAGTGCATTCCAGATTATTCGCACCCTGAAACGGCTCGCAGAGGATGGTAGAACTGTTATTGTCTCGATCCATGCCCCTCGCTCCGAGATATGGAGTCTGTTTGACAACGTGATTCTCCTGGCGCGTGGGTCGGTGCTCTACAGTGGGCCGGTACGGGACTCTCTGTCCTACTTTGAGACATGTGGCCATGTCCTGCCGCCATTTGTCAATCCCGCGGAGTTCCTGATTGACCTTGCAGCGATCGACAATCGGGCGGAAGCGCTTGAGGCAGCATCAACCGCCAGAGTTGAGCTTCTCAAAGCAGCGTGGAAATCCAAACGTAGCGAAGAGAAGCAGCCCGGGCAAAATCCAGACGAAAGAATGGCCATCACGCCAGGTCCAGTTGCTCCTATCAGTACTGCTGTGTCCTTTGGCCAGCAATTCCGCGTTCTGACTTCTCGCACTTTTACAACCACGATCCGAGACCCCCTGGGCATGGCTGGGAGTCTTCTGGAGGCTGTAGGAATGGCGGTCATCAACGGCTGGATCTTTCTGCAGCTCGACGAAAGCCAGGCCGGTATACGATCACGGCAGGGTAGTCTGTATACGGCCAGCAGCCTCAATGGATACCTAATCCTTCTATATGAGACCTATCGGCTGACGATTGACATCCGCCTCTTCGATCGCGAGAGGAACGAGGGAGTGGTGAGCGTACCGGCTTTTCTTCTAAGCAGGCGAGCCGCTCGCCTCCCACTTGAGGATTTGCCCGTGCCAGTCATTTTTGCCCTGATATACTACTTCATGGTCGGATACCGGCTCAGCGTGGGCCAATTCTTCATCTTTCTCACCCTGACAATCCTCACTCACTACATCGCTGTGACCTTTGCGGCCGTCTCGATCGGCGTGGCCCGAAGCTTCCCCGGCGCGAGTCTCGTAGGCAACCTCTCCTTTACGCTGCAGTCCTTTGCGTGTGGCTATTTTGTCCAGTCGAATCAGATCCCCGTGTACGTGCGGTGGTTGAAATGGGTGGCGTATACATTCTACATCTTCGGAGCCCTGTGCGCCAACGAATTCATCGGACCTGACGGACCGCCGGAGGGTCAATTCTATGATTGTCCGTTTTCAAAGGATCCCCTGGATCCGGCATGCACGCAGTACACGGGTCGGTATATCATGGAGAATCTGGGGTTCCCATCGACCTGGATCTGGCGGCCGATTGTGATTCTTGTGGCATTTGCTGTTGGTCATTATCTGCTAGCTGGCGTGCTTTTGCAGTATAACCGCTTTGCGATGGACATCGCACAGGCGCGGAAAACAGATATAGATCTATCGTCAGGGAAGGAGAAGACTGCCGAGCGTCGTGTCGAGGAGGCCCGTCCGGTCACCATCACGCTGGACAAATATGCTCTGGAGATCCGTAAGCGTCAGATATTCCAACGGAGGGCGCGAACACTGCCAATCCTCAAACCGATCAGTGCGGATTTCCAGCCCGGCAAGCTGAACGTCATCATGGGCCCGTCAGGTAGTGGGAAGACATCCCTGCTCAACTCGGTTGCGCGGCGACTAAGGGGGTCTTTGGGAACACAGTACCGGTTGCAAGGCGACATGCTATATAACGGGGGCGTCCCCTCGGCAGGCGTGATCCGCTCGGTAACGTCCTTTGTGACGCAGGACGACGACGCCCTAATGCCCTCGCTAACGGTGCGCGAAAGCCTTCGATTCGCCGCGGGCCTACGACTGCCGCAATGGATGACGCGGGAGCAGAAGAATCAACGTGCGGAGGAGATTCTCCTCAAGATGGGTTTGAAAGAGTGCGCGGACAACCTGATCGGCAGCGAGCTGATCAAGGGCATTAGCGGGGGCGAAAAGAGACGTGTCACCATCGCCATCCAGATCTTGACAGACCCCAAAGTGCTCCTGCTGGACGAGCCCACCAGCGGGCTGGATGCGTTCACGGCGACGTCGATCATCGAAGTGCTCAAAGCGCTGGCGGCCGAGGGCCGGACCTTGATCATGACGATCCACCAGTCCCGATCAGATCTGTTCCAGCACTTCTCGAGCGTTCTGCTCCTGGCTAGAGGCGGGTACCCCGTATACGCCGGGGAAGGGGAGAAGATGCTCCCTTACTTCCGATTACTGGGGTACGAGTGTCCGCAGACCACCAACCCAGCGGACTTTGTTCTGGACCTTATCACGGTCGACCTGCAGCAGGAGGACCGGGAGGCGCTGACGCGCGAGCGAGTGCAAAAGCTGATTGCCAGCTGGGACGATCAGGGACCGGAGCTGGGCCGCCGCCCGTCGCAGATCGCGACGCCAGCGGAACTGGGCAGCCTGAAGCGGCAGATGCTTCCGTTTCGCATCACGTATCCGCTGGTGCTGCATCGGGCGGCAATCAACTTCTGGCGCCAGCCGCCGCTGGTGATGGCGCGGTCGATGCAGGTGGTGGGGATCGCGATCATCATGGCGCTGTTCTTTGCGCCGCTGAAGAACGACTATGCAGCGGTGCAGTCGCGCATGGGATTTATCCAGGAATTTGCCGCGCTGTACTTTGTTGGTGAGTTTTTTTCCCTACTTGATCCCATTTCCAGAGAGGGTCCTGGGTATGCTAAAGTCCACAGGAATGCTACAAAACATCGCCATCTACCCGAACGAACGGGACGTGTTCTACCGCGAAGAAGCGGACAACTGCTACTCCGCGGAGACATTCATCCTGCAGTACACTACGCTGGAGGTGCCGTTTGAAGCCATCTCGTCTCTCATTTTCGGGGTGCTCGCGGCGTACGCGGACAACCTGGACCGCAGCGCCAAGATGTTCCTGATCAGCGCGTTCAACTGCTTCTGCATCATCAACTGCGGCGAGTCTGTGGGGATCATGTTCTGCACGGTCTTCTCACACGTCGGATTCGCAGTCAACATCACGTCGATCCTGCTCTCCATCTCGACCATCCTCGGCGGCGTGATGAGCCTGAACGTCAACGAGGTTCTACAGGCCATCAACCACCTGTCCCCGATCAAGTACGCGATCGCTAACCTGGCGCCGTACGCGCTCCACGGGCAGGAGTTCACGTGCACGGCGGCGCAGCGGCTCGCGGACGGTACCTGTCCAATCCAGAACGGGCAGCAGGTCCTGCAACTCTATAATCTGGACAAGAACGCGGCGATGAATGTGATGGCGCTCGGGGTATGCACCATCATCTACCGCGTGGTGGCGTACTTGATGCTCAAGGTGCTGCGGGAGGGGTTCTGGCGTCGCCTGCGGTGACATCAGTTGCCAGACCCGGCTCAGTCAGTAGGGGTATCCATATCCATAGATACAATCTAATTCCGCTCACCGGGACGACTTTCATTCATCACCGTCATTATTATCACCAAACGTAAACTTCAGGGATCCATCCGAGGAGGAGGAGAAGGGGATCAACCGCATAACCTTCCCAATCCAGAAACATCGACGAGCATGATGGAGCCTGGACTCCGTGGAGTAATCGAAAAAAAAAAAAACCCTCCACCAAAGGTCTCACAAAGTCACAAGTCACAATTTCAATCCGAGAATCCAGTTTAGTCTAGACCTGTAGCAGCCCCAGACAAGAATTGGAGAGTTAAAAAAAAAAAAAAATGTGGGACCTCTCACCAGCACAGACTACAGAGACTACGGGGAGTAGTCCACCATGCTCTGCAGTCTGCTGTCTGCACAGTGTACAGACTACAGACTACGGAGTACAGACCAAATCACCGCTATTTTGCCCCGCTAGTCCGGCTGCAGATCGCATTCGTAGGACTACGGAGTAGCTTGCCCAGGCACCAAAGGGTCAAAAAGGGCTCAAAGAGTCACGGCGCCAGCCCGCCGTCCGGTGCAGACTTGCAGACCTGCAGAGTCCAGGCCCCAGGGCCCAGGCCGCTGCAAATAAGGTTTAGTAGTCGGCAATAAGCTTATTAAGCATGGACCTTGTGGAGGTTTGATGATTGGTGTGTATGGGACATTAGTGTCTCCGAATGGTTGCTTCGCTGCGAGTGGGGCGGCCAATGGGATTACAATGGAAATGGAAGTGGTTCCACTGTGGCGGGTGGGCGACGTAGGATCATACCGTCATATGTATGTAACACGGAGGAGTGTTTGTCTGACTTTGGGATGTACAGGTCATCGTGGTCAACAGACAGAAGATACTATCTACGGATCATCAGATAGAAAAGAGAAAAGAGAAAGAAGTTGATAGTTTTTCAAGTCAAAATCATTCCAAGTCTATATTCAGTAGTTACAAACGCCTATCATATTTGCCGATCCCCCCCCCCCCAATCCATAGTTTCTCATCCATCGTAATATATACCATCCAGTCATGAACATGAACATGTACATCAGGGTAATCGTGGCCTTTTGTTGTTGGCGGGCTGATCACTCGACCTGGTCAACAGGGAGGTTTTCTTTCATGAGAAGAAACATAGAAATAAACGAGTGACAAGAAACTCGACCAGGAGTGACCCTGGGAGCACAAAAATTGGTAATGGTTTCGTAAGAAAGGTGTAAAAAGAGAAAAAAGAAAACTCCACATGTTCACGTTCAAGAAGAACCTGCATCAAGCAAGGTCTGTGACCAGTAGAAAACCAAGTGGTCGGGGTATCGATCTATCGTCTATAGTTGTAATTGTCATTCGAGCACGAAAGGCACATCCATGCATCGTATCATCAGCGCATCTTTTCTTTCCAAATCTTCACTCTTCACAAGCAGTCAAAAAGGCACGCTTAGTTGCCAATGTTGAGGGTGAAAGCAGTGTCGATGGGGCAACCATGGGTGGCATGGTCATCCTTGGGCTGAAGGTAGGCCTCGGCGCAGGCAGTGTCGCCGGCATGGCAGTTGACGGAGGGGCAGTCGCTCTTGTCACCGGACTTGGAGGGGGTGACGGAGAAGCCGTACTTGGTAAACTCCGACTGGACGCCGAGGTCGATGCAGGACATGTCCCAGAAGATAGTTTGGTCGGACTGGGTGTACTCGAACTGGAGGACATCGGACTGGTCGGGCTTGGTGGACAGCTTGATGGAGATGCCGCCGCCGTTGTCGTTGGTGCGCCACTTCTCGGTGTAGGAGCCGCCGTTCGCAGAGAGGGTATGCATATCGCTGACTCTATCAGCGACAGACCACGCGTAAACGGTCTGGTCCAGCTGGTTGACAATCTGCACGCTGCCACCGCCGGACTCGGTGGTGGTGGAGTTGCCGCTGCGCATCACGTGCGGGAGGGCAGAGGTGAGGGTAGCAAAGGCAGTAGCGACGAGGGCCTTGGAGAACATCATTTTGACTGAGATGGAAAGAATGGGTCTTTCGTAGTAGTGTAAAATGGTAGTTGGTAGTCGTGTAGTCTTGAAAATGACTAGACAAAGAGTGGTATGTCTCTGTGGACAAGTGAATGTATGATAGTCAAGAGACTAAAAAAAGAAAGTAATTGTCCTAAAGACAAAAAAAAAAAAAACACAAAACTGACTTTGTATGATCAAGAGAGTGTTGTTGATGATGAGAGAAAAAGAAGAAAGCCGATATGGCCAGTGTCGACCGGGTTTATATAACTTTGGATATGATGCTGACAACAAGACAAAATGGGCCAGATTCGGTGATGGGTTTGGCGGGGGACGAGTGTGGAAGGCGAATCGCCCAAAGTTTGGTTCCGGGACAACCAGTCCAGCATCATTCTCGCTGAATGTCGACGCCTCGACGGATCAGATTCATGGAACTCAGGTTTTGGAACCGACCCATCCAAACCGAGGCACCAACGCCAAGATTGCATCCAGAGATCCACTACGTCCAGAACCACATCCTGGCTGTTTTAGTCTTTGGCCATTCCAGCGTTGTTGGACTTTGAAGGCTGTTTTTCAGGGCAGACTTTGCGATCCCTGCCGATCACTCGTCGGGGCCAATCGGAGCGCTGGATGCACATTGTATCCCTGCAGGCTAAGCGAGAATTCGGCGAATTTCATGACTCCAAGTCCACTTCATCTTGACTTCACCGCGCGTCGTTACAGCCTATGTAGCAGAGGGGAAAGGGCCTGGGCAGCTCAATTGACAACATATCTCTTGGGGGTCTCACTGTATACAGCACATCGACACAGTACAACTGGGATCTTCCATGAACCAGTCAACCAGGTAACCAAACCTCCACAGAACGTGGCAGTGGCTCAGCACATGTTGTCTCAAACTTCGCCGGTGCCAAAGCCGCCGAATCGTTCTCAAGAAGACAGGAATCTCTGGTTTGGCGGGTTCATACCAGAACTCAGGAACCGAACAAAATCTCTTCAGTCTTTGAGGATTTTTAAGATACCATCCATGGTATGCAGAGAACTGCGTGGCCCACTGTCGACCCTTTGATGGAAGCGTGTCGCTACCAGAAAAAGCTTGTCTTCGAATCGACTGCCATAAGCTTGGCCGTGGCAATCAAATACCAAGCGCTTTCAAGTGCGTGTGCACTAATCCGACTGGTTCCTCCCTACAGACGAACCTCGCTGACGTCAGGGCCGTCGTCAACTGGAGAGCGCAGATACGGTTTCGAAGGCAAAAACGAGAGCCATCCACGGTCATATCGTCCTAAATAGGTAACCCGCAAGAGAAAATGGTAACTCTCCTCGAATCGAAGTCTCAGACCCAAAGACATTGCCCAAGAACCACCTTTTGTCAGCCAGGCTGTCGCCCCTTCCCTTTGCAAATTTGTGTACTCTGTCCCCAGTAGGGATGGTATTTAAAAACGTCAGAATTTCAAAATGTCTGACATTTTGACTGCTTTTGTCTGACAAAGTATTTTTTATCAGAAAAAAGTGGATTTTACTAGTGAAATAGGGGGTGGATTTGACTTAGGTGACTTACCCCATAATATAAAAAGAAGTAGTACGGAGTACTACGTAGTAGAAATCACCAAAATTTACACTGGAATCCGAAGCTTTTCAGGCCTAGGAGATATCAAATCCAATTAAATTTCAGGCATAGAATCTGATTTCAGGCCTGAAAATTAATGGATTCCTTTGTTTGCAGCAAACGGGCCGGGTTGCATTGGAGACCTTGTGATGTCAGTTACAGGCGATGGGCGAGATTAGTCTGCTCTGTAGCACTCGAAAAGGGAAGAAATTTGACAGTGTTGCGCCGGTTCGAGGCACAGTCGAATGCCAGCCTATATGTAAGCCCTTTTTGCTAGCTACCACCGAATCTGTCTACGGCTTGGGTGTGGAGGAAAGTCGAACTGTGCCCAAAACTTGGCTAGCACTAAGCAAAACAAGGGGTTGCTTCACAACCAGGCACCACAACTTCCCATCCACCTTAACCTTACGAGCAATCTCCAACTGCTCAGCTATTACCACCTGGCTTTAAGGCAGGAGCACAAAATAACATGATGGGTGAAAATGCAACAGGAGAAAATACTCAGAAGGATAGGAACAAGAAGTGGGAGATGGCATTCACAGCTCGGATGAGGCAGACTGTCCCTGGTCTCTTCCTGGGAAATATTGAGGCATCATACAAACAGGAAATGCTTCAAGAGAACCATATCAACGCAATTGTCTCTCTCACTGATGCTCGATGGGTGTGGTGGAATACCATTACAAGAGAGGCAGGCGTTCCAGAACATCATCACAAATGGGTTCAGTGTGCAGATTCGTCGACCCAAGACCTCCTCGCCCATATGAGTGATATTTGCGACTTCATTGACCAAATGGCATCCCCAGCTCTTTCCTCATTGCACTCCTTACCCGTCGAGTGCAAACATAAAACAAATGACAAGCAGCACAATGCAGCTTTGGAGGCGATATTAATTCACTGTGATCTTGGAATATCACGCTCGCCGACTATTATCATTGCCTATCTCATGCGCAAATTAAACATGCAGCAAGCAGATGTATTGCATTTTGTTCAATCAAAGCAGAAAATCAAACTGAGCACGAATTTTACTCGTTAACTTCAAGTTTGGAAGGAGGTTGGATTCCAAGTATGGGAGAATGAAGACAGGACTGTCCCGAAACCAGCATACAAAGCATTTCTGGAACACCGGGCTGTTCTTCTCCGAAAAAGAGGGCTTACAGGAAATGAGCCACTGGCACCCCAGAGCCTTTAATGACTGCACCGGTTTTCGAGAAGTCAAATAAAAGTATCAGGCACGTTTAAAAGCTTTTACATGGAGAAGCACTATAAACGCACTGTATGGTGTCCAACCTTGATAAGACTCCGACTAGTTTCTAGTCCTTTCAGGGCCCAACTCATCTACCAGCATGTCTGATATCCAGCAGTGCCAGGATCTTATTGCCCAACTTGGAGATGAATATAGTAATGAGGATAGAACCACATTCGTCGACGTCACTCCTGAGAAAATACTTCAAACTTCAACAATGGCACTTTGGGCGCAGTCTACTTCAGGCCAGAAGCAGATCAATCTGGGTCTGCCTTCTCTAAAAACCTTTTATATTCTTTATGGAGATGATCCTACTAGTAGAAGATATAAAATATTATATTTTTTTTAATAGTACTTATAGATTACCTAGGCCTAAAAGATTAGAATAAATTAAGATTTATTAATTTCTATATAAATTTACCTTATCTTTAATAATTTTTAGTTTAAAATGCTCTTTTATAAAAGAATTAATTAAATTTAACTTACTACAGCTAGTGCCTCCTATATTTACTAGTTAATACTTAACAGGAAAAAAAGGGCCTGACATTTACCAATTTGACATTTTTGCAAATTTTTTTTGCCATTCACCATCCCTAGTCCCAAGCAATAGAACCCTCTACGTCAGTCCCCAACATTCACGCTCGTTTTTTTTTTTTTTTTCTTTCATCGGTACCAGAACAAATACATGGAAGAAAATTCGTGTTCCTGAACCTTATGGAAGAATCTAATTGTCTGATACCTTGGAAGGATACCTCAGAAGTCTGGACGAGGACTTGGGATTTCGCATTGAGTCTTGCTTGCCCTCGTGTCTTTGTCTCGTTGTCTGTCAACATACACGCTTCTCAGCCACTGACGTCCGGTTCAGGTCCACTGCCCCAGTGAGATTCCGCTTCTACCAATTAATGGGGCTTTCACAAGAGGGGATCCAGCCTTATGCTAAGGGGGGAACAAAGGCATCAGTGGTCGAGTCCCAGTCCCCGAGGAAGACACCAGGGGGGACCGCGCAATGATCGACTTGTTAAGTTGTTTCTTGTGGGTGCCCACTCTTTCTCCAGGCTTCTCAAAGCCCAAAGTTTGGCCAAGTCCCCGTCGAACACGCCTCCCAAGTCTCAAGTCCCAACTCAAGGCCCCCAGGCCCTAGCTTCATAGCCCAGGCTCGCCCCTCCTGTCCTGATCCACTTCTTCTCGAATGTCTAAACTTCTTTATGCATTACTAACTCTATTTGCCATCCTCTTTTTGAGAATAGAGAGAAAAAGAAAAAAAAAAAAAGGTTCCTTCGGACATAGACACGATCCTCTGGTACGGAGAAGGTGGTACATTGTACTCAGTCCTGGTAGAGTGCAGAAAGAAACAGGTAGAGAACAAGGTTTGGTATACTTGCTCAGAAAGAACAAGAGCAAAAAAGAAATTGACAAAGGGCGGAAAACTTTGCCTCCACGTAGAATAATCGCCCCAGTAGACTACGCGGCAACTAACGTCCTAGTCTCCCGGACCGTCAGGCCGTGGCTATCACCAATATGGGGCCCGCAGCCCGGCCAGGTTTGACAACGTCCCCTCCCCGGCTGTATCCTCGCGCTTCCGGTGCCCTGCCAATTCTAGGTTGATTTGCCGGTGGATGTGCACCAGCCAGTCCACATAGCTCTGCGCCTCGTTGTTGCGATCCTCCAACAACAGTCGCGCAAATTCGTACTCTGCCCCATCCAGGCCCTGCCGAGCCAGCTGAATCGTTACTGCCTTCGACCCACGGATGGTCGAGAGATACTGCAGCAGATTTCGCACCTGCGCGTTCAGATGGGTCTCCAGCACGGGTAACGAAGACATCTGTGGATTGAGCCCTTGCAGTGACGTCTGCCCCGGTCCAAACAGATCCTCCAACAGATTAGGTGATACCTGTGCGTGGAGCCAGAGCAGAATCATCTGGCCGTTATCCACCAGGTACGCCCCACCCTCTTCGATCTTCGAATAGCTGGCCCGGAGTGCAGGTGGCACCTGCAGTTGCCCCTGCTCATTCGGAAAACCATCCTCCGGCTGCATATTGTGGATGGGTATGATTCGTGGATACAAATACAATGATAGCTCCGTGCATCCCATCGAACGCAGCATGCGGATATCATGAATCCGCCTGTCGGACGATTCCTGGCCACCTAGCCATCCTAGTCAGCGCAAAAAACAAATTTGTAGTCATTGTATGGCTCACCCTTGAACGCTCTCGACTTGATCAAGCTCAACATGTACATGGAGAATTCCTTCAGATTCTCCGGCAACACGAGCTGTCCAGGAGGATGCGATCCCGAGAAGATCTTACGGTATCCGCTGAAGATGTCCACGGTCTTCTCCGTAATGCTAGCCCGAATGTCCTTGAGCGGTTTGTCCAATGTCTTGCTGGCCGCTGCAAAACGTTAGTACCGATTGCGCTCACACATCGACTCCCTTGGTGGGAAAACCTACCCTCCTTAGCTATAATGCTCACCACCGCATCCTGATCCACAAACTTCATCGTCTCCAGTCCCCCTTCGTTGACCGCCGCTACCGAGTTGATACACCGCACCCGGCGCTGGCCATTGGCTGAGGTGTACAACAATGCTGCCTGGAAATGTGCATCCAACTTGGTGTCTAGCTTGCCATCATAGCTGAACAGAACTCCAATAGCCTTGTCTGCATCGATGGCCCCAATCTCGAGATCCGCTCCAAACGTATGCTGCACAAAGTTTCCGTGGTACGCTGAAACTTGAAGGCCGTTCGAGCAACGGACTTTCATCAAAGCCTGGTACCCGGTTTCGCGAGTGACTGAATGCGCCAGCTCCTTCGAGATTTTCAGAATGTCCCGCGGGGAATGGAAGTTAGGATAGAAGAAGGTCTCTCCGCCAGTGACCTCGGCCACATGCCCTGCACACAGGTTAGCTTCTCTGCCGGAAAGCCGAGGAGATTTAACCTACCGATCGTAGCAACGTCTAAATACGTCCCGTTAGGGGCCGCAATAAACATATCCACGCCAACCCCGGCCCCGGCCAATTTACTCGCTGCCCCTCTCCATGCGGTATTTTCCGCGGCGAATAGTTTCCTTTCCGCATCCGTGCCATGAATTTTGGGGTCCTCCCGTCGCACCAAAGCCCCAGGGCCCGACGAGGGCAATGTCGCAACGGCACACACGATCTTGCCGCCAGTTTCCTGTAAGGCAGAGAGAGCTGCATTGAGTGTGGGCAGCAATGCCGACTCAGGCTTCTTGCTGTGGGCAAAAAGCTTTGGGATCTGTTGCAAGAGACCAGTTATGACGTCCCTGATGAGATGATTCATTAGCAATTGTGACCACCTTTTCAGAGGATCAAGGGACTCTTACTTCGATTCATAAGGATCCACAAATAGTCCCTCGCTCAAGGGTACAAAGGGTTCCTCTAAATCCGTCATGACCATCATCTGCGCTCGATCAAGTTGCGCCTGTACACTGTCAGCATCTGCAGCGGCCACAGAAGACCAAGTCACATACACTCAGGTTGTAGAACTGCACTTCCTTGTCATAAGTGACAATACCAATCTTTGAACCTTCAGGGATCCGACGCGTTGAAGCAGCATCATCCGTCGAGTTTTCAGAGTCGTCTGTGCTATAAAGAGCTTCCCTGATACCCTTGCAGACTCCCTTCAGGAAGCCGCGAGTGGTTGCCTCCTGACTGACATCAATGAGGAACAGCCAACGAAGACCAACGGGCTCCTTGTTCCAGTAATCCTTCGGGACTAAGAATTCGACTGTCCCCATCATCAATTCCGGACGCTGCATACGGTCGATACGAGCTCCGGATGGATCGAGAGGGGCAAAGTACTCAGCGGGGACATCGTTTGGAAATGTGCACATATTGCAAATAACCTTGTTTCCTCCCGCCTTGAATGTCATGAAGGGATTGATGTATGTTCTGCATCTCCGGCATCGCGGAGGTCCCGCATCGCCGAAATCTAGCACAGGAATCGGCTGCTCACCAGGGTCCAGGCGTGCCAGCGGCTGCAGAATCATACCGAGGGGTAATGCGGTAGAGGAGAGGAAGTCGGAGGTTGAAGGGATGTTGTTTAGCGTGAGGCGAGCAAATTTGGGAGAAGAGTTGCCCTGGTCGTGGGCCACAAAGGGTACGGCCGCCGGAGGAGGTAGATGCCGCTCCATTGTCGGGTAGACATGATTGAAGTAGTACTGGGCGGGCAGATCGCGCGATCGCGGGATGCTGGGGATCTGCTCTGGGTCAATCTTGCCCTGAGTCGGCACAGCCCCAGCTCCCGCTCCCACTCCCGCTCCAACCCCTAACCCAGCGGGCTGAGGCACGCCAGCTGCTGGAGAGATGGGCCGGGGGTCTTGGTTCAGGCCGGTGTTCAGAAACTGCGATGCGGGCTGTACACCTGCTTGTGGCATTGCAGCAAATAGCTGCGGCGACGGCGGAGCAGCCGAGGCCCCGCCTATGTCATGGTGTGCATGTCGATGCTTCTTCTTGTGTGTCCGAGCCCCTCCGTCTGTCCCCGATATTCCCAATCCACCCATCTGAGACGCCAACCCTGCCATGGATGGATCTGTAGGAGCGGGCATTCCAGCCTGTTGGCCTGCATTGTAGCCGAATTGGGGAGCGGCGGCCAGATGCGGGGGTTGCTGCGGATGTTGTTGTGAGGGGGACGGAGCGCCATAGGGGGGCCATTGATTCGGGGACGCAGCACCGTAGGGGGTTCCTGGCTGAGGAGGAACGACTCCGGGAGAATAGCCGGCAGCAGGATGAACGGGAGGAGGAACCTGGTGAGCCATTCGATTTGGGTCGGAGGGGTCTTCAGGAGGCACCGATCCGTGGCCGAGGGAATGATACATGGATGGGTCCGCCATGGTGCTTCATAACGGGGAAATCGTAAGACTGGAGGGAGGGAGGAAAAAGGATCGATCAATGCATCAATCCTTTCAGGCGCGAAGAGAATTATGAGACGCGCAAGAAGCGTCGTTGATGGATGGGAAGGATTAGGATACTTCATGCAGCGTCCATCAACAACTGACCACCTAACAATTAAGCGGATTTACGTTGCTCCGAGATGGTATGTATATACAATCAAGGAATCATGAGGGGAAAGGGTCACCACCACAATTTGTGGGATTCGGATGGTGTCGGGTCTTTACAGGTAGTCCATCTCAATCCAGCTCAGTATATTAACTCAAGCTTGACATTCAATAGCAACTGATAATGGTTGGTTTTGGGTTGACAATCCTTACAATGGCCGACTTATCGCGATAAGCATGCCTCCCCTGTAGCACTGCACTACGGAGGACGGAGGAGTTGGGAGAGTCTCTGCAAGCCTGCATCTCGGATTATTTATCCTTTGGCATCTGAACTGAAGCTTAGATGAATTATTTCATCTCATTGGAATCAATTTATTATCATTAGACTCTGTTCTGGTCCATTGACAAGTAATGATGGCCTCATATTAGAATCCCCATTCCTGCGGACCTCACCGTCTCTTTTGTAAAGAGCTACACATTGTGAACAGGTGAGTATCGATCGATAATTGCCTCTTGTTTTTCAGACATTATGCTAAAGGTATAGCCTAGATATAATTAGAGGATAGGTTACTGTCACATAAAACTAGATATATATCGCGAGCCATGGCTATCATTCACGATGATGATGAGCTTCTGCTGGCCCGCATTGGTTATAAGCAGGTACCTTTCCTGAAGCTCGTTTCTCCCGATCTGAGTACGAATCTATTCAGGAATTGAGACGTGAGTTCTCAAAGTGGTCCACGATTAGCTATGCTATCTCTATCCTTGGAATTCTTGGCTCTGTCCCTGCAACGATTGGGGCCCCATTGGCAGCTGGGGGACCAGCCACTGCGGTGTGGTGCTGGTTCTTCGGCTCATGCATGGCTATGTGCATCGGCAGCTCAGTGGCAGAGCTGGTCTCTGCGTACCCAACCGCTGGAGGAATGTATTTCGTCACGAAGCATGTCGTCCCTGAGGATCAGGTGCCCGTCTTTTCCTGGGTGCAGGGCTGGTGCAATCTGCTTGGACAGACCGCTGGTGTATCCAGTGTGGCTTACACGGTCAGCCAGATGCTGTTGGCGTGCGCCAGTATGAACTCGGAGCTAGTTAACGGGAAGTACTCGTATTCACCGTATGCTTGATTGTTCCACTGTACCGAAGCGAAAGGCTAATGCAAAGGCAGGACTGCACTGCAGACGGTGATACTGTCCATCGTCGTCCTATGCGTGCTAGGGGTGATATGCTCTTTGACAACCAAGTCTCTACATCAAATTGTCTTGTGGTTTGCGCCTATCAACAGTATGTATCTTATATCCCTCCTGATAGCAAGACGTGCCCTGACAGAGCAGTCTTGGCGACGATCTGCATCTGCCTTCTGCTGGTCTACTTGACGCCAGACAAGCAGTCCGCTACCTGGGTGTTCACTCACTTCACCGACGGCTCTGGCTGGGGCTCGAAATTATTTTCCTTTCTTCTTGGCTTTATCGCAGTAGCCTGGACAATGACCGATTATGACGGTACAACCCAGTAAGCTCTTAACTGGTGCTGGATCCCTCAATCCAATCTCACACTGTTTAGCATGTCAGAAGAAACTCATGACGCCGCGTCGCTTGGACCACTAGCCATCCAAACTGCTGTTCTGGTATCGGGTGTGATGGGTTGGGTCCTAACGATCTGCTTGTGTTTCTGTCTTACAGATCTTGAGGGGATCCTACAAAGTCCCACTGGCCTCCCGGCTGCCCAGATCTTCTTCAACGCAGGAGGCAAGACAGGCGGTACAATCATGTGGGGGCTCGCAATTCTCGTCCAATTCTTCACAGGTTGCTCGGCCATGCTTGCAGATACACGAATGGCATACGCCTTCGCCCGGGACGACGCACTACCATTCTCCTCGTACGCTACCCTGTCCCCCATCCCTGATCTAGAACCTTGTTCACTAACAGGTCGCGTCCAGTTATCTCTCCAGAGTCAATAAACGCACCCAAACCCCTGTTAATGCCGTCTGGTTCGTGGTTGTCTTCAGCATCGGCCTCAACTGCATCGCCATCGGGTCCACACAAACCGCCACGGCCATCTTCAGCATCACCGCCCCGGCCCTCGATCTCTCGTATGTATCCGTCATCCTCGCGCACCGACTATACAAGGACAAGGTCAAGTTTGTCGAAGGTCCCTTCACGCTGGGTAAATGGGGAGCGCTGCTCAACTGGGTTTCCGTTACGTGGGTCTTGTTCATCAGCGCGGTGCTTTTCTTCCCGCCTTCCTTGCCTGTTACGGCAGCAAATATGTAAGACGATGAACTACACAAGTATTTTCTGCGACGCAAGGGATACGTGACTGACCAGCCATAGGAACTATGCCATCTGCGTTGGTGCTTTCATTGCCGTGTTTGCGCTGGTGTGGTGGGGTGTGGATGCTCGCGGGTAAGTCTCCCCTTTTGGTTTGACATGAGGGTCGGTCGGGTTAACGTTGATGGTGAAGGAAATACACTGGCCCTCGTACCGAGGATTATATACAGGAAGTTCCGACAGAGGGCTTGGACGATGATTATGGGACAATGAGTTAGTACAGCAAGATTGTGGATGCCAGCCCAGCACGATCACATACTTGAGCGGGGAGCTGGCCCGCTACATATCAGATCTTTATTTAGTTCGTATTGCCTTGGTCAGGTTGGCTTATACCATAGACACTTCGTGTTATTTTTAGATTCATCAATGTTGCCATTCATGAGAAACTATACGGAAATCCTGGACAACGAGTACATACAGATACATCATGAAGAATGCCCAAATCATATCCTATATCCCCATACACTGTTTAATTCCCCGAAACAACAGCGAGTCCTTCGTATATCTTCCTCTTCACTGCCAGGAAGCTTCCCGCCGCGCGTCCCATACCGTGGTTCGCGGCCGCGGACTGCGCCGATGCTTCAATCTCGATCTTGCCAGTGGCTGACTTGCGGACAGCCACAAGACTGTCGATCAGGAGCGTTCCCTCTCCGCGGAACTCGGCCTTATGCCCGGCTGCCTGCATTATTTTGCGAAGATCCGCCAGTCGCAGGTCACCTACATGCAGAGGCCGAGTCATGGACCGCGTGCCAGCTGCCATATTGGCTGGCAGGATATCAAGCATGGGGAATACATCCGACTGATCTGCTGCTGGTTTGGTGTCACCGAGTGTGCTCGTTGCAACGGAGCTAGCTTCTTCCATCAGTAATTTCTGTTTCTTGCTGGCTGATTCATCGCTGTCCTCCTCCGAGACGCTGAGTTCGGGACCCCTAAGTTGAGCAGTCAAGGTCACGACGCCGAGACTGCGAACGTGCTGCCATTTTAGTCGTCTGACGAGATTGGTGCTAAGCTTGACCATCCAAGCGTTGGTGTCGACACTGGCATCGACCGTCTCGCCATTCACCGGGGTGTAGATGACGGCCATGTCCGGAAACGAGACGTCCACGCCGGCTTTAGCAGCGAGTAGTTTCTTGCATTCTGTGGCCAGAGCGGTGGTCTCCTCCTTCATTCCTCCAACAAGGATTAGTTTTCGCGGCTGGATAAGAGGGATCAACATCTCCAGACTGCGCTTGTCGTGCAGTCCAGCGAAGTCAACAAAGGCAAGACGCGCGTTGATAGTGATTGAAGCCTTTTCAAAGACGGCTTTAGCCGGCCCCTCGAAAGATTGCTCGTCGGCCTCGTCCTCTGATGACACTGCAGCGTCAGCATCGTCCACGTCATCGGGCATGCTGAGATCATCCGCTGCGCTCGTGTCCCTCTTCTGGTCGCCCGACAATTGTTGCCGTTTAGCCCCGCTAGTTGAAGGTCGACGGCCATGAGGGCCCGCTTCATCCCATCGTCGCTTCTGGCCTAACTTGGTATGAGCCTCTGACCGACGTTGCTGCATATCTGCCTCCTCTCGCTCTTCGGCTCGGAGATATTCCTCGGGCCGGATGAATTCTCCGTATTCATCTCCACGCTTCCTTGGTGCAACATACGGAAACATTCGCTCGCGGCCCTTTTTACCACGAACATCATAATCATAGACGTTCTTGCGCCGGAGAAGAATATTGACGCCCAGGTCCTCGTCACTGAGCCCTAGCTTATTGCGGTTAGAATGAGCCAAAGAAGTGGAAAAATTCAACACTCGGCCCTGCTGCTCCGTCTCTGAATCTTCCGACGTAGAGCTTGATCGGTCGTCTAATACATCTGTTGGATTTTCAATATTTTCCTGCCCTCTCGTCTGCGACGTATCCTCGAGTTGTCTCTTAGTGGCCAGATACTGCTGGTAGATCAACTGCTCCCCGGGTTCGAGAGGCTTGCGTCGAACATTCGTCCATGACAGCTCTCTTCCGCCACTATGGACCTGTTCGAGTAGTTCGCCATCTGGAGCTTTCTCCAGGGCAACACCGTCCTTTCTCTCTTCGTACCATCGCCAAATCATGCCTCCCAGAGTCTCTCTGTGATGCTCGTCCTTGCTATCCGGAAGCCTTTCCTTGCGGAGTGACTCCGTGAGGAGGAGCAGGTTGTTCGGCCCCTCAGCCACTAGACGAAGAGATTCCTTCGCGAATCCCCAATCCAGCGATGTGTCAGAAGCAATGATGACCTTGGGCGTCTGGTCCGCTAGTAGCTTCTCCAGCCTCTTTTTGCGCTCGACGATCTTGAGATGTTTGAAGGTGAAAGGCCCGACCCCCTTCGGCCCCGTCTTGCCCTGACCCTGGCCACCGGATCGCTGACCATCGGTATTTGATTGCGACTGACCCGTCACAGCATCAACACCTTCCGCTGCCTCGAACTCACGCACAATGTTCTCATCCATCCATTCGATCATGCTCCTCGCGAGTCTCATAGTAGTATGGCCTTTTCGTCCCGCCATATACAGCCCAGCTCCTTTAAGAACATTGTCGCTTTCGCTGTTGCCAGCTGCTGCGTCTCGCCAGGCGTGCTCCAGCGCATAGGCTAGCTCCAGAACCCGGGCGCTAGTATCAGTGGGAATGAGGACGGTGCCGCCTTTGGCGAGGCTGCTTCGGATCATATCAAGGAGTAAGTCATCACGCTTTTTGCGCCCTCCAGGCAGTGCAAATTTATCGCCTCCCCGGGTGCTACAGACCAATGCCGTGGGCTTGCGTAGTTGTTCTATGACCTCTGTCCCACTGGCACCCGAGCCACCAAACCATGCAGCGCCAGCAACGACACTTTCTCGTGCCTGATTCCAGTCCACCGCATAGACAATTGACTCCATTCCGTGCTGAATATGCCATATCGTTCCTCCCACTGTATGTCCAGCATTGTATGCAGTGAGTGTCAAGCCATTTAGCGGTGACGAGAAAGGCGAGGACAGAGGCTGATGTGGCTGGGAGTATTTTAACGGGTGAATTAAGGAGAAGTATCTGGCGATTTCTTCAGTGGTCGGAGGTTGAAGAAGAATTCGCCCAGCGTTACTGGCGTCGCTGCTTCCTTGACCATCGGTAACAGACGCCGCAGCGGATGCAGCTGATGTCGACGCGCCTGGCTCCGAGATTGATGCTTTGGGTAGAAATGTAGCGGCTAGTGGCGATGACGCATATAGATCTTGAAGAAGCGTGCGACCAAGTGAGATGACAGGACTCGTAGCGTACACGGGAATTTGGGTGAAGAGTGGGAACGTTTTGCAGCAATGTACGAAGGCGCCGATATGCGATGGTGTCGCGTGCGTCAAAAGGATGAGTGACAAAGTAGGTATATGTCTGTTGACAAATTTGTTAGTATGCAGAGCATATAATACAAATATTCGAATCAGCTCAGAGCCAAACTAACTTCTCCAATTCCAGTAGATCAAGCGTATCAAAGGTATCATCCCAGCCAACATCGACAAGGATCTTGATGCCACCATCCAGTTCCAAGATTGATTGCGACGCCTTCGATGAGGAAGACTGTGCTCCCAGCAAGGGAGTAAATGTGAACATGTCGGCGCGTTCTATCGTCCTTCCTGGAAGACCGGGGTTGTGATGTGGTTGGGTTGATCTCAAGAACCCGGCGACGAAGCGCTCTCAATAAGTCACAGGCCCATGGAAAAAACTTCAATGTCAAAGATCAAATCAATTTCGTCATATCCAAGGACACTCTGCGCAATCACCTTCAAAGGATGGGCGAGACAACAAAAAGTCTTGGGGTACAGCAAGATTAAAGACAATGCGATGATCCCAATGACAGCTCCGAGTGCATGTTTGCCATGTTTGCATCTCCGCCTAGCATACACGTCCATCTCTCACGGAGTAATTCATCTGCATCTCTTCAAATGACAAGGCTGAATGTGACGCCTTTGTCTACTGGCTTCTAGGTACATCGGTTGTCTGATTGAAATATCCTTCTCCGTTCACAGTCTCATTCTACTAGTGTGATACAAAGCCAAGATCACGGAGTATCCTGGAGGACAACAGTATGTTTTCAGTAGTGAGAGGCATTCGAAGACCTACCAAGTATGATTTGCTTCTCCCGAATCACGCAAACATAACTAATAACACGCATAATACCTCAAAGGGGGATATCTAATGGTCAAAGGCTCTTCATAATGAAAGGTGGCGTGCTTTACGCTTCAGACTTAACCTGTGTTTAGTACGCCCTACAGTCAAGTCTCGAGACGACTCAAGCTGTCCGACTGGAGGCCCAGGAAATTTGAAGGGAAATGGTTGTCTATCAGGTTGTTTTCCATCCTGCAACCTTGCGCAGAAGCTATACTCGTGTGTCCTCGCCAGGTTGATTTCGATGCCTATCAAGGCGGGCTGATATCTTCAAAATTGCCGAATACCAACGAATGCAAGCTCATCGTCGATTTTTGATCCTGGCACTCTTTCTCGTCGGCCCAGCTGGGGCTGCCTTCGCTGGCCGACCCCTCCTTGCTGTTTTGACTTGCGCAGCTGGCGCCGGGCCAGCAGCAAGCGCACCAGAAATTGGACCAAATGGACGGTGCTCAGAGGGCATCGTGGGCAATTCTCGCATCTCCCTCGACTCCATCACCTCTCTGGGGACACTAAAGCCTGCCCATGTTCGGATACGTCGATTTACTCGAGGAGGACAATGTTTATCGAAATCTCTCCGCAGTGTCTTTTTTGCTTGCTCCACAAGTTCTTTCTCTGATGGCAGCTTCACCTTCTCAGTTGGTTGTTTTGGCGCTGCCGTCGGCTCCGGGGATCCAAACGTTGGCTCTAAAGGAAGGAGTGCACGTTGTGGGGCGAGCCTATTTGTCCGTTTAGTCCGTGCGCGCTGCCGGATGCCGCTCCCTTGCTCGTCTGGTACTTCTGGCTGTTCTGCATCATCGTCGTCATCATCTATGGGCATAACGTTAGCAGACTGCTGCCACTCACACATACAGTGCACAATCACCAAAAGGCCTTGCTCGAGGAAGGTCGCTTTCTTACCTAGACTCTGTACAGCAATATCGGACCATCGCGTCACGGGCAAACCATTTGGTAACTCTTCTTCGGCGTTACCAAGGTCAAGGCCGTGTCCTCCTTGAGTCCCTGCATCGAGTGTGTCGTCCTTGGCGTTATCACCTAGTCACAGAGCAATACCATTAGTCCATCGGGTTCAGTCATGCAAATCCTTGGGGTTTTGGAGGGAATGTCACACGCAAGGGGGCAGTCAGGAATGTCAGCAAGGCTGTCCGTTTCTCCGCTTGTATGCGTCCAAACTCCCATGGAGCTCATCAGATGCACCACAGTTTATCATCGGAGAAACGAACTTTAAGCCTGCATTGACACATTCCTAGTTACATCACTTGATGATCTTGAAGACGTACAGGAATAGGCATAGAAACATGCTCAAAACGAGAACGATGACAATAAACCAAATCCACCTGAACTCACCAATTGCAGGCTCTCGCCCGTCATCGAAACCGACCTCCTTCACTTGAGGACCAGCGCCACAAGCATTGCCGATATCGATGGTATCAAAAAATCGATCCACCTCATTGGGAGTATTGTCTCCATTAAGATACCCCTGGTTTTCCACTTTTGGTGAAGGTGAGCTTGAACCCTTGATGAACATGCCTTCTCGCGCCGCGAGAGATGGTCGTTCGTAGCCCTTGTAGAAGAAAGAAGTCTCATCAACAGACGGTTCCAAGGAGATTGGCTTTGCGGGATAGAAACTGGTTCTTGGAGGAGCTGGCAGTGGTGGCAACGGCTCTGAAATTCCCTTCGCCAGCTTCGCATATGGCCCATTCACGAGTGTGAAAATGAGCTGTTCCCTGTAGAAACCATCCGCGATGGCACCTTCGAGCCATCTGTACGCATACTCGTACAGCTGATCGGGCGGCATCCCCTGCCAACTGGAGATTGGACCGGCCTCGAATTTCCACATCAGGTTTCCCAATGTTCTGACTTTGGGTGTCAACTGTGCTAGCTGATAATTGATAGGTGTAATCACCCATCGGGGATATGGTGCATTGGTCCCAAAATAAACCTTCGGGGCCGGGGTTTCAGCAGCAACGACATTCAAGTTGCGTAGCATTTGTCCATCAGCAGTAACGACAGCAGGAGGCGGCCGTGGTACTTGCTGCGACCCATCATTCGTGTGTTGAGCATCAGTGGCCTGCTTCATCATCAAGTGCTGCAGCATCCTGTGTGCACTGCCATCTAACGTTTTGTCTGCGATTATCTGTCGGATCACGGTCTTCTGAAGCTCGGCACGAGCATTGGTAAGAGTTTCTGGAGACGGCTGCAGGCCATCTCGATACAATCCCGCAGGCTTCGGTGATTCCGCCTGCACGAGGCCTGGCGCCGGTGTTTGCTGCAATCGCTCATCTTTTTGCTGGTCATCAACACCTTGCTTCATCAAAGCCAGCTGCAGTTTGTTCTGTGCGCTGTTGTTTGCGGGGTTGTCCGCAACAACCTGCCGGGCCATGACTTCTCGAAGTTCAGCACGAGCATTGGTGACAGTCTTTGGAGGAGGCTGTAGGCCGTGTTTGTATAGCTCCCAGGGCTTTAACAACTTGCCGGGCTTGAGTGTCGACTTCTTCGGACTGTCACCTGGTTGGCGCTCAGGTATGGCAGCTATTTCCACATGTTCAATTTCCGGTTTCTCGGGATCAGTGAGTCTTCTCTCTCGCTCCCGTTGCCGCTTCGTTAGAGGCTCTGCCATGGTGGGTCCGATAATCTTACTTGTATCTAGAGAGGAAAGATGTCGACTTCCGAGAATGTCAGCGAGGCAAATCCGCAAGGCTCGGGCAGGTTCGTAACGTACGTTAGATGCTGAAAGTGTTGTTTCAGGGAAGTTTGGAGTTGTCGACAATACCAACGGAAACAACTGGCCTTGACTGATACTTTATTTCGCCGAGAAGAATACCACAACAAAGCTCCTGAAGACCAATATAGGAAGTTCCTGAGGTTCCAAGTGCCGGGCGCTCTTGTCTGCAGTGCCTTGTCTTTTGTCTCTGCACGTACCCTTGACCTCTTTCTCTACCGAACCAAATTCCCGCTTGTCGGGCAAGACAAAGAACGTATCTCACTCCGACAACGGATCCCGTTCGAGGTCAAAAATAATTTGCACGAACGTGAGTGCACAATATACCACTTGCTCTTCTGTATCACAGAGTCCTTTGTTCGATAAACTCAGCGGGTGCAATTGAGATAGAAACACTCTAACAAAGACCACTGCGCAACGCTGTGTCAGATCTGGAAACTAGAGGTCAACGAGATCTAAAAGAATCGGCATTACCATCAAAAAAAAAGAAAAGAAAAGAAAAGAAAAGAAGATAAAAGAAAAGGAAGAAGAATATCTCATCAGCAACCTAGCTTGTGCACCTTTCAGAAAGAGCCAGATATCTCAAAGTGCTGATGGAACTACACAAGAGCCAATGACCATTACGTCCACGAGGCCCAGGTCACATACACACAAACCCTTGGACCAAGAAATCACTCCTTTCTCCTTCCAAGACCGTCTGTACTTTAGGTCTCAAACAAGAGAAGGGCATCTACCAAACGAAAAAAGAAAAAGAAACACAATCGAATCAGCCACACCGAAGTAATGAGCTCCGTAGGGCGAGAATTCCCCTGCCCCTAACGTCAGTCGGTCATACTCATCCAGGCTCCAGCGAGACAAAATAGAAACAAAAACTTGCCAGAAGATAAGAAGAGAATGGAAACAAGATTCCGGCTTCTTTCTTTTCTCGATTCCCTTTTGCCCTTTCCAGTGGACGTTCTAACTTCCCAGGACACATGCGCCACTGCATCAACAAAGGAAGTATAGAAGCATTCCTCGGAGAGATCCCTGCCACCGTAATGATCCTGGCTCTTGATGAACAAAAGATAACGTAGTGCAAAGTGGATTTTTATCGGTTTTTGGAGCATTGGAATGCCAGGTTCCTGGATTAAGGGGATGCGGTTGACGAAAGGTGCTTGTGTCGTGTGTTGTTTGCTGCTTGTTGATATCTAACATCCGGTGATGCAGTATCAGCGATTTTGATCACGCAGAAGACGAGGGGAAGAACTCGAACAAGGAGCATGGTACAGGCTATGAGTCATGGATACGTAGGTTTCTATTGCCACTGACTGGTCTTTGGAAGGGGCTCCGAACATGCTCATCGCCCTTGTGTGTAAGGCAGGGGAATGAGGGACTATCCATGTGGCTTGGCAGTGTTATTTTCTCGGAGAAGTTTGAGAATGATTCTTTTTTCTCCTCGGTGTTACTCACAATGCTGAAGTAAATCGAGTCTTACACGACATCTGCTTACAATATAGGGGTGCTACGCTGGAATAAGGTGCAGTTCATAGAGCAAGTGCTAATAAATAGGCTATAGAGCAATTAGCAAAAGATACGGAATGATTAGTATGTGCAGTTTAAAGTCGAATTACATTATCATAGCGAATAAAGCTTGAAATTTCGCAGTCAATTGGTCGATAGGTTCACGATCCAGGGTTCGAGGCACAAGATGCCTATGGATATCGAACGTCCAACGCGTCTCACTGACGGTGCTGAGCCGCATTTATTGCCAATATCTTGGCTCGTCAAAGACATGATAACGATGACCACGAACTCCCTGGCCACGGAACATCGAGGGGAACCGACGGCCCTCGGCAATCATCTCTTCAGGGATACGCATCTCATTCTCGGGCTCCGGCTCTCCGATAACAAACTTGCCAACCTAGTCATGCAGATTAGTATATGTCAAAAACAAGCCAAATCATAAATTTTCACTTGCGAGGCTTACCTGAATCTCGGTGTCAGTGATGCTATCCCGGCTGATTCTGGCATAACCTGTGCGTTTCAACTTCTTGAAAAGAATGTATTCGCACCAGCGGTCCCAATCCGTGGGATCGATGTCCTTCATGCCGCTCAACTCGCTGACATAGGTGTTGTAATTGCCTTCGAGTGGCTTAGTAACCAAATAGCTCAGCAAGATCGTTGGTCGAGGAGATTCGCCCATGAGTTTTGCCAGGTACTGAGACTGCAGACGACGATCCTCCGGATCTTCCTCCTGACCGGAATGGAAGACCACGACATCGATCATCTCACCGTACATATCCAGGGTGGCGTGAATGGCGGGTGCGAGTTCACCAACGGGCGAGGGCAGCAGGTGGTGAGTCGAGTTGACGATGGGGAACTTAGAAAGCAGCGCAGCGCCCCATGTGTGCTTATTGGGACCTGGTCCGAAATCCGCGTACATTCCAAGCTCTTCAGCCAATACTTGGGTGATATCGCGGTTGCCCATGATAATGCGCTGATTATCGGACTCCAGCAAGCCAATTACATCGATCTCGAGCTCCTTAATGACATCACGCATGCGACGCTCAGAAGACCACATATCATTATCGAGACCGAAGTGAACCGTCCAAATGCCGAGAGTGGCGACTTTGTCCTCCTTGTGATATGGGGTATAGTCATTGGTGGGGAAGCGGAGGTACGCGAAGACAACGGAGAGAAGCTGCAACACGGCAAGGACGTACACATAGTATGAACGCTGCCTCCTACCGCTGGGGTTGATTGTTCTGGCTTTCGGGGCAGCGGAGTTTGAGGTTGCGGCTGAGAAGACCCCGGCTCCAATGGAGATCATGGTGGTAGCCATGAGCCAGTCTGTGTGTTCTCGGACTAGGGGTCCTCCGGGCACGAACGCGTATGCAACCACCCAGACATGGAAGAGGATCAGAAAGACGTAAACAAGGCCACCAACACCAAACGTCATTGCAGGGGAATGACGGGTAGCCGAAGTGATCAGAACCGAAGAGACTGCCATGAGATAGAAAGCAAGGATAAGAGCGCCATAGAAGCCAGTCCAGTGGCTATAGCATGTAAGCAGGGCGGCACCAAGAGAGCCAATGCCGTAAGCGGTCCAGCTCCCCGCAATGCGCGGGCAGTAAAAGCCATATAGGAGGCCGGCACCCATTGCGAAGATCGTAAGCACACCATGAGGCACTGCAATTGGCCCCCTCACCGGGTAACCTTCCCAGACCCAGGAGATCATGGTACTGGAATCAGACAAAAGGGAGTGCAAGGAAAACATGAGACCACCAATACCGAAGGCGGCCAGCAACGAAGAGCCCTTCTTACCAGTCGACGGGAAGTAATCTCCTCCGCTGGGAGCGGGCTTCCTGTGAGACCGGAGAACAGCTAGTACACCAAGGAATAAACCCATTTTATTCCATCCACCATTTTCTGCATGCATGGTAGGCCAGACAGGATTGTTGGTGCTGCAAGCAAACTTGGCGACACTAGACATGATCAAACCAATGCCCCAGGCGAGGATTCGCGATTCCAGTCGAGAGCTCTGGGCTTTCTCTGCATTGAAAATGGCGGACCATGTGATACAATTGCATGCCACACTGAAGGTTGTCACGAAGAGTCTGTTGGTTGGATCCCGGACCTTGTAAGCCAGCAGACCGGAGAGCGACAGAAGATGGAAGAGACGTGGGAATCGAGTAGCCGCCGATCTCAAGGTGGGAATCGCAAGAAGGAGAGGTGAAATGTAGGCAACGATAGCGACTTCATATCCCGAGATACCCATGTGCCAAAGAGGAAAGTCTGTTTCTCTTGATTAATGGTACACTTTCACAGAGATCGCAAGATGACTTACACCAGACAAGAAGTCCAAGCGCAGTCGCCATCGACCAGAAAACAAACTATGATATGTCAGTGATACTCGGATATACAGAGAAGATTCTTCGAAGATCCATACTCCGTTGTAAACGTCCGCGGCAGCGTCTAGAACTTCGGACCAGAAAAATCCCTCGCCAAAGGTATTTCCAACAGGCTTGCCCTTCCTAACTACGAGTCAACATTCGAGGCCAGGTTGCGTCGGTGAATTAGGAAATACACACTCTTTCTCGAGGACGGCGTCCGCGGTAGTCTTCAACTGCCTAATGATCCGAACCTCAGGACATGTCTTGCAAAAAGTACCAATTCATTTGGCAACTATACATTTTCTGCTGTTTTGCTTGGTTTACTTCGGAAGCCATGGTACATACCCTCTGCTGACCCCTTTGATATCCCTCACCACAATCTCGAAAGCTTCGAAATCCAATGCCGTGACCGCATCGAAACCAACATCGAATAGAATGAGTGACCATTCGAAGAATGCGTACTTGGTATAGGCTTAGGGAGATAGTTAGAGCCAATCCTCATACACATGAAAATATATGATTACTCACCACCAGGAACCTTATGCACCTTGTGCTGAATGAAATAGTAGATCAAAGGCACTAGAGTGCCAAAGAACAGACTCGCCATAATCTTTCGGTACTTCACAGCGCGGCGATTGTTGGGGCTGAGGGCGAGACAGCCAAGGGTCCAGGGCAGTGTTGCAACGAGATACGAGATCATGAAGATATCATGCCAATCATGGTCATCGGTCGAGGTGACATATGTCCATCCACCACACGTGAAAGTTCGGAACAGTCCAACACCAGCGACGACCTTAGGGAGGGTCGAATTCGGCCGCGCAGTGAGAATGTACCAAAGGAACACGAGAGCGAATCGAGGACCCGAAGTGATAGCGATAAAGACTTGAAAGAACGACCGTTCGGGATATCTATCACCGATCGTGGCGGATACCGAAGGGAACCATTCCTGGGGATAGCCGTAGTGTTCGTTCTGCACGATCTTGTGGAAATGCAGGGACATTCCCACTACAAGAGCGCTCAAGAATGCCGTATAAGCGACGATTGTGTGTGTCCATGATACCCATTTACCATTCACCTGCACTTGATTTAGCGATTGACCAGAAATCGTTCGATTGATATAAGCTTACCGCCACAACGGCATCTCCATCTTTGAATTTGGGAGCCATAGTAGCGCAGACAACGCAGGGGCCACACTCCGCACTTTCGAGCAAACAATCCCTGTGTCAAGGGGGGGGGAATTGGGACCTAAAAGAGCGACAAGAAAGTAAATGGTTAAAGAAAGAGATTGAGAATCAATAGGAATACAAGAACTGTCAGCAGTCAGAGGAAACCCCTGAGGTCGCGTAGTAATGGCCAAGTTGTATCTCGGCAACTCGCGGACACATGCAACAAATAGAGCCAGACCGTAAGAGGAAGGCGGTCGCAAATGCCATGTTCAAGGCGGAGTGGAGTGCGCGCGGGATGCCGACAACTTTTTTGGACCTGAGACTCTTGGGGAAACTTTTTCTGACATTGTCCTGCAGCAATAATCAACGAGAATCACCATGTCGGCTGCTACAGATAAAGCGCGCTTCTACCTCGAGAAGTCCGTTCCGGAGCTCAAGGAATATGAGAAGAAAAAGATATTTAGCAAGGTATATCCCCAACAACCAGCCACTGTATGGCACATGGTCAAAACTCACCAGATATTTTTTTCGTCCAGGATGAAATTATGTCCATTGTTAAAAGACGATCAGACTTTGAGCATAAGCTCAATGCTCGCGGCGCGCAGCCTGTTGACTTTGTGCGATATGCGGAATACGAGATGAACCTCGACGCTCTGCGGCGCAAAAGAGTGCAGCGACTAGGTGTTCGGTCCGGAGGCCATGCGGGTCAACGACGGATCTTTTTCATTCTCGAACGAGCAACGCGCAAGTTTCGCGGTGATATTGGCTTATGGATCCAGTATATCGAATATGCTCGACTACAGAAAGCTTATAAGAAACTCACGACGATCTTCACGGATGCATTACGGCTTCACCCTACCAATGTGGATCTGTGGATCTACGCGGCACAGTACAACTTAGACGAACACGCGGATATGACAATGTCACGGACGTATATGCAACGGGGGCTGAGATTCTGCAAGAGCTCCAAGAAACTGTGGCTGCATTATGCGAAACTCGAATTGATTTATGTTGCCAAACTTGTTGCTCGACAACGGATATTAGGATTGGACCAGCCGATTGAGGCACCCAAGCCAGCAGATGAAGGTGGCCTTGATGATGCTAACGCCGATATGATCGTTCTGCCCAAGATCACTGGAGAGGATATCAATCCTAGTGCTGGAGACGAAAATGGAGTGGATGAGGTTGCACTGCAGAATCTAAACTCGACTCCTGCATTAAGCGGCGCCGTGCCTATTGCTATCTTCGATACGGCGATGAAGAATTTCGCTTACGACGATGTATTCGGCCGCGATTTCTACGATATGGTCTCCGAATTTGAGGATATACCGTGCCTGTGCAAGATTCTGGGTCATGTGGTCGAGGTACTGTTGCAGCACAAGCCCGCCAGCCACCATACACAGATCTGCAACATTCGACTCCCCATCGCCGGAATCCAGCCTACATCACCCGAGTTCCCACGAGCATTGGGTTCATCTCTTACTCGTCTGAAGGAGCACCGACAAAATCCCAAGATTGCAACGGATGTCGTCAGCTGGCTGCAACCACTCCAGAATGCAGAGGGCTTGGATCCTGCCTTGGAAAAGGTCATTGCAGCTACTATCTTCAATGCCGAACGCGTACTCCAGCAGGAGTAGACTCTTGCATTTCAAATCAACCATTTCAGGCGTTCATTGGCGGTATACAGTTTTTTGCAATGTCTTCAAAAGTCAGCTTCTCAATTACTCGTCGTATTTATTACCCCGTCTGCTGCTCTTTTTGCTGCTGTGCAGTTTCTTTGCCTTGACTCTGGCCTCATTTTCGGCCTTTCTCCTAATGCAACATGTCAGTATCGTTCAAGCCAATCTTGTAGATAATGCACGGGAAATCCATCTTACAGTTTCTGCACTCGGTCCCTTTGCTCTTCAGACGTTTCTCCAGGGATCACATCGTCAGCAGTCGTCTTCAGCAGATTGTGGAGTTTCTCATAGCAAGACTCCACGTTGGCAGCCTGTTTCCGTGACTCCTCGGACTGGATCACTAGAGTGTGCGTCCTCTCGGCGTAGTAGCGGGACAGGCGGAGGCGAGGATGCAGGATGCGCGGCACCAGAGGCAGCAGAGATTGGAGAGGTACTTTCAAGGTGGCTTTTGAGTTTACCCTATTAGGGAAACACAATGAGATGTTAGTCAACTGGACTAGTCGGACAGGTGGGTTGATAAAGCCCGTCAAGTGTGCCGGCAGGTACCAAACAAGCAAAATCTTCTGACGTGGCCTCAACCGCGGATGAAAATGAACAAAATCTACTAAAGAGGGAGCGTAGAGTACGGAGTACGGACTTGTTGACATTCTGGCCCCCAGGACCACCGGACCGGCTAAAAGAGATTTCGCAGATATCACGAGGAATTGTCTTCGAGCTGAAGCCGGCAAGCCATGCCCGAGCTGCGGTCAGCTCTTCCTCTGTCACATTTTCAGCGGTATGGTCCTGGCTGACGGTGGCTGCTCGTCTGGAAGCAAAAGGTCGTGCTCTGGTGGGACCGGCGGGGGCGTTTCTGAGAAAATCAAAGATTCGGGAACGAGACCAAAAGATTGACATGTCTCGTGATAGGTAGAGATTTCTCGATGGAGGTCTCTCTCAAGCAATGCTACTAGTACTGTCTTTTTTGAAGCGTCAATGAGTAGTCTTTGGTTTGAGAACAGTAGGGATGAGAAGATTGGAAGGCGTAGAGGCGTGGATAAGGGACGACAGTGTTGTAAGCAGAATGGGGAGTATTCCGCAATGACAAGGACGTAGAGGTTTTGAAGGCTATTTCTATTTTTTTCCAATACCATGTAGTAGTAGTATTTTGTAAGGTAGGAGGACTACTGATGGATTCCTAATTGGGCTTCTTATGTCAATCGAGATGTCTTTATGACGTTAGATCCCTTGGCTAAAATTATTCTATCTCTTCTTTACATTGTTGGTTTCTCTTGCCAACTGTTAGGTTAGTTAGCATTAGTGAAATATTGAAAAGTGAGAAGGTCAGGCTAAGCCAATCTCTTCGATTGTCTCCAATATTAATAGAGCTCTTAGGTCAAAGACATATCATCCAACTTCTGCAATTCATACTCGTTCTTTTCTTCCGCCCCCTTGTCGCCCTCCTCTTCCTTCTTCCCACCCGCCAAGAGAGACCCTCCAACTCCTCGATTTTTGCGCGCTTCCGCACGACTTCTTCTTCCTCTTTCTGGAGGGCTTGGCGCAGACGTTCCATCTCTTTGGACTAAACATGCAACATCATTAGACTGACATCCCTTATATTTAGACTTGTTCAGACTTACGATATCTTCTTCGGACATCTCCTTGGGCCCTTTCTGGGCCTCTTTCTTCTCCTTGGCTTTCTTGCTTTTGCGCTTCATGATTCTGCCAGGAGAGGCGCGGGGACCAGCCCCGGCCCAGCAGCTCCCAGGCAGGAAGACAGCCTTTTTGATGATCTAGACTCAATTTAGCATCTTCTATGTCATTTATGCAGGGTGAGCAATGCATACTGTTGGTGGGGCCATGAAAGTGGTTGGTGGTGATATGTATTTTGCAAGCTCATCCAATTCTATCCAGATACTTGATGTGACCCAATCTCACCTCTGTAAAATATAGGGTCTCTAAAGAAAAAGAAGAGGATAGGTAGCCCAAAACTGTCATGAAATCATATTTATATCTTGAGGTTTAGACAGGCCAAAAACAATGTAATGCGGTGTGCTCTGTCTGTTCAATGGTATTCTCAGGGACTTCAGAATGAATAGGCAAGATCAATGGATTATGATCTATTGTCTATTTAGAACTATGACAATAAGACAATATAATAGGGATAAGAACTGCTATTCAGATATGAAGTTTAAGTAATCTGTGTAATTCCAATTGAGAGTTCCAGCCAACAAAGACACCACGATGTAATAGAATATATAATAGCAAGAATGAGAACAAGCAGCAAGAAATAAGATCAATAGCAATACATAACAACTAATGGGAATCATCCATTCAGAAAGACATTCACTTTGAAGCACATGATGACTATCACAGGCAACATAAGGCTGAACAACACCTGATGGGCTAAGTTGCAGCAGTCAATTTGATTATCGCCAATCCGGATCTGAATCGTGGTCATTATCCTCTCCATCTTCCTCCTCCTGCTCCTCTTCCTCTTCCTCTTCCTCTTCCTCTTCCTCTTCCTTTTGCACAGCTTCTTTGTAAAGGGCAGTCCAGTACTCACGATCCTGTTGCGACACTTGGCGACTCCCATGACCTCTGATTCCTATATGGAGCAGCTTGTACTCCTGTCATCAAATTAGCTATGGTGTTCTTAAGAAAAGAGGCGGTGGGATGATGAACGCACGTCACATGTAGCAACCACTTCCTTTACAGTATCCATTCGAAAGACGTATTCTTGGTGGAAGTGATCACGACCTAGCCCGAGACGCATTGAATCGCCCGTATCTCTGAGTACGGTTATGTTATAAATGCCGTCAAAGTAACGCGTAAAGTCAAACCCTTGAAATGATTCAGCATCTAGCAGAATGTGAACACCTGGATAGTTGAACGACGTTTGCATAGACAGGGGTTCTCCCTTTTCCAAGCATTTGGGATCGGCCCATGTGTATGGTGCTCTGGAGTTTGCATCTTCCTCTGTTATTAGCTCTGCTTCTGGGTTCTTATACCCAGCCATTACGGCTTTTCCATCGCGGTTGATGAACTCTAGGCCGGTTATATAGGTCTGTTCCATCCGCACCGTGACGATCGAAACGCCAATCTTTGCGAGAGAAGGATTTATTGCGATTCTTTCAATACGCGACCCACGCCAGCAAGTGTTGTGGTAACCTTGAAGGGATTTCCCCCCGAAATCCAGCAGTGGTGGGCCCAATTGATTCTCGTGCATCAAGACCGCGTCTCTCAACCATTGGAAGATTTCCCACACTGCGATGGTCACTTCAAACGACCGGCCGCACCGCATCTTACATGTGTTGTGGTAGATGAACCGCCAATCGAGTTGCTGATCTGATGGACTTGTGGTGCACTTTTCTACGAGATAGTTCAAGAACCCTCGTTCCCTGTTCAGCTGGAACCGTGATTTCCAGAAGTGGAAACTGGAAAAGAGCCTCCCCATTGCTCGCGATGCGTAACGCAGTTGCAAGAAGTCTTGGGTCGACAGAAGTGCCGCGATCGCTTCTCGAATCTCAAGGGGCAGACCTTCAAAGCAATCAGTTGGATTGCGTATATTGCTCAACTTCTTCGCGACTTCATGGGTTGGAAAGGCCCTTGGGGATTGTAGAAGCTGAGGGAGAGAAGGAGTCTCAAATGGAAAGATATCGTGTCCGTAGCCGGTCATGGGGTCTAGTATGCTTCACCTCAGCCTTGGAAGTCTACATTCTCAAAGAAACTTCCTATCATAAGAAAAGAAGGTGGAAAAGGAGTGTGTGCAAGGGCATCGAAACAAACCTGATGGATCTGGTAATCTCCTCAGTGCCTTATAGAGCCTATGGAGCTCGATCTCTCCTGGCCCGAAGTGTTTCTGAAGTCGTTGCCAGCATACTTCATGGAATAGAAACATGTCCCAGGGAAAGCATTTCGCTTTGGTCAGCAGAAAGAAGGCATTGCCCATGGTGTCCCACCGGGCATTTGGGTCCGTAGGCAGTTTGAGGCGATGTTCAAACTTCCCAGCACCAGAGAGTGCAATCCCCGCAGAAGCTACGTAGACTGCGCAGAGTGAGCTTTACCTCAATGGCTTGACAAGCTCTTGATCGAACACTTACGAGCTCGAAATGTGTGAAGCCATGGCTTTTCCAACCCAAGTCCGATGCCAGTTCCACAAAGAAAGCAACGTCTGAAATTCAACATGGGTTGGAGTAAGTAAAATCGGGACATGGTGGGTTCTGTGGCCTGCACGAGAGTAGACTATCTGGCTGCTTAATATCGCCGGCGTGTGAGATGTTAATATAGGCCAGAGTCTAATACGTAACTTTTCTATCACATTCGTATCTAATGTCAAATATCTCGTCACCATTTGGCCTATACTCATCTTCCACAATCAGAACAGATTCGGACATATATTTTAACTTTCAACTTGGCCTAAGGTTCCGGTTCAACCAGGACTCCCGCCCCCCAGGCAAGCCAAGGAGAGGGTGCCCCGGTTCCTGGAACAGAACCCGGGGTGAAAGTGACACAGACGTGACAAACGACGGCCCCAAGCTCGTAGTCTTGGTACGTAGGATTACCGCGGATATATGTCCCAAGTGTCAACTTCAATTACCGTCGTGTAAACAGAACAACCACGTTAATAAATGTTCCACGTATTCCAGATTAGGTTCTCCATTGTTTTTAGAATGGGCTCAATCTGTAAGGCATCATGCACCAGATGCAGCTCGGAACGCGGGGGATTAGTGAACGCTGGTTCTAATCTCCCTCGATCGTTGCGAATCATTGACATACCATACATGCGAACCAAAGGACCGATGGCGGCAATTCCGTACATTGTCTGTATATTACCGTCCGAAATCCTCGCCAGTAACATATTGCGCTGAAGCTGTCTGCGAACGACATCCCAGTCATGCTCGGTTGGGGTTATGTCTGTGGGACGTTTGGCCTCGACCACAATGGCCTTGTGATGCAAACCGTTCCTACGATTGATGACAGCAACATTCGCGCAGAATTGCCGATCCGGGGCGAGGTATGATTCCCTTTCGACAGAGTAGGCTAGTGGTCTGAAGTATCCCCTGAGGATATTATTCCAGGCATGGTCCACATCCGCTTGACGAGCTCCGGAGCCTATTGCAATGTTAGCGATATAGTCCAGAGTGAAGGGGTTTAGTAAATAAGCCATAATGGGTCAGAATGTAAGAACGCAGCGTAGTCAGTTCCGAGATGCAAAGGCCAGATTTAGCAAGTTGATATGTGACTGAAGCTTGAAGTTCTTGGAGAGAGATTTGAGGATACAAATATACAGAGATATTTATAACAATCAGATGATAACACAAATGAAAACTTGAGAGTATTATTCGTTGCGGCTGCGAAACGCGTACCTTGATTGATCTTTGCTATGTTTCATTCATTCTATTGTTTTGCTCTCTCGAAGGCCACAGACAATACCGAGTATATTCCCGTTTACGGAGTAGAAGGTTACAGTAAGAGAAATGTCAGGCAAGGAGGATCTTGAAAGCACTACAGAGTATGGAGTAGATACCGAATCTACTTGACACATTCCAAACACACTCCAACCGAGTGTTTAAGGATGAACGAAGTTGCATTCACTCACGGCGCGGCCGCCGTGCATTGCTTGGCTCTCATACTACGTATTCATCATGTTCAAAAGAGGCGATGGTCAATCACAGAAAATAAAAGAATGGCTGTCGGGGTATCAGCTAGTCTGAACGGAGCACCTTTTGCGGTTATTCCTTAGGTAGGCACTCTGAATGTGACAGATACTAATTTGCGTTCTCCAAGACTCCTGCAGCGGGAAACCTCCGTCTCGGATGGTTCTGGACCCTTAGAAACATCTCCATGGGAGGGCTGATCTAGGGAAGCTAGTCACTAGATGGTAGTCTAGTCCGTGAACTAATGTCTAGTGTGATGGACTATGGATGGCACGACACCGAGCGATCAGATCATCAGACTTTTGGAGACAGGCGATGATTGAATAGCTTCCAGAATCTAGCTTTCCAGCAGTTCATAGCAAAAAATCTTGGCCAACACTAAAAGTATCGACCCGTCCAGTGAGAGCTTAACAAAAGGGTCTGTGGCATCACACACGTTCTGGCTGTGTGTACCACTTCGTACCACTGACCATTGTACTCTGTAGGTACCGACTACCGAGAATAAATAATAATAATAATAATAGGGTAGTAATTAACTAGTACTCAGTACTCACTCAATACTCACTTGACAGATTCTGATAAAGCAAATTTGTTTTTGGTATCTGTATTCCGTAATCTGTAGTCAAACTTGAGTAGGTACTAGGTAGGAGGTACAGAGTAGATTACCTACCTAGTAGATAATAATGGTATTAATAATAAGAGTACCCATGACATCCAACTACCTACCTACCTAGGTACCTTCATGTGACTTGGAGAATTGGAGATCCATGTCTTCTTTATCGACGTATTACTATTCCCCCAGTCATCCTCATTATAGATAGTACTGGATAAATGACAGTAATAATAGCTAATAACATCTCCTCTTCTGCTTCTGTCATCCCCAAATATCATTGTTTCTAACCATCAGAAAATTTTTCTCTCTCCCCAATCTGGTCAGAACCTCTTCATCTCCGTCTCTTCTAAATTTCGCTCTTGTGGATATCACTTCTACGGCCACCAAAGTCTGGATTACAGACCCTCTTCTTTCTTTTCTTCTTCTTCCTCCTCCTCCTCCTCCTCCTCCACCACGCTTGACCGCCCTGGGATAAGAACAAACGTGAAGAACAGAAAAGAGACATTTTTCTCAGACAATCAGCCCCACCTGAGCTTCCTCGATCGCGAAATTCTTCCTCCCCTCCCTCCCATCTTCCCCCGACTGTGGCCCTTTGCAACTTTTTGCCCTTCTCTGTAGATGAAACTGATCTGATCCCCCACCCCCTTCCCAAAACCCTGTCCGTTGTCTACATGACGCCAGGTTCTCCCGATGAAGCTCTCCATTTTCGAGGCAAAACTCTGACTCCAGAGAGCCCTCGTCCGCTGCACGTTGCGGAACCGACCAAGATCCCTGTGCTGCAAAATCAAATGGATCCCGTTTTCAACGACACGTCCACTTATTATGAGACGCCCCAGTCAGACTTTGAGAACGGTTCCCAAGCGCATCATTATCACAGTGGACAGTATGCTGAATCGGGAGACGGACGGAGGTATCCAGGGTCCATGTCGGGGCTGAGCCAACATCACCATTATCAGCCTTCACCATCAGCACAATCACAAGGTAGCTTCCACACTGGTTTTTCGCAGGCGGGTGATCGGTTTGGACGCAAGAATGGAACTTCACTTTCTGCAGGAATAACAACTGCTAAGCCCTCCCTTCCATCAGACCGGTCTCCAATCACAGCAGAGAACTCCTCTACTGCCCAGGGCATAGCAGGGAACCCATCTCTAACCGCTTTTCCTCCATCAGATCCCGCTGCCCTTCTAGCTCATTCTAATTCCTCCGGTGTTGCTCCCTCCTCCTCTTCCTCCTGGATTGCCCAGAATCTGCCCGTCGCGAACGAGGTAACCCATGCAGTCAACAGCTGGGCCGCGCAGCATGATCGCTTAGACTCCCAAGCAAAACCGGATGATAACACTGGTGAGGCTGGTGTGGATTTCCAGAACCTCCTTGATAACCTCCCCCCTCCCTCCACGGGTGCACCCTCTGCCCCTACGATCTCGGAGACGGCCCCTGCGTCTGCGGACGATGTCTCTGAGGCTCCTCAGAGTCTTCCCCCCCGTCCCCCACCCCAGGAGAAGCCCTCTATCCATCCCAATTACAGCCCTACCGATGACATCCGTTCCTACCACCAGCTCCATCCTCATGCCCCTAGCACATCTTCTACCTACCCTTCTCAACAAAGTAATTCTCAGAACAACCGCGGGCTGCCGGCTTCCTTGACTGCAGCTGGCGCTCCCGGGACAGTCTCTGCTTCAAACACATTGCTACCTCCACCCGGTCCCAGTTTCCAACAACCATTGTCCGCCGCCACAGACTCTCAAGAACCTCCAACAAGCGCAGCTCCTCAAAACGGTCGTGCCGAACGGCCACCTGGTCGGCTGATTACACCCGGAGACGAGGACGTCCCTTGGGGTCCGGACGTACAAAAGAAGTATGACGAGTTCTTGCATGACGAGAGAGTATACGTAACGGAGGGCCTCTGGGATCGTTTTCCTGCTGGATCACGCCTGTTTGTAGGTGAGTATTTTACTCGTTGAGCGATGTTGCTGCGTTTCGTCGCCTTGTCTCACTCTTGTTATCTTGAACTCCAGGTAATCTTCCGACGGAGAGGGTCACAAAACGCGACTTGTTCCATATCTTTCATCAATATGGCAAATTAGCCCAAATCTCGATCAAGCAGGCATATGGTTTCATCCAATTTGTCGACGCTTCGGCCTGCAAGCATGCGCTTGATTGCGAACAAGGGGCTGTGATCAGGGGCCGGAAAATTCGTAAGTGGCTGCTCTCAACCGGGTCAGCGGGAGATCATCGGCCTGGACTGACTCTGTCATCGCAGATCTCGAGATCTCCAAACCGCAGAGGAATACTAGAGCAGGCCCTGCGCCCCCTGCGCCCCGCCGCTCCCGATCACCAGAATACAGCAGAGGCGGTCCACCCAGCAGCCGTAACCCAAGGGGCCCCGGTGATCGTTATGAACGACCGTATGATTCGGGTAGAGTTCCGTTCAGCGACTTCCGAGATGAGCCAACTCATCGCAGACGTGATGACTATCGACCACCTCCGCGATCGCCATCCCCTCGCCCGTTCCGGGCTCGAGATGAATACAGGTCGCGAGACAGAACTCCCGAACGATATGATCGGCGGGAGAGACGCCGTTCGCGATCGCCATATGGAAGAGATAGAAGATATCGGAGCCCCAGTCCTAGGGGTCGGAACGCATATGATGGTGATGCGGACTTGCCGGTCCCCAGGCGAGCTCCCAGAGATGTCCCGGAAGTGCAGATCCTTGTACTGGAGGAAGTTGACCGGTGAGTGATGCTGCAACAACCCAAACCTGGGTGTTGAAAATCAATTCTGACCCAAACCTCACAGTAACTTCATCTTCCATGTGGAAAACTCCTTCCGCAATCGCGGCCTTCGAGTGGATGTCTTGGTCCTGGGTCCTCGAATTCCATTGAACGCTGCAGTCCAACGACAGATCAACGAAGGAGTTCTAGCTGTGGTTAGACTATCTCGTCCGAATCAATTTTCGAGGAAGATTCCGTTGCAGTTATTCGATCGCAGTGGTGGAGCAGACAATGTTCGTTTCAATGGTGAGTTCCCGCATGACCTATGTTTTCAGCCGATCAAGTCCCAATTTACTGATGGCGGTTATGTGCAGAATATCCCGAAGTCGAGCCCAACATTGCCGCAGAAATTGTGTTTCATGCGCAAGCGATGCAACGTGGTGCTCCTCCGGTCCCAAATCCTTTCCCTGCCAACCCAGCGTTTGCTGTGCCAACCCTTCCGGCCGCGCCAATTCCCCAGGCACCGTTGCCAACACTACCCAACTCTAACGTTGCGAATATGATCTCATCCCTTGATGGGCCTACTCTCCAGTCTCTCTTGTCGGCACTCCAACAGCGACCACCATTGCATGCTCCAGCTGCGCAGCCGTCCTTTCCAGCGGCCAATGTCCCTCCGACTGCTGCTGATCTCGCAAGTCTCCTGAGCGGCGTGGCTCGGCAGCCCATGGCCACAAATCCCCCGCCGCATCTGCCTTCGCAGGCATATCTGGTCCCAGCCTCCAACGCTCCAGTGGTACCAGATCCCAATCTGATCTCACTGTTGACCAAGGGCCTGGGAGGACATCAGCACTCGCAGCAGCAGAACCCGGCGGCCATGGCCCCTCAAGTTCAGAACATCATGAATCAGCTGAGCAAATGGAAGCAATGATCGACGGTTTCTCAAATTTCTGTATATTTCACATTGTCAATTTCCCCCTTTTTCCCCCTTCCCTCTGCTATGCCTTCTTTGAGTATCGGATTACCAAGGCGTCTGGAGTTTATCATTGGCTTATTGAATGCTATGGTGATAAGTTCTAGGACGAATCTAGCGACGGTTCACGATTCTTATGGCCAGTTGTTTTTTCAAAGTTTTCCATTGTTCAACAAGACATTGCGACGGGCGTGCAGGGTTCAATTGTTTCCAGGTATCACGGATTAGATTTTCTGGAGAAAATGGCTTTTGTACCTACATTATGATTCTTCTGTGGTTCTCTCTTATACCTAATCTAATTGCGACGCAATCAACAAATCCATCACCATCAGTATCAAAATAGGCAAAGCAGAGATGCTCCAGATCTTAGAAATCTCGTAGGGTGTAACTTCCAAGCTAAATATACAGATTATCCAACGTCTCGCGAGACATCATCATGAGAGGCGATATAGAGCGATATAGTACAATCATAACCATTCCTTTTCTTCCTTTCCTTCTATTCTCACTTCCATCCCCCCTCAGCTATCTCACCGAGGCGTCCAACCCTGTGACTTGAGATCCGCAACCTTGGCCGCATCTTCCTTCTTGATGCGCTCGATCGTCTTGTCGCGGTTATATTCCATCACCCGCTTCTCCTTGAAGTATTTCACCTGTTCAGATATCACACCATCAGCATTGATACGACCTTGGCAAACCCGCCAACATAAGAAGCCCAGAGGAAGAAACGGGTATTGCTCATACCCAAGCCTTCGCGCACGCCCCCTCAAATTCCGCCAACTCCTTCCCGCATTTCCGTCGCACCTCCTTGTCCTCCTTGATCGAGTCGACGATCTCGTTTTTGTCCAGGCAGGCGAAGAAATTGTCGCGGCCTTCCCAGCACTTTTCGCGCGAGGTCCGATCTGGGGCGATGCGGCCGCCGTCGGAGGCTTTGGGGGTGGTGCTGTCGGAGGACCAGGGGAGCCAGCCCATTTTTGACTTTATATGTGTGGAGATGGGATAGGTGGATTGTAGTGGTACGGAGAGGATAGGCGAGGAGAAAACTTGTGCAAGTAGGTAAATAGTTGAATGATAGATATTTGCATCTATTTACTTACGTGCAGTCTGCGGACAGTTCGGTGACAGTTCCGCTGGGATTCCCGCAATTCGTGGCTCCTCGTGGCTGGTCGCTGTGGCTGGTCGCTGTGGCGCTAAGATGTCATTATCTGCCGGACAGCTTCAGGTGATCGACTCTCCGGCATTCATCTTGATATTTTCTACGGTAGGGTGTGCGACGTTTGAGAGAAGAGATAAAGCGAGAATACGATTTAAGGGAATTATTCGAGATTGGATCTACAACCCTTCTTTACTCGGACTGTCTTGTTCAAACAAGGTCCAGCCGTCCGACTCGATCGCCCAGGCGCAATCATCAACAAGATCACACCGTAAATAGATACGAAGACAACTAGTTCATGCCCCCGCGCAGACGGGCCCCTCCTGCGGGGACTCGAACAGAGCTCCCGCCGCTGAAGATCGTGCGCAAGATCTTTCTCTTGCAAACTGCCTACTATGCCTCCGCTACGGCATTGATTTTGTTCACGACCCTGGTCTACGGAACGGGGTTCTCGCTCGATCTGGTCTTCAGCTGGGATGCCTTGAGAGGCGACACGACAATCGGATGGATGTTGGGGCTGGTATGGATGTTGAATAGTTTCCTTGGGTACGGTCTCCCTCTTTTCTTTTTCCTTGTGTCCTACAAGACGTTTAGCTAACCCGGCTCGACTCTCAGTGTCATTTCCCTGCTTCTCCTCGTCTCCCGCTCCAAACTCATCCCCGACTTCGCCCTAACCATCCACTTCATCCATCTCCTCGCAACATCCTTCTACACCCACTCGATACCCCGCAACTTGCTCTGGTGGGGGCTACAGTGCGCCAGCGCCGCCCTCATGACCTTTCTGGGCATCTGGGCCTGCCAATGGCGCGAGCTCCGCCCCATCACCTTTGGCATAGCAGGCGGTAGGAGCACCGCATCGTCCTCGGCACCACCCCAACCCCAGGCCGAGGAAGCAGAGGCGTTCCTCCCGTCGTCGTCACGTGGCCGAGGCCGAGGGCGTAATATGGGCGAAGGTAGCGGTGAGTACGAAATGGCGGATATGAAGAGTGTTGAGCGGGTCGTATAATACCCGCCGCATGGTCTGGCGATGTTCCTTTTTTCTATAAATTTTTCTTTGTTACGGTTTCGCGACAGTGGATACGATCGCGATGGTCGCGTACAAATGGTTTCCTTTTTCCCTTCGGCATGCAGTCTTGTATACCCTAGTTGACTGGCTCGTGTATAGATGGCGTTGAGAGTGCTTCTTGTGGATTTTCTGTGGAGGAGAAGGATGGGGGTTCCATATATCAGGATTTGGCACAGCGCTATGCTTAACCAATATGTGCAGGCACATATTTTTACTATCCTCTACGATCGAATCTACTATCTACGTTTTCTACAACGCAGACATACAGACACATAGACATATCAAATGAGTACGCAAAAAGAAGCTTAGACCCGAAGATAACGCCGATTGATCAGCATCAGGCGTCAAGCCGAGAAGACGAAACACTGCCAATCAATCAGCCCTCTATAACACATACAGCCTTTCTTAGTCGGACAGTAGTCCGCTTGATATATAATCGCATGGGTCTTTGACGACATCATTTGAACTCTGCGCCTTCCCTTCGACAAGTTGATCTGGCCATTCAGCGGGGGGATGTCCGGAGTTTGGCCCGATGACTCCGCTGTTGGTTGATACTTGATAAGACGATTTGTACAAATAAGGGGCGAATTCCCTCTAGATGAGGGATAACTCTGGTTTTTCGTGCTGTTGTCTACTACTTCTATCTAAGATCACATCTTTCTCTATCTCCTGTTCTATCATCTACGCAATTGATCAAAATGTCAACGACCACAGTCATTGAGACTGTGAGACAGTTCACCTCCTCAACCCTCCTTGCCGCTGCAGAGAATACAATTACTCCTGCTGCAGCGGATGAAAAGTTCCAGGCCATCGCTCGGGGTAACCGGGAGGGCACGCTCAAGTTGCAAGGCATCCCGACCTTCGAGGACCCCCATGCGCAGCGCAAATGGATGAAGGAGCACATGGCAGCTGCGTTTCGATTCTTCGGCAAGCAGGGCTATGGAGAGGGAGTCTCGGGCCATATCTCGATGAGAGGTGGGACGAACCATTCTGACAAAACCCAAATGGGGTAGAGACGTAGCATGCTAATCGTTTCTTCCTGCAGATCCTATCCTCGAGGATCATTTTTGGATGAACCCGTTCGCTAAGCACTTCTCCACCATCAAAGCCTCGGATCTTGTCTTGGTCGACAGCGAGGGCTATGTCACAGACGGTGGGGCCCAGCTTCCCATCAACGAGGCGGGGTTCATGATTCATTCTGGGATCCACAAGGCGCGTCCGGATGTCATTGCTGCTGCCCATACCCATGGGATTTACGGGAAGACGTGGAGTGCATTTGGACGGCCCATAGAGATGCTTTCCCAGGGTAGGTGCCAATTTTTCTCAAGACGGCAATCCAACACTGTAGCTGAGCTGACGGATGCTGTAGATGCCTGTAACTTCTATGGGAAGCTGAGCGTGTACGATGACCACGGCGGCATTGCTCTGGCGCAGGAAGAGGGCGCGCAGATTGCGAAGGCCCTTGGCGAGAACAATATCGCCTGTATTCTGCAGAACCACGGGTGAGAATCGTCGTTTAACATGTGTTATGATCCATTGCGTCAAGCTGACTGTCCCCTAGATTGTTGACTGTAGGCCGCACAGTCGATGAAGCAGCGTTTCTGTTCTTCAGTCTGGATAATGCGTGTCATTCCCAGTTGATGGCCAACGCAGCGGCAGCAAATGGAGTTTCTAAGAAGATCATCAGCGACGAGGTGGCGCAGTATACTGCCGACGCGGTTCAAAACCCCGTATGTCTTCCTTTGTGGTATCAAAGAGCGCAAAACTAATCAGTGACAGCATAATTTCTACACGGAATTTCAGCCTGAGTTTGAGCTGATAGTGGAGGAGACCAATGGCCGGGTTCTTCAGTGAGAGTCCTGACGAGATGATTGTTCTGGATATAGCCACAGGAGAATTTTCAAGTAAGCTAAAATCAGTTTCGGACAGCCATAGACTAGCAGGCTGCACGCCAGTATTTCCCCAAGTTCATCATAGTCAAGATTTCGAGGAATAGTTAACTGTCTGAGGTTGTGAAGTAGAAGGATATATGTATGACTAAGCATAAACACGTGACGCCACATGGCTCGAACATCAACGGCTTCAAGATCGAATGGAAGATCAATCTATTATCCTACAGCCACTGATCGAAATTATTGTCGCTCCTTACCCTTGGTACATCTGCTCGTATATAGAATGCTTCTCTCTTTAGGAGAGCATATTGACCGCTTTCGTGGTTGACTTAATTGTATCAAATCTCCAACACATCTTCATCCATCTCCTTTCTTGCTTGATACCCCATCTTGTGTTGACTTCATCCTCTTCAACCAATCTTCTCGATTCTTTACAATTCGAAGGCCCCGGTTTGCCTGTGATCAAGATGGCAGAGGATGAGCCCTCATACATAGACTATGAAGCCTTTTTAGATCCGGACTTCTCGCCTGCGTCTTTCGCCAACTCTTTGGTGCTGGCAACAAACAATGCCACGGATACACCACTGGATCTATCCACCCCTTTATCAAGGGTGCTGTTTGATCTCCAGGAAATTGATACTCACATCCACAATGTGACGACCAAGTCGGCTCTGCCTTTGCTCACGCACACCCGGGATCAAACCGCTGCTGCAGAGCGGATTCTCAAGGAGACCGAGCAGCAGATCTCTTCTGTAACGAAAGGTTATGAGCGATTGGAGCAAGAGGTTCTGCGAAAATGGGAGAATGCAGACGAGGCCAGAGTGGCAGCAGAAAATTCTCTGGCGACGGTGCGATTGGCAAGAGCCGTCGCACGTTGTCTTGCTCTAGGCCGACAACTGGAGGGCCAACTTGCCGAGGTGACCGGTCGCAACGGTACTGCGACGGCTGCCACACAGGGATTGGATAATGCAGGCTCTCCTATCCCTGGTAGAGAGGATTATCGAGCATTGGAGAGGGCGGCATCTACCATTGTGAATCTGCGTCGGATGTTCTCCGCCACAGCGGCGGGGGAAGAGGGTTATGGGCTAGATCGTGTCAGAGTCATTCGGACTTTGAGGGGTGAGTTGGTTATCCCGGCGGAGAACATGATCAAGGCGCGCGCGCAGCAGACCATCAATCGCTTCTCCATGTCATCCATCGCGGCAGGCTCCCATTCTCAGGCGGGTTATCGCCAGGCCCGAGACGCGCGAGCCCGGTTGGTATCCGCTGTCATCACTTTGTACATTCTATCACCAGTACCCAAGTCCCTGAGCTCTCCAGCTGAGTTCAATCCCGAGCTCTTGCTTTCCACCTTGCAAGGATATATGCACACGGCCATCGTCACATCTCTCAACAGCCTTTCTCGGTCACTCTCAATGCTTCCGAGTCTGGAGCGGACGTTGAATGAGCTCTCGGGAAGATGCCAAGATATCTTCGCTCTGGAGGCCATCCTCAGCAATCTCCGCCCACCAGCGCACCCATTGCTTCCCGTCTTAGGACCTAGCACCAACAACGGTAGCATGCAGGACCGAGCATCCGAAATCACCTCGAAGAATAACCTTCTGCAGCCCTTACTTAACGCCCTTGACACTTCTTCCCTCCCGTCTTATTTTTGGCGATCGTTAGCTTCATCCCTGGCGCCTCGGGTACAGGAGATCCTCAATCGGGGCGGTGTCTCAGCACGAACGTTACGTTCAAACCGAGACCGGCTAAAGAGAGATATTAGAGAGTGTGTTCTGCGAGGCTCCCATCTCCCTGCGGCGACCTCGGTGACGGAGAAGCGGACCGGAGCCGAGGCTGGGAACTGGGAGAGAGAAGCAGCAGTGATGGTTGGTTCTGTCATGAACGCACTGGACAGATAGTTACATACGGTGTTCTCCGTACTGGGTGACATTTTCACATCACAGTTATTGAATCCTACCATGGCATTATCACGCTAGATCAGTGCCCAGCAACCCCCTGTGCGTTTGGAACTAGCAGCGACTTGGCGGATGTACCATTCAGCCTTGATGCGTCCGAAACCTGGCCTGGCTGGTCTCTGCCCCCTAGTACATTAATTGATTACGCGAGAGCTTGGAGAACTCTCCAGTCTTCAGTCATGGCCGTACTATGGGGATAGATTATTATGTCCTTAGGGCTAATCATTTAGCGCTGGTTTGCTTCGCGACTTTCATCAAGACTCCAGCATCCTCGTTCTTTTTCGGATTTGGCCTCTTCCGTCTCTATCCTTACCCACAGCAAATTCATCAATCAAGTTCCCAGGGATTGAAGAAAACCCATTAGAATGCATTCCAACATCATCATCTCCTCTCTACTCTCTCTACCCATGGTCTCCGCGGCTATCTTCCACTGAGCGGATCAAGATCCAGTCGCCTGATACCTTCAAGAAATGTGCACCCCAATCCTTTCCAAGGATTTTGGACTCGCTGAAAATCCCGTCCTCGCTCTTGGGGACTAGCCATTTACATTCGAGGCTACTGCTAGCTCAATGACTCGTCAGAGCTCCTCAGAGGTCCACTACCTCGGGGAGCAGCAATGTTTCTGCAACGGCGCCTTCCAGGACGTTGATGCCGGCTTCGAATGGTGCTGTAGCTGGCATGAAGGTACAGCTTGGAAGCCTTGTGCCCATGGCGCTGGGTTTAGCTGTGGTTTTGTAATTCTACCCTGGGATGCCGTGTGTGTTCCCCCAATACCATTGCATATGCAATACGAGAAATGAGAGCTATGACCGAATGTCAAGTACTGAAAATAGTAAATATATATAGATGTCTCAACTATCTGGTTGCACTAGGCGAGGAATCGCTTTGTACATATCTTTATTCATTGCTACGATAATAGGTACTTCTACCATTCATTCGATGCCATCTAATTCCAAAGTTCCCCCAAACGTCAACGAAATACCTCTGTTGTAACTAGAGAAGTATAGGTAGTCTCAGTCCCTTCAACACTCTCACCTTTCAACCCACTGCTGACTCACAACACTCAGACAGAGTCCGCACGTCAGACCATCTTACGGACAAAGAGAATGAATGGTGTTCGGCCGGCGAGACTCGGCTATCTCCGGCCTCTTGTGCTGCACCGCTGACTGGCCCGTTTCCACGTATCAATGCACAACATCCAACGAATGCCTTACAGGTAAGCAGTTGCGATTCGAACCTAGATGTATATCCCATGTGTATCTGCATTCTGACTGGAGTGAAGATAGCTGAATGGCAGGGTAAGAATTGAGGCTCTGGCTCTGGCTCTGGCTTCTGCCCCGGGAGGATGCTAGACTTCATATATTATTCATTATACGTTGAGAGAAAAAATGGCTTGGTTCATGATACTTGGTACTAGTACTAGGTACCTTAGGTATTTATTATCGCGAGCTTGACCGCTGAAGAGGCGAATCGCAACCGTGCCTTCTGACTAGATAGTGAGAGTAAGTGGATGGGGTTCGCCGAGGAGGGGTTGATGCTAGCTATGGAGCCGATAAGACAGATAGAGCAGAGATACGCATGTACACATGCAGGAGGATGCGGGATGTCTGCGAATATCGATTCAAGGGATTATTTATAGAAGGGTTTTACGGTAAGCAGGTACCTTCACAAGAAGTACATCTCGCCATGTTCTGCGGCCTCGTACCTACAGCACAATACATACCCCGCTTTTGAAGTTGTACGCCGGGGACAAGAAACATAAACGTTACGGCTAGGTTTCGAGATAGAGAGATCGGGAAATACTCCGTCGGACTGATTTGCCCTATGGCTCCCTTGATGATGTTCATCAGTGACGATTGTACGCCCGACCCCGAATACCGCTATGATTCAGGAGGAGGGGCAAATTCTAGGTAGCTCCGCGCTGCTCCAATTCCAGACCCCCCCCCTCACTCACATCGACCAGCTGAGCAGGAAGAACAACAACTTCCATGCGTTTCACCGAGAAGGCTGATCAATCAGAGCATTGCCCGTCAACCCCATACTTTCTCAACGAAAGCATGCGCGTCAGCTAGGGCTAGGGATATGGGCAGTTTCAGCCAGTGCCACGTCGATCGAAACCGCTCCTCCACCCCTCCTCCCACTCCGGAACCTGGAACGGCCGCCACCAACGTGTCGTGTCGAGTGAGTGTGTCCGGAAATCAGGATGCAGAGGCAATTTCCAGAGAGAGTTAGTCAAGGGTGCAGGGAAGAGGTAAGGTACAGATACCTCTACGATCGGATCCTTTGTCAGACCAATTGGAGAGGAGGGTTGTGGGAGGTTGCAGGGGGGGAGGCTAATAATGCGCAGTTCTGTGTAAGAAGTGGGTAGTGTAGATAGGCTGTAGATAGAGAGAATCAAAGATAGTGGGGGAGAGCAGCTCGCTGTCTGGTCACTGATGGTTGAAGCACATCATCGATCTACCTGTGGCGTTAAGACTTGAGTTTAGTTAGTGTAGGCCCGTTTCCTCCTCCCCTCACCCAATCTTCAGAAAAGTCAATACGTACCGTACGTACCTTGAGGGATCTATCTAACCAGCAAAAGATGTCAATCCGATGTCAATATCTCCCCCAGGAGACTTTCCTGGAGATCTGGGATGCCGTTTGCAGATCTGGTCGTTCACTGTCCCTTGCCCCTAACGCCCTGGGGACCTTCTGACATCAACAGACTGCAACAATGGGCATTAGTCTTTCTCGTTGGACCCCTTGAAGCTTCGAGGCCCTTTGTCTAGAATCTCCCTTGTCCAGCCTCTTTGCTATATTCAGCCGTGCGGTCCACGGTCTCGAGGCAGTTCGTTCCAACCGACATGGACCAGGGAGGGCGAGAGGTAGATGTACAGGAACAAGCTTTCCACAATGGTCCGTTCATCCCCACATGATGTGGTGTAGTCGAGAGAAGGGGTCATGATCTGGATGTGATTGGAGGTCAACCTGATAATCCCTTTCGAGGTGTTGGCTGAGAGCTTCAAAATCATCATGACCCTGTCCTTCTATCATGGTTGCTGCAGTCATCAAGAGATTACACTCGGCAGGGATACAGGCTGTCTTCCTGTGTGATTATTCCAGGATGACAGCCGGAGGATTTCCACGTCTGGAGACTCTGATCAGGCCGAACCGCTTACTTCATATACGTACGCTGTTGCCCATTGCCTAGTGACAGTGGTGGGCAGATATCACGCTGTACTTCTGTACCCTTCCCATACCACCACCATACGTTTCCCCTTGCATTGACTGAACCAACAACATGCGACAGGTCAGAAAATCCCAGGCCACGTCCACATTTCTACAGGTATTATGCTCAGGGTTTCTCTGAACCTACCGGAACTGTTCGTACCAGAAATCCAGCTGATGAACGTCAACGAGTCCGATGGTCCGGTCGGCGGTATTGCCAGTCCATGGCCTCCAGGAAAGTGTAAGTCTTCCGCAATACCTTTTTCTTTTTCCCTTTTTTGTATGGGTTCACATTCCAGGTGCTTTCCTGCGCAGATATACATGACCCAGTAAGTGCCTGGACGTACGGGATACAGTGATCGGTGGAAAACTCAGCCGATCAGGCCTGCGCGTTTGGACAGCCGAAGTACCTGGCGCCCGTCCGGAGTGGTCTCCATAATCCATCTTGAAAGGAGAGAAGCGAGACCCTCGAGCCGCCATCCATGGTACCATGTCGGATAGACCTGGTTCGAGACTGGACCAGCGGAGAGTCTGTGATCAGCTAACTAGCCGAATTTTACACAGTAGGTAGATAGACATATTGCATCTGGTTCTAGTGTTCTACATAGGTACTTACTACTTAGCCTGCAGTTACTTAACTAGGTAGGGTGCTAGAGTTAAGGTCATGATCCAGAACACGGGCCTTTTTTTTCAGCCACTGCATTCTCTTCTGTGACTGGTCTCGAATCATAATATCTAGATGATTATAAATAATAGTGAGTGGCCAGTTGATACTTGACCAGGTTATGATGTTCAACAGGGGCGTGTCTGGTTCTAAACCTCTAAGCGCCTTGTTCCTGATGGGGCCCCATATCCGAGACATACCGGGCTGACCAAGTTGACCAACAGCGCGTAGTAGAGAGTACTGTTAGTGACCTTTGTACTGCCTGGTTCTTGATCATTACATCTTGATGGGGTAATAACCTAATGATAGTGATGTGAGCCCATGCACAGTACTTATCTTTCGTCGAGTTTGTTGTTGATGATATCTGTTGTCGAGTGCATCAAATACATCAGATATAAATATCTCTCCTGCATAGGTACACTACTGGAATTGCTGCAGCACTGACTAAAATAGTACTTTGCAGTACTTGCACACTTTCAACATATCCGTGGTTGCTCAGTGCTCACTCATATACAGATTACGGATACAGAAGAGGCAAATTCCATGAGAGATAATCCCTAGTCTACTTCGTTAAATAGGATGGAAGTACTTCCCCTACTTGCACCCCACCTGCAAATTCGCCATCGTAGACCCAGTCGATGATTCGTCTTGTTGGTCCGGAACCAAGAGTTCATTCAGTTCCTGGGGCTAAAGTTTCGTCGTTAGTCTGTCCTCCGATCACCGTATCATCTTCCCACCTATTCGAATAATAGGTAGTTGGTACGAGGTAGTGAACCTAATAATACGCGTCGATTCGGAGAGGCGGTTGGTCCACCTTACTGGTAAATGTATGTACACAGTACAACCTAGCGGAATACCTGCCTGGGCTGAGATGTCAAGTCATATGAGGTTTTGTAGTAGTGTAAACTGTAAACTGAACTACTTCTTGGAAGTATTACCTAGCCTTAACTACTAGGTATGATGATGATGATGATGATGATGATGATGAACAACATGATGATGATGATTACAGTAGTCTAGGTAACTATCAGTAACTTACAGTATTATTATTAGCTTTGTCCCTGCTTGTCTAAGGTGGTGACTAGTCACTAGTCAGAGTGTCTAGTGCTCTGGCTTATGGGTGAATCAACCCCAGGGTACCTGGATTATCATTACTCTTAAATCATGATTATTAGGTAGGTATTCTCTCTTCCCTGGTATTAATTCCTGATGTATTAGGTATTCTTCCATTGGTATTTCCAGAGCTCCTCCAGGTTTCAAGTGGGTTCATCCTCTCAGTCTATCCTCTCTCTCTCTCTCTCTCTCTCTCCCCCCCAATATCCAGGATTCTTTGACTCTTGGACTCTTTGGATCCTCTACTTTAAGACAGTAGGTAGTGACAACAAAGATTTAGACCCTAGATACCCTACTACTAGTCCCTCTGGTCTACCCCTCGTCCCCTCGCTCGGCCGCTATCCCGCCCCGACCGTTGTTTCCGATAAGCCTCCATCCTGACGACGGATAATCCTGTATCGTCGTCACCATTTCTGTGTCTCTTCTGGACTCTTGGAATTCTGGATCTGGAACTTCGGGGAGGTGTGGGACTCTGGACTATCAATTACTGACTGACTGACTTCTGTTCAACTTAATAATAATAATAATAATAATAACTTACCTACCTACCTACCCACGACTACACACTCCACTGGACTTGCCGTCATTCAGACATCCTGTTGCAACTTGAACAGATTCCCTGACAGATCGTTCTTCCACTTCCGATCGCTTCCTCTGCCTTTGACTTGTCGCATCCTGGTCTAGTCCTAGCTAGTACTTGACTTTTGACTCCGCTGGCTTTGAACCATCCATTTTCCCCCTGCAGTCTCGGCCCTCGAATAACAACAATAATAATAATCATCATCCATCATCCACCTTCCATCGGCGTCTTCTATTCTTCTATTCTTCTTCTTCATCATCTTCCGTCTTCTTTTCTTTTTCTTTTCTTCATCGATCTTCGTTCCCTTCCCGTGCCTGCCTTTTGTCCCCCTTTTCTTTTCTTATTCCTCATACCTCACTTCTCCTCTCAACTCTCTCCTCTTCCCAGTCATCGCGGCTCAACAAACGTCCCTGTACTCTACGTAGGTACCTAAGGTACAATCAGCCGCTTACTGCATCGTCGCCTCTCTACTCTTCCTCTGCTTCTTCACACCCTCGCTATTCAACATTAATACCTACCTAATCCACTTATCTCTATCTATCGTCTTTTTCTTTTTTTTCTTTTGGCGGGGAACTTACCAATAACCATCTGGTTCGATCGTTCCTTACGTTCGGTGGATATTACGAGCGAGGAATCCGATCCATTCATTCATCCTTCTTCTGGATCACTTTTCGTCGGTTTTCCGAGCTGTCTCAAGTTCCTAAAACCCACAATCACAAACCAAACAACAAGCGGTCCAACTCTGGGAGGTTGATCGATCGAGTCCACCATAAACTTCCCTGAGCTCCTTGCACAACTTCCCCTTTCTTCTCTCGGTTCCATCAACTCTCTCAGCTCTCCCCCCTCCCTCTTGCTCTCTCTCTCTCTCTCTCTCTCTCTTTCTTTCTCGCCTCTCCCTCTCTCCCTCTCATCCCTCGGTGTCAGCTTATCATCCTACACCCTCCCGTGTCTCAGGTCCCATCCTCGAGAGATGCTACCATTCAACTAATGACTGCTCTCCTTCGCCTTCCACGTCCAAACTCTCGTCCCTTGCTTCCCTCAGCCTCGTCAGGCACCCGATAAACACTCATCTTCAACACATTCCTATCACATTCCTGGCCTCCTTCGATCTGGTTTGATAAATAATTAGTATGTAGCAGATATCGTCCCATCAGTCTTCTTCCCTTTCTTTCTCTTGTGAAAGACCTTGAAGTTCTACCCCTCTTGGGTTCTCCTCTTGAGTTCCCCGCCTTAGTGCGATCAATATGCTGACCTTTGCGTGCGCAATCTTGTTTAGTCACCAGAGACGCCTTATTGAAACCACACAACCTTCTCTTGTTATTCGTGGATAAGTGTTCAACACAGTTGTCGCTGGGGTTTTCCAGGTCGCGAGCCACCGAAAAACAAAATCGTTCTTTACCTTTTCCCAAGTCACTATGACTTCCTTTCTACCGGTCAACAATTCATCGTCGCCGCAAACCCGCATGATGGAGGAGGCGACAACACCAGCAACACCCCGACCATACGCCAACAACGTGTCAGCGGCGGAAGACACCACCCCACACACGATGAGCGCTGCTTCGGAAGATAGTACCCCCCGGAATGTGCAACACACCCAGAACGACTCGACAACTCGGACAAGAACCGCGTCAGGGCATAACGGGACGTCACATGGCGATTCGGATGCGGAACGGGACGGCTCTGATCACGAGACGGAACCTGGAGGCAACGCTCCTCCTTCGAAGAAGAAGAAAGGCCAACGGTTCTATTGCACCGATTTCCCCCCATGCAATCTGAGTTTTACGAGGAGCGAGCATTTAGCCAGACATATCCGGAAACATACCGGAGAGCGCCCGTTTCAATGTCACTGTTCGAGGCGGTTTTCACGACTCGACAACCTGCGTCAACATGCGCAGACCGTCCATGTCAACGAGGAGATACCTGGGGATTCGCTGGCGGCCACGGGAACCCGGTTTCAGCGCCAGATTCGCACCGATCGAGTTCGCCCTCAAGGTCGAGCCAGAGCAGGCACCGGAGGTAGCCAGGGTACGCACAGTCGCGGTCATAGTCGAAACTTGTCAACATCAAGTATCGCATCGACCACGTCAACGTACAGCCAGCCGCCGGATTTTCGCCGACGGCCCCCGCCTTTGATCATGGCCAACGATGGCAGCGCGAGAGCTCGACTCTCGCTGGATACGATGGGGGATATGCCCACGACGCCACCGGGCCAAGGGCGCGGCATGCCGGGCCCCGCTATCGCGGGCGGATCTCCATACACACCGTCTCATTTCTTTGCAGCCGGGGGGAATGGAAGCCCTCACATGGCGTCTGCCGTGCCTGCTGCGCCACACATGTCGGGTTTCTGGGATGGAAAGACTGCAGCCCGACGTCTCTCGGTACCCACCGGGGCCAACCCTTTCATCACACAGCAACCGAACAACTACCCTCCCAGTATCGTCACTACCGCGACTCCCACCACCGCAGCATATCCTCCACCGGGCGGGGTCTTCGCAAGCCCGGCAAGCTCCACCCGCTCTTTCTCGAGAGATGAGGCGGCATACAGTACTGCTGATGCAGATCTACGGAGACGGACCTGGCATCCCTCGACCTACTCCGCACTTCCCCGACCTGGTACTAGTGGCTTATCACACTACCAGACCCCCGACACTGTTCCAGCACCAATTAGCTCAAGCGGTTCAACGGAGCAGCATACCCGGCTGCCGGGCATCGAAAGCTTTGATAAAGTTGTATCACACCAGAGACCTCTAACCCCTCCTGTTCGGAGGCCGAGTCCCATGCAGATTGATAACCACGGCAAGCCATCCCCGAGTTATACTCTTGGAGGGGGTTTCAACTATGCCGCACCCACGAACCGACCAGCTCCTCCGATTTCTGGCCCAGGTCATCGGCGCGGCCATGTCTCCTGGGACATGTCACTCCATACCAATCTCACCGGGTTACACATCAGGGATAAACCCCAACCCCGAGACGCCTCGCACTGGAGCCAGCAGACGATTGCGGAGATACAGAATGTGTCGTCACGTCCCTCTTCGTCATACCAGCAACAAGTCCAGGAATCGCGAGGGATCACTGGACATTCGGCCTATGACAAAATGCCGGGTTGGTATGGAAGTAACACCTCGGGGTCGCAGGCGACACGAACGTCGCCTGAAGATTCCAGCAGCAGCGAGGGTGTCCACACTCCCTCCACGGCATCGCTGGAGTATCACCCTGCAATCGTGCACAACAACGGCTATATCGAGTCCCACCAGCCCTCCATAGCCTCCGATACGTCTCATTCAGTACGCCCCCCGCTACCTGGACCCTCGATGACCGGCCAGAATCGCTAATGTACACTGCAGGCTTGCCCCCCACTTTCACATCTGTCGGACGGCTATCCGCATCATGTGAAAGCAGATCCGCGACCGGATCTTTTCCACAATTCTGCCGCGCGGGAGTCTGGGATGGGCAGACTTGAGGCGCTTGTCGCCGTCGCCACGAGCGAAAATAAACCTACGGCAAACCTATATGTATAAAGACCTTTTCCCCAAGATGCTATTTCACCACGCATTTTGCCCCTTGGCCGGTTGGGGAATTCGGGAGTGATCATCACTACTGATGGTTGATATTTCGGCCATGCGCCATATTAAGCTCGACTCCATTGTTCCTCTCCGACCTCCCCCCTTTCCCTCTCTTTCCTAGGGCCCTTAATCCGGTTCCATTTCTATACTATTTCGAATTTTGCGAGGCCCATACTCCCGTGTGGAAACCGGGGAGCGTTTATGAAGTAATGACTGATGATTTGATGCATGGGGTTTCCACTCTAAATTTGACTATCATGGGGGTCTGCGTTCTGCAAAGCGCAAGATCTCGTTCGGGTGTTTTCTTCAATCTGTGATTACGGTGGCCTTTTATTTGCCTTGGTTGCATGTTCTGGCGTTCTGCTTGAGGGATTGTGTTCTGCATGGCATGGAGATACCCTCGGCCTCAAATCTCGGATATAGCTACTCTAACAGCGTGAATTTCCTACTTGGGTCGTGGTGTGGCTTCAACAGGTGATTGTTCGGTTTTCATGCATTTGTCGGGCAATGACCTATATATACGGTGAACTTGATCCATTGCACTCTTGCCATATGATTCAAACTCTTGTCTTACTATAGCAATAACAATAGCAGCGGGTGATACATCATAATCGATCGATTAGATAGAGATCTTGCATACCAACTAGTCTTGACTTGTCTTGGACTGTTCGCTCGTCCTGAGTTACTTACAGTACATAAACAGCGCACACAATGAGCTCACTGGGATATGACGCTGAAACCCCACATAGTACCCTCTGCCTCGAAGCAAACAGGTACAGCAGTAGACTAGATAGACTAGACTACATGCCAATACATTTAGTATCGCGGATGATATTGATAGTGGAAGTCTGGGCTTCGGCGATGATTATCAGGTGACGTCGATGGCAAGCAATGGCTTCCGCTCTCCCCAGAGTGTAAGTTCTTCGGAAGTATACCTCCAAACTATCGAGCTCAACCCTTCTTTATCCAAACATGCGTATACGTTTGAGGAAATAATATGGCACTTGTAATTCTCAAGCGATTGGGAAAAAAAAAAAAAAAAAAAAAAAAAAGAAAGAAATTGCCTTGGATATTACGAATTGGAAAAAGAAACAGATACTCAGTACTGCGGCCGGAGCACAGGATTAAGTTACAACAGAATCAATCTCCCTGTCAACAACGTCATAGCCAGCCCTGTGACCAAGGCGACCCTTCCGGCCTTGGTTTCTCCCAGAGCTTCGTAGAAACTCATATTTAAGAGCTTCTTCTTTCCCTTTTCCTTTCCACTGCTGTTCCTCAGATAATCGCACACCATAACCTCTTACTACCACAACTACACATCCTCAATCTCTCCCCCCTCTCCACAACCAAGCAAACTCACACACATCAACCATGTCGAAGAGCCGTGCGCCCATGTATCTCGGCCTGGCTGCCGCCGGCGGCCTGGGTTACTACATGTACCGTGCCGGTGGTGATCCGCAGATTGCCAAGAAGAAAATGGAGAGTGAGTTTTTCTTCTTTTCTTCCTTTTCTCATCCGCGGTGGTTCCCTTTTGTCTGTTTGCGGGGGCTAACCGGTGACGATAGTCGATGCCCACCGGGCCAGTGCTAAGATCCCCCGTGGCTCGCAGGCCGAGCGTGTCGGCGAAAGTTTCGGCAAGGAGGCGTCGCAGCTTGATGAAGCGGTTAGTAACTATCACTCCTTCCTCTTCCATTTTTTTCTTTCTTGTGCTGGGATGGGCATGAGCATGGGGATGGGGAAAATGGAATGGCTAATAGATATCTATCTAGACCAGCAACGCCCGCACCAAGGGCAAGGCCGATGAGCGCATCCCTGAGATCGCGCAGGAGGGCCTCTATAAGATCGATCAGCTGCGTCATGAGGCGGCGACCAAGGTCCGTGCTGGGGTAGATGAGGTCGATAAGAAGGTCGATCAATTTGATCGCACGGTTGAGAAGAAGGCGGCGGAGGCCAAGGGGACGCTGTCTGGATGGTTTGGTTCGAAGTAAGCGATTAAGGCTTGCGGCCAGAGGCTTGAGGCTTGATGCCGCTTGGGATCGGTTTTCTTGAGTGAATGATTTTATGAAATGCTGGATGGGGTGGGTTGGGTGTATACTATCTAATGGATATCATTTTGTCGATTGTAATGCGAGGCGATGGCGATTGTGCTAATGAATCTCATGATTTCGACTTTAAACTTTGGTACACGGAGCATGCTGTAAAGTGTAGACTGTAAAGCGTAGGCCCGAAGAAAGCCTAGACTCTGGAGTAGACGTATTAGATGGATCCACGGCAAGATTGGAAGAAAAGAATCATCATGCTCTGAAGAATGTTGCATTCCATGTCGGTCCCTGGAGTGATGAAGCACTGCAACCAGACGGAAGTCGACCCATCATTTTTGATCCTCAAATATCGCTTCCATCTCAAATGAACACTGTTCACAGTTCACACTTATTGAGATGCAGTTCAAAAGATAAAGCGTAATACTCCAGATTAACATCGAGTATCACTTAGCGAGGATCAGTTTAGGGAGTACGGAGTAATATATCCTCATTTGGCCCCAGTCACGCCCACACGCGCCTCGACGCGTTCGCGCTCCACCAAGAAAAACTAGCCGGCGATCCACCCCCAAACTCTCCCTGAACCCTCCCCAGAGTACGCATTATACACAAATCAATTCACACCAGAGTAACTACCTTACCTTAGCTATTCTGCATATTCTATCTCACCTTCCTTATATCTACATATGCTCCTACCTTACGATCATATTCTTTAATTTCCAAGCCAAGGAAATCGCGATGCCGCGCACCTCCTCCAGACAAACCTGCCTGCCCCGGGGGCAGGTCGGCATCCAAAGCTTTGCAAGAGCGACCAAGTCTATCTCGACACTACACAATCCTGCAGTTGCAGAAACGAAGAAACTCGCAGCAACAGCAGCAGTAGCGGTAGTAACAGCACCAACCGCCCTCCCCGTCTCGCCTTCCAAGAAGAGAAAACTGAACGAGCTCGAGAATGTCGACTGCGGCCACCGGGGAAAGACACAATCCATTCCTGAGGAAAAGGAAACTGCCGCCACGCCCTCAAAGACCCTCCGGTTTAGTCAGCTGTGCGTCTCGACGCCGCGGAGTGGCCACTACGCCTCCTCGAAACCCGATCCTTCGTCCTCTGGTGTTGGCGTTGGTGCGCGCGAAAAACTTGTCCCTGCGTCCCCGACCAAGCGCGGTGGCGCGGCCGTGAGAAAAGCAAAACGATGCAGCGAGCCGGTCGTGGTAGTTGCGGATCGCCCGGCCTGCGTGGAGGAAGTGCTGGGCTTGCATTCGGCGTTCCTGCGGGCGCTCTCCATCCACTCGGCACACAATGGGACGAACACCCCGGCGGATCTGAGGGAGTTCCTGCGGAGTATGGAGCGCGTGTGGAAGAAGCGGAAGGTCGTGGTCAAGGATCTGCAGCGCCTGCTGTGGGTTTGCGAGCAGGCGTCGGAATCGACGGGGCCGCGGTATCGGCTGGCGAACTATGGGTTGGGGAAGGTGTGTCTGGAGCGGGTGGCGTGCGAGGGATCCTGGATGGAGGAGTTTGACGAGAAGGAGGCGCAGGAGCGCATGGAGCAGACGCTGGATCTGCTCTGGGAGAAGGCTTTGGATGCGGTTGGTGGGGATGAGAGCCGGGTGGAGTTCTTCGAGACGCTGGGCGTTTCCCCCGTGCATGAGTCGCTTACGCCGTTTACTGCGTTCCGGAAGGGGCAGCAGCGGCTGCAGGATTTGAGGGGGGGAGTGATTAAGGTGAAGACTGAGAAGCTCCGGGCAGATGTACAGGACGATGCTCCGGCCAAACCACTCGATGCGACGACCACCCGCCGGAAGGGCCTGCTGGAGCGCATCAAGAGCAAGGAACTCCTGCAGTCGAAACTGCCGCCTCCGCCGTCGAAGGATATGCTTCTTCGTCGTGCGGCTGCAGAACGTGTTGAGGAGGTCGTTGCTGTGCTGGCCCTGCTGAGGCCGGTGGGATACGTGGGCAGCGGGCCGAAGACGGTACTGGCGGCGCAAAGGAAGCCTTTCCAGATGAAGATGGTTGTGCAGAATGTTCAGGATTCTCTTCGCAACCCCATCTCGGCTAAGGAGGTGGAAATCTGCCTAGAGTTGTTGGCTCGACCCGACGTTGCTGGACAATGGATCGAAGTCGTCGCCGTGAATCAAGCCAAATCCGTGGTCTTGAAATCCTGTGCCACTGTCCACCCGAAAGAGATTGGTAGCAAGGTATGCCAGTTGAAGTTGGATTAGGCGGACTTTCTAATCTCTCTTGGTCTTGGATGTTTCTGTTGGTTGTTTGATACCACATTGGAGTCTCATATTTATGTCCCAGGATTACTTGCATTGTGAGCGGCACTCATGCATCATGTATATTAGCGTTGCATTTATTATCGGCATACTCAGGCCCTGAGTCAAGACTACTAAATAATAACTTTTAGTCCCTTATGGAACAGAATGAGCCATCAGGAATTATAGGTAGTACGGTAGTGTATTGCGCTGGCATGGAGTATCTAACGTAGAACTAGCTATGCTGTATTTGATTGGTTCAAAACCACTTCAACGCGAGGCGCGCCTTCACGTGACCGCGTTGCCACCAAACGCGTCCAGATAATATGATTCCGAACAGGAGCTGCTGTCGACAAACAGACAAGCTAGCATCACTCGCCCGTTCATTGCATTGGACACCTGCTGGCACAATGTCGTCTCGACCTGATCTCAAGGTATTAATCAAGAAAGTGCTAGGTCATTCGCCGAAGTGGCTAATTCCTTTCCTTAGGTGGACGATGAAGTTGGCTTCATTCGCTTCTATCGCTCTCTCTCCACAGAGGGCAACAATGAGACGATACGGGTCTTCGATCGTGGCGATTGGTATTCCGCCCACGGTGCCGATGCCGAGTTCATCGCCCGTACAGTCTACAAAACCACCTCTGTCCTCCGGAACCTTGGTCGCAGCGAGACCGGCGGCCTGCCCTCCGTCACCATGAGCGTCACGGTCTTCCGCAATTTCCTTCGCGAGGCACTCTTCAAGCTCAATAAGCGTGTTGAGATCTGGGGTTCTGGGGGAGCAGGCCGCGGCCAGTGGAAGCTGGTCAAGCAAGCCAGTCCGGGAAATCTGCAGGACGTGGAGGATGAGCTGGGCAGCGTGGGCGGACTCGCCATGGAGTCGGCGCCGGTGATCCTGGCCGTGAAGATCTCGGCCAAGGCGTCCGAGGCGCGGAGTGTGGGTGTGTGTTTCGCGGATGCGAGTGTGCGGGAGCTCGGCGTAAGCGAGTTCCTGGATAACGACGTCTACTCGAATTTCGAATCGCTGGTCATTCAGCTTGGGGTCAAGGAGTGTCTGGTGCAGATGGACTCGAACAGGAAGGACGCGGAGCTGGCCAAGATCCGTGCCATCGCGGATAACTGTGGTATTGCTGTCTCCGAGCGGCCGGTCGCTGACTTCGGGGTCAAGGACATCGAGCAGGATCTTACCCGGTTGCTGCGGGACGAGCGCTCGGCGGGGACGTTGCCGCAGACGGAGTTGAAGCTTGCGATGGGGTCTGCCTCGGCACTGATCAAGTATCTCGGCGTCATGTCCGACCCGTCCAATTTCGGCCAGTATCAGCTCTACCAGCATGATTTGTCGCAATTCATGAAGCTGGATGCCTCTGCGCTTCGTGCACTGAACCTCATGCCTGGTCCGCGGGACGGATCACGTACCATGAGCTTGTTCGGTCTGCTGAACCACTGCAAAACCCCCGTGGGGAGCCGCCTGCTGGCCCAGTGGTTGAAACAGCCCCTCATGGATTTGACGGAGATTGAGAAGAGGCAGCAGCTCGTCGAGGCCTTCGTTACGAACACCGAACTGAGACAGACGATGCAGGAGGAGCATCTCCGCTCCATCCCGGATCTGTACAGGCTATCGAAGCGATTCCAGCGAAAACAGGCGAACTTGGAGGATGTGGTGCGCGTGTATCAGGTTGCGATCCGCCTGCCGGGCTTCGTCAACTCCCTTGAAAATGTCATGGACGAGCAGTATCAAACTCCTTTGGAGGCGGAGTATACTAGCAAGCTGCGCAACTACTCTGACAGCTTGGCTAAGTTGGAGGAGATGGTGGAGACTACTGTCGATCTGGCTGCGCTCGAGAACCACGAGTTCATCATCAAGCCTGAGTTTGACGACAGTCTGCGGATTATCAGAAAGAAATTGGACAAACTGCGACATGACATGGACGTGGAGCATCGTCGGGTGGCGCGAGATCTGGACCAGGAGGTGGACAAAAAGCTCTTTCTGGAGAACCACCGCGTGCACGGCTGGTGTTTCCGGCTGACTCGAAACGAGGCAGGCTGCATTCGAAACAAGAGGGAGTACCAGGAGTGTTCGACGCAGAAGAACGGTGTTTACTTCACCACATCGACGATGCAGGCTCTACGCCGCGAGCATGATCAGCTCTCCTCTAACTACAACCGAACTCAGACGGGGTTGGTCAACGAGGTCGTCAACGTGGCTGCGTCCTACTGCCCCGTGCTGGAACAGCTCGCTGGCGTTCTCGCCCATCTCGATGTCATCGTGAGCTTCGCCCATGCTTCCGTGCACGCTCCAACCGCATACGTTCGGCCCAAGATGCACCTACGCGGCACGGGGAACACCATCCTCAAGGAGGCGCGACATCCCTGCATGGAGATGCAAGACGATATCTCTTTCATTACCAACGATGTGTCACTGATCCGCGACGAGTCTTCCTTTCTCGTCATCACCGGTCCCAACATGGGCGGAAAATCGACATATATCCGCCAGATTGGCGTCATTGCGCTCATGGCTCAGACAGGCTGTTTCGTGCCCTGTACTGAGGCCGAGATGACGATTTTCGACTGCATCCTTGCCCGCGTGGGAGCCAGCGATTCGCAACTCAAAGGTGTCTCAACATTCATGGCCGAAATGCTCGAAACCTCCAACATCCTCAAATCCGCCACGTCGGAATCGCTCATCATCATCGATGAGCTTGGCCGTGGCACCAGCACATACGACGGTTTCGGTTTGGCCTGGGCTATATCGGAGCACATCGTCACCGAGATCCGCTGCTTCGGCCTCTTCGCAACACACTTCCACGAGCTCACAGCCCTCGCGGACAGATACCCCAAATCGGTCAAGAATCTCCACGTGGTGGCTTTTATCGGCGACGGCGCTGACAGCAATGCGGATACAAAGGCAAACTCGAAGAAGGCACAGGTGACCCTGCTTTACCGCGTCGAGCCCGGCATCTGCGACCAGTCCTTCGGCATCCACGTCGCAGAGCTCGTGCGCTTCCCAGAAAAGGTCGTCAACATGGCCCGTAAGAAGGCTGAGGAGCTCGAGGACTTCACCTCTTCGGAGAACCTGGAGCAACAGCCCATGTCTATCGACGGCTACTCACGGGAGGAGGTCGAGGAGGGCAGCGCGCTTCTCAAGGAGATGCTGTTGAAGTGGAAGGCGGAGATCGAGTCTTCTGGCAAGACGCTAACGGTGGAGGAGAAACGACAAATCATGCGGGACCTTGTTAACTCGGATGAAAATCTTCGTGGAAACAAGGTGTTTCAAGGAATCAAGGCTCTATGATGGGTCTTGTTGACTTTACTGCGCTTTTCGGGTTATAGCGATATGGCGTTGGGCGCGTATAGAGGGTTCGAATATACTAGAAGCACTAGCTTATCCACTTGAAATAATCTCTGCAAGTTACTACTGATGTTCTCTTTGTGTTTGTTCCAGAAACTCTCAGCTGCTTTGGATGTTCATGATCTTATAGTAGCAAAGACCACCTCTACATGCAACATACAAACAACTGCAACAGAAGTGTTCATAGATCAATCTCATACCAAGACCACCTCTATCTTCCCAAGGTACGCCCATTATGCATATCACATCGTTATAATTGGAAAGTTTTCTACACCGTACCGTCTACTGCAACTGGGAGCACAAAGTCCAATCTTCAACTTGGTTTATAATTTTGGATTATAAGGTCTCAAAATGGAAAATTATTTCAACACCAGTCAGTGTGGCCGAGTGGTTAAGGCGATAGCCTAGAATTCCTGAGATCAGGATCTGGAATAGCTATTGGGTTCGCCCGCACAGGTTCGAGTCCTGTCGCTGACGACTTTCTTTTTGTCTTTTTGTGTCCTTGTGCTTCGATCTCTTCTTTTATCGAATGCGAAGTACCTATGAAAATGATTTTGGACATGACCACTGTTAAAGCAAAACGTTGTGCATCTCTACCTGCAACTATCCTGTCACCACATCCCGCCATGTGCTTTGTACTACCACGTGCTAAGCGCTAAGCGCTATTTAGGCATCATCCAAACATTCATGTTTAAGTTCAGTAGCATTTTCTTTAGGCAGCTAATATTCCTCTTAATACGAGAAATGGCCTCCTCTACAGTCAGATTCAGCCCCCCCCCCCCTAAGATGGCATATAAAATTGCCACTCGTCCTCAACTCGTCCTACTCCTGACTCAAAATCTGCCTCTCCAATCATCGAATTGACCACCAGAACACCAACCCTTCTCCTTGATATTGGGATCTAGTCATCTTGATGGCGCTCCCTCCTTCTGCCCTCATTTCTAGCCGCCGCTTTCACCGCCGTGTCATTCTCAATACAGCATATGGAGCGCTCACTGTCACGTATGCCGACATCGGATGCGCCACGGGCCCTACAGTGCTCTTCATGCCGGGTATGTTTGCCTCGCGCTATCTGGGTATTCCTATGCATGTAGTTGCAGAGCATGCTGGTGTGCGCCTACTTGTTGTCGATCGACCAGGCATGGGCGGGTCAACCGATGTACCACTTGCCCAACGCGTTGCTGTCTGGGTTGATATGCTGCCGCGCCTGTTAGAACATCTCAGCATTCCAAAAGTCAATCTTGTCTCGCATAGCGCTGGCACTATCTACCTGCTTAATACCTGGGCGCAGTGCCGTGAATTTGTGGGCCCGGTCATCACTTTATTAGGTATTTATTCTGACTCCGATCCCTCTCTCGGCCTCGGCCCCCAGACAAGGGGCGATGAAAAAGAAAGAACATGAAGAGAAAGAAGAATACATGGCTTAGTATCTCGCTTATAGCCCCCTGGGTGGATCCCGCCCACTCGCATGTTATGGCGATGCAAATGGCGCAGTATGTGCCCACCAAGGCGTTCGCAGTCTGGCACCATATTCCACGCTTCTTCATAACTCAGGCAAGCCCTATGCTAGCGTCGAGCGGTGCCCTGGTCCGCCAGATATCATCGAATGGCAACCAGACGGCAGAGGACCGCTCGTTTCTTGATGCCCAGTGGCGGCGTGTTGAACGCGACTATGGCGTACCGCATGAGGAACAGGCAGAGTTTGCTCGCCTCGCTCTGTCCTATATGTTTGCAGAAAATACTGTTGGTGGGAATAGTGAGGCCTTGCAGTGCCTTCGGAAGGATGGCGTCGACTGGGGTGTCTGCTCGGACTATGCTCGCTGCGCGCAGATGCTCGCCGCCCGCGAACAGTCCACTGGCGTCACTGTCCGTACATACTTTGCTACTAAGGATGCCTTGGTAGGTAATAAAGGGCAAAAGTACTTTGAAGAGTGCTGGCAGGCACCGGGCATGGAGGCCATTAACTTTGTCTCTACGACGGTGAAAGACACAGATCATGACACGCTAGTGCAATCAATAGGGGTCTGGGAGGAGATATTCTCTTCGTTGCGGTAGATAGGCTTCGACGACTACGAGGCCCCAGCAGGGGGTGAATACAGATGTACTCCCTATCCGGGCGTCACAGCTCTTGAAGGGGCAAATTCTCAAAATAAACCAGACACTCACTACCTTTCTGCGATGACCAACAAATGACCCAACAAATATGGAGGGGGGAATATCTCTGCCTCTCCAGCAAGAAGAAACCTGAGGAGACAATCAAATCAGATCTAGGGATTCGGCTCAAGCAGGGAGTAAAACAAAAAGATATCGTCAGCGACAGGACTCGAACCTGTGCGGGCGAACCCAATAGCTGTTCCAGATTCCCATGGGAAATTCTAGGCTATCGCCTTAACCACTCGGCCACACTGACCAATCATGTTCTGTCGGCAAACGTTTTGGTACCATAGCTCACGGCAATATTCCGCTTACTAGTTGGCAACACTTCAATCCATAGATAGAGCCTTGGGTAGGCCTCTCCTGATAAGCTTCCATAGGACAGCAAGGACCGGTTGATATGCTCCCCAAGTGTCTACATGTCCTGCTGTTGAAACTCGAACACACTGGTTGGCCTTATCCAATTGAGTCCACCTAGGGCATAAAAAGTATTCATCACCATTCCTGGAACTGACTCCTGTACTCCATAGGTGGTTTGTATATCTGGATATGCAAAAATTGCAAAAAAGAACCGTCAGCGACAGGACTCGAACCTGTGCGGGCGAACCCAATAGCTGTTCCAGATTCCCATGGGAAGTTCTAGGCTATCGCCTTAACCACTCGGCCACACTGACTGTGATTGAAAATACACCTTTTTTTTGGTTTGATCAAGCTCGCTTAGCAGGTAGCGGGCAGGATTGCCAGTTAAAGTGGCCAACAGCGCCAAGGCGAGTATCCACTATTCCTAAATTATGCAGGCTATTCCTCTTGTAGCAGTTCAGGGTCATCTCGGGCTAGAAACACGGAGCATGGAGCAATGGGCACCTCTACTACCTCCTCCGCAAACGCAAACGCATCTGCGCAACTCTAGAACATCTCTCCGGCCACCACCACGTTGAACACCTCTCCCTCCGTCCATCAAAGCAGCATTCTCTATCGCTCAGTACGCGCAATCCTCGTCTCACTTGCCGCTGAAGTCTAAGCTTCTAGCCTCAACTTGAATCATCAATAAATATCAACCCCCGAAATACCCTCAGCAATGCGCGCAAACTGAACCAACAAGCGGAGACGCTACACACCTCGGAATTCATGCACCCCTTCTCCATCCTCACTCTTGGTATCTTCGTTGCGGGCTATATCACCGCACGGTGGGATCTTGTTACGCGGTTGTACGAACTCGCTATATTTGCGTGGGATCACGGTGTCGTGGTATGGCCCTTCTCCGCTCGCACACAGAGCGCAAACGTCCCTATCTAGAACCGAGACCTATCTTGGATTCGTTGGCGCTCTGGGCTAATTCCTCTTGCAGACAAGGACAGCCAAAGGTTTTCTGCTGTTGTCGGTCTTTTTCTTTCTCCTGATCCTTCCTATCAATCATCTTGCGACAAAGGAGGCCGAATCGGTAAATGCCCCCCCCCCTCCCCTTCCCCGCGGCAACACAATGGTGAAACAGCTGCTGATATCCCAACTTCTGGCTAGCATCCGCGCACGCTTCATCTGGGCGTGTCCGCTCGCGAACAGCTACGCCGTCGAGGCTCTTTCTGATTTAGACCGAAGGATGACAACATGCTTATGGGCGATGGATTACTACGGGTATTCTGGCCATACGACCTTCCTCGGTCCTCATCCCCGGGGGTAATTATTGGATGGAGAAACTCCGAATTGGATTTGTTTGTGCTCACGGTGCTGGAGGATGTCGAGGTGAGCTCTTGTCCGCCTGGGGATAAGGTATCAGTTGCGATTGCTGATGGCCAGACTTGTGAAATAGCCTCGGAATGTCGATAATGCCCTGCGAGCCGGGATTTTGTTCCGCAACAGCCCCCACCCCATCGCGAGGATTTTCGCACTGTGTGGCAGGTCTATGATGCATGTTCTGGGATCGACCAATTCTCCGGATCCGCCAACGGCATTCAACACGAGTCATCTCTATGTGACAACGCATCCGTCATGTAGAGTTCCGCGGATTTACTGTCCACCGGAGGCGAACATATCCGTCCAGGTGATCATGTTCCAACGACCGCATCCCACCAGGATGGAGTACATGTCCCTAGATCCGATCTCTCTCGCTCTCGGCGATAAAGTGTTTCCTGCTAACTCAGATGCGGTACCCGATACCATTGACGCTGGAGAGGAGCGGGATAAAGCTCTACGTGGCAAGCTAGTTGAGAAGCTCAAATTACACACGGTCGTCAAGCACATGCCTTCACCGAAAGAACAAGCTCTGCCCCTAATCATCAACCAAGTCAATTGCGCATACGAAATGGGGAAGCTCATGGACAAGAATAGCCACCTGATTGGGATTCGCATCAAGAGAAGTATGAGCGTATCCGAACGGGTGGTCGAGTCCGCAACAACCCTATGGGATTTCTTCGTACTCGGTGTTTCCTATGTATTCTGGCAGTGGCTGTGGCCGGTGATCACCCGGATATTCGTGATCGGCCTCGTCTTCCATCGGACGATTGCCGAGGTGGTCTTGCAGGTCTTGGAGTGGCGCGCGCGTCCTGATGCGGCAGCGTTGAAAGATATTTCTGCAACGGCCCAACAGGTTGATATTCGCCTTCAACAATTTTGCTATTGGCCCATCCAGTATGTTAAGCTTCGGCAGAGGAAAGACGACTGGGAGAGTGTGACGACGAGCCACCCAGATTACATTCGATTCTACAACAGCTTGTGGCTCGTTGCCAACGATGTAATTATCGGAATTGCACTAGGGTCCTACATCATTGACAATGCAAATTGGGTGGCTTTCCAGATCAACAACGTCCTCACTGGCTGGACAGTGGAAGGGTTACAGCGGACCATTTCGTGGTTGATGGATTGGCCGGCTGGTTTGAAGCTTAACAACGAGCTTGCTGCCTTTTTGGGTGATTTGTTTCTGTGGGTCATTGAGAATTGGGCGGGTAAGAATCCCCTCCATATTGACAAAGAGATCACTCTGTTGACTTGAATTTAGCCTGCATTGCCAATCTCCAACCTTACCTTCCTCACGTCATTTATGTTGTTGGATGCTCGAGTTTCGCCGGCGCGAGCATGCCAATTGCCCTCTTTTCCGATCTCGTTTCCATCCTGACTGTGCATATTTATTCGTTCTATATTGCATCAGCGCGCATCTTTAATTGGCAGCTTACCATTATCGTCTCTCTATTCCACCTCTTCCGTGGGAAGAAGCGCAATGTTCTTCGTCATCGAATTGACTCGTGTGACTATGACCTGGACCAACTTCTTTTGGGAACAATTCTGTTCACGGTTCTCTTCTTCCTTCTACCCACGGTAGTGGTATTTTATCTGACGTTCGCATCCGCGAGGATGTTGATCATCTCGCTGAAGGCAGCGCTGGACACATGGTTGGCTTTTCTCAACCACTTCCCTCTTTTCGCGTTGATGTTGCGTTTAAAGGACTCGCGAAGGCTGCCAGGTATGTCTTGATCTTCTGTTAGCGAATCCAATGGCAGCGATACTAATTGCACATTAAAGGTGGCATCCACTTCGAACTCCGCGAGGCGCAGGATAAGACTCCTAATCCAAGCTCCTCCGAGACCATGCCTTTCATCCATCTTGAGGTATGTCTATCGTAGTTTACTCTTGTCACAAGCCAGAATACTCATTAGACGCAGTCAATACCCCTTTCTCTTCGGGCCATGTTCGACCAGTACTTCCAACTTGGCCACCGTCTTCGCAAACACTATCTTTCTCCGCGGGTGATATTCTGCCTGTTCACCGGCCGTTTCGTGCCTCCCATTCATCGCCGCAATTTATACAGCATGCAGTACAGCATGCTTCCCGCTCGTCGGGCCGGTATGGCGGAGGTCTGGTCTCTGCTGACCCAGCCTCGAAAATCCAGTAGTGGCAGCAGTGGGTCTTCTTCGATGACTGGGATCGGTGCAGGCGTCAACGGCATACCCAAGGTCCCGCCAGGGTTTGCTCATGGAGACGCTCGGCGACGAGGGCATCGCTAGTAATGATTGAATAATGTGAAGATATGTTTCTCATTTTGCATATAGATAATGTTTTGTCTAGACATATCGAAAATATAACAATTGTCTTGAAGTAATCATCGTTGAAAACCATGTTTATATCAAATGTGTGGGTAGATGTACATATGTGAGGAATACAGTATGCAGGAGATCAATAATATAATATACGAATAACTCTTCTGCAGTCCGAGACCAAGTTTCCTCAATTCGGTGGTTAGAACACCTATAGCCCAAGTAGGACAGGCTCGGCCAGGTGTGTCGGTTATCGATGAGGGCATGTCGCCGTCATTCCGGGGCAGTGAAGGATGCCCTCAACGGGTGCTGTCGACCAGCGATGATAGAGACGGTCCAACGTTGAACATCTGGGTCAAGTCATCGAGCAATAACGTTACAGGAGTGGAGATGGGTTGCATCAACGGAAGAACAGTGGGAAACATAGGGGAATGGTTCAGGTCTTTCGGAAGACATCAGTGTCGCTGTCTGAGGCAGTCCCCTTTCTCGCATCGTCGAGCATGGTATCGATGCCCTTTTCTTTCAAGGCTTTCTAGTAGATCATCAGCCCTCATGTTGCATGTTAATATTCGGTGCTGGTGGTGAGTACATGTAAACACGTCTTGTATTTTGAGAACAGTTCTTCACACTCTTTTGACGAGGTGTTGCCACGCAGGTATTCTGTTGATGTTAGTGAGGCATACTTTGATATTATGGTATCAGGTAGAGGACATACTCTCGCTGTACCACTTGAGAAAGCAAGTGTCGTATTTCCTAGTTAAAATCAGTTTAAATGTTGAATCTTGCTGGTGCTGGAAGCGGAATATATATACTCTTTGAGATCGTTGCACTCGGGGGCTATTGAGGCTGCCATCTTGTACTGCGGTATCGTCGTGTCTGAGCCAGACGGTTCTTACGAGTCGATTTAAGCTCTGAAGTCTCTCACTCACTGCACTCAGCGTCTTACTGTCAATGGGATTGTCTATGAAACTGTCTCTCTTTATGCTGCTTCGAGTCGAGAGTTGGTCGATGGCGATGATCGCCAAGACACTGCCGCTAATCTACTTTGAGCAGGCGGTCGGTAGTTTTTCTCCGGCGCGCGCATTTCTCCACCTCCGAGCTTTCCTTAATTTTTCTGATCGCAGTTGGATTTGATCTCAAGAGTCAACAAGACCGTTTCCCCCCCTCCGGTCGATTGTTGACTGCCTTTACCCGGTCTTTGTCATAATGGAGTCCACCGCAGATTTTCCCCCGTTCCAGGAACGGTTGACGTCCACTTTGGTGCAGGTGACGCGCACCGTTGGACAGCTTTCTGCGGAGGATTTGAATTTCCACCGGACCTCGAGCGCCGAGGTCTCGGAATCCCTGGATGAGCAAAGCGAGAGACTGCTGTCGTTGACGTCCTCAATCTTGAAGGCTGCCACGGCCGGAACAGATCTGCCGGCCCCTACTCTGCGTGATGAGGATTCCGTCGAAGATAACTGGCGTGGGGTTGTGGACGTAATCGATGCGCTGCTCGAAAAGGCAGATGCTTGTCTGGATGAATTCACCGGAGTCATCAAGAAACTGAGCCCAACACAGCAGGAGCAAAGCGCAAAGGCTGCCGCCGCCGCCGCATCCAGAAAGGCCGCCGCTGCCAGGTTCCCTTCCGCTTACGACTTTGGTCCGTCGAAAATCCCCAAACCGCAATTATCCTTTCAGCGTCTTCCCGACAATACCGATGTATCTCCTTTCAAGCCTCTACTCCGCACCAAGCCGCATGCTGTGGTATCACTGGAGGAATCCTTGGAGGCGACAGAGCCCGCTGGGGTTTACAAGAACCCATACGAATTCGAGATCCGGGCTGCCAAATATCCCGAGTCGACATACACCGTCTTGCCCCCAGTCGAATACCTGCCATTTGAGTCGACAACTGCGACGTTCGTGGATACCCTGGAAGGGGTGAAGGAGATGCTGAGTGAGCTCAAATCGGCAAAGGAAATTGCTATCGATCTGGAACATCATGATATGCACTCGTACCATGGTCTGGTCTCGCTGATGCAGATCAGCACTCGGGACAAGGATTGGGTCGTTGACACGTTGAAGCCGTGGAGAGAAGACCTGCAAATTCTCAATGACGTGTTTGCGGATCCTGCAATCCTCAAAGTTCTGCACGGCTCGTCCATGGATATCATCTGGCTCCAGCGGGACCTTGGACTGTATGTCGTGGGCATGTTCGATACCTACCACGCTGCCTGCGCCTTGAACTACCCGAAGCGGAGTTTGAAGTTTCTTCTTCAGAAGTTTGTCAATTTCGAAGCCGACAAAAGATACCAAATGGCCGATTGGAGAATCCGCCCCCTCCCATCCGGAATGTTTGATTACGCCCGCTCTGATACCCATTACCTCCTCTACATTTACGACCACCTTCGCAACGAATTACTAGAAAACTCCACACCTGACCACAGTCTCATTGATTACGTTTCCGAACAGTCAAAGAACGAAGCTCTGCAGCGCTACGAGCGTCCTGTTTACGATGCTGGCACAGGACAGGGACAGGGGGGGTGGTACGACTATTTGTATCGCACCCCCGCTGTATTGAGTAAGGAGCAATTCGCCGTCTTCAAAGCTGTGCACCAGTGGCGCGACGAGGTCGCACGTGAGGAAGACGAGGGTGTGCAGTGTGTGTTTCCCAAGCATGTTCTCTTCAAAATTGCGCAAAGCATGCCGCTCGATCAGGGTACTTTGTTCAGGACCTTGTCTCCAATGACACCAATCGTCAGAGATAGGGCAGCGACTCTTCTGGAAGTCATCAAACAAGCCAAGATTGAGGGAGCTACAGGACCTGAGTGGCGCGACGTTGTTCGGCCGAAGCCCACAGGAACCCAAGCTACACTCGCGGCGGGCGCCGAACAGGGTCTTATGACACCCCCCAGCGCCGAGGCGGGCGAGTTCCCAACTGCTGCTCGCTATGAAGTTTCTCAGTTCTGGGGACCCGTACTGGACACCCAGTCGCCGCTCACACCCCCTGAATATGCTGCCGTGGCCTCGGCCGAGGCTCTACGTCTTTCCCTTCCTCTTCCACCCATGCCCAGGACAGTATCGGAAGCTCGCGAGAAGCTTGGCGATGCTGCTCCCGCCAAGCCAGCTGCTCAGCCCGCGGCAGCACCTGCTCCTGTCCCCGAAGACGACAGCCACAAGGTTTTCACTGTCAAGGAACTCGGCGGACCGCGTAAGCGTAAAGCAGTACCGGCAGCAACAGGCGAGCGTGCGCCGTCGCTCGGGTTGGAAGACATTAAAATCGACGACAGCCCTTCGTTGGAGCCATTGGAGAAGCCGACCAAGAAACAACGCCAGAAGAACAAGAAGAATAAGTCGCGATCGCAGTCCGAAGGAGATGCGCCAGAAGATACGCCTTTCAACTATGAGACTGCAGATTCTGTCCTGCACGCTCAGCCCGCACAGGCGGAACGGAGCTTCGTGTCCAGGAAACATTTCAGCCCGTACGCCAAGGCAATGGAAGCGCCTGCTGCTGCGCGTAAACAGAAACGAGAGATCGCCGGCAAGACGTTTACATTCCGGTGATGGTCTGAGCGGACTGACTTGTTGCCTCCTTCTCCATGGGTATGAGGTGTTAGTGGATGCATCTTGTGGGCGGGGGTTTCTGGATATAGATTGTTCTGAGTTCTGAGCATAGCGATACCCGATAGTGTTCGAATCTAGGTTGCAGTGACGATGCAGAGTTTTCCCGTTTCCTTTTGGTATTGGATATTGGTAGATCCTCCCGCTCCGGCGTCGTCGATAGACAGATGTTAAGCTCGTGGTAGGGGCATCTAGACGATTATTCCCGACATCGCATTCGCACCACAAAGGCTAACCACCACCACCGTCGTAATCGAAAAAGAAAGCATGGATGGAATGTGGAGAATCCAAACACCCCACATTATGTATCGACACCAGTCGCCAAGCCGCCGACAGAGTTCAATAGTCAGATACCCAGATCCCAAGATCTATCTCCTCGTAGGACTACTGTAGAGTGTATGGCTGTATGGTAGATTGGAGGGATCGCAGGAAGCCCGAACCGTACCGAGCAGAAGGGAAAAGAAGAAAAAAAAAAAGGAAAAACAGGCCAGCCACTGTGAAAGCCAGGGAGCACGGGACCAGGACAAGTCCAAGTGTACAGGTACAGGTACAATATTGCTTTTTTCAACCTAGTAGCGCCGCCGCCGGTCCCCCCCCATATCCCGACAACCGAGCAGCTGAGCTCTGGGGCTGGAAGGCCCTGATCTCGACCCGGGCATCTGGGACTTGGGAGTACAGGACCACGTCATCATACCGCGTAGTGCGCAGGATGTCGTTGCCTACAGCTCATAAGCCTTGTGCGGTGCGAAGTACGAAGGAGTATCACCGAGTAAGACCTAGTTACCAACTTACCAGTGGGATATGGAATTGGTACCAACTACCAAGAGTCGAATCCCAGACAGTAGAACTACCGGGTTCCTGGTTGCGTGGGTCGAAGGCTGGGACTAAGACAGTATCTACTATCTAGGACTCGTTACTCCGTAGATATAGTTCATGCGGACAGTTGTTGATAATGATACGGCGACGAGGAGGGTTGGTCATTGGTCAATGGGATTTGGATTTGAATCTGGCTTTTGGCTTTTTTTGGGCCGCCTCTGAGATCGATTCCAATTCCTCTACTGTGTACTCGTTCGGGTGTTAGGGAGTCTGGTATGTGGTTACTGGTTAGATAGGATCATAGGGACTAGGTAATTACCGTCTACCAACTACTGTGGTTGGTGAGTACATAAGTGGTTCAGGTCTGTGCGCGGGGCGTCAGCCATGCATGGTTCGTGGACTACTTTGTAGTTCCGTAAGGCGTTGTGTCAGCCTGTCGGAGAGAAGCCCATTCTTAGGGTCCTGACTCCTGAGACTCTGGGAGGGAGGGTCACTTGGACAGTTGACGGGTGACAGCTTGCATCTTGCATATACGATGGCTATGGGTCTGGCTATCGCTATGACCGAGTCAGGGAGCTGTCATCATTCTCCGTACCGCACATGCAGCGCTGATGACTTGCATGTAGCTCCGTGGTACGGAACGATCCCCCCCCCTCTTCCTTGTCCAGTTGGAAATGCACCTACACACGGACGTCGAGTTCTGCAGCCGAGATGAGATAGTCCACAGGGACAGTATGGGGCACGGGATGCTGTACTCCTGTGTTAGCTACCATGCAGCATGCAGATTGTGTGTTGTTGGACGATGTAGTATGTGCGTGCCTTAGAGGTGTAGTACGGTCATACAGGTTTGAAACAGCCGTGGGTTCTTAGTTCATGTGCATGGGTTACTTGTAAGTCACGATGGAGGTATATATATATATATTTTTTTTCTTCCATTTTAAATGATTTGATATTCAAGATGGGTATGATGTAATGATTGAGAATAATTAACTCGTCTATTGGCACTTTGTGTACCTAAGACTACGAGGGGATGTATTAAGCGATGAGCTAATTACCATGCTTGTCAATAGCAGGGTATTATAAGGAGTTAAGGACATATTCCATGCACTATGAACCATGATCTTGTCAGAACTCAGGATTTAGGAATGAGAGAGAAGAGAGAGGAAGAGAGAGAGTGAGAGACATTCTGACCTACCACGTCAAGTGACAAGCTGGATGAATTTGACGCAGGTACCAACCAGTCCATCTAGTCAGGTGGATACACTGTGCATGGGCGCTAATTTGGTTAAGGAGTACTACTAGTCTACTACTGTAGTCTGAGAAAATGAGTTGATCTTCTCTCAGGATTTTGGAGGTGATAGTTAAATGGTCCCATTGTTGCCCTACTCAATAATTAGTTACTAATAATTTTACTTGAACTATTATTGTACCGTATGGCAGCATTGCAGTTGATAGAGATATCGGTCAATAATACTTGGGATAGTTCCCCTCGATGACCGGGGTGACCTGGTGAAGTAGTGTGAACTCTCCTTATCAAGTCCCCTGAAGGAACTAAGAACGGTGGGCCAATGCAGCGACAAGCCTGACTGGCCATGATTCAGGTCAGCATGGCACGGGATCAGTGGAAACTGAAAATCCATGGATCCGGGCACACTGGAAGAATTTCAAGTTTCCATGTAGTTAGTTACTGATATTAAATATCAAATTAGCAATTCACCTACCAGGATATCAACCAAGTTATGCATACTATGACATCTCTTGTCCGTCAGTGAGAGAGACTGTGCAACATGGTCTGTGTGATCGATTACTCCGTACTCCGTCGGATGCACATCAGCGGTAGGTGATTCTGTTCCTGACAACGGCCGTGACACCATCAGTATCAACTATCATATAGTGTTCTCCACTCTACCCTCATTGCAAAACTGTTGTAGTCTGTACTAGTTAACTACTGACTAGTCTAGTCTACAGTCCGTTGCGACTTGCGAGATCGATGATTTGGTCAACATTGTTAATTGGATTTGACGTGGTGAGGTAATCCCTGCAGTTCACCTGCTTATCAGCGAAATGGATGTCATGCGTGATGGGATGGGGATAAAGATAATAATATGGAGACTGATAAGAATTCCTTACGCAGATCGACATTTCTTTTCCGACTGACCGACCGAGTGAGAGTACTCCATGCTGAGCATAGAGTGAGGGGTGACGATCTGGATATTGGAATTATATTTATGGGCTTATTAAGGAGATGCTTTCCTGCCAGTTTAAGTTTGCAAGTCTGAGTCTCTGGCACCACTCTAGTCTACTAGTCTACTAGTCTTACTCCTAAGATAGTCTAAAAACACTAACAGTCTAACACTCTAACGCACTGGGCCAGGGGTAAAACTTGGCCCCAGTTAAGTACTACTAGGTAGTAGATATCCGATCAAAAACCGCTGATTGGCTCCGGCCTACCAAAACGACCGAGTCTCCAGCATCCGCAATTTGGGTACGTGCAACAGGCCAACAGCCGACCTACGGAGTAAGCAAGTAAGTACTCCGTAGTTAAGTCTACTATCTAACCAACAGGTGTAAAATGTGAACAAGTTAGCTCTCGGTGGATGGAGACATTTGCTTCCCCTTGCGTCGTCCTGCATCGCCTCCGTCAACACCATCTGCAGTCTGGAGTCGGGAAAAGGAGACAAGAAGAGCACGGAAAAGGGGATCCTCCGCCATCGTTGCTTCGGGTCAAATTGCCTCGTACTGTTTGAATGTTTATTTTTATATTTGATTTCTTTGATACTTTGTTTTTCCCGTGGAGGCAACGAGGACAAGTCACACAAAGGGTTTTTTCCCCCTTCTTTCCTGGGGGAGGCAGGAAAAAAAAAAAAAAAAAAAAAGGTACAACCGTACAAAGGAAAACCATCCCTGCATACGGTGAAACAGTGAAGAAGATCCAAGGATTAGCGCCAGTGGGAAATTGGGGATTTAAAGCTAAGACCACAGAGTAGTCATCTACGGAGTAGTTACGTCCAGTCGTCCACTCAAGAGGAAACTGGAGACAAAATAGAGATAGAAACCTGGCAACAGTCGATCGTACTTCGGAGGACCACAAAAGTCCACAGTGTCGCCATTGAGGATGGATGCTCATCATCATGGTTTGGGGAGGGGATCGTCAATCTGCGTGGTGTGCAGATGCAGTGGTTTCAAATCAAAGTTGTTTCATATGAAGTTGATCATAATGCCAGTTTACCATAACTATATTGGTGCTGACAGTGCTGTATTATTCATTAACGGTTTAACATTAGATTAAAAAACCAGAACTTATGTCTGAATCATATTCAGGTGTCCATGGTATGATGATATGATTAATTCTTTACTCTGGGATAAGGATTCTGGTACCGAGAAGCAAAAGAGTGGAACGGACATTTTTTTTTTTGTTTTTTACTGGGATTGAATCAGATCGAATGGAGTTATATCTCCGTATTCAGGTACCGCCCCGTCTGCAGGGTACTCCGTACCTTGGTCCATGGTTTCTCTATTTTTTTTTTTTTTTTTTTTTTTTTTTTTTTTAAAAAAAAACTAAAAACATAAATACCGAGATACAAGGGAAAACAACAACCTGCGACTTATTCTTTTGTCAATGTAACTACTCAAAGTAAAACAAAATATCAATATGCATTAAACTAAATCTCAGTGTCTCATCATGGGTGCATGGACATTCAGGTACACCATCTACACAGTAGAGAATATGGATACTACTAGGATACTATCATGAAAGAGAGAGAGCATGGGCATCTCCACCGGAATAATTTTGATTCTCATCCCTGAACCAGAAAATCAGGAAATCAGAAACTCGCATCCGCTGTTTCCCCCCTCTCTCTGAGACGAATATCCTTTGGTTTGGAGTGATTAGTCTCTTCAATGATGGTTTATTTTATTATTTTATTTTATTTTATGGTTTCCCCTCCCGCTCGCTGATTCTTAACCTCCATTATTTATCATCATCATCATCATCATCATTATACACTTTCCTATTATTATTATTATTATTATTATTTTTTCTTTTCCCTTTCTAATATTCAATGCCCATAAACATACCCTCATAATTATCACCTGTTTAATCCTCCTCCTTTTTCTTTTTCTTTTTCTTTTTCTTGTTTAGCTCTTTTCCTCTCGCTAACATCGCCAAGCTCCTTTTTGCCATTTGCATCCCCAGTCATACTCATACATACATCTTCTTCATATTTCATATTTGAATCTTGACTTTCCCGCCGCCCCCCCTTCTCCCTCTAGTACTCCGTAGTCCTGGTGCCTTCGGGGGTCCCTTTACTTTCTCTCTCCTCCGTTACTTCAACCTCATCAACTCGCTTCCATCCTTGCGCTCCCTTTGTTACCCTGCATAATAATATTTCTTCTTCCATTGCTCCCCCAACCATCCCCTATATTCAACGGTCTCGACGTTCCGTTTCAGTTCCTCCGCTCGAGACAAGTTTATCCACTGTCTCATTATTCTGCTGAGCCGCGACCGTCCCTATTTCCACCCGAGAGCGAGTCGAATTTCCTCCTGCTTGCTGCATCAAGGCGAACGCCCTCTTCAATCTATCGTGCCACCGTCCACTTTCGATAATATTTAATATATACCCAGTAATTCACCATCCACAGTGTCAGCAATTCCCAGCAGAAGGGGTCGCCGAATTGAAAACTCTCACATCGATCGCCTCTTATTACCAAGACAGGACGCTTTCATTCCCAGCGCGCGCGATAAGGAGGATACGCTTCGTGGAATTCGCTTCGTGTGCGCGCCATTACCCTGAACTCCCGATGTTTGGGTCTCTCAATCCCTAAACGACAAACCCAGCGGACGATTTTCTGGTAGCGCTCACCGGTTGACGTTGACCTTAAACACCCTCCCCCCCTGATTAGACGTGTGGGAGACTCTGGTGGCTGGTCCTTGGTCAATCCCGTATATAGGTACAATCGCGTCGTGTGATTGTCCTCTCGCATCTTCCTGCACCCCATCTCTCTCTCCCTCTCTCTCTCTTTTTAAATCACAACACAACATGTCCGTTGCAACAATGTTACAACCGGCGTCGAGAGCATCGACCTCCTCTTCCTCCTCTTTCCAACCCGTCACCCGTCAGAACACAATGTCGTCCCACGATACGCGGTCCCTTCGCCAGTCGAAGCGGCTCTCCGTCACCGCGCTATACCTTTCCATGTCTGCGAAAGACAGGGATCTTGAGATCTCCGATGATCTGGCCAAGGGTGAGTGGTGCTCGCGAATCCTCGCACGGCCTTCTTTCTAACAATCACGGGGAGCAGCTCAAAAGTATCTGCGCGAGTTGAAGGCCAAGATTTCGTCCCAATCGAAGAAGAATTTCGTTCTCGAGAAAGATGTCCGGTATCTGGATTCGCGGATAGCGTTGCTGATTCAGAACCGGATGGCACTTGAAGAAGTAAGATGTCTCCCCCCCCGTGAATGTGTCGATAGATTTTGCTCACAACCTTCACAGCAAAATGAAGTTGCCAGCCATCTGGATGATGAAGATCCCCAAGAAGGCTTCTTTCCTAACGACGAGAAAACCCAGAGATACGGCAACCTGCTCTTCCTTCTGCAATCGGAGCCGCGGCATATCGCCCACTTGTGTCGCTTGGTGTCAATGTCCGAAATCGACTCCCTTCTCCAAACGGTCATGTTCACGATTTACGGAAACCAGTACGAGAGTCGCGAAGAGCATCTGCTCCTGACCATGTTTCAATCCGTCCTGACCTACCAGTTCGACAACACCCCGGAGTACTCGTCCCTCTTGCGGCAGAATACCCCCGTGTCGCGGATGATGACCACTTACACACGTCGCGGTCCCGGCCAGAGTTATCTGAAGGAGGTCCTTGCCAAACAGATCAACGCCTTGATCGAGCTGTGCGACGTGGACCTGGAGATCAACCCGCTGAAAGTGTATGAGACTATGGTGAAGGAGATCGAGGAGGAAAAAGGCTCGTTGCCCGAACATCTACCCAGATCCGTTACGGCCGAGGTGGCTGCGGAGAATGGCCAGGTGCAAGCGATCATCGAACCGCGGCTGAAGATGCTGACGGACATCGCAAACCGATTCCTGACCACCATCATCAACTCTGTGGACGAAGCTCCCTACGGCATCAGATGGATCTGCAAGCAGATCCGAAGCTTGTCGCGCCGCAAGTACCCCGATGCGCAGGACCAGACCATTTGCACGCTGATCGGAGGCTTCTTCTTTCTGCGATTCATCAACCCTGCCATCGTCACTCCCCGATCCTATATGCTGATCGATGCGACCCCAACTGACAAGCCTCGCCGCACTCTCACCTTGATCGCAAAGATGTTGCAGAACCTGGCCAACAAGCCCTCGTATGCCAAGGAGCCGTACATGGCCAAGCTCCAGCCCTTTATTCAGCAGAACAAGGAGCGCGTCAACAAGTTCCTGCTGGATCTCTGTGAAGTCCAGGATTTCTATGAGAGCCTGGAGATGGACAATTACGTCGCGCTCTCCAAACGCGATCTGGAGCTGCAGATTACTCTCAACGAGATGTACGCCACTCATGCGCTGCTGGAGAAGCATAGTTTGGCCCTCGCACAGGATCAACACTCCCATCTCAATGAACTGCTCCTCGAGCTGGGCTCTGCCCCCGTGCAGGTCCCGCGCAAGGAAAACCGAACCATCACCGTTCCGCTCTTCAGTCGATGGGAGACTGCCTTGGATGACCTGACCGCCGCCCTCGACATCACCCAGGAGGAGGTGTTTTTCATGGAAGCCAAGTCGACCTTTGTGCAGATCCTGCGTTCTCTGCCACCGAACTCGGTGATTGCCCGACGGCCGCTCCGGCTGGATCGAATCGCAGAGGCGGCCGCTACCCTGAAGAATGATGCGGTGATGGTGCGCAAGGGCATCCGAACCATGGAGCTGTTGAGCCAACTGCAGGAGATGGGGGTGATCGACCGTTCCGATGACTTCAGTCTTCTGCGGGATGAGGTGGAGCAGGAGCTGGTACATCTGGGTTCTCTGAAGGAAAAGGTTCTCGAAGAGACCAAGAAGCTCGAGGAAGTCTTTGCAACCATCCGCGACCACAACGCATATCTGGTCGGGCAGCTGGAAACGTACAAGTCCTACTTGCACAACGTCCGCAGTCAGTCGGAGGGGAAGCAGCGCAAGCAGCAAAAGCACCAGGAACTGGGCCCGTACAAGTTCACCCACCAGCAACTTGAAAAGGAGGGTGTCATTCAGAAGAGCAATGTTCCCGAGAACCGGCGAGCCAACATCTATTTCATGTTCAAGAGCCCCCTGCCGGGTACTTTTGTGATCAGCCTTCACTATAAAGGTGAGTTTCAATCATTTCTCTTGGTCTTTGCTCTGGTATCATAAGCTGACAATGACGATAGGGCGTGCACGTGGTCTTCTTGAACTTGATCTCAAGCTTGATGATCTGTTGGAGATGCAAAAAGACAATCTCGAAGACCTGGACCTCGAATATGTCCAGTTCAACGTCTCCAAAGTGCTCACACTCTTGAACAAGCGATTTGCTCGAAAGAAGGGCTGGTAAGGCGGTTCCTCCTCTCTCTCTCTCTCTCGGAGAACCGTCCAATACTTTGATGTTACGATGTGTATGATACAGAGCAGATTGTCGACTACCAGCGTCCACGGAAATATTCCGAGTAGCCAGCGTCCCGCGAAGGGGCCTGTCGTCTCGATGCCTGGTTCGACGAGTGGCAGGTGTTGAATGCAACCCGCCACGAACAGCGGCACGAACGGGGTCGATACCAGGAGATCTGCTTTGCTTTACGAAACGGAGATGGACGACTGATTTCTTCCCGGAACCCCCGTCTCGACACAGCTCTCCCTGAGGCATGGTGATCGAGACAGGGCGACAGGGCACAGATACCCCACGACCTTTGAGTTCTTAATCCTTGACTTATCATCCCTGCGGGTTTACAGGAGGATCTTTGTAATATGGTGGGGACGTAAGCACATATGTCTGTTTGATATCATGGAGCTCTCGCTGGTTCGAGCTGTCTTCCGGCATGTGTTGGATTTTTGTCTTTCTGGATTGTTTCTTTTCGAGTTGTCTTTTGTTTTGCTGCCACGTTTATACCTGTTGGACGATTTTTTTTTGTTCTGTGACTTTATTCTTTTTCTTTTTCTCCTTTCTCCCCCCTTCTGGAGTGTTAATCTGGCCAACTGTCCCATCTTGTCCATACCGGGTGGTTGTTCTGTTCTGTTCCATGAGCCCTTTGCTGCCATCTGTAAGCTTACTGCGGTGTGTTTGGATTGTGTTGCTAGAGGGTAAACATTCTCCTCTCTTCTGTGAGTTAGGGTGGATGGACTGGTGCATTTTTTGATGAATTTGATACCCTGCGAAAGTGTGAAGAAGAATGAGTTTGCAGAGTATAAGACTGAAGACTGTGTTTGTATGAATTGGATGAGTTACGTCACTTTTCTTTTTTTTTCTTTTTTTTTTTTTTGGTGCGGAGAATGAATGCCTTGGGAGTAGGAGAGAGTGCGTGTGAGAAAGAAGGAGAGAAAAGAAGGTATTATCTTTGAAGCCATTACTCTCTGAGTGTCTTTTGTCTCTCTGTTGTAACCATCCACATGTTGATGGTGATAGTAATACAGACCGACTTTCCTGGGTGGATCTACAGCTAGTTAGCTATGTACACCTAGTCACCCCTCTTTGCCCGCTAGCAGGACCTGTTATAGAGGACCAAGAGTCCAAGACAGCTCTCAATCTTCATGTCAGCAATAGTAATACCAATCTCTCTATACCATAGTATGATAGTATAGTAGTTTCTGAGATGAAGAATGAAACGACAACCTGCCAGATTTGCCACACCGAGAGAAGCCCAGTTGACCCTGCTAACTAATAATAATACTAAAAACTAAAAGTAAATTCCCAAACACAAAAACGTATTACTTTTCTGCGCCTCCCTTCAATCTCTCTCTTACTCTCTCCCCTTTTTCTGATAATCGACTCGACTAAAACCCGCCCGACTATCCTATCTCCCTCTCTCCTCTCTTCCCCTCTCCTTCTTCCCTACCTCAAAAAACAAATCCATACCCTTTTATCAACATCAACATCTCTAAAACCCCCCTCCCGTCCTCTCCCTCGATCTCTTCTTCTAAGCCCGCAATAATGGCTGCCCCCGTTCAGAACCAGTCGGCCACAACGTCGAAATATGACGACTATGATTTCCCCACCACTGCACCAGAGTCTCAGTCGGGACACCCTGGCCACACCACCCCCGAGCAGGATGAGAAGGTGCAGCAGCTCCGAAGCGAGCTCGAGCAGCTGGGATACACGGACAGACTGGATACGCTGACTATGCTGCGTTTTCTGAGAGCGAGGAAGTTTGATGTTGCTGCTGCCAAGGCCATGTATGCGTTTCTCTCTCTTCTTTTTTTTTTTTGGACACTTTGACCACCCCCCCCCTGTTTTGCCGGCGGAAGCAGTTGACAATGATGATGATTTATGGGGATGTTTTGTTTTGGCTAATGCTCAATTGCGTGGGGTTAGGTTCGTTGAGTGTGAGAAGTGGCGCAAGGAATTCGGTACAGATGATCTGGTTCGCACCTTCGATTATCAGGAGAAACCCCAGGTCTTCCAGTACTATCCTCAATACTACCACAAAACCGATAAGGTGAGTTGCCCTCTTTTTCTTTCTTTCCCCCAGGGGTTTCAATAGTGCATGGGCTAATAAACTCGTAGGATGGCCGCCCCGTCTACATCGAGAAGCTCGGCAAGATCGACCTGAACGCCATGTACAAGATCACCACCGCCGAACGCATGCTCCAGAACCTCGTGTGCGAGTACGAGAAGCTCGCGGATCCCCGTCTGCCCGCCTGCTCGCGCAAGGCCGGCAAGTTGCTCGAGACTTGCTGCACCATCATGGACCTGAAGGGCGTCGGCATCACAAGTGTCCCCTCCGTATACGGATACGTGCGCCAGGCCTCTGCCATCTCGCAAAACTACTACCCCGAGCGCCTGGGCAAGCTGTACCTCATCAACGCCCCCTGGGGCTTCAGCAGCGTCTTCAACGTCGTCAAGGGATTCCTGGACCCCGTCACCGTGCAGAAGATCCACGTCCTCGGCTCCAGCTACAAGAAGGAATTGCTCGAGCAGGTCCCCGCCGAGAACCTCCCCGTCGAGTTCGGAGGTAGCTGCTCGTGCGCCGGTGGCTGCGAGCTTAGCGATATGGGCCCCTGGCAAGAGCCTGAGTGGACCAAGACGCCCAAGTGGGCCCAGCCCAAGCAGGAGCAGACGGCCACGAAGACCGAGGAACCTGCCCCTGCCCCTGCCCCCGTGGCGCAGGAGGCTGCTGAACCCGTTGCATAGAGAGTCCCCCCCTCCGGTTGCTTTTTCTCCTGTTTTCTTCTTTCCTCCCTGAACCCAATACATACCTACATGCATACATATATATCTTGGATCGTTTTGTGGTAACAGAATCCATCCATGCTGGTGCCATCGGCCCATGAGACAGACCCATCTATCGGTGTCACTGTCTCTGCGATTTCAACAGCGCACGAACTCATAATCGGTCATCTATCATCCCGATCGGATGGCCTGTAGAGCTAGCGGGGCCTCTTGACTTTTCCTACTCCTTTCCTTTTTTATTTTCTATTTTCGATCCTAGACAGCCCACGATGATCGTGCGGCGCACGGTACTTTATAGATATGAGGAGCAGTAAGGCATAGCGGAGCCCAATGTAAAAGTGATCATCTATGCGGCCATCTAGTCCAATGGGTAGCGATAGAAGCATAAGCTGTTTAACCCCGTCATTTAAAAAAAAAAAAAAAGGCATGAAGAAACAAACAAACATGGCCGCTCAACGCCAAGTCTACCAGAGAGGATATCATCAAAACATCAGAATGAAAACACGACACACCATCTTTCACATCTTCTCCACGACTTCCACCGCGCGTCCCGCCCGTTCTGCCTTCCCTAGCGTCGAGGCCAACGCATTCCCATCTACCCCATCCTCACCCCCTTCCCCAGCCCCAACCTCGCCCTGCAGCCGCAGCAACCCCCGCAACGCATCCTCGTAAACAGCCGTCATACCTCCGTCGCGCCAGCGCTCCGTCTCGCGCTCCGACCCAAGCGGAACCCGCAACTCCCAACGCGCAGACCGCGCGCGCTGCCGACGCTCCCCAGATCCCGTGGCCTGGTTTCCCTCCGCCGCCTCGACGTCAGGCATGGGCACATCCCCGCCCCCAACCTCCTTATCTTCATCCTCCTCATATTCATCCTCCTCGTCATCGTCGTCGGCATCGCCATCGTCCTCCTCAATCGCCTTCCGCAGGCCCTCCGCATACGCCCTCGCCGCGCGTGCGGGCGCCTCCCGCCGCAGCTGCGCCACGCTCGTGGTCAGCGCCTCGAGCTGCGCGTACAGCGCGGTCACGCGCGCCGCAAGCTCGGTGTCGTAGGCCTCGTACTCGATCGTCTCGGAGGGTTGAGTGAAGGCGGCGGGAAAGGGGAATTGCGGCGAGGAGGCATCGAGGCCGTTGATGCTGATGGAGGCGGAGGCGGTGGTGAAGGTTTTGGTGATGAACTGGGGGAGTGAGGAGCGCGAGACGCAGCTTGTTAGGTTTTGTTTATCTGTGTGGGGGGGAGAGGGAGGGGGAAGAGGGAGGTACCTCGTCAACCAGATCCTTTACGCGTTCGCGCATGGGATCCGGCTCATCGTCTGCGTTGGCGGATGGGGGCAGATGGAGATCGAGTTTTTGGCGGGAGGCGGCGATGGTGTTTGTATGGAGGTAGGTGAAGTCTGCGGGGGATTGGAGTTCGATTTTGCGGTATTGGGTGGACATTTTTTTTTTTCTTTTTTCCTTCTTTATTTCTGTCTTGGTGGAAAAGGCTGGGGTTTGGTGTTGTTGGAAGTGGCGGAAGTTGGTTTTCGCTGGACGCGATGCGGGATGGAGATGGAGATGGAATGAATAATAATGAATAATGATTGTGATGGAGATAGTCAGATGTGCCTCACTGCCTCAGGCAGAAAAAACAAGTGAGCAGCCTGAAAGCTCAGGCAGCATGTTGATCAGGCCCCACAACGATGTCATCGATCTGGACGAAGAAAGATCGGCAGTTCTGCAGTTGGTAAAGGCTTTACGGAGCCTGTACGGAGTACTGTGTACTTACTTAGTAGTTAAGTGGCTTCACTGGCTTCGCACATCAAGAGTGGCCCCCTTGTTCTCGTTCGCTGGAGGCTCATGCAATCAGCCAAATTGATACCGACGCCTTTCTGCAGAGTTGCAGAGTATCTAGTAGTAGCACTACTCTAATTATTTGTCTCTCTTTAGTCTTCTCTTTTCTAAGTCGGATTTCCTGGATTTGCAAGTATAAGAATCAGTGTTCCTCCCCTTTTTTTCCCCAATCCCAACCGACCTTGGCTACAGTGGATGCTGGTTTCGTCCACAAACGGTGCAACGCATAACTTGTCCATTCACATTGAATTTTGGTACTTATCACATCCAGAAAGCAAAAAATATGTTGAACCTGCAATAATGTCATTACTATGCCAAGCACCCCACAGTAAGTTTGAGATAATATCAAGGTCACCCGTGAGGTAATCATTACCATGGAACCTGTTCCCGCCATTTCTCTCGTCGACAACACCGACACTGTCCGTAACTCTGTCGGCGAGGAATCCCTCTCCCAGGTTCCTACCGCTGCAGGCTCGCAGTCCATCTCCAGACGAATCACCAAAGTCTCCCTTCGTGGGGAACTTAAACGCCGTAAATACGCCAAATGGCAACCAGATCGACTTGGTCTGTCCGACGCCGACGATAGCCCAAGCAGAAGGCCGTCCCAGGCGAGAAGTCAGCTGACCCACGTGGATACCAACATTAATACAATGTCCGGGGCAAGCTTTCAATCCGGCCCCTCGCAGCCTGGTATCGCGCACCACGCCATCGATGCGACGGACTTTGCGTCCGCCTCGGAATCAACCAATGCCGCCCAGCGAACCTCGACGGACCCCCTGCTGCAGCAGAACCACGAGTCCGCTCAGCACAATGGCACACACCCCGTGAGCGAGCTCGATATCCTTTACGAAAACCAGCGTGGGTGGTTCTTCTTCGGCATCCCGCTGTACTCGCACAGCTCGCTGCTCAACTTCGACCCCGGCGCCTGGCTTACCCACGACTTCCGCGAGAGCCCCGTCAACATCACCAACGCGCAGCTCCCCGATCCCAGCTGGGAATGGGCCTGGCGCTCATGGTACGTCGACATGTCCGGCGACGTCGACGACCAAGGGTGGCAGTATTCGCTCTACTTTGGCTCCTCCGCCTGGCACGGCTCGCATCCTTGGTTCCACTCGTTCGTCCGCCGACGCCGATGGGTCAGGTTGCGCGTGAAGCGTGCGGTGGAGCAAACGCACCGCGGCCGCTCGGGGTTCGAGAAGGCGCATATGCTCAACGAGGATTACTTTACGATCCACTCTGCGCGCGAGCGGAACAAGGCAGCGAGCCCCGTCTCAGCGTCGCCCCGGCAGTCTGGGCCCAGGGGTCGGACTACTACTACTACGACAGTCGAGGAGGAGCCGCCATTGGAGGAAATATGCAATATTCCTACGCTGATGTATGCCCTGAAAACGGCGATTGTGGATCGGGAGAAGACAGATGCTTTGAAGCGGTTTGTCGAAGATGGGGGCGAGGAGCTCCGTTATCTGGATGACAAGGTATGCCTGTTACTTGGAAAATACCTTCAAAAAGCACACGTTTCACTGACTTCGCATAGATCCCTGAAATCATGTCGATGTTCGTCTTCCAGAACTCGAGATGGCAGTTCCTGACCCACTTGGTAAGCGTCATCAACGAGCTCTCTGAAAAAGCATCCACGGCAAGCGGTGCCGAAGCCGAAGAGCTCCGACGCAAGCAACAGAACTTGACAAAAGCCGCTGAGACTGTGAGACGGTATATTACGGGCCCCGAATTGCTGGGTCAGGAGCACCGCGAGTCCTTGGATTTGACGCCTGTCTCGCACGATACTCTGTTGGAGGACTGCTCGAAACGGTCCTCCTTCAAGCCAATAGACAATGGGGGACATATCAAGGGGATCCCTGAGGCGGCGGAGATTGGGCTGGAGGGTCATATTTTTCGTCCTTCGTGATCATTGTAGTATGTGTTTGATGGAGTGGTCGGCGTACTGTATTGCTGCATGGTCTGTATATTATGGGTTCAGCCGGGGAATTTTCCATTTTCTGTTTGATTGTCTTTTTTTTTTTGCTCCAGCATCGACTACCCCTTTCCAATAGCGCTATTGTCAAATATACTGTGTCATTAACACCAAACATTCAATTCTGATATCATGAGTGTTTGACGTACATGGCGAGGGGAGTAAGTTGAACGACCGCCCACCGCCTACCACTTTGGCTCAGCAAACAATTTTCTGAGGCCATGCAGTCAGCCCGAGCTTAACCTCCAAATCCAATAAATCGACGGTCCAACCGGCAGTGCACAACTGCACAGAACCACCACGACAACGACCCCAATTCCAACTCTCCCGGTCTCTCCTCCTTCCATGCCTCTGACTCCCTGCTCGAGTCTTCCCATATGTTCTCGCGCGGCCACCCGTGTCTGAGAAGACGTGGTCTATCCGCCGCCGTCTTGGACACCGTCGCGGCTGGCCCCGAGGAACCTCTTCTCTTCCTCTATCCTCGCTGGTTCACGTCGGTTCTACGGCAACAGAGATCGGTAGCATCGGTATCGTTTTCTACGGCTCGGAAGAACCCATCGAAATCGGCCCGTCTGCCGCTTCGCGGCTCGTGTCCCCGTTCCCGCCGGAGGTGGTCGTTCGGGAGCTCTGCCAGGCGATGGGTTTCGACCGAGACAGGGTCTGCTGCGCGGGCGGGCGAGTCACTGGAGCGGAAGAATGTTGATCGCGCGCGCGGTGTAGAACGCTTTGCTCAGATGGATGGGAAAGCTGGCGCCGAAGCTAGACGCACTGATACAGCGGTCGAGGAGACGGCGCCCGCCGCAGACCATGAGGAGTCGCCACAGCCGTCAAATCTCGCTGATAATGGATCATCGCATACTCCCGGGATGGATCGGCGCTTCGTCAACGTCAACATCTTCCCCGATGTCCAGGGAACGGCCCCGACGATGCAGGCGAACTCAAACGGCTCGGCCCAGGGTAACGCGCTCGGGGTCATGGAAAGCCTCTCGGTGAGGGATAGGAAGAAACTACGATATAGGCTGTACCTGTCGCGGATGGGTAAAGACCAAGGGACGCAAGATAAATGGGGCCGGTGGACCAAAGTCGGGGATTTGCTGGAGAAGATGCAGCAGGATACCCCCGTGTGGGTGAAGAAGGGCGCCGTGCAGAAGGAGTTACTTATCCCGGAGGAGACGGTGGCGCTTATGGCCGGCATCACGGATATGGCGATGAAAGAGAATGTGTGGTATGTGCCTGTCCGGAATGGGTGCCGGGTGCATGTGTTACACCCTCACGAGAGTGACGGCCAGTACAGGAAGGTCATTCTGTCTGGTTCCAAGCGGAGTGTGGAGTTGCTCGGCGACCGTATCATGCGGGCGCGGCACCTACAAGAGAACGGTGACCCCCTGGTGGATATCAGGAAACCTCCCGTTCCGGTGTATCCTTCCATCGAGGCGATGCGGCGCAAGAGTCTTCCGGTTCCACTTGTCCGAGGTGTCTGGGATTTCTACCAGGCGTTCAAACAACCGGCACCGCTAGAATCACTCCTCGCGTCATCCGGCAAGTTATCGACTATCAGGGAATTTGCCGAACACATAGAGGAATTGACGAGGTCACGGTCCCATTCGAGATTTGGGAGGGGACAGTCGGAGGTTGCTCACCGAGAGCGGGTGGCCACTGCGCTTGTCGCCCTGTTCCGGGACGATACATATCGCGATCTCTTCTCGACTGCTGCGCTCAATAGAGCACTTTCTTACTTGTTCGACCATGATGTGCTAGACGATGCTCGCGCGATTTTCGTTAGGGCCGAACATGTGGCGACCGTCGACACTTTCAATATTCTCCTCAAATCCGCAGCCAAGAGACAGGATATCCAGGTCTTTCGTGGCTTCCTGCATTCCATGTCGCGCCTGCAGATTCGGCCGAACGCCTACACCTGGCTGGCTTTCCTCGACTGCCTGGTCTCCTCTAAAGCTAAAGCTAGTCTTGTTAAGTTCATGCTGCAAAAGGGTTACCTGTCCGATACAAGTGCCATGCGGACTGCGTTGCAACTAACGATCCAGGATTCGTTCCTGGTCCATCTTCAAAGTGGCCAGAGTGTGGACGCCTTCTTCAATATGATTATCGATACGTACGGGGCCAATTGGTTTCCCCCATCGTTGATCAACCAGATGTTCAGCGTCGCCGTGCGACTCAAGGACTACTCCTCATTGGACCGGTTGTTTGAAATATGTCAGAAACAAGGCTTCGCGCTCGATTCCGCCACCGTCAACCAAATCCTCCCTCTGTTCCGTTCTGATATCCAGTCTGCTCTTTTGTACATGTTCCGCTGCCTGGATCGTCCTGAAACGCAGCTGGACAGATACACCTGGGAGAGACTTTTTTTGATCGCGTTCAAAGGCCGCAACTACAATATCTGTCGCGTGCTGTGGCGTTACGCTTGCACGCGCAGAATGGTCACCTACAAGATGAAGCAGTCTGTTCTCACCTCCTTGGTACGGAACGTGCCCCGAAATAAGGGAGATCAAATCGATGATGTCTGGCAAACCACTGCTGGGAATATCATTGTGGGGCTCGATCTTGACCAGGCCAGCTATCCACTGTCAGAAGCCATCTTAGACAATCTGCCAGATGAGTATCTCGACAGCCCAGTGGCTTTCCTTGCGTCAGGCTACAAGCCAGCAGGCGAAGACCGCGAGAAGCAACTGCGCGTGGCCTCTGCGCTAGTGCAGCGCGATATTGAGATTGGACCTCGATACCAGCCGTCGGAGCCCTTTGCTATCATGCTCGAGGCCGCCGCCGTGATGGACCGAGGATGGAAAGGCATACCGAGGCCCTGGCCATGGTTGATGCAGAATGCCATTCAAGTCCCCGTCCGCAAAGCGGATTTTCTGAGCACCAATATATGAGAATGCTTGGCTCCTTTGCGGGATATATAGAAGGCGTGTCTTGATTACCCCAGTCACAACTTTTGCATTGAGATCGTTGTTTTTCGGCATCTTTCATTCCGTGGTCGTGGAGCGTTCCTGTTGTGTATGATATTCAGCGGATTCTTGCATAGTGCTTGCAATTGGCACGGTCATCGGCGCAAAGTCTCGGCTGCCTTCGGATTGGATTCTCATCGGGTCTCAGCTACCTATCTTGTACTTTATATACTGTATATCACCCCTCGACCTGCTTTATTCCTATGAGTTGTACATAGTGTGTATAGATATTATTTTTGAACAATATTGTATTGAAATAGATGGTACGTGGGAGGTCTCCAGTGAACGTAAACCACACTCGCGACGTCGGTTAAGTTTAAAAAAAAAATGCATGTTTCAATTTCTACATGTATGGTCGTCTATATCATCCAATATAATCATAATGCGTCAAGATGTCGGCGATCGGGAAGCTCCAGGCCAGGAATCATCTACCGCCATTCTCATGGAGCAAAGCCGGGGCGGGAGCAGCAATAGGGGGTCCGTACGGATCCATGGAGGTTCGAATCGACCCGACTCCTTCTTTGAGGTACAGCACCAGCCGATAGGCCGAGTTGCCGTTCAAATAGTACCGATGCAGGCGTTTACTCCGCAGAAAGCCGAGCCGTTCGTACAGTTTCATGGCGGCCGTATTTGTGATTTCCGTCTCGAGGACAATCTAGGGGGATCAGGTTCATCGTCAGCCATCATATGATGTTTCTGTTTTCCCTTCTCCTCCAACGACTGGGGAAATTGAGACCATACCTCATCGGCATCCCGCTCAATCATCGCGTCAATAGCCATCCTCACCAATCTGGTCGCAATCCCTCGGCCGCGATACTCCTCCCGCACAGCCAACATGGCAATATACCCTCTCAGCGGACCCCCACGGTGCGGCTCCAGCTTCGACACCACGACACCGACCATGTAGTCTTTCTCCTTGGTGTCGTCCATGGCCATGAAACACAGCTCTCCCCATTGGTAGAGGAAGTACCGGTAGACGTAGATGCTGTACGGTTCCGACAGGTCCTTGGAAATCAGCTGTCTCATGGCAGGGACGTATTCGTTCTCGCGGGAGCCATCGTAGCGCACGTAGCGGAGGTCTGGAGGGCAGGAAGTTGAAGCAGTCGCAGTCGCAGTCGCAGTCGCAGCAGGCACTGCGGAAGATGAGACATCCTGGCTCATTCCGGACTCATCGAGGGGGAAGCGCGGGGAAGGTAAATACAGGGGTGGGATAGGATGTTGATAAGGGAGGGGTTGGACCTGGAATTGTGAAAGCGAGAAATGATAGAAGAAGGGTGGATATGACAGACTAGATGATGCCCTTATGGTTAATGGTTATGGTTATGGTTATGGTATGGTGTCTTGTCTCAGATGTCGGAGGAAGAGAAACTTTTTGCGCATGACGTCTCTTCCCATGTGATTCCGATACCCGCTGTGTTTTTGGGTATCTTTTTTTCCCTCCTTCGCTTCTCTCTTTTTCTTTGTAACTGGTAGTACCTCTTTTTTTGATTATTCTTCTTATGACTGTGTGTATTATTTGAAGCGCCCTTCCTTTTTCCTGCAACAGGGAGTCAGGCCTCCATCAATTGCAGCACATCGTTCCGGACCACCGCGCACCCAGGAGTTTCCTAGCGGTCGCTCACATGCTCCGCCGTCGCCAGGCCAAGGACGACCATGTCCAGCCACAACAAGAGCAGCACGAGCAGCAGAAAGACTCGTCCCGCAGCGAAGAACAGGTCTCACCACCGGTTACAGAGAAAATCATCGTGAAGGAGAAAGCACCGTCGGAATCGTTCGTCTACAAACCCCGGAGTAAACGGCGCAATGGGTTGATCTTCGCGCTCGGAGGCATCTTCGGCATCTTCATCGCTCTGTTCTTCGCCAACCAGCAGGATGTGATCAGTCTCGAGTCACTGATGGATTTGAACCTGGATGCGTTGATCGATGTGATTCCGCAGGGTATCGTGCGGGATGCGAGGGAGTTCACCGTACGTATACACACACCCTAGCCCAGGAGATTGATTGATTGATTGATCGCTTACTTATTTGATTTCTCCTTCCCAGCAACATGAACGAGACGCAGTCACCTACGACCCCTTCTCCATCGGCCTCCAGTTACAGGCGCAAGGCATCGAAGCCAAACATCCGATCGTCATGGTCCCCGGTGTCATCTCGACCGGTCTCGAGAGTTGGGGCACCAGTCCGTCCTCCCGCCAGTACTTTCGTCGGAGACTCTGGGGCAGTTGGAGCATGATGCGCGCACTGGTCCTGGACAAGGCCGAGTGGAAGAATCACATCATGCTTGACAAGGAGACCGGCCTGGATCCTCCCGGGATCAAGCTGCGGGCAGCGCAGGGGTTTGATGCAACCGACTTCTTCATTACAGGGTACTGGATCTGGAACAAGATCCTCGAGAATCTCGCATCCATCGGCTACGACCCGACGAATGCTTTCACTGCTGCGTACGACTGGCGGCTCTCCTACCCGAACCTGGAGACCCGCGACCAGTATTTCAGCCGGCTCAAGTCTTACGTCGAGACGGCCGTCCTGGTGAAGGGAGAGAAGGTGACGCTCGCCTCGCATAGTATGGGTTCGCAGGTGGTTCTATACTTCTTCAAATGGGTAGAGCATCCGGAGCACGGCAAGGGAGGCCCCGACTGGGTCAATAGACACATTGCCAACTGGATCAACATCAGCGGCTGCATGCTGGGCGCCGTCAAGGGGCTGACAGCGGTGCTGTCGGGCGAGATGCGCGACACCGCGCAGCTGAACGCCTTCGCCGTGTACGGCCTGGAGAAGTTCCTGTCCAAGGAAGAGCGCGCGGAGATCTTCCGCGCCATGCCGGGGATCTCCAGCATGCTCCCCAAGGGTGGCGAAGCCGTCTGGGGCAACTCGACCTGGGCGCCCGATGACCAGCCGGGCCAGACCATGACCTTCGGGAACCTGCTGCACTTCCGCGAGAGCAACTCGACCTGGACGCAAAAGAACCTCACCACGGCCGAGAGCCTGGCCTACCTCCTCGACCAGAGCGAGGAGTGGTACCGCAACCAGGTGCTGACCAGCTACTCGCACGGCGTCGCGCACACAGCCCGCGAAGTCGAGGCCAACGAGAACGATCCGCGCACGTGGCTGAACCCGCTCGAGACCCGCCTGCCCCTCGCCCCGGACATGAAGATCTACTGCTTCTACGGTGTCGGCAAGCCCACCGAGCGCAGCTACTTCTACCAGGAGGAGCGCGACCCGCTCGTCAACCTCAACGTCAGCATCGATACCACCGTGACCACGCCCGACGGCGTGGACCACGGCGTCCTCATGGGCGAGGGCGACGGCACCGTCAACCTACTCAGCACGGGCTACATGTGTGCCAAGGGCTGGCATATCAAACGGTACAACCCCGCCGGCGTGAAAATCAAGGTCTTCGAGATGCCCCATGAGCCGGACCGGTTCTCGCCCCGCGGCGGTCCAAACACAGGTATGTTACTTTCTCCTTCCGCACCGTCCCCTCAACCATGTCGAACCTTGTCCACTAACCATGGCAATCTAGGTGACCACGTTGACATCCTCGGCCGCGCCTCACTCAATGAACTTATCCTCCGCGTGGCTGGCGGACAAGGAGAGTACATCGAGGAGACGTTTGTCTCCAGAATCAAAGAATACGCGGACCGCGTCAAGATATACGACGAAGAATAATAACGAATCACTTGCTCCGTTCGCTTTTAGACTATTAATCATCATTATAATCCATGCTCCTTACTGCTCTAGATTCCATCCAATTTTCCCTTTTCTTCTTTCTATTTTGTCACTCCCAGTGTACATATAGATGACTGTACATGAACGACTTGAGTTCAAATGAGATAACCGGGACCATGTCTCGTTACCTCAAGCGTACGAAATGCTTAGAATCAAATCTTATAGACGGAGAAGATAGACACAGCGAAAATAATAATATACATATCTGTCCTTTCATAAATCATAACGCTACCGGATTACAAAATAATGATACTGCTATGGATAAATCATCCAACACCACCTCTGCATGCACAGAAGACTGCAACAAAAGTGCAGCAGCAAAGAGTCCCTTCAAGCAAGCCGGTCTGGTAGGGGCCAGGCGAAGGGACAGAGAAACGGAGAGTATATTAGGCCGTATTAGGAAGGTCGAGAAAAATGTGCAGCAGAGGTTGTGTTGCGTCCAATAGCGAAGAACGAAGCCAATCGTCGAAGAGTCACAGGAGGATCAGAGACCTGTTCGGCCAAAACACCTGGCCAACCACCACCAGCACCAAGCTCCAATTCCCTCCTAGCCTCTCTGCAAATCCGGTGGACGGAGACGTAGCTCCGCAGGGTGCCCACTGTCAAGAAGCAAGCGAATGTAGGCGTGGGGAGAGTACCGCGGGAACAGACCGGGTTCTCTCCTCTCTATATGCCAATGCAAAGAGTCATTAAAACCATCAAACCCCCTTTCTAAGCACGAGCGAGTGTAGTGCAAGCAAAAAGGCGCCTAGCCCATGTTGTTTATCTTTCCGTTTGAAAGCAAACCATCCCAAAGCCCAAGGCGCCGTAAAATGTGAGCGATCGACATGAATGGTAAAAAATATTTATGCATATGGTCGAGCGGAAGAAAAATAGCAAGATGCTCGACCAGTCGGGTGATAATAGCGAGTGACGTGGATTGGACTTGGTGGGGAATGTCCGTTCTGAAGAAGTTGTACAAGCGAATGTCTGGAGTGGCACCCTCGGGACGTATAACCAACCAGCACAGATGTCGTAAATAACTGGGCTATCCAGATTAAAAATTATCGACGGAGCTCCCTCACGGCACTTCACTCTGATCGCAAAACAATCAGAGGAAGCCGCCTGGTTTCGTGAAATAGGCATGTACAGTAGAAGCAAAGCGGGAAAAAAAAGGTATGAGTCACGGCCAGCCTGTCTCGTTCAGTGTAAACAAGACACCGCCGCTCATTAATCCTGGTCGTGTCTCGGAGAAAGGTATTAAATATATATGTGTCGAAGTCAGCTCAATGCAATAAACCAAGCATGTCGTCAAAATTGGTTGAACGCCGTCTCATTAGTCAATGCAATGACACGCACTTAAAGTGAATACGTGTCAAGCTCAGTGCAGCGAAATCAAAAATGTCTTCCGGACTCAATGTCCGTGGCGGGAGATGCAAGGGTCTCGCCCTCCCAAGAGTAGTGGTCGTCAACGGGGCTCAGGGAGCCGGATGAGATTGATGACGAAGATCCCACGGTCCACTCGTCGCTGTCAAGGTTGAAGTCTCCTTCGAAGCTGGCCAATCCGTAGCCATAATCCGGAGCCGAATCGCCGTATTCGACGTAGTCGTATTCCCAGCGGAACATCTTATCCTTCTGGACGCGAGGCATGAATCGAGTCTTGGCAAAGTAGAAGGCAACAGTGGCCAAGAGACCACCGCCGACAAGATCGACCGCATAGTGATGAGACAGATACATTGTAGCCCACCACATCCAGAGAGTGTAGGTAACGAACAAGGGCTTCAACCGAGGGAACACTTGGCTCATGAAGAGCGCGGCGAGGGTCGAATCCGCCGCATGCAAGGAAGGGAATGCACCGAAGACAACGGGTGATTGTTTGAAACCCGATGTGTACAAGTCAATTCCAAAGAGCTTGTCAATACGAGCGAGACCGGCAGGATTTCCTGGCATGGAGTAGTCGGCTGGAGCCAAGCCGTACAGGTTCTCGTACCAGGGCGGAGAGCAAGGGAACACCAGCTGGACGGTAACTGCAAACATGCTGATATAACCGAAGGTCCGAGCGAAAAGGGGAGTAGTTCCGGGAGGTCCGAAAATGAACATGATTGCTGAGCACACAAAAGGAGCGCCATAATGGCATATTCCATAAGGGAGCCATGCCAAAACGTCGAGCACTACATTTTGGTGAGCGGACAGGATGTTACTGATGTTGGCACCGTAGAGGATGTTTTCCAAGGCCGGAAGTACGCGGACCCAGATCGCGGGGCGCCAATCGCTTGGGACGAACCTATCAAAGCAAGCGTTAGACGTGCAACGCGCGGAACGAGCCCTAAAGGAGAGATGGACTTACTGGCAAGCATAGAAGAAGATGAGCCACCCAGCGATTGGGAGGAAAGGCAGGAAGAATTGGCGGGTGATAGGAAGGAGAAGAGAGATGAGAAGTAGAGTAAACGCGGCGGTTTTTGCCAATGGGCCGGGCGATTCCATCACACTCAGAGAGAAAATGCCAACTATGAGCAGCAGAAGATATTGGAAGTCATAGAGAGTCCAACGATGGCATTGCAGCTGTCGGAGTGTATCCATGGGAGAGAAGGAGGTCTGCAAGGACGATATCGAGGAAGCAGGTGAAATCCGACTGCGCAACTTGGACCGGATCTTTCGTCGCATGCGATGCGGGACAAGAAGCTGTATAGAGCGCCATGGGACTTGGATCTGGAGCTTGCCGAACTGGTTTTGCGTCCGATCCTTCCATGATGGAAGAGTGGTATTCATGGTTGCAGCGGGCCTGATCCCTTCAGGTCTCAGTGACGGCGATTCCTCTAATTTCTGTTCCCCGGCTGATATAGAGAGGAGGTTGGAAGTAAGTTGGGGATGCCTGTAATTATGACGAAGGAAGACCGCGAGGTGGAATCGCAGGCCAAGCTGACGGAAAGGGGCTCAGGGCGTCAACGTGCCAGTGATTCTCAACGGGGCGAGAACCACGAAAGGAGCGAAACGTTTTAACGGCGGAAGGATGGTTCCGACAGACGCCTTGAGAGACGGAGAATTGATTTTGTATAGATCGCGACGAACTCCGGTCTCCAGCGGCCAAACGGGGAGATAACTCTGGGGAAGGTCACGTTGCAAGGGTTTGTCTGACGCAAGGCGGACAGGCAAGGGCAACGAGAACGAGGTAGGTCGCGAGGAGGCGGTGCGCAGGATAATCTGGCAACGGAGCCGGAGAGAGAGAGAGAGAGAGAGAGAGCGAGGTGAGATGAGAGAGAGGGAGACGAGCGAGAATAATGAGGAAGAGGCGGAAGAAGCGAGAAGGAGAGTAATAAGTGAGAAGGGAAGGATTTTGTTGGTGATGGAGAAGCGCCTAGTTCGACGGGAGTACAAAAGTGATGAAGGGGCGGACGGACAACGACGGGTACGAGTACGGAATTACCATGATACATGGCAGTATTGGTATTACACAGTCGGATGTCTGTATCATGTCGTCACTGCTCTTCTATGGTTGCTACCTAGCCGCCAAGCCTTGATGGTCTAACTGAATAGGGCAATTACAGTAAACAGTTACCTACATTAACGATCTTGGTAAAAAAGCCTGGATCGCCGAGATCTGCTATGGAGTTGGAATTAAAGGAGTAACTCAGGGAAGACACATTGAACATTCATTCCTTTCCTGTCCTCTTACCTGATTTTTCTAAGGGCAAAGGAGGGCCAGCATGAAGAGCCCTCTGAAAGTCAGAGAAGGAGCATAAATCAGCTCATGCTTAGTACGCGGATGTGGCGGAAGTTCGGAGCAAACGGGATTATTAACACCGACTGGTAAATACAGCTGGAGAACAGAGTGATGCAAAAAATTCTAGATAGGCAGTCTACCTAGGTAGGATGTTCCGTTCCAACATAGTGGTATTGTCAAGAAAATTACCTGCGTGGTAATATAACGGTGTTACCACTCTGCAGTTTGCCAATCCCTGGGTAGGTAAAGCACAATCCAATCAGTCTGCCCATTTGCAGTCCTCAAAGCGCTAATTGGCAGGGAAAGCCCACATTGAAATGCAGTAAACCAATGGGAGACCCTGGATCTTCAAGATTAATTTCGCTTAATCCACAATGGTCACACAGTCATCTGCAACAGACCAAAGAAATCGCCGACTGTCCTGTCTCCAAGAGCCAATCATTCCTGAAGCAGACATAATCCAAGGTATTATTTTTCATTAGGTTGTAAGGCACAGCTCAGACGGATCCGAGAAGGCCTCGGATTTCGGTCACCCAATGTGATGGGTCATGGGTGTTGGCCTCTTTTTTTTTTTTTTTTTTTTTTTATGTTTCTTTGGCACCAACAGAAATTTTCTTTCCTTTTGCTTTCTTTTCACTTTCCTTAGGACTAGCTACTTAGAGTCTTAGTTGCTGTGGAACTCCATGTAGATAGATAGTGTGTCCCTGAGGCTCTTTGTACGCGCATATAATAATGGTCCTGAATGAATATCATAACCATCTCTACCTCTTTGTAGTATCTAGGGAGTACTCCTTATCTCAAAGCAATCTACATCGAGTAGACTTCGAGTAGACTATAGAACAGTAACCCTTCGGCGAACGGAGGAAATGATCAGTTTCCCCTGTCGTATCTATCTGTACTCCGGACGATCATGCGATTGGATCTGCTTCCGTTTTGAACAGTCAGCCAACATCTTATCAGGTATCAGCCTTAGCCACTCTAGGCCAGCAGGAGATTAATTGAGAACCACCACCGACCAAGCCTCTTTATTTTCCGTTTCATCTCATTGATGACTGAGCCCTGAGACTATCTAATACTATTGGCAGAGAGCTATTGTCTGCATCGTGGAGACCGCAAGTCTACTATGTATTATTGATCACTAAACCGCGATCCAGCTTAGACAACATGTAAGGCATTTGGGCACACGAGGTTCTTTCCCGAACGGGTTACTGTCGAAGAAACTAGGTACTGTATAGTGTATATGATACTGTATGCCGTACCCGTTATATTTTACTTTCCGTACATGTGATACCATGCTCATACCTTACAGTTATGTAAACCCATGTCATCTCGGTGGATATCTCACGGCAAGCCGCACGAGTGCATCCAAAGCTATCTAGTCTATGCTCCATGCATTTGCACAAGAAGCAATTAAAGGCCTGGTCGATCCCCTCTCATTTTACTTTCCTGTGGTGCTGTCTGTAAACTCGGTATGCTTTCCTGCGACTAAGCAGCAACAGACTCCCATCATGCAGATTGTCATACAAATGCTGCAGGTCTCGTGGAAAATTGAGGCAGCAGCTGACCATGGCGGAGCAAATGACTTCAGTTTCTCAAGGGCCGACTGACTCGCCCTTTACAACGGTATTATTTCTCATTACTTCTAATCATTATTACCTACCTTAGGTCATTCAATAATCAATATTACAGCTTATGACCATGATTAACCTCCAGAATAAGATGAAGTCTTACTCAGCAGTTTCAGAAACTGCCTCATCACATCCAGCCCCAGTAGTCCTTTCTCGAGCAGAAAGTGCCTGCCTACAAACTTCAAGCATGATTGGCTCGAGATACACGCACGTTTGTTAATCCTTTGAGGCTGGCCCTTGCAAGCTATATTTACATGCAGCTATTTGGGGTGGAAAAAAGGAAACTCGTATTCGCTCAGCAGTTGGCTGTCTTTTACGGTCGCCTGGCCTGGAGTGGATATGCCGAGATGAAAGGGAGCTTGGGCCATGGGATGAGCCACGATGGATCAGGATCTGGGGTGGGAATCAAGGACATTACTATCGACAGCCACGAAAGTAGTCTCAGCCAGCATTATCCAGATACGGGTTGCAGGACATGACACTCGAATGTTATATATGTTACTGGACAAAGTTGCAAATTTATCGCGTTGTCCTCATATCGACAAACTGTGTAGGTTCAATGCCTTGCCGCCGCTTAATTGCATCATATGGGGTTTCTCATGCACCGAGTTACATCATGCATCATGAATATGGGGAAATGGACCTCGGTCACTCACGATACGCCTCCGATCTCCTGGTTTAGGTTTGTTCTCGAAGAGCCCCAGCGAAGATTATCTAGATGGTTCATTGTTATTGTTCATCAGGCTGCAGGCGATCATTGTAACATCACTGTGGCTGATTGCACTGCTCGGACCACATCATGACATTAGGTTATTGCTTGATGAGTTCGGAGTACATGAACACATAGGGCATATACAGAGGCTCACAAATCACAACACTGCATTTAACCTTGAATCACCGAATATAGTATGTTGAGTGATAATTAGATCTCCAAGTCTTGTCCCTAGCTTCAAAGGGGCCAGTGATACCTAAACACATCATCTTTGTATACTAGTCAGGTACACAAGGTTAAAGCAAGGCATCTGTCTGTCCTTATACTTAAACACAAATTTCAATACACTGTAATCTCCCTTGTAGTAATCTCAGATGCATCAACTTCTTCAAATGCTAATCTCCATGAGACCTGTGTCTAGTCCAATAGATAGCTTGACCATATCCCACCCACAACATCTCCATGACCTTTCTTTTTTGTTGACATAACCAACCTTCGGCACTGCCATGTTTCCAGCCCCCTCAGCCTCATCTCCAGGTCAACGTGGAGGAACTATGTGGACCCATCGTTGGGAATGTAGAGAAACACCGTAGAAGCATACCATCTATTTCTGGAATGTCGCAGCACTGTTATGTAGGCTGAAACTGTTGAGAATGTACTATGTATCTAGCTTGTGTCAATCCCAAAGAAGCCCAACGCATAAAGGAGCTTTTGTACAACTTGTTGGTGCCTTAAATTTGGTGGCCTGAACCGGTGTGTGTTCTAGATAGACAAAGGGCAGGACTCGAAGGTCCGTTTCATAACTATTTGGGTTCAGCCAAACAAACAAGACATTTTTGTAAAAGGATAATGAAAACCTGTAAATTGCACCTTTTTATTAACTGTACCGCTCGAGTCATGGACTCATGATAGATGTGAACCCAACCTAGTCTAATGTACCGCCCACCAAAACGCCTGAAGCCCAAATAACTGAACCCAACAAGAAAAATGACTAACTCTCCGATCCCTCACCAGATGAGGCAAGCAATTGAAATCCCTTGACCAGCCCCATAGCCGACCCGGCCGCAATACCTCCCACAAGCACCATCTGCAGCCCCCCAATTAATCCTCGCCGTATGTTCTGCCTGCCCTTCCACCCGCTCACGAAACATGTCTTGCCGTATCCGAAGAGAAACAATGCCACAGCCATGGTGGCAATGGACCAGCGCAGCGCAACGAATGCCTCGTGTGGACCGACGAAAAAGTAAGGCAACAGGGGGATGAATCCGCCGATGAAGTACCCCAGCGCGATCGTCAGAGCGCAAACCAGTGCACGGGAGTCGGATGGCTCGGGGAGCATGTGATGGAAGTTCATCAAAAACGACGGGAGCTTGGAAGAGGTTGAGAGATGATTGGTGAGTTGTGTGACGAGTTCGGGGGGAAGATCGTAGGGAGCAAAGATTTCGGAAATGTTGTCTGTCACGGTGGCAGGATCTGTAGCAATCTCGGTTTGGGTCTCTTTGAGATTTGCGCGGTAGGATTCCCTAGAGGTAAAATGTTAGCCAATAGTTCCATCTCGCCATAGCCACCGAAGAAGCAGTCGGTAGGAAGAGACTCACTCCTCGCTTTTCGCGCCCAGGTATCCGCCCAGTCCCATAGATATCGCACCGGCAATGAGCTCGGCGAAGCCTCCAAAGACAACCACTTTCGTATCACCCAGAGCTGATAGGCCTGCCGTGAGAGCAAAAGGCACGGTCATGCCGTCTGAAAGACCGATGATAGCATCCGAAACCGTTCTCCCATCGATGAGTTTGGACTCTTTCTTCTGAGTCACTTTTTGCCTGACTGGTTTATCGGTGTCGCTCCCACTGGCGGACTCGAGATCTTCCGAGCCATTTCGAAGGGGGAAGTGGAATTCTTTCTCCGGGTCTGACTCGGATACTGGAGAGTAGTGGGAGAGTAAACCTTTGATAGAGCTGAGAGACATGGTGCATCAATGGAATCGTATCTCTGTTTCTTGGCCTCGCTGTAAGGTCGTTAAAAACAAGGGAGGAATTTGTCCAGGTAGTTTTTGGGCGACTGCTCAAGATTTAACAGGAACCAAATCAGATACGAGATGTTTATAAGTCCACTCAACCTGCACGTTGGACCTCACATGGGACGGGACCCCCGGATACTTCTGGACGAATCGATGGCTCACAGGAGCGGGCAATGGAGCCACCAGAGGCAAGGATTTGATGCTAAAGAGAATAATCAACAGACCAGTGCCACATTGAGCGAGCTAACAAGAGACGATGCCTCTAAGCGATGTAGAAGAGAGGGGCGTTATCAGCAAAAAAAGCGGCCGTCGGTCATGACAAGTGCCCGCATCTCCCTGTTTATCAACACTGGGTCTGGAGTTCACCATGTGCAGGCGCAAGAGCCTATTGAGCGAGCATGACCAACAACGTGCTGTGCTCTTGGGCGGTCATCTGCAGGCGGAGGAGGGGATTTCCTTGGCACGTGCGGGTCTGATTCGTTCAGATGGGCGGGAGGAGACGCTTCAACTGCCAGCCAGCTCCACTTTGCTGTGGGAATCAGGGAAAGCTTGAGATTGCTTGGGAAAAGGCGCTTGCCTCGGAAAAGGCTAGCTCTAAAATTTACATCCAATGAACTTCTTGCCATTAGCTGTTTTTCGCTTTTGATTGGTCTTGTTTTTAATAGTGTATCCACCGGTTCCAAGGAGTTCATTCTCAATTCCACTGTGGATGATTTCTATATCAAGCCTCTTATCAACCACATAACTCGCCTTATAGGCTTATATGTCTCCAAGCAGTCCAAGGCCATCCAAGCATTTACACAGAAAACTTTTTTTTTTCTGCTAAATTACCTGACATCCACCTTCTCCCCGGAGTCGACAATAAAATTCCAACCTCTTGACACTCCCTTCTTCCCAGTCCATCAGGTCTCCAATTTATGCACTGACATCAAGGATACTCCAAGCAGCTGACCATTAATACCAAGTATTTCTCAGCCTAGGCTCACATGAACGAAGGTCACATGTCCTTATATACAGTACTATCACATCCTATTCATCCCATCGAGAAAATGACTTGTCTCATGGGGAGATATGTCTATCTCAATGTTGGAGTACCGACTAACTAAAGCGTCATGCCATGAAGATAAAGGGATTTGCTACCTCACAAGATCGACCTTGACTTTGGGAGATGCGCAGTCGTGTTCGTGTCGTGTTTACTAGCAGCATAGTTCACCAGTTGTGATGGTCAAGCTATCGACTGTACCGAAGCAGAGTAATTCAAAAACGTGCCATTCTAGAATAACCACGATTCTTGAGTTCCTATCCAATGGCATTACAGTTGTGATTCATTTAAACAAGCATCTAGATCAAGAGAAGGAAGTTCATATTAAGAGCTGACCAAGTGTCACTTCGCGGAATAACTCACCGTAAAATGTACCAGGAACATGCACAGCTAATCATTTGTAAGCCTGTATCCCAGAAGTTATCTTATCGTTCAAACAGTTATCAGACTGTGTGGCTCAGATATATCAATCTGGTACCTGAATACCTAAGTTTGCGGCATCTGCTTCCTACAGCAGCAACTAAAGCCTACAGGCTGAGCTACGCCACAACTTAACCAGATCTAGATGTACTTGCGTCAATCCTCCGCCTTTGGTGTTGGTATCACGAAATATATACACATCCAGAAAAAAAATAGAGCTGGGTCGGCAAGAATTCCATAGCAGTGCAAAACAGTGACCGACCAAATTCACCAGCCAGTGGCCAGCTCAGCATCCAACCAAAGCAATCATCTTTTCAACCGCTCCGCGTAGTTATTATTGGATTTCAATCCATCCCCTCACGATTTCGAATAACTATCGCGCCATCAGTCAGCAGTTCTGCCCAGACCATCCAGAGTCCAGATCCAGATAAGACAACTCACGGCTTCCTCTTCTCCGTCTCCACATCAGCAGTGCCCGCCATATTCCACAGTCGACTCTTATACGCAGGAAACGAGGTGTGATTCCACATGTTCACCAGAACACTATCGAGCCATCTTTGTCAGCCACTTGCATCGTCTGGTCCTAAACCCTTCCCTTGTTGGTGTAACACCACCCACCTTTGGCTCCGGTCCACATAGGCTTCGTCACTCAATTCCTTTACGCCAACCTTCATCCCGTCCCGGGTGAACATGACGTTCTTCTTCTCCATCTTCGAGCGCGTGGTCTTGCTGACTTCTTGGACGATGCTATAGGCGATGTAGCCGACGACGGAGAGCACGACGACGGCGATAAGGAGAATGATGAGGGGGACGATTGATTGGACCATTGTGTCTAACGAAGAAATTGGAAGCAGAGGCGGTTCGGGGAAAAGATGCGAGTCCGAGCGAGGAGGGTATAGAAGTCTAGAAGAGACACTGCCGCTTTATTAGCTGCGGGAAGGGTATAGGGCTGAAGGAGCGGGGACGAAAATGACGTCGGTCACGTGCGCCTGGGGGAGTGACACAGCATTGACAGGATGGATACATACCTGTGAGGCTGTGGCTATGAGTCAAAAGTCAGGACCACAAGTTCTATCAGGAGATCACAGGAAGGAAAAAATGGGGGAGAAGAGAAGAAAAATCTGGAAGAAAGAAAAAAAAAAGGTACACCGCGGGTTCGAGTTGTAATCTGATCGCCAAGTCCTTTTGGTGAGCGGGGTGGCGCATACAGAATTCTGGTGCCTAGATACTCTCCCTTTCCTCCCTTTTTTCACCCTTTTGGGCCAGTCAAAGCCACAATTCATGCACGAAGTGTTCTATTCCTGTGGTGACTGAGGAGTCGACCCAGCTACTAGCCTGCTACTCCAGGGAAACGGACATTTCTGGTCCAATCCCCGACGGTGGCTGGTTAGCGCTGGGCTCCTCCTGCGTCGTCAATATGACAGCTAAAGGATAGGAACATCACACTAGCCATGTACAAGCTGAATATCGCGCTACCTGCTGCAAATACCCTAAGTGGGATCTCGGCAGCGTCTTTCCTACTCATTCTAACGAAACTGGGCGTTGTTCTCATCTCCGACTCATCCCGGGACATCTTGGACGTTGTCTCTCGTTGGTATGTGACGATGCGGCCCACCGCAAGTCCATCCTTGGGACTTGGGAGACACGCATACGCAGGCTGAGCACTTATCCTGAATGCAGTGTCATAACCTGGCAGTTTCGGACCGGAGTCCGCAGTCGAGGTTTCTCGGATGGATATGGCAGCCACATGTGTCGACACTTTACAGCGGTGTCCAGTGAGACTGGACTTGACTGTTCATCACCGAGTCACCGAGTCACCGAGTCACCGACGCTCCGAGAATCCAGGATCTTTCGTCTCTTTCCGGTGGTACTAGGTCCAAGCAAAGACAAGATTAAATGAATAACTGAAGGGCCTTTCTATCAGTCACCGTTCGCTCTGAAGACGGTCAATTTGTCTTCTGACAAGAATACTGAAGTTGGCTCAGACTGTCCTCATTGGTCTAGCGAACCATGAAGAACACTCTACAAGCCCTGTATTTACCTTGATATGATTGACTGTCATGGGTATAGTTCTTGTTATATCTTGAATTGACCTAGACCATTTCATCTTAGGAAAGAAGGCTCCCTGCCATCATGCAGATGCACGGTGCCTCTGTGGGGAGAACAAAGTGTAATGAACTGGGGATATCCATAAGCCATAGATACGCAGTATCCAATTCAAGCTTCGCCATCAAACTGGACAGGAAATTTTCTTGAGGATCAGCATAGTAACAAAAGTGAGAGCAGGTCATCCTCCAACGCTCTGTAAGCCCTCAATCAGTCCTTCTCTATCCAAGAGCACATCACATGGTCATACGTCTAAACCTCCCACTCTATACCATCCCGATAATCCATCCCCACAAAACCCAAATAAAGATAAGGTTCATCTCAGACTTCAAACCCCCCCGTACTGCCGTCATCATGAATCATCCAATCCCAATCCTAATCCAGCCCTATGAACCTCCAACCGAACCATCCCATCCCATTTTCAGAACCCCCCTCCCCCTCTCTCGCGCCCTCTATCTCCATTTCCATTTCCATCCTCGTTCCCAGTCCCATTCCCATTTTACCAAGCCAACAAGCCCACCATGTGCGACATGCCCTTCATCCCCATCTTCCCGATCTGCTTCCAATGCGGCACGGACCAGAATCCCTGCCGGTGCAAAGTCGTCGGCCCGACGTTAGGTATGTGCTTTGTGGATGGACCCCGGGGGAAGGGGGGGGGGTTAGTGTGATTGTCTTGGTTCTATTTCAGACTGCTAAGCATTTCCCGGGCTAGGGTTCTTCACGACGGTTGTGGCTGCGGTATGTTTCGTCTGGGTCTGGGGTTAAGAGTATGTATGGATGTTGGCTGACGGGCTCAGGTGTTCTGTTATCCTGCGTCTTTGTTCTGTGGGTGCTGTTTTACGCAGAGGGGGAAGGAGTATGTTTGTTTCTTTTCCATTGGAGGTGGTGGTGGATTTGCTGACGATCGATAGTATGTTGGGGTATCCGGTTAAGTTGAATGGGAAGGTTGCGAATGCGATACCGATATGAACTAGACGGAGGGAGCTACGGGGAGGTAGACAAAGTTTTAAATAAATCTCATGGCATTGGTAGTCATCGATTATGGAAATAGCCTAGGTAGAACAATCGTTTCACAGATCATTAGTTTCCCTCGATGGGCGCGCGTCATTATCAATATATTACCATTCTTGAAGAAGAGGAGACACAGACGAGTAGGAGGTATACGGATAGAATATCAGGGAGTGCAGGAAGCAAAAAAAAAGAAAGAAAGAAAAAACAGAAAGGTATCCAGAGAATTCGACAACATAAAAATTATCCACCCATTGGTATCAATCACACGTAGGGCCGTTCAAAGCCTCGTCAAATGCGCATTTACTTGAGTTTCTCCTTGAGTCGGGTCCAGAGACTCCTCTTCCGCTTCTTCTCCTCATGGAGACCGTTCTTCGCGCCGTTGGTGGCACCCGTGGCTTTGGATTGCCCGTTGGTGGCAGAAGTGGCGGCAGCGCCCTGTGCTTGAGCAGCGGAGACCGTATCCTTGGGAGCGGGAGGGACGTCTGCAGCCTTAGACCCGGAAGCAGTGTCCTTGTCAGTGATGGTGCTGGGCATCGGAGTCGTCGACTCTCCTTTCGATCCGGGACCAGAGACTTCGGGAGCCTTGGCAGACCCGACCCCTGTAGTCACTGTAGGACCCTGGGCAGGGGGGGTCGTTCCGGGAGACATGGGCTCCGACTGAGGCTCGATGCCCGTGGCTCGAGGGGCACTCTCCGTCGTGGCGGCTGTAGCAGTAGGGGCGGGCGCACCAACGGAGTCTTCCCGAGGAACTTTCTGCGTCAGTTCATTTTCGACCTCCTTCTTCTCTTCGACTGCCTCCCGGTTGGCAGCCGCCTCGGGATCCTTGTGAGCATCGACAATAGAGTGCTTGACGGGGGCGGGCACTGCAGGGACGGGGTTGCCACCACCCAACGGAGCTGCGGCAATGTTGGGCGCAGGTGTGCCAGGAGAATTCTCCAAGGGCACTCTCCTTTGAAGCTCATTCTCCATGTCTGCCTTTTCTTCGACCGCTTCCCGGTTGGCAGCCGCCTCGGGATCCTTGTGAGCTTCCGCAATGGAGTGCTTCACGGGAGCGGGCACTCCGGCGACTGGAGCGCCACCGTACACGTGAGCCGCGCCAATGTCTGGAGCAGGCGTGCCAGGAGAATTTTCCTTGGGTACTCTCCTCTGTAGCTCGTCCTCCATTTCCCTTTTCTCCTCCACCACTTCTGGGTTGGCCGCGGCTTCGGGGTCCTTGTGAGCCTCGGCGATGGATTCCCTTACGATACCCGGAACCTCATCGACAGCACCTCCGGTGTATTTTTGGGATTCGAGCGGGACGGCAGCAGCAAGACCAGCAGTCGTAGCGGCGGGTCCTGCGGACTGGATGGTCACACCAGGATCCGTGAATCCCTGAGCGGGTTCGCCCATGGGAAGGCTGGATTCGGGAATGATGTCTTTGGAGACTGGAGGAAGGCCAAAAGCACTAGCTCCAGCGGTCTCGGTTCCTTTCGACTGGCCTCCTAGAACAGAGGCAACCGGATCCTGGGCGTACCCCGCAGGATCGGTCCGAGCAGTTGACTGGACGGTGTTGGAGGTGAAGGTGCTCGGATCAGGCACCTTCTCGCCTGGTTTCAGACTGATGGGGTTACCGCTAGTCCCAGACGCAGGGATGGGATTGACTGAGAACGCTTCGGCTTCCTGTCCAGGTGTCTCTGGAAACGTCCCGGGGACGTTGGATCTCTGTTCGAGAGGCACCGCCTTGGCGAGATCAGCAGTTGTTGATCCAGGCGCAGCGGATGAGATAGTCGCCTCATTGGCTCTTTTCTCGAAATCTGTGGGAATACCAGCCATCGTAGCAGCAGTTGTTACTTCTGGAGTGGCGGTGACCATCGGATCACTGTTGGATTGATGTGAAGATGAGTCCGGTTGGATCTGATCGGGGTTGAGGACGTTATTGATATTGCGATTGCCGTCGTCTTCTTCGAAGGCAGCGTTATCGGTAGTCCAGATGCCGTCAACGACGAACTTTAATTGCAGAGGAAAACAGGTGAGAGGTTAGTCTAGGTAGGTGTGGAGTTTTCCAATGTAACGGAATATACGCTGACGTGAAGTTTGGCTTAAGTATAGGAGGGAAGAGGGAGGCAGGGAGGAGGGAAAGCCAGCAGAAAAGCAAGGTGATAAGAGGCGGGTGTTATGACGTCAGTGGATGTGCGTGGAAAGAGTTCCAGCGTCATTGACAGGAGACGATGATAGACACCCGTAGTAGGCAGCCAGATATCATGTCACGCCATGATCAATCAATCAATCAATCAATGGATTGAGGCTATGCAGGTGGAGAGAACGCTGATGACAAGATGAAAGACTGTCTGTGAATGACTCCATACCTTATAGTGTATCTTCTCATCCGTCGCGAGCTGATGAACCTCCTTCTCGAAGATGTCGCCATTGCGATCCAATTTCACAGTCTTACCCCAGTCATCGAAGGTGCCAGTGACAAACACCTCGTTCGCTGGATATGGCCTACATGCGAGCAACCGGTTCAGTCAGCGATCCAATCCACAAACCGTTTGTCCGTGTACCAAGTTCCCGTGGTCATCCAGAGAGCTTCTCCCACCATCATCATCATCATCATCGATTCATCGCAGCAGTCAGACTCAAACCTACGGCATGACTCCGCAAGTAGATGTATATATATAAATATAGATATAGATATAGATATATAATAAAAGAACAGAATTTCTGACTCACCATCGAAATGTGAAACTTCCCATCTTTCTTTCAGTCGATAGAATCGTAGGGGCGAATAGGGTCCAACACGGACTCCACTGGGAGAATTGTGTGTGTGTGAGGAATCAAAAACTGCGCAGAATTTTGCTGCAAGAGACAAGAAAGAAAGGATATAAAAAGCAAGGGGTCCGGAATGCTTGCTGTGGATGCTTCTTATCCAAGGTCGGAGAGTTTCTTTTCTTTCCGTCTCTAGTTTTTTTGACCTTCTTATCTCTTTTTTTCTTGCCTGTTTTGCTTGTTCGTCTCTCTTCCTGTTGTTCGTTCTGTGATCTTCTTTTTTTGAGAGGTTGGGAAGATCGCTCTCACTGGGGATCTAGAGCTTTAACGCTGAGCGGGGTGGCGGTGACACAGACCTTTTGGGCGACTCGGTCGGACTTTGCGATGGCTGATAGGGCCTTGATGGTGCTAGTTCCAGGCGTCTTGGTTTGGTTTGGTTTTTTTTTTCCTTTTTTCTCTTCTCTTCTATTCCTTCTGGTCTGAGAAATCTTGGATAGCGGAGGGTGTACCCCTGGTAAACTCTGTAGAGCGCCGACCGCTCAGTTTGTCCAGGAGAACAGGTCAGTACATAGTAGTACTAGAGACTAGAGAGCGATAAGGACGATCACCAGGGAAATGCAACGCGGTTGGTTATGTATGTCTGTCTGTCTGGAAGATGGACGAGATAGAAATGACATCTCGGAAGGAATTATCACGTTTTTTCCCGGTTCTTTCTACAGGCTGCTATCGTGCTTGTACAACTCATCGGTGGGCTCAATCGATACAGCAACGCGCTGCTATCTATCTTGGCCAGAAGCTGTCCTTGTCCTACTCGTTACAGCTTATCACTGTCTCCCAACCTCGAGTTTCCCCTGGATTGGATGGGATAGTGGGAAAGAGCCGTTGTCAGCAAGTGATATGGGTAGACACTAGATAGGCTTTCAAGGTAGTTTCATCGATTTTTGCTGATTAGTTATACACCGTACTGGTGCAGTTGACAGCCGACGGTCTGATGAGCGCCCAAGCGTCATGAGTCCCAGACAGATTCCAAAGTGGACTGCAGGAACCTCCCTGATCAACGGGGATCGTTTTTCTCAAAAGGATATGCATGATGATCCAAACCTACCATGAATAACGAGCTCGGTTATACGCAAATAGGAGTCCGAGCCTGGCAGCCGTTCAATGTGCGCTTGATGTCTTCAGACTTTAAAACTGAATAATACTCAATGTACTACAGAGTAGGTAGTTTCTTATCGACAAGGACAGCTGCACAGAGTATGACTATAACACGGACCACCTACGATGACGAGCCCCAATCAAGACATCATCGATTACCTAGAGCTAGTCACTACAGAGTACAGCGACAGTAGATACCATTTAGGAAGGACAGTTCTGAAGACATTATTAAGGACTCATCCTATGTCCATGGTTTCAATTCCTTCTCCCAAAACCTTGAGAGGGATGTTTGAGTTTGACTAGATATAGAGCAGTTGTCCCCATGAATCCACGTCGATCCGGAGCTGAGAACAACGTCAGCAGTCAAACTCATGACCTCACAACAACCAGAGGAGACGTTTGGACTTCTTGGGTTTGCCACAAGAAGACCCCCCATTCTGCTTGGTGTATATTGCATTGGAGACGTCGAGATCAGAATCAGCCACCATTTGTCCATGTTCAGAAAGACAGAGACCCCCTTTTGGCCCTTTCCCCTATTCATTCCCCCCCCCTAATCCGTAGTGTCCATGGCGGAGTCTCTTCTACTCAGGCCCCATCAAAATGTTCTAGAAGACCCCTGGAAGATATTTGCACTTGAAAACGAATTTGAACTAACTTCCTCGATATTGGATAGATAGAGGGTCATGGATCAATTGATTAATTCTTGCCGGGATCTGAAGTCTATAAGTAGATAGATAGTAACTCTGGTGGTAGGTCTGGTTCGTTTCTATGACCACAGCTACTACCTACTATTGCACATCGCACCAGCGACTATTGGAGTAGTGCGTAGTCTAGCAATGGAAGCTCGTGACGTCGATCCAACTATTCGATGGCTTGATATTGCTGCAGCCATTGCCCTGCCCGTTGAGTCTATCTATTCCCCAAAAGGTGATGTATCCCTTCAGACCTAGGATAACATGCAAGTACCTAGTCGGTAGCTAAAAGTACTTGGAAGAAAGTATCTACTCTGTACTCCGTAGACTTGATAAAGATAGATAGATAGATAGACAGTCTGTACCCTCATGGATCATCCATCATCATCATCATACTGGACCTGAGCAACTTGGTCACTGAGCAAGCTTTCCGTCACTTCCTGCTGCTCCCCGCCTTTGGTCTTCCCTCCCCCCCACCTCCTCCTCTGTCCTCCTTTCTATACCCCCCTTCTGGAATCTGATCTCTTCCGATCTTCCCTCATCCTTTTGTTATATCCCCTTTCTCTTCTGTCTCGTTTTGTCAAGCCATCCCTCTCAGATAACTTCCTTCCCCATCACCCCTTTCCCCTATTCGATACAATTGGCCTTCCTCTCGGCTACCGGCTGCCGCTCCTGATTTCCTACCCGATCCCTGTCTTGGCTCATTTAGAGTCATCATACATGCCATACATAGGAATCTCTTCACGCGATTTATTAATCCTTTAATATACGGCAAAGAATTCAAGGTCTGATAGCTCGAACCCTCTCGTCCCAAGTTCTTTCTTCTTCCTCTCTTTCTTTCTTTCTTTGTTTCTTTCTTCTATCGTGTTTTAAGAACTCCTTGCTCAAAAACCATTATCCCCATTGCGCACTTGGAATTCCCATCCCCGCCGAATCTGAACACGCAATCTGTTTCAACATCTCCAAAAAAAAAAAAGAAAAGAAAAGAAAAGGGCACTGAAACAAGGAATAACCCCGCATCACTTGTCTTGTTTCCTCAAAGAAACGGAGAGCTTTGAAGACGGACCATCTTAAGCCCATTTCTGGACCGCTGCACTCTTAAATTCTTCCAATTAGGCTTCACCTCTGCTCTTTGGCGGAGACCGGAGACCAGCTAAGTGCTGTGTCGGTCTCTCTCCCAACTCCCCGCCCCCCTCCTCAAACATCCCATCTTCCTGCTATTCCATCCCATTCACACATTTTTTAATTGACTCTTCACCTATTCCCTTTAGATTCGGAATCTGCCTAAATCCTGTCAGGATCTCTCATATTTCTCTTCTCTGACATTCCCCAGATTCCTTCTCTACTGTCGCCCTAGCAGCTCCTCCTGTCTCGACGACCGATTTTACCTTCCCCGCTTCGAGGTGGCCAGATTCGGTGCCATCTCTGACACGACAGCCAGCAGCATGGCAGATAGCTCTTCCTTCCCGGGTACAAACCCGTTCCTCAAGCTCAGCACAAAAGACGATAGATACTCTCCCATCCAGAAGATTTTTGAAGAGGATGAATATGAGGTGACGTCACCAACCGATCCCACTTTTCGCAGGGCAAACCCCGCCGCCGCCACCGCATCCAAACCTGCAAATACACTCGCTGGAGGCAGTGGTTCCGGTGAAGGAAATGAAGGAAATGAAGGAATACAGTTCGGCCGACCCTTTGATGTCGCTTTCAATGAAGAAGGCGAACAGTCCGAACCGTCAGGGGCTGCTCGTTCCACAGCGGTCAGCGGCCAAGGTTTCCCCAACAACTACGCGCTGGGCCGTCGCACTTCAGTATCCGCTGAGTCCTTGAATCCTACCTGTGCTGGCTCAGACAGCTGGACGCCGCCGTGTCATCCCAAGACAGATGAGCAGCTCGCCCGGTTGAAAACCGCCGTGAGCAATAACTTTCTGTTCTCGCATCTGGACGACGACCAGTTTAAGACGGTGCTGGATGCACTGGTGGAAAAACCGATTCCAGCCAAGGATATCAAGGTGATCTCTCAAGGAGATGCTGGCGATTACTTCTACATTGTGGAGGATGGCCACTTTGACGTCTATATCCACCCCGCAGGCTCCGTGCAACCCGGCCCCGATGGCATGGGCAACAAAGTCAGCAGCATTGGTCCAGGAGGCTCTTTCGGCGAACTGGCCCTGATGTATAACGCACCTCGGGCTGCGACCGTGGTCTCCGCGGATTCCAAGAGCACGCTCTGGGCTCTGGACCGCGTCACATTCCGCCGGATTCTGATGGATTCTGCCTTCCAGCGACGTCGCATGTACGAGGCTTTCCTGGAGGAGGTGCCCCTGCTTTCGTCGCTCAAGCCCTACGAGCGTGCGAAGATAGCCGATGCCCTGGACGCGATCAAGTACCCCGCTAATTCCACAATCATCGCCGAGGGCGATCCGGGAGATGCTTTCTATCTCCTCGAGGCTGGCGATGCCGAAGCGTTCATGAAAGGCGTGGAGGGACCGGTTAAGACGTACAAGAGAGGCGACTACTTTGGAGAGCTCGCCTTGCTGGACGAGAAACCCCGAGCTGCTAGCGTAGTCGCCAAGACCGACGTCAAGGTTGCCCGGTTGGGCCGAGATGGATTCAAGCGGCTCTTGGGACCTGTACAAGACATCATGAGAAGGGCTGAATATCAGGCGAAGCCCTCACCTTCGTGATGTTGATGCAGTAGTGAGGCTGGATGGGTTGCGGGGGGTTTCCAAAAGAATCGTGTAAGCTTGGAGTGGTCCAGGATCATATTGTTTAGTCTTTGTTCTTATTTCTCATGTATCGTTCTTGAGAAGGAATATGTATTGGGAATATGGTACGATGAACATGAGCAGCTTTTTCGGTGGACCTTTGGTTTTAATAGCCTGCTTCACCAGTATAGTAGGTCCTTCTGTGTACCGAGGGCAATGTACCTGATCCTCTCATTCGTTTGATTGCGTTCGACTCTTCCATCTGAAGTTAAGTTAGGCATTTATGCCCTTTGAGCCACGCCATTGTCTCATTTTCCATTCTGCATCAGGAGTCTTCCCTTCGTGTACCTCGTGACTGTATCGAAAGTGTGGAAAATTACAATCGTAACTTGGCACATAGTCTCCTGTACAATTTCGAACCGTCTGCGCCTCAGATCGACTGTACCATCAAGCCGTAGCCAACCTTCCGATCCTCCTAGCCATCCAAAAAACCCAACACCGTTTCCTCTATACCAATCTTCTACCCCCCAACCTCACCGCGCAACAACCAAATCACTCCTAAGCACCCACTTCTCCCCCGCCGTGACCTCCTGGCCCTCATGCAGCAGACACCGCTCCCCATGCCGATGCAGCAGCGCCATCCCCACCTCCGGCGCCACGGAGATCGGCTCCGGGCGCCGATTCGCGCGGCTCGCCTCCGGGTAAAAGACCGTTGAGCCGCCGGAGCACGCAGACAGGTAGATCAGGAGCGTCCATGTTGTGCGGGCGGCGCGGGGCGTCGAGCCTGCGCCGGCACCTGCCGGTGTGAATGTGAGGGCATTTGAGTCGTCGTCTGGGGAAGGGGGATTCGTCAGTGGCGTTTTCATCCAAGTATAATGAAAGTAGGGGGGGGGACGAAATACAATGCTGCGCGAAGAACTGCCCGCTCGAGTATCGATATATGCGAATATTCGGATTCAAGCCTAGGGGCTCCCCGCCCCAGATTTCCTTGTTCGAGCGGCTCTGACGTTCGTTCTTGGGATTGGTGTCGGTGTCAATATCGTATTGCTCGGCGGCGGCTGCGCCGCCCACCAGGGCTGCCAGCGCCGTGCTACTCCATAGCTGCTCTGCGAAGTCGGCATCTTGCACCTGGAAGCGGTCGTTGACACGGACGGCGTCGCCTTTTTTGGGCTTGCCCGGGGTGGTGGTTAGGGGTAGGGAGGCGAGGAAGGAGACGTAGGTCTTGCAGAGGGAGGCGGGGAGGAAGTTGCGGATGAGGTAGATTTGGTCGTGGAGGAGGGGGGTGAGGGTGAGGTCGCTGGGGGGGATGAGGGGGCGTAGAGGGGGCCAGTTTGGGTTTGAGGAGGAGGAGGATGATGATGATGTTGGGGGAAGGGGGTTTCGGGAGGGTTTGTCTTTTTTGGATTTCGAGGGCATTTTGTAATCTTCGGGGCTTGTCTCCTAAGGGTTGTATCCGCGTGGTTTGGTTGTTCGATCTCGTCTGGTCTGTATCTAGACTTACTACAGCGTGATTGTTCGATGTTGTAGGTGGAGGAGTGATCTTGGCGGATGGATATGGGCTCGACTGGCTGTTCTTCAGCGTCGACTCTTTCGAATTTATCCCCTACATGATGAATTTTTGAGGTTGTATTCTCCTCTATCTTTCTATCTGCATGGTTGATGAGAATATGAGAAGTATATGTCCTTGAGGCACTGTGATTGATCGTTGTCAAATGCTACAGCGAACATAGCCATGACATTCTACAGTATTACAACCACGATCAATCACTTTCTCGGTCTCGGATCCATTCCACTTAATTGCCAGATATAGTCATATCAAATCCTCTTCAAATGTGACTCAATCTATCTGAACTTTCTGAAGTCTGTAACCATCCCGAACGTGCTCCCGCCATAGTATACTCTGATCCTACGATCCTACTGCTCTCATTCAAACTCAAAAGCCATTTCTCGCGTAAAAGTCTTCCAGACCATGGTTGGAATGCAAAAGAAAGATCTCCTTGAGTCTTCCCAACGAATGGGCAGTAGAAGAGAAGTGGAATCCCGAGTGGGTTTATTATTAGGACGAGAATGCTGGGCGGGGCGGGCCTGGGAGGAAGAGATTTTATAATCATTAGTCCAGGACAGACAGCCTATCGGTGCTGATTGAGAAGCAATGGGAAAGTCTCATAGGAAGAGATCATTGACTGCTATCTGATTTGATTCATCCTTTCCTGTGTCTGTATCCCAAGGGCATAGTTGCTAGTTGCTACAGAGAGAGAGGGAGGGACTCTGGACTGTCCCATCAGGTGACTGCACGTTCCCGGCTACCGCGCACCGCAGCAACCAACTGTGCAGTTTGGCGGCAGAAAAAAAAAAGGCAAGAAAACTTCTGATCCGGCCAATCAGCGGCTTGTTCTCGTCCTGCCGTTCCCATTGTCTACCTAGTCTCTGTCTTGACCTTACCTAAGAGGCTAAAAGTACTCTAGGTAGTATCCGTACTTCGACCATAGGTCATTATTCTTTCCAGCCAAAACTGCCCCCCGTTCGTTCTGAATGGCTTCCTCTCCTCACCGCCCAGCTTCTCTCCTCCACGCCTGTCCGTCTTCTTCCAGACAGCATCGAGTCGCCCAGTATCACAGCAGCCTGTCATGTCGTCGTCGCAGACCATGACAGCGCCAGCGGTGGGCCATCGACCGCCTGATGCGGCTCCAGATATGTCGGCTTTGTACGACTATGGCCGCCCTCATCACCACCAGCAGGACTCCGATCATCCCCAGCAGCAGCAACAGCAACAGCAACAGCAACAACCACCGACCCAGCGAGACAGCGATTCTTTCTCTCCGCGCAGCGACTCCGCCCTTCGCGCCCTACATGAACCGACTCTTGACTGTCCCAGCAGTTCTACCCACGATTTACCTTCCCTCTCCGGCATGATTGGCGTCAAATCGGAGCCAAGTGATGCAGGGAACAACTTCGCCGTTTCCCAGCCGGATTATCAGAACGATCTCCGCCGCCAGTCCGCCGCCAGCGCCCTCCTGGCTCAACTCCTCGGCAACCAATCCTCTGCGACATCCGCCGGCCTGGAAACACAATCTGCAGAACACGCATCCTCAACGAATAACACTTCCAACCCGACCGATTATGCTCATATTGACCATCCCGATCGAGAAACAGCCGGAAAAGGGACAATAGACAAATCTGCGGAGACTTCTGCGCTCACACAGCCGGTCGCCGACCACGAATTACCACCCATCTCGAGCGAACTTCCAGATTCGCAGCATCGAGAAGAGAAAAAATCCGATCAGCTGCCCGTCGACCTGTCCGTTTCGGCTTCGGGGGGAAATTATACAGCCGATGCAGTAGTGATCAAGACCCCAGATCCTGCAGAGGGCTTGACGGATCCATTGATGTTCTCCAAATCGGGCCTAGACCACCCCGACCTTTTCACGCCTTTCGACCTCACTACCAACGGAAAGAATCCCTTTGATGCTTTGCAACAGAATGAGATGCTTACCGCAACGTATCTATCGCAGTCCGCCGACCTCTCCGCCCTTGGCTATTCCGCCGGCCATCTGCAGGATGGAACAGGCTCGATCGACGGGTCGGAGCCGCGAATCCAGGCATTCGCCAAGTTGGAATTTGACGACGGACATTTCTACTGCAACACATACTCCTTTATTCTTGGTCGAGATGTACGGGCGGCACGGGCGGCGCATCAGCGAGAGTTTCAAGCCAGGCAAGCGATCAGGACATCACGACCTAAAAGTTCGAGCGGTGGCAACGCATCGCACACGCCGGTGCGAGTAAAACATGAGGGCAGCGGTATGATAGGCAGCGTCGTGAGCGACCGGGGTGGAATCATGGGCTTTGATCCTGACATCCCGGCTCATCTGCCCAAGCGTTTGAGCCGGAGATCCTCGCACTCATCCGAACAGGGCGCACCGCTGCACGCTACGCCGGCTCAACTTCAATCAACAACCGATTACAATGCGCTTGCGATGCAATCGTTACACGAGACAGGCGGAGACGCGAAGCCTGTCGATGCCCTCGCCTTACTACCGTCGCCCGATGCCTGTCCGACCATTCCTATCCACCCTCCTGCCACGGTCGACGGTAGCGCCGCAGGACATCGAGGTATTTCACGCAAGCACGTCAAGATTGCCTACAATTTCGATAAGAATCTCTTTGAGATGGAAGTGATGGGCAGGAACGGTGCCTTCATCGGTGCTGACTGGTTATCGCCGGGCCAGGTCCGACCGTTACATAGTGGGGATTATCTCCAGATCGGCGGAGTACGGATACGCTTCCTGCTTCCCGACGTACCAATTGGGGAAACCGGGGCAGAAAGGGCCGACGAGCCTTCGGTCGAGGAGGACGGAACCGTCAAGGTCTCCGATGATGTAGAGGACTCCGAAAAGCGAGACAGTGAGGGTGCTGATAACAAGGATGGGGTCAAGCCGACCAAGATCATCCTGAAGACCAAGGAAGCGGATTCTGCACGACCCGTGCCATCGATAGAGGGCTCCGGGGACGGCTCTCAGCCTCCTGCCCGCCGTCGGGGCCCAGGCCGACCTCCCAAGGACGGTATCATGTCCAAGCGCGAACGAGCAGAGTTGGCAAGGGAACAGAAACTGGCTGCCCGGCGCGAGGCCAACGGAGGTATCACTCCTCCGCCGCCCGGCCGTCCCAAGGCCGGGAAGACGATAAGCACAGGTGTCCCGGGTGCAATGGCCGCGACGCCGACCGCTGTCGGCGAGAGCGAGTCTCCTGGATCGAAGCCGGAAAAGCGCAAATACACCAAGCGGAAGAAGCCCGATGGGACCCCCATGGATTTCCCTTTGCCGTCGACGGAGGCTGGACCTTTCGCTATGGAGCAGCGTCCGGAAGAATTCATCAAGGCGCCCCCGGTCAAGAAACGCAAGCCATCACGTTCGCCTTCGCCCAACTATCCCCCCGAATCCGCCTACACACCGGAGGACCTGGCCAAGCCGCCATACAATTATGCGGTCCTGATCTTTGACGCCCTCACGGAAGCAGGCACGCCCATGACACTGAAGCAAATCTACCGTGCCCTGAAGTTGAAATATCCCTATTTCCGCTTCAAGTGCGAAACCGAAGGGTGGACGTCCAGTGTACGGCACAACCTCAATGGCAATAGCCATCTCTTCATGCACGCCGAACGAGACGGCAAAGGATGGTCCTGGCAACTTCGGCCGGGCGCTTCCGTTGAGAAGGAGAAGAAGAGACGCCCGTCGCCTCCGCCGCCATCGCAGCCCCCATCCATACCTGCTACGACGCCGCAGTATATGCCTCCGTTAAACTCGCCGTATCCAAACCCACAGAATGGACACGCGAATATGGCCAACCAGCATTTCCAATTTCCTACCATGCCTTCGAACTCTTACGCCGCTCCCGCCCCGCCTCCTGTTCCTACTGCGGTCACTCCCGCTGCTCCTCCCCCTCGTCACCAAGATTCGTATCCTCCTCTTCCTCCTCAACAACCTCCCTCGTCCGTGGCTCCTGTGCCTTCTCCTTTTCCGATACCCGGCCCGCTACGGAACAATCTTCCGCCCGCCTTTGCACAGAACACACCCTCTACATATACCTCTCCCTATGCTTCCAGCCCTGCACCGCACCTGGCTCAATTCCCGCAGTCGCAGCAACCGCCGGGGATGCACTCGCAACCGCAGCATCACTCACCATATCCTCCTCATAATCCTTCCGCACAGCCACAGCAGCAACAACAGCCGCAACAACAGCAGCAGCAGCAGCAGCAGCAGCCGCAGCAACAGCAGCACATGCCGCCCCCGCCTCCCGTCAACTCGCAACACCAACAGCAGTATCCTCCGCCAAACCAGGGACCTCCATTGCAGCATCCTCAGCAGCAACAGCAGGCTCACTACAATGTTGCGCCAATGAACAATGGCCCCATGCCGATGAACGATCCGGAGTCGGTGTCGTTTGAGGAGCGGGCGAGCAAGGCGATTGACGACTTCGAGGCCGTTCTCCTGGAGGATTATGAAGACAAGAACCATATCAAGGAGGTACTCAAGAGCGCCCGAGCGCGTGCTCTGGGCCATGCGACGGAGAGCTCATTCCCTGGAGGAGAGCCCAAGGACGAGGCGGTCATTCTGGACGCACTCCGAACGCTGATCGGAGGCTTGCGGGAGGAGTAAAGGCTGGCCGGGTTGACTTCGACTGCCGCCTTGATTTGCACGATTTCACGAAATGAGACTTTTTATGTTTATGACTGTCCTGGGAAACAGCATTTGGAACTCTTCGTACTCGGAACGGTGTTGCTGGACGGTCTGTGATTGAGGAAAAAGAATCCGCGTGAGTGACAAAGATCTGCTCATATATTCGGTTATTCGCGTATGGAGTACTTGAGCCATCAGCCATCAGCGTCGTTGATCGCTGGCGTCTCCCTCAATTGGCCTGGCCTTTTTGTTTCTTTCCTTCTCTCTCTCTCTCTCTCTCTCTCTCTCTCTCTCTTTTTACAATATCTTCGTTTTTTTTTTCCCCTCCTTTTCTCTTATTATTTGAGAATCTTTCTTCAACTGATGATATCCACTCTGTTATGAGCGCCATGCTCTCGAGATTTATTTTTTGTGTTGGTTCTTCTTGTCTACGGTGGTGGTACCTGCCATGCAGCATGTGCAGGTTATATTTGATTGACCCAGGTCAGGCATGGAAAAGCTAGGCGTTTGTTTGATTGAGCAGGCACATAGATGAATCTGAACAAATACATTCAGCATATCATATCATCAATTTTATTTTATTTTATTTTTTGCAGAGGCTGGTGTACTCCATAGAACCTAGAGTAGAGAGTATCTACCCAAGTCCAAGCAACCCCTCCCCCACTCTCTTGCTCCGGATTCTTCCTAATAATATATAGCGGGGTTGCTGTTAACAACTCACAACGACACCGGTAATGTAGATAGCAGATAGATAGATACAGTTAAAAAAAAAAAAAAAAAAGACTAGAGGAGAATCAAGGAGAACCCCCACCGGTCGCTGCATGATTAACCCGACAAGAACTATTTCAGGAGCGTAGTGCATAGTGCATGGCGCATAGTAGTAGTAGTAGTAGTAGTAGTAGTAGTAGTAGACGAAGAAGAAGAAGAAGAAGAAGAAGAGCCCCTCAACTCAGCCATTTTTCCCACTTTTCCACATCGGATGGCCCATGCATGCAGCGAGCGAACCTCCGTAGGAGTCGGTAGGTTCTTTGCCGCTTAGGCGCTGGGGGTTTCTTGGGGTTTTTTTTTTTTTTTTTTTTTTTTTGATGGATGGATGGATGGATGGATGGATGGATGGATGGATGGATGGATTTGGGCAGGAATCTGGATTGAATTGGATTATTTGTATGCCCCTCCTTTTGGGGAGGTTTGTTTACGTTGGTGGTGGAATGGGATTAATGGTTATTGAGCGACTGTTGTGGATAGATAGATATCTCTCTTATGTTTGTGCTTGTGCTTGTGCTTGTGTATGGTATGGGTAGATAGGTGGAGGGTGCCTTACAGAGGGATGGTGATGGTGATGGTGATGAGGTTGAGGTTGAGGTTGATGATGTCGAATCAGATATATATCGTTTTATCGCATACAGAGGATCGAAGATGGAGGATGGAGGAGGAGTACAATGGAATCAACTAATCTACCTACCTCTGGGAGGAAGGACATCATCCTGCATCTCCAGGAAACATATATCCTCATGATAAATACTACTAGGCATTTGTACGACTGACTCCATCCACCCGATCCAACCAGATGATCCAGCACTGCCTGGTGGCAGGGTCATAGGCATCAAACAGGGGGGAGAGGAGATAACTACGGGGTGACTGGGGATACCTACAGTTTCAACCAGATTACAGTCAGTGTTGATGCACGATGCAACTTGGTCGTACCTCCAATATTTGATTTGAAAGATAATCCTGCATTGGCGGGTGGATGAGTCAGATGAAAGAAAGGGTCTATCTGAACTGGGCGTGGTGGGACGGCAGATGCTTGGAGTCGGTGCCTGCTGCTGCTGATAGTTGATAGTTGATAGTTGATAGTGTGATGTCTGTGATGTCGCAAGGGATCGCTGCTGCGACTGCAACTGCAACTCAACTGCAACTGCAAGTATTTGAGTACAGGTGCCAACCACGGAGTAGAGGTAGACAAGAGAGACAATATTACGGAGTACGGATACATACTGTAGTACCTAGTAGTAGTCGGTAGTTGGCTGAGAAACGGATGGAATGTCGTCTCCTACGCGTTTGGATGCACATGACGGAGATGGGATGGGATTCATTGGGAGGTTAACCACCTCTGTCATGTCATCGAAAAGGGAAGACTCTGCAGCCTGATCAAACAACCAGCAACGATGTCATGGTCTGGTCTGGTCTGGTCTGGTGTGATTCATTGAGGCTGATCTGATCTCTTGCCACCGGTGAACTCGGGCCATCAGTTAACTAACTAGTCCTGCCACCGTCCATTTTGCATTTGGTCACCGCCATCATCTCTGTAGTCGTCTGTACGTAGTAGCTCCCTTCCTAAACCAGTCTAGATCCTCTAGGATGTGGTATGTACTGGGTGTACCACTAAGACACGTTTTTTTTTTTATTTTAGCACGGGGAGAGGGCGTTGGGTCATTGGGTCATTGGGTCATTGGATCATTGGGTGGTGCACGTCCCCAGCCAGATTGATTTAAGTGACCAGTTGAACTCATTATTTTTTGTCTTCTGGAGGGCTGCCCCATTTTTTCTTTTCGCGTTTTGAGTTCGAGACTTTTTCCCTATTTTTTTATTTTTTTTTTATTTTTATTTCTTCTTTTTAATCTGTCGACTGCCGTAGACTCGTAGTAGATAGACGATGCGCTACTGGTGACTTTTACACTTTACAGTCACCAGTGGCCAGCTTGTACGGGATTCTCCTCCTCGTAACTGGTCTGTGTGTTACAGCGCCTTTGCATCACTGCTGTCTCTTGAAGTTGAGAGTTGCACTTAGCACCGCCTTCCATTCCCTTTCTTTTCTGCCAAATGTCTGTCTGTCATTCACTCCAGCTGAGTTGTTAAGGGGAATGATGACGCTGGTCATGGGTACCTGCAATGAGATGACGGGTGCTGCTGCTGCCTCAATCACTATCCAAAAAAGATCTTCAAAAAAAAAAAAAAATCTAAAATATAGAAGTCACTCGTCGAGAAGAATTTTTTTCCCCCCTCCTGCCTGTATGGAGTAGGTTACTGTGTCTTTCCTTGGGGAACCACGCTTTCGAGCATGAAAAGGGAAATCAACCAGAACCGGCGAAACCTTCCAGCGGCGGTAGTTGACGAGTTCTTAGTGGTGTTGTTACTTGCTAGACTTGCTAGACTTGCTAGGACCTAGCTACCTAAGGACTGCTAGATGACTACATACCTACAGGCTACAGCATGCTGTAGCACTCACTCAACACGCTAAAAGTCAAGGGGTTAGGGGTGGACCACCATGGGATTTAGCAGCAGTGTGACCCCATACAGGTGGCTCCGAGTCCCCCGTTCGAGGCTTCGAAGCCGCTAGTAGACTTCCTTCAAGTCTCTTTGATAATGATAATAATAATGAATGCTTAGGAGAATGACAATAATGAAAAATCATCAGACTTCAGGGACACATTGTTGCAGTCTTATTTACGGGAGTATTTATCTGGAATACCGTGAAATCTTACTTTTTCTTGAAGATGCCCTATCCCATACAGAGTACGGAATACGGAGTATGCAGGACGTTTAAAGAGGTCATACAGTACTTAGATAGCATGATATGATGATAGAAACATACTAGGCCAAAATCCTCCCGGAGGTAGATGAATCCTGACTAATTACTCCGTAGACAGTTGCCATTTCTATTCCTATTCATTGATGTCCCATCCCATTTGTTCTGACCCGGTACTTTTAAGATACCTTGGTCTCTGCGACGAAATCAGGAGATACATACTGTAACTGCAGTCTGCAGTCTGCACCGTAGCCTGTCCATTGGCAGATGATCGAGACGAAAAGAAAGAAAGAAAAAACTCTAAAAGGATTCGTTTAAGGAGTGAGTATTCTAGTTAGTATTTTACAGAGTAGTCCGAAGATCTGTCAACTACCTTAGACTACAGAATAGTACAGTGTAGGTTAGATATTGTATGGAGGAGACACACTGCAAGAATGATGCTGAGTCGTTGACCTGTTGGCCCCTTTCCTTATTTTTCTCTGATTCTCTGATTTTTCTCACTGGCTGCATTGGAGTTCCTCTTTTTCCCATCTTCCCAGTCGCCATAACACCCTTTCATTTGGGTTGGGTGGGCGTGAAGGGCTGGAACTGGAAGCCTTGGACTTTGGAGTCGGAGACAGCATAAAAAAATTCAATTAATAATCTGCATGCAATGATTTTTATTTTTTCAATTTTCATTTTTAATCTTTTCCATTTTTGTATTTTTTTTTTTTTTTTTTATCTTTGCCCTTCTCTCCTGACTTGTCCGGCCGATACTATCCGTTAATCACTGCCCAGTGCCCACACACTTGGTCCTTCCAGTTCCCACCAGTACGGGCTACGGGCTACAGCCTACAGCCCCCCTCCGTACAGCCTGCTTCCATGTCGTACTTACAGGAGCCTAGGAGGGGGACATGTATGGGGTATGTATGTAATATTACACACTCACAGTCTCACTCACACACACATACTTACACAGGTCACAGAGTCACACCTACCTTAGATTAGACAAATCCCAACTTCCAATGTCTGACTCTAGCCCCAGTGTTCCCTCATCACAGGCTGACCTGAGTACCTGACTGGACAATCTTACAGGTTTCCATCTCTCCAATCCCATAGTTACCACATCCAAAATGAACCCAGAACACAGAATAGACCAGAACTTAACAAGAGCGATCATCATCCAAGGTTCCATTCTCCTCTAAATAATCAAATCCATTACTATTATTATTATCATTATTATTATCATTATCCTTATAATTTTATGATGAATTATGACCATTATTCAATCAGAAAAAAGAGAATAATAATAATAATAATCATAATGATAATCGTAATGAAAATGAAAATTCCCCATTATTGCCAAATTGCCATATGGAACTCTTAGTACTCTCTTACTCTCTCACTCTCTCACTCTCTGTCCCAAGTTCTCAACCTTCTGCTAAACCCAAGTAGTTAACGCCTTCTGGGCTAAACTCCATCCATCCAGCCATACTTCTGGCTTCCTTAGTTACTACTAGTCTAACTGCTTCTCTCTCTCTCTCTCTCTTCTCTCTCCTCTCTTCCGCTTCGTCAATAATAATAATTATTATTACTCCGTATTATCATTCTCTCCGTACTGCTCCTCCTCCTCTTCCCTTTTCTCTCTCTCCTCCCTCTTCTCTTCCCTCCTCTCCGTCTCCCTCTTCTCTCTCTTTACCCTCTCCATCACTCGCCTTCTGATTCTTTTTTGTCCCTTTAGAAATATTCTCTCTCATCTTCATCCATCCTCTCCTCCTACCAATCCTTCTCAACGAGCTTTTCACTAAGTGTCGTTGTCTTCTTGATCCGAGGCCTTTCGACGTTGACGTGAGGGAAAGGGGAAAAAAAAAATTAATTTTTTCTCTTCCGATCCCCTACCATTTCCTCTATCGTCTTTTCTTCCCCAGCCTCTCCTGACTTCACGAACTCCTCTCCCTTACTCTTTACCCCCATCGACCATCAACAATCCTCGGACCACGTTCCCATCGCTGGTGACCGTCTTCTGAACTGTGAACCCTATCCTTCCCGAACGTGCTTGTTGAGCGTCTCGTGTAAAGGACATCAGCTCGTCAAAACATACCACCGCAGGAGAATCGCACAAATTTCGCCGCGTGAAAAAGGACCCGACAACACAAACATCAAAAACACGCCCTCGGCGATTCCTTGTTTTCGCTCTTTTCTTCTTTCTTCGTCAACCTCAAAAAGTTGAATTTCCTCCCATCCATGTCATTCAACTAAAGAAAATCACCATACGGCAAAGACAGAGCTGCGGCTCGTTGGGCGACGCTCTCCCCAGCATCAGGGCCTGGCGGACGTGTAGACGGTTCGTACTCTTATCTGGTTTCTATTAACCTGTTTTCCTTTTCTGGCAACCTTTGCCCTGATCTGTTTTCTCCATCGCTGGAGTATCCTTACTGATTGATGTCTCGCATATAGCATTTGATCGTCTGCCTTCCCCGTCCTGAACTGGTTTCCCTCTTTCTTCTCAAATCTGCAATGCCGTCCTTCTACGCTCCTGCCCTTCAGGGCCTTCCTCCCACCCCTCCTCACGTCCTGCCTGGCGGCAGGATGGACAGCGAGCAGCCGTATTATCTCGTCAATAACTCTGCCTTCCCTCCCCGCTATACGCAGAACGGTTGTGAATTCATCGAGCAGTACTCCCAGTCCACCCACTACTCGAAACCCGCTCCGATGAATCTCCCCGTTCACCATATGCACAATGGCAGAGATATGACCGCCGCTCATCCTGCGTTGAATCCGTCGTTCGGCCCCCTGCCTACCGCGAACGTGTTGCCTCCCATCCGCTCCGGCCTTCAGCTGCCTCCCATGGAGAGTGCGATCCCCCCGCAATACCGCCGTCAAGATGTCATGATGCAACCAGAGCAACAGCAGCGCAAAGAGGAAAAGGCCACCGGAGGCGTAGCCGCCCACCTGGATTATGAGATGGAACAGATGTCCGACTTTGTGGCCGAGATGGCTCAGGGAATGTATGCTTTGTACATCACCAAGATCAACCTAGCAGATATTGACTTCGCGCGAAGCGTCTACCCAGGAACATCGGTCCCTCCCCAATTCCGGAAATACGTCTATCAGATCCTTTCTTCGACCCGCCTCCCAAGTTCCACGATTCTGCTTGGTCTCTACTACCTCGCCAGCAGAATGCGCATGCTGTCGTCCGCCAAGGTGTACACTTCCGGCAGCGGGCAAGTCTACCGTATGCTGACGGTCGCCCTTCTCCTGGGAAGTAAGTTCTTGGACGACAACACCTTCCAGAACAAATCGTGGGCCGAAGTCAGCAACATCCCCGTCGGTGAGCTGAATACGATGGAACTCGATTGGCTCTTTGCCTTTGAATGGAAGCTCCACGAGCGCATCCATGATAAGCAGGACGGTTTCTCCTCGTGGCTTTCTCACTGGGAGACTTGGCGTGCAAAGGCTACCGCTCGGGCTCAGGAGACTCGCCACAGCCTCGCTCCCATTGACACCAACGTCTCTCGCGGACATGTAATGTCGAAGCCACTTCTGTCCCCTGAGGGACCGATTCCTCCGCAGTACCAGCGGAGTTCCCACTATGAGAACTCCTGGCTCAACCCTGCGGCGTCGGAGTACTCGCCGCCATCTGCTCCCCACAGTGGTCCGACCACCCCTGACTACTACGCTGTTGGATCTTGGGCCTATGCCAATCCTCCCCCGCCGTACACACGCACGTGGGTTCCGCCACCCCAGCAGTACATGCCTCAGTCCGCACCCCGATCACAGCCTCCATCGTACCACCACACGCCATCTTATGCGTTGCCGTTTGCACAAAGTGCGTGGACCGGCCATGGGTCCACTTGCGGCTGCTTGTACTGTGCCAAGCACGTGGAGCACTACATGTGTGCGAATGCGTTTGGTCCAATGCAGGCCATGGTCGCTTAGTTCGAACTCCTCAATGACGATCCGCGGCTTTCAAATGCTATGCGATAGACTCTACGATTTTTCTTTCTCTCTCTCTCTCTCTTTCTCTCTTTTTTCGACTATTTATCTCTTCTCTCATTCTTCTGATGATACCGTATTGTCTTTGCGATGACATGTGTTTTATTTTCCATCTTCGATTTCGGTCCCTTTTTTTTGTTTGCATATGTCGAAAAGTACCTGTGCTCATCCACCGTCAATTCTTCAAATGTCGGAAAAGCGAAAAAGCAACAAAAAAAAGTCTTTCCAACAGCGATATCGGAACGGCTCTGCCACATCTACATCCACGATCCGGAATTCCTCGATGCATTTGCGATATGGCATAGCCTCTTTGTCTCAGCTCAGCTTTGATACGATCTCATTGCTTATGGAGGGTCATTGCTCTTCGTGTCGCACATTTACTCCACGGATTTTTCCTGCCGCCCTCTGGTCCTGGAGTAAGACAGGTCACGACGATCATGATCTTTTTTTTTTTTTTTTTTTCGTCCTTGCAATTTTTTTAATGGTCCCAGTTTTGATCATCTTTTCTTCTTGATTTCATTTCATGTTTTTTGGATTGGTCATCTCACCTGGCGGTTGTCACATATAGATCGCTTTCTTTGATTTCCTCGGCTTGGCACATTGCTTTCTTTAACCTCAGCTGTACTCGTTATTTCGAGTGTCATGGCGTTCATATTTCCCAATTCTCTGTTCGATCTCCATTCCTATTTTACTCATGCATCTGTCTGTTTCGGTTGCGGAACATATTTCATTTCTGTGCTTCTCATTCATCACACGGCGGGGATCTCTCTCGGTCTTGCAACATCTGCAGCCGTCGGTGCAACATGGTGGAGGACCCTATGTTTCTCGTCTACTTGTGTTGATTTCACCTGACAATTGTCTTACATATTCATGTTCAAAATGTCGATCCGACATTGGAAAAAGTGATACTCCCCTTCCATTATTTCTCTTCTGATCCTTTTTTTGATTTCTTTCCATTCCAGCGATCGAACTTGCATGTTCTTTCCCTCTTCCAGATGACACTATTTACCCTGATTCGATGTAACTTAGATGGATCTCAACTTTTTAAGACTATTTTGTGCAGCAAAAGGTCACCAAACAAATTTGAAAGCGCAAGAAAAGAAGCACGACAACATTCATTTCTTCTCTCCAAGGCGTGAGAAAGCATTCTTTGCCTTTTTGTCTATATCTCATTTTCCTATCTGTTTCTCTGTGTCTCTCGTAGAGCTCCATATCTCGGTCCACGAGGTCCACGCATGATACATCTACCCCATGACGATGTATACATCCCACTGCTTGCTCTTCAAAACCATATAGACTCTACTCCTACCCCGTCCAAGCATTTTGACTTTATTCCGAGAAACACAAGTCTGGTACCCGGTGACATCACTAGTCCATAGATACCATGCTCCTCAAATCTATGAATTTCGAGAGCCGTGATGAAGTATATCTTTTTTGTTCTATAAGGGATGAAGTAGTAGAAGAAGTAGACTATGAAAATTATGTAATGCATGCTTTGTATTTCGAGGTATCAAATCATTACTAAGACTCGTCGCATATCGTAAGAATGGCGGAATGGGGTAAAACAGACTCGAAGGAGAACGGAGATGTGCGCTCCCACAGATGGAGGTAGGGCGATGGTTAGGCTTTGTTAAAATTCGTCAATAGACACTTCCTCTGATGCTCTGGTCGAGCTGGCGTTCTGCCTCGAGCGCTGCTTGGCCGTTGCCATCGTCGTCTTCGTCGTCATCGCCATCGTCATCGTCGTCGTTGTCGCCGTCGTGTTCGTGTTCGTGTTCGTGTTCATGACCGTACGCACAGGTGTGTGCCTCGTTCTGTGCAAAGGAGGCCGAGGCGACCGCTACGGCTCTGTCTGGCCCGCTGGTGAACGTTGCGCCCTTTTTCGAGCCGTTGCGGTTCACGCGGCTGGGGAGCTTCTGGAAGCGCGTGTGTTTCGTTCGCTGCGCCTGCTTGCCGTTGTCTTCGTCATCGCCGTCGTGGGCGAAGTCCTGAGAGGGTTTTGGCCGGTGTTGATCAAGTCGGTCGCCATAGGAGCCTGGGTAGTCGCGCTCGTCTTCCGAGGGCGCCATGCTGTTCGCGCCGCTCATGGAACCGCCGCCGTCGTGGCCGCTGAGGTGGAAGAGGGCGTAGTTAGATCGCGGCGGGTGCAGGAGGTGGTCCTCACTGTCACGGTGGAGTTTGGCTAGGTCGGGCCGTCTGGGTGCGGGGTTCAGGTTCGGGCTCGGGCTTGCAGCAGCTGGCCTGGGGTACCCACCCGGTGTTTCTGTGACGGATGTCGTGCCAGGATCATAGTGCGTGGAGACGATGCTGGGCTGCCCAGCGGAGACCCCGGATTCGTCCGAGGGCCCAGTACGTATGTCTGAGAGCCTGAGGTTTGAGGGGCGATCTCCAAGGAGTGGCTCGGCAGCAACGACGGCTTCTAGGCCGGGCTCCGAAAACTTCCTATGGAGGCCGTGGTTACAACCGTCGGGACATCCGCCCCATGTGCGACTGACTGATTTAGCGATGTGCGTAGTTGCGGGGTTGAGGCCTTTGGCGGCTCGCTCGCGTTGCCTCTCGAGCTCATTCTCCTTCTTCAACTCGGACCATGTACGTAGCTTGTTCTGAAGCGCATATTTCCCGCTGTCAGGATTGAGCTTCATGATCACAAACTCACAGTGGTTGATGTTGCGCAGATCTTCGAAGTATTCAACGCTCCAATGATACCACTTCATCAGAAACACCCGTGTCATGAGTCCATGCGTCACAAGCACGCAGACACTCGCACATTCTTTCTCTCCGAACAGACGCCAGAGTGATTCGTTGAAGCCGCTGACACGGTCGTACGCATCCGCGGCAGACTCGCCGTTCGGTATCCGGTAGAAGAAGTGACCATAGTCCGCCCTCTCCAGCCACATTCGCTCCATCTCTGCAGAGCATGGCTGGAAGTTTCCAAAGTCTTGCTCCCGCAGCCGAGGTTCTTCATATACCTTGATAGTATTTCTTGGAAATGGTGATGGAGATGGGATGTCGGATGTCAACGATTCGAGGATCCCTTCTGTTGTCTCTCGTGTCCGGCGGTATGGCGAAGTGAAGAAATGTATTGTGTCATCGGGCCGCAGAAGCCCGCGCAGCTTGCATCCTGCCTCTCTTGCCTGTCGATGTCCTTCGGGGGTGAGCTTCACTCGATGATCGGGTACGGTTTGGTGGATCTCGCGGTTCTTGTTTCCTTCCGACTGCGCATGGCGGATCAATATGATCATCTGGAGGATAAGTTAGAAAGCGGTCTCGCTATGTATACAACTAAGTGCTCACCCGGGGTTTACCCATAGTTGCGGTTGGGCAGATATGCGGAAAGAAAAAGGGAAGGAAAGTTGAAAGATAAATGGGCGCTTCCAGAAAGTCCCTTTCCAGCTCATTCCCTAATCCTTAGATATTTGGAGTAGTAGTAGTAGGGACCCGTACGAGTATATAGGGCGATCGTCGTGAGGAAGAAGAACAAAGACAAAGCGATGACACTTTCTTCCATCGGGACAGAGGGGAAATTGCGGAGATGCGTCTGCTGCCGCACAGGCTGCCGTACTGAAGTCGATCGCAGCTCCCAAACTCCCCTGGATCCTGTCCAGTTTCATCTTCCACCATTGTGCGATCAAACCGCAGTCGCCCTTTGTTGATCTCCAAGGGAGCTGATTTCATCATGGCTGACAATCTCTATGATCTATTAGCTCCTCATTTTGCTTTGACAGGTGCCTCCTCCGCTCCGCTGGCTCCAGATCGTGACACGACGACAGCTCAGTATCTAAATCGACTATCAACACTATCTCTGGAGGCATTGCAAACAACAGAGCCCCAGTCGCTGGCGCAATCCTCACACTCAACCCTCCTGTCTTTGCAGGCATTATCGAATCGATCCCACAAGGCCTTCATCACGTCCGCCGACAATCTCTCGAACCTCCGTACGGCTATCCCGCAACTGTCCCGGAACGCGCAGCAGCTACGAGATGCGATCCCCAAACTTGATGAATCTGCGGTTCGCTTTTCGACCAAATATAGTCGTGCCGCAGAGAACCCTTCTCTTGAACAGCGCAAGAAGGTCATGCAGTTGGCGAGAAATGTCGATCGGCTATCCGACATCCTAGAACTTCCCTCTCTCCTCTCGACCACCGTCTCATCCGCCGCAGTAAGCTCGGGTACCGCTGGTGCTAGCTCATATTCGACATCATACTCATCTGCGTTGGATCTGTACGCCCACATCAAGCGACTGCAGACATTGTATCCCGATTCGCCTCTGGTCAAGGACGTGGCTCTGCAAGCGGAGGATGCGATGAAGGAGATGACAACAAATCTTATTGCAGGGCTCCGTACGCAGAACCTGCGGTTAGCAGCTGCCATGCGAACTGTGGGCTGGCTACGGCGAGTGGCTCCAGAGTTAGAAAGTCTACGCAGTGATGGTGAGACAGGCTCAGGAGAGGGTGCTCTCGGTGCGTTGTTTTTGATTTGCAGATTGGTGAACCTGGTCTCAACCCTAGAAGCATTGGACCCTTTGCGGGACTTGGCGGACCAGGAGATCCAGCGCAGAACCCGGAGTGCGGATCAAAAGGAAGGGGTGCAGAACTCATCGTGGTCACAGGGCCACCAGACAGAGAAGTTCTTGAAGCGGTACATCGAAATTTTTCGGGAGCAAAGTTTTGCAATCGTGTCCTTATACAAGAACATCTTCACTCCCGACCAATCCGAATCCGAGACGGTGATTCCAGGGTTACGAGGAATCGATGCTCGAATCAAGGCGAGCGCATCCCAGCCAGCTCACCATGGGGATCCCCTACAATGTCTCCCTCCGGCTCTAGCAACTTTTCCCATGCACCTCGTCCAGTTACTGACCGATACGTTACGCACTTACCTACCCAATGTCCAGGATAAGAGCTCACGCGAAAGCCTTTTAACTCAAGTTCTCTACTGCGCCGCGAGCTTGGGACGCCTCGGAGGGGACTTTAGCATGATTCTGACGGAATTGAGTACCGCAGAGGGTGACCATGAGGAAGACCTCGCCTATCACGAGTGGGAAGAGGTAACACGAAAGCACCGCGCCTTGGCAGGGCGTTTGGAGCAGCTCACAGGTGCCACTCCCAAGGGGACACCTCGGGTGACTTCGCCCACCCAGTGAGTTGCACGTTCGAATCAGAACTTGAAGTTGGAGAGTGGGAATGCTATGGATCGTCCGTTGTCTACTTGATAACTGGAGATGCAATCTGCCCACACGGCCACGGATGGATAATAATGGGGATGAGCGTCAAAAGTTTCCCCATTAGGAAAGGAATGGCACCGTCCAGGTTACTAGTCTCAAACAGGCCTAGCTGCGGGCGCTGTTTGGCCTCCACCTTTCAACGTTGTCTGGACTCCGGGCCGCCGTCATCTTCTCTTTTCCCCCCGTCTCGTCTCATCTCATCTCATCCCATCCCATCCCAGAGCCTTGTCTGTTTCTGAAGCCTCAAGTCAGATGCCAGCCGGTGGCTGTCATGTCTGGATGCTTCTTTGAACGCCTTCTTTATAGCTCCGTCTTATAACAGGTTCCGCATTCTGTCTTTTCTATGGTCGGCTTGAGCTGGACCGTCCATTTCCCCCCCTTCTTTGCTCTCCCTGGTGTGACAGCTTTCCTTTGTGTATAGGAGTTCTTTCTTTTTTATCCTTATATCCATCGCTGGCCATACAGAGACATGAGATTTCCTCATCGCTGGTGTATACGAGGAACAGATTGATTTACAGCATTGCTCAACCCTTCCTGCAATTTGTCCATATTCTCACGCTGACACCTCGTCCCAATGGCCGCTTCGGCAGTCTCAACCAGCGGATTGATCGATCCCACCAAGCAGGCTGAATATCCCATTATATTGGGTGATCGACTGGCCGGGAAACACAAATCCTCTCGATCCAGATTGATCAACATCCAATACAATCACAAAACGAAGTCCGCATCCTCACAACAACGCTCCCACATAACCCGATCAGCGCACTCGCCCGACCTCTATAATCTTACGATCACCGACAAAGTACCGAACGCCGAACACAATGCGGTGACCTATCTATACAGAGGCAGCGTGGACCCGGAACATATCGTATCGCAGTCTACTGAGCAGGATCTGGTGCTGGTATTCGACCCGGATCGCAAAGTATTCGTACTTGAGCCGGTCGCGACACAACTGAACTTCAATCTTCGTTCAGCTCCAAATAAAACGGAGAAACAGGTGACAGAGCAGTATGCGCAGCTGCGAATACTGCACGATGATGAACAAGGCTCTGGCGACGATAGAGCAGTTGATACCACAACTGGAGACGACGATGGACCGGCCGATGACAATAATCCCTATGATTACCGCCATTTCCTTCCTAAAGAAAACGCCGACGACGATAAGTCGCTGTCCGACAGCGCAACATCATCCCACTTGAATGCCAGTAAAGCCAGTACTCCCTTGATACCGCCAGCTGCGAAACCTGCCCCCAGTCCCAAGCCACGGCCGAAACCTCTAACAAACCCTCTCCGCCAACAACCGCGCCCGCCCAAACCTTCCAGAGAACAAGCAAAGCCTGTCTCGAAACCGAGTTCGAAGCCTCCAGTGCAAGCGAAGAAAGAAAAACCGAAGGAGGATGAAGATAACTTGGAGGAAGATTTCCCAATTGAAACATCCAAGTCAACCCCTTCGGATACTGGAACAGGGCTTGTGTCGCCATTCAAGGCGGCTCCTTCACCCGGTAGTAATATCATCATTGACGGAGACTTGATTATTGACATGGGGTCACCGCCCCCTTCTCGGCCTGCGTTCAAGGTCAATCCCGCACATTTCTCGTCTAACAATACTCCTGCAATCGATGATGAAGAAGAGGAAGAGGAAGAGGAAATGGAAGATTTGCGACTTCCTTCTCCCGTCGGGGGTAGAGGTGCCCCATCTGAAAGGACGCAACCTCCTCCAATGCCGACAGACCAAGAGCTCGATGGCGACGACGACGGCGATGATGATGACGCGCTGGCAGCAGAAATGGAGGCTGCCTTTGAGGAAGAAGCAAGAAAGCAGGAATACCAGCCACCGTCCCAACAATACCATGTCCAAAGTGAGGATGAAAGTGAGGTCAGTGAGGAGGAATAATCATTACTCGATCTTAATTGTCTTCTATCCCCCCATCTTTGCATCTTGGCCTGGACTATGAACTGTCACAGCAACTTTTTCCAAGCGATTTTGTCTACTCTTTGTATCAAGTTTATATGCAGGCATGGCGTCGTTGGGAGTTTTTGAGCGAGGGACTGGAGCCAGCCCAGCCCGACTAATTCACTAGAGGGATATGATACCACGATCACATCTGTACCTATACGCAAGGCATGAACACTGTCCATTACAATGTCAAATTATATAATCTGAAGTTCTTCGTCTTCTCGTTTGAGTCGAGTTGGTACTAGGTGTTTTGCGGAGCAATAGTTCTGGGCATGGAACGCACTGCCGGTTTCCTCCGGAACAACCCAATGATCCGGGCTCTCTCGCATCCAAACTCCAGATGATGATCTTTTAGACTTGCGACGGCCGACGATTTCAACACTTATCATTAACACCTCTCACTTGAGTACTGCTTTCGATCAAGCGGAAAAATTACACTCACTCAATCTTCATTAGGAAAACCACTCCTCGCAACCTGTCCGATTCCTTTAGACGACGGTCCGCTACCTCGCCCTCCGCCCTTCGTGCTTTGTGACTGAACAACGATTGGGCTAGATTGCGAAGCTTGGCTCGCCATACGATGAGGATTGCCTCCCACTATGTTTGATGTGACATACTGAGTCTCCTAAAACTGGCATCTCTACTGTGGAGGGAGGACAGAAAACGCAGCGCCACGTGCGGTCAGCGCGCCTTGCTCAAGCTGTCCTCCAGGAACCGTCAGGATTGAGTCCTGCTATAATTCACAACAACCTTCGGCATCCATCGCCAAATTGAATTAGCTCCAGGTGATTGATCGCTGACAGGGCAATTTACACCAAGACATCATGGCCTCCGCATCAACGTCGCATCCTCCGGAGAATCGGCCGGTGCCTGCTCCATCGAACCCTGTTCTGCTCGCATTGCAAGCCCAATGGCTCTTCGCGGATGAGGAGCTCACTCGTACACCGTCCCAACTCGATGGAATGAAGATGGAAGCGGAGCAAATCAGTCGCAGCAAGGGTGTCAATTTCATCACCCAAGTGGGCATCATGCTGAAGCTTCCGCAGCTTACTTTGGCCACCGCAGCCGTTTACATGCACCGGTTCTTCATGCGGTACAGTATGGTCGACCTACCGCAACGACCGGGTATGCATCCGTATCCCATCGCAGCCACATCATTATTCTTAGCAACAAAGGTGGAGGAGAATGTCCGAAGGATGAGAGAGATCGTGGTGGCATGCTGTCGAGTGGCACAAAAGCAACCGAATCTGGTCGTGGATGAGCAGTCCAAGGAGTTTTGGAAATGGCGGGACACAATTTTACATCATGAGGACTTACTCTTGGAAGCGCTCTGCTTTGACTTGCAGCTCGAACAGCCCTACCGCATCCTCTACGATTTCATCTGCTTCTTTGGAGTCAACGAAAACAAGCCGCTCCGTAACGCCGCGTGGGCTTTCGTCAACGACTCCATGTTCACTGTTCTCTGCCTCCAGTTCAGCCCGCGGATCATTGCAGCTGCCGCTCTTTATGCTGCCGCGCGACACTGCAGCGTGGGCTTCCAGGATGATGACCTCGGGCGGCCGTGGTGGGAGCAGATCGACGTGGATCTGAGCGAGGTGCGTCGTGCCTGCATGAGAATGGCAAAGCTTTACGAGAACAATGCCATGCAAAAACATACCCAGTACTACCCGACCACCCCAATACTGTCGGACGAGGGCACTGAGAAGACCAGGATCCCGCACGCTGGCAGCCCCGCAAATCGTCCCCCGGCAGAGACAGATCTCAACAGCGGACGGAAACGGTCGAGAGAGCCAGAGAGCAGTAGCGAAACGCAAGCGGGCCCCCCCGATAGTCAGCATAACCCGCCCGCACCTTCGAATGGGGGGCGTTCTCCGAAACGGCCACGCAGGCAATTGGATGCCATGCAAGATAGTGGTGGTGGTGGTGGTTCGGCAGAACAGCCAAACCCATCCGCATCTTCTCCGCACAGCCGTCCCAATGTAGAAAGCCCTTCTTCCTCTTTCTCTCCGCCAAATCGACACCACCCGAACGGCCATGTCCCTCCTGCTCCTCCTGGCTCCCACCACCGTCACCCACATCCCCTTCCACCAGCTCCGCGGCCATTCCCAACTCGAGATAGCGACCAGCGTCCCAGTAGCGGCAAAGGCCCAAGTGGAAGCGGAGGAGCACGAGAGCCCGATCCAATCCAACAACGCATCGACGAGATCGTCTCCCAAAACATGCCACCCCACGGTGGCCCTCCACCACCTCCTCCCCCATCCGTAGGCGGAGCGAGGATCCCCAACAGACGCAACTCTACAGACCGACACGGTCCCGATCGATACCGCAATTACGATGATCCCGCGCGACGACGGCGGCCGTCTTTCGGAAGGAGGTCGCAATCCTTCGAGGAACAGCATCCGCCGCCGCCGCCGTCATTGCACCATCAGCACCAACATCAACATCATCCGATCCCGCCGCCGCCGCCGCCTCCGGATCTCCCTCAGCCCCCTCCACCTCCCCCGCCGCCGCCGCAACCAGACTCCCAATCCAGCAAGGCCAACCAGGACGATGAAGATGGGGGTAGCGAAGAAGGCGAGCTTTGATGGGTTCCCAATGTTCGCAACGAAAGGAACTCATCTCTATGCTGCGGTCTCAGCACTATCCGCCACGATATGTGCTCCTAGGATATCATCGTATCTCTTCAGAGAGTCCCATTAGGGAAGAGCAGTACCCTATACAAGGACAATCTACGTCGGGCAATACATAACCGCACCGCCCGTCTTCACCAACCCCTTGACCAAAACCAAAAGCAGCTCGATCCAGTGACTCTCCCGAGTCTCGTGCAGCTGCTGCATTCCATACCTTGATTGCTCTTCGCCTTCATCATTGAAAAACATGCATCGGCGGGTCCGGAGATTAGTACATGGGGGGAGTATTTATACGAATCTCAGCAATTATAAGAATTATTCAGACTCATTCGTTCGGCCCCCCCTGTGCTCTACCGTAGAAATAGACGAACGGCTACGTAGGAAGTGGAATACGTCTCGAGCAACAGCTTAGTATTTCCAATTGATGCTATCAAACGAGTGTGAGCGCCCCCCAAGCGGACGATGCGCAAGAATTCCAAGAAGGAAACCCAAAAAAAAAGAAAAAAAAAAAAGAGAGAAATCGAAGATCAGTAACCCGATGTCATCACGCCGAGCCCGTTGTGGTCGAGCAGGCTGCTCGACGCCACGAAGCTGAATCCGCCAAAGGGATCATTGTCGCAGCTCATCCCGTCGAGGCCCGTGGACATGGTGCGCTGGTTCGCGCGCTGGCGCACGGAGTAGTACTCGTCGAAGCCGGCGCTGGTGACGACAGGGCTCAGCGGGAGGGTGGTGAAGTCCATGGAGAAGTTCTCTGCGAGGGCGGGGTCGGTGACGACGGGGAGGATGGGTGGGGCGACCTCGCGGCGCTCGAGGGCCTTCCAGTCGATCTTGCGGAAGAAGCGGTGGTTCTTGATGGTCTGCAGGTCCTTGGGCATGTGGTAACCGAGGCGCTTGGCGGGCTCCTTGCGCATGAGGCGGGTGAGGAGGTCCTTGGCGTCCGGGCCGAGGAAGTAGGGCAGCGCGAGCTTCTGCTTGATGATCTTCTCCTGGAGCTTGGCGTGGTTGTTTGCCTTGAAGGGCGGCGAGCCGGTGAGCAGATCGTAGCCGAGCGCGCCGAGGGACCACCAGTCGCAGGCTTTGCCGTAGGATTTACCCTGGATGACCTCGGGGGCCATGTACTCGATCGTGCCCAGGGAGGAGTTGCAGCGGTCGTCGTCGTTGACGGCGATCTTGCTGAGGCCGAAGTCGGTGAGCAGCAGATGGCCTTCGTGGTCGAGGAGGCAGTTCTCCGGCTTGAGGTCGCGGTAGATCACGCCGACGTTCTGGTGCAGGTGTTCGAGCGCCAGGACCATTTCCGCCATGTAGAACGCCGCGGTGTCCTCGTCGAACATGCGCTCTATGGCCAGGTGGTGGAACAGCTCGCCACCCTGGGCGTACTCCAGGATGAGATATAGTTTTTCGTGATCCTGGAACGCGTAGAAGAGTTTGACCACAAAAGGATGGCGGTTGACACTCTCCAGGATCGCACGCTCGGTCTTGGTCTGCTCCACGAGCTTCTTGTGGACGGTCAGCGATGCCTTGCGGAACTGCTTCTGCGCATACAGTTTTCCGGTAAGCGCATGGCGCACAAGGAGCACGGTGCCGAAGGAGCCCTTGCCCAGGCAGAGCAATGGCTCAAAGTCACTGGTGGTCATCTTGCGGCACAGCTGAGTGCGGAAGTCCTGCGCACTGGAGTCGTCGCGCGATGTCTCTTCGGCCGCCGCATCGGAACTGACGAAATCGTGCTCCAGCGGAACTTCATAGCTGGTCAATACCTCCGTCTGGTCGCTGTCCGAGCAGACACTCGCATTGCTGGGTGTTTCGTAACAGGCGTCACCCCGCGCACCTGGCACGCTGCTGCCATTGCCGGACAGGCTCAGTGAATCGAACTGGGACTTCAAGGCGCTGACGCCACTACCAGCCGGCTGAAACAGGGGGCTGTTGCCATTGCTCGCGGCGGGAGCACGGGGTCGTGTGGATGGCGCTCTCGAACTGGTGGTCGAGAAATCCGAGTCCTCGTCCCCAGACGCGAGCGGGGTGAAGCCGCGCACGGTGGAGATGGCACGGGGCACTTCATTTGCCGGATGGTTCTTCTTCTTTCGGCGGCGGTCTGGTCGGCCGGGGAACGCTTCGGTGTGGAGGTTGGGCGCCGGGAAGGGACTGGCTTCATTGAAGCCCTTGGTGGCTGGGGCTTGCTTGCGAGTGGGACTCGCGCCAGTCATGCGGAAACCAGTATCATGGTTTTTATCCAGAAGCATCTCCCCGCGGGGTTGCGACATGTCCGCCTGGGGGGCGAAGACATCTCCCACGGAGAGATCATCATGGACCGAACCCGACGAGGTATCCATATTGTTTCTTGGCCCCGCTCGGGAGGAAGTCTGGCTTCGAAAGAACAGCGACTGTCAAAACTTCAATCGGTACGACAGGCTCTCAGTTCACCCCTCTCCTCCGGCAAACAGTCCCAATACCCACCAAACAATGAATATCTGCTTGCACAGAACATTTCATGTTAGCCCCATAGCTCCCTTGCCAGGCAATGCGGGGTGATTTTCAACACACGCAAGGGAGACAGCGTCCAGAGCGAGACATACCTTTCAAAACGCGCAAAATCCAGAGCAAGGACACCACGCCCAGCCAGCGGGAACTGCTGGGTGGAGTTATACCCGAATGCAACTGAACCTCTCGCGGTTTACCGTCCGCCCTTCTTCAGGACGGACCATGGACCCCTAGCCACACCACCTCGGCCACCGAGTAATCGAACAGCAGGGAGGTAGATAGAACCTGTGTATCGGACAACGCGGGCGTAACCAGGGTCTCGCCAAGTGCGAGCTCGAATCCCGGATTCACGGAGAGGGAGGGGCAGTTGGCAAGGCAGCCAGTGAAGCGGATCAGAGCGGCGGACGAGGACAGCGAGGGCGCAGACAGGCACATAGAGGAACGGCAGACAGGGATTTGGGACAGAATAGACTGGATGGTAATCCAAGGAAGTAGAGATAGATCAAAAGAGAGAGAGAGAGAGAGAGAAAGGGAGAAGTTGGCACGGCGAGGGTCAAGAAATCAAGAGATTCAACTTTCCCTCCAAAAGGCCAAAAAGCCCGCTGTTCAGCTAAATAATGCGGGCAATTCAGGGCCAATCAGCGCCAAGGTGACCTAAGCGAGGCTAAGCCCTATCGGGGCGGGCTTTTTTTCACGTGCAGAGCTCATTGGGGTCTACGATGGTCCTGGAAGGTCGGAATACTTCAAGTATGGCAGTTTTTCCTGAATCATTAACTGGTTTCATATTATTGTAGCAGAGCACTGGAACGATTCCTGATGCATAATGAACAGTAGTGGCGGTGTTGTGTAAATTAAGCAGCTGATGCTCTTACGTGATGGACCGGAGGTAGCCGCAAGGCTGAGCGATCCTTTGATGCTTCATATAATAATAATGAAAAACAAACATAAACATGGACATGGACATGGACATGGACATCATTCGGGGGATCCCTGACAACATACACAAGGAGCATAGTGATGGGGTTTGACATGTTCTTGGGAGCTATTCATAGTACTGGTCTCTGGCTCCATCTTTACCGTGTAGGTAGATCGCATGTCAAGCATGGTGTGTGAATGGGCTACATCCGAGATTCTGTAGATCGTCGTCTGCTAGGCCTCGTAAAGCCTTTCCCTATACTCTAACCGTTCGATTCTCGAAAAAAGCCTGTGACCTGGTGATCTCGACCCCAGATCTGTCCACAAACGCCAGTGCGCTGGGCTTTTCTACCCGCACGGTGACCCGCTCATTGCCAAACTCCACGGTCACGATGCGCGCGACAAACGTAGCCAGGGCCTCCACGGTCTGGAACGAGGTTTCATCGACTCGCTAGAAGATAATAGTCAGCTCCGTCCGTCGTCTCCGACAAAAGAAGGAATGATTCAAGTTTCAACTCACCTCAGCAACCGTCCGAGTCATCTGCTGGTATGTATCCACAACCCTCGACCCCCAGGCCAGCTGGCCAGGACCCTTGAATTCCAGCGAGACAATCACCGCCTGCTTCTCAACCCGCTCATGGGAATTCACCCCAAGGATACAATGGCACCGGATCCCATCAATCCGGAACTCCTCCTCCAGCACCACCGCACACCGATCCGAGTCCAGCGCCTGACCCGACTCTCCCTGCCGATACCCCCAGACCGTAACGCTCCGGTACTTCAGGCCCTCCTCCGCGCGTAGCAGCGCCTTGGGCAGAGTCAGCCACACCTCGCACCGCCCGAACGCCGCATCGATCGGGGCCGCCGACGCCGCAGCAGAGGCCTGCGCTTCCGCCGCCGCCGCCGCCGCGCTAGCACTGGCACTCGCGCTGCCCCGCCGCCCACTCTGATGCACATGCGACATCCGCCGGATCCCCGCGGCCGTCTCATCCAGCAGCCCCAGCCCGCAGTTCGCGACGATCCCCGCCGTCAGCCGCACGTCCTGGCCAGGCTCCGCGCGCTGCATCTCCTCGCGCCGCGCGCCGTCCGCGCTGACCATGTGCTGCCCCGCGGCGGGGCCGTGCGTGCCCATGTGGCGGATATCCTCCTCCAGGCGGCGGTAGAGCTTGCCATAGTCGAGGGAGAGGGAGACGTCGTCGGCCGCGGCCGCGGCGATGGCGGACGAGTACGAGAGTTTCAGGGAGGCGGTGCAGGGTTGCGGTTTGCCGGCGCGATGCCAGGGGTCCGGGCCGATGGGGAGAGGGAGTTGGATGTCGCGGAGTTGGACGCTGTCCAGGACGGTTGTCGGGGAGGGGATCTGGATGCTGAGGTGTTCGGCCATGGTGTGAGGTTTTGGGTGGTTCTGTTGGGTTATGGAGAAAGACTGCTATCGAGAGTCGAAGCTCGGCTTGACAGCTTCGGTTGAGCTTGGGTGAAAGGGTCTCCCCAAAAATAGAGAGAGATCAAACAGTAATGATGGGATCCTTCAGTTGCAAGACATTAAATCAATCACATACTAGATGCAGTCTCAATTCCCAATGCTTTTTTTGGTAAATAAGTGAAATGTTCAGATCATCGCCCAGCGAAGTCGGACGCAGTGAGATGGCGGGGTTCTTCGTCTTTTCTTAGTGCGGCACGACCTCATGACGAATGATGATGATACCTCGACACAACGTTGATACTCTCCGCTGTTTGGGTCTAACTCTACCCATTTTATCCATTTGTATCGCTCGCTGTAGACTTTATTGGCTCATCTGAAGGAATGTAGAGATCGGATAGCCGCGTGTAGAACAGGTGGGCTGTGGATCACCGTGAACTGGAAGCTCTTCCCCCCCTCACATTCTCGTTATCAGCACGGAATGTTGATAGCGATGCATTCATTATGCGTCACATATCGACAACCTGACAGCCCAATCCATAAGGACATCTCTACGAATGCACTCAACTTCCCACGCATCTCCGGAATAAGGTAATTGGAGTCAAGAGGGCTTAGGAACGAGTGCGTGCATTATGTGAATTAGTTAGTCATTTACAAGTCAACTCCGTCGTGGAGAACAGATGGCCCATGTCCAGACTGCTCAAGATGATATAGATGTTCACCTGGCAATCCAATCCGAAATGGCCGATATCATTACAAACCAAAACCCTCAGAAATGTGCAATCATTGAAGGAAAGTCGTTAAACCTTGTCACCAGGCACGGCTTCGAGTCATCAGTCCCAGAAAGAGGCCCCCCCAGACCGCGGAGCGGAAAGATGCTGCATCCGGAGAATCGAATAAAAGGATGGCAGTGAGCTCCTGCAATTCATAGCCTGGCCTAGATCCCGGCTGGTGGAGGCAAGTGGGAGAAATGCAACAAGCGTAGGAACCGGGAAAAATCGTGCGGAAACAGAACAGAGGAAAACCAGAAAAAATGCCAAGCTGAATGGGTATCCGCCATATGTGCAGGACAATCAAAGCAGGTATTGTTTTCTACCAGTATCCGCGGCGATCATACGGGGGATATTCCCCCCTAGGTGGGCTCCGAGGGCGTCCGTATGGTCTAGGGGCCATATATGGGTCATCGTAGTGACGAGGAGGTGGAGGTGGTCGCGCTTCATAAGGATCATCGTACGGACGCCGTGGAGGATAGTCTTCCATCCGAGGCCGGGGAGGGGAACGACGGCCGTAACCATCACGCTCATAGTATTCCCGGCGCACTGGTACAGGCGAGCGTTCCCGGTAATGGCGGGGGCTGTAACCGCGAGGGGCGGGGAATCTCCTGTCGTACTCTTCCATGGGAGGGTAGCTGCGACGGGGTGAACGCGACCGGTATGGATCACGGAGAGCACGATCGTCGTGTGACTGGATCTGAACAGAAATTAGTGAGGACATTCTTCCAGTTCTCCCAGAAAAGAAAGTTTCTTACATCGGCGATACAGCTCACTCGGGAGCCCTTAAAGTCTCGTCCATCGAGTTTGTCAACGGCTGTTTTCAAGTCCGCCGCAGTCTCGAACTCAACGAATCTTCACTCAGTGTTAATATCCTTAAAACGTCCACTAGAGATAGTATGAGCAGCACTCACCCTCTCCCAGGTTCGCGACCGGTTTCCGAATATACAACGTCAAGGCCAGATTGACGGGCGAAATCTTTCAGGTCCTGTAAAAATTCAATGGTGAGAATCCGTTCGATCCGCTTCCAGTACATAAGGAGTCCAAATGCGTCTGTTGATAGGTGCACCATGCGCGAATAGGCAAGGGAAATGGAAGAAAACTCCAAGACTTGATGGGAGCCGCCAAACGCAAAGAACCAAGTAGGGGAAAAAGTCGTCCGGGGAGTGTTCCCACTGAACTCGGTTTCCTTCGATTTCCTATGATATATCGGTATCCATTGAAGATCGTGGACACCAGCCTGCGTCTCGGGAATAAGATCACCGGAAAGCTTTTCTGGTATTCGAACGAGGCAGTATGGCAGGCTTTCAGTAGTCCGCATGGATGCCGAGAGCAAGTTGTGGAGTTGGATGTTGACTTCCGATCAGGTTGGACCCCTGTAGCGGGGACACTGGAAGATTTCCAAGCAGGCAAGGACAAAAAGGGTTGTGGAGACAGGAATGCTCATGGTGCACGCATTGGCCAGACAATGTGGTATCCAGGAAGTCCGGGGGAGATGGGAAATGGGCTGCTAACCTGCCAGCTGGTTTCCGGAAGGCCAGAAATTAACATGCGAAAGACTGTACGGCGAGGACGAGGCATATTGGGACGATCCATTGGACCAGGAAAGTTCTCCTTGCGACGTGGTCCGCGCGCGAACTGCACTGTAAGTCGCTCGCCTTTGAAATCACTACCGTCTGCAATGTACAATTAGTCTAACGGCATAGAATGTTGAAAAGCATCGGATCATAGCTTACGAAACGCTAGATAAGGCTGGTCAGTGGGTCAATTCAATCTGTGGGAGTCCGGAATCCTTACCTGGAACAACATCTCTGGCATCCATAGCATCCTCATACTCGATGAACCCGAATCCATTCATCAGCTTAATCTCTGTGATCTTGCCAGAGCCATGGCTGCTAAAATGTTCCTCGATGTCCTGTTTGGTCACTGGAGAAGAAAAAGATGAACGGCACCCAGACAGGCGCCATTAGAAACAAGTCAGCTCACTGCATTGAAAGGAGAAGATAACAAGCCGTCCAGGAGAGCGCAAGGTCAAACTGTCACACAAAAGAAAATGGTATCCATAAAATCGAGACGCTTCGGACCGAGGGATAACGGAAGACGTCCCCCATAATCATCTCTCTCGGAATCGTGGCCATAAAACATAGGAGAGGTCCAGGAGAATCACATCGGTCACCCATGGAGGGTATGGGGGACTACGTCGTACTCCAGAGGGGGATATCCTGTTCTGGTCTGGATGGCGCACACCGACGAACACAAGGAACCAAATCGAAAAAGGCTGCAAATATCTCCTAGGAAAGGGCAGGATTGATGATGATGATGATGGAGAAGGCCTGCATACCGTTGCGGGGAAGATTCCCGAGATAAAGACGAGTGGACGAAACCTCCGTCATGTTGGCGAGAAAGCAGAAAAGAGGCCGAACCCAACGGGATTGACTGTAATCCTAGAGGACTCGAAGAGTGGCCAAAGGGGATCCAGGGAGTGGAAGATCGGCGGGAGAGCAAAAGGCCTTTGGGGGGATCGGATCAGAGACGGTGGTAATGGTTCCTGCGGATTAGTATGGCTGAGGTATGTATTCCTATAATTATCCTGCGCGGCAGAACCTCCAGATGTGGTTTGTAGGACCTGGACGGAGAACGGAGACTTGGGGACCAGGGATTGAAGGAGGAAAAGCTGCCAGATGGAAGACGGTTAATACCAAGGATAAAAACAAGAGAAAATGAGGCACGAGTCGAAGGAAAGAAGTTGGGGTGAGAAGTTGGAGAAGAGGGAAGAGGGAGAGAGAAGAGAGAGAGAGAGAGAGAGAGAGAGTGAGTGAGAGAGAGACTGGGGAGAGAGTGTTTGTCTGTTTGACCGCCAGACAGAGAGCCAAAAGTACCTACCTACGATCGCTTCCCCCAACCGGTTTTAGTGTGGTTCAACAGTAGGATATTCAATAATAGCCAGATCGATCACCAGTGGCCAGGCAAGTTATTATTCGGATCGAATAGTATTAACCCAAGAGACTGCAGAGCTGCACACTGAAGATGCACTGCTGTTGGCGGTGGACAGGTGAAAAGGAGCAGTGATCAATCAGAAATGGCCCGTCCGCCTCACTTTGACCGATCCACGTGGCCCCGCCCAGACAGCGCTCAGCTTGCTCGATTCTCGCCAGCCTCATTTTGAAAGGTCTTGACTCTTGAGGGTATCTAGACGGGCTGATGAGTCTTTGTTGGGGTTGTATGGTGCGAACTACTCCCCGCCGAGATCGTTGTTTATAGATCAGCTGTCGTCGCTACCAGACTTCATCGCTGCGCCGTCCATCCACGGTTCAGTCGGTCCAGTCCCCACGGGGGCTCGATTTCAGCCTGTAAATGAAAAGAAAGGGCTTAGGAATGAGGCTGGAGTCTAGACTATTACTCCTACAAGTCGACAATGTACGCTGTACGGAACTGTTGTGTATTTGGAGCGGATATATGGAAAACCACCTGTATATACACCCACATCACAATGTACTCGCTGTTTTTGTTATAATTCGCTGTGATATAGTACAACCTTTTTTGAGTAGAATAAACAGAAGGAAATCCTTGTTTGATGTGAACCGCCAACGTCGGAATATAGAGATACTTTACCGGTTAGAAAAAAAAAAAAAAAAAAAAAAAAAAAAAAAAAAAAAAAAAAGGCGCTATGTATCGACTCCAGAACGAAAGATGTGTTGAAGACAGATAACCAAAAAGAAACAGAAAAAAGGTGAAGAAGCATAGGGGTTATAGCTCAGGTCTTGAAGTACTTGGGGCCTTCTCCACCCTGAGGAGTCTGCCAGTTGATATCCTGGGTAGGTACCTTGATATCACAGGTCTTGCAGTGGATACAGCTGTACACCGTCAGCATCTGTGTGGGCGTACCATAAGTGAAGGAGGGGGGGCAATGACTTACTTTTGTGCATTAATCTGGAATCGAACACCGTGCTCCTTGCTGGGGTCTTCAACATACTCGTACACTCCAGCGGGGCAGAACCGGTTCTCAACGCCCTTGTACTTGGGCCAGGCAACGTCTGTGTGCTTGTCCCAGTCGGCGACTTGCAAGTGTACTGGCTGGTCTTCCTCGTGGTTGGTACCGGTGCGGCTCACACTGGTCAGAATGTCGAAGCTGATCTCGCCGTCAGGCTTGGGATATTCGATCTTCTCGCACTCGGAGGCTGGTTTCGTAGCGGCCGCATCAGTTCCGTGGTGCTTAAGCGTCCAGGGCATCTTTCCGCGGAAGAGGAAAGCTTCCAAGCCGGAGTAGATGACACCACCGTAGAGGCCAAGTCGCGTGCTGAATGACGGACGCATGTTGCGCACTTCGTACAGCTCCTTCCAGATTGAAGACTTGCGGAGTGCATCCTCGTAATCGTACAGGAATACTGTGCCGTCGTTGTTATTCTGCAGAGCCGAGAATGTAGCCTCTGCAGCCAACATGCCGGACTTCATGGCGGTGTGGGTACCCTTGATCTTGGGGACATTCAGAAAGCCAGCGGTGTCCCCGATGAGAGCACCACCGGGAAAAGCACATTTGGGAATTGACTGGAAACCACCCTCGTTCAGCGCTCGGGCACCGTACGAGATGCACTTTCCGCCTGTCAGGACCTCTTTGAACAGGGGGTGGTGTTTGAGCTTCTGGAACTCTCCGTATGGCGACAGCCAGGGGTTCGGATAATCCAACCCAACCACCAGTCCGACACTGACCAAGTTCTCTCCAAAATGATACATCCAGGCGCCACCGTAGGTATTCGAGGGAAGTGGGTATCCCATAGAATGGACAATCTCTCCCGACTTGAACTTCTCCGGCTGAATCTCCCAGACCTCCTTCAATCCAATGCCGTAAGTTTGCGGCTGGCTATCCCGTCGCAGGTCGTATTTCTTGATCACCTGCTTTGTCAAGCTGCCGTGGCAACCCTCTGCGAGCAGCGTCACACGGGCATGGAACTCCATGCCTCGCTCGAAGTTGTCCTTGGGTTTGCCATCCCGACCAATACCAAGATCATTCGTGGCAACACCGAGAACAGAGCCATCCGTATCGTAGACCACCTCGCTCGCTGCGAATCCCGGGTAGATTTCGACGCCCAGCTCCTCGGCCCGCTCACCCAACCACTTGGTCAACTCATTCAAACTTACGATGTAGTTTCCATGATTGTTCATCTGCGGTGGGGCGGGGATTGGAAAGGACGCGTTCTGGGTAAGGAAACGCATCTTGTCCTCCCGCGCGGGGGTTGCGCCCTCAAATCGCGACGGGTTATCCTCGGCGAGCCAGTCGGGAAGAAGCTCGTTCATGGCGGTCGGTTGAAGAACGTTGCCGGAAAGAATATGCGCACCCAGTTCACCCGCCTTTTCCAGCAAGATCACACGAAATTCCTCATTTCCAGCCTCGTTCGCAAGTTGCTTCAGTCGGATCGCTGCTGCGAGACCGGCAGGACCTAATCGATTTGAATGACTGCGTCAGCTATTGTCACCTCAAGAGTGACGGGAAAAGACATAAAAGATGCAAGAAGAAGAAGGAGAAGAAAAAAAAAAAACTAACTTACCACCGCCAACAATGCAGACATCAACCTCATCAGACTCTCTCTCTATCTGACGGGGGTCAAAATGGCTATTCTCATCCGCAAACGTCCTTGACAGCGACTGCGAAAAGGCACGAGTTTGACCAAGAACCCGCTTCTGGGCGAACAGCGCTGTATGGCGAACCGAGCATCTCGTGGAGGCTGCTCTCGAGTTTCGAACGGAGTTGGCTACAGTCGAAAGTGACGGAGCCGCTCTGTTGAGTCGTGTGCGAGTTGTGTGCAATTCGCGCCTCAAGAGAGGCAAGACAACACCTCTGGACGCCATGGCGATGTCGGAGAAAAGTGTAGTGTGGTTGGGGGGGTAATTCGGACTGCCTCTCAATTCTAAAGAGTTTCCTTATAAGGAGAATGTAGACATTGCAGACACCTGCAAAGACACAAGCACAAACAAACAAGACAACAATGAACGTTGAAAAGTTAAAGAAGATCTCTCCAACTTCCTCAGTCTCCAGTACAAGGTCGTTCAATTGTGACTAAGAGGCCAAGTACTCCGGAGTCAGTTTGGGACGGGACTTCCGTGGGATGGCCGAATTTGGCGGCGGTGGAAATTTTGATGACTGTAGTCTACCCGAGGTAAGTTCAGCCAATGGGAGTCTCGGCGATGCGAATCACTCTCCTCCTCCCTCGTCTTCCGCTGATAAACTTGTCCTTCCGTTGGAACCCGACAGGGAAGATGTGGACATTCTGGACAGGACCCTAAGTTAAGAGGCTTCTCTCGGCTTATCTATATATATACGGGGAAGCACCCTTGTTGTTGTTCAGAACTCCAGATCGATCGAGTCACGTTCAGCTACATGCGAAATCCGGCAGGACAACGGATAACTCTTAAGTTGGAGGCCAAGCTGCCGGCTAAAACGATGACGAGTGAGGCTCATAATCTTCTGGTATGACAGACCTCCCAAAGAATACTTTAGTCGACTATCTGTAAGGTTCTACACGTGGTTGGAGGTCCAGAAGATGACAGTCCACATGTAGATAATACAAATACGATGTCTGGGGATGAATCCATCGACTCATGACGAGAGAATCAGCCTTGAGAATCACCTGATAGTGAGTCGCTGATCATGATATATATTCCGTCCGAATCTCACCATCTGCTCTGGTGATTTTGGACGGTATGTGTACCATTCAATATATATCGATGAATTAAACAATGCTATCAAACCAGAAACAACGTGACTGTAGGGTAGCCGGCCAGAAACCGTTAGTAGTACGGATGTCGTGTGTGTATGTATTGTGCTCTGGATGTCGTTGAAAAGACCGAATCTACCAAGTCTTCATTGCAACCACGTAGGACGTTGTTTGATAAGACGAATCTCCATATGATCTCATCAACTTATGGTCTTGCTTGACAGCTGGACAGGCAGGAAAGAAAAGACTTAAATTAGTCCAGTTAGTGGATCAAACCGTGAGATCTGGGGATAAGCCCGAGTCCAGGATCCATACCCCCCCAGTCGTGAACATTCGCCATAGTCCATACTCCATACGCCAATATAAATAAGGAGGATGACCGATGAGCGACCGGACTGATCGCGCCAAATATATCCTTTCACAGCTTGTAGATCATCGCGATCGAACTTATGATAGATAGACTCCTGAAATCATGATATGTATTCGGAGAAAATGACTGGTTCCTTCGTCAAGCCACCCAGGATGGACAGGTCAAAAGCCTCATAAACAGGGAAAAGGGGAGGCAGAGAAGATCATGGATGGACAAACAACGCGACGACCGGGCGTCAAGAAAGACTTTTGTTCATTTGCCCCCGCTAAAGCGGCAGGAGACAGAGCGCGTCGCGAGGGTAACCCCCAAGACCGGTAATGTAGCCTGATTGGTGTAAAAAGAATGGATGGGCTTGGGAGGGGTGGGTCTGGTGCGCAACTGCAGGAGCGACGCGGACTGGATAAGACCAGTGGCTGCAACCATGGGAAAACCGAGAGCGAAAAGAAAAATAAAAAAAGGGAGGCCCGGTGGAAAAAAACCAAACAGAGCGCGTGAAGCCAGAGTGGGGCCACTGGGAAAATGTGCTGAGTGGGTCAGTGAGTCAGCCAACCAGCAGTGGTAGAATGGCGGCTGCTGAGATGGGGCAAGCAACAACCAGTCAGCCTTGAGGATTTGGCCACCGGGGGAGCCGCTAGCGGAGCGCTAATTCACAAGCAGATGTTCCCAAGCAGCCAAATCCATGGATGCGAACGACGACCGTCGCTGCTTTTGCCGCCACCGCCGGGCCCAGCCTCCCCTGACGCCAGCACCGTCGGGCGCTTTGAGTCAGCCTATATAAAGGCCCAACCTCCCACTTTCCTGATCCTGTTGGTATTCTGATCCTGGTCTTGGCACCGCCCCGGAACGCCGAAACTAATCTTCCAGTCGCCATCTTCCCGCCTCGGCCTCTCACTCACCTCCCCTCTCTCTCCACACTCATATCAGGTCAAGTCGCAGATTTGCGCTTTTCTCTGCTTCGTGTGGATTAACCATTCCCCGGGAAGAAACGGTATCTCTTTTACCCAAGAGATACTCTATCTATCAACCCAGTTTCAGTCTCCTGAAACAAGAAGTTTGCTGCCTCAGGTGTGCATCTTCACCACTCTCTTTCAGACACCCACAGATAGACATCTCTATACCCCCCCCAAAAAAAGGAACACAAATACCCCAAATCATAAACAAAAAAAAAAGTTGTTGATTCTGAAGGGAAAAAAAGCTTCTGCTTATCTCACGTGCCTTTTGTCACTGTCTATTCCCTCAACTTGCGCTCTGTTCTGTGCCGTTTTGCCATAGTGTGAAGGCATCCCTAGGAAACACTTCACTGTGCTTTTCTAGTTCTTATCATCATCTCCTGGACTTGATTTCTGGAGATAGCTGGCTGCTGTACTTGTTGGCTCCTCACTTCTGAGCTCGAGTTGATCCAAAGGCAGCATTTGCATTTGCTGTAGGGGAGACATTGAGTTGTTCATCTCCCACAAAAGGGTGAGGCTTTTTTCCCTCCTACGCCAACACATCCAACATCACAACACAGATTTCTCGCCACTTTCTTATCCATCATCTTCCACCTCTCCAACCTCATTCAACCCTGAGATGATCATCTGTCATAATTTTTTCTGTTGACTGACTCGGTCTTCTTTTGTGGGGACAGACTGCCATCTCCAAGCTCTATTGCTTGCGATCATACCCCCCTCTCTTTTGCGCTTCTTCAGCCTCGGCTGGTTTTCGGCTTGAGTATCATAAACTCACTTCGCAATGGATTCTCTCACGACCCATCCTTCTACCGCGCAGCAGGCTCGGGCCTTCACTTCTCCCGCCTCCTTGTCGTTCCCCGGTGGTGCTGGCGACTTGACGCCTCCGTCTTCTGAAAAGGAAGGAATCATGGCAATGAGTTCTCAGGGTGTGAACGGAAATGTGAACGGTCATCAGCAGGGAGCGAATGCCGCAAATGGCAATGGGGTGACGCCCGCAACTCCCGCTGCCACTCCTGGTGCCAATGCGCCGGGAAGTGGTATCGTGCCTACCTTGCAGTGAGTATACTCTTGCTGTTCTTCTGGAACACCAGAATGCTGAATAAGGATTTTTTTTTTCTCTTCAAGAAACATTGTTGCCACCGTCAATCTTGATTGCCGTCTGGATCTGAAGACCATCGCGCTTCACGCACGCAATGCGGAGTACAATCCAAAGGTATTAACTTCCACACCTCCCTGAACTGGTTTCATCAGGGTACAGTGTGGCTGAACTGCTCTCTTTTTTCTTATATTAGCGTTTCGCAGCCGTGATCATGCGTATCCGGGAACCGAAAACTACCGCTCTGATCTTCGCCTCTGGCAAGATGGTCGTCACTGGTGCCAAATCGGAGGATGACTCCAAGCTGGCATCCAGAAAGTACGCGCGTATCATCCAGAAATTGGGCTTCAACGCCAAGTTCACGGATTTCAAGATCCAGAACATTGTCGGCTCCTGTGACATCAAGTTCCCCATCCGTTTGGAAGGTTTGGCGAGTCGCCATCACAACTTCAGTTCTTACGAACCTGAATTGTTCCCTGGTCTCATCTATCGTATGATGAAGCCCAAGATCGTGCTCTTGATCTTCGTCAGTGGCAAAATTGTCCTGACCGGCGCCAAAGTTCGTGAAGAGATTTACCAGGCGTTCGAACTGATCTATCCTGTGCTTTCTGGTACAGTGACCTTTATGCTCCTCTTACCAAGAAAGTGTAGCTAACTGTTGTATCAGATTTCCGCAAAGTCTAAGACTTTTGTCGTGTTTCAGTAACACATAGAAGATCATTCATCATAATCTTCACCCCTTCACACCTGTATTAACACTTTTTTCCGCCTCTTTTTTTTTTCGCGAGGGATATGATCAAGGCTGGATTTTCGTCCATGACTTTGGTCGTGATCTTGCATTTGACGAGTCTTCATGCTAGCATTTGTACGGCGTTTTAGCGATTCGGATCCTTCTTTATTCCGTGCTCGTTGTTTGTTTCAACAATTTACAATTAGATAGTGCCACAATCCGCGGACTCAGGGGGCGGTACTGTGCGCTGGTCGAATGGTTGCCTCCTTTCTAATATCTGGTCGTGTCGCCTGTTGGCTTGCAGCCTTTCGCTGGCGTTGCCATGGAATGGGTCTTTGTTTTCTGAGCTCGTGGGATCTGGATGAAAAGGGGGAATAATGCTTTGATTACCTAGCGTTCTGATGAATGAAACGAATGGTAGTCAAAGTGAACTCCACATGTAAGATATTTCAACGAGTAGACTCGCCTGCGCTTGTCGCACCATGCCGTCTGTGCTTCTTGACCTTTCCAAGTCAAGCCTTGGGCCCAGCTATAATGTTCAGCTTTTAAGATCTCCGAACGTCAGAAATCTTACGTCTGCAGGTACGCGTCCTCTATACATATCGTTTCTCTGCAAGTACCTCCGAGCTCTATATACAACCAAACTCCCCAATATTTACAACCCCCCTAAGAAACAAGGAACAAGGAACATTACACGGGGTTTCACTCCAAACAGCCCCTACAAAACACTCTTCCGCAACGCCTTCCTCCCCTTCGCCAACTCCTCCATCAGAAGCAGTCCCTGCGCCCCGGATCTGCTCCCGTCGCCTTCAAACGCCGCCGGGCCGACGGCGTCGCGCCACCGCCAAAGCTCGCGCAGCTCGGGCTCGAGATTCCCCTCCAGGGCATCGACGATCTTGTCGCCGAGAACGGGGAAGAATTTGTACCCGTGGCCACTGCCGCCGGTGGCGAGGAAGAGGCCCGGGTGGTTGGGGTGGTGGTCGATGATGAAGTCGCCGGTTGGGCTGGTGTGGTTGGTTTTAGCGGGGAGTTTGAGAGAGAGAGAGGACGGGGGAGAAACTTACGTGTCTGTGTACCAGCAGACGCGGGTTTTGACGAATTCGCGGTCCGTGAAGCTCGGGAGGAGTTCGTGCAGGGCGGTGCGGAGGGCTTCCTGGCCCTCTGGTGGGACGGGGACGCCGTCCTCGGGCAGACTTACGTGCATCGTGGCGGCGTTGGTTTCGGAGCCGGAGCCGGAGCCATTACCGCCGGGGACGGGGACGGCTTTGGGATTGTGGTAGCCGTACGCGTGGCGGGCGATCTTGAGGAGGTTATTCCGGGGCGGGATGATGAAGATGCCGTTGGCGAAGTTGAGAATGGTGGGGAGGTTCTCCAGCTGGCGCTGCTCGTCGTCGGAGATGCGCAGGTACGCGAGCGCCTGGCCCGTTGAGATGGCGCGACCGCGGAGGTCGACGAGCTTGCCGGTCCAGGCGCCTGTGGCGAGCACGACCAGGTCGGCTGTGAGGGTTGTGCCGTCCGTCAGGATGACGCCGGTGACTCGGCGGTGGGAGGAGTCGTCGGCCTGTTGAACTTCGGCGTATAGCAGCCTGTCGACCTCGCCAGTCTTAAAGGCTACCTTGCCGGCTTCGTCCAGCTTCTTCTTTGCAAACCGCACGCCGGCCTCGGCGTCCGCCCAGCCCGAGCCCCAGTTGATGTAGCCACCAGCGACGTTCAGTTCCCGTCCATATTCCGGCACGATCTTCATCACGTCCGCCGCGGAGGGGAGCAGTTGGACGCTGTCACTCTCCAGTCCCTTGACGTTTTGGTAGCTCTTGGTCGCATAGTCTTTGGCTTTATCGTTACCAGGGGTGTAGACGAGCAACAGTCCGTTCTGTGTGTAGCGGCCCTCCGTGCCCCATTCGGTATTGCGCCAACGGTCAATGGCGGCGGCGGCGAGCTTCGCATAGACCGGGTGGGAGTAATCGGCGCGAACAATGCGAGAGCTGTCAACGGAAGAGCCATGGGGATTGGGGATTGTAGCTGATTGTTCGAGCAAGGTGATCTGGCAGGTAGGGTGTCGTTGCGACAAGGACAACGCCGTGGACACTGTATGCAATCGATCAATGAGGGGTTCCACGTTTCAGGAGTGTTCGGGTGGAGGTATGTATTTGAGAATGAGGGACAAGAGGACACGGACAATGTCATTTAAAAAGGACCAGCAAATGATCTATCCGTCTATGACAGAGACATCAAGACATATAGCATTCATTGTGATGGGGGAATGGCAACTCACAGCCGAAGACGCCTCCGCCGACGATCAGAATTTTCTGGGGGACAGCCATGTTGTTGGAATATACAAAGGCAGTAGCAATACTTTGTCTCTTCGAATCCTCTTCTACCGACTCAGTCAATCGCAGAAGACAACAACATCGTAGAGAACAGAAGAGAAGGAAATCAATCTCCTTATGTGGGATGCGGAGCAAGAACACTGGTCACTGAGAGAGAGATAAGGCGGCCCGGTGGATAAGCGCGGATCGGCTCCGATGACCGCTTGTCAAACCTCGCGCCCTGCCGGCTTGGCCTGCATCGAGGTTTCATTCCAGTCAACCACTGTTAATGGATGTCGGTCTGTTTGTTGTAGTTTCAGTAGGCGTTCTGGGGTGATTCAGACCGTCGACTGACAGCTGTTCTTCCATGGTTAGTCCATTGACGTGGGGAATGGCATAAGAACCCTTATCTTGAGACAAATATCACGACATACCTGGTGGAGTCAGCTTTTCTATACTATCAGTTGCACTTGCAACCATGAGTGTGTCTCGGGCAGGCCGAGCCGCCTTGAAGAAGGCTAGGGCTCCTGTGCCGAGTCCAAAGGCTCCCAGCAGAGTACCGAATGTGGATAGATCAAGGTCAGTACAATACCTGATTCGAGAGTCGCTGCCTCATCAGGCTGTTTTCTTCATTTCTATTGTCTTTGGTCCTGGAATATGGGTCTGACGAATGAACAGCAAATCCCCCACAGCCCCCGTGCTGCCAAAACGGGCCAACCCCCATCTGCTGAATCTCAAGCCGGAGTCCGAGACACCTCGGATGTCCCCACGAGCCATGACCTTCCTAGGCGTCACAGCTCTTACGATCAGCACGTACTGCGGCTATCTCTACGCGTCGTACCGCCGCGAAGTGACGCAGGCGCAGTCCCTCGACGTCCCCACCGACGTCTCAGACCGGTACAACCGCACTGCGCCCACCTTCGACGCCGAGGTGGAGCTGTCCGAGAAGACGATGCGCATGGGCAAGAAGCGGCAGGAGCTCGTGCGGCGTGCGCGCGGGGACGTCCTGGAGGTGAGCTGCGGCACGGGGCGGAATCTCGAGTACTACGATCTCGGGGAACGACGGGGCGTGGACGCGAACGGGCGCGCGGCGGTGCAGGGCTGTCGCTCCGTCACGCTCGTCGATCTCAGCCCGCAGATGGTTGAGATCGCGCGCAACAAGTTCGAGAAGTTGCATCCGGGCTTCAAGAACGTGGTCTTTCGCGCTGAGGACGCAAAGGATGTTCAACGCGACGCGGTGGGCGGGAAGCCTGCGTACTACGATACCATCATACAGACTATGGGGCTCTGCTCGATGCCGGACCCCGTGGGTGCCCTCCGCCATCTGGGATCGATTACGGAACCCGAGAAGGGCCAGATCTTGCTGCTGGAGCATGGTCGGTCGCATTACAACTGGCTGAATAATATCCTAGATAACCTGGCTCCTGCGCACGCGGACCGGCATGGGTGCTGGTGGAATCGCGATATTGGCGAGATCGTGCGGCAGAGTGGGTTGGAGATCGTGGAAGAGAAACGGTGGCATTTTGGGACGACCTGGAAATACGTGCTGAGACCGGCACGTTCACAGTCGAAAACCGAGTCATGACAGTGGAGGAGACAAGCGGGGGCGGCACGATTGTACATTACTAGATGGATAGATTTGAGCTTGTACGTTATACCCTTCGATATCATATTGATTTGACGCTATCTCGAACATATACGGGATAATGATGTCGCAGGACCATTGACAATGATAAGATGGATAAAAGTGCCGTGCATGACTCCATAACCCCCCCCCATCGTCCATCCCCAGGTTCTAGTAGTTCTACCATGACGTCTTCATTCTCACTTACGTCCGTCTACGTCGCACGTACAGAGCGCCGATCAACAGACTATATTCTGTGAGCCCACGTCGGGTAAGCACTCATGACATGAGCAATTGAAGAGTCAAAATGAGGTCAAGATGGCGTTCGAGAACGCATCATCTATGCGGGGTACAGCTAGCACTAACACTATCCTGATCGAGCGACAGTCGAGGGTCTTGACTTTCGCTTGGTGATTTATGATGTACTATTGGCGGGAGTTGGAGTAGGTACTTCGTCATTTAACACTAAGCAAGCGAGGCTTGGAGTATCACTTTTGAATAGGGTCGTCTCTATCGAATGGAGTAATGATGTAGTTTATTCTGTTTTTTTTTTTTTTTCTGTAAATATATGTATGCACAACGTACGGGAGCAGTGGGGTTTGGATTATTGCTTAATCGAATGTGCTTGATATGCATTATTGAAGATGTAAGGACAGAACCTTGACAGTACGCAGTGTTGTTGGTCCTCGCTGGAGATATATATATATATATTTGTTGACGGAGAGTTTATCCTGTACGTATGCATAACGGGATTAGAAGGGGAAAGGCACTAACGATCACCCAGTTTCTTCGGCATATTTGGCATATTTTATAAATCTGCTATGGTAAAGTCACGGAATATTCCGTCCAGGTTGGTCTCCATGTCGGAGGATATGAGGTAGATAGATAGATAGATAGATAGATAGATAGTCAGGCAATATGATATGAATGATATCAGGGCTGCTCGCTTAGCCTGTTGCCATGATGTACAGACGGGAGTATACACAGCTACAAGGCCTTCGGACTGACCTATGGTCTATGGACCATAGCCATGGCTCAAGAGTTGGCTGATCCCTTACTGCCCTGCTGGTATCTATCTACATATCTACATATTCCAATTTCCACATCGCATTTGCATCGACCGAGCGGCATGCACTTGAAACTGGGGTATTCGGCCGACAGTGATCATTCTCCAGCCTCCTTGCTGCTATGAGCCTATGAGCCTATGAGCCTATGGTTGCTATATTGCTATCGTATTTTGATGTTGCCACTTGTCTGCTTCATGTATATGTGGAATAGAATATGAGCAATTGCCAATTGACATTCTCACTGACTACTTGCTACATTTATTTGTATCTACAAGTACAAGTATGACTATGGTACCTATCTCCTGCCCAGACACACACGCTCGCACAGCTCATGCGCACCCCAAGAAAGTGCACAAGGTAAAACAAGGAGTGTGGCAACTGGCCTGGAATCCCTGAGAAGCCCCGACCTCTGGCTAGGTGGCTCATCCGATTGGATCTCTGTCCAATCTGCTGCACGGCTCGGAATCCGATCCACTGCCGCCAGTCTGATTGGCTCTCTAACCTCCCCAAACGGCGGCACTAGGAAGAATCAAAAATGGGTTTCATCCATGAGTGGCTAATCCTCTTTGGATGTCCACCATCCACTTTTTTTTTGGGGGGTGGGAGAGGGATAAAATGATTTGCTTTGGGCTGGCGGTTCTGTGGGCTTCCATTTCTTGTTGCGGTTAGTTATATACTATGTACGGAGTGCATCCAACATACTACGCGCTAGTGCTGGTTCCAAACTCTTTTCTTTTCTTTTCTTTTTTTTTCTTAATCTTTCTGGTACCCTTATAGGGACCTACCGTAGGTATGGATGTTTGGATAGATTTTCGTCTTCGGCCGTTGTCTACCACCGAACCTAGAGCGTCATCACTTATGGATGATTCTTCGCCATAGATGTCATAACACCAGAAGAGGCCACAGTGGACAATGGACTGTGTACAGTTGTAGTATGGTATGTCGTGTGAGGGAAAAGTAAACAATCAATCGACAATCTGAGAATGTTGGATGTATCGAGTCGGTCAAGAGATAGACAGACTAGGACAACCAAACATCCAATCCGATTAGTCAGTATATGTACATGCTGAGTATGAAGTAAAAAATAATAATACTGATACTTAATACTTTATGTACTCGGTAGAGTTATTACTCAATGGGCAGAGATATCGTGTTTGTTTCTATCTATCCAAATTTTTTTTTGCGCGGCAACCAGGTCCGTCCTTCAAGCAACTTAGCAAGACCCGAGTTAGCTATCCTAGGCTAGCTTGTAGTTAGTTAGTAGATACTGCTGTCTAGTCCACCAGCAGTTAGCTCCAGCTGTCCAGCTGGAGCCTAGAAGGCAATACGTAGCTACCCGATTCGCCTCTGTGGGAGCCCCACAGTGGTTGCATACCTCTCCGTCATTTTTCTATGGAGTCCATGCAGAACCTCAGTTGATCCCAGTTCGCCGCTACCAATCACCGAGGTAAACAGCCACACTAGTCGTCATCGACACATGGCTTGACTTGACTGTACTTTTGCCCCTTCGGTCACTGCTCTCTTGAATCGGTGATCCATCTTCAAAAATGGCAAACACGCATGTGGATACGGATTGCATCCACCGCCTGGCCGTTTTGCCTAGGAAACCAGTATTGGCGGTGAAGATAAAGCGTCCGTCTGGCACGCTTCTTTTAATCATTTCCTCCCCCCCTCCCCCTTAGTCTGTGTTTATCATATTAATCTAGTGGCATTAACAGAGCAGACTAGATAATCAAAAGTTGACAGTGGAATGAGGATTCGCGAAACTTCAACTGTTGTCAGTACCGGCGCCAGAGAAGAGCATTCCTGGTAACGGAGGGGAATGATTATGAGAAAAAAATAGAAATTCAAAACCAAGACTGGGACCCATCGCGTATCGGTCCAATCACCGCCACCCTAAGCCATCCGCCCTTGAATTTTTTTTTTTTTTTTTTTTCTCTTCCTTCTCCATTTTTTTTTTTTTTACGTCTCTCTCCTGCAAAGTTCCATCAAAGTTCCGTCAAAACACAAGGAATAAGAAAAACAAAAGGAAAAGGAAGAAAGAAGAGTGTCTAGTACGGAGTATCCACATCTCCAGCAAACAGAAAAAAATGAATTATTATTTCGGGTGGAAATTGAGATACAATAGTTAATTTATTAATTTTTGGGTGCCTTTCATACTGTTACTCTGTTTCTCAGCTCCATAGTAAAAACCACAATCCCTGGGTGTCGGGATCAACTGGCCAACGAACTCCCTTCTGATTATTCTTCCCCTTCCGTCTGTTTCCTGCAAATCCGACCACGCCTACCATCACCATCACCATCACCTTCGTCTCATCCATCTCCCTCTTGTCTCTGGTGTTCATCTTTACTCTCTTGTTAGATACTCTCGACGTATCTACTTTTGTCTGATCTTCTTTCCCACCCCCCATCCCCCCTCTTCATTCTCCGTCACTTTCCTTGCCCTTCCTGCCCCCTTCTTGTCTGTCCTCACCACTACTACTACTTCTATTACTTCTACATACATCTCCTGTAACAACTACTATCTACTTTCTTCATTCTTCCCTCCCTCTCCTCCCCTATCCTCACCTCTTGTGTTATTATTGTGATTCTCATCCCATCATCATCACCATCATCTATTTGATTATCTATCAACATCATTGATTTGTTGTTGCTTCAGTAATATTATTACCACTTCCCACCACTTTCCCTCCCCCCCCAAGTGTTGCCTTTTATTCTCCGAGCTGTATTTTGTTTGGTTGTTATAGTACCATCTACTATTACCGTACCTACCGATTCAAATCTCGCCTCCTTTCTCCCGTTGTCTTATTATTATTATTATTATTACCTGCTCTCCCCCCCCTTCGTGTATTATTTATTGTTCCATCTGTTCTGTCTTTATTTCTACAAAAATCATGCCTTACAATACTCGTCGCAAGTCGTTGTCTCTGCCGTCGCTGGGTATTCACCTTCCCAATACTTCCCGTCGCTCGCCGTCGGCGTCAAAAACGCCGCACGCGACCGACGACCAACTCCCGCCATCTAAAAAAGTAAAGAGGTCGCACGACTCGGCGTCTTCATCTCCAGAGCTGTCGCTATCCTCGAGTTCTTCCACAGAGTTCAAGGCGCAGTCAATACGGCCGAACGGAAGACGCGGCACTTTTGAGCACACGCCACCGCCGTCGCCGATCGACGGGAGCGTCGCGCCCAAGATCGATACAGAGGGTATCAACGACGATATCGTGGTCGGTGTGATTGAGCAGTTGGAAAAGACGGGGAATCGCCCTCATCTGGTCAAGGAGCTCGCAGCAGTTCTCATCAATCTCAATGATAATGTTGCAAAGTAAGTGGTTCCTGCCGATGCTTCCCTTTTTCAAGCTCGGGGATGGAAAGCTAACCGTTATTTCTTTGTCTTCAGCTCCGCCAACCCCGCCGCTCTTTTGTCGTCGCGATTGGGTACATACATGAAGCGTCCATGGACTGCCCTGGCGCCGTGTCCGATCGCGAAAGAATTGATTCCTATTCATCCTCGCAAAGTGTATTATTATCTGACGACGTTACCCCGTCGGCCCATTCCCGAGAACTCGGATGATCTCCTTCCAGGTGTCGAAGGGAAAAGCCTGACGCCCAGTGCGTCGAATGCTGATCTCGATGACGAGGAGATGCTCGCGCGGGAGCGTTCGCCGAGTCCTGAGGTGGATCTGTCTTCCCCCGACTTTGAGGAAACCCTCGACCTGGGCGGTCCTTCTAACCCTAGCGCCGGAAGACCGGGTCACAGCTTCAGTGACCATCACAGCCATGCGCGACTCATGCACTCGAATCGCGCTGCCTCTCCTCCGCTGGAGGGTGACGAGAAGGAATTCACGCAGACTGCCAGTGCTGTTCGCGAGCGGGCCTCGGAGCAGAAGGCGGGCGCCGGAGGCTCTTCTGCCCTCTCCGATGCTCTCAGCGAGTTAGAGAACGGGGCGATGAGCATTTCGGAAACCTCGGTTGAGAATAGCCCCCTTTCCTCCATCAATGAGGAGCGTCTTCCCGACCATGAGGTTAGCGATTATTTCTCCTATGGAAACTATCAGATGCAACAGCAGCTGCAACTTCAGCTCGAGCTGGAACAGCATGATGTTGACAATGCAGCGGCAGCGGCCCTCTTTGGCACCTCGCCCTCCCCGTCGCTCGCCTCGGTCGCGTCGTCACTCTCGTCTGGCACGAGCGTCGCTTCCGATGACGGCCTGGATGCGGAGGATCGCGTTAGTATCATTGCCAGTGCTCCACAGATCAGTCTCCCTGAGGACCCTAGCGTTGCGTCTGTCTCGCCCTTGAAACGGTCGCTCGACATGTTGAACAGCGAGCTTCCTGACATTGAAATGAAGCTGTCGGATCTGGCTGAGCATGATGACAAGTTGATTCTGCCGGGACGCATGCAGGATATGGATGTGGACATGGTGTTCGACTCGTGGCGGGAAATGCAGAGCCCAGAGACTGTGGAAGTCGATGAGCTCGACGAGATGTTCGGCGAGATCTGAACACCCTCGAACGCATTTCTTCTTCCCCTTACGATCGTTATCTATCACTCTTCATCTCCGCCCGGACTCTGTTTCGCGACTTCAGTTTGGTTCGGAACCAGCTGTCTCCGTGAAGCTTCGTCTCCATCTCCACTCAACAAGGTCATCTGCAACCTTCCCTCTCCATCCCCGGCATAGAGGCATGACTGATATTTTTTTTTAATCTTGTACTTTTTTGTTTTTTACTCTCTATCTGTTTAATGCGCGCTAGCTGTTCGCGTCTGTTGGTTCCGCGTCCGCGTTTTCGACTCGGATTTATCTCGGAGGCCGATTTCCTTGTACATATACTCCTCGTTTGTTTGTTTGTTTGTTTGTTTTTTTTTTCTGATGCGGCGATTTCAATATTCCCCAGATGGCCTTGATGTATCTACGTCTTTCCTTATATCTCTTTTCTCATCCGTCAGACATGAAAGAAAAGTCATTTCCTGTTGGAAAGAAAAAAAGAAAAAGAAAAAGAAAAAGAATAATGAAAGACGAAATGGAGGAAAGAACTGGTAGAAGGAGATTTGCTGATGGTGTGATGGCTCTCTTATGTATACCCAGCGCACTGTGGCTGTCTAATGAATATCAAGCAATTGTGATTGAATGAATTTGCTATAGAATAGTAGTTTGATCGGTCATTATGGATCATTATTATTGCATGCCAGTAGTGAGTTCTGAAGACTCGGTCCCTATACAGCTGAACTATACTAACTTGTGAAAGTGTTTTGGGTTCGATGGGAAGGGCTTATCTAATCTGGGACTCGCAGCCAGCAAGAGAGCCAGCAAGAGAACCAGAGAACAATCCTTCCCTTCAGACAAACAAGTCAGAAACTGCTCTCAAGACACTGTTATCGACAGAGACCCTCTTCTTCAGTCTCAACTCTCTGTCGATGGTGTATTGATCGTCGTCCATTTAATTGGTGCCTTTGTTTTCCCAGCCTGTCAATTGTCTGTCTTTCTCTTCTGCCCCCCCACATGGACCAGGCAGGCCGGATGTAAGGTACTACTACTACATTCATCTTTTTTTCTCCTTCTTCCTGTCTTCAACTCTGCCTCTTCTGCTGCCTGGATGACCACAGACACTTCTTCGGGATTGATACAGAGAATGAGAAGATCTCCGTAGGATCCGTCGGCCCTCATCCGGGTGTGAATTCGAAGCTCGACCATCGGCTTCTCATCGACGTCGCATCATGCCCATTCAATCCTTGGCCGCTCTAGACTCTTGTGAAATGAAGACGTGACAGATATCAGGAAATCGAATCAACATCAGCCAAGAGATTTTAGTTTCTGGTTTCCCCATTTCCGTATCTCTCTCTCTTTGACCAACTCGTTTTCGTCCAATCTCGCCTCGATTCACAACGTCCCTCTTTCACAACGAGATGGAAAACCCCTCCTCCACCGTCCCCGAGTCGGGGAACACCAACAACATGCGGGGCCAGTTGCCTCTACAACAATTTCAACAGCCCAACGGCAACGGCGACAACAATTCCACTTCGACTTCCACCATCCTGCCGAATAAACCCGCATTTGTCCCATCGAACTCGAACTCCAACTCCAACTCGTCGTCAGCGGGAACCAGCCGGTCGGGAACCAGGGAGGGCGCGAATGCGAAAGTCGCCATCCCGAGGCAGCGGTCCACCGTCGCCCCGCGCTACAGTCGCCGCGTGCCACGCGCGTGCGAAACATGCAGAGCGCGGAAGACGAAATGCAGTGGCGATACCCCTGTTTGTAGACAGTGTAAGGAGTTGAGGGTCAGCTGTCAATACCCGGTGTCGTGGAGGGAGCGAACAAAAGGGTAGGCTTTTTTTTTGGTTTTTTCGGTTGTCATAGCGTTGAGGTTCGCAGACTGACCGCGCGGTTTTTCCAATTTTCCTTGTTTGGTCGCATACAGGCAGCTGGATATCTTATCGATCAAAACGCATGATTATGAGAATCTCTTGCGGGAGATTGGAAATGTTGTCGACAGTCGAGTCTCGGAGCGTATCAAGAGCGTCTTGGACAAGGTATGATAGTTACTGCTTTTCCTGATTGCGCCCGCAGTCCCTCTCCTCTGGCTGACGAGCTATGTGTTTGACTAGTATGCCGTTGAAAACAGCACCGAAAGCTCCTCGAATGACCCGCAATCGTCTGTCACGCCCCGGGATGAAGAAATGGATCAGGATGAGCCGCCATCCTCCCCGTCATCCATCGGGTCGCTGGATGCGATCGATCGGGTGGAGGAGGATTTGAATCTCACGGAAAGCTCGAGGGCGACGGGGTATATGGGGAAGAATTCCGAACTCACCTGGATGCAGAGGTTACAGCGGGAGTCTGAGCAGCGCGTCCGGAAACGACCGGGGGCTTTGGAATCAGAGCCAGAGGGTGAATTCGCTCTACATACCGTTAACTATCATCTCGATGACATGGATATCACCATCCCGGGTCCGGTACAGGTGTACTGGATGCCGCCGCGCCATGTGGCAGACCAGCTATTTGAAGACTATCTGGCTACGATCCATCCATTCTACCCCATCATCAGCCGCACGCTGTTCCGTGCGCAGTACAAGACCTTCTTCGAAAGCGCAGCGCGACCAGGTGATAAATGGCTTGCCATCCTCAACATGATTTTCGCTATTGCATCCAAGCATGCCCACCTCACCCAGGCGCCCTGGCGTGGGGACGAACGCGATCATCTGGTGTATCTGACACGGGCTCGCATCCTCAGTATGAACGGTGATACATTGTTCAATCACCCCGACCTGCAGCAGGTTCAGGTTGAAGGTCTGATCGCATTTTACCTTCTTGCATCAGACCAGATCAATCGGTAAGCGCCCCCTCGCCCAGTTCAAACCGCCTCAACTTTCCATTTATTCGACGTGTGCTGGTGAATTGACCGTTCCCAGTGCATGGAGAATCGCGTCTCTCGCTGTACGATCTGCGATCTCTCTTGGGATCAACATGAAGAACACCAGTGCAACCACCCCTAATATCTCGAAAGAAGCGCGGTATAGAGTGTGGTGGTGCCTCTACACGTTTGAACATATGCTTGGGATAATGACGGGCAGATCTACATGCATTTTGGATGGTGTCTGCACGACGCCCATGCCACTGCCATTTGAGGAGGATCAGCTTCGCGAACCGTTCCCAGCCAAATTATTAGCAGACCCGGATCTGCGCCAGGCGTATGTGGGTTCGGCATTGGCAAGTTCATATGTGCGCCAGATGCCTCTAAATCCACCTGGAGGCAAACATGCTCAACATACAGATAAGCCACGAGACGCCAGGTGGTTGAAGAGCCAGCCTGCGAGTCAGGCCCTGGGCTTTTTGTTCTACACCGATCTGGCTGTGATCACTCAGGAAATCGTTAATAGGGTCTATTCACCAGATGTTGTGATGACGCCATGGGCTCATATTGAGAACCGCATTGGAGAACTCAGGGCAAGGATTGATCGGTGGTATCTCAATCTGCCCGAGGTGTTCGACTTCTCTCGCCAGACGGATGACCAGGATGAGGAGGCTCTCCGTTTGAAGCTCTTCCTCGCATTCCACTATCATAGCGCTCGAATTACTTTGGGACGACCATGTCTCTGTCGTCGCGACGCTCGTCCGAGAGATCCTAGTAAGAAGCCTGCATTTAGCCATACAATGGCGGAGGTATCACTTGATTCTGCTCGTCAGATGCTTCAGTTGATACCAGACCAACCAAACGCGATCCGGCTTTACCAGATTTGTCCCTGGTGGTGCATATTGCACTACATGATGCAGGCCGCGACTATCCTTCTGATTGAGCTATCCTTTGGCAGCATCCATATGCCTGAAGAGGAGCAGAATTTCCTGGCGGCTGCCAAAAAGGCCATCCGCTGGCTGTATGCGATGTCGGAATGTAGCGCTGCCTCACGACGGGCCTGGCAGCTGTGCGATAGCAATCTCCGCCGGATCGCCGTTGGCATGAACTACGACGTCAGCGACATGCCCCAGTTCGTCTATGAAAACAAACCAGACCAGCCGATCAACATGCACCGCCATGATTCGCACCCACAAACCACTAATATCGCATCGACTCCCATGTTCTACAATGCCACTGATGACTCGGGCCTGGTCAATGCCACGAACCATTCTCAGGAGGCTTACCAGTATTACCCGAATCAGCAGCCCGCATTTCCCGGGCCGCAAGGAATGCCAACCCTTGATCTCTTATCTGCAGGGAGCAGCAACAACTCTGGCGATGCATATTTCCCCTATGACCCGATCAGTGGAGAATTCATCCGGTCGTTCTTCCCGGCCTCCACCGAGGAGGAGCCGTGGACCCAGTGACGAATTTATGGTGGTTGATTGTCTTCGATTTTTATTCAATTCTGCTTCAGCGTTTCATGGCTCGCTGCGGCATATGGTCCTATTCCGGACCATACCCTTCTGGTTTTCGTACCTTTCTTTTCTTTTTTTTTTTTTTTTTTTTTTTTCCCCTTTTTCCCTCCTAACGTAACGAATCTCATATCAATACCCATGTCTCTCTGAAGGCATGTATGGTCTTCTCTTTTACCTGTTTTTTTTTTGTGTGGCTTCTGGGCGTACAGCTATCGCGCTGTTTGTTGCGGATGCAGGCAGAGCAACGTCTGGAACTTAATTCTTCGGCGATGATATGATACACGTGGTAGACGGGATTGAATGGAATAAAGTTTTTCTCTCTCTCTTTTCTTCTTTCTTTTGCTCCCTTGCCTCTTCCCTGGAATTCAATTTGGCACTTATCGTATCGCTTCATCAGTGTTGTGGGCATGGGCAGACTGTGATCCAGTGGTGCAGGTTTCTGCTTTCGGGCTGGTGGAGGGGTCTGGTGTCTGGAGTATATGTACATGGGCTCTTACGGGTGGTTTGTCTACCATATCATACTCTATCCTTTTCGAGTAATACATAAACACGGTTAATGTCAATGTTGATGATACCCCAACTGTTCATACCTATACAAGGGTATGTTGAATGATTAACGTAGATATACAATTGAAGAGAACACAAACAGGCTTCGCTCTATGTAAGTAAGCCTGGCAGGATATGCGCATAGCCAAATATTGATATACAGTACATATAATACAGTCGGAAGGTTTGAACATTATAACCTACAGCACCTTCCCCAACTCCAACTCCTGCCCCAACCTCTTCCTCTCCTTCTTCTTCTCCCTGGCCTCACGGTACAGCAACCCGCCAACTTCCCGATTCACCTCCGCCCACGGGACCCGGAACGCGCGGAACTGGCGGATACACCAGTCCACGACGGGGGCGGCGGGGTTCGCGTCGCGCGGGCCGTCGAACGCGTTGAATTCGGCGACGGCCTGCTGCGCGATGATGCGTACGGTGTTGGGGTTGGGGAGGATGGCCTTCTTCTGGACCTGGGCGAAGTATTTCGGGTCGAAGTGCGGGTCGCCTTTGCGGGGGTCGCGCTCGCGCTGCAGGTAGAGGCGCGTGATGCCACCTTCCTGGAGCCGGGCGAAGGTCGGGGAGCGGACGTCGAGGCACCAGCGGTCCCAGAGGCGTTGGCCGGCGGCGCTGCCGTGGGTATCCATGATGGCGGAGAGCAGCGGGTGGAAGGCCGTGGCGGGGATGTAGGGGTGGGTGGTGCGCGGGGTGGGTTCGTAGCGGAGCTTCGCGGCGTGGGCGATATCGCGGAGGGGGCCCGGGATGGTCAGGAAGATGCGGTGCATGCTGGCGCTGAGGCGGTCCTGGAAGCTGACCCTGGTGCGGTCATGGCGTTCGTTGAATTCGCCGTTGAGGAGGCGGAGGAGGATGTCCGTAGCGCGGGTTAGATCGCGCTGCTTGTCGGCCAGAGCCTCGGGGGTGTTGCTGCTGTCTTTGGAGGACTTCTGGAACTCGTGATCCATTCGGACGATGGCCGCGGCCAGCGCGGTGACGTTGCTGTAGCCCCAGCTTTTCAGGCGGTAGTCACGTATGTAATTCAACATCATGACCGCGGCATCCCATTGGCCCATGGCAAACCGGAAGTTCAACAATGCTCGCATGGTGTTTAGCGAGAGGGGCTGCGAGAGGGACTGCACCACCGAGTTACAAAGGGCCTCATTTTTGGTTGCCGTTGCAAAACGGATGATTGATGGCGCAAGCGCCTGGTTACCGTATGCACTTGGAGGAATAGGAGGACCATCGATGTCGTTGGAAAAGAACAGCCAGTCGCCGAATGCAAAGGCGCGCGACGCCGTGACCAGATCCAGCAACTCAGCCACAGTGACGATCGACAGCTGCGGTATGGACGACTCAAAAGGCTTGAAGGACTCGAGGTCGCCGAGGTCAAATAATGGAAGACCAGAAGGATCCAACTCGCCAACACGTTGAGAAAACTCCTGAATGCGCTGCATCTTGCTCGCATCCACCACTCCCTGAAGCCAAGAGAAGGCATCCAGGGCATCTGTACAGAGACGTTGCGAGGCAAAAAATCTGATATTGTATTCCATAAGACCAGCGAATGCCGAAGTCGCATCGTACAGTCGCGCCGGTGTCAGCGACTGCAAGTTCTCCTCCATAGGCGATGCGTTGTTTTCCCATGGTGGTACCACATGGGGAATGACTTTGAGAAGACCTTCAAAAGCTCGAGGGTCGGCTTCAGGATTGAAGCCTCCCGACTCAATGGCTCGAGTCACAAACCAATTTGATGCTTTCGCCGTCGGTAAGAATTTCGCATCGGCAGCTGGTGAAGCGATGGCGAACTTGAGGTCTGATACGTGGCGGAGAAGCGCGCTCGGGGATAGACCACGCCAGCCTAGCCCCAAATAGACGAGATTTGGAAGGCAATGAACCAACGCTGTGACAACTTCCACGCTGATCGTTCGTTTACCTAACCCGTGAAAGGGGGGAAGGCCGGTGCGCTTCCAGGACGACGGTTGCCGGTCAACATCGCCGGGGCGACGCCAGAACTCCTCCCTATCAATATTAGTCTTCCACACTGTCTGGGAAGATTCGAGCAGAGGCCTCCAGCTCTGGAATTGCCATGCTTGATCATCACGCCGTGATTTCATTCGTTCCACGAGCCACACGCCTTCCTGAGTATGTCCATGCTCCACACAAGACCAAAGGATCAGTTCTAACCAAATTTCAGGACCAAGTTCACGTATACCCAGGTTGAAAGGCAAGAACGGAGAGTCTTCCCCTGCAGCAGCGGCCTTTGCCGCAACTTCTGCCTCATGAGCCAACCAAGCTGCATCCGTCAAAACACTCATGATGTGAGTTGACAGGATATGCATCCCAGGAGGGCGAAAGTTCACCTGATGACTACCAGGATTTGTATATTTGTATACCCGTTCAGAGACTGCACCGGAATGGTGCAGTCGAGCAAGAACTCGAAAAACGTAAGACATTGCCAGCTTAGACTCATTTGGCGACGCATCAGCAGCGTCGAGCACGATTGAGCCTAAGCTTTGCCAGATCTCCGCCATGAAGCGCTTAGCATGTTCGTCCGCGAAAGGCCGCTCCGTCCTGGCCTTGAAGGTAGTGAGCCCAGGGATCGCTGGCGACTCGGTGGTAACATGTACAAGCTCCGTGGCTCTGTCTGCATCCGGGCCGGTAAGATCATCAAACGAGACGCCAGATCCCGAACCCCAGTCATGACTTGACAGAGGCTTGCGGGGCGTGGAGAACTCGCCCAGTGCGTCGGCAGCGTCCAGTAACTGCGTCAACAAAGCATTCACGGCAGGCCAGTTATTCAGCCGGAATCCCAGATATGCCAGGAGATCCAAGTCTCCCTCAGTCCTGGCGTAGAAAAGTAGGTTGGCTAGCTCGATGGTCTGCGCAAGCGATTCTCGGGTTGCCGTGTCAAATTCGGCATCAGTCACGGCGTTCTCCTCGGGAGATGTCCGAAGGGAGGGTGGAAGGTACTGTTCCAACAACGGAATCCAGGCATTCGGATCCCTCTGTCTCGACTTTGGTCCGGACACTGGACATCTTTTTTTCTCAAATTGAACGTATTCCCGCAGTAGCTGGACGTTGACGGGCGGCGCAGACCCTGTGGAGAATGGGCGACTCCATTGTCGCCTTCCGGGGTAAGTTCTGCAGCTCGAGGGACTCAATCGAATGGAAGTGGCAGGCAACCGAGGATATAGAACCGGCGTTGAATGCAGCGAGGAGAACCTTCGGCCCAGACACGGCAGACGAGCTGGACCCAGGCACTTTTTCATGACACGACGGGGGAGGATTTGGCGGACGAGGCCTGCGGAAGAGGGATCCAAAACTCGATGTGACCGATTGTCTTACTTCTGTAGTGCATATCTAGTCGTTCAACTGATTCCACATTTCCGGATCTCGCCTTGGCCTGGATATGTCCGTAAGATAAAGGGATATTTGAGAGCTGGATGAGCTTTGTTGATTGCTAGGAGGGATTTGCCTGTCGCCGCAACGAAAATGTATCGCCGAGGGTGCTTTAGTCATCGGCCTCTAGCCAATCACAGCACCTATGTTTCTATTGGCAAAGGAAGCTCTATAACTGTAGGTATTACTGTAGGTTGTTAATTCCACCTTCCTTTCCATCTTGTTGGATCTAATATCATTGTTCTTCCTATATTTGTTCAGACTATCTGTTTCATATTGCTAACATACATAGAAACCCACTGAATATTGCATGAACTAAGAACGAAGGACCAATCCAACAGTTGGGCCACAATCAAAAAGAAAGGCTAACACTACAGATACCAGATGAAACAAAACATTGAGACGGTGCAACTTTGTGTATCCTCAGGCACGCCACTTGCGACTGAAATAGCGGGGATAAACCAGTTCACAAGCCTCATCTGGAGGGATTTCGGGGCCATAGCGCCATGCTGGGGCAGCACCGTGAGGTCCTAGGTAGGGAGGCCGTCTTGGTATGCAACTTGCGCTCGGCGCAGGAACTGAACTAGACGGTGACCTTGTGAAGCTACCTGTAGGACCACAAGCCCCAGACGGCCAGGGTACTACCGTGGGAGCCGTAGAGGGCGTGGATGATGGTGTGGTAGACGAGGGCTCGTCTGAAGGCTGAACGGGAGGCTCGGTGGGCTCTGGATATGCTGCCGGCTTGGTAAAAGAGGGTCCATTTGACGGCCAAATGGGGGGAGAAGAAGAAGCAGTATTCGAAGGGTCTGGATGTTCAGATGGCAATGGAGCCTCTGTCAAGCTCGCCGAGGGAACATCTGTTGACGGGAAAGGACAGGCTGCTCCCGACGACGGGACTGAAAAGGAAGATGGTGCTCCTGTGGGAGTCGTGGAAGGAATGCCTGACGGTGTGACTGTGACAGTACACGGCGTTTCGGAAGGCTGACCAGAGTACAAGCAAGGGGTCCCCGAAGGCTGACACGGGAGGGAAGAGGGTGTTCCCGAAGGCTGGTGAGATATGCTGTTAGTTGCGGACGAGTCTTCATGGCTGCTTCGCTCTTGAACTCACCATGCAAGTAGATGGTCCATCACTGCGTTCTAGTACACGAGCCAGGGCTGGGTTCACACAGAGAGTCGCGACGGCTCCCAACACAACAAATGCCTTCATGATAGATGGAAAAAGTGGAATTCTTGTTATAAGTTACTCAATGTAATTGCTTCGAGTCCACCGTGTAATTGTAGACGATGCTGGTCAAACATTAGGAGGGAATCATCTGGAGGTTGCAAGTAGTATATATACTCCACGGGCCGCGAGATACGCCTTCTCATTCTCAATACTAGGCTTTGAAAGCGATGGCACCTCTCGATCGCCGTTTCGTATCCTGCTTGCGAATTTGGATGAGCATGAGTGTTGGGGCCGAGAGGGCCAAAAAGAGACCAACAACCAGGCCGATGATCTAGTCCATGTATCTGCCTGCAAAAACGGAGGCACAGGCAGATCCCGAAGAGGATAATAGATACAAGACAATAGTATTCATGCTGAGATATCCGCGGATCATCGATTTCGAGTGGCTTAGATGGACGTCGTAACGTGTATCACCTCAAGTGAGCACTGCCTCTGGCCCCCAACGCTTCAACGGACAATGCCAATCACTATTCAGGGTAAATGCTACCTATATCCTTATGAGACGACCATCGGTATTCGAGCCCAAGGAAAGGAACAAAGTCGTAAAATTTGATCGCGTACAGTGGTGATGACCTCCAAGCCCGATTTGATAACTGTTAGTTCCGCTCACCAGGCGATCTACACGAGATGAAGATAGCATGCGCGAGATTTTCATCATCGTCTTCGGACATAATCGATTAGCTTGAACGTGTATCCTGGTTCAAAGGCTTCAAATAGATACGAATTTGTCGTGGGATTGCGTAGTCCCTTCTTCGTCGATCACACTCTCCGAGTGGTTTACGAACCAACAAAACATGAAGTTGGGAAAATAGAAGACGACAAATGGTTACAGACCAGTTTGCTTATCAGTTATTCAAGACACAATTTCGAGAGATAAATCTGAGTGGAACGAAGTGTATGCTGATACAGAGTGGTATCAAAATGCGTATATTCATTCCCGCCTGATAAAGCTTCCAACGGGGAGAACAATTGCGTAGAAGAGGTATCAATGGTAAGATAACAACCAACAGCATCCGAATGATTCACATATAGAGCATCAGAAAAAGAAACCCCAATATCAGCCTATCCACCAACGCCACAACCACCAAATAGGAAGAAGAAAAAGAGAAAAGGACACGACACCGACGTATGGCACTCTGAAACTGGCCGTACCTCTCTAGCCCTCTCAGAATCACAGTCGAGCAGTGGCCCAAATCGAGGATACGTGGGGACTTTGTAGAGGACATTCGTCAATCATGATCGTTTGCCATCCGGCTGGAAGATTACACGCGTTCAGTTTTCCTCAAAATGCGCAGTGACGTCCTCCGTGATGGGCAGATCACCTCCCAGCTCCTGCTCGACCTCGTCGACAACAAAACTTTCATAGTCCTCAAGGCCCTTCTGAACGTGCACCTTGAATCGAATCACGTCATTCAACATGCTTTCAACATTGGTGTGAAGCTCTTCTCGTAGAGCATTTGCCCGAAGGGTAAGTTGTTCGTACTCGATATTCGTGTTCATTTCGCGCTGCTCCATCAACTGCACACTCTCACTCAACGTTGCCCGCATCTTGGCCAATTCCTTCTCCATCTTCTCAATTTGCGCGTCTGAAGCGAGCTTCTGGGTGGTGGTGATCTCTTTCAGGCGTTCGAACTCTTCTTCAGCTGCTCGCCGCTTATGCTCCAAGGCTTCAACCTCACTTCGTTTCTCATCCATTGCCTCCTTGATATTATCTAGGAGGTTGCGCCGCTCCAGATCATCATCAATCGCACGCTTCCGTCGCTCATTGATTTCTTTTCGGAGAGACTGCAAGCTACTGCGTACCATGCCTCGAAGATCCAGACTAAGCAAATGTGCTGGATGATAGCCTGTGAACGGCTCAGCCAGAAGTCGGTCACCTTCAGAAGAGATTCTGTTTGGCAAGCCACCAATCTGCGAGGCCGAAAAGTTATTCTCGTTGATGTTCAGGCTTAGCTCATAATCCTGGCCCTTGGCGTTAACGGCAGAAGAAGGTATGAGACTTGTCTGGTAGCCAAGTGTGTTGTAAAGTTTGACGATCTCCTCCAAGTCCTCGAGCTTTCTACTAGCTTCTGCTTCTTTATCCATGACCCTTGCATGCGTCTCTTCCAAGCGGCCTGTCGTATCCTCAAGGTTTTTCTGAAGTCGATCCCGCTCCGTATTCATGCGATCGATATCCTGAATAGTAAGTCCTTGTTGATCGACGCTGGCCTGGAGGCCAGCTCGCTCCTCTTCGGCTGCTTGAAGATCGATTTCGACTTTCTTGATCTCATCCTCCAAGAATTTGATGCGGTTCTCGTATTTCTCAATCTTTCCTTGGACGTTCTGGTTGTAGTCCTCGAATTTGCGTTTGTCATCCTCCAAAATCCTAAAATGCTTGTCCAATTTGGCCATGTCGGGGGCATTCTTTTCCAACTCTTCAATTTGATCGCGAAGCGCTCGGTTCTCTGCTTCCAAGACCTCCATTTCCTGCACATGTTTTTCATTTCCCTTTTCGAAATCTCGGGCCATTGATTCAATATGGGGGACAAGGCGCTGTTCGGCCGACTCATCGTCCTCGTCTTCACCACCTGCCAGCCAATCGTGGTATGCCCCAGTCAGAAATCGAAAAATGATTCGATCCCCTGACACATCCACACCCATTTCCGCACAGGCTTCATCGTACTCTCCAAGCTGAAAACGATCCATCATCTGAGCCAGCTGCATCAGCCAATGCAGCATACCTAAGAACGTAGGCCAATTCTGCCCTCCCACAGCAGCGATCTGGGATTTGGTGATTCCCTTCTCGAACGGGTACCGTAATTGCTTCAGAATCGGGGGGACCTCCGCATCCATAGCCTTCTGAAAGCGATATCCCGGGTCGATGCGGTGATACAAGAATTGGAAAATGTAGTTGAAATCCTTCTGAGTCGGCGACCGGAGGGTGTTCTGACTCAAAGAGTGTTTCATCTCGAGCTCAAAGTTGTTATGCGTTAAGTATTCGAGGAGCTCCTGTCCAATCCTTGCTTGAAACGACCTATCTCGGAGGGGACGGGGATCCCGAGGGACACCAGCGGCATTCGGTACTTGTGTGAAAAAGGACTGATGACCCATAGGGCCTCCCATGGACGGCCGTGAGAAGACACTGCTTCTCCTCTGTAGACTTTGCGATGCCGAGTTGGCAGAAAGGGACCCAGGAGCATAACTCGGACGACCGACGCTGGCGCCATGAAAGATGTTACTTGATACAGACCTCCTCACCGACGAAAGCCCAGCATCAGCACCGAAAGCTCCACCGGACGAGGAGCGCTGGAAATTCGGTTGTTGGGGACGACTTGCGGAGTTGAGCAGTGACATAGAGCGCGTGTGCTGCGAGGTAAAGGGAGGATTCTGATATCCGATGGAGCTTGTGCGCTTCAGCGCCGATGATGGTTGAGGAAGTGCCGAATAATTCTGGACGCTCCCGAGAGTCTGTTTAAATCATCGCATTAGTACCGCAACCGTGACAGAATCGAAGCAGAAGAAAACATGGAAATGCGCAAATGACGCGGCGCTCGTACTTCTCGGGGCCGCCTGATACTGAACAATCCAGTGTCCTGCGACATGGTGCAGAGGAAGCCGCGACTGCGGCGACTAAATCGTGATTAATAGAAGATTTCCAGATGTGCCCAATGGCAGACCGATGATGATGATAAATAGAGAGGAGAGATGCCAGAAAAAAAATAGATAGCGTACGATGCGCCGCGACTGACAGGACCAGAAGCTCCCCCTCACATGAAACGATAAGAACAAGATTTGATGTGCCCAACAAACAGCGATCAAAGGATGTAAATTGTAAACAAGCACATGCCACTATGTCGCCCAATCCAGCAGGCGGTGAGTCACTCCGGAACAACACTTCTTCCCCCCAGCAACGATCACGAGACTCTGGGGAAACTCCACTGGTGACTGGACTGTATCATGGGCGGTAATTACCCGTAAGCAGCGCAAGTTCCGAGGTCCAGCAGGAGGCGTCGTGCGGTGCCGATCAAGATCTCGCTGGCTGTTCGCATTTCACCCTCCCCCCCCAATTTCTCCAACCTTTTACTCTGTTCTTTCTCATCCTTCTCCTGTGCTATCTCGATTCAAGAGCACGGAGCGGACGGACTTGATTGAGGAAGGTCCGTCAAATTAACATCATGGCTCCCCGGGAGGAGCTTGTCTCCTCTGCTGTACGTATACTGCCTACCAATGCATTGTTGTAAACCCGTCGGAGCTGACCATTGATCTTGCTAGGTTTCATGTGCGTGTGTTCGAACTGCGATGCGAAGCCATTTCAACTTAACGGGAAATATCACTAATACTCCAATAGTCCTCCAGGATCCTTCGGTGGCCTCGTCGCCAGTTGAGAAGAGAGTCCAATTCCTTCAATCCAAAAACCTGACTCAACAAGAGATCGATCTCGCTCTGTCCCGCACGGGTGAAGACCCCTCCACTGCTGCCACAGCAGTCGCCTCCTCACATAGCTATCAACCTTCTTCTCAACGAGCTGTTTACCACCCCCCTCCGCCTCCTCCGCCTCAAGGTTATGGCTACCCTCCGTATGGTCAATGGCAGGCCCCGCCAGAGTGAGCCCTTTTTCGAACCCGTATGGTATTGTTGGTCAGGGCTAACTCAGCGCTCTGTAGACCCCCCAAAAGAGACTGGCGCGATTGGTTCATCATGGCTACAGTGATGGGTGGTGTTGGGTATGGGTTGTACACAGTGACTAAGGCTGGTTTCACCGTTCTGTCTCACCTCAAGTCACAGATTCTAACCGGTCTTGCAGCGGTACATTGCCCCTTTAATCGCCCCTCCTACGCCGCCCCAACTGGAACAGGACAAGGAGCACATTGACGAACAGTTCTCCCGTGCCTTTGCTCTGATTGAGCAACTTTCTACGGATACTGCGGCGTTGAAGTCGGCTGAAGAAGCGCGCACAGAGCGGCTGGACACGGCGCTTCGGGAGGTCGAAACTCTGGTGGCCGACTTGAAGACTGCTTCTCGTCGGAGAGATGATGAAACCCGCCGCATTAGCGACGAAGTTAAGTCATTGAAGGATGCCATTCCTAAAGCGCTGGAAGGCGCCCGGGAAGGAAATGACACTCGGTTGAAGGAGCTTGGTACCGAACTGAAGAGCTTGAAGGTCCTGCTTGGCAACAGACTGGGCGGTAGCGGCGCATCTAGCTCTCCTGTTGTTGGTAGAACCATGAGCGCCTCAACTCTCCCCGGCGCTGGCCGAGCTGTCGAGGAGTCGACTCCAAGCACCACCCCCGCCACTCCCAGTGTCACAGCCACCCCTACCACACAAGAATCGCAGCCCTCTCTAGCCCAGCCTAGTGTCGGTCAAACGACTGGCGCCGCATCCACTAGCCCTCTTGCACAATTTGGACGGGGTGCTTCCATCCCTGCCTGGCAGATGGCTGCTGCCAATCGGTCGAAGCCCACTTCGCAGGCAACTTCTACACCTGCCGGAGACAGCTCTTCCGAAGCCGCTACGAAGCAACAGAGCGCTCCTCCTAGTTGATTAATCCCATGACAAAACCCGTGTATATGCCTACCATGTGAAACTTCCTTGTCTACTCTTATCTCTGTAGCACTCATTACCCTCTACTTCTTCGGTGTACTTATCAAGCGGGGCATTGTAACTTCTTTTTGTTCCGCCTCAGGCTCATCTGTGCGTAAATAGCGTTTATCGATGTGCATACAGACTTTAGGGTATGCAAAAATGCATTAAAGTAGATCAGTTCATCGTTCCGATAGCCAGCTGTCACATGTAGATTATCTAGACTTCTCCGCACGCAATCATAATGGTGGAGATTTGGGATATCTTGAGTCTTGACTGATTAGCTCGCAGGTAATCAGGTAATCCATCGATAAAATAGGGAAGAAACGGCTATTCCAGTGATTCAGACCATCGAATCACGAATATCTGGTGACAGTACTTGACGCTCGACTCTTCCTCGGCATACTTCATAGGTAGTAGCATTCAGGACCCTCTGTGATATCGGTCCAATCTCCAGAAAAGCTTGGCATGTGACCGATAGCTTCTCGCCGTTTCTCTTCCACTATCTACTACGCTTTGTCCGAACATCGATCAAGACATTCTTCACCACACCAAGCAATTTTTTATTTATTTGACGATCGGCTCCAAGGAAATATTACAGAAGGCCAAGCAATGTCTACTCGCGATCATCATCCTAGGGACAGATCCCACCGCGATCGCGATTCGCGCTCGCGCTCGCGCTCCCCAGACCGAAGTGACAGACACAAAAGACATCATCATCACCACCATCGCCGCCATCACAGCCACCGTCACCGCGATCATAGTCATGAACGCAGCCGACGCGATCGGCATGCGGAACCTTCAGTCCCGGCGCCTATTGTGCTTCCCTTTCAAGCACGAGAGCTCTCCAAGCGGGACTTGGCCGTGTTCGAGCCCATGTTCGCTATGTACCTCGATATCCAGAAAGGATTGATCTTGGAGGATTTGAGTGAGGATGAGGTAAAAGGCAGGTGGAAGAGCTTCATTCGCAAATGGTAAGGATCCTCTTGGGTCTTGGGACTACTCTTTCTCTTTGAATGCATGCCTTGACTGGTCTTCCTGATGCCAAGAATTGTAGAATCCTGAGGCAAGAGTAAGCGGCTGACATTACAGGAACCGTGGAGAACTCGCCGAAGGGTGGTATGACCCAAGCACGTTTGAAAAAGCCCGTCATAGTGCCCTAGAACAGCCACCAGCTACCACCTCTGGACGTCGTCATTCGCCAGATTATAGACACGATGACCGAGAGAAAGAGGCTGAACCCAGAGAAGATGAACCGCAGAATGCCTCTGAAGATGAAGAAGACTATGGCCCCGGTTTACCGCGTTATACGATGGCAAAGAACGGTCCATCGGCTGGACCGACAATTCCGACGATACAGGATTTGGAGCTGCGGCAAGGTGCGCATATCGTTTACCGTTTATCTTGCTTGCCAATGCTAACGCATTACTTGTGCAGAATCTACTATGGAAGATGCGATCGCGGCCCGCGAAGATGCCAGAAAGCAGCACTACGCAGAGATTCGCTCCCACAGGTCTGAACTGCGGCAAGTAGAAGATGAGGTTGCTCCTCGCGCAGAGCCAGGAACACATGAGAGGCGCATGGAGAAGCGCCAAGAGGCAGCAGCAGAAAATCGAGCCTTTGCCGAATCGCGACGAGGTGGTTCGCCTATTGAAGGTGCTCCGGACGACGAACTGATGGGCTCCGCCGAGAACGACCTAGACGCGATCAAGAAGGCCCAGGCCAGAGAACAACGAAAGAAAAATGAGCGCGAAATCAGAAGGGAAGAAATACTGCGGGCCCGAGCAGCGGAGCGGGAGGAACGATTACAACAATACAGAAAGAAGGAAGAGGAAACCATTGGATGGCTCAAAACACTGGCCAAACAACGATTTGGCTGAGGTGGTGATAGGCACTCTCGTTCAAGCTTCTGCTTCCTGTATCCCAAGCGCTCTACCTAGTCATATACGTATGCATGTATCCATGTCTCCCTGCTCTCGCACAAACTGTCATCGGAAGATTCAAGGATCTCGATACTTTCCATTTTGGGAAAGTCTGACTCGTCTGCTGTGATGACCGCGAAAAGAGAAGGCGCTCATGCGTCCCTTAGTAGATATACCCTCGTGTCTTCCTCTCTTCCCCATCGTCTCGTCTCTTTCTTCTCCTCCCTGCATCACCACTCGTCTCTCTTCTACACCCCGAGTTCTATTCAACGTATACCAATAGTATCAAACTGTCAGACCCTACTCGCTCTGTTTGCCTTCACAATGGTTGGAATGTTTGTTTCAAACGTGTATCATTTCGAGAGTCACGACTTTCATGTAGCTGAGATCTTCCTCTGCTTTGTACCGTTTCTGTCTGGGGTTTCATACTTCTTGTCTGTCAAGACCATGGACTACTATACCTCACCCCGCAGGGCCCATCAAGATGAAGTGGGAAAAAGGCCATTCCTTCACAGGATTGCTCTGTTGTCTGTAGTGCTTCTTCTTGTCACATATGTAAGTCTGCTTTTCAAGCAAAGTCCATTTTTCTCCTAGCCTTGAGATGCTAATCTTCCAGATCTTGGAGCCGATTGTCCTGCTGTTTTCCTCTACCCAACAAGCTGTGAGACTGGCAGAAGATATTGTAAGAAGCTCCGGCATCGCCCTCTATGTTCAGCTTCCAGCTGTCACTCAGCCGGTCTAATGCAGGATCTCTTCGTTAGATTTATCCGCTGGGCTCGGTAATCTTCTGGAGTGCCGTGACCCTAGATTTCTCCAAGCGAACGCATATCCCAAGCATCCCCCTTCTGTGTTGTTCTAGTATATATATGATCACGGAGGCATTCTTGCTCGCGACCTCTGCGCAGCTTGAGCAACTGGAAAAGTCATCGGCCATCATGGCTATTCGTGTGTTTCGTCTGGTCCTCACGGGACTTCTTTCTAGTATTGCTGGAGCTACTTATATGGTGCCTTATCGAACGTTGGGCATTGAGGAGGAATCTGCATCTCTACTTCCAGATGGAACTGCCGGTATTGACCCGGTTCAGAAGCGTTATAGTCGGGACTTGAATTATGGCGCAATCATACAACGAGCAGGTAACTCGCAGAATGATGTCTGGTCACACCAAGTGAGAACAAGGCCACCAATAACACGAATTTCAAGCAGGCGCTTGCAACCGCTTTCAGCTTTGCAAGGCATCGAAGAGGAGGTTCAAGTTGACGATGATTATATTGCTGAGGACACCCGTCCGCAAGGCTCCGCGGATGATGCACCAGTTTTGCGGGTTGCTAAGCTGCGTCGCAAGAAAAAAGAGCCTGTCTCGAAGGATCGACAGAGGAAGAAGAATCCGCAAATATCTGAGGACCCTTCGAAAGCCGACTTGGGTGACGACATGTCATTCCGGAAAACCGTGTGGAGGCCAGATGCTCCAGAGTTCGTTCCAACTGCACACCGACGACAACTGGTGCGACAGGTCAACGAGGGCAGAGATGATGAACTGAATAGTCCACGTGCCATTGGTAAGGAGCATATACTAGCATCCAGTCGTGATCAAGACATTATCCCATCGCGAGATACGGACGCTCCTACTGCAATGAAAGAGGATCTCAAATTGTCTATCACCAATGAAAACCGAGGACCAAACCCTAACACATCCAAGACTGACTCGGGTCGTGCTATCGAACGTGATCACAATAACTCCGCGTCTGTGCTGAAGCAGGCACTTAACGGAATCGTTTATGCATACCCCAAAAAGGTTCGAAAGAGAGGAAAGGGGTCGAGAAGAGAAACCAATCTTCGTCGAAAGCGCACAGAAAGCGAGCCAGCGGGCATTGGATTGAACTCCCATCTGAATTCATTGTAATACTAAAATTACCAGTCGCGAGGCTTGTCGCTGCATGTCATTTGTCTCTTATTTCAGTTAGGTCCCATTGTCAGAGCGAAGATAGAAACGTATATGTACAAGCGAAGCAGAGTAAGATGCGACCTGATTTTAAGGAAGAGATAACCAAATATCAAGAACGCCCCTTCGAAAAGTCTTCGTTTCCCTCCAGTAACTCCTTCTAGCCCCTTTTGTACTTTTATGAGGAAATATATCATGAGACGTGGTTTAGTTAATACGGTATTTTGCTGTCGACACAAACCGAGAGTTGAGGTGAAGGCACCACCGTCAATTGACTAGGTCTTCCTACCAAGCTCGATGTTCGCGACTAGCTTCAGATCCTTAGTCCCATTTACAGATGAGTCTCCCATACCGAAGAAAGGCTTGACGGCAACGTCGACGGTCTCCTCAAAAAGCCGGCCGACGACCAGATCTTTGAGTTCTTCTCCAGTCTGACCAAAGTCAGGATACGCGTTCAGTTCGAGCAGCCAAGGAGTCCCATCTTTGTCAACCAGGAAATCCACCCCAAACAGCTCAAAGGCATTTGGCAGCGTTTGGAAATGCACCATCATCCCTCTCGCGGCAGCCTCGAACACCTCCCCGGTGACCGCACAGATCTGGTTGAAGACCTTCTCCTTCCAGTTGTAGCTCAGCCCAGGCACATGGGGATCCAGCTCCCAGAACCGCCGCACACTCCCCTCGTTGGCGCTGCCGCCTTCCTGGAAACAGGTGTTCGTCAGGTGTCTGGCGAGGTCGATCGTCTCGTCCTCGTCCTCCCACGGCGGGCAGTAGGGCTTCGCGGCGAAGAGCGCCAGCATTTCCCGGAAGACGTAGACCTTCAGCGAGCCGACGGCCAGGACGTACGTCCGGATGTGGAACTTGCGGTTCGACGACGAGGGGAGCAGGAGTGGGGGGTCGATGTATGGCTGGGCAATGAAGTGGCGGAGCTGGGAGGTCACGACCCCGTGGTCATCGCTATCGTCATCTTCGTCGTCGTTGTGTTCGTGTTTGTTTGCGTTTGCGTTTGCGTCGGGCCGCTCGGACCCGCTCTCGTCGTCGGAGTCGTCGACTTCCCATTCTTCGAAGATCTCGCGCAGCTGGTCCTCGCTGTTGAAGAGGCGGATGCCCTGGCCGCGATCGCTCATGCCTGCTTTGAGGATCCACCATTCCTTGTCTGCGGCGGGTTTGGTTTCGTTCTGCGCGAGGCTGTCGCGGAGCTCGTAGGCTTCGAGCAAAGCTTCGTCGAGGAACTCGGCGTAGTCGAGCTCGAAGTCGAAGGCGAATTTGACGTGGTGGCGGAGGATGCTCTCTGGGTGTTTGGCGATCCAGTTTGTGACGGTGTTGGAGAGGTAGTGTTTGCGGATCAGGGCTTTGCGGATGATATAGGCGTTGACGAGGGACGAGGTCGATTTCATCATGGCGTGCTCGAAGTCCAGCCGTTCGTACTCGCGGTATTGGAAGACGGGGGTCGATGAGGAGGGGAGCTCGTCGAGGGTGGAGATGAGCTGGTATCGGTCTTCTCCGAGACGGCGCTGCAGTGCTTGTTGCATTAATTTCTGGACGTATGGATCGTCGCTGTCCACGATGGAATAGAAGGCAGGTTCATCATTATCTGATCTACAGAGTCTAAATGATTAGAAATACCGTCTTCTAGAATACGACCAGCGACCATCAAGCAAGCAAGTAAACAGACAACGCAAAGAAGCAGAAAGACCGCCAAGGGAGAGAGCAAAGGTCGTGATATATATGCATCATCAAGGTCGTCTATAGGCCCTCGCGAAACGCTCATGATCTGTGGTCGTGTTTAGACCCAGATCCGCCCATTGAAAGGTCTCACTTACAGCTTGATCTCGCCCTGGATGGCAGCTGATTGCATGAAATTGGCCTTGAGAGGTGTAACACTACATTCATGGTCAGCCACCAGAACAACAGAAGGCACAGGTCGAAGGAAAGGAGGGCAAACCTTGTCATTCCCTCTCGCACAGCCCGGCCATCATTACCCGGTCCGCTGGCCTCGACGCTCTTCCACACATCCGTGAAATCAGGATTCCACTGGAAGTGCTTATGTTGAAACCGGAGCCTTCTCCGCGGCCCCTTCCCGGAGGCCGGAGTGGGCTTCTCACCCAAGAGCTCGCCCTGCTCACGCAGCCTCAGTTCCTGCAGCTGGGGAGTCTCATCCGGTAGCGCCGCATCGACGGCCTGGAAGCAGCTCCCCGTCCACCGGTTATCAAGCATATCGGTGTAAAGGACCTTGGACTTGCTCATGCCGGGTTCAAGGGGCACATTGACATTATAGAGATCCACGCCCTCCGCCCAGTTCTCGCAGAGGTACTCGATCAACTTGACCGAATGCTTCGAGGCCTCGGCGATCACCACGGGGTCGTGGTCGCTCGAGCTAAAGGCGTAGGAGAGGGCAATCGCGCGTTTCCCGTAGAGCGCGGCCTCCATGGCGCCACCGATGGTCCCACTCGACAGAGCGAACAGGGCAGTTGTATTCCGGCCGTAGTTTGGGCCCGAGACGACCACGTCAATGGGGCCGCGTTCCTGGAAGTAGTGGAAAAGACCAATCTGGACACAGCTGGCTGGCGTCGAGTCGATGAGGAGCCACTCATCGCCGTCCTCGTTGTCATCGCACCGGGGATACTCATGGATGGTGCCATCGTCTTCATGGAGCGTACCGGGGCGGAAGTAGGTTGGCCTCACGGAGGCACCGATCAAATGTGCTTTGCCGATCCATGATCGCTGCTGGTGAGGGAGGACGACCGAGACAACATGTCCGGCGGACTGAAGATTATCGACGAGGGAATGGATGTAGGGCGAAGACTGGTTCGATGGAGGGCCGTCGTCGTTGACGACCTAGACGTGAGGGATTGTCGTTAGCAGGTGACTTTCTTGGGTCATAGTACCAAAGCTTTTACTCACTAAGATATGCATGGCGCCTGAATGTTGAGGAAGAAGAGCGTGGACGAGGGAGAAGTTGTACTTGTCTGAGCCATGGAGGGGCAGTTTTACTAACAGTTGAGGTGGGCCTTTTTACTCCGCATTTTCGGCTTGACTCTCGTTCTTGAACTCGGCCTGATGATGGTGACAATGGGCCTGTTTCCTCAACGCCATTGACATTTGAGATGGCGTGCTCTTCGGGCATTGAGCTACTGCTGTCCTGAGATTTCCTTTGTCGTTTCCTATCCCTTGTGATTTTGGATTGAGCCAAGAAATGCAATGTCCGTTCTAGTGACATATATGTATGTGTATGTGTAGTAGACAGTAGTACCAGTTATAAATCGGCACAAGCACTAGGGTATCGCAGAAGCACATGCTAACTATTGGGACAACGTATCAACACTATGACCGATCCTCTTTCGAAATACGACTCCGGCGTCGCTGAACACCCCGAGCTTCAGCGCTCTCGCGGCCTGTTCCTGCACCACTTTCCTCTCCCGGCCGTGCGTGCCTTGTACCATGAACAGTTGGACTATCATCGTCGGTGTCACTGGTATATGGTTGCTTTGTCTCTTCCTCAGAATCCTCTTCCTTCTTGGTCCTGCTCAGCGGTTGTTTCTCTTGGGAGTCGGAGGATGACTCCAATGCAGACAGATCGGTTGTCTCGTCATCAGGCTCCTCCTTGATCGGGGTCTTCCCACGGTCTTCCCGCTTGATTGCAAGGCGATCGTCTGTCTTAGAGCTCCAGATCGAGGCCAGGACAACCCATGTAAAACTTGTAGAAGCCATAGAGACACTCCAAAAAGCGAAACTGAAGACCAAAAACGACAGGATCCTCCAGTTGTACATGACCCATCTGCGCTATTTTAGCCAAATCCCCATGAACAACATAGAAATGCTGAAGTCACTTACCGTAAGCCCCTAAACCGCGCCCTGAACTCAACTCTCGCTGAGTAAACCTGCATCTGCTGTTGACTGTCGACTTCCAGTCGTAGACTCGTCGGAAGATTGCGCCACCCCCTCGGGAACTCAATCTTCTCCAGCATCGGCACCACCAGAGTTTCCGCTTCCCGGTGCCAGCCCAGCACATACAGCGGCAGGAGCGATATCTTGCTGGCCGTGTCCACCATGGGCGATGTATACGTAAGGATAGTCGGGCGGCGCGAGTGCGTGATGCGGTCCGCCGAGATGTTTCGACTGATCCCCGGGGCCGTCGACGGCCGAGAAAAGAGAGACAGATCCAGCATGAAGTTTCCGGCTGCAAGGTTGGGGGGTGTCCGTGGGAGTTCGAGTTTCACGGTGACATCGTATGCTTGCTGAGACACCAGCTCTGGGCCCAGAGAAGCGGTTCCCCAGGGATGGCCATCACTATCAAAAACGTCGATTGAGTTGTCAGCCTGTAGACCTTTATGTGTCGTGGGAACACTGCAAAGAACCTTACCCGAACTGCAAATGCACATCACGCGATAGCCCAATCTGTGGAATAAAAGTATAGTAGAATATCAAATATGCGATGCCCGAGACAAAGAACATGCACACAGCTGTAATCACAAATAACAGGGTGCCCAGATATGCTTTCTGTGCTGGTTTCGAAACGAGGGCGCGGACGGGTGTTAGCAGGGCGTCCTGGATGGAGGCCATGACAGCAGTCAGCTTGTGATAGAACAAGCGAAAGAAACACGAGCAACATTACCATAAATCCGAGGGAAAAGCCATTGCTGTCATCCAATTCATCATCTGTCGCGTATTCGAGTTCGGACATATCGGCGACCCTGCTTAATAGGTGTTTTGAACACGGTCAATCGACCACCAACGAGCGATGCGGCTTGAAGAGAGCTCCGACAATTTGCGGCGACGTCACCGAGGCTTTCTTTCCCCCGCGACACCTGATAATTACAACAATCTGTATGCGAGCTACTTTTACGGGAAGAATATAATCGACTCTTATCCTATGCAAATGCAATCCCATTGACCGTCCCTTTTTTAAAGAAAAAAAGAAAAGAAAAGAAAAAAAAGAACAAAAAAACGTATCGTTACAAAGTACTGCAATTGCAGCGTATAACTAACAGAACCATCCAACAAGAAAGAAGGGAACAGGAAGCAAAAGCAAAGCAACTGGTTCCATATGGCTGTATGCTGCGCTGACATCTCGTAGAATGCATAATTCTCCCAGAAACCCAACCGTAGACAAAAAAAAAAAAAGAGAATGGAAACGCGAAGACAGCACTAGAAAGAGGACAGAATGAAAATAATAAAAGACCTTCGGAAAAGATACACCCCAGGAAAGCACCGAATTTCTACACGTCGTAAGCGGCATTGGCAATACACCATGAGAGAAAGTCATCCCGCGGAATGCAAGACATCGAGGCATGATCAGATACTTCATATTAAATAGGAGATGGTGGTGGAGGAGAGGTAGGGGGAGAGGAGACAATTTCGTCAAGCGCCTCAGGGCATTGCCCGAGGGCTTTGCTGTTGAATATGTTGAAGGAGAGCATCGAAAAGACGACCGATCTGAGAAAAGAAAAGAAAAAGATCATTAGCAGGTTGCGTCAAAATGCAATTGGCGTGGACAAATAACATACCTCAGGCGCAGCCTGGATGAAGGGAAGGCGGAAGAAAGTGTAGCTTCGGTTTTGGAGAAGCTCCTGAAGGGTGATGATCAGACCCCAAGGATGAGGACGGTGGACAATCAGCCGCTCCAGCAGCACCCGGATAATCTGTTGGCGGATGTCCGACTCGCCCTGCTCCGAATTATCCACGCCAAAGAGACGGAGAATGGCGAAGCTGAAAAAGTAGGTATGGCTGTTGGGGTACCGTAGCTGATTCGCCATCGCACTCAACAGGTAATAACGCGCCTCGGGTCGTAGGATCTTCGCGAGCCTCTCCAGAAGGGCCGAATGGGGGGAGTTGTCAAACGCAGCACGAGTGTTGTTGTTGTTACCCTTGGATCCGCTGGTAGTAACAGCCCCCTGGCCGATGTAAAGAACCAGTGCGTTCACCAGGACAATGTTCACATTGATGGGGGTGTAGAAAAGCCCGGTTTCCTGGTTCAAAGGGGTGTAGATGGCATCACAGATCTTCTGAATCGAAGCTTCGGACGCATTGCTGCTCTGGAGCGAGCTGTCCACAATACTCTTGATGTTGACACGCTGCAAAGGAGCGGCAATATCACCGGCAATCTGAGGAGCTTCCCGCATCTCTTCCAGTCGCTCAACCTTCAAACCTTCCCGGAACGGATCTGGAAGCTTGTGGAACGATGACGGATACGCACTGAGAACCAGATTTCGCAGCTGTGCGCAATGGGAAGGAATTACATTGCAGAACTGGAAATGGTTCTCTGCCACGAATTCAGGAAAGTCGTGATGCAGAATCAGTAGAATGCGAAGCACCCCTTTGTAGAGATCCTTGGCTACGTAAGAGATGTTTGCTGGTTTCAGCTGCTCGCCGATGTAGGAAAGGAGGGCTTGCATAATCTCGCAGTAGGGTCCCCAGCCCGCCCTTTCTGGCTTGTTCAGCATACCAGACATGAAGAATCTGTGAGATACCAGAGAGAGCCATCCGTAGACGAAGGCAGGGCAGTACTTGGGCTGCATAGACAGGAACTTGTTCGCAAGAGCAAACATCATTTCCTGGTGCTGGTCGCTTTGTTGGAGTCCGTTAGACGAGTACTCACAAAGGATGCTCGAGAACAACCTGAAGAAGACGCGCTGGTTAAATGCTTCGCCTCTAATCACTTGATGATGATTTAAGACCAGCACGAGGAGGGACAGAATGGAATTGAAGTAAACCGATTTGCTGGTCTTGGCCGCGCCAGCGCTCTCCCCCTGGAATTTGACCAGCAGAATAACCAATTTAGCAAGGGCATCGATATAGAGGAACGCCTCATCCAGACTGCCGTTGGGATTTTGGGATTCGTGCTCAAACATAGCGACGGAGATATCAATGCTCAGGCGGAAAAACAGAGCCGAATCTTCCTGATTATCCATGACTTGTCGCTGGTGCAGGTCCTTGAGGAATGAATAATACGTCCGGTCGACAGCACCGGGGGCCTTGTAGATACCGATCCATTCGCTGAAGATGTATTCCATCTGGTCCCGTTTTGATCTTGCCTTGTCACTGAGAAGAGGATTGACCACCTCGGGGATTCCGGATTCGCGGAGTTTGCGGATGATTTCATTCGCAGGCGCAAGATTTGTGTCTTCTGCAAGCCACTGGCTCATGGCTTCGAGGCTTCCTGAAAAATCGGATCTCAATGCCGATGGCTCCTCATTGAAGAGAACCCGATCCATCAGACTGCCGAGCACCTCAAGGGAGCTCGTGTTCTTTTGATAGATGAGTCTGGTGAGAATCATGTCGACGCGGCGAATATCAAGAAGTCCAGCGTCGATAAGTGCCACTGTAACCGGTACGTTGAAGATATGCTCGTCATCCACATCCGACAATACTACCCATGTGTATCGCGCCACTAGAGACGACATATCGCAGAGCTTCGCAAGCAAATGCACAAGTACTTCGATCTCCAGGGTACCTGGTGTCTGAGAATACAGCATTGTGCAAATCTTGAGAGACGTCAATCGTGCCAACTCTTCACCGCTCGCAGAGGCAAGTATAGTGCGCAGTGCTTGGTTGTACTCTTGTAATACTGAGCTGTCTCTACCAAGATCTTTAACGCGCTCCTCCTCCGCGTTCCGGGCCGCTTGCTGCAGATCCGAAACAATACTGTCCACTTTGTCCCTGGGGGTTGTCGCTTCCAGGAAACCGTTCAACTGTGGCTGAGCGCCAGCAAGACCGGACTGTTGCAAGCGAGTGTCTTGCTGCGCCTGTGGGGTTCTGTGAGGTACAGCAGGCTGTTCTGCAGGTGTAGACAGATTGGGGATCTGGGCGTACGAGTCCTGGAGAACATCGGCGAGCTGTCGACCGGAATCAGCCGAAACAGCCTGAACATGTGCCGCTGCCGGTCCTCGTGACTGGCGAGCAAACTCTTCATAAATGGCCAATTGCTCTTTGTTCAAGCCACCCGGGGCTTGGCGGTAAGGCTCGGGGATGAATAGCCCCCAGCGATTCATCGACGGATCGATGAAGGGTTCATTGGGCCGAGCAGCGCGGTGTCGCCGGCGGGCTTCTAGTTGTGGTTCAATGACCTTTTCGATCTCAGGAAGGGACTTCTCTTCTGCTGCCTTCTCAACTATTCCACAGGCAGCATCGAGGTTATCATTAACACACATCAGGATCAGACCCTCGGGCATCGGTTGCTCAGAGTACTCCTGCTGTATCATGCGGATGTAATTTGTCATGCTGACTTTCAGGGGCTCCTTGCAAGTCACGAGAGCTAAGCTGCCAGCAAGTTGTCTTACCATTATTCCGGCCGCATGTCGCACCTTCTCTTCATCGGGCTCCATGGCAAAGTCCTTCGATACCAGTTGGACGGTGGAGATAGAGGCGATCGTCACAGAGCGCTCTACCACGGGAGTGATGATCTCCGCAATAGCACGCTCCACAGCAGTGTGAACAATCTGTCTAAGAACGTTGGGGTCAACCATGCTGCTTGCTGATGAGGGCAGGACAAGAATCTTGTCCAGGCTTGGAAGGGTCGACAAGATAGCAGCAGGCGACAGTCTTTCGGTCCGCATGCCCTGGTTGATGCTGGTAAGAGCCATGTCTTCGAATGCTTCAAGCCCTTCAGGGATATTAGCCGTCGACAGAGCATCCTCAATATGAGCCGAGCGATCCCGGATGACAAGCGAAGGTTCGATTGTCTTATGATCCAGATCAAGGTCTTTGCAGAGAACTTCGATTTCAAACTTGAGATTTAACTTCAACTCAGCGAAATGGTAAAGCTCCAGCAATAAAGCAAGGATATCCATTAACCATGGGTTCGGTGGCTTGAAAACGGTGGATTTTGTCGCCTGAACTAGCACCTTGCAAGTGAATGGAATCACGATGGTCAAACGCTGACTATCGTAGCCCTCCAATAGAAGGCCTCTGAAGTAGACATCTTTGTGTTTGATAGGCTTGTCCTTGGCTATGGTCAGCGAACCCAGCCATGAGCCGAGATTCTTCAAGTGACCGCGATCTGTCGATGAGTTGAGAGTAGCCTCAGAGTTGAGCAGCTTGCCAACGCTGGCATATGTTTCTCTGAGAACTTCTGCCCAAAGAATTTTGTCATTGATGCGATCAAGCAGATCGAGGTAAAGTTGCTGAAAGTTGGGCTGCAGCTTGGCACGCTCTTCCACCAAGTATGAAGCAAACCATTGATGATGTTGATCTCGAAGAACATCCGTGAGGTCTTGCAGCTTCTCCTCAATGTTTTGCTCCGAGACGTTGTTCAATACGAAAAGGATCTTGTCTTGAACTTCTTCATCTGGATCATGGTAGAGATCGGGTCGAAGAGGAGGGTCGACATGAATGGAGAGGAATGTGCGAGTCAGTCCATCTGCGACAGTCTCATCGGGGGTACCGTTGGTCAACGAAGCGCCAGAAACATTCTCAAGCCGGCCACCCTCCGCTTCTCTCACTTGACCTCCCTGCTCACGGAGTACTTCTTCAGCCTTCTGGAAGATAGGCGTGCCCTGCAAACTTGGGATTTGGAGTAGAAGGTGACAAAAGCCAGCCCATTCTGGAAGGCGGTCGATCAACTGTTCAATCGCCTCTACGCCGAACTTGTACATAGGGTCGTGTACGTCGTGTTCTCGTACTGCCTCCAAAATCATGCCCAGACCGACTTTGAGCGTGATACCATCAACAAGTCGGAAGTTGATGATACCACCGAACATAACGGCCGTTTTCGTCAACGCTTCCAATGGATATTCGTGGTAGCAATGGTACTCGTCAATAAGTCCGTGGACCATGCACGCGAAGAGATCTTGTTCGGCAGGCTCGCGCGAAGTCTTATATCGTCTCATCAATTCCAATATCTCCCGCAGAGATAGTTCTTCATGGTACATCTTGCCGAAGAGCTCCTGCATTTGCTTATCAATGGCTTCGGGTAGAGCGTTTCCGTTTGCACCATTGGCGTCAATGATATCGTCAAACCCTTCTCCGTAATTGATCAGCCTGGGATATGTCTGAATACAAATACGTTGAACGGGCGTAAGGTTTTCACGATCTCCGACATATTCCTCCAGGACTGACAACAATGTGAAGACGGTCTTGACCGACAAGCTGACCATCTGAGGGGCAGGCTGTTCTTTCCTCTGGACGTGCAACTCATCCTCGGCTTTGATCCGCAGGTATTTAGACAACAAGCTGCCCATGTCCATCAGTCCCTTCTGAGCCGCGTTGCGAACCCATTGCTCCAAATCAAAAGGACCTTTCCGATGGGCATAACAGGCCAGATCCATCGCAAGACCGTTTGTATAACCAAGCAGGTAGTCCAGCCAGTTGAATTCGACGGCATGTTCATAGATAGCAGCGGTCGAGGTCGGATCCTGAGTGAATGTAGTAAAGAGCTGCTCGGCTACCCATTGGCGGTCCTGGCGCCATGCTCCCTGAAGGGCCAGCTGATATCCCTCCTCTTGTTTCAGTATGAATACAACGAGGGTCCGAAGCACGAAGCTTTGCTGAACACTTGTCCAAGGCTGGGGAAGGGCCAGGGCTGAGCATAGAAAGACAGGAAGATCGTGCTGGACAATAGCTTTGATGAGCATCTGACTTTCAGCGGCCGCCCATGCAGCCTGAGAGAACAGAGCAATATCGAATATGGCTCTCATCGCATCCAGAGATCGAAGCGGTGATTTCGCTGCGCGTTCACCTTGAAGGCGTACAATCTCCGGTCCTTCGGCAAAGAAATCCGCCGGAAAGGTGGCACGAAGACTGGCAATTTGAGAGACATCGGTTCGAGAAACGACGAAGGCTGTTAGGAAAGACAATTGAGTATCGCGATGCTCCCAATCGCCGCCCCAGAGCTTTTGTACGTCCAAGGTGGAATCATCCGCAGCCGCCACCAAGAGGAGTGAATATAACTTGGCAAATTGCTTGGAATCCAGCCGCAGACCTTCCCGGTCGAAGCTTCGGAAGATGAGGGACCAATTGATCTGCTTGTCACCGTAGTGCGATTTGACAGCCCGAAAGAAGGTTTCCAGCGAGAACTCCTGCCTGTACTGAGAGAGCACTAGGAAAAGGAAAGCACTGGCAATTTGTTCTTCACCCCAGCCATCGGATCCAGCCGAGTTAATCGCTTCAGTCACGGCATCGACGCTCGAGGTCGCTTTCGGCCCCTTTGAGTGAAGCTGGCGGACAAGAGTATTTCTTGGATTCAGGAAATTGAACATTTGTAACGAAGAGGCGACTTCGAATGGCATCTCTACGCCCAACTTTTGATAACGCAGGTTAGCCGCATACACCAGCTTGGCTTTCACATCGTCGCTGAAGTTGCGCGGGGGATATAGGATAAAGCGCTCGATGGTCATCCCAATGAAGGAGTTCTTGAAATCCTTAGTTGCTTCGGATGGAGTCGCCAAACTTTGAAGGAAGGGTATTATCGAATTCGAGAGAATCGCATCAGCTATCGAACATGGCGCTTGTTAGATACTCGACATCAAACCTGACCCATCAAGGGGCTAATACTAACCTTTCGCACGCAGATCCGACTTGTTGGCGGTTTTGAAGGCCAGGGCAAGTGATACTTTGGCAACAGGATCCAGCTTAAAATGGTCCAAAAATGTAGAAAGATCAAAATCCCGGAAGATATCGCCCTCGGATGTATCGACCGTCTCTGCGATCTTCTGGGCTTGTTCGATGTCTTGGGTCACTTTCTGCATTTCTTGAATGAGCAAAGGATAGTTTCCGGCATTTTCAACAGACTTATTGACGCCTGGGAAGATTTGAGGGGCGTTCCCTGTCAGGAGACGCCGAAAATATTTGGAGAAGACCTCCATCCCGTTCGATTCAACAAGCTTCAGAAAGATTAGACATGCCAGGATCCAGAGAATTCAAACAGAAGTACGGTTGATGATCTTACCTTGTGGATCTGAGCGGCTTTGGTCTCCCACTTCTCGCGACCTTCTTTCTCTGTAATGGAGTCTAGGAGGAGGAAGACTTGAGCAATTGATATCTTAGTCAACGAGGACTGGCTGGCGTGAGCTGCAACACCAGAAACCGCCGAGCCCGGTTTATCAGAGGGAAATCCCGTAGGCGAATTCACGGTTGTACCGGACAGTAGCGGAGAGAAGGTGGCGCCTCTGGAAGAACCCGTCCCACCACCGCCTCCCCCGAAGCCTCCACCACCCGCGACAGAGCCTGCTGCGGAAGCCAGATGTGACGATGGAGTGTGAGCCCTAGCTTTAGGGGACGAAAGTGACTGCCCGGGTTGCTGATGCTGTTGCGAGCCAGATTGGAAGGCGGCAAAAGGCGACGGTGTCGAGGCGGGCGAGGGTACGCTCCGGCCACCAGAGAAGCCCCTTGCGGAACTCAGAACGGCAGAGAAGGAGGAAGTTAATGGGGATGAAGTCGAGCCCGCTGGACCAGGACTAGTGGACTGAGCTGGTCCTCGGGAAGTGGCAGACAGGATCGACGATGACGATGAAAGGTTGTTCGTCGCAAGCGGAGTCAACCCACGGCGAATGCTGGATTGGGACGCGGAGGGACCCCAAACAGATTGCGGTGTCCTTCCCGGCCGATTCGAAGAGGATTTATCGGTGCCAGAAGCAATCGATGATTGGGAGGAAGGGGGAGGGGGAGGGAAGGTCATCTAGGAGACGCGATCATTTGATCTGTTTAAGGCGGACGACAAATTTTATTCGTGACAGTGAACAGGATTATAAAAATCGAGTATATGAATATCACCAGTAGAACTTTGCAAAAAGAAAGAGATCTTGCGGATGAGAAAAAGAGCAAGAGGGTGTGAATGGAAAAGGTGTTGCTTCGTGGCACAGGATGAAGTTCCAATGGAGAGTTGGTGACGGGCAGAGAAAGCGAGGTTGAGTGGACCAGGTTAGGTTGAGGTGCCTGAGGTATCTACACTAGCTTGGCCCCAAAGAGGCTGAAGCTCTTGTCTGTCTAGGGCTTAAAGTTGGGGCGAGCAACATGATCTAAAGAGGTGTTTAGACTTGTGTGCTACGTTTTGAAATACTTACGGCTACTGCTAGTATTTGCCCTTATAGGTCCTCACATTTGAGACAGATGGACTGCAATTCAAGTCGCATATTGAGGTCGGTCTTCATGTCCAACTGCGCACACCCCACAGAGAATGTGCCTCTATGCCGGGCACGTGACCGATGTGGTTCTCGTTCCAGTAATGCTGATGTAACTTCTGAGTCAGCAGAATGACCCGATAAGGAGATCCATACGACCACGTGACGTTTCGAGTTCAGGTGGGACGGACAGAGCAGATCCAAAGAGTCTCCTTCTTGAGACAGGTTCCCCAATCTCAGGGGAAGAGCGGCTCTATCAGATCGAGGAAAAAGTTATTGCCTCAAAGTGCCCACTACTGGGAACACCATCCACGTCACCATTCTGCCTTACTCGGCCTTTCCTCAGCTTGTGGAATAGGCGGTCTCCGCCAACCCACCAACGTTAACGTTCATCATGTCCTCCTGGGTAACCCGACTTCTGGGTACACGTCTTATTAAATGATCTCAGAACACACTTGCGTTGGAAAAGAGATCCTATGATGATAAGGGAAGTGAATGAAGGGGTATCATGTTCCAAGGGACCTGTGTTGCTGGAATATCAACTTGGATATCGCGTAGTGTGGCAGAAGGTAGTTCCTCTGCTGAGTTGTACTCCGTCGTTCGTACTTTAGTTAGAGTTAAAGCGCATAATATCACTTGTAATAACACCAATCATGATTGAAAGCCGTTTAGCAATGCATAGGTATCGCCCCCTTGTTATGCACTTCCAAGACTCAACTGAAGCCATTGTGGTTGGGCTGCATGAGCCGCCGGTTGCCCCGAGAGACGTGGAGGAGTAAACACGGCGACCTCCAGCACCATTCATCATTCTGGACAACTCCTACAGAGTACACTATCTAGACTACAGATCAGCTCAACCGTGCTGTTCTGCTAAAGATCTGATCCGACGTTCCTTGGGTTCGTGTTCTTGATTGTTTGTTGTTCTTTTCACCTGGGATTTTCTTCTGGCATTAGTTTCCTATCGAGTTGGTGCTTTATCTACAGGAAGTGTTCATACCTTTATCTCTTGCAGTGTGATATCCACCTTTACCACTCTTATTTTCCACTCCCATCCCTTCTTGGACTATTTATTCGTATGTGCAGAGGCTGGCCCTGCCTCGATTAAATCAACGGACTATTGTCTGTCAAAATGCCGGGAACAGTTGCAGAGCCGCCCTCGGTGTCGCTATCCTGTATGATCCTTATCGGAGATTGGGCGTTGATCAAAGTGCGACAGGCTGACCACTGTGTTAACAGTTGCCAATAATTTCTGGGGCAGAGATGATGCCGGGGTTGGGCCTATGCTGGATCGGATGCATGGCTCCAAGGTGACTTGCGATGAACTCAAGACGTTCTATAATAGTGCGTTGCCAACAGGTTCCGTTAGATCTAATATTGCGGAGCGATATCTAATGAGGTCATAGTTCGCGCTGCTATTGAAGATGAATACTCACGAAAGCTCATGGCGCTATGTCGGAAGCCACTGGGCACACATGAGACGGGCTCGCTTCGGTCGTCTTTCGATGTCGTCCGTGGAGAAACAGAGTCCATAGCCAAATCTCACGCAGCTATTGCCTCGCAGATCAAAAGAGAATTGGAAGAGCCGTTGGTTGCCTTTGCAGGCGGATCCAAAGAAAGAAGAAAAATCGTACAAGTTGGCATCGAGCGAATCCTCAAGACCAAGATACAACAGACTCAGACGGTGAACAAGGTAGGGCAATACTGGTTCCACTGAACAGCATGACTAGGGAGATAATTTGTACTTACGGTGGTGACAGACTCGAGACCGATACGAACAAGATTGTCTCAGAATTAAGGGTTACCTTGCACAAGGGCACATGGTAATGGGGCAGGAGGAACGCAAGAACAAAGCAAAACTTGAGAAGACGCAGATCCAGCTTGCCACAAGCAGCAGCGAATACGAGGCCGCTGTCAAAGTTCTTGAAGAGACAACAGGTCGTTGGAATAAGGAGTGGAAAGCAGCTTGCGACGTGCGTTTCCCCCATCGAAACTCGGCACTAGACAACAAAACTGACGATTTACTAGAAATTTCAAGACCTGGAAGAGGAGAGAATTGACTTCACAAAAAGCAGTCTCTGGACCTACGCTAACATTGCATCGACTGTGTGTGTTAGTGACGATGCTGTATGTTTCTGGTTCCAGGGAGTGATGTGAGCCGAGCTGACCCGATTTGTAGTCTTGTGAAAAGATCCGTCTCTCGCTTGAGAACTGTGAAGTCGAGAAAGATATCATTTTCTTCATCAAAGATAGAGGAACAGGGCAAGACATCCCAGATGCGCCTAAGTTCGTCAACTTTGCCCGGGGTGATGTGAACGACACGAGCTCGGAGCTGTCTGAGGAAGACGGTTTCTCTGTTGCCCAGTTTCAACGTACCATCAATCCGGCGTTCCGAAGCTCTTCTCCGCAGCCGTCAACCTACGAATCTCACCATGATCCACAGCCTGACCCGCCAGCAGACACCGGCCACGAAAGCCCGGCGACACCTTCCAGTAGGGAAGCTACGGTCACTCCACAACAGCCAACACAACCTCCTGCTCCTTTGGACCTTCGCCGTGGAGGCTACCTCCCGCCCAACTATGACCCGAATCAGCATGGAGAGATTGGCACTGTCCCACACAATGCCTACCCAACAGATGGAATGACAATGTTTTGCCGCGCTGGACCACCTTCTGAGCGCAGTTCAGGGAGCAACAGTATCTATAGGCCATCTAGCCGGGACTCGCAAAGTGAGGTCTCCAATCCAACCTCAGTGTCGAGCCAGGAGCCTTCTAGTGCCAGACAATCCCCAACAAAGCCCGCACCTACCAATGGTGTTGCGCTCCCAGGACTTGGAGGGGACAAGCAGATCCAGAAGAGGAAAAGCGCGTTCTTCAGTAACAGTCCCTTTCGGCGGAAAAGTCGACATGATAAGGACCGTAATTCTGGACCTTCTCATCCACCGGCCCGTACCACGTGGGAACCTCCTTCAAAACAGATGACACCAGTCAAGGCACCTCAGTCCCAGCCTCCGCCAGCCGCAGCTCCTCCACTCACAGCTCCTCCAGCAGCAGCCCCTCTTCCAGCAGCAGCCCCTCTTCCAGTAGCAGCCCCTCCAGTAGCAGCTCTTCCAGCGGCTGCTTCGAGCAATAGCCGGCCAAGTGGAAGCCCGGAACCCGTGGATCCTAGGGCAAACTTCCAACTCAACGTGGGAAATAACGTGTTTGATGTTGCCTCTCCAGACAAGAACTCGCTCAAGAAAGCAGCCCAGGCGGCCAAGTCGGGACAACAGGAGCTAGACCCAATTGCACGCGCCCTCGCTGATTTGAAAGGCGCTGGAAAGCAATCAGCTACTAGGGTCTCTGCCGATAGATATCATGGAATCGCTACGCCGGTGCCATCGGCCCCTCCTTCCAACTACAGCAGTGCATCTGTGGCCACTCCTCCTCCTGCTTACAATGTTACCTCCGTGAAGAGACTCGATGCGCCGCAGCCCGCATTTACCTCTGCACAGATGCAGAAGACTACCCAGAAATACACGGGTAAGACTCATAGTATGCTCCGGGGTAGCGGGAACACCCCAAGTTTGGCGACTCGAAACAGCGCACCAGCCCAGGAAGTTCCACGTGCAAAATCGCCCATCCCCAGACGCAGTGCCAGTCCCCAAGTGGCGAGTCCGATGCCTCAAAGGGTCAGCCCGCAACCGATCAACCCTCCGGTTGTCAGCCCTCAGCCCATCATTCCACAGCCAGTTAGTCCTCAGGTCGTGCCTCGTGTTGATACGCGCATGAGCCACCGCAGTCGAGGAGCAAGCCCGAGCCCGAGCACTTATCAAGCAAGCAGTATACGGAGTCGCTACAGCCGATCACCAACGGTCTCAACTCCTCCTCAGAGACCAGTGGATGCAGCACCATCTGTACACGACTTTTCCCGGCGGAGCTCCCCGAACCCGGCACCACGGGCCGTGTCGCCTCAGCCGCAGTTTAGACAGCAAGTTCGACCTTCTAGCGCCGGAGGTATGGAGCTGCAGCTTTCGAACAATGGTAGCGACATATATGGCAGTAGCTTCGACAGCTACGCCTCTCGAGGCAGGGACACCGGCCGGCCTATGTCATATTATGGCGATGGGGCAAGCCAAACTGGCAGATCCAGAAGCAGGACTGTGGCTGTTGCTGATCCTGGTAGGCAATTTAGCCGCGATGGGCGTCCAATACTTCACTTTGGTAAGTTATACAATATTAACGTCCAAGCCGTCGTGCTTTGATCCCGCACTACCGAACATTTAAGCTAACTTTCTGAAATTCTTTAGCTCGCGCTTTGTATAGCTACACTGCCGCCATACCCGAAGAACTGGGCTTTGGCAAAGGAGACGTCCTGTCTGTGATCCGACTTCAGGATGATGGCTGGTGGGAAGCCGAGCTGACCACCGCTCGAAGCCGAACAGGTTTGGTGCCGAGCAACTACCTCCAGATTATTTGAGCAACCCATTTCACGAGCAACCACGATCTTTGACCCCTTGATGCTTGGCTATATGCTTTTCTAATGATGTAGATACCAATATTCTGCGCTTCAATGGTTTCTGTTGTCCTTCTATTCTCTACCTTGCGAAAGTACCTGCCATCTTCTAAGCTTTTTCAAATGATCATCCTTACCCCTTTCTCGCAACTTGGCTCAACTGAAGCGATGATCCCCCATCTTAATTGCATCATACTGTTTCGATTCCTGCGATTCCTCCACTGTGTCCTTTTTCCTGAGATATTTTGCATTGTGTGTGTTACGACCCCCCAAGTACATGCTTGACCGGGTTACGAGTCTGATAATATGGATCCCTTTCTGCCTGATTTCCTATTACAACCAGTTCCAGGGCCTGTAATGTTGCCCCTGTTCTTCTAAACCACCATCCTGTAGTGCCTGACTCTGTCCCGATGCTCCATGCCTGATAATGTGCTAGGACAGATCCGACAAAGCAAACGAAGAAGGGGCAATGCTTTGGAGCCCTAGACCGGATGAACTCGCAGACATGCATGCCCCAACCCCATATCCCCGACTCGATACAATGCCATTTGCACCACATCATGAAAGAGAAAAAAAAAAACCAAGCCCTCAATCAAGCAAATTCCAGTCCCAGCTGAACGTCATCATCCACCTCAATCCACCCTCCCACACCCAGGAACCATACACACAAACCCCATCGCCGACTCCAACTCCCGCACAACAGCCCGCCGGCAATACGGCTCCGTGCATGCATGGAACCCGCCATGGATGGTAATCAGGCCCGCAGCCACGGCATCCAGGAGGCGTTGGCTGATGGGGTTGGCGAGCAGACTGGGGTTGGTGAAGGGTCTGAGATCTGGTTCGGATTCGAGAATAGCTTTTGCGGTGTGGCAGGAGATGAGGACGTGGTCGTTTCGGTGGCCGCAGCTGTTTGTTACGCGGTGGACTTGGCACATGCTTTTCTTTTTCTTTTTTTTTTCTGGATGAGGTGGAGGACGTTAGGAAGGGTGTTGTCGGTGATGGGGGACTTGGTTGGGACGTATGACGAGTTCAGGCTCGATTGGAGGGTAAGAGGGCTTCTCTTGGTGGAGAATCGGCTCTTTTCCTGGTCTGAGCATGTGTATAATGCTGAGCTGGAGAAGCTGCTTGAGGCATGAGATGATATGATGTAGTAGGGATGGATAGACTCGGGGAAAGGGGAGGGATATTGATGAAAGACTGTTGAAGAAGGCGTGCCATCTGAGGTTCGCATGGTGTGTGGGATTGAGGAGGTGAATCTGCGATGAGATATTCGCACGAAGGCGCATGCCATACCAGAGAACAATTCAAAACTTCCGTGATTGATCCATTATCCCGAGAAAGCGTGTGTGTGCTTTTTCGATTGACCATCCCCGGAAACCGAGAATAAAGAAATGAGATTACATGGAATAGCATCTGTATAGTACAGTCACAATATCAGCAAGGGTGTGTTAACCCAGGATCATTACATGCTTGCAACGGCCAAAGAATATTGAAGATGGCCGCTAACACATAGCGGCAGTACAAAGGAAGAAGACAAAGCAGAGCAGTAACTAGCCAGAGAAAACACTGTACAAGAAGCTTTCACTCTCGCCTGGCATTCTAGACACCTCAACATCAAGAGACACGGGCTCGCAAAGGGGTATTACAACAGATATGCAAGACCCCTGGAACAATTCACTTATTCATCGTCGACGAAGGAGTTGGCAAGGCGTCCAATGATTGGGACCTCGAAGTGTTCGAGGGTGTCGACTTCGTTGTGGTCAGTCGCACTTCTAATGAGGAGTGTAGTAGCAGCACTCACCATCCCGATAGGCACGCATGCTTAGGAACGCAATTAAGCCAATATCACAGATAAACAGAAGCCATGAGAGAAAGCTCGACCATGAAAGAATCAGGTGAAGAATCTGATAAGGGTCAGCACCGGCATGGTACCAACAGCATGCGGAGGGACTTACAAAGATGACCGCGAAGAGCATACTCGACTGCCACGCATGGAATCTGTTTCGAATAAGCCGATGCACAAATCTGAATCTTATTGTTTGCAAAACATACCGCACATAGTCGCTCTTATGCTCCACCAACAGGAGAAACACTCCACCCGCCGGAGGAAGAAGCAGATATGCCAGCATAGCTTCAACGTCCATACGGATCGGAAGGCTTGTCTCAAAAGCCCCTAGGTTCCATCGTCCGGTTTCAACATCCGGCCCATATCCACGGCTCCCTTGTCCGCTTGTATGGCTCTGTTCTGCGCCTGTGAAGTGGCTCGGGGATGGAAGAGCACCTGATTGCGCACCGTGGATCGGGGGAGACCCGCGCGGGGACCTCAGAATTGGGGATTTGATACGGTTTGCTTCAGGTAACGTAGGCGAAAAGGCTCGCTCGACCTCAGGAGACTCATCCTGATAAGGGGCGAAATTCATTATGCCTGTTGAAGCGTGAATGAGCGCGTTGTGAAGCACAATTGCAGAGAGCTCCAGCTTATCGGCCTGTCTGGATGATTGCTGTTTACTTATCGCGGGCCGAGTCGATGTCTTGGCGCCTCAGGCAGAAACTCTACGAAGTACCATTATTTACGGCTCTTCTCCGATCACGAACAATGCATCGAAGATGTTTCCGGTCCTTGTTCGACCAAGATCAAAAGATAGAGAAATCGGTTAGCTTGGGTATCATATTCTGTCATAAATTTTTACTCATTTGAAATAGTATGGTACATGAAACAGTTCACATCGTCAATCATGCGCTCTAAACTCTTCCGCGACCACGTGTCGTGCCTGGCCCTCTTGCAATTCCACTGACAGGTCTTCGCGTAGATGTGGTTGTGGATGTGCCCCCTCTGGTTGCCGCGGTCCTGGCCGCGCTTGAACTTGAGTAAGATACACTTGGTGTTCTTCCCAAACCGGTGCTTCGGACGACCCTGCCTCGAGTGGTTGTCCCGCGAGTCGTTCGCGAGCCTGTCGCCAACGCTCGCTTCTTCTCTTCCTCCTCGGCCTTACGGGCTGCTGCTTCTCTTTGTTGCTGCAACTCTCGTTCGCGTCTTTCTGCCGCTTGTTGGCGCACCAGCTCTTCGTTTTCCATATCCGCCACGTCCTGTAGCGCTCCTTGCCAGTTGGGATTGAGAATCAGTCGCTGATTGTGTTCTGTTTGTGACAAAATACGCGTCCAAGTGTTGAGTAATGTCGAGGCGGAATCAACGGTGCGCGCAACGGTCTATCCAGGTGTATCGTTAGCACCGATCTGGACCCAGTGACCAAAAAGTTCGGTTGACATACATCCATGTTCCCTTTCGCACGATCCAAACTCCCCAAGAGTCCCTCAATCACCTGGTTGATATTCCGCACTGTTTGTAGTTCGTGCCGCAACGCAGCGTCGCGGGCTTCCTGTCGGTCGAAGAGCGTCTGTCCATGGTGGGAGGGGCGAGGTTCAGGTGTAGTGTGCTGGTCGCTCGCAGTCTTGTGATAGGTTGTTTTCTTGCTGCGTTGTCGTGAAGGAGAGTCCCAGAGATCCGCTGTGTCTTCATCGGACAGCTGGAGTCTCTCCATTTCTTCCGCCGTACTGCGGGCAGCCATGGCGTGGAAGGTCGGTCTATCACCAGGTAGACTGCAGAAATCGCGTCTGGAGGAGATGTGAACGCGTCGAGAACAATCGTGGGTTGAGAAAAGAGAGATCTGTTGGTGGTGGGTTATGTCTGGCGGACACAAACACAGGAGATGATAATCTCTCAGGCAATGGTGTGTGTTTATAGTGTCTAGACTGTGGGAATCAATATATCGACCAGGATTGAAAATAGCCCCAACTCCAAGCCCCCTCTAGTCTACTTTGTTAGTCTGAAACTGAATAGTAATACTCCGTAATAATAATAATAATAATGAGGATCAAATATCCATGACTATGAGTGGTGGTGGGGCATCCAAGTGGTTCAGTTCAGCCTTAGGAATTATTATTCTTATTATTAGCGGTGGCTGGTTCGACGTCAGGCAAGCAAAGCGACCGCATTCCTCTCCCCCTTCCATCTCTCTCGCCCTTGGTTGCTCCCATCCATCCTCCTTCTTATCACTGCTTTACTCTATCTCAATCCCAATCTCACCAATACCTTCATCCACTAATTCATTCGGGAGTTTTTTTTCGTTCATTAATACGCGTCAACTGCCCGAGTGAATTGTTGAATCGTCTTTAAGTGGTGCCTTTTCCGCTCCTTCGGTCGGGTTGTGCGTGTGTTCGTCGCGCGCGTTTTTCCTCCCTTTGTCTCTTCCGATCCGGCCCAGTGGCCATCGAGTCGCTATTCGATCCAAAAGAAACCCTCAACTTTTGGTTCTTGCGATACTCTACTGTCATTAAACCGAACTTCTGGTCATTGCCCAGTTTCGGGGATTATAGTTCGAAATCGTTTGCAGTCTTTACTGCAGGAACAAGTGCCTGTCATTTGACGTGTCTCACACAACACACAATGGCGTCGACACCACCACCACCGTCAGTTCTGCGAATTCCTCCGACTCCACGACATGGAGCGGGTTATGATTCATATGAGCCCTATTCTACAGGATATTCGACAAGATTAGCGAGTCAGCGAGCGTCAAGAGAGTCCCGCAGCACTCCTCCGCCTTCCAAGCCTAGTTTCAGGAGCGCAAAGAAGCAGAGCAACGATGAATTTGAGGCCCTTTCACCCCCGGGATCCATTTTTAGCTCTTCCCGGAAGAAGCCGTCAAGCAGCGGTGGATTGTTTGCTACGGCACATTCAAAAGACGACCCTTCAATATCAGATAATACCGATCCGTTCAGCACTGGAGAGCTGTCTCACGCCCAACAACGTCCTCTGAAAGCATACCGGCCCACGATGACCGACGGAATGCTTCCCACGCCCGCCAAAACTCCACGAAAGAAGGCCATTGGCGACGTCGCGGGCACTGCTCGCACCCTTTTCCCGACTACACGGCCTAAGAAAACCAAGAAACATACCGGTTACTCTCTGGATAGCTTCATTGACCATGCCGCCCAGCAATCTTCGCAGATCGAGATCTACACGGACTCTCGTGACCGGATCCCGGAGGTCGATGAGAGCGAAGGGAATCCTTTCTACAAGAACAGCGAGCCTGAAGTCCCAAGCCAAATGACTGCACGGGCGTCTAGAAGAAGCAAGAGGGAAGAGATGAAGCGGGATCAGGAAGTTGACGAGGCGATTAACCGCGAAGATGGCATGTTTTACGTATTGTAAGTGACACTCCTCGCTCGTTCGCCTATCGAGTTTGTTTCTAACATCTTTTACAGTCGAGGCAAGAAGATGTTCCGCAAGTTCACCGACGACGTCGAAAGCGATGGCGAAGATGAGAATGATCTGGGTCTGCTGGCAGCCCGCCCTGACCTTCTGGACTCATCTATCACCACAAATGTCCGCCCGTTGACTCGCTCGTCTATCAAGCCGCGGGTGCTCTTCCCAAGCGCCAACGATCGGGCTCCTACGGAGCATCATATGAGTGACGTCGACGAGGAAGCAGCAACGGATATCGACGATAACATGCTTCACAAAGATCTTGCAGACGACACTGATCATGCCACGGATACCGAAATGCCACAGCGGCCGGTAACTCCTCCACCCAAGTCCGAAGTCGCGACACCCCCATCGCCCGGCGCTACAATTCGTTCTCTACGCTCTCGAAGCAAAAGAGAGGGCACGGAACAATGCGAAACGGCTGCTGTATCGGACAGCAACACGAAGCGCGTCAGTCCATTTGCAGGCTGGCTGCGCAAGAAGCAGACCCCCGCTGTTGCCGGGTCCAAGGCGAAAAAGCGAGATGCAGATACTGCCGCAAGTCCCGGTGGTCCTGCGACAAAAAAGACAAGGGGAAACAAAGTCGCGCCTACATCGTGAGCTTCATCCATGGCAGAGCCATGCAATCATAACCTTATTTCGAATTCGGGCTTTTCTTTTCTTTTCCTATTCCACTTGGTGTTTTGTTCTTCATCACGGATATTCCTCTCTTGCTTTGACCTAGTGAATTTCGGGAGCCGGACTGGGAATTATGGAATTTGGTTGGCTATTATTCACTGGATGGAGGATTCGCAGGATGGAGTTCTTCTTCAGCTTCCTTTTTTTTCCCCCCCTTTCTCTTCATTATTTTTTCCCTTTCTTCGGGGACGTTTTGATAACCTTAAGTAGCCCAGACTAGATATCCCAATGAACTTTGAATCAGATTGTCAATCTCAATCTTCTCCTACGTAGAATATCTCCGTATTCATCTTGGTATCTTGCTCGTTAGGTCTTGACCTCATATCAACTACGCTGAAGATACGAACTTATACTCAAACAGAACGATGAATTCGTATGTTGCATGTCATGCAAAAGAATAAAAGAAGGGGAATACCCCGTAGTCCTGCTAAGAGGTTCCCTGAGAATAAATAGTCTGAGCTTCCAGAGCCGATGGAAATGAAGGGAAAGTTAAGGAAAAGACAAGACAAAAAAGAACGGGAGAGGTCAGCCGTGCAAATCAGGAACGCATTAGACATCGTCGAATCGAGTACTGCGTCAAAGAAAAATACAAGAATATCAGCCGTAGCTATCCAACCCTGGACGATTGGTCGTAAGGACTGGTTATGGATAATATGAGTAGTCCCACACCTTCAATCAACGATCCCCTGATGCGATGCAGACAGATATGAAAGGGAATGACTTTTGGCAAGCGAGGGGCAAGGGGTATCTAGTTCGTTTCCGTGGGTTTATGGGATGATGTCTAGTTCATCATCGTCGTCGTCGTCGTCATAAGTGTTGGCCGTGGCGTCGGATTTGCCGCCCAGGCTATCCCGACCAGCTTCCTTGATGCCCTTGGAAGTGATGAAGCGGGTTTTCTTGACGCCGCTGCCGTGCGGCCGGTCATAGGCGCGCTTCAGCGGGCTGAGCTTCACCGCATCTGCGCGTCTGAAGCCCATCAGCCCAAGACTATTGGCGGAGCGGGGTGTCGCGGACTCGAAGCTCGACTTCTCCTGGGAGGACGAGGGGGCGGTCTCGGGCCGGGAGGATGTGGCAGGCTTTGTCGACCGCGCACGTAGGTACTCTGCGCCCACGCCGCCAGCTCGGCCCGTCACCAGTTTCTGCGTGATTTCTCGTTCGCGCTGTTGCTCCACGAGGCGTCTTCGGAAGCGTTCCTCCTTGTTCTCGGCCCCGCGGCCCATCATGCCTGCGGCGATGAAAGGGTCGTCGGTGTCGGCGTCGATTAGGCCAGCGGCGGATTGTCCGGGGACTCGGGGATGAAATGAATGGGCGCCGCCGCCTCTGGACTTTGGCGCGGGCGCGATGTAGTATAGGGATTGGGATTGGAAGTCATATTGAGCGCCGACCGGCTTTAGCCCGGTTCTATTTCCTCCCTTCTTTCCCTGATCACCAAAAAATCCCGTGCGCGGGCCTGAACGACCACCGGGTCCGAACATGCCTGTCCCGTTATTGACTCCCATTCGTTGCGATTGCGTGCGGCGGACTTGCACGTCGATATGGAAGTCACAGAATTCAGTCTTACGGCCATCCACCCACGATTGACAGGTCTTGCCATCCTTCCTCACGGCCTTGCAGAAACCGATGTCCTGAGCATACCCAACCTCGAGGATTTTATCATCAGATGACGACAAGGAAAGGCTAAATCTGCCAGTGTCCGTCTTGTTTTTGGGCGGTGGCATGATCGTGGGGTTCAGGATGGCAATCAGAATGCCTTCGGACAGTCTGTAGTAGCGAGGGAAGGCCGTGTCAAAGAGAAACAGGTCAACCGTCCACTTGAGATCCGTGAGAGTGATAGCCATGTATCTACTGCTGTTGTTCAATCCGTCGTCAAAGGGATCAACTTCTTTTCCGGAAACATTTTTGGAACCCTTAACTTGCTTCGGCTCGGACTTTGAGGCAACAATGCCAAAGACAATGTAGTCCCCGTCAATGTCCTCGGGAAGCTCAAAATCAGGCGCCCTCACTGTTCGCAACAGATCGGGAATGCGAAGGACTTTTTTATCGGAGAGGGTTCTAGTTAGGAATGAGTGCGGTAGTATCCGGTTCGATAAATGTAGCGAGGAGTAAGGCTCGAATTTGGTCGAGTCGGGCGCCCTCTCTGCAGCATCTTCTTGGGATCCATGATCGAGCTCTGAAAATGAGTTTGGCAGAGATGAAGAGGGCACTGGATGAGACTCGGACTTAGTGGGCCGTCTATGGAGGTGTGACCGTGATCCTTCCGTCTCTCCATCTCTACGCACAGTAGAAGCGGTTTGACTTCGTTTCAAGGATGGCTTAAGATCATGAAAGGATCGCATCACGTCATCTCGGCTGAAACTCTGGGTTTGGCGGCTTCTAACTGGCGACTTTGGAGGAGAGTTCGTCCTTGCTTCAGCCGCCGCCGCCTTGAACGCCTCCATCTCTGTCTGATCGACGTGGAACGCCGAGCTTCGATTGACCTGGAGCCTGTGCTCTCGCTCCCTGCGAGATCTATCGGCCAATCGACTGTCGGCGATTCGCTCACTGAATGTCTTGCCCCGTTTCGCACCATCCTCCGCAGCCAGCGTTCGAGCATGCGATGCGAAGATATCACCAGGATGAGACATGGCAGCCTCACGACCGCCGTTCATACTCGTTGGTCGCGCGACCACGCGCGAGCTCGGCGGACGCTTGAGCGACACATCGCTGCCTTTGAGACCCTTGTCAATACCCAAAAGATATCTCCGCGGGGATGCAGGATCGGCCTGGGGAGCCGCTCGTCTGACGGGTGACAGGGGCACCTGTACATCTTCAGGCTCGTATCTGCCGGTTGATGGAGGGGGACTTTTGAGTCTCGATGCATGTTCTTGTGTTCGCGAATAGCAGCTCACTGCTGAAGCAGGCCGGGACGACGTATCGTTGGATTCGAGGGTGTTTGACCGTCCGCGACTCTTCTGCAGTTGTTTCAATTTGAGCCGCGCCTCGATCGCAGCAAGTTTGAGTTGTAGTGTCTCCTCATCCTCATCCTCTTCATCGTCCAGCTCGTCCATCCCGTCACTGAGTATCCTGTTCGCGCGTAGGTTTGGTGTAGTTTTCGCCTGTCTCGGAGGCGATCCGAGAGTCTCCTGGCGACGCTGCATATCCTGATACTTCCTCCGACCGTTCGGAGAGGTCAGAAGCACCTCTCTAGGCGATTTTGGCGGCCACGAGATGTCGACCACTGCCACAAACATCCAGTCAGTCTGCTGCCGGGGAAGAGAAAACATGAGATGGAAAGACGGACTGCACTTACTGCTCATCGCAACAAGGGTTCCCCGCTGGTTCCAGATTTAAAACCACCAAAGAGCGCAAGATGACTGTGTCGCTAGGTATTCCTCACGTTCTCCGGTCGCAAAAAGGCATTGTTCCTTGAAATTCCACTACTTTACACTTGTGCACTTGGTCGGAGCTCAAGCAGGGATGCGGGGATGGAAATTCATGCGCCGACAGAAACAATGGCAGACAGTCTTATGGGAAACAACCAAAACAAAACAAAGAATTTTTTTGATTATAATTATGATTGTTATTATTCCGATCGTCTCCTCCTGTCATCAGCAAGGCACAGAATCGAGGAATCAATTGTTTCTTCCGCTCCTTCTCAGTAATACCTTAGTTACCAGTAGTAGGTACCCGACCTTACTTAAGGTGGTGGTTAGTAAGTCCCTGACTCTGCTGTGTAATTGGCTGGCTGTAGCAACCACCGCTGATTGGCCGAGGCGCGTGTCGCGTTGGAAATTCAACTGAGACGCGTTGAGACTTTTTGGCCGAGCAACTGGACTTGGACGCTGGTAAGGGACTCTACATCTATCCCTTCGAGACACTATACGCCGATCGAGCGTCTTGCATCCTCTTATCCATCCAAGGCAACACACCGATCAGCTCAGGATGCGAACGCGGTCTGCCGCTCCGAATGAGCAGCCCGCTGCGGAAGAGAACCTCAACGTACCGCCCGTCCCAATTAAGCCCAGCAAGACGTTTATCCTGCCATCCGCTGCGACCGAGGATGCCAGATTCCTTACCTTACCCAATCCGCGAACGGGGGAGGCTAATCGCTATTTCTTCTGCCCGAAATTGGGGGTGTACGAGTTCACCGTCGTAGGATCTTCGCCGCAGTGTCCGCGGAGTATCCTATTCACATCGACACCGCAGACGAGTCCATCTGACAGCGATAATGGCCCGTCGCAGCCACAGGGGACAATCTCCAAGGTCGCAGAGCTCTGTGTTGCGTCGCCAATGGATGTTCTGTTCTTCATGATCCCTTTGCTATGCCCATCCACATCCACCCAGACGAAACGGTTATTCCAGCCGCTCGACGACATCATCGATTCGCAGGACGAAATGCCAGAGCATCTACGCCGCCTTTTATACAACGACGATTTCCGCAGCGTCTTGCACTCGCGGGTCGAGTCGGTATGCGACTCAGTCGAAGCCGGCGACGAGAAAATGTTCCGCTTCAGCGAGGACAAGCTCCTCAAGGAACTGATCGCTAAAGCGGAACGCTTGGTGACCCAGGGTCTCCCAGCGAGCTTGGAGGAAAAGTTTGTGCGCCAGGCGCTGGCCATACCCATGATGACTGTCAAACGGGAGGAGTCCATCATCAATGGCACATCCACCTCTGCCAACGAGACCGAAGGAGAGTCCCAGGAGAAACAAGAAACGCAGTCGTCCACCACAGCATCTGTCTCCACGACAGTGTCAGTCTCCACAGCGTCGGGCGTCTCAACACCTGCAACGGAAATGTCTACAGAGCCAAGTCTGGAGGGTCCATCGGCCACGGATAATCTGGCGCATATACTCCGCATCTCAACGGCTCTCTCGTTCATCAAAGAGTCTTACATCTCCCCGTCGCTCAACTCCCGATTGGATGAGCTACTTGGCACGCCGGAGTCGCCCTTGGACTTCATACCGCTGCAAGAACACCTCAAGCATATCGCGGAGCTGCGGGCACAGGCGCTCGCATCCCGGTCGCTCGGAGACTTCACCCGCAAGCGAGGCCCCGATGACGACGACGCGGCAGAGTCCCGGGCGGAGAAGAAGCGTCGTAGGGAAGAGGAGGAGAAGAAGAAGAAGGCCGGGGAGTCGCGCGGGGTGAGAGACCTGAAGAAGGTGAACACGTCGGGGATGAAGAAGATGAGCGACTTTTTCTCCAAGGCTGCGGCTAAGAAGAAATCTTGAGGCGTTTCTTTTTGCAGTTTCGAGAAACGCCTGGTCAGCGATCCTGGCCGTAACGAGGTGCTCTCTCACATCGTTCAACAATACGACCATGCGGGCATGGTCCCAGAGGAGAGTAATTAGCCCCGTCGAATTGGAAAAACGCAAACAAAAGATATCTGGACCAATATACCAGAAGTCAATCCTTTAGTGAGCTCCTGATGCTGTCCAGGCTAGCCATGGCTCGGGCTCTGGCTGGAGTCCTCACGCTGAGGTCAATGTCGGTGGTCATCTGGTCGCTCTGAGCAAGCGATCCCTGAGATATCTCACGCTGCGTCAAGACGCAGGGTTCTCTTCTATAGTCAACAGATCTCGACCCCAATCGAATCATGTAAAGATTGGAATACATGTCATGAGCGCTTATGTACTATATACGCAAGAAAGACGGTCTCCCTTAGCGGGTATTTATCTCGCCTCGCCTTGAAACAATTACATCAATGCAAAACCCGCTTGATATCCGTTCATCTTTTTTTCCCTGTCATACAATCTCTCACAGTTGGACATTCGCAATAGCAGCCCCCGTAATCCTAAATGATAGGCCATGTTAGTCAAATGATCCGAAGGAGAGGAAACAAAAAAGGGAGTCAACAAAGAGCAGAGCATCAAAACACCAAAACATACATGAATGATCCGTTGGACGGCTTGCTGATAACCATCGCCTGCGCCAGCTTCTCCTCGGTGATATCGGGGAACTTCTTCAGGTAGTACTCCTCCTTCAGCGCCTTGGTAACCGCCTCGACCGTGGACTGCGGCAGCATGTGCACCGTACACCCACCCCATCCCGCCCCGGTCAGTCGGCTTCCCCAGGTTCCCGCGCGGCGCGCAATGGCACAGATCTCATCGACCTCGGGCGCACTGCAGTCGTAGTCGGTGCGGCACGACTCCTGGGACTCATTGAGCAGCTGGCCGAGGTAGCGGATGCGGCGGTCGTCGAGAGTGGTCGCCTTGGAGAGGCAGGCCTTGAAGTCGAGGACGCGGCGGGCCTCCTTGTAGCAGTGCAGGGCGCGCTGGCGGAGCAGGAAGCGCTCGGCCTGGACGGGGAACGCGGACAGGAACTTGTCCTCGAGCTCGGGGACGGTGAGGTCGAGCAGCTGGGCGATCTCGGTGCGCGTGTAGCCCTGCTCCTGGGTCAGGTGCTCCATGGTGGCCTGGATGACAGAGTCGATCTGGTATTCCAGGGGGTCGCCGAGGCGGCCTTCCTTGCCCATCAGCGCCTCGTGGAAGTTGCGCAGGCTGTAGCCGAGCGAGCTGTTGTCCTTGTGCAGGGTGATGCCGTGCTGCGCGGCCAGCACGACGGCGGCCAGGGTACACTCTGCGACGCGCAGGTTGTAGTGCCGGGGCGCTGTCTCGGCTTTGTTGGAGGTGACGAAGCTCTGGGCCATGAGGAAGGTGATTTCTTCGGATGCGTGGGGGATCGGGACATGCTGGACGTCGAAGTTGGGGTAGAACTGGGTGTAGAGAAGATATCCGCGGCGTGAGAAGATGGAAGCCGCTTGATCCATCCTAGAGTGACGGGGAAAAAAGTGTCAAATAGATGTACATCCTGCAACTGCCACGGGGGTTTATATTTAGACTTACCCTCCGGAATAGACACCGACCGCTCTCTCCGAGACAACAGCCAGATCAAGCAGGTCCTGCTTCGAGACGTCGTGGTTGTTCGCCTTCATGATCGCCAATGCGCTCGCGCACACAAATGCCGCACTGCTGGAGATACCCCCGCCGGGGGGCACATTACCGTCGACCAGAACCTCGATGCTCGCCGGGGTGAAAGAGCCATCCGAATTCTTCTGGCGCAGGAACTTGAGCGCGCCCACCAGCCCGGCCTTGAAATAGTTCACCCATTCGTGCTTTTTGGGGTCGATCTCGATATCGGTATCCCGAGGCACGGTGAACTCGCGGGAAGGGAACTTTTCGGCCGCAACGTTCGCGATTTTGACGACCGAGTCCCCACCAGCCGAGGGGATGACCTTAACTGCGATGATCACATCCACGCTGACCGCTGTCGGTAGGACGTCGTACAGGTTGTAATCGATGTGCTCTCCGATAATGTTGACACGGCCGGGGCTGCGAGCTACGAAATCTGGACGATGGCTGTACAGCTTGTTGAACCGAGAAACCAAGCCATTGAATCGTGTCTGATGCTCGGGAGCAACTGTGGTGGCAGAGGCATCGTCTGTGGCGTAGACCTCAGCGATGGATTCTGTCTGGGGAACCAGTTCCTGCGGGGAGGCCATGGCGGGGTATTTTAGGTATATGACCGTATGGGGCGATGTTGGGGGATGGAGAAAGGGAAGAGAATCGAAATGAGTATGTGCGTCTAACACACAAAAATATTCTAACTGAGAGAATGAAACCACCGAAGTCCCCCTAGTAGTCTTCCAACTATGTCATAAGAGAAAGGGGGGGGGGGTGGGGGGGAAGCTCCACGCCTTGGACCATGGACTATGGAGACTGGAGAGAGGGGCAGTGAATCCGTGATTTGTGAGTCCATGACACGGGCACACTGACACACAGAGCAAGAATAATGCACATGGATAGCTCACGGGATACGGAATACGGAGCAATTATTACCTGTGTCTGTTCTGAAAGGGAACAAGTGAAGAACTGCAACACCTCGAACGTTTATGCCTTGATGCCTTGTTCATCCATGGCGGGGATGCCGGAAATTGCGGGCAACAAGTTACAAGACCAGGCTTTTTTCATAGCCCGATGGTCCCGCGTCCCCCACTGGGTAGAACCACTGGCTTCTGTGGATCAGAAGGGTCCCAAAGGCCAAAGCATTCTTCAAGGGTGCAAGCTCAGTTAAATGCAATTTGGATGTGCTTGTTCACTGTTGCTTGCTTTTCTCGATTTCTCCAGCTTCTCTGACAGAGACAGCAGCCTACCAATGATTAAACCACTTTAGCGCCAGACAACTCCCGCACTCAACAAGCTCCCCGCTATCTAATCGTTAAACCGCCAACCGGTCCCCTCGCCCGATAATCGTGACATCGAACCCCTACATCCTTCATCCATTCAGTTGCTGATATTAGGGGTAAATAGGTTTATGGTCCCATGGCAGTGGAGTCTAATTTATCCGAAATCAATCGTGCAGATGACCGACAACGTCGTTGCTACTCTTCTTCACGTAGTTGCTGTGCTTCGACACGCGGGCGCAATGCATATATCTCCTAGAGGGGACATTCTCGGTGCCGTCGAGATACTACTAACATGGACAGGGTGGGCCCACTCTGTGTTTGCTCCAGCCCAATCGTCTTGTTAAGTTGTTGGTCAGCTTTCTCCGCCTCGTCAAAACAGTTGCGCACGGATGATAAGTTGGTCTGAATCCGATCGCTTGGGAAGAGGCGCGCCGAATGACTTGGTTCATTCATTGAAGGGCCTCCCAACAAGAATCACTGGAACGAGAATGGCCAATCAGTACGGAGTAAGTCTCATTCTCCGAAAATTGATTAGCTAATTGGCCTCGGTCCACTGGGATTCGGACGGAAACTTGAGAGCACTGGTCCCAGTCGAATCTGTCATAGACCTCTATCATGCTACGGAATTGCCTGTCACTTCACTGACTTAAGTCTTCAAGTTCAATTAATCTGATGTTTCGCTGTGCTTCTCGGCCCTTCTCTTCCTTGTATAGCACCAGAAGCGCTCGTACCGCGCGATATTTTCATCGGGTCACAACAGACTTCATTAACTATGACGCGAGAGGAAATCTGGTTGCCAGGAAGGTGCCTGTTATCATTGGTAACCTGGGGGAAACTTATGTTTTGATTGATCCAGGAGTTGGTAGTGCATTCTGTGCTGCCAGTCCCTTTACATCAGCTTCTGCTGCTTGTGCTGAAGATCCATGTAAACTTATATTTTTCCATGATTCGCAACACTTTGGGTTTGGTAGGTTGTCAGTGTGTGAGAGTTTTATACAGCTAGTGTTAATAAGTCTGTTTTTAATGCTAGGATCATCAAGTTATCCCTGCCTCTATGTCCTAAGCTAAATCCCTTGCTAAACAGAGTTAAATACAAGCCCTGCAACTCTGTTCTTAAGTGGAAAGATGCATGAGATAGCTCTAGATGGAACTCTTGATGGTACAATCCAGTCACTAATCCTTCCTGTCTTACTGATACTGATCCATAATGTCTATATAGCAAATTTTGCTGAGAACGCAAGCGCTACTGGACGGAACCTGGAATGTGTAGTCGACCAGCTGAAGGATATGTGATGTCAAGGTTGTTTCCCCTGCAGCCATTTCGGGATGGTTTGATTAAGACTGTGTAAGGCCTCCTAATGGTATTGGGAAGATATCTATCTTACCTACGCAAGTATATATTAGTCAGCCCTTACTAAGCAGGGGGTTGGGTAAATTCTCCCTTATAGAGGAAGAATCTAAACCTAGTATTAATCTACTTAATTATCTAAATTCTTAAAACCTAAGCTATATAGTATCTATTCTTTTATACTAGTTATATTCTGTAAGGTTTGCAAAGGTCTATTATGTATTATATTAAAGCTACCTTTGCAGAGGAACCTGATGATAAGAAGGCTCCTTATAAGAGGTCATATAAATAATTATATAACCTATAAAGATATAAACCCTGCCTATAACTACTAAACTTTAGAGTTTAGTGATAATCTCTTTAAATAAGGATATCTATATTTAAATCTATTTATAATTATTCTTTTTTTATACTAGTTTCTAATTCTTATAGATTATAAATCCTTATATTTTATTACTTAAACTTTTAAACTAGTCTATTAAGAAAATAATATTATAAAAGAGGTTAGTTAGACTAAAACTATCTAGTAAATCCTTCTCTATAATTATATAAAGTTAAATAATAAGAAAAGAGATAGCCTATAAAGAGAAAGACTCTAAGGATAAGCTAGATTTATAAGACTTTTTTATTCTAATAGACCTAAAGTTAATAAGAATAACCCCTATAAGAGAGTATCTATAATAGGAACTATAGCTTCTATAAGAAATCTAAAAGCTTTATAATAATCTAGATATAGGCCTTAGAAAGTACCTATAAAGCTAGGAATAAAAGGAATTATTCTTATTATTTATAAAGAAGACTAATATCTAAATCTAATTCTTATCTAAGTCTAAGAGATACTTAACCTATAATTATATAATATACTAAGTCTTTATTATAAGTTAAGAGTCTACTATAGAAGCTAATAACTAGGATAAGAAGAAGTATACTAAGATTATAATAATCTATCTAGATTATATTCTCTCTAATCTTTAGTAGAGTAAGATATTTAAGAACTTCTATAATTAAGAGTAAAAAGGCTTTTATACTTTTCTAGAATTATAGCTAAATAATCTAAAGAATTATAAGTAGGAAGTATAATTATAAATATTTTAAATAAGGCCTTATAAGAGAGAAATAGACTATATATATTAGTAGAGGTAGTATAAATAATAAATTAAAATTAAAGATAATATAAAGAATATAAAGAAAGTATAGCTATATCTCTTCTTTAAGTTTTTCTTTATAATATTTAAGTAAAAGATCTATAAGTATTTAGAGTTCTTAAAATCTAAGAAAGAGATAGTCTCCCTACTTATAAAACTATATCTAAATATAGAATAAAATACTTATTAAGACCTCTTATATAAAGATAAGGATTATTAAGGCCCTAAGAACTTAGGGAAGCCTCTTATAGATTATATTACTATTAAGAAGATAGAGATAATAGAATCTATTATAATTATATTATTTATAAAGAGATAAGGCCTATAATCTTATATCTTTAGTATTTTATAAGTCTGCTTTAATTATAATAAGAAAGAATATATTATAAGATACTATTTAAGTAAGCTTAAGTAGGAGGGCCTTATAAAGACTAAATAACTAGTTATTATTATTATTATTAAAGAATAGAATAAAGAGTATTATAAATTCTTACTCTTCTATCTAAGTATATTTCTTTAGGCTTAGATAGAAGAGAAGGAGGAGGGACTAGTCTTATAAGTATTAATTAATAGTAGAAGCTTAATTAATCTTATTCCTATAATACTAACTAAGGAAAATAACTAGTATACCTTACTATAGTAAGTCTTTATAAAGATATTAATCTTATAAGAAATAAGAAATAAAAGAGTAGTAGAAGCCACTATCTTAATTAAGAATAATAATAAAATAAAGTAGCTCTTTATAGAGCTTATAATAGTATCTCTAGATATAAATTATATTATCTTAGAGATACTATAGTTAAAGTAGTATAACCCTATAATTCTTTAGGGAGAAGATAGAGTAATCTTTAGTATAGAGTTAGCTCTATAAATTTATTTAGTCTTAGTAGAAGAGTTTATAGAAGTAGAAGATATAGTAGTTATAGTAATATAAATTATAGAAACCCTATAAGAGGTAGTAAAAGATAAGAACTTTATACTAGACTAATTTATAGACTTTTATATAATCTTCTTAGAGGAGAAGGCTTAGGAATTATTACTATATTATAAAAATATAGATCTAGAGATAAATCTAAAGAAAGAGAAGTAACTACTTTTTAAATCTCTTTATAATTTCTTTTTAATAGAATTAGTAGTACTTTATAAGTATCTTTAGATAATATTTATAAAAAGATAGATCTAGAAGTTAAAGTTAGTAGTAAGAGTACTAGTCCTCTTTATAAAGAAGAAAGATAATATTCTTTAGCTATATATTAACTATTATAATCTAAATTATATTACTCTAAAGAATTACTATCTACTTCTCTTTATTCTAGAGACTATTAAGAGGCTTATAGAGGGGATGATTTTTATATAGTTAAATTTTTATAAGACTTATTATAGGATTAGGATTATAAAGAGATAGGAGTAGAAAATAGTCTTTTATATAAAGTATAGGTTATTTAAGTATTTAGTTATATCTTTTAGGCTTACTAATACTCCTGTAATATTCTAGAGCTTTATAAACTAGCTATTCTATAACTACCTAGATATCTTTATAGTAGTCTATATTAATAATATTATAGTATTCTTATAAGATAAGAAGGAGTACTATAAGTATATCTACTTTATAATAGTCTAACTCTAATAAGTAGAATTATTTATAAAGCTAAGTAAGTATCTCTTTATAGTAAAGAGAATTAACTTCTTAGGCTATATAATTATATTAGAAGATCTAGAAATAGAACCTTTATAGATTAATACTATCATAGAATAGCTATAGCCAGAATCTATAAAGGAGATCCTAGTGTTCCTAGGGTTTACTAACTAGTATAAGAGATTTA